GAAAAAAAAAGAAAAAAAAAGAAGTGGGGGAGGAAAAGGAGTAAAGTATAGAAACATCATCTGATTTATATATCAAACGATTGTTCTTGAATGGTTTTTTTCCAATAACAATAAGAAAAATGAAATCATCCTTCTCCCAACTATTAAAAAAAAACATCATCAACACGTAAACAATCGATTCTATTGACCAATCATATTTTAAGGAGACAAAATAAATACATAGGGGAAAAACAGTTTATTTCAAATAGGAGTCACTACCATAAACGAATCAAAAAAAAAAGGGGGATACTGTCAGTCTAAACAAATCAATCCGTCAAATAATAAAAGAGGAGAAATACAACAATATGCAAATGATACGTCATAACTGGGGGAGAATCCAGGGACCAAAAAAAAAAATCATGTGTCCTTGTCATACAAATCCATTAATAATTGCCGCGTCTTTTGTTGTTGTTGTCGTTCTAGTTGTTCAGCTCCACCGGTTTTCTTGAGCTTGTTCTTATCGACAAACATGATCAATTCCTTTTCAAAATCATCGATTCGATTCGCCATATCACGTGCCCGTCGTTTTTCCGCTTGAGCCAAAGCATCCAATCTTTTTTCATGATCCACATCGATGGTTTGTAATTGTTGAAAGACATCGCCCATACTTCCACCTGATGGATGAACTTTGAGTGAAGGTGTATGTCGTTTTTGTAGTTCTGAGACTTGTGTTAAATGCTGCAAGACTTGTTCTATGGCTAAATGGTCCTCTTCCAGATCCATCACTAAATGCTCATATTCCTTCACACATTGTTGTTCTGCCACAATACGTTGTAATTGTTCTTCCCATGCCTTTTTCCATTGGGGTTTCGATTGTTTGAGATGATCACCAAGAGATTGAATCATTTCCTGCACAGCTTTGCTTTCATTATGACAATACTCCAGTTGATTTGGTGATGGTCGGCAGCGTCGTTGCGTCACATCTTGTTTCATATCATCAATAGTATCTTGAAGTGCTTCCATTTTATTGGTCAATGCTTGTCCCTTTTCTTGTAATGGTTCTCGGATCATATCTTGCTTAGTATCTTCCTTTTGTTGAGTTATTATGTGTTGTATCATAGTTTCATTCAATTGTTGTTGGTCCTTGATTGCTTTTTGTAAAATATCAAAATCTTTTCTAATGTGTTGAATCATATCAACTTGTTGAGATATTGTAGAATTGTCAGGTACAGTTGTATCCACATGAGGAGAAGAAGGACTATTGATATTAGTAGGTGATTCCACAATAGAAGGATTATCAGTATCTTGTTTATTGGTCGATATAGAAGCAAATCCAGTCCATTGATCAAATTGTTTCTTGAATGCTTGCTGTACTATATCCATCATGACATTCTTGTTACTGTTATTGATCACCAGGGCATCTACATCATCAAGATTAATGACTATTCCATGTTATCATGAACCAATAATTTTTTTTTTTAAAAAAAACTACTTACCAAGAGAGAGAAATGTATTGGGGCCAATAGAAGTGATATCATCCAAATCATACATAATATTTGTTTCATTATCCAAAATTGTCACCTTGACTGCATCATTGTTGTCGGGTATGGTATTCTTGAAGGTACACCGAAAGAGATCAAGTAATTGAGGCATAGTTTCCAATGGTTGTAAGATCTTGACACGTTTTGTTCGATTCATCCACTGAAGAAAGATCATATATTCTTTATTGTTGTTATGGTTGGGTGATAGAGGCATGATAGGTGAACTATTATCATCGACTATTCTTCTTGATGCAGATGATAATATTGGAAGAGAGACTGAATAAGGTAACCCACGTTGTTGTCGTCGTCTTGCTGGATGTTGATTATTACTATTATTATTATTTTCAGAACATATTTTATTGTAGTCCATTGTTTGATCATGCTTCCTATCCATGGTACCATTTTTTCGTATAGAAGAGCTTTTTGCCAAATCGTCATCTTCACGTAATTGAGTAAAGGCTTGTTGGGTATTTGGATCCATCATGTCAAGATCACTTGAATTAGAGGGTGTTAGTTTATTTGCTATCGGTGATTGTGCAGGTTCATGTAAAAGAGCTTGTTTACGTTTTAGACCTTGTAAAAGTTGAAGAATGGCATCTCTAATAAAAGGTAAATGTTGTTCCAAGTCATTTGGTTCTTGAGAGAGAGCAGCATCAAGACATTGTTTCAAGTCATGTGGAATATGAGAAAGATCACTAGTAAAAAAAAAAAAGAAAGAAAGAAAAAAAAAAGGGGGGGGGGAAAGGTTAGAAAAAAAAAATTCCTGAGTGACACTATTTTTTTTTTTTTTTTTCATACTCCATTGGTAAATGAGCGGCATGAAAAGCTTGACACACTTTATCAAAGTAAGATTCAAGTAAATCATATTGTTCATAAATATTATCTTTATCACCAGTTTGAATAGACCAATGAGTGAGAGCTTCAAGTAAACATTTTGTACATTTTAATAATCCTGTCACTGAATGATCAATTTCTACAATCTAAAAAAAAAAAAAAATTCGTTGATTGTCATCCTCTTTTTATTTTTCATTTTTTTATATATTTACCACTTGATTCTTTCTTTCTTCTAAAGATAAATAATTTGAACTAGTCATCACAAAAAAAAAAAAAAAAAAGAAAAAATCAAAGAAGAATAAAAGAAATGTAAAAAAAAAGGAAGAAATTTGATATAAAAGAAAAACGAAAAATTCAAACGATGACTAAACAAACCATCATATTTTTCCAAAATAAGAAAAAAAGAATCTTTATTATACACACATACACATATTATTATAAAAATATTCTAAATCTAAGCACCATCTTCACCATTCAAATCTATTTTGAAAGTTCGAGTAGCATTTAAATGATTTTGACATCGTTGATATGGAGCTATATAAAAAGGAGATGATTTAACAAATTGTTTTTCAACGAGAAATGTTTACATACCTTGGCCATTACCATTTATAGAACATAGAAAAGTCGATCTTGATTAAATAAATAAATAAAAAAAAAAAATGTTGTCAATGAATATATAAGAATCGAAATTTTATTTCGTCTACTTACGGGCCAGAAATACGCATCATATAATATCCCTCTTCGATTTGAGTAGGAATAGTCCATGAAGCAGAAGCTCCTCTTCTTCCTTCAGATGTATCTGACCAATTGGCTTGAGGTAAAAATGTAACCACTGTATAATTTGGATAATGGATTGAAACTGAGGTTGATCCCAATTTTGCCATACCTTCGAATCTCACTATTTAAAAAAATAAAATAAAAAATCAAACATATTTAGAGATAGTCTTTTTTTTTCTTTTTCTTTACCTGTATAATCAATCTTCATAATGGAACCTGGTTTGTAGTTGCCTCCTTTTTCAGGTTCATTAATAATAATTCGATCTCCATAAAGGATGTTAAAAAGACTAAATAACAAAACATATAAAAAAATCATATTGAAAAAAAAAGAATGAATCGTAAAAAAAAAAAAAAAAAAAAAAAAAGAGAAAGAAAACAAGTGAAAAAGAGGAAAAAAAAAAATCAAAAGAACTTTATAATCCTTTTTTTTTTTTTTTTTTTTTTTTTTTTTTTTTTCGCAAGATATCGACTTGATCCCTTCCTCCCTAGGTTCCTTTTTTTGGTTCAACTTTTGCTAAATTCAAAGAACGAGATTTTATTTTAATGATAGGTTCATTAGCAACATTTTCACTCTATAGAAGACAATAATAACAAAAGGAGATGATGACAAAAATAACTTTTGGTATGTTGATGAATTTGATGAATTTATTTATACACGAAAACACATTAGAGTAGGGGAGAAATGTAATAGAATGTAATATAATAGTAGTAATGATTGTAAATAATAACAAATAATATACAAAGGAATAATAATAATAATAAACTACAAAAATAAAAAAAAAAATAAAAAAAAAAGGTAAATGGAAAAAAAAAAGTCAAGATCTTGATGATTCATTCAAAGAGAATTTTCCTTTTCAGTAATATAGCCCAAATCAACCATCATCATTGTCAATCGTGAAGCATATCATCACAAATAGAAATATATCTATGAATCAAAGAAACATGTTGAGTCACCTTTGGATGATACTTGTCCTGCATATATAAAAGTCTGCCCAGTATTGTCTTTGCATAAACCACCAGTCGTTTGTCAAAATAGCAGTTTATCCCTCGTTGTCGTTGAAGTTGTAAGTAACGGCTAATCCGAATCACATTCAAAGCCGAATCAAATACCAATGCCAAAAAGGGAGATCCATATCGATAAGGACCAGAGCATAGAGTATTCTTGATAAACACTGCATAGTCTTTATCACTACCTTCAAATCCTATTTCTGTCTTCAACTTGTTGATTTTTTGAATCCGTCGACGCCATTTGTCCAAATCGACTTCTAGCTTTTGTGCTGCAGCTGCGTCAAACTCGTTTCCACCTTTCCAAATTTCTTCTATAAGATTCACAAACCACTGATCAGACCAAGTCACCGCCGATTTAGGTACGAAGCTAAACCCAAGAAAAATGAGTTCTTCATATATAGCCAGTGTCATCAATGCAGGCACTACATTGGTATCGCATTCTTGTTCAAGACATTGATAATACACTTCATCGTTAATGGATGTCCCTTCAAATAGTGGTAATTTCTTGAGTTTGTATCCATCATCCAAAGATCCATACCATTCCTTTAGCTTGAATTCCAAACGTTGTGAGATTTGTGCCACCATGTCCATCACCCCAGTGCTGTCCCTGTCATACGTGCGACCTGTTTGTTGTATCAAAAATTGAAGTTCACGTCGATAAATATGATAGTATAAAAATCGATGTTCGTTCTCCATCAAATGAGGTGTCGATAAAGGCGAATTGAATACCATGTCCTTCTTTTGTCTTAACCGTTCAAGGATGCGTTGTAGATGTTGATTCCTGTCCGAATTTTGCACCTTTTCAAACACACACATTCGTTCCATATATATCATTATACGACCAAAGTAGATGGCTTGTTCGATATCGCCTTGCTTTTGTTCTTCTTCAATCTGATCCATCATCAAATAAGCTAAGCGGTACGCCATACCAGAATATTGTATACTTCGATTTTCACAGGAAATGTTCCATTGATACACAGCTATGAATACATATGTTGTCAGTAATTCCATGCTGATATCATCGAATCTGTCTTCTACCAATTCTCTTGCTTGTTCAAAGTAGTAATGACCATAAACCGATAAGAGAGATTTGGGAATCACTTTGCTGATATGATCACAATCCATCGTACAGATCATCGCACAAAATGCATAAAGAGCTGGAGATACAATTTGTTGATCATCTTCCAAAGATAGAAAAGTCGTTACTGATAATGAAGGTTGAATGAAGTGTTGATAAAAAGTAGGGATAAAGATGGCCCAATGGTATAAGTGTTGACATTCTATGTAAGCTTTCACAAGAGAGATGGCTGTGTTCAATATAGGCATCACTGTTGCTTCTGGAGAGGAAGTTGCCAATGATATGATACTCGATTCATGAGGCTGATCACTGTTGTTTTTCGATGATGTCAAGTATTCAATAGCCTTCAGAGAACCCTTGTATCGATTTTTGATTGTTTTCCGTGTAAATCTTAGATTCAAAAAATCGAGAAGTAGATACAGTTGTTGATTACCATGAATGCTGTAAGGAACGCTGTCGTTGAGTTGAATTACTGAAGATAATTGTTGAGCATGAATAAGAAGATCACTATGAGTTTTTACTTGAGTTCGGAAACGAAGTTCACCTTTTGTTACTTCCAAAATCCATATAGAAGGAGAGGGAGTTGAGACTTGATGATTGCAGAGGGAAAGTGAAGCATTGCTGTTATCGTCACTATTGATACTGTTGGTGTCTTCGATAAGAGATGGTGTAGATGCTGCGGTATTTGGTGTATCTCCGCTATAAGTTCGTTGTCGTTTTAGAGTTTGCATAGTGGTAGCCATGTCGTCTAGTTGATCTTCTAGTTGAGCTACTTGTTCCTTTAGTTCGTTTTCCTTGACCAATTGAATGAATTCCTCGTCGTCCGGACCTACATTTTTGACGTATATGCAAGCCAATCCTAGTTTTTCACACCTAGATAAGTATAATTCATGTTGTGAGTCATAATTATAGTAGGAAGAAAACGGGAACTTTTGAGTCTTACCTTTCACAAGGTTGCTTTTCATTACACCGTCTTTTTTGATATCGACACTCTATAAAAAATTGAATAAATTAATATCTAGTTTCTTCTTGGATACAAGTTTATAATAACCTACGTTCACAAGGTGCCTTTTTTCGTTTATACATTAGAGAGAAAGAGAAAGAAGAAAAAGACGGAAATCAAAAAAATAAAAAAAAAAAATTGGGAAAATCTATTATTTTTTTTTTGTACCAGCATCGCCCCTTGAATGTTTATTATTTTTTTTTCCTCTTTCCTTTCTCCCCTTTCCAAAATCATGGCTGTGCCAACTGAATCTACAACATCACCTGCTGAACATGATGTTATGATCGATCCTACCACTGGGAAAACTGTACCTATGAAGAACGGTAAACCTTGTCGAGTATGTGTGGATTTTAAGACTTGGTCTCGTTTAGAAAAGCAAAAAGCCAAGACAGATTCAGCAAAGAATGGTGACAAAGCAACTGCAGATACAGTGAAACCAACAACAACAGCAGCAACAGCAGCAACAGCAACAGCAGCAGCAACAGCAACAGCAGCAGCAACAAAGGACAACAATGATATGGAAGAGGTAACGGATGAATGGCGCAAACATAACTGTCCTCCTGATGTAGAAACTCTCGGTAATGCTACTTGGACTCTATTACATACAACGGCAGCTTATTATCCAGAAAAACCTGCACCATCACAAAGAGAATCTATGAAAACTTTTATTGAATCATTTGCTCAACATTATCCTTGTTGGTTCTGCAAGGTAAAAAAAAAAAATAAAAAAAAAATAAAAGTATGATAGTGTAACGTTTCATCCTTTTTTTTTTATGTAGAATGATTTCCAACAAGCTATGATGATAGAACCTGTGCAAGTAGAAAGTCGTGAACGACTTAGTCAATGGTTATGTAGAAGACATAATGAAGTGAATATAAAATTGAATAAACCTGTATTCGATTGTACCAAGGTATTTGAACGATGGCTCAATGGACCTCCCGATGGCAAATGCGATCAATAAAGTTTTTATGTTTCCCACACTCTCACCGCATTAGAATAGTTTTTTTTTTCTCCGCATTTTTTTTTTTTTTTGCTTCTCTTTTTTTTTTTATTATTTTTTTTTTCTTCATCCCTTTCATTAAATAAAACTAGATGTCTGATTCCATACCCATAGAAATATTATGTCATATCTTCTCTTTTTTACAATATCATGAATTATATTTACTTAGAGGGGTATGTACTCAGTGGTTATCTCTTATTGAAGAATATATATATTTGAATGTCAAAACACAACAACAACCTATAGTCATTACTCTTGGACAACGTCCTTTTATATCAACCATGGATTTATTTGTGCATTCTTATGATTCTCTTAACAAAGTACTGGAATTCCGTCCAAGACAACATTGTGAACTGGTGTCTCCTCTTTATAATAATGATAATAATAGTAGTTCGGCCTCACCTTTATCCTGGCAAGTTTATCATCACCGACAAATGCAAATCAAGTTCAGCTCATGGCCACGTTCTTATTCTCCTTCCTGGTTACAAAGTCTCAGTCCTCAAGAACAAGCTCAAGTCAAACTTCATCTTCTTTATAATCCTGTGATGGAATGTTCTTATGCTTTACCGGCTTATGAATGGCTTTCCTCCTCTCCTTCTTTGGATCAACATTATGTTGGGGACAAATCATTGATCATGTCTTTCTCTTATATACCTCCTCCTGTTCAATCAAATCAAGGAGTAAATATATCATCATCATCATCATCATCATCATCTCCTCCTCTATGTGCACCTCAAATCAAAATTCACTGGTTACGTGTCAAATTGGATTGGATCATTTCTGGTTTTGAACCCAAAATACAACCTACACAAATTTATGCGGATCGTTATGCTCGACTTTATCATACCTTAGTTTATCAACATGGATGTTTCAAATACGATGAATTATCTGAACCTGTTTTATCCTATATTATTGAACAACAAGACTCATCTACCACTGGTCCTTTGATGATGATGCAAGATGGCGTTTCTTCCTTTTTATCCAAAATAAACAATAAAGAAGATATTTCTTTACTACCTAAACAGTTACTCTCTTATATCCAAGAACATACTCATGAATATCAAACTCGACTCTCAAGATTACAACATATGTTAGAAGGTGCTAGCGTAGATTCAAGGATGATATGGAAATACCCTTTTGCTAAATCTTTTGTGATTGGAAATGGTTCACTTTTAAGTGAAGAAGATGTACTTCGAAGGATTCAAGATTCGGAAGAAGAATGGCGTTTACTCTTTGGTAAATTGAAAAGGCGATTTGGTATTCTTTAGAATAATTGAATATTTTTAGTTTAGTTTGATGATCATTACTTTATATTAGTCGTTACATTTTTTTTTTTTTTTTGTTGTTGTTGTTGTTATTATTATTTTATTGTTATATATATATCACTGTTTCCTCACATTCCCCCCTTCTCTCTCTTCTCTTTATTCTCATCTATTTTTATATATAATAAAAAAAATGATAGCCATTTTTTATTATTATCATTTCATTGACCTGAAACCCTTTTGTACTAGGCAACTTTTTTCGTTCCAACCTCCGTTCAGGTCGATCTTTTCTAATTGGCTGAATGGACTCTTTTTATAGATGAATTTTTTTTTTTGGATGATATTTTTAGCCTTTTTTTCTTTTTTTTTTCTATTTTACACTTTTCTTTCTATTCTTTTTCAATCTCTCTCTTTTTTTTTTTGCATTGTCCTTTTTTTTTCTTCTATATCTTCTTCTCGGACAAACCTATTCAATATATAATATACTACTTTGAACAAAATGGCCAACCTTAAAGGAGACGATATTCACTTATCAAGACAAGATGGACAAGATGATAGTCAAGAACCCTTTTTACCACCACCTGCCTCAACACCTTCCGAAAAACAAAATGGTACCACTCTTATAGCTTTGGTTATTTTATTTTATTTTGCCATCTCGTTATCTGTGGTCTTCCTTAATAAGATCATCATGAGTGGATCTGACTTTCCTTATGCTTTATTCGTTACTTGGTATCAACTTGTTGTAGCATTGGTTTTACTACTTGTTTGGGCACATCTTGGAAAATCGTAAATATGCATCTATAAATATATGCAAATATTGAACTCTCTCTGTTTTATATATATATAGGTACGCCATGTTTAGTATTATTCCTCCTTTTGAATTCAATACTACTATTGCTAAACGTGTAGCCCCTTTGACCTTTGTATATGTTATGATGTTGGCTTTGAACAACTTGTGTCTCAAATATGTAGAAGTAACTTTTTATCAAGTAAGTCATTGTGATACAAAAAAAAAAAAAAAGAAAAGAGGTGATCAAAATAAGGACTATATTTTTGATTATTATTATTATTATTATTATTATTTTTACTGTTATTATAGGTTGCACGATCATTATCCATCAATTTTACTATCTTATTCACCTATCTTATTCTGGGTAAGACCACTTCAGCTCCTGCCTTAATTGCTTGTGGTATTGTATTTCTTGGATTTGCTATCGGTTCTTATGGAGAAATCAACTTTTCATGGGCTGGTGTTTTCTATGGTGTTGGTTCATCTGCTTTTGTGGCTCTCTATGGTATCTACGTACAAAAAACCTTACCTGCTGTAGATAACAATCAATGGTAAATATTAATAATAATAATAATAATAATGATTATTTACAAACATCATGATCTTCATCTTTGTTTTTCTTTTATATATATATAGGAAATTATTACACTACAATACTACTTTAGCTATTTTGTTCCTTTTCCCTCTTGTTTTGGTTTCAGGTGAACTTTCCGACATGTTGGCCAATAGTATGGATGTCATGTACAGAGTGAATTTTTGGGTATTAATGGTAAGTAACCTATATATATATATATATATATATATATATATATATATATATATATTATTATATTCATTCTTTCTTTCTCTTTTTTTTTCTCTAGACTATTACTGGTATTACTGGTTTTGGTATCAATATTGCCATGTTCTTGCAGGTCAAGTATACTTCTGCATTGACAAATACCATTTGTGGAACCGCCAAGGTAAAACGATCATAATCAACCTACGGGGATCTAAATCTGTTTTATTATTATTATTATTATTAAAATAGGCATGTGTACAAACTATTCTAGCTGCTATGATATTTCAAAATCCAATTTCTAGTTTGGTAAGTGAATCATACAAATATTTTTATAGTATTATATATTGAACTTTTTTTTTGGGGTTAATATAGAATGGACTTGGTATTATATTAGCCTTGTTTGGATCTGGATATTATGGTTGGGTACGATACCAGGAACGAATTGCAAAATAGAAACCTTAGATTTACAACAGTATTTTATGCATCATCCAATAAAAAACCTTTTTTTTTTTTTCTGAAAACTGAGTATGAAAACCCCTTTTTTCCTTCAAGCCACTTTCTGTTCAAGTCACAGAAGATTTTTTTTTTTTTTTTAGGGGATATAAATCCTTGGAATTTTTGGAGAATTAAAAAAACTTTCCTTTCTTTTGTATTGTTGAAAGGCACCCTATATTCATTGTACATTCCTTTCATTTTATCTTCTTTTTTCTTATATATATTTTTTTCTTATTAAAAACCTATTTTTCTTATTATTGTTCTAATGACCAAATATATTATTGTCTCTGGTGGTGTGATTTCTGGTATTGGTAAAGGTGTTATTGCTTCCAGTACTGGTACTTTATTGAAGAGCTTGGGTTTACGGGTTACTGCTATCAAGATTGATCCCTATTTGAACATTGATGCTGGTTTAATGAGTCCTTTGGATCATGGTAAAACAAAAAAAAAAAAAGATGCCAAAAAAAAGAACAATAAAAATGACACATGACCGCAGTATAGAAAAAAAAATAATCAAACCTTAAAACTTTTTTTTTTATAGGTGAAGTGTTTGTCTTATCTGATGGTGGAGAAGTAGATCTTGATTTGGGTAATTATGAACGTTTCTTGGATGTAGAATTGAGTCGTATCAACAACATCACTACTGGCAAGATTTATAGTGAAGTGATCGAAAAGGAACGTAAAGGTGATTATTTGGGCAAGACTGTGCAAGTGGTACCTCATATTACAGATGCAATTCAAAACTGGGTGGAACGCGTGGCTACCATGCCTGTGGATGATTCTGGTGAACAACCTGATGTGTGTATCATTGAATTGGGTGGTACTGTGGGTGATATTGAATCTGCTCCCTTTGTTGAAGCCATGCGTCAATTCCAATTCCGTGTAGGTCATGACAACTTTTGTTTGATTCATGTCTCCTTAGTTCCTGTGGTTGGCTCAGTGGGTGAACAAAAGACAAAGCCTACTCAAATGAGTATCCGTGATCTCCGTGGTGCTGGTTTATCTCCTGATTTGATTGCTTGTCGATCCTCTAAACCTTTGGATGAAAGTGTTGCTTCCAAGATCTCCATGTTTTGCCATGTTGCTCCTGAACAAGTCTTGGCTGTTCATGATGTCGCCTCTGTTTATCATGTTCCTATGTTGATGCGTGATAGCGGTGTTGTCGAATTTTTCCGTCGTCGTCTCAATCTGGATCAAGTCGTTATTCCTGAATCTCGTCGTCTTGCTGGTGAAGCTGTATGGTCAAAGTGGACTGAATTGGCTGCTAATCAAGAACGTTTGTTTGAAACAAGTACAATTGCAGTTGTTGGTAAATATACTTCGGTAAGTAAAAGAATTTATTATCAATGAAATGGGAGTCTTTTTTTTTTTTTATTCATTTTTTTTTTTTTTTTTGGTATGTGTGTATATTAGCTCCATGATTCTTATATCTCTGTAGTCAAAGCTTTGGAACATGCTAGTTTGGCTGTTAAGCGCAAGTTGCAAATCAAATGGATTGAAGCTACTGATTTGGAACCTGAAGCACTCAAGACTGATCCTATCAAATTCCATGAATCATGGCAAAACCTTTGCTCTGCTGATGGTATTCTTGTACCTGGTGGTTTTGGTAATCGTGGTATTGAAGGTATGGTATTGGCTGCTAAATGGGCTCGTGAAAATAAGGTACCTTATTTGGGTATTTGTCTTGGTATGCAAATTGCTGTGATGGAATTCGCTCGTAACGTATGTGGTATTGAAAATGCTCATTCGGCCGAATTCTTCCCTGATTGTGAAAATCCTGTGGTGGTCTATATGCCTGAAATCTCAAAAACTCATATGGGTGGTACCATGCGTCTTGGCGTGCGTCCTACTTTGTTCCAACCTGGTTCTGAAGATTCTCGTGTTCGCAAGCTTTACGATAATAAGACCTCTATTGATGAACGTTATCGTCATCGTTATGAAGTCAATCCTGATCGTGTGCCTGAAATGGAATCTCAAGGTCTTCGTTTTGTCGCCAAGGATGATACTGGTGATCGTATGGAAATCGTTGAATTAGCTGATCATCCTTATTTTGTTGGTTGTCAATTCCATCCTGAATATTTGACTCGTCCTTTGAAACCTTGTCCTACCTTTTTGGGTCTCCTCAAAGCTACCACTGGTGAAAAGCTCTAATCTTCTTTATTTTTAGTCATTACTCTATTTTTTTTTATTTTATATTATTGTGTATATATACTCCATAGAATTTCTTTATCATTTTCTTCATCTCTTTTTTTTTTTTTTTCGTTTTGTTTCATCACTTCATATATCTATTTTTCCCGTCTTGTTATATATAAATTATATATATTTGTATGCTTGAAATAATAAAAAAAAAATGTAATAATCGATTTATCTATCATATTTGTTGACTACTTTTGGGATAATGATTATAAACACGCAAGTGGTAAATCTATTTTTGTACACCTATTAATTTTTTTTTTATTACTATTATGGTTGAATAAGGAATACATTTTATTCAATAATAAATGATGGACGCATAATCCAAATTAAATACAAGAAGAAAAGGAGTGGCAGTAGTTTCATTGAGTACAAGAGTTTTTGAATAACAGAAAAAAAAAAATATAATATCACGAAACTATTTTCTTGTGACCCGACGAAAAAAACTTTGAATAAAGTTGGCAATGTACAAAAAAAAAAAAAAAAAAAAAAAAAGAAACACTATACACTAGTATAAAATAAGGGTATTGATACGTATTGATACAAAATAATCATAATAATAATAGACTACAATAATGAAGGGGTGACATGAGTGAGAGCTATATCGATATCTTGTTGTTCAATCCAAAGATCAGATTTGCTACCAAGTTGTTGCTGTCGTTTCAGAGTAAGTAATCCTGCCTTCCGTAACACACCTTTGAGATCAGCCCCCGTATATCCATCCGTTTTTTCTGCAGTTTGTTGTAAATCCACTGTTGTGCCGAGTCGTGTTTTCTTTCCAAGTACTTGCAAAATAGCTAATCGTTCTTTCAAATTAGGTGGTCCAATATATACCAAACGATCCAGTCGACCTGAGAGAAAACTAAATGATTAGTTTCATGATCTTTTTTTTTTCTAATAATAACAACTTACCAGGACATAAGATGGAAGGATCAATAGATTCAAGATGATTGGTAGCACCCAATAAGATAACATGTTGATGTATTTTATCCAAATGATCCATCTCAATCATGAATTGAGATATCAATTTTCGACCTAGATCTCCACTTGTTTCACGAGATGAAAAGATAGCTTCCAATTCATCCAAAAATATCACACTAGGACTACACCGGATGGCTGTTTGGAATATATTGGCTAACGCTTTTTCTGATTCACCAACCTAACCAATAAAAATAAAATAAATAAACATCACTTTATCCGAATATATAGCTTTACCTCGGCTTTGATCAAATCTGGAACACTGACAGGTAAAAAATTGGCAGATGATTCGGTCGCTACAGCTTTTGCTAACAAGGTTTTGCCTGTCCCAGGAGGTCCATAGAGTAAAACACCTTTGGAAGGTCGAATACCTAATCGTTGATATGCATCAGCATGCTTATAGATCCACACTGCTGATTCCTCAAGAGAATCCTACCAATGGAAACAAAGTTACACTGAGATGAATTCTCTCTTTTTTTTTTTTTTTTTTTTTTTTTTTTTTTTTTTTTTTTTTTTTTTACCTTTGCCTCTTGCAATCCACCAATATCAGTCCATCTAACAGGATCCGGTTTTTCAGCCATAGTACCTTGATGACCCACTACATGTACTTGAGAGAATGTCTGATCAAAATGACGTTTCGTTACTATAAATAAAGTATATGATTAAATGGAATAATTGAATGGTTTAGCCAAATAATATATATTTCATACCTTCCGAGCAAGATTCTTGAATTGCCATTTCTTCTGCTAATTTACACCATTGAGCCAAATTAGATGCTACGAACGCATGTGCTTGGGATGATAAGGTTATAATATCCAAAGGTTGTTTGATCAAAGTACATCTAGTTGTTAAATAATCCATCATGACTAATCGTTCATTTGGTGTAGGTATATCCAACTTGATTATATCCTAAAAAGTAAACTAATGAGACTTTTCATTTTCTTGCAAAAAAAAAAAAAAAAAAAAAGGAATTAAACTTTTTACCTGGAATAATCTTTTAGCATTTAGATCAATACATGTTGGGTTTCTTGTAGTGGCAATAAGTAAACATCTTCTATGTAATTGAATTTGATGGATGAGTCGTTCCATAGCTGGTAAGAGTGCATTATCTTGAGTATCTGCATATCGAGGGAAAAATAAATCCACATCTTCAAGAACCACTATTATCCAAAAAAAAAAAGAGGATAGAGTGAGATTTTTTTTTTTTTTCAAAGGGGAAGAGATACTTGCCTATATTTGGTGTACCATTCATCACTTTCCAGGTTATCCTGTCGAAACCCAATGCCAAACGACCATCATAGTCAGAAGCTAAATCGCCCAGTGTTGTGCGCCAAATCTAAAATAAATAATAATAAGCAAACTAAGTAAGTTGGAACTTTTTTCTTTTCGTCAAGAATGTTACCTTCAAATCGTATTCTTCAGATAAAATGTCAAGACATTTTGATTTGCCTAGTCAGAGTTAAAAAATAATAACAATATATGAGCTTCATACCATTTTTCTCTTTTCTTTTGAACGTACCTACACCAGCATCGCCATGGATAAGAATGGTATCTGCCGTGTACTGATCGTCTTCGTTAGATCCAAAAGCCAGTTGAAATAATTGGACAAGTCTATTTATATCAAAAAAAAAAAAAAGGAATCCATCAAAGATACGTATAAGTTAGAGGTTTATGAATAATACCTTTCACCTTGATCGCCATAACATTTGCTAATGTAATCTGTCATGTTCTTATTTTCAACAAAATAAAAAATCAGAAAGGAAAGGGAAAAAAAAAGAGTCAAATTTGATGAAAAACTGTTCGGAGTGCGTACAGTTTTTTTTTTTCTAGAAACGCGTTTACTTTTCTACACTTTTGATTAACGACTTATTTAAATTGAGCTTTGAACATATTTGTAGTGATCCTTTTTTTTTCTTTTTTTTTATATTACAGAAATGGGATGGATGCTGATGATTGATAATTGATGAGTGATTATTAATGATAGATTATTGAGAGAAAAAAAAAAGGAGATATAGGTGATTGATACATACTCTATAAGCACATATCCATTATCATCATCTATTGATTATTTTTTTTCTACTTACTACCTTTAGCAAAACTTGAATTTTAGGGTACTCATTCGTGGATCTTGAAAATATTACTCCATTTAGGATGATAGAGAAAAGGATGGCGATATGGATTAACCTTTTTTTAATTTACTCTATGAATATGATGACAGTTTATCAATTAAAAAAGGTAAATTGAAAGAAAATAGTTTGTTTTGTGTTCTGCTCAAGTTTGGCGCGATGATAGTGATTATTGAACGAGAAAGAGAAAGGCAAAAATTGCTCACCTATTTGTATGCAGCATAAAAAATGGAATGGATTTTTTTGGATTTTACAGCCAAAATTTTCAAATTCCTCAGCTAAATTTTTGCTGTAAAACTAAATCGTCGAGGGTACATCAGGCAATTTTTGGAAAAATCGATGAAATATTTTAGTGTTTTATTGCATATTAGCTGGAAAGATAAGTGATGAAATGGTATTAGATGATATTAAACTACTTTTTTAAGAGGAATCCAATGGTGGTCATTTTATTCGATGATGATCATTATTGGATGAAGGATGACGATATTGACTTTTATTTTTTAATTTACTCTATAAATTGGGAGGTAATCTATAAACTGCTATTAATGCAATTGAAAGAGAATGGTTTCATGTATACTCAGTTCGAAGTTGATGCGATGATGATGATTTCTGAGCGAGAAATGAAAAAGACCAATTTTGCACTAATGCAGGATGAACATATTAAGATAGGTTTCTCCATTTTTATAGCCAAAAAGCTACCCAGACAGATGTTTGCTGTAAAAAATCCATCGTCAGGGAGTGTCAAAAGTAAATCGAAAGGGGGGGGGGTGAGAGTAAGAATTCTGAAAAAGAGTCAAATATGACAAAAAATGCCAACTGTTCGGAGTGTATTACCACCACATCATAAAGTTAATGATTTGATTCTTATTATGAATGACGATGAATGATGATAATGATGATGTTTAATCACTAAGTTAAAGAAAGATAGAATTTGATACAGTTGAAAATAAGAATATGAAGCATAGTTTATATGCCAAATGCTTTCTTTTTTTTTTTTAAGTGAAAAAGGGGAACAAAAAAAACTAACCAATCAGAATGATATGCTAACGTCGTGTAACATTATTTAGAGTGTACGCACAAAAGGGGAATAGATTTCAAACGCAGGTCTTTTTTTTTTTTTTTTTTTTGTAATCCACCTCCTTTTTTTTTTCTTTCACTTTTTCTTTCATCTTGCTATATTCATTTGTATTATCGCTGTTTCTTTTCTCTTTTACTCTTATATAGAATAGAAAAACAGTGATTCATGTCAGGGATGTTAAAGACAGGGTTCGTTGCAGTAAAAGAAGATGGTCTTCGCGCTTGGATGTGGGCAAAAAGGTTTTTACGACTACACGACCAAGGACTTGAATTTCATAGAAATGAAGTAAGTAAATTTTTCTACTTTTATTTATATATAAACTAAGCATTCCTTTTTTATTATAGCAAGGAAATAACTGTGTGGCCCTGGTATTCTTAGATACAATTCAAGCTGTAACTAGAACTGATCTCAAACCTTATTGCTTCGAATTGGTTACAAAGGATAAGACTTATTATATCGCGTGTAAAAGTGATGAAGAACTTTATTCTTGGATGGATGAAATTTACAATGTAAGTTTATAAATATACGTATATATTTATATATATATTTATTATATATAAATCATTTATTCTTTCTTTCTTTCTTTTATTATTATTATTATCTTCTTTAGAAATCCTCGGTTGGTGCTTCTGGTCCTACCAACTTTGTTCATGAAGTTCATGTTGGATTTGATCCTATTACTGGTGCTTTTACGGTAAGAAAGGAAAAAAAAATATTTTTTTTTTATTTTATTTTAATTAATTATTTCTTGGAATATAGGGTTTACCTGATCAATGGACAAAATTACTTCAAGGGTCTGCTATTACTGCAGAAGATGCTGCTAAGAATCCTCAAGCTGTGTTGGATGTCCTTGAATTTTATACCGAACAAACCAAACGTGAAGCTGAAGAATATGGTGAATCAAATCTACGTGGTGCTGTTGAAAGAATGAGTGATGACAGATGGGCTGCTCTTGTTCGTGAAGCTAAATCATCTCCAACCACTCCTATACCCACTCCTCATCGACCTGCTCCTGCTCCTCCTGGTCAAAATATCAATTCAGCTTCTCAACAACGACCTGATCGCAATATGAATGATATGATGGATGATCTCTCTGTCAATCAACGTCCTAATGTGCCAAAACTTGAACCTCCAAGATCTCCAAATACCAATGACCGAATGCCTCCATCACCTGTAAGATTCAAATGATAGAATTGCAGACCGTTCCATTTCATTTACCTTTTTTATTTTATTTTAATATTATTGATTAGAGTGGTTATCCTAGATCACCTCGTGATGTTAGCCCAAGGAAACCTAATTACCCAAGACCTGAACCATCTCCCTCTCGTTCTCAAGGTACAAACACCCAAAAAGTGCCAATGCGTGGAAGCAGTATCTCGACTTATGATAACGACCGAATAGCTCATGAACGAGAAAAACAACGTCAACTTGAATATCGGGAAAGAGAACAAGAAAAGGAACGAGAACGACAAAAGGAACGTGAAAAAGAAAGAGAACGACAAAAGGAACGCGAACGGGAAAAGGCTGCTGCTCAAGTATCTACCAAGAAGAAGGTTGAACAACGTATTAGTACAATGACAGAAGCTCAAATCATGGAAAAGTTACGTAAGTAATCATATGAAAATCAATATATATATATATCCTCACATTCTTTTTTTTTTTTTTGATATATATATAATATTTACAGGATCCGTTGTTACTAAAGGTGATCCCAATGAATTATATAAACGTTTAAAACGTGTTGGACAAGGGTAAGTTAAACAGAAATTAAATAATAAGAATAATAATAACATTTATATATCTATATTATTAGTGCTTCTGGGTCTGTCTATGTTGCTGTTTCATTGGCAACCAATACTAAAGTAGCCATCAAACAAATGGATTTGGCAAATCAACCTCGTAAGGAACTAATTGTCAATGAAATTTTGGTGATGAAGGAATCGCAACATCCAAATATTGTGAATTACTTGGATTCATTCTTAGTAAAGAATGCTGATTTATGGGTGATCATGGAATACATGGAAGGTGGTGCTCTTACTGATGTGATTGATAATAATACTATGACGGAACAACAAATTGCTACCGTTTGTCTCGAGGTAATATATAAATATAATTCTGAATATACAAACTATACTGATATCTTCTTTTATCATGTTAGACTACTGCTGGTCTTCACCATTTACATGAACAAAACATTATCCATCGTGATATTAAATCAGATAATATCTTGTTGAATGCTCATGGTCAAGTGAAAATCAGTGATTTCGGTTTTTGTGCAAAGTTGACTGAAAATCGTAGTAAACGTGCCACTATGGTTGGAACTCCTTACTGGGTAAAGCAAAAAAAAAAAAAAAAAAAATGAAATAAAAAAAAAAGATTTACTCATATACTATGATTTTAATTATAGATGGCTCCTGAAGTTGTGAAACAAAAGGAATATGGTGCCAAGGTTGATATTTGGTCTCTTGGTATTATGGCTATTGAAATGATTGAAAATGAACCACCTTATTTGGACGAAGAACCTTTGAAGGCCCTTTACTTGATTGCTACCAATGGTACACCTACATTAAAGAATCCTGAAAAACTTTCTCGTGAACTCAAGAGTTTCTTGGCCGTTTGTTTATGTGTGGATGTACGATCTCGAGCTACTGCAGGTGAATTACTTGAACATGAGTTCCTCAAAAAAGCTGGTCCTCTAGATATTTTAGCACCTCTTTTGAAATTCAAGTCATCTTCAAGGCATTAATTTAGTTTTTTTTTTTTTATCTCACTTTTTTTTATGCCATTTAAGTTTATTTAGCTATCATCATGCTTCCCTCACTCTTATTTATGATCAGTACTTTTGTAGATTCGCCTTATGTTTCCTTTGTGAAAATGAAATAAAGATTTTATTTGACAGTGTTTTCAAATTTTTTTATAGGGTCACAAGGAAAATAGTTTCCTGATGCTATAAAATAAAATATCGTACTTTACCGAAAGGGATGTCGCATTACCACTTTTTCATATATCGCTCCAGAGATGTCATATATGCCAAAACATATTGATTGATGGTGATTGCCTCAGATGATTCTTTTCAGCAGGCCATATTTGAATACGTTGACTAAATATATGTATTTCCTTTTTCTGTTATTCAAAATCTCTTATACTCAATGGAACTATCGCCACTCCTTTTCTTTTTTCTCTTGTATTTAATTTAGATTGTACGTTCAACTCTTTTTCTTCTGTCATTCTCATTTTCTGTCCTTACTATATTTTTCATTTCCTATTTTTGCGACATTTTATTTTTGTATTTGACAGTCCGCTTACAACTTTTTCTTGCATCCAATTTCTTTTTTTTTTTTCGTCTTCTTTTTTTTTCTTTTTCTTTTGATTCAACAAAGAATATGGATGCTTCTAAGGATGTTGGGATGGATATAGGTAAATCAAGTGAATAAATATGTTTAATACATGTTCTCTCTCTCTTTTTTTTTTTTGTTATCTATCAAGAACTCACTTATTCTTCTTTGTAGACATGCCGGATGCCGAGCTAGGGATCAATGATAGACAAACAACAGAGAAAATTGACAGTACAACTACATCAACTATGCCAATCAACGAAACAGACGAAAATTATTATGCACAACGTTTTACTCGACCTAATGCTTTATTTTTATATGGACTTGAAAGTATGAGTACCGAAGATATCCAAACTTATTGCAAAGACACTACTTTGAAAAAGATCGAATGGATCGATGACTCATCTTGTAAGTTGTGAAAACCAAAAAAAAAAAAAAAGGAATCCATTTAATCTCATCTCATCTCATGTTCCACTTTTTATTTTTATAACAGGTGTATTGGTGTATGAAGACGAATCTAATGCCAACGATGCTGCACACAAGTTACTTGCACAACCACCATTAAACACTGAAGGCAGTTTGAGCAGCACTGATCTTTCCAAAGCAAAACCCTTTGAACGACCTACGCATGACAACGATAGTAACACCACAGCCGACAATGACGCAGTACCATTGATACGTCCTCCTGTCTTACCCAAGATAGACACACTGTATATCCGTATGGCGACTGACAATGATATCAAGACACGTGGATCTAGAGAACGAAGTAGATACTATTTGTTACATGGGGAACCTGATTCTAAACAACAACGATCAACAAGCAATAAGCCTTTGTCTATTTTGGATCGTCTTGGATCAAAAGTGCCACCATTATCATCACGTCGAGGATACCGATATGATGAGGATAGCAAATACGATTCACAACATCGACGACGAGGGCGACGAGGACGTTATGATGGCAATGACGATGGCTACCGCCGATCTCGACGTCGATCCATCTCACCCAACCGTACAAATGATGATGACAACAACAAATATATTGATAATGGAGACGAAAGTGCAGCTAAACAAGATGTCAAGGATGACGACAAACCCATTGAAATTCCAGAACATCTACGTGGCCGTTTGGGGAATTTATCTTAGTCTTCTTAATTTAGCATTTTTATTTTATATTTATATCTGTTGCTAGTAGAATGTCACTTACCATTACTTGTATATTTTTTTTTTATCAGTCATCCTCAATAAAAGAAAATAATGATAATCAACGTCCACATCATTACACAATGTATGGTTACAACCTATTCATATTGATAAATACACATATTTTTTCTTCTTCTTTATTTTTATATTGACAATGATGACTACACACACACAATAATAATAAAAACTTCCTACTATACTACAATCAACAAAACAAAGCAACTAAACTAACCATAAATAAACTCTACTACTAAAATCAAAAGGCGTTTCGGGTTCAACCAAGGATTTGGATCTTGATGGCATTATCCCTTCCGTCCCGAGCATGTTCAAAGGCCTTGACAGCATCTTCCAAAGGATAAGAATGAGTAATCAGGGGTTTGACATCAATGGCTCCTGAAGCAAGCATCTTGACCGCCATAGGGTAGGTCTATATATTAAATAAAGATAAATATAAAAGCTGAGTTTTTCATCTTTGTTTGATCTGTCCTTCCATCATTACATATACACAGTAGTATCTCCTTTTTTCTTTTTTTTTTTTGGATGACTTACGTTACAATAGCGGAAAATACCTTTAATATCCACTTCTCTAGAAGAGATTTCAGAGATAGGAATACTTTGGACTTGAGCACCCATACCAACTAGAACTACACTTCCACCATTCTTGGTCAACTATTATCCATCAAACCAAAGAAAATCATTGAGTGAATTATTCTTATCTTTATCATTTTCTTTTACCAAGATAGAGGTTTGCACACAAGTTTCAGCACCAGAACAATCAATCACCACATCACTTAACTCTTCAGTTTCCAATATCTTTGCAGCAGTACGACGAGAATATTCAATATTGGGTTCACCTTGTTGAGGACGTTCTAATAAGACTTGAGAATCTGTACAATATGTTTTTGCAAAGTCGAGACGAGAAGCAGTGATATCTATAATAATACTAAAAAGTTTAGCAAAACTCTTGCATATAAAAACTATCATGATATATCGTTACCTGCAATGGTAATATGAGCAGCACCAGCAGCTTTGGCAGCAGCAGCACATAAAAGTCCAACAGGTCCAGCACCAAAGATAAATACACGATGACCAGAACGTACATTGGCACGTCGACAAGCATGAATACCCACTGAAAGAGGTTCAATCAAGGCACCTTCTTCCAATGAAACATGATCAGGTAATCTATCGATAGAAGAATATCAATTAAAACACTATATAAATATATATATACCGGTTTGAAGAGTCAATAACAACTTACTTGTAACAAAAGTCGGCAGCATGACGGTAATAATTACAAAGAGTACCATCAAAAGGAGGAGTAGCGGCACTATGATGAACACAACAAAATTGGTCAGTCCAATATATCAAAAATATATATATATATTTTTTGGATATACTTACAATTCCATTTCAGGACATAAATTATAACGACCTTGTTTACATTGTTCACACATACGACAAGCAATACCGGGTTCCAAAGCAACACGGTCACCTACTTTGAGATGAGTCACGCCAGGACCAACAGCAGCAATCACACCAGCAGATTCATGACCTAGAACCATAGGTTTCTTTACAATAAAAGTACCAACACCACCACTAAGCCAGTAATGGACATCACTACCACAAATACCAGTGGCCTTGATATTCACCAAAACATCTAAAAAAAAAAAAAGAGAGTCAATGAATATTTCATAGACAAACAATAATTATATTTTTACCTCCATGACCAATTTCAGGTACTGGACGGTTTTCCTATAAGAAAGAACATTGTCAAACACCAGTTCATTTGGCAGAACAAAAGACTTACAAAAACAATGTCAAGAGGTTTGTTTAGAACAACACAACGATTCACTTGATTAGCAGCCATGATAGAAGAAAGGATAGAGAGAGAGAGGGAGGTGTATATGTGTGTGTACGAAAAAGAGAAAACAAACAAAAAAAAAAAACGAACGGGTTTTTATATAATTTTCTTCCCATCCAATGTCCCCGGGCATTCAAAAAAAAAAAAAAAAAAAAAAAAAAAAACTGTAACAGTGGGGAAAAAAAAAAAACTTTTGATTACCTGTTTTGACTCTATCACTAGGCCCGTTACTTTCCTTATTTGTTATTTAAACTGAAAAAGGCAAGAACTACAAGAATAGATAATATTCCGAGAGAAGGCCTCTGAACAAATTGAATTTCTCCTCTTTTCCGTTTTATTTTCCTATTGGATGATCTCTTCTATTTAGTCCCGCCAATGAAGTTGATGCTATGATGATGTGGGAACTTGATCGTCCATTATTCTTTCCCTTCCCTTCCTTTTTTTTTTTTCTCATCTCTCTTCAGTCAGACTTTTTTTTCCATGATCGTAAGATGCTGGCATCATCGTTATCATTATTGATGGGTTTTGATTGAATGTTGTATGATATTGTATTTTATGATGTCATATTATTGGTGGTTTCGCCGAGCGGAAGATGAAGCTTGTGAGCTATCTCCATGGTTCGAATCATCTTGTTTTCTTTGGTGGAGACGGAAATTGAAATTTCCCAGAACACAACCGAATCTTGGCAACTTTTTTTTTTTTCTCTGTCTCTTTCTCTTTTATAATACATTAATACTCTTATAGAAAACAATGTCGTTTAATGATTTGGAACAAGGATATGGATCATCAGGATCTCCAAGAAACAATCGACAAGGTGTTATCCACTTACCAGGTGAGTAAAAAGAAAAAAAAGAAAAAGAAAAAGAAAAGGATTATTAGTATTAATCCGATATCAATATTTCCCATTGAATTGTTTTGAAACAACTCGATTGTTATAGATGACGATGAACATGAATACAAAAGTTTAGTTCAACGAGTATCACAACAAGTATTTCGTATCAATGGGAATATTACCAGCATAGAACGGTTAGTCAATTTTTTGGGAGGACCAAGAGATACAGCTGACGTACGCAACAAGTTGTAAGTATCACAAAAAAAAAAAAAAAAGAAATAACAAGTGACATGATGTTTTTATTTGTTATGATATTTTAGACATGATGTGACAGAAGCGACCAGGGAACTTATCAAGGACTCAACCAATGATATCAAATCTCTAGCGCAATATCAAACGGTGGATGGTCGAAAATCGGTAAGGTTTGAAACAAAAAAGATGGTTAGGTTATTCACTTTTTATTATTATTATTATTTTAGCGTCAACGAAAATTAGAACAACAAAAATTATCCAAAGATTTCCAAAAGGTACTAAGTGATTTTCAAAGAATTCAACGATTATCAGCAAGCAAGCAACGAGAATATGTAGATAAGGCCAAGGCGACAACTGCTATGTTACAATCTCAAGTTTCGTAAGTATATCTTATTTATTTTGTCTTTTTTTTTTTTCTTATTTTTTTTTTCCTTTCTTTTTGGATAGATTGGATGAAGTAGCTGGAGCAGATGATCAAGCATCATTGGCTGACGATACACAACGACGTATTCAATTACAAGCTCTGGACAATGAAATCGAATACAATGAAGTTTTGATCACTGAACGGGAAGGGGAAATTCAAGGAATTGAACAAGGTATCAGTGAATTGAATGAAATCTTCCGTGATTTGGGGATGTTAGTTAATGAACAAGATAGTGGCATTCGTAAGTTTTTTTTTTTTTTTTTAAAAAAATGATCATTCTATAACAATTCTCTTATATTACCTTTATTATTGTTATTAGAAAGCATCTATGGAAATGTGATCAATATTGCTCAAAATACTCGACAGGCAGCGGATGAACTTACAACAGCGAATCGACATCAAAAGAATGCAAGGAAAAACATGTGCTGCTTCTTATTAATCATTGCTGTGGTCGCCTCCGTTTTGGCTTTGATTATTGTTGTGGCCAAGTAATCATGTAGTTTGTATTTGATAGTTTTTTTTATTCCTTTTGTTTTATTTTTATGTTTCTCTTCTTTATGATAACCTCCAACCATTCATCATCATCTTTCATTTTTTTTTATTTACTTTATATGATATCCTCCCTTTTTTTTAATAAACCTTATCCTTTTTGATCGTATATATATATATATATATATATATTTCTCCCTCTCTCTCTCTCTCTGATTTACATATAATACTGATGCATGGAGAAGAGGATGTTGCTGTAGTCTTTTTTTTCTCTCTTGTAATTGAAGAAAATCCAGATATATGGAAATGAATGATATATAGGATCATGCAAAAAAAAAAAAAAGAAAGACACTTTGTTCACTACCGTACTTGACTTCCGTTATTCACAGACATGCACACACATTCCTATGTTTTGATGCTTAAAGGGCGATAGCCATTTTATTGAATATGTGCTAGAGATAAAAAAAAAAAAAAATAAGATGAAATAGATAAAATACATAAAGTCTAAACTAAATAAACTAAGCTACTAGAGATCGGATTGTTCCAAAGATAAAGACATGACCTTAGACATGTATTTCTTGTTGGCTTCATCATCAGATAACATCAAGTCCTTTTCCACATCACTTTCGTCGTCATCATCGAATCCAGTAAGTAAAGGATCATTTTCATAAATAGGAAGCATGTATCTAAAAAAAAAATGAGTTAATATTCCAAGATCAAAATAGCATGCTACACTTTTTTTTTTAATACCTTGGATCCTTCCAGAACTCAGCATCTTCAGATACAAATGCTTGAATACAACCTTTGATTTCCATATGACGGACCAAATTGGAGAAATCTTGCACTTTTTCACCACAAGAGAAGCATTTGGATAGAGAAGATTGATGTCGAATATAATTGATCAGAATCACGGTTCTGTAAAAATCATATCCCTTTTCTTTTCGTATGGCAGAGAGATCAAAGGCATGAGTTGTTTTCATGTGCAAGAGTACTTCCTTTGGTGAAGGTAGAACTTGATCATCAAATAGGCACATAGTAGGTTCCGAGACTTCTTCTTCCCAATCGGCCCATGATCTAGGTAGAAAAACAAATAACAACAACATTAGTCACGATTAGAAAACACATCAATCAATCCTTTTTTTTTTTTTTTTTTTTTTTTTTTTTTTTTTTTTTAACTTACTCATCTTTCTTTTCATCATCTGAATCAAAATGATCATGTTCAAAATTTTCCCAATTTTTACCAGGTTCCAAATAGTTGATGACATAAAAGCGATCATATTGACGGTTCTTGGATGCGATCTTGAAATGCTTCTTCTTACGCATATGCTTTCGTAAAACAGCTGGACTTGTGAAAGTTTTTTCACAATAAAGACATTGTAATCTATGCATATAATGTTTTAGTAACTACTGATATAAAATAGATGATTCGAACTTACTTTGTCAATTTTGTTTCCAAAAGATCCAAAAATTCGTTCACATTTACTAGATTGTCAGGTAGACCAATATTGAAGTTATGTTCGGAAAACATATGCTTGAAAAGTAGTGTTCTAAGTAAATAAATAAAAAAAAAAAACAAATAAATATATATATATAAGTTTTGATCTATCTAACTTGCCTTGAATCACACACAATTTTACAAAACAAACATTTCCGAGGTTGTTTCGAATCATATTCTCGTTCCCTTTGTTGTATCTTGAGGATTTCATTCTAAAGATCAATTATATATTTTAATCATCTTCTTGTTTATGATTGTTATTTTTTCTTACCAATTTTTCTAGTTGGATATCTTCACGGATCTTTTTATCCAAATCAGATTGACTAGGATCAATAACATAGACTAATAAAAATATATCAAATAGAATGAGTTTTATCAATATACATATATATAATCATTATTCTAATTTTTACCATCTGTATCCAATACCGCATGTTCTTGTAGAGTGTCACCTGTTCGTAATACACTTGCCCATCGAGATAAATAGGCGTCCAAGGCCATATACATATGATGCAAATTGAGAAAAACTAAAGAATGTTCAGTTTTCAAGTGTTGAACCAAAGCAGTAGTATCCAAAAAGGGAGCCACGGCCGAACAATCATCAAAAGGACAGTTGATCACCAGAGTAATATGGTAAGGAGGAAGAGGTATATCAATAGGATCCACTTGATCTTCGTCTTCTTCTTCTACATCAGAGTCATCGTCTTCGGGTAAATGGTAAGGATTTGTTTGAGAAAGGATCTTGTCATCAAAAGAAGGTTTAAAACTAAGATTTTGGAAGGACTTTGACAAAGATTTTGACATGGACTTGCTGGTACTACCACTAGAGAAGGCTAATTGTTTAGATTGTCGACGTCGATAGTTCTTGTTGCCATGAGAATGAGCTATTGGTTTATGGTTACTGACAGTATGCCATTCGTTGTCCGACATGATCAATAGTTTCAAAAGTAGATCGAACGAAAAGAATCAGGAAGAAAAAAAAAGAAAGAAAGAAAAAAAAATGGAAAATAACAGAAAAAAAAAAAAAAATAAAAAATATAGTATCTCCGCTGAATGACTCTACGATACGCAGCATAGAACTATTTTGCATCAATCTATTCAACAACATATATATATATATATATAAAGAGGGACAATATCAAATACGAGAAGTAATAAATATGAAGAATATTTTATTGAATAAAAGAAATAAACTTGACCCTGAAACCAGTTTAATCGAAGAGACCGAAGCCCATATCCTAAAAAAAAAAAAATACCTTGATCAATAATCACTCTCATAATATATATATTTATATGTTCATTCACTTACTTCGTCAGATTCTTCCTTTTCTTCTTCCTTGGCTTCTTCCTTGGCTTCTTCAGCAGCACCACCAGCAGCAGCACCACCAGCAGCGACAGCGGGACCAGCACCAGGAGCACCGACGTTCAAAAGAAGTTCACCGAGGTTTTGACCTTGGAGAGCCTTGGCGTACAAAGAGAACCAGATAGGTTCAACGTCAATACCAGCAGCCTTGACAAGAGTTTGGAGCTTGTCAGCCTAATTATATATATATATATATTTGAAAACGAATAATGAGCAAAAAAAAAAAAAAAAAAAAAACCGGTATAATGTCGTGTATTTCAAATGGTCACTTTTTCTTTTTTTTTTTCTATTGTTCACTTACGGTGATTTCAACATTATCATCTTGGAGGATGAGAGCAGCGTAAACGACGGCGAGTTCGGCAGACATGCTATTTTAATAAAAATAAAAAAGATTTAAAGATTAACAAGGGATCCAAAGTAACATAAAGAGATGGGATACGATAGATGAATCATCGGGATAGATGAGATATGATAGAAGTAAATAGAATGGGAGGATGGATGGATGGATGGATGGATGAATTTTTTTTTTCTAGTAGGGCTACATACGTTTACAGTTGTAAAAGGTAAAAAGGAGGAAGAACTCAAAAAATTGAGGGACAGCTCCCAGTTAAAAGGAAACGGTGGCCATCGAGAGAAAAATGGGACAGACAAGTCACGTTTCCTTTTTTGGATCCCTTCTCAAAAAAAAAAAATTGACCTTTATCAACATACAAAATATCATAATGGAGATCCTATTTACGTTTTTTTCTTCTTTCTTAATATCCATCATCCATTATTCTCATCCGTAGAGATGAACATCGACTATAAAGTATTATTATAAAGTGTCATAGAATAATAATTTTTGATATCGAATATTCGTACTCAGTGCTGCCTTTCAAATGAATTTGATAGTAGATGATATGGTAGAAAAGCTAAGATGGATTGGAAAAGAAAAAGAAATCTTCAGAAGTTTTTTTTTTTTTTTTTTTTTTTTTTTTTTTTTTTTTTTTGCATGGATTCCCAAAAAGAGAAAATTTAAGTTTCATACAAGATTTATCGTGGCGGGTTTACGTTGATCCTGAAAGGAAGAGAATATTTTCTCCACTTTTTTTTTTTCGCTCCGAATTTCTTTTCTTTTCTTCTTTATCTCTACTTTTTTTTTTTCTTCACTTTCTAATGACACAATCACTTGCTTCCGGTGCTGAACTTATTGCAACTTCACTCAAACAACAAGGTGTAGATATTATATTTGGTATTGTCGGTATTCCTGTTGTGGAAATAGCGGATGCTTGCCAAGCTCAAGGAATACGCTTTATTGGTTTTCGTAATGAACAATCCGCTGCCTATGCCGCTTCTGCTTATGGTTATCTTAGTGAACGTCCAGGTGTTTGCTTAACTGTGGGTGGACCCGGAGTGGTACATGGTTTAGCCGGTTTATTGAATGCTCAACTTAACTGTTGGCCTATGGTGATGTTGTCAGGCTCTTGTGATACAGATCAAATTGATATGGGTGCCTTTCAAGAACTTGACCAAGTAGAAGCCTGTCGCTCCTATTGCAAATATGCTTCTCGTCCTACCAGTGTAGACAAGATTCCTTTTGTCATTGAAAAAGCCATTCGTACTTCAATGGTCGGTCGTCCTGGCCCTACCTATGTTGACTTGCCTGCTGATTTTATTCAATACCCTATTGAAGATAGATCATCCATTCAAGCTCTTCAATTACCCAAGGTCACTGCAAACGTCAAGTCTCAGGCTGATTCTCAATCCATCCAACAAGCCTTACATTGGTTAGGTAAAGCCAAACAACCTCTGATAGTCATTGGAAAAGGGTAAAATAAAAAAAAAGAAAAGGAAATACGACAGAACAAAAGAAAAAGAAACTTATCTTTTTTTTCTTTCTTATGTAGTGCTGCTTATGCTCGTGCAGAAGAAGAATTGAATCAATTGATCAATCATACACAAATTCCATTTTTGCCAACACCAATGGGTAAAGGGGTAGTGTCTGATCAACATCCTTTATGTGTATCAGCTGCTCGGTCCAAGGCATTGAAGGAAGCAGACGTGGTTTTACTGGTAGGTGCTCGTTTGAACTGGATTTTACATTATGGTCAATCTCCCAAATGGTCTACCAACGTCCGTTACATTCATATCGATATCCATCCTGAAGAGTTGGGAAACAATGGTGCTACTACTTTACCACTGGCTGGTGACATCCGATTAGTTCTGCAACAACTTTTATCATATAAACAACAATTGGTTTCTCTGTCTTCCAATTCTTATGTTACTGGTCTTTTAGAAAAAGTGAAAGAAAATGTGGCCAAGACCCAAACAAGTGGACAAATCGGTGATGATAAGGCAGTATTGACATATCAAACAGCATTCACTGTCATCAAGAAGATCCTTCCTCAACAAGTTATTTATGTTAGTGAAGGTGCAAACACAATGGATATTGCTCGATCCTTCTTTGATGTTTATGAACCTCGTCGTCGATTGGATGCTGGTACTGGTGCTACCATGGGTGTTGGTATGGGTTACGCCATTGCTGGTAAGTTAAAACTTATTATTGATAATTTGACTTTATTTAGAATATTCATCTTTTTTTTTTTTTACATTGTAGCACAATGTTATTATCCAAATGACCGCGTTATTTCTATTGTTGGTGATTCTGCATTCGGTTTTAGGTAAAAATAGAAACATGAATAAAAATAATGAACTTAACTTTTTATTTTTTTTTATTAGTGCTATGGAATTAGAAACAGCCATTCGATCAAAGATCCCACTACTCATTATTGTCATCAACAACAATGGTATTTATCATGGCTTGGATTCTAAAGATTATGATCAATCTAGAAACAGCAACATATTGCCTTCAACCTCTCTCTCTCCCGAAACTAGATATGACATGATTGCTGAAGCATGTGGTGGAAAAGGTTGGTTAGTTAAGAATCGTGTGGAATTGGCCGATGCATTGAACAAAGCCTTGGTTTTGAAGGATGACACGTGTGTGATCAATGTCATGATTGCTCCAGGTGGAAGAAAGAAATTGGTAAGGAGATTGCGCTATATTGAATTGGCATTTACTAGTTTTTTTTTTTTTTTTTTTTTTTTTTTTTTTTTTTTTTGTAGAGTTTTGGATGGATGAACAAGGCACAAAAATCAAAAATATAGATAAATGAAAACTCAACACTATATATATATATATATTTCCCTTGGCTATAGATTTTAAATATATTCTTCCCTTCTATATCATGATTATCTTTTTTTTGATTCCCTTCTCCTTTTCCTTTTCTCTACTGTTTTCTTATTTGTCAATAAATTTTATGTTACAATGTTTAGTTAAACTATTCTTAATGATGACTGGTGATAATGATGATGATGAAGGTAATGATGATTTGGAATGGTACTATATGTAATAATGTATGATGATGATGAATTTTGGCTCCAAAGAGAATTTATTACAAAATGATGTGGTAAAAAAATCAAACAAAATCATTTATTGCAATATCACCTAGTTATACAACTAAAGACTATACAGATTCATAACGTTCCAGTGCAGCAGCTAACAATTTCTTTTGGTACTCAATATCCGATTTGATATATTCTTTAACATGTACAGAATCCACAGAAATAGAAGCTACAAATAAAAACAAAAATAAATAAGACAAAATCTATATGAAGAAACTATACATAATTGATACTTACGTTGAAGAGCAGGTCGACTTACAACTTCCAACCCATTGGGTAATGCCATGATGGTTTGTCCTATACAAAATACAAATCAACTTTTCTAAATTCTCTTTTTTTTTTTTCATAATAATCCAAAATTAATTTACCTATACGACTTTCATCTTCAATCAAGGTCATAAAAGCTTCTACAACAGTTTCAATCTTGGTTCTTGCTGAATTTATCACAAGTTTTTCAAAAGGAGTAGCAGTAGTGGAATCATCATCAGGATGTAAGGATGTAATCAGATCAGTCTCGACCCAATAGGGACATACAGCATTTACCCTCACATTACAAATAGAAGGTAAAATATCGAAAGCACGGGTATAACCAACGACAGCATGTTTACTTGCCGTATAAGGTGCGAGAGAGCTAAGAAGAGAAATCAAATGGTATTATGTTAGAAGATACAAGAATCATTGAGTCATCTATCCTATACATCATATTGAATAATACTTACATTCCACCGCTATGGAAGCCAGCTACCGATGCAGTTGATACAATCACACCACCACCTCGACGCGCTAAATGGAGGGTTGCTACCTTGGTACATTTGATCACCGATGTAACATTGACATCTATCATCCTTTCATCTTGAAGATCTATAAAATGAAACAAATCTATATGAGCACATCCCCAACATAATAATAATAATAATAATAATAATAATAATAATAATAATAATAATATTTTTTCGAATGTTGGTGTTTTTATATACACTTACCATTCAAATCAGTGAATAAGTTGTTTGAATTGGAAGCAATACCAGCATTTAGGATGGCTATCTATAAAATTATGTACAAGATTAACAACTATATCCTTTCCACATTGGTTGTATTTTATTTTTACTTACATCTACACCACCAAATTCCTTTTCGGCCAACTGGAACAGAGCGACAATTTCCTTGTACTTGGTAACATCAGCATGAATGTAAGCTGCGCGTTTACCATCACTACAAAGTAAATAAATAACTATTTAATCCGAGTCATTCTCTTTATATGAGTTTGTAATACACACACACATACGTATTGTAAGAGGCAACCAAAGCTTCACCTTGACTATCCAGAAGATCTCCAATAACGACATTAGCCCCTTTTTCAATGAGGGCATCAGCAACAGCCTTTCCAATACCACGAGCAGCACCTGTTAACACAGCAGTTTTGCCTTTAAGAGTTGGACCAGTCATGACAAAGTGAATAAAAAATAATAATAATAATAAAAAAAAAAAAAAAAAGGAAAGAAAAGAGAAACAAAGAAGAAGACAGCAATCCAGAAATTCTTTTTTTTTTTATGCACCGCCTTAAAAAAAAAGTGTGTGAAAAGGATCAAGAAAGGTGAAAAAGTTGTGACTCAGCAGCATAGATACATATGAGTAGACGATCGCATGAAAAACGTTTATTTTCAATTGTCACTATATCTCTTTAATGCTATGTCTAATTCTTTTTTATATTGTTCTACCATTTCCACTTTATATATTTCAAGGGCCTTGTTAGTAGCTTCATTGACTGTTGATTCTAAAAAGAAGAAATGGTATGATTAGTATTAGTAAATAAATAAATTTAATATCATGTCGTGGGAGTAGAACCAAAAAAAAAAAAAAATAAAAAAATATCATACCAAATACAGCTGGACGCGGGAAATCACTCACGCCATCTGGTAAAACTAATATTGCCGCACCTAGTTTTCAAAAAAAGAAAAAAAAATATTATCTTCAAAACATATATTCAATATATCGTACCTGATTTTGTAGTGTTTTTTATGCAAATATCTATAGCTTGTATCAATGTCTTCATAGATGCTCGTGGTAAAGCATCAGCTACTTTCCAATAAGGTTCAATACTTCTGTCACCAAGATCAGTCATCAAATCAGTATCTACCGTACAAATAAGATGTATTGAGATATTGAAATTATATAAGAAAAGTAAATTTACCTATCCATGCTGGGCAAACTTTTTTTTTTTTTTTTGGATATCACCACAATCATCATCATCAATAAAAATGTTAACATCTTTTTCTAATTTCTTTTTTTTTTTTTAAAAAAAAAAATCTTATTTTTCATTACTTGCATTGATTCTGACGTTGCACACCTAAAAAGGAAGAAGTTAAAGTCTGATCTGTCATCATTATTTATCCATAAAAATATATTTACCTTGGGAAGAAAATCTAATGATCTTACCCATCCAATCACACCATGCTTAGCAGCATTGTAAGCACTCATAGCACTAGATGTATACGATAAAAAAAACATGAAAGGATATACCTCATACAATAATAATAAATTCTTACGGTGGTGTTTGAAATGAACAAGTGGATGCATTGATTATGATCGCACTGTCCTCCTTGTTCTTTGCCATATGTAATAAAGCCACTTTTGTTCCTATATATATATATATATATATATATTATTTTTTAGTTGATGATAATAATATGACCATTCATTACCCTTTACGACACCAATAAGGTCAACATTGAATATTGATTCTTCACGATCATCTGATGGATTGATTTAAAAAAAAAAAGTCAGTTGTTCCTTTTTTTTTCTTTATCTTTTCTTGTTTACCATCAAGGGGAGCAAATAACGTATTACTTGTAGATCCTATACCAGCATTCAAAAATGCTACCTATAAAGTGTTATATCCACCACGAAAATGTTTGTAAATGAGTATCTCTTATACACATCCATCATATCCTTTTTTTTTTTTTTTACATCCACTCGATTGAATTCTGATTCTGCGGTTCGAAATAGGTGTCTGTTATCTTCATAATGGGAGACATCAGTATGAACGTAAATTGCAACTTTGGCTCCAGCTCTAATAATTGAAAAGATAGCTGTAAGTAATAGAACAATTGTATTGTCATCCGTCATCATCATCCATCATCGCATATTATCCATCATCTCATCATCATATATTAACCATCATCATATATTATTCATCATCCTATATTTATCCATCATCCTATATTTATCCGTCATCACATATTACCCATCATCCCATCATCCCATCATCCCATCATCCCATCATCCCATCATCCCATCATCCCATCATCCCATCATCCCATCATCCCATCATCCCATCACCCCATCATCCCATCATCATCCATCTTCCCATCATCCTACCAACAGATGAATCATATATATATATATGATGATAACAAATCCAGTAGATTGATATATATATATTTCTTACTCTTCATTCATTTTGGCAACTAGTTTTTCACCTTCAGCATCTCTAATGTCTCCAATGACTATATTAGCCTTGCGTTGTCGATAGGTTTCTGCTACTGTTTTACCGATTCCTCTACTCCCACCTGTAATAACAATTGTTTTGTTTTCCATATATGTATATACTTTTGAAAGATAAATATATAATAAGATAAAAAAAAAAAAAAAAAGAAAGCTATAAATGTCATTTTTTTTTTTATTCCTTGAGGAAGGACCATCCAAAGAAAAGCGGAGATGAAAACGCAAACAAAAAGGCGACTTTTTTTTTTGATATATATATATTTTTTCCATTTTTCTTTTCACTTACCCTCTTTTACATCTACTGAAATACCTTGATAATACTTTTTTTATTATATTTCATCCATTTACAACATGGCAAGTACTATTAGTAATATACAACGCTTTTTTGGAAAAAAGACACCTGATGAACTGGTAGGTTGAAAAAGAGGAAACATGGAAAAAGAAGGAAGTCCAAAAAAAAGGATGTTGTTTGTATTGTGTATGTATTTGTTTGTTTTGTCAGCAGATGTCTCATATGAGTGGATAAGAGAAGAGTTACTTTGACTAATTCTATGTTTTTATTTATCTTTGTTAGGTTAAAAAATGGCGACAAGAAATCAGACAACAACAAAGAGCGATACAACGTCAAATACAGGCTATTGATATAGAGGAAGTCAAAGTCAAGAAATCAATCAAACAAGTGGCAAAAAAAGGGGATATCAAAGTATGCAAGATGTTAGCGAAAGAGTTGATACGATCACAACAACATAAAAACCGACTTTATACAAGTAAAGCTCAAATGAACTCTATTATTATGCAACTGGAACATCAACTTGGTAAGGACTATCTATCCTTTAGATTTTATCTTTTTTTTTTTTTATTCATGTATTTTTTTGATAATAGCAACACTCAAGGTAGCAGGAGCATTACAAAAAAGTGGAGAAGTGATGAAATTAGTCAATTCCTTGATACGATTACCTGAAGTATCTCAAGCTATGCAACAAATGTCAATGGAAATGATGAAAGCAGGGATTATGGATGAAATGATAGAAGATACCATGGAAACACTGGATGATGATGATATTGAAGAAGCTGCTGATGAGGAAGTCAATAGTGTGTTATTTCAAATTACAAATGGTAATAGATTATATGAATATTGATAAAGAGATACTAATCTTATTTTTTTTTTAGGTTTACTGGGTGAAGCTGGATCAGTTGGACCAGCATTGGAGAAGAAACAAGAAGAACCAGTGGAAGAAGAAGAATCTGAAGAAGAAGGTCCTGAATTGGAACTTATGCAAAAACGTTTACAGGTAAAAAAAAAAAATAGAATATATAATAAATGATGTTGTATTTAAATTATTTATTTTTTTATAGGCTTTGAAAGGATAATAGATGAAGAAGGAGATGGGATTTTACATGTATTGTTATTATTATTATCTATTTAGTTTTTTCATGATCGACTCAATAAAGTTTGTGTTTTGAAGTCCGTCTGCGTCAAACGATTTTGTCAAGTGTTCACTGAAAGTCTTGGCTCTCCTTTTTTCTCTTTTTTACTTCCTACTTTTTTTTTTTTTTTTCCTTTTGTATACAAATACCTAGTACAATACATATATATATTATATACATATACAAAAAAAAAAAATAGATTTATTTTATATATTTCCATCAATATCAATACACATACACAACTAGATAATGAGTGGCCTTGAAAGTAAGTAAAAATAAAATCTTGTTATCACCTTGATGAACTGATCTCTCTTTTTTACATTTAGAAAATCTATTCCAATTGAAGGTAAAAAAAAAAATAATAATAATAGAAATACTATACTTTTCTTACAATTATCTAAACTTATTTGATATAGTTTACAGCCAAGCAGCTAAATAAGCAATCTAAACGGTGTCAAAAAGATGAAGGACTTGAAAAAACCAAACTCAAAAAGGTAAAACAAAAAAAAAAGAAAAAAGAAAAGGGATGAATAATAATATGTTATTATCTAATAATATGTTTGATAAGGCTATACAAGATGGAAATATGGAAGGTGCTCGTATATATGCATCTAATGCTATTCGAAAGAAAAATGAAGCTTTGAATTTACTTCGATTATCCTCACGTATTGATGCAGTAGCAAGTCGTGTACAAACAGCAGTGACAATGCGGAAGGTAAAAAAAGAAAAAAAAAAAAGAACATGTGATTTGATTTTTTTAAATATGATAGGTAACGGGATCTATGGCTAGTGTAGTCAAAGGGATGGATAAAGCAATGGAATCAATGAATCTAGAGAAAGTAAGTAATAATACTTATATATATATATATATATATTGATAGATATTATTTTTATTAGATATCAATGGTGATGGATAAATTCGAATCACAATTTGAAGATCTTGATGTACAGACAGAATATATGGAAGGTGCGATGGCAGGAACAACAACGATGACAACCCCACAAAATGAAGTAGAAACTTTAATGCAACAAGTAGCTGATGAACATGGATTGGAAATGAATCAAGAACTTGGACGATTAGAACCTAGTTCTGTACTTGGTGAACAAAAGAAGAAAGAAAAGGATGAAGATGCTTTATTGACAGAAAGGTTGAAAGCGTTACGACAATAATTAGGGTTATATAGTTTTTGTGTTATATATATTAGCTTATATTTTTTTTTTTATGTGAATAAAACTTTTGTCCAATCAGAAAACATATTTTTTCATTCTTTATCATCTAACCATGTTTCAAACTTATCCATAGAAAATGAAAAAAACAGGCACACAGGTTTCGTTATTTGATCAAATCAGGGTTTGACTTTTTTTTTTTGCTTTTTAAGCTTGTGGCGGACTCAGAAAAGTCACAAGGCTTTTTCCTTTGTCTATTTTTTCTTCTTTTTTCTTTTTCTTCTCTCCCTTACTTTGTCTCCTTCTTCTTTTCATTTATTCCTTGACCTTCTTTCATTTTATCGTCTCCTTTTTTTTTTTTTACTGTTTTTTTTTTTCATTATAATGACATTCATCTCCATGTTCCAAGCTTTGGGTGGAATCATAAAGAGTTTGTCTCATGAATTACCTCCAGGACATCTTACTGACTTTGAAGACTCTTTACGTGGTTCTTGGTAAGTTCTCTTATTTTTTTTTTTTTTGATTTGATCTATTATATAATCATATAATTCATCTAATCTATATGTTAAATGAAATAGGTATATTTCACCAACACAACATGCTTTAGAATTATGTTTTTTAGTACCAACTTTCATTGGAGTGACAATATACTTTGGTAACAAGGCTTGGGGTAAAAAGTAAGTCAATTGATCTTAAAAAAAAAAAAGAACGGGGTATACTGGGGTAGATCAATGATCATAAAGAAACAAACAAACAAAGGAGTCCCTTACTTTTTTTTTTTGATAAATTGATGCTAATTCTTTTTTTTTACTTTTTTTTTTTTTTTTTTTTTTTTAGTACTGAAGCTTATAGACTGATGAATTCTAAACATGATGTACCAAAGGCATCTATGTTGGAACGGATCTTGTTAGTGATGATGGTTGGATCATTTGGCATTACTTGTGTTCACAAGATGGCGACTCAAACTCTACTTTTTCTCATGCAGGTAAACCTTAGTTACTGTTTTGGGAGGTTGAATGATTCCGTCCAATGGACCGTGATGTCACATCTCCAAATCTGGCTTTTTTGAGTAACCATGAAATCTTTTTTTTTTTTTTTTTGATAGCCTTGTCATGCAAGCGCCCTACTATTGATTATAGTAATGATGTGGCCTTGGAAACAATATCCTTTGATCCCTCGATTATTATTGAATACTTATTATTATACATTATGGGGTGCCATTCTTGCCTTAATCTTTCCTGATTTACGTGATCATGATATGTTTGGCGAAGTATTTAATTTCTTTTTAGGTATTAAAAAAAAAAAGAAGTGTAATGATAGTTCCATATTGATGGTAACATATTAACTGATCATCATTTTTTTTATTTATTTATTTTCTATTGTAACAGAACATACACTTGTGTTGATCTTACCTTTATATATGATATCCAATCCTCGTTATGTAACGATTCCTCCATCATTTGATATGGCATTATTCTCTTTTGGTGTTTACGCCTTTTACCATACTCCAGTTCTTCATCTTTTTTCTTTATGGTCTGGTTACAATCTCAACTTTTCTCTTGGTCCCCCTGCACGTAAGTAAGAAAAACGAAAACAAGAACAAGAATAAAAAAAAACAAGGTTGATAAATTGGGGGAATTAGGAGACATAGATATATATATGTATAAAAGAGGAGTAGGATGATATTAGATATGTGATTGTGCATAACAATTAATCTATACTTGTTTTTTTTTTTTTTTTTTTGTTAGTGGGCTTTTTGATCGAAACTGGACCACATTACCGAAATATCATGTTTATGGCGGCGTTACTCAATATGTTCTGGACAAGATATTTAGTGATGGACAACTTTCATAATCTCATACGATGGACTCGACAACAAGTCAAATTGAAATCATCTTAGACATAGGGTTTTTACTTTTTTTTTTAGTTTTGCATAGTTAGTTTATGTTGATATTGAAAGAATAATAATAATAAAAGAAAAAAAAATGTTGTTTTATGTATATAGAAAAAAAAAAAAAAAAAAAAAAACTCCTTGAAAAAAAGATCAAATCTAACAATATAATAAAGGGGATAGTTTTGGATTGTTACCTATCCAACAAATAGCTCGTGAATAGTTGATTATTATCATTGTTAAACTGGGTTTATATTTACGCCCCTTCTTTTCTTTTTGGACATCCCCCCCTCTTTTTCTTTTTTTTTTTTTCTACGTTTTCTCTTTTTTCTTTTTTCTTTTTTTTTTTTTATTTTTATTTTTATTTCACTTTTTTTTTTTTTTTTTTTTTGTATTCTTTATTGTTGTACATTCAAAAAACTTATGCATGAACAATTAACCCTCTCGTTTGATGACAAGTTGGGTACTAGTTTTGCCGAGGACTTGATCTCTCAGTTTGACTTGAAACGGGATTTATTACATACTGTGGACTTTCTTTCAACTAAAAATCTTATGGAAACAGATACTCCATTTTCTTCCATGGACGACAACGTAACCTCATTAGATATCAACATGAATTCAGTACCGGAAAAAACAACTACCATGGCAACAAAGGAAGAAATAGAACAAGTAGTAGCAGACTCGACAAAGGAAGTACAAGAAAAGAGGGGTTCAATTATTTTACCTTCTACCTCATTGGACTTGTTACCGACTTGTGATACAACTTTACCTTCATCGCCACCACTAACGATGCAGAATCACCAACAACAAGAACAACATGAAACCAAAAAAGAAGATATAGAACTACCTTCTTCCATCACAATGAATATACTGTCCTCTTCTTCTTCTTATTCTTCCTCACCACCACCTACTCTTATTGACCGAACACGACGCCGGCAACAAAATAATCATAATCTTCTTCGACGTTCCTCAGCTTATTTGCGCCAAAAGTTTTTCTCGGCAGCATCAACACCTGCAGCACCTCCTACTCCAGTCGTACCCGCTCATGTATCTGATAGTCCTCATGATATGACAACAACTACTCTTCCATCAAAAACTACCACCACTGCCTCTCCTTTGGATGATACCCCTACAAAGACCCTCCATACAAACAACAACAAAACAAATGATGATAATACTGGATCAAGAACTCTTCCCATCGCTGAGAAAAAACAACATCAAAGTAGAGTTGGAAAACCGCCTAATTTGGGGACAATGACTGCTCCTTCTTCTTCTTCTTCTTCTTCTCCTCCTCCTCCTCATTCTACTTTGCCTCCTTGTTCAACTCCTATGATGACACCTTGCCAATATCCGCCCAAACCTCTTCGCTATTCACCTGTGGATCCTCCCAATGATCATCACCGTGTTTCGTTCCCCATCCTTTCCTCTTGGCGCAAACGATCTCTTCATGATCCAAGAAGACAATCTGAACCTATTATCTCGGCGGCACATATCAAAGGACGGCGATCCTTCTTTTTCCTCTGATTTCTCTTGTTTTGACTTTGGTTAGTGATTTTATTATTATAATTATTATTATTATTATTATTATTTTATTCAGTGATAGTTTTTATTTTTTATTTTTTTTTTATTTTGTTTTGTTGCTTATATACATATAATTCTACTATTTTATTACCTCCAATCCTATTATTTACATTCTTCATAATAAAAAAAAAATCGATACCTTCTCCATCTTACTTTACAGTTTGTTAATTAGACACTCCTTTTAGAACATAATCGATCTACCATTCAATTCAACTAAAAAGAGACAGGAAAATAAAATTGATGTATACGGAATGCATGGATAATATATGATTAATAATTGATCTTGTTATAGTATGATGGATCATCATATTATTATCTTGTATCATTTAACTATTATCATCATCACATCAAGATATCAGTTGTGCTCTGGTCTCCCATTGTGGCTCTCCATATTTAGTACATTCGAATTCCGATATCTTATAAAAGTGGGAAGATTTTAACATTCATTTTTTTTTTCTGAGCTGCATTATGAAAGTCATCAAATGCATTTGATACCTTTGTTATCTGCACCCACTACGCGAATAATAGTCGGATGATCCATGATGGATAATAATAATAATAATAATATAATATTGGTATGGGTGATGATTTGGATAATATTGATTTTCACTATTGAAGACGTTGATAATAACCAATGGCGATAATCATGATTCTTAAAAAAAAAAAAAAAATAGACATTACTTTGTTGACTTGTTGAGACTAATATTATCCATCACACGTTATATTTTATACCCATCATATTAATCATGATTACAGATTATCCATCATCACTTTTTTTTTCATTATTATTATAATACCACCATCGTTACCATCGATCATTCATTTTCTTGTTGTATCTATTGATCTGGTACTGAATCAGATGTGAAGCGAAAATTTTGTTTAACAACATCGTCTGAGGATCAAATAAAAGATATTTATTGTGTAGCATATCAACAGAATACTTTGTACTGGTAAGATCTACAAACGACATCGATCATCATGATCTATGCATTGTTTTTTGTACTAGGTGGGGTGGTGATCATTCATTTCAAAGCATGATCTTTGTTCTTTGATATTATTGGCTGACATGGGATGAGTTTGAAAACAAGAAAAAAAAAGTGAGCCTTCTGGCTTCGTTTTTTTCTTCCTATTTCTTTTACGATTATTCTTTATTACGTTCTCTCTTTTCTTTAAGAATAGTTTTTACCCTATTATGGTACGGCTTCTTTCTGTCTATAGCTGAGTTTTTATACATCATGGTTTCTATTGGAAAATCTCGGTGAAAGACGTAAGCATTATTCTTCTTTTTGTTACAACCCTGTCGCTCATACACTTCTCAAATGGTTTCTTTTTTTTTTTTTGGGTTCTCTCTTCTTTTGGACCACTTATTCACTCATATTCTCTCTTTTACATATACTTTTACTTTTACATATACCTTTACTTTTTACTTTTTATTTTTTGTAGTTTCTCATTCTTCATTTGAGCTCTTATGATGGTGAGTACAATAAACTATTTTTTTTTTATTACTTATTTTGAGAAGAAAAAAAAAGGAACTAACCAGCTAACCTGATTTTAAGCTTTTATTTGTTACGCTAGCAGGATTTTATGCCAAAAACAAGGTTTTATTAGATGTGGCACTGGTAAAGATGATTTTTTTTGTAAGTTTGGATTGAAGATAATAAGAATTTTTTTTTTTGCCTCCAATGAACTTCCCAAACAGGTTTAAACGCGTAGTTACGTATCACTAAAATATTTTTTTTCTTCTTCTTTATTTAGAGCTGATATTGGGGGGCATAGGTAAGCGTACATCAATAGGATCGTAAAAAAAAAAAAAGAAGGGGAAGGGAGGCTTAAAAAAGAAAAGGGACATGGCCACGTCAAAGGGGGGTAAGGGCATACAACATCTGTGTTTGTTTATATGGTAGATGATGAATGAGTGTGATATACATATGTCTTTGTGTGTGTGCATGTACGTGTGTGTGTGTGAGAGAGAAAGAGAAAAATGAAGATGAATAATTTGTTTTTGTTTTAGTAGGACTTATAGTGGGACAGGCGACATATCAAATGGATGCACATCACCATTGGTAAACCATAAAACATTTTGATCAGCAAGAAAATTGATATAGGAATGACATTCATCTATTGAGACTGGATTATTATTAACCATTTGATTGTTATATTTTAGTCGATCTGCAGTCTCAGGGACAACATCATTACAATGCAGAGAAATTGAGGTTTGAATCGAACTTGGAAACATAAAAAATGGAGGTCCGGAAGATACAGGCGTCACTGGGGATGGAATGGGCCATACAAGACTTTCTTGCATTGTTGACAACTTCCATGTATTGCTTTCATTAGATGGATTAGGTAAATCAAGCGTAGGGGATATATTGGATCCGTTAGATACACCAGGCTCATCAGAGGATTCATGCGATTCTTCTGGAATATCTGATACCTTGGATTCATTGGACAATTTGGCATGATAAGGTAAAATAGGTTTCAATTTTGTTGGTACTTTCGGAGATGAAGGATCAGTTATAGTTTTTGGTACTGAACATTCTTTAGCATGGATCTTGATATGACGACGTAGATTACTTAGGATCGAAAAGTGTTTACCACAATTTGGACTAGGTAAAATTAAAAAAAAAAGAATATTTACAAAAAAAAAAAAAAGAAAAAAAAGAAACTTTTGGAAAATAGATATACTTACACTTGACATTTATGTGGTTTTTCGCCAGTATGGGTATAGACATGAAGTTTTAGTTGACTTGGTTTTTGGAACTGTTTTGGGCAATGCTTGCATTCAAAGATCTTTTTCTTGGTAGGAAAATCAAAACACAACGTCTTCAACGTCCCAGTCATCATATCTCAATGATCACTTCTCTTTTGCCTTTAGATTAGTTCGTTATTATTATATAGGATGTTTGGATGTGAATCGGAGAAAGGTAAAATAAAATAAAAAAAAAAAAATAAGAAAGGATAAATCTAGAAAACAGTAGAGAGGGAAGAAAGAAAAAAAAAAGGGCATTTATACTCACGAAAATTTTGTTTATCTAAGCTCTTTTTTTTTTTTTTTTTCATTCACTTCCTTTTCCATGGTCATCAGCTATATACGCAGGTCATTACAAGTGGATTTTTTTTTTTTTTACTTTGATCTTGTCACGGGAAAGGCTTCTACGGAAAAAAAAGGGACAAGGATGTTTATTATGTATTAATATCAACAAAGTCCAAATTGGTGGTGGTGATGAACTAGGTAAGATCATGTACTATTATGTTTATATATATTTGTTTTAGATTAGATATTTCAACACTTTACAACATACTAAGCTCACCACCCTTTCGCCCATTTTATATTAGTATATATTTTATTATTATTATTTTTTTATTTCAATATAAAAATATCAATCAAATAAAATAAAATAAAATAAAATAAAATAAAATAAAATAAAATAAAATAAAATAAAAAAAAACTTGATTTGTCTATATAGTTAGTAATTTCTTCTTTCAAGAGCTTTCGGAACGGAAGGCCATCCCATCTTCTAAAGTTCAGTATTAGTTTAATGGATGTCTTGTGGTTTTTTTTTTTATCTTTGTCATTGTTTGATGGATGTACAAAATTGGCTGATCTCACTTTTTTAGAATTCTCAATTGCAATGGACTTTCTCCTTTTATTACCAATTGAATGGTAAGATTTTCATACAAGACTTCAGCCAATCAATTTTTATCGAATTCTTGATCGGGATTAAAATATTATCCTCTTCAGAAGGAACCTGTTCATCCTTTTTTTTTTTCTCCTTTCTCAGGATCCCTGACTTTTTTTTTTTATATAAATGACTACAACTAGACGAATTCATCCTGAAGCTATTACTTGGGTTCAACAACAAGAACAAAAGTTTAATGATCTTGTTAAAGATCGAACTTCTCAATTGGATTCACTTTTCAAGGAACATCTCATTTGGTTTCGTCAACATAAAACTGCCAGGTAAATATAATAACCTATCTAACTAAGTTTTTTTATGAATCCTTTTTTTTTTTTTTTTTTTTTGAAAATATAGATCAATTGTTTCTACTCGACGAACTATTTTAGACAATAATATATCACAAGTTGGTAAGAAACGAACACATGATCACGTGGAACAGTCAAGCATTGCTCAAGATAAGAATACAACTACGCAACCATATTCCTCTGTGGCTGAAAACGAACAAACAGCTACCGTATGTTCTGGCATGAACATTCCTGAGCATCCTCGAATTGAATCTACCAATAAAGATCACTTGGTTGAAAATGGACCACCTGACCAATCAACAACAGCAACGACGAGAGAAGCATTACTTCGTCGTTTTTTGGAAGAAGAAAAGAAGCACGGACGATATGGATTACGAAATCGAAGTCTTGGTACTCCCCACACCTTATCATCCAAAACGACTTTTACAGACGGCACTGACCAACAACAGCAACAAGAAGAGAAACAGCAAAGGAGAAAGACCATCAATCCTATTCTTCGTGCTATTGCTAACAATGACAACGTCTCAGCCAATGATCACATCATTCTTGAACCATTACAAGATTCACCATTATCATCATCAAATCGTACGAAAAGATCACGCTATCATGGATACAGCGAAGAGGAAGAACAAATGGATGACCAAGTACAACTGTTGAACATGGATACTGGCGATGCAAACATGGACAGAACGCATGAAGACACAGGAGCCAACGATAACATTTCCTTCTTCTCTCGCATCTTCAGTATTGGTCGTTCTGCAACGTTGGAATCTTCTTTTGTATTAGACGATGTCAGTAGTATTAAAGCTGATTCTCCCAAGCAAACTCTCGACTCTACTACAACTCGAACTACAAGGCTTATACACATGTCACCACCTTCTTCCTCCTCTACTACTCATCACGAAGAACCGTCTTATTCGCCATCATCAACACGAAAACATTCAACATCAGTATCATCTCAACCATCTCTATCATCATCAAACACCGATTTGGGTCGAAAGGTAAAACAAAGAAAAAGTGCAAAGTAGTAGATTGATTTACGGATGATGATTAGTAAAAGCTTATGATGATATTCTATATATATTCTAGAGAAACTCATCAATTCCAACCAAGATACCACAACCTACTCATTCTAAGGTAACCGACAAAGGATGGAATCTCTCTCTCTTTTTTTTTTTTTTTTTTTTTTTGCTCATTGATTGATCCTTTTCTTTTTTTTTTTTTTCGGGGGAACTCATTTTATTATTCTAATTCAATTGATTAGGGTCCATTATCCAACAAAAAACGTACAAGCAAGTCGATAGAATCAATAGAGCAAACTACTACAAACAAGGATACTCATGACAAGGTAAACATACGTTACAAAAAAAAAAAAAAGACATGCATGGGGCTCATTATCGAATGATGTTTACTAGGCAACGAATGAAGATGGGCACACAGAGGATGCACAAATGACTGAAATACCAAGTTGGGCCAATTCTCCGGAACTTGAGCAACTTCTTCACAATCAAGCAAATGCGGATGCTGACAAAATATTTGGAAAAATGCGACCTTTACAAGTCTCCCATATTGTCAACATTGGTCATTAATCTTATTATCTAGTTTAGTGTCATTATTATGTCATTATTTTTGTTTTTTATTCCAATAAAGAGATTCTCTTTGACAGGATCGGGGACTCATTTCACTCTTTTTTTTTTTTTTTTTTTAGTATGACAACATCGGAAAAATGAGGATCCTATTGAATTTGACATAAATGAACTGTATCCGATTTCTAAAGAAGGTTATCCCGATGCAATACGATAGAGTTGAAACAATGAATGTGATGGATTCCGATTGTTGTACGAAAGACCATCAAACTTTCCTCTGGTAGCCATTTTTTTTTTTTTTGTTGTTGTCATTTATCATCCCATCATCTTGATCCATCCGTATCTTTATATTATTTCATCTTTATTTCATAAAAAAAAAAAAACATCTTTATTTCATTAAAAAAAAAGGGAATACTAACGAATCAAAGAGATAAAATGGATTGATTTTGTTTTTCTTCATCGGTTGGTGGCATCAATGCTTGATCAGAGAGAGGAGCCAAACGATAATGTTCTTTGAATAGATACGAGTCCAATAAAGAAGGCAAGGAGGCAGGATCATCCAGATTGTCCAGTAAAGCTGCTGTTTTCTTGTGGGCCAGTCGTTGCATAAAGATCATGCGGCGTTGTTGGGTGATGGCTTCTAATTCGTTGTCCAGTACCAAAGCCAAGTCATCGAAATGTTCCATCTTGAGTTCCAGTTTCTTGATCTCGTTTTCCACCACCGCATGCACCAATCTTTGGATTTCCCGTTCTTCAATACCGGCCAAGGAATGTGCCTTTGCTGCTGCTGATCCAAGAGCTACAGATGCTGTCTTCTCCATGGCTGTTCGTGGTTTTTTGCTTGGTCTATCGTCTATATCCATATGATCCTTCTTCTGTCTCGTTTGTACCATATGATCCTTCTTCTGTCTCGTTTGTACTTGAATGGCAGCATCCGCCGCTGTGGCTGCTACTTCTGGATCCACGGCAGATGCTAAAAAGGCAAGGATGGACATGACAGGATTATCAGCACGAGAGAAAGGTGTTCGTTTGTGTTCAATCGCATCCGATGAAGGTTGATCTGATCGATAAGGTTCTTCAATAGGGAGTTGTAAAAAGTGAGATAGACACTGTTCTCTTGTTCGTGTTCCAACATGTTCAGCAATGGCGTTCCAATCATCATCATATAATTCAATGCCTTCTAGTAAAAGTAACGTTTCTTGATCTGACCATGTATCACTGATGGAGGAGGTACTATACTTGATAAAATCACTGCTAAACATCGTGGCTGGAAATCGTCCTTGTTGATAACATACTGGGCAAAGATCCATATTCCTTGTCTTGAGACTGTGATATCGTTCTTTTGTACATTCAGCTCCACATGTGATACAGAACCATGATTTTGTTGTATGTGTGAATCCATCCCCATCAAATAGTTTTTGTCGCCATGAATCGTAAGAATCGTCTTTGGCTGCTTTATTGGTATCCGTATTGTTTCCAAGTGATTTGAAGTTGGGTTTGAATGGTTGAAGTCCTCTTGGTGTATCTGCAGTGATTCGAAAATGATCGGTAAAAGGTGGTCCAACCGTTGATGGTACTGTGGCAGGATCACACTATATAAGTTGTAAAAGATGTCAATAATAATAAAGATATGGACTTTATTTTTTTTTTTTTTACCTTGTAATTGATTAGACCCCATTGTTCCAAAAAGGCATGTACACGCATGATAGCACATACATCTCCTGCCAAATTCCGTCGACAAGCAGTGACAGCAAGATATTCCTTTGGATTGAGTCGGAAGGTGTTGATCATAAAGTCACGGTAATCTTGATAAATCGCTGGTGTCTTGGATCGATTGCGACCAGTGAAGAATTCTGGTACAGAAACGCGTTCGATTTGATGAATGGTGGTCATATCAAACCAGGCAGCAGTGTGTTCGGGTATTTGGACTTGTTGAACTTGTGTCATGAGATAATTGCGAGCTTCATCATCCAAACTAGATCGATCTGTTGAAGTGTCCATGTTGGTTGTCATAGGTTCTTCGTCGCCTTCCACTATAGATGTTGCTTCCGTTGTTTCATTTTCTTCCTTGGTTGCTTCTTGTTCTTCTGTAGGTTCCGTTGTTGTTGTTGTTGTTGTTTCTTCCATCACTGTATCTTGGGTTGCTGCTATGGATTCAGTAGAGACTTCATTCATACCTTGGTTGAGAGAGGAGTCATTGTTCTTTGTTAGTGTATCTGCTGGTTCTTCAGATGATTGTTGTTGTTCTACTACATCATTGTTATTATTATTATGTTCAGTAAGTGAAGTTTCTTGATCATTCTTTGTAGGTGAAGTAGGATCTGAATGTTCCATAGATGATTCCATATTTAGTCTTTTTTTTTTGAAGAACAGGAGTAAAAAAAAAAAAGTAGTCAGAGACACCCAAAAAAAAAAAAAAAAAAAAAAAGAAATAGGTTTGTTTGTATTTGGGGAGCACCACGTCAACAATGAGGCCAACCACTCTTACCCTAAATTTCAAAGCGGACATTGAACTGGTGAGTGAATGTGAGAAACATAAAAATAAAAATGAGAAATACCCAAAAAAAGTAATGCGGGTCTCGACCCCATCATCTCGAATGAGGTTTCCTAACCTTTTTGATTGCCACGAGTTAACTAAAGATTTTCATCGCCGCCAAAAAGTTTTTTTTTTTTTATTTCTAGTATGTATGAATGGACCGTTCCATCTTTTAGGTTGGTAACATTTATATAAAGTGCTCTCTTTTTTTTTTCCTTTCTTTATTTTCTTCTTCTCTTTTTTCTATCAACTTTTTTTTTCTTTTCTATCTTGTTACTTTCTCTTTTCTTTTTTTTGTAATCCAACATACCCATCAATAACAAAAACAATATGTTATTTCAATTCTTATCAGACTGGAAATTAGATCGTCAACCTAACAACAAACCACGATCTTGTCAGTCATCACCACCACGATCACCATCGGTTACTTCTATGGCTTCATTTCCTCTTGATAATATCGATTGGCATGATGGTAAACAAACTTGGTCTTTTCAAAAAGATTATGTATCCTTTCCTAGTTTGGAGCAAGTGGATTCTCAAGAAGAAGATTCTCAGCCTCAGCAAATGCTATGATTCTTTTTTAAACTCTATCTATCTTCTTTGTTTATTTATTTATTCTCAAGTCACCTCATCTTTTATTATCATGTGTACACTTCATTTTTACTCTTTATGATTCCCCCTTTTCTTTTTTTTTTTTTTTTTTGTATACCTTTTTCTTTTGATTACCCTTTTGTATGTTTTTACATGTTAGTTTCTATGCTGATAACCATCCCTTCATCATTCATTTTGTATTTGTATCTCCATAATATATATATATATCTATTTTCTAAATACCATTATTCTTCTTACTATAGTTGATCACAAATATATTTAATAAAACGCATTGTATTCTTTTTTTATTTTATTTTATTTTTGACATCCAACCAAATAAAAAAAGAAAAAAAAATTTAAAAAAGGCAACAAAAAAAAAGTATAAAAGAATGATCGTCTAGGCTAAAAATAACTACTACGAATTTGTTCATAAAAGTGGAGTGATTGCTTTTAAAGAGGTTCAGGATGGTGGTGTAGGATTGTTGAATACATCAATATAACGTGATCGCATCGGCTTCTTCTTTCCGCTGGCAGGTCCCCGTCTAGCACTAGTAGGAGGTGTAGCGTTCATCAAATCTTGTAAAGGTTGACGTACATCTAAAGGATTATCAATGGATTTGGGTGGCATGTTTGATGCTACAGATGATGGTGAGGGTTTAGGTGAACTACCTGTAGGTGGTGCTGTTGAGATGTTATCAATACTAGGAGGAGTGTTGCTAGTGCTGCTAGGTGGTTTAGATCCTGATGATGGCTTCATTTTGGGTGGAGGAGGTAATTTGGCAGGTGCCGCTGGCATATCAGAAATCTATACAATAATAATAATAATAATATTAATAACAAAAGGTAATGAGAAAATTGATTGACATCTATATATATATATATATATATATATATATATATATATATATATATGTTTTAAATATCTTACATTCTTGTTGACCCATCGTCCTTCCTTTTCATCAAAATAAAAAGTACTTGTTTCGCCCAAGTTTGCCTTAACAGCCTTCTTTTCATCCTTTTCCATGGGTGCAGGTGAAGCCCTAGAGAACATGGAGAATAATCCCCAACCTTTGCGATCTATGTAAAGGTAATACAAAAAAAAAATGAAGTGTCAGTTTTATGTATAAATCGCCATTCATTCATCCATTCAATTTACCTTGCTTATCATCTTCTTCTCCGTCATCATCATCATCCGTCGTCTTGCTCGCTTTTGATGAATCAGCTGTACGTTCAGTTTGACTACCGTGTTCCTCCTTGCTACTTTCCTCTACCGGCTTGGCTTTCTTGGTCGAATAGTTACCCAAACCTAATCCATCATCATCTTCTTCGTTCAATGTTGTTGTTGCAGTGATATTTTCTTCAGTATGATCGTCATCATTTGCTGTCATATGGGACGAAGGAGTGTATGATGACACATTCACAGGTTCAGTAACATTGGTGGCATCAAAAGTGGATGAATGTGGATCATAGGAAGATATGGTTCCAGAGACTTGATCTTGATCGTTTTGTTGTTTGGATGTATAGTCTTCGCCTTCATAGGTGGGAGTGTAATCTTGATTGGTGGTATCTTGGGATTCATAGTGTGTGTAATCTTGAATGGTACCTTGAGTTTCATAAGTATGTGTATAATCTTGAGTAACACCTTGGGCTTCAAAAGTAGACGTATAAACATCAGTGTTAGTTTGTGTAGTGTAAGATGACATTGAGTGATCTTGAGTTGTAGGTAGTGTTGCAAGATGTTGTGTTTCTTGCGTTGCCACTTCAGACTGGCCACCCACAGTTGTTGAATAATCATGCACTGCTTCGTTAGATGTAGTGTCCGCGATAGGTTGCGATACATCTTGTGTTGCCGTTGTATTTTCATTCACTTGGTTCGTGCCGATGTATTCATTGTTTTGCTCATAATGTGGTTGTTGAGGGTCATATCCATACATATAATCCGCTGGTTGTTGTCGTTCAGATTGACTATATGAATCATAGCCTTGTTGTTGAGGTTGACCTTGTTGACCATAAGACACATAGCCTAAGTTGTACTGTTCTTGTTGTTGTTGGTGTTGTTGTTGTTGAGAATCATCCACTTGTTGCGCACTATCATATTGTACAGCTTCATAACCACTATGCACGTCTGTTGTTTCACATGTATTGTAATCATGTTCCTGTTGACCAATCTTTGTTTCATGAATGTCTACCATTTGTACTTGATCATGTGTTGTGGTGGGCTGGATTCCGGTATCATCATGTGCCTTTTCAGATATTCCTGATGGTAGATAAGAAGGGTCCACAGAATCTTGCGTGGCATCGATTGTTTGTGATACGGGCAAAATGGCGGTTTGATCATCTTTGGTGACACGATCGAGTTTTGTTTCTAAAACTTGTAACGAGGAATCCAGATCATTTCTATAATAAAAGGTAGAAAAAAATCAAAAAAAAAAAAGTCGGTATAAGTGATATGATTGATCCATGCCATATTTTTTTAGTTCAATTGTCAATTCCTTTACCCAACGGATTGATCAGATGACGCACGACAAAGTTCAGCTAATTCCTTGAGATTGTCCAAAAAGCCTTGATGGAAGTAAGTGCTAGGTCTATCATAAGATATGAGACCATTGACAATAGATTGAAGATAATGAGAGGCTTCTTTCACATAACCAGCATCAGATAACCACCAAGCATGAACCAATTTATATCCTTGTAAAAATGGAAGGATAGAAGGTCGTTGATCCAATGAAAGAGCAAATTCAAATAATTCACTAATATAAAGAGCATCCAAGGGAGATGATATATCATTGCCTTCTTGAGATCCAAGAAGCTGACCATCTAACCATTCGTCATCAAAGAATGATTTTGAGGAAGAAAGAATGAAACTATAATGAAAATAAAACAAAAAAATATAAGCACATGACATGTTTTCCAGACCCTGTAACCCCTATTTAGATTTTTTTTTATTTATATATTTATCTTACCATATATTGGCAGCATCCATCCACCCATTTTCTTTCAAAATATTTCCCAGACTATGAATTGTTTCATCCGATTGCTCCACACGATTAGCCAAAATAAGAGCCACGGTCTCACGCCATTCTGAAAGTTGCTGTTCAATAGCTTGAGTTGAATAACTTGGAATAAAATGAGAGACTAAAATATATACATATAAAGAAAAATAAAAAAAAAAGTTGAATTAGAAAGATACACGTTAAAATCATTCTTGTTTGATTATACCAGAATTGGACCCTGTTCCAGCAAACAAGGAATATAAGACACGAAGAGAAGGGCGGTCACCAAGAGCATTTTGATAGAATCCTGTATGTTCATTTTCAATAGTAGTTGCTAAAGCTTGGTCTACAAATTGATCCACCACACTGGCAAACGTTCCTTGATCGATAGATTTACCAATAATCAAACCATGAGCCCACATTTTTTCTTGAATGGTGTATTGAAGAGCACTAGAACGATCACCCTGAAGCAAGTAATTTCGGATCATTGCAAGAGTATCGCTTTCTACAATGAATTGACCAGGATGCAACAATGACCTGATAGCAGCGTCCTTTCCGTCACTAGATAAATATAAAACATCAAAAAAAAAAAAAAAAAAAAAAAAAACAATCAATCCTTGGTCGTAGTTCATCTTTTATTTTTATTTTTATTACCTGTTTCCAGAAAAGTCTTCAAGAATCAACATTTTCACCAATTGCCACAAGAGCGACTTGTTTTCCAAACGATAGTAGTCAGAAGAACCTTGTTCCAAAGATTGTAATTGAGAGTAAAAATCTTGGATGCGATGACCCATATAGGTAGCAGCAGATTCTTTCTTGGTAGCAATATCCATGGAAGGATCCAATAAAACAGGGCCCACAAAATCAGATAATGGACTGGCATCAGGTAGAACAAGTTCCTTGATATTTTTCATTTGTACTAAACCTGGCATGATCTTGGCGTTGGCATCTTGAACATTCAATTTACTAGGGAATATTAAACATAATTTGCCTCCGAATCCAAAACTGGCCAAGGGATGACCTCTATTTCGCTGCAATGGATCTGGTGCTGGAGTTTCTGGGACAGGAGGTTGTTGGACGATTTGTTGATCAGGATAACCTTGATTTCCATAATATTGTTGATTCATTCCGTAAGAGGGTGACATGTAAGGATAAGTCTGTTGAGGACTGAAAGCAGACATAGCAGGAGTTGAAGCACGAGAAGCACCGGTCAGAGGACGACCACATTCACTACAGAATTTCGCTTTTGGTTTGTTTTCACCTTCGCAGTTGGGATCAGGACAAGGAACCATAGTCATTGCATCTGGTTGAGGAGAACTGATACGAGATGAGAGAGTTGGAGGGAATATACCATAAGTGTGAGCCATATGATTAGGTTGGACTCCCAAAGCATTGTTGACCAACTGATCACCACCGACATAAACTTGAGATTGTTGATCTTCGCTTTGTTGATGTTCCACAGGAGCCTGTTGCTGCTGTTGTTGTTGTTGATGATTGACTACAGGTTGCTCAATCGAAGAAACTTGTTCTTGAGGTAAGGCCTGTTGATTTTGTTGTTGTTGTTGTTGTTGTTCCAAAGGCATAGAAGGTTGTTGCTGATCATTTTGCTGTGATTTATCACCGTACTGTTGTTCGGGTTGTTGCAATTCTACAGGTTGATATCCTTCTTGATCCACAAACTCATAAAGGGCTTGATCGTTGTCAATAATATGATTGCCTTTCAGATCACCTTGTTTCTCTTCAAGAGATGAACCGTTCACATAATTCCTTTGCTGATATTTTTCCTGATTGATCTTTCCATCATATTGTTGTTGATCCTTTTGTTGTTGAGCATCATGTTGTAATTGAGGTTGATTGGGAATTTCAGCATTAGCAGGTGCTGATAGTTCAGCAGTAACAGAGGCATTTTGACCAACAAATTCAGATACGGGGATTTGTTGATCGTTCCATTCTTCCCATTCTACAGTACCAACATTGGAGTCAGGCACAACCGCGGCAGGTGATTCATTGGCTTGTTCATTACTGTACTGCTGATTGGAGTAGTTGTATTGCCGAGAAGTTGCAAGCTGTTGAGAATCATCATATTGTTGAGCATAGTCATAAGATTGTTGAACAGTAGCATCTTGCTTTTGTTGTTGTTGTTGTTGCTGTTGTTGTTGTTGAGAAGCATCATATTGAGGCTGTTGCAGCTGGGTAGTATCATATGGAGGTTGCTGATGTTGCTGTTGTAATTGAGCAGTATCATACTGAGGCTGTTGCTGTTGCTGTTGCTGTTGTTGTTGTTGTTGTTGTTGTTGTTGTAATTGAGTCGTATCATACTGAGGTTGTTGTTGTTGTTGAGTCGTATCATATTGAGGTTGTTGATGTTGGCCATAATCATACTGTGCTTGTTGAGAATAATCATACTGTTGCTGAGAATAATCATACTGCTGCTGTTGAGGCGCATTGTAGGCATAACCTTGTTGCGAATACTCATACTGCTGTTGACCATAATTGTACTGCTGTTGTTGATATTGCTGTTGTTGAGGGTCAAAAGACTGGTAATGTTGCTGGTAACCCATGTCTGATACAACAGATTCTGCATATTGTTGATGACCTTGGTACAAGGAAGGATCGTAAGGTTGAGTCAACGTCGCCACTTGTTGTTGTTCTTGTTGAGACTTTGGTTGTGAATATTGGTCAAAAAACAAAGAAGATGATGTATTCATTGGCGTTTGACGTTGTTGTACTATGGGAGGACGATTATGTTGAGTGGGCGTTCCATATGAAGCTTGAGATACAGTTTGATTTATGTATGACTGATCTATAGTGGTAGATTGCTGATGAGTTCCATTGACTTGTTGAGGATATCCAGATGAAGGTAAAGGAGCTGTCGTTGGTACCGCCATAGGTTGTTGTTGTTGTTGTTGTGCGCCAAAGAAACCTTGATGACTATTCGGCTGGTTTGGATGACCAAATGGAATAGGACCTTCATCCACAGGAGGTTCTTTTGATGAAGGCATATTGAGTCAACTATTGAATTATCGCGGTATATAAAAATGGAAAGGATGTGGTAAAAGAAAAAAAAAAAAAAGAACAAGAAGAGGGGGGTTAAGACAGGGAGGAAAAAGAAGGAAACAAAAGTAGAAAAAGGGGTAAAGAGAAAAAAAAAATAAAAAAAAGAAAGATAAAAAATGGTTAGTTAAATATCATAATAATAATAAATAATAAAAAAATAAAAATTAATCAGTATTAGAGTTTATGCCATTACGTTTTCAATAGTTCTTGTAGACCTTGTGGTGTGAAGAAGAGTGAGGAAGAGAAAAGAAAGAAAAAAAAAATATCGAATGCGAAAGCGGTGTTGTAAACCATTTATTGGGTGGACTTTTTGGATTGGTTGCCACCAAAACTGACTTAAAAATCCCAAAAAAAGAATTAAAGTCCATGCTTTTTTTTTTATTTTCAATCATTTGTACAAAAGGGAAAAAAATAAAATAAAAATCAAGGGGGGGAAGGTTGATAATACATTAAGATAAATACAGAATAATGAAGAGGTATACTATAAGTAACAAACTAAATAAAAATAATTATGTACCTGCCATTTCTTCTTTTAAGCTTGCCAATCGTTCCATTCGTTGAGAACTTGCCAGTCTTTTAGATCCACTACGAGATCGTTGCTGTTGCTGAACAGGAGGAATATTTTCAATTTCATTTTGCATATGTTTCAATAAATCTTCTGCCTTGATCATCACTGATTCCGTTTTGGTTTTTCGTCTTTCTCTAAGTGTATTGCGTCGACTACGTTGTTTGGTCGCTGTTGCCATTTCACCAGATCGAAGTCGTTCCAGTAAATTATCCATAATATGCTTGTCATCTTGATTATCAGAAATTGCTTCAATTGCCTGTGCCCCTGATCGTGATTGTTTGAGTCGTTCTTTTCGTTGTTCCTCATATTTCTTTGCTTTTTCTGCTTGTTCTTGTTTTCTACGAATGGCTTCCAAGTCACTTTTTGCTCGCTATACATAAAAAAAAATATTTTTTTTAATAAAGAATATATATTTATATTATATGCACACTTACTTCCCAACTTGATGTAAATGTTTTGAAGATACTGAAGAATTCATCTGGCTTCATATCACTAGGATTTTCTCCAAAATACGTCACCACATCCTTGTAAGCTACATCCATAGATGTATACCGAACTTCCAACTGATCAAACTTCTCTACTGCTGTATCCCTAAAGTCTGACATGATGCTTGCAAATTTATCCCCTTCTGGTGCCACGTAGTCATCTCCATAATGTCGATCTAATTCATGTATGATTTGTTGTAGTCCAACTCTTAACTCATTGTAATCCTTAACTAAGTCTTGAATCGTCACTAGAATATAAAAACTGAATAAGTAGCTATTCCCTATTTTATTTTTATTTTTTTATTTTATTTTTTTTGTTACAAGCTTGATGCGTTTACCTCTACATGCTTCCCCACATAGTTGTAAATCTTCCAATAACTGCATACTTGTGGTCGCAAACTTGCTTTCCATAGTGCTGATCAAAAAGTGCAGAAGTGTTGAATCATTGTTGGAAGCTTTTGTATCTATAAGCTTGTTGATACTAGCAATTCGAATACCAAATGCGCCACCTTGGAAATTGGTCCCATTCAAGAAGTTGCCAACCAGCAGGATGATCTATATGAAATACGAGAATCATAAGATGTGATGATACAGTTATTATTTATTCTAATACTTACATTTAGAAAATCTTTGAAGGCCTTTGATTCTCTTAAAGACGTAGATGCTTCCATTACATTTGACATATTCTACATTGAAAAAAAAAAAGAAAAATGTTAAGTCATATCATCATCCTCTTTAGATATAGTTTACTTACTCGTCCTAATTGAGTAATCCGTTCTGGAAAAGTCACCTTGAACAGCATACAATCAATACGTTCTTTGAATCGATCAATGGATATAATCTAAATATCGTGATAAAAACATAAAGAATGAATAATCATGAAGAGATTACCTTTATTATTTTTTTTTTTTTGGACATACCTCGGCACAAAAAGCATCGGGTTTTGATAAGTTTTGTAGATCGTCTTCAGAAGCAGTTTTGAGGAAGACGGACAATTTCCCCATTTCTTCAGGTGTTGGTGCATTGAGTTGCAAGTTACGTAATAGAATTTCGGTACAAAACTTCTCATCAACAGCCAATATTTTTCGTTTGATTTCGTCGAAGGGTATATGCTTGCATTTCGCCAAGATTGCAATATCTATAAATGTATACACAAAGTAAGTTCATCTTTTTCACTCTTTCAAAAAAAAAAAAAAAAAAAAAAAAAAGAAAAGAAAAGAAAAAGGTCTGACAACTTACTGATATTATATGCCTTGCGGGAATCGATGATATTGATTTCTTGTTTCTTTTCACGCATTTGTTTCTTGGGTTTTGGAATCACCTTTTGAGCAAATAATTCCTCCATCATATCAAACAAACCTTCAGAATCCATTTTCGATTCCCATCCTTTTTCGATATCTTGTGTAGATTCCCAAATAGTAGATTTGATTTGTTGCATATTGATCTTTTGCCATTGAAGAGCGCGTGTCTTGACATTGGGAAGGTGGTTGACTGGTTTCCTTGTCATAACGTTGAGTGGAGGAGCTGCAACAGGTGGAAGTGGAGGAGGAGAAGGAGTCGGATCATTTCCTTTGGATATATCGATCGAGATGGATGATTTTCTGTTGGATGGTGGTACAAAAGACTTTCTAACTTCATTGTTCTTAGCTTGTCGTTTAATGGCTGCAGTGAATGAAGACGGACCGTTTGATGTCCCAAGACCAGCTGATGGTGGCGGTGGTGGTGGTGGCAACGGAATTGATCCAGTAGAATTCGAATTTTGATTCGTTGTAGGAGGAGAAGGTGGGGGTGGCGAAATGGATTCAGTCAGAATTGTAGTTTGATTGATCATCGGATGTGGTGGTGGCGGCGGTAATGGAATGAATTCAGTCGAATTTGTAGATTGAACCATGGTTAAAGGAGGAGGAGGTGGTGGTGGTGGCGGTGGAATAGATTCAGAATTCGTATTTTGATTCACGGTAGCAGGAGAAAACGTTGGCGGTGGCGATGATGACGAAGATGATGTTGAAACTCCAAGAGATCCAGTGGAGTGATTGGTATCGTTTCCAAGTTCAGTTGTCTTATTAACTGGTGATGATGGCGATAGAGATGGAAGTGCTGTATCATCAATAACAGCTTTTGTTGTTGTTGTTATTGTTGTTGTTGCTTCCGCTGTTGTTGCTTCCGCTGTTGTTGCTGCTGCTGTTGTTGCTGCTGCTGCTGCTGTTGTTGTTGTTGCTGTTGTTGTTGTCGTCGATAATCTGGCTGAACTGGGTGTGGTATTTGCTGAGATCATCTGTACTTCATCCAGTGATGTATGCCTGACTTCCTTTTCTGTTGAATCTATTGAACCAGCTACATTTGTTGTGTCAGCTATTGACTGTATTGGTGAATTTGGTGAAACTAAAGGTGATATTCCATTTTTCTCCGCTTGACTATCACGAGATGAAGTAGATGTATCCACAGATGACAGAGTTGAAGCTAGTGATTTTCTAAATTCATCGTTATGAAGTTGACGCCGTAAAGGTTTTGGTCGACGTTGAGCAGATCCCATCAAAGGTAGAGTGCCTGGTAAAACGAAATCATTTAAACTGGTACTTGAACCAAATTGCATCGCTAATTGAGATTTGAATTCTTCAGAGAGTCCCATTGCCATAGATTTGTAAGAGTTTGCATCCGATTCCTTGTCTTTGGTATTTTCCACTTCACGATTTTGACGCCCTTCTAAACTTTCTTGAGCACGAATACGACCAACAGCTTTAGCTAAATCCTTTCTATTCAGTACAATTTCATCCTTGCCATCCGCTTCGTCCATATCATCCACTGCTTTATAAAAAGTATCGAGTTGGGATTGAGCCTTTTCCAAGTTTCGTTCATAATCCTGTTGTAAATCCCGGAGTTTCCCTTGTAGTGTTGAAATGGTGTGACGTGACATCCGAAGAAGATCTTCCAAAGATGCTGTTTTTTCCTTGAGCTGAGTTACTTGCGTTGCATCTAACAAGTAAAAGCAGTAATAAACAATAAAATGAAAGTATTAGTACTTTGTATCTTTTATTATTAGTTTTATTATTATTATTTCCTTACCATTACCACTTCCTTGAGAAAGTTGAACTTTAAGATCATCTCTTTCCTTGACAACTTCATCATACATCTCTTGTAATGTTCGTATTTCTTCCAATGTAGCTTGTAATTGATCTTGATCTGCAAACTTGTCCACTAAATGTCGTACAGAAGTTCCATAAGAAGCTGAGAAATCTTCCACCAAGCCTTTATGATCCAGTACTACTTGAGTCACCAAATTGTCAATGATTTGAAAATATCTTGATTTGAGACCATGTTCTTCTTGAATCAATAACATATGTTGAAGACAACTGAGAAAAAAGTCATATCCACGAGAGCCTTCTACACTTGATAATACACATTCAAATACATCCCTTGGATCATTCATATTTCGAAGTACTTTTTCATGATATATTTCCATAATATCATCATGATCATTTTCAGACCAATTCTTGTACTCTTGAATTTGTCGATCCACATGTTCACTGCCAAGTTCAGCCATCTTTTCCATCACTCTTTCCAATCCAGATGCATTGAGTTGATTTCGTAAATGAATTCGAACTTCGGTATCATCTACCACATTGATGATTGCATTGACAAAGATCATGTTGTATAGCTTTTAAAAAAAAAAAGGTAGATCAGTATCAGATTATTCTTTTTTTCTTCTTTTTTCTTTGAACTTACAGCGTATTCAGCTAATTGACTATCAGCTGCACTACCATGAGAACCTAAGCGCTTAAAGTCATCGCTTGCACCGACCATACTACCCATACGTCCACGACCACCCAAAGAAATATCCAATTCTCGTAGCCACAAATCAAATCGACCCAATCCTCTTGTTGAATCACGCATACGATCCATAGCCTTAAGAACCATTTCTTGACCTAATGGTACTTGAAAATAACAAAGAAAGACCAAAACTTCACATACCAATCGACGAGTGATGATAGAGGGAGAGACAATACAATTAACAATTTGTTGAATACAAGGAGGATGTTTGATGGCTTCCTTGGCACCAACCTAAGAGACAAAGTAGGTTAAAAAAAAAAAAAAAGGTAGGATGATCCATTCTATCTAATATCTTACCCTGTTATTTAATAATGCCTTGAAACATTTCAGTATATCACCTTCAATTTGAATTTCTAGATCTCGTCTAAATAAAACGAAGAAAAGGTGATTAGACTGTTTATATTACTTATCGCATTATTCAAAACGTATCTACTTACTTTTGTTTGATACTATTCAAATTGGTTAATGATTCTGTAACAAGTTGTAAACCACGCATTTCAATAAATTGTCTAACCCAACTATTTAATAATAATAAAATTAGTCAAATTAATCATGAGAGTAAAAAATAGTTTGAATTTACCTAAGAGGCATTGTACGTAAACCAACAGCTAAATGACCAATCACTTTCCCACTAATGACTTTTTCTGATAATTTCTTGACAAAATATTCAGGACTATTTTCCACCTCCTTATTTCGATCTGCGGTACGTCTTGTAGATATAGTTGCAGAAGGGATATTAGAAGCATTGACAGCTTCAGCTTGTATATCTTGAGTTACCATCAATCGTTTCTTTTCCATAGTGAAGCCAATCATAACATTTCTTGCTGTAGGATCATGAATCCCTCTTCTTGTCTAATATAATAAAAATCAAGTGAATATAAAGAGTTTTTATATTTTTTTTTTCATTAAAATTTACCAGCATTTTTTCAAAAAGATCTTGTATTTCAGTATCAGTCAATTTATCAGGATGAGTATTCATGGTATCGTTATCATTACTTGGTAGGGAATAAGTAGCTGATGATTGAGAACTTCGTATAGAGGATCCATCACCACGTCCTAAAAATAAATAAGAATAAAAGTGAATAAAAAAGGAGTTCTTTGTTTTCATTTAAAGTATATTATTACCAGAGAAATAGTCTTCAGTATTAGTTGAAGCAATAGAAGTATAACCACTATTTGTATTTGTAAAAGGAGGACTATGACCAGTTGGAGAATGAGAACTATGACTGGAAGATCGTTGGGGTATAGGAGTGGAGATGATTGGTGTTGATAGTTCAGGACGTCGTTTGGGTTTCGACTTTCCACGTACAAACATATCCATCACTACCGATATATTAAAAAGATAATAAAAATAAAAATAAAAAAAAGACGTGCGTATATATGTACTAAATGAAGATATAATATATGTAATATAATAGAGGAAAAGGGAATAGAATAAAAGGAATGGAAAGAGTTAATTAAGCTGATATGAATAAATATATATATATATATAAAAAGGGGGGAAGTGGGAAGGGAGAAAAAAAAGAAAGAAATTTGGGAAAATAATGATAAATATATAAAAATTGAGACTGGTGTAACGTTTGAAGTTTTTATTGACAAGATTATTTTAGTTGACTATTTCTAATTTTTGCCTTGTTGTTCTTGTAGTTTGTCTTGCATAACACTAACAATGGCTATATAAAAAATAAAAAATAAAAATTAATCATCCTATCAAATAAATATAAATTTAATCTATATTACCTCGTAAACTATTCTGTTTTCCTGTAATATTTTCTTCAAGTTTAGATAAATTCTTTTTGACATAATCTACCTTGTCAGCATAAAATTTGGATGCATCCGTAACAGACTGTAATATATAAAATTAATTTTCTAATGGTTAACGTTTCTTTTTTTTTTTTTTGTACCTTTTCAACATAATAACCAGTTCCAATATCCACAATCACCTTATCCACGTTACTGAGTTTCCCTGGTACATAAAGGTAAAAACAAACAAGATCAAAAGTTAAGAATAAATAAAATGAATATATATATATATATAGATAAAAGTTAGTCAATAGCAAAAAAGAAAAAAGGATATAGATGAAGTGAGAGGTACTAAGATCTGTTTGTCTAAATAACCAATAAATACATTATATTAATATTTACGCGTTATTTATCATATAATATTACCTTCAGGTTTTTCTGCTTTTAAACTGTTAACACTATCAGCACAATCGGTGAAACGGCCTTGGACACCTTTCAATTTGGTGTAGGATTGTGTCAGATGATTTAATTCCTATTTAAAAAAAAAAGATGAGTTTTGTTTTCAAAAGCAATCATGTTGTTTCTTTACTTCTTCTAATTGATTCTTGACATTTTGTAATGAAGGAAGATCGAGATCTGAGAGATTAATTTGTTGTGTTTCTGACATGAATAATAAAAAAAAAAAGTAATGGAAGAGAGAAAGGTAAAATAAAAATAAAGAAAAAAAAAAAAACAGGGATTCTGTGGAAAAAAAAAAAAAGAGGGATTGACCCCAACTCATTATAAAGACCGCTGCCGTAGCTCACCTCACCAGGTAACCATACTTTCAAATGTTGATATAATGTATGTGTTCGCTCTCTCTCTTTTTTTTTTTTTTTTCTCTACAGATCCATTTTATGATGACTCATTTCTTGTTATTTTGAATAAATACTTTATTAATCATCACCTTCATAGGAAGAGAGTGTTATGCAGTAAAATTGTGGGTACATTCAATAAATATATATTTCAAAAAAGGAAATTTCTTGTCATCTCTGCATATGAATATGTTAAAGTATTCAATTTGATATGAAATGCTGTATTATGAAGACTAACAATATAATATTGATTGATCAATGACTGATTTAAATCATATTCATCCCATCATCAACCAAAAACAAATAATCATATCCGAAAGGCGAATGATCCTCAAACCAAATATATAAAGTATACTACAGGAATAAAATGAATCATGATCATCATAATATCATCAAAATTAAAAGTATTCTTTTTTTTTTTAAGAATGACTTTTTTTTTTCTTCAACCATATATCTATATATTGATCCAAGTGTATACACTTTATTTGTTAAAACAACGCGTAAATGTAACTAAAAACTAAACTAAAAAAATAAATAAATCAAACCTTGCTAACATATCCTTTGCCTTTGTAGGATTCTGATGAGATGCCAGAAATAGGATTGGAATTTTGACTCTTGAGATATTCATTGGTAGCTTCTTGCCATTCTTTGTTCATAGATGGAGGTACTTCTTGACCTAAATAAAAGAAATGTATAAATAAACGATCTGGTTAAGAGAAAAAAAAAAGACCCGACATCCTATAATAGCGTTACCTTTGGCACGAGCAATAAGGAAGAATATAGTGGAGACAGTAAGTACTACACCAACACCTAAAATAACTTTGAAAGTATGTCCTTCTCCTTGAATAGGTGTACGAGGACCATGAGGACCAAAAGAGACATAGTCTATCAAAATAATAAGTTATTTTTCTTTCTTTATAATAATAATGGATAATAATGAAACTTACAACAAGCAGCTTTTTCTTCTTTAGAGAGTGCAGTCCATTCCTTCTTTTGTAATTCTTCTAGTTGTTTAGCAATAGTATTTTGTTCTGCTGTCGATAATAAAGTCCAACGCTTTGGGATAGATTCTACAGTAACATTGCTATTATAACGGAGACCAGTGACGCGTTTGAGTGAGAGTCTTGCTAAACTAGTGGATCGTAACATGGTGAGAACGGAGGGAAAAAAAAAAAAAAGAAAAAGTAGAGAGAAAGAGAAGAAAGGAAAAGTAAAAGAGAAAAAAAAAATTCCTTCGCTTATTAAATCTTACCTTCCCCCCGCGTGCAAAACCCCTCCCTTTCTAATTGTTACCTTTCACTCTCATTATCATATTTTTTTTTTATATCTTCTTCTTCTTCTTCTTCTCTTCTTTATCATTACGAGTTATTTTTCTAAATTTAATTCATACTATCCTTCATTCACTTTACTGATGGATTTATGAATATATATATATATCTTTAATAGAAGCAACTGCAACAAAGTAAACAACTTATGCACCGTGGAAATCGAGCGGCGAACTAATACTAAAATATCTGATGATCTTTTTTTTTTTTCTTATTTAGAAAAAGAGAATATCGTATGTTTCTAATCATTGTCTATTACAACACAAAAAATTTGAGAATCAAATGTTATCATCAATTGTTTTTTTTTCTATTTTATTTTATTATTTATTTTATTCAATCAATATCATACAACCTAAACTAAATATTTCTATACTATCTAATAATTTTCAGTCTTCATATCGTTCAATCCTAAATCTTCATTTGTTTCAAAACTACGTTCATATTCTTCAATAGTCATTTCTGGATCATCATCAGGAGCATACAAATTTTGTAAATAAGAATTAGCAAGAGGATCATCCACCACCAAAGTAACAGGTAAACGTTGACCATCTGCTACTTGGTCCAAATCAGTCAAAAAGGAGGTCCATTTAGCCTTAGCTTCTTCACTTGTAGAATCACCATGAGAGAATGCGCGCTCTTCTAATTCTGTATGCACTTGTCGCAATAACCCTTCTACTGTTGTAAATCGTCCACCCAATGTACCAGGAGTTAATTCCAAATTGATTTCTGGAATAGATAAACCACAAGTTTCCGACTATATAATATATATATATATATATATATATATATATATATATATGATGAGTATCTTTGACTATGATTATATATATATATTTACCTTCAAAATATCTCTAGACAAATCTTCAGCATCTGTCATCTTCAAAGTAATTCGTTTACCCTTGGGAGAAATGGCACCACCAGCCTTGACTTCATTATTCTTGTAACCACAGTGTTCACAGTTAGTAGCCATAATGACCACTTCTTTGAAATGAGGAATATCCATCACATGCATATTAGTTTCACTAGGAGCATTACAATTGGAGCAATTGGCAGGGAATGTTAACACTTCAGATACTTCTTCATCATCATCATCAGCAGCACCACGGGCGGCCAAAGCTTGATCAGCAGCAGATTGATCATTGGACAAACCAAGTGCAGTATTTTGTTCAGGTGTACGGATATACCATCGGAGTGTCAATTGAGGATCTTGAGCTGGTAAGCAACGGTTTTCAATATAAGAATTACCAGAAGGATCATCAATAGTCATAGTAAAAGATTGTTTGCCTTCACGATAGGATTCCATGGTATCAATAATGACTTTAATCTTGTTGTATAAATCTTCATCCATATGTTTACGAACAGCTTGTCCTTGATCTAAATCGTCGATGGCGTTCCCTAATAATCCTTCCACAGTTGTCAATAATCCACGACGATTGTTAGCAGGGATTTCCATATCGAGTTCTTCAAATTTGACAGAAGCAAAATCAGATTTTACCAATTGTCGATCCAAGTCCTAATATATAAAAAGAAAAATATCAATTATACTTTGTTCTCTATCATTAAGATCCCGTTGGATTTGTCAGCCATTCTTCCCCTCTTCTCTCTTTTTTTTCTTTTTTTTTGACTTACATCTTTTCCATTCACTTTGCAGCTAACAGTTTGTCCTTTTTCATTGAAAGCACCAGCGCTTTGAAGTTCATTGTTACGGAAACCACAATGAGGACATTCAAATGCCATTACAATGACTTCCCTGGTTAATATAAATAAATATGTATATCGATGGTTAGACAAACGTTTTATTCTTTAATATATGTATTCTATTAAACTTACTTGAAGTGAGGAATCTTAGTGAAGAGAAACCGAGTGGTTCCCTAACATGAAACAATAATAATAATAAAAAAGAGAAACGTTAGAATAAACCAAACACAAAAAAAAATATATATATTCAAATTAAGAATCGTTACCATTTGTTCACACTTCATACAAAGACTTTCAATTTCAGTAGGTTTGCTATTATCATGGAGGTCAACAAAGATAGGTTCTGCAGCAGTTTTATCGGCCATTATGTTCACAGTACAAAGTAAAGAAAAAAGAATAAAAAAAAAAAGGTCTTGATTTTTTTTTTTTTTTCTTGCTTAAACGTTGTATTCGGTGACTGAAATACAGAAAAGCCACTGTTCTGACTAAAAATGGAACTTTGGAGCATCCACCAGAAGAAAACTTCCTTTTCATCCCAGACTGCCTTTTCTTTTTCTTTTCTTTTTTTTTTTTTTTTTTTTTTTTTTTACGATCATTCATATTTATTGATACCAAAATGGCTATTAGCAGAAGCAACATGAACAAAAGTAAGGGACTTGGATTGTTAGTATTTTTTTTTTTATAATGAGATATATGAACTCAAATTCTTCTTCTTATTATTATTTGTGTTAGTCAAGGGTCCTTCTATCGAAAAGAGAAGACGGTTACAGAAAGCCAAGGCAAAGAGTCTTCATCCCAAGCCTGCCGTTATCACTGCTAGTAAGAACCTGTCTCGAAAAAAGTTAAAGAAAGTAGAAAAGGCATTACGTAATGTAAGTAATAATAAAAAAGAAAACATGTATTTGATCTGATTAACATAATTCATATTGTATTTCTCCTATAGGAAAAGAGATGGATGGCTAGTAAAGGACTTATTGTGAATGAAGAAGAAATGACTGGTAAAGAAAGGAAAAAAAAAAGATTACGGATTTGTATGTGGTATTGATCAAGCAATTTTTTTTTTATCAGATGTTGTTGAAGTGCCTCCTGAAAAGCGTAGAGTGATGGTGACCATTCCTGAAGAAATCCTTCTTGCTTCTGCATCTGGATCTGGAACGACTTTGGGTGGCTACTGAAATATAGTTAATTTTTTAACTATTGGTCAATCATTTAGTTGATTTTATTGTTGATCTCATTTTATTTTTATTTTTATCATTATTATTATTGTTATTATTTTGTGCATTCTCTTCTTCCATCTCAATTCATTTTATTCTTGTACTATATACGTTGGCTCCAGTTGAATTAGACTTGAAAAAACATCAAATAAAATCATCATTTTTGAAAAAAAAAAAAGACTTGATTTCCATGATGGTGGATTGTTGATATTTTATTTGATTTGTTTCCTTGGATTATAAATGATGATGGATCATATGTGGTGATAGATGATATAAGATATAAATGACTAATGATGATGTTCCTAAATGATATGTTTATTATATTGTGGTTGCGGAATGATAAGCATGATAGAAAAAAATAAAATGATGAAATAAAATGTAATCCATTGATTATCAAACATGATATCAAGATGTTATTTTTTATTATAAAGTGTACAATACAAGTCTAATCTAAACATGATCTAATCTAATTCGTATTGGACCAAAGCCAATTCCTTGACAAAAGTAGTATCATGTGTATCACCAGGATGACAGTCACTTTTGCATACATATACCAATACCGTTCCAAATTCCATACCCGAGTTCAAACTATCCAATTTCGATGTGTTCATAGATGGTTGAGTATCTGTTGCGTATTCAGATGTGGGAAGTATAGATAACACATTCGGCATTAACTGCATTTCAAACACACGTGGACTTTGACATACTTCACATTTGCCGCCTTGATTGCCACCCAGATGTTGATCACCGATTGTTTGTTGATACAAAAGTGGAGATCCAGCCCATTCGTATCTGATGCATTGACTTGGTTCATACGCCACACGATCCATGAATTTCTTGAATTGTTTATCCACACCACGAGGTAATTGTTGTTTTTCATATTGTTCATTTATCCAAGTTCCTTCTTCATTATTGGTATCATCTTCCTCATTCAATAATTCAGCTTCCAAATCGAGGTATTCTTGATAGCGAGACATATCAATCTCTACATCTTGATCCTTGTTTAAATCTTCAGGGGTAATGTACAGATATTCACCAGGAAATGATGGTAAATCTTTGGTATCTACAGGTGGAGCATTATTCGATTTGATTGGTTCGACTGTTGTTGTTGATGATGATGATGATGTTGTTGATGATTTTTCTTTGAGTTGAAGCTTGCCCAGTTTTTCAGCTAGAGTGTCAGTCGTTGGTTTGTTCATACCGAATCCGCTGCCTATATCAGCTTTACTGGAACCGAATTGTTTGTTAGCACCCCATAAATCACCTAACTATTATCATACTATGGTCAGTTTATTTTGTTTCCTTTGTATAAACTATCATGCTTGTTTTTTTATTTTATTTTTTATTTTTACCTGAAATCCTTGAGGTGTACCAAAACCAGTAGATGCTTTTTTCTTTTGCTGTTCCAATTTCTTCTTCTTTTGTTCTTCCTTTTGTTGTTGAGCACGTAGGTAGTCTTCGTCTACTAAATGAGATCGTACAACAGAGAAACTACATTATTGAAATAAGTCAATTCCTGCATGGTGTAATTTATACTGTTCTTTTTTTTTTTTTTTTTACCTTCCGTCCTTACGCATACAACTGCGTCGATTACAAGCCCAAATATAAATCACACGATGATAAATTGAATCAGGTAAAGGAACATAGGTTTGGCAGAGTAGATACATCCAATCATGACAAAGACGACAGCGGCATAGATCATTTGGAGGAGTAACGTCATTATTCAGCCACACCTTGATTATTAAAGAAGGAGAAGAAAAATTTGATTTGTAAGACAGCTATGCATATGACAACTTTTTTTTTTTTGTGTACTTACAGGGAGACCACCTAACTTTGTGATATATGGATCCGTATCTTCTTCTTTTGATATAAACCCATCAGGAACACCTAATAATATATTTTGTATCTTGCTTGAGGATTGTTTTTTCTTTTGTGACATTAGATCTTGACTACTAGTGCAATAAGGAGTAGAGAGAAGGGGGAGTAGAAAAAAAAATTTTTTTTTTTCATTTCCTTAGTGTTTTTCGATCATCCCATTCACCAATGGGAACCTTGAATTCAAAGGCCGAAAAGAGCACTTTTGCTTGCGATTGACAGGTGGAAAATTTCATCATTTATAGTAAAGAAGGTGATTGGCTGGTTGTACAAAACTGAGACTGAGGAGAGTTTAAAAACCTTTTTTTTTTTTTGATTCCTTTTTCTTTCCTTTATCTTTTTCTTTTCATATCTTTATAACATTCATCAATATGTCTCCTGTTAATGCTACCTCTGGCTTTGGTACCCGTGCTATTCATGCTGGCCAAGAACCTGACCCTATCACTGGTGCTGTGATTCCTCCTGTTTCTTTATCTACTACTTTTAAACAAACTGCTGCCGGTGTTCACTCTGTAAGTATAATAGTTGAATTGGAACGGCGATGTCATTTTTCCCACGAGAGCCTGCGAAAAAAATACGGGAATACACAGGAACAAAAAAAAAAAAAACTTATTTCTTATTGTTTTCTTTTATATATAGGGTTACGAATACTCTCGTTCTGGAAATCCTACTCGTCATAACTTTGAAACTGCTGTTGCCGCTTTGGAAGGTGGAAAGTATGGTCTTGCTTTTGCTTCTGGTTCTTCAGTTACTGCTACTATTTTGAATACTCTTCATTCCGGTGCTCATTTGATCTCTGTCAATGATGTTTATGGTGGTACTTACCGTTACTTTACCAAGGTAGCTGTTCACAATGGTGTCGAAGCAACTTTTGTTGATCTCAATGATGCTGCCAATGTCAAGCCTCATTTTCAAGAAAACACAAAGGTAAAAAAATTTTAATATTAGAAACGGAGTTAGTGGGTGACGGCAAAAAGGGAATGTTCCTAATCTTTTTTTTTTGTTATTATTTTGTAATAGCTTGTATGGGTAGAATCTCCCACTAACCCTACTTTACGTATTATCGATATCCGTGCTATTGCTGACTATGCTCATGCTCATGGTGCTCTTCTTGTAGTTGACAACACTTTTATGAGTCCCTATTTCCAAAATCCTCTTGCTCTTGGTGCTGATATTGTTGTCCACTCTGTTACCAAGTACATCAATGGCCACTCTGATGTGGTAATGGGTGTTGCCGTTACAAACAATCAATCCATCTATGAAAAACTTCAATTTATGCAAAATTCCATGGGTGCTGTACCTTCTGCCTTTGATTGTTTCCTTGCTCGTCGTGGTTTGATGACTCTTGAAATTCGTATGCAACGTCATGCTGCCAACGCTCAAGCCTTGGCTGAATACCTCGAAACTAATGATCTTATTGAAGAAGTCATCTATCCTGGTTTGCCATCTCATCCCAATCATGAACTCGCCAAGCAACAACAACGTGGATTTGGTGGTATGATTTCCTTCCGTGTCAAGGGTAATTTGGAGAATGTCAACAAATTCCTTGGTAACTTGAAATATATTACTTTGGCCGAATCTTTGGGTGGTGTGGAATCATTGATTGAATTGCCTTGTATTATGACTCATGGTGCTGTCTCTGCTGAAGATCGTGAAAAGTTGGGCATCACTGAAAACTTGGTTCGTATGTCTGTTGGTATTGAAAATATTGAAGATTTATTGGCAGATCTCAAACAAGCCTTGGAAAACATGTAATAGAAACGTTGTTTGGATTGAATTGGATACCTAGAATTAGTATGCTTAAGGATACTTAGTTTAGTTTGGATTATTGTACATATTTTATAGACCCTCTTTTTACTTTTTATTTTTTTATTTTTATTTTTATCCTTTTTATTAATAATCGTGATGCAATAAAACTGGGCTACCTTTTTTTTTTTTTTTTTTTTTTTAGTGAATCTATTTATTTTATTTTGTATGCAACAGGTATTTAACGGATAGGAAGGCAAATGAATTCAAATCATCAGCATCGTCATAATAAAGTTTTCTTTTTTACATTCATTCGTTCCGCGGATATCCATACATGGTCATTGGGATACGTTTTTGGGATTGACCACTTGATCATTGTACTCATCCATTATTCTCATATATCTTTGTTCTCGGGAAAGAATAATACACGAGACGACAGATTGTGCACCTGTTGCTTATTTTCTCACGAGTACACACGAACACACACACACATATACATGTACACACACGATGAATAGAACAGACAGAAGCAATATTGGTTCATGAAGAGTTTCAGAGTCAAAAAAAAAAAAAAGTACAATGTTTATTAAAAAATATATTCGTAACGTCTAGAAGCTAGATCTACACCACCCAAATGGCCCACATGATGATCGGCAAATCGCCAACCCCGGCGTTCATAAAACCTAATAGCATTTTCATTTTGATCCAAGACATAGAGATAGAGACGAGATACCCCGAGTTGTCGTGCCCACGCCATAAATGCCTCCATCAATTGCCATCCGCCACCCTTTCCCTGATGCTCCGGTAACACATGGAAATGGTCCAACAATGCACCATAGCCACAATCACGATCCCATTCCCCAGATACAAATCCAATAGCTTCCCCATGCTTGTCTTCCGCTATCAGTACTAATCGTTCGTCCGATGGTGCTTTTGTCATTGCTTGTTGCCAATACAGTTGTCGTTCCCTGAGTATATCATGGTCAAGATACTTGGTTGGTAATATACCTCGATAAGCTGTTTGCCAACTAAGAGTATGTATCCTCGCAAGAAGGTCAGCATCCAATTCGGTGGCAGGTCGCAATGTTGTTTCTATCATGGAATAAATCTAAAAAAAAAAAAGAAAGAGAGAGGTAAAAAAAAAAAAAAAAAAAAAAAAAAGATCCTTGAGTTCATAGTGTGTCAATTTTTCGGTTGGCCAATCAGGTCCCGCCCTTTTTTGTTAATACTTACTTAAATACCCCGCAGATGAAATCCGTTCGTTTGGTTCCATATGACAAGCTATCAACACAAAAAAAAAAAAAAAAAAGCTATGAATGGATGGACAATAAACACAAAATAATAAGTAAAAAAAGAAAAAAAGAAAAAGATATGGTTTTATTAACGTCGCACAAATCTATCTAATAATCGTTGCTTCACTGTTGATGGTGCTGAAGGTGTTCTAGCTCGTTTCGTCAGTGGATGTCTTCTTACTGAAGAACTGCCAGCAGTCCTTTTGGAGGTTCCCATATCATCATCGCTGCTACTATCGCTATTAACGTTATTGCTGGCATTGTTACTTGTTGTTCGTTTCCTTGATCGTTTAGTTGTTGTAGTTCGCCTTGATATTGATTTGGTACCGTCATCCGGATGGAATTCGTCATCTTCTTCTTGATATTCAAAATCATCACTATCATCCACTAGATAATCCTCCTCGCCAAAGCCTAGTAATTCCTCTTCTTCGTCGACTACAAATTCATCGTCACTAACATGTCCTCTGTTTGATGGTTGTTTTAGTTTGAGAACAAGTTTTGGTTGTTGGAGAGTTGCAGTACTAGATCCTACAGTCAATTTGTTGTTGTTGTTGTTGTTGTTGTTACTGTCAATGTTGCCAGTAATCGAATCATTACCCGAGTGTTTCTGTTGTTTGTTGTCATCACTTTCCTTTTGTCCAAATTTCAGTTTCAGCTTGATCACCTTGTGTTTATCAGAGTCCTGCATTCCATTGTTGCTGCTGTCGTTGTGGGTATTTTGCGCGAGTGGAGATGATTTGCGTTTCTTTTCTTTGCTGAACCTAGAGATTGCCTTTTCAACACCTTGTATGAGATTGAAGATCAAATCGGATGGATCTTCGATAGATGATGGTATGTCAGCCCTAGTATTCTTCCGTTCTTGACTGGAGGTTGTATCTTTTTCTAATAATTCTACGTCCTTTCGAAGCCATTGAGCGAGATCCATGATGCCTTGCAATTCAAATATGGATAATGATGATGAATCATCTATCAAAATAATAATAATAATAAAAATAACAACTGTTAATCTTCTTTGACTGATCCTATTTAAACCGTACTTTTTTTTTTCTTTTCAATACCTTGAAGTATAGAATTGTACTTTTGAGCAGCATACCAATTGATTCGTTTAAAATAAGGAAATCGAAATTTTGCAGGGACGTTCGTAGCTTCTTCAATATCATATATTTGTAGTTGTGTACCAATGTTCAAACCATGAAGGAAGTTTCCACCAATCACTAAAGCATCTTCGGGTGTATATACAGCATGTATCCATCCAGTGGGAATAATCCTATTACATTTGCTCATATCGTTAGTTTTTTTCCATTGTTCTCCATTCGTCTTTTATGACCTACATTGTATTTCCAGCCTTAAGATGTACTGCATAGCATGATTTGACTTCATCCCCTAAAAAAGTTGACGATTGTTCTGGTGATGAACTCCATTTTTGGTATCTTTTCAAATTCTTGCTTGTTGGTTCAATGAAATAGAAAATCTTGGAGCCACGGATAATGTGATAAAATACCTATTAAAATAAAAGTATATGAGTGGAATATCCGTTTGATTCTGTATCCTTTTTCATCCTTACCGAACTTCCACCAAAGTCTATATGACTAAAACAAAAGGAAAAAAAAAAAAAAAAAAAAAAAGAGAAAGATTAGAAAGTTTGTCATCAAGTAGCAAGAATATACTTACAAATCTGTATATGAATCCTTTGTTCCCATTAGACAATAAAGCTGAACTTTTGGGTATTCTTTGGGTCGAAGGTCTTTAGGCCACATATGATCAATCCAATCCATATCCCTAAAATAAAAAAAAAAATTAAATCAATTCATTTTTATTCCATCATCCTTCAAATATTATTTATTACCTGACAAGTTTGGGCCGAATAATACTACTTCCGAATTCCGTTCCACTGATTTCCAAACTTATGACATTTCTGATACGATCTCGATCGGGATTGTTGTAGTATTCTGCCCATTTACCCATAGTCCAACCAGGACTATCCGATTGAGTAGCAACATCTATTAGAAAACAAAAGAGTTAAGATTATTTTCAACAAGAAAGTATCATCTAAAGAACTTACCAATGACCTCTACTGGTCGATCTTCCCCTGTATTGAATAATTAAAAAAAAAAGATCAAATGTTAAGTAAATTTTTTCTTCTTATGATTTTATAACTATATCCAACAACAAAAAAAAAATTACCAACAGCTTTTGCAATATCTTGTACTGTTGTTTCATTTGAAGGCATCTTCATACCAAGATCTTGATCACATTCTATAACAAAAGGTTCCTTCAATCCATGTTTCCGAAAACGTTCCAAAGTGACTTGATCACCTTTATATCTTTTGAATCTGTCCATGTCAAATGTCTTGGTGTTGAGCATCTTGCCCCAGATTTTTTCATCACCTGCAAGTCCTTCATTCATATCAGCATAATTCAAACGTATACTATCGCGTTTTGACTTTCTTGGTTGAGGTTTCACTAAAGAGAGACAGAAAAAAAAAAAAAAAAGAGGGTGAGAAAATAGATACTGGAGACAAGTAGCCAACGATTATAAATGGTAAAGGAGAAAAAAAAAAGAGAGAGAGAGAGGAAGAAAGACAAGGATAAAAACATAATGTCATACTTACAAGTACTAGGACCATGTATAGGTAAGCAAGAAGGACAGTGGAAGATTTCAATTGTATCGCAGTCAACAGCGGGAATTTTTAAACAATCAGCATGATACCATATGGAACAAGCATCACATTGTAGCCAAATATCATATTGAGCACCAGTAGGATTCTTCTCTGTACACAAAGGACATAGTTCGTTCACGATTTCCATTACAATGTAAAAATATCTGTCAAAATAAAATGGCAAAAAAATAAAAAACAATATCGAACAGAGAGAGGGGGAGAAAAAAAAAATTTCAAATCGAAAATGGAGTTCATACAGCATACAGCCAAACCTGCTGTTTGGTTTTGCCCATTTTGAAAGTCCGTTTTCAAGTGATGAAGTGATGAGAGTCTCCTAAAGATCATTTTTTAAAATGAATAAAATAGATGAATATTAGAGTTCGATCCAAGTCATAGACTTTTTTTTTTTTATTATGTATAAAATAGACTTGCACTCATTGTAAATCATTTCCTTCAAATCAACTCATCACTTCTCTAATACAATTGATCAGCAAGTTACTGTTTTTTGAATGAATCATCATCATTACAGCAAACAGTCATAACAGTTTTTTTTTTTTTTTTTTAAAAAAAAAAAGCAGTATGAGATCAAGTATAATGAGGATGGTCATTTATTTTCTATAGTCTACTCTTGTGATGCTTGCTTCAAGACAATGTAATAAAATAGACAATGGCACTGCACCAACTTCGGTGATTTTCCAAATAAGGAATAGACTTTTGTTCCTATAATATGTATATATATATATATATTCATCTTTTCATTCATTGATTTATCTAGCCACCACTTTTTTTAAAGTAGTAGTTGATTTCTCTCTGGCTTATTCATCAAAAATTCTAACCATTGTTTTTGTAATATCACATGAGATAGAAATGTATCTCTTTCTCCTTCTGCAACTCGCTCAGAAATCATCATCATCGCATCAACTTCGAACTGAGTATACATGAAACCATTCTCTTTCAATTGCATTAATAGCAGTTTATAGATTACCTCCCAATTTATAGAGTAAATTAAAAAATAAAATTCAATATCGTCATCCTTCATCCAATAATGATCATCATCGAATAAAATGACCACCATTGGATTCCTCTTAAAAAAGTAGTTTAATATCATCTAATACCATTTTATCACTTATCTTTCCAGCTAATGTGCAATAAAACACTAAAATATTTCATCGATTTTTCAAAAAATTGCCTGATGTACCCTCGACGATTTAGTTTTACAGCCAAAATTTAGCTGAGGAATTTGAAAATTTTGGCTGTAAAGTCCAAAAACTGATCCCATTTTTTTATTTTTTTTTTCTGCCTTTCCAAACCTCTTTTACTTTTTTTTCTCCTTTTTCGTTCCTTATTACTTTTTTTCTTTCTTTCCTCTATCAACTAGCTTGGTTGGCACTTTTCCTCTTGGTTTGTTTCCTATGGAACGGTTACGTAGTCATGTCGTCAACCCCATCTATTAAACATCTTTTATGAACTCAAGGTAATGTTAACAAGAGGAAATAGAAAGTAATACATCGGACAATGATACTAATCCATTTTCATGAGCGTTTCTTTTCTTCTTTTTTAGGTTTTTTCACATCAGTCGAAGCGAAAACGGACAAGTAGTATATGGAATCCTATTTTGTTTCTATTGGCTTTGGTTACTATATATATCTGGTAAGTCAATCTCTCTCTTCTCTACTTACTTTTGTAACCTTTTTCCTTGTTTTACATCCTTTCTAACATTTTCCTTTCATACTTTTTTTTCTCATTCTTTCAATTTACATACACTAATCTCTTGATATTCTTCTGATTCTTTTTTCTTTTAGTATCGACAACTATGTGAATTGAATGATTTCGCATGGACAGACACCAAGATGGGAACTAGATCAATACAAGAAACAGGATGCAATTATTTGGACATACAATGGACTAGATGAATATATAACGAATATGGATGGAACTTGTCTAGATGAACATGTAGTAAATCGGATGATATACTAGGTCATCAAAGTAGAAGTGATTTAACACGTTACACTCGATCCAACTTTGATTTATGCAAAACTGGACTAGACGGAATTCTTGTTGATGAACCAAATACAGACATTACTTGATTATATGATGCATCTACTTTTGTACCTATTAACCCAATGGATGAACTTACTAGTATTGCATTTGGTAAGATGAAAATAATAATAATAAAAATCTGGGGCGGAATAATAATACAGTATCGCCTTTAGAACTGATCTTCATTTTTTAGTGTCTTCTTATGGTAGTAGGTAGTTCTTCAGGTCATATGTTTCGGATACTCTGTGGTTCCCTCTTTTGGTCAACAAGGTTGTCTGGCTCGTTTGTTTTTCGCGACACACATTGATGGTGAAAAAATGCAAGGCTTTATTTTCCCTTTTGTTTTGTTTGGTACTTCTTTATGGAAAACGATGGCTAGTTGACGAACACATACTCTTACCTTTTATTCAACAAATTTTTATGGATTTGTTATTATGAATCATTCGGTCCGATGGTAAGTCCAATGAACCTGAATGGAAAATTAAGAAACAAAAGAAAAAAAAAATACAAGGGTGTGCATGCTTGTATTCAAACCCATCATTATTTTTTTTACCTTTTTGAAATAGGGAGACATTTGGCAGAGATCATCATTGGATCCAATTCACTCGGAGAACTAAGATACAATCGATCGGAAAAACTCACGTGTCTTTGACTGGAAAGAATGTCAATGGTTTTTTAAGATACACAATGTTGGATAGACAATTATTAGTAAATGCAGTTTTGAATTTATTGATGGATGACAAGCGGGAATCATGTTTGATCTAGGTAATAATCATTGTTTGGAAGAATAAGAAGAAGGAAAAGGAATGATCATCGAGAAAGAGTGGAAAGATACTCATCATGATACAATTTAACATTCTTTTTTTTTTCTTTTTTGTATTTCTCTCTTTTTTTTTTTTATTCATATAGATCGTCTACAGTGGCGTGATTGGTACAATCCGGTATTGGAAAAAAAAAAGTCTTTTTGGATGAAATATCAAGTGAAACATGGCCATACTTCTGAAGTGATATACTTTTCGGACAATAGTAAACCTATAACAATGGATGGCTTGGATGGCTTTGATGATTTATAGTTTAGATTTCATTTTAGATAGTTTATAGTATGATGATGATTTATTTAATATATCACATAGACTTCAATGAAATAAACATGAACATTTGATGTTTTTTAAAATTGTAATACTATTTATAAACTCGTTCATCCTTTTTTTTTCTATGATGGATCAAAAAAAAAAAAAAGTAAGAAAGGGATTGATCTCCGCTCACAGGTCAAAAAGAAAAATAAAAAGTTTTCTGGATTCTTTTTTTTTTTTTTTTTTTTTTTTTGTTTTTCTTACTTTTTCTTCCCACGATTAGAGTCACAGCATGAACGAAAAAGATGTATTAAAAGATTATGGGGTCACGACAGAGATTGCTTCAGATCTACCATCGTCATCATCCATGGTGGAAGATGAAAACGAAGAACCTACTGTGGACGATTGGAAAAACTTACGAGAAGTAGCCGACAATATCCCAAAATCAGCGTTTTTGATCATCTTGATTGAATTTTGTGAACGATTTACTTTTTATGGTTTAAGTGGTCCTTTTCAAAACTATATTCAACAACCACCTCCACCTTCTTGTAAGTATTATTATGATTATAATTATTCCAATTCACATTTTTTTCTTTTTCAGATCCTGCTACAGTACCTGGTGCTTTGGGTAAAGGTCAACAAACAGCCACTGCTTTGACTCTCTTCTTTAACTTTTGGTGCTATGTGACTCCAATCATTGGGTAAAAAAAAAAAAAAAAAAAAAGGGACCGTGGAAAAAAAAATGTCAAAAACGGAGTTACCAAAAACAACATTATTTCTAAATGGAATTTTTTTTTTTTTTTTTTTTACAACAAATAGTGCGGTGATTGCAGATCAATATTTAGGCAAATATAAAACGATTCTTGTATTTGCATGTGTATACTTTGTTGGATTATTAATTTTGACATGTACCTCGATTCCAGCCGCAATTGAAAATGGTAGTGCATTTCCAGGTTTTGTAGTTGCGCTTGTGGTGATTGGCTTTGCAACGGGAGGCATCAAATCAAATGTATCACCTTTGGTGGCTGAACAATACCCTCACAATAAGGCTTTTATTCGTACTCGTGCCAATGGTGAACGTGTGATTGTTAGTCCTCAAGCTACCTATCAAAAATTATTCAATATGTTTTATTGGGGCATCAATTGTGGTTCTCTGGCTTCTGTTGCTACGACATTACTGGAAAAAAACGTGGGCTTTTGGATTGCCTTTTTATTACCCACCTGTGTCTTTATCCCTGGTATCTTCTTGGTCATCATCGGTAAAAAATGGTACATCCAAACCCCTCCTCGTGGAAGTATATTTTTTGAAGTCGCTTCGGTCATCAAGCTTTCTTTCAAACTTGGATTGGATGGTTGCAAACCTTCTCAGTTAAAACTTTCTCGACCTGATTTACATGTCACTTGGGATGATGTATTTGTTGATGAACTTCGCCGGACATTCAAAGCATGTGTAGTCTTTTGCTGGTATCCTATCTATTGGCTATGCTATTCTCAAATGACGAACAACTTGGTATCCATGGTTGCGACCACTCATACTGGCTCCATACCAAATGACATTTTACAAACTCTTAATCCTTTAACTTTGGTTATCTGTATTCCTATCATGGTAAGATCTCCCTAAAATAATAAAAAAAAAAAAAGGATGATGGTTTTCATTGACACCTTTTTTTTTTTTTTTTTTTTTTTTTTTTTTTTTTTTTTGTATAGGATCGAGTGATTTACCCAATTCTTCATCGTCTTGGATTCCCTATGCGACCCATGTCACGTATCACTTGTGGATTTGTGTTTGCATCTCTTGCGATGGCCTATGCTGCCATTATTCAGCACATCATCTATACACGACCTCCTTACTATGATCATCCTACTGGTAACAAGAATGATATCACAGCCGCCATCATCGTGCCCGCTTACATCTTAATTGCCATCTCTGAAATCTTTGCTTCCATCACCGGTTTGGAATATGCTTTCAAAAAAGCACCAGAGAAGATGAAATCCTTGGTGATGGCCATGTTTTTATTTACTAACTGTATTGGTGCTTTGTTGGGCTTTACCTTGGTCTCAGTGGCGGTGGATCCCAAATTACAATGGATGTATACCGGTATCAGTGTCGCCATGTTTGTCTGCGCTATCCTCTTTTACGTATGCCATAGCAAGAATGATGCGACTGATGTGGAAGAAGATAATATTGTGCGTGCTCAGACTGAAAAAGATATTTACAATCAAAAGATACATCAAGAAGCCATAGAAGAATATGAAATTGGTATCAAGTCAACGGTCTAGTTAATTGTTCTTTCTTGTCAATCATGTAAATAAAATCATCACTCTGCTAATTTAAATGAATAAACTGTGATTCAATTGTTTGAAGAAAATATGATTGGAATGTTTTATTTTTTTTTTTTTATGGATGATGGGATCAATGGATGACAACGTGACTAAAGGAATTTAATAGTCTAATTTCTTATGCCAAAATATTTAACCGAGATCGTGATGAACTCAAATTGACAGGTAATAAAAGTACTACATGATCATTAGTGTTAGTCACAAACATGAGCATTCATCATCGATCATTCATCATGAATAGCCCGTTAGTAATCATAAAATATCATTCATCAGTAATAAGCACCAAATATCAAGGATCTAAATATCATCATTCATCGTCATCAATCTATTTGTAGAATACAATAAAAAAAAGAGAACTATTTTTGGTAAACGAGCTATTTTATTGTTATTTTCCTTACTTGCATGACGGAGTTATCGCGACGGCAGGAAGTAATGCAAGTGGCCACGTGCTTTTAAGGGAATACAGTAGAGAAGTAATGCATAGGTTTGAATTTCCGATGATGAGAGTATTGAGAGGGAGAAAGGCAAATGACGACATTTCGGTAGAACAAAAGAGAGGGTTTTGAACTATAATGGTAAATAAGCTTTGATAAGCACTATTTCCTCATTTTTGATTTAATTCATTTAATATCAGATGAGGAGAGTTAAATAAAAAAAATGAATATTATAAAATAAGATAACTAGCAACATGGTTCGTGGAGTTTAAGAATAATCAAACTAAAAAAAGAAGTTCAGATAAAAAAAAAAAAAAAAAGGAACAGAAATAAATCCTGTATATGGATACTAAAAACCATTGGTGCGGCGAGTAAATGATTAATCAAATATCTTATTCCATGGCAATCAAGCTTGAGCGATCATTGGTGCAGTACTATCGGATGATGATGAAAGAAAGAAAGCGCTACTTTCCCCAATTAGCGCGGTCCTCGCTTGAGAGCGGGGATAAAACTTTTTATTTCATTCTTTTCCCCTCTTTTTTTGGGTTCTCTCCACTTCGTTTCTTCCTTTTTTTTCTTTTCTTCTTTTTTCTTTTTTTTTTCTTTTTTTCTTTTTTTTTTCTTTTTTTCTTTTTTTTTTTCTTTTTTTCTTTTTTTTGATCCATACTCGATTCGTGTTTGATAGTACATTAATGTACGATGCAGATAGATCGGACGACAAGTAATGCAACAGCAAGACGACGACCTTCTCATATCAATCTTAATGGAGTCAATGCTGTGACTGACGATATTTTATCACCACGAACTCCAAAGTCTATCAGCAAATCTAGACGAGGATCCTTGGCTCCTGATTGCGTACAAGAAGTATTAGAAACCTCATCAGCTAACTCGTCTCGTCCAAGTAGCGTTTTTGGCAATAATAACAACAACAACAACAACAACAACAACAACAACAATATGCAAGGAGGACATTTGACACCTTCTCTTCTATCAGATTCAACAACAACTTATTTTGATATGCAACAACAGCCTCAACCTACCAGCTCTTGTTCTTCTACTTTGTATTCCGGAGTACATGAATCATCTACAGCAACAACTGGTTTTCAACGAATTTCAATGATGGATCCAGCAAGTGTACATCATGCTGCAGCTGCGGCCGGATTACAACCACCTCCTATGTCCAATTCGATATCGCAATCAACACCTACCAATGGCAATAATAGCAACAATCGACCTCGATCTTCTTCTATTTCAAGTATTATGACTATCAATGGAGTCACTTCTCCTAGTTTTGATGTGCATACTATTTATCGAATCAAGACAACTAGATCATCGAAAAAACTGGATCATTTTTTTGGCGAACAGATTCCTCACGATATCTGTATCAAGGAAATCAAAAAGGAAGGTCTCAAGGCATTATTACAATCCAAGGTTCCTCTGTGTTACTTTTTATATCATCTGTTGGAAGAATATAGTCATGAAAACTTGGTAAGTAAAAAAAAAAAAATGACAATGATTTGGTTGTATTACTAATCAGATCAAAATACACTCGCTTCTTTTTATTCTCTTTATAGTTTTTCTTTATTGAATTGGAACAATACGAAACGTTTCAATACGTGTCCCGTGTACAACAATTAGCAACAGCACAACATATTTTTAATACTTATTTGACTCGTAACAGTCATTTTGAAGTCAACTTGGATGACAAAGTACGACGAACAGTGACGGATGCTTTACAGCGAAAGGATGTAGAAAAATGCTTTGAAACGGCGAAACGATCGGTGTACTCTTTATTGGAGTCCAGTTATATGCGTTTCTTGATGACAGATATATATCAAAAAATGATCACTAACTGTGGTAAGATAATTGATATCTAAATATAGAACAAGAACGAAAAAATCTCATCTTTTATTATATATAGGCGAATTGACAACACATTATCCAGATGAAATACGATTTACAGCAGTCAATGTCTTGTTGGATTATATTGAACGTGAACACGCCATGATTTACACCAATCCTTTGACAGATGCACCAGTTTTTATGAGTGTGTCTCAAACTTCCAAACGACGTCACGAATTGATCAAGTCAATGATTCATGAATATTGTCGTACTCTTGTTGGTGTTGAATTTAATTATTATCGTCAAGATCCAAATGAAGATTCCAATAATCAACAACAACAACAACAACAGCAACAACAACAACAACGATCACCATCTCCTCAAGAAAGTAAATCTCCAAAACAACAAGGCAAAAGCAAGTTTGATTTTTTAAAGAAGAAATGATTTTACTTTTTATGGATGTGTACAACAACATGTGGCTATTTTATTTTACGTAGATCATCTACCAACCAACCATTTATGCAGTTTAGACTTCCGAAATTTTTTCTACACTCTTTTTTTTTATATATTCTTATTCGATGTACTTTTATTATATATGTATATGCCTTATCACACTTTATGCCATTTATTTTATTTTTAATTTAGTCAGAGTAGTTTTCAATAGATTTTTATGAACATCCCCTCCATTTTATACTTTAGATAGACTTATTTTTACCTTATGTAGATTCCTTTTAATAAAATGACATGAATGTAATACAACTTATTCTCTTTGTACTATTGGTGTTACATAAGTCTTCATCTGATTTTATTTTTATACATTGACTATTTCGTTTTTATGTACTTTTGTGGTACAGATATTCAGTAGAAAGATAAAAAAAGAAAATTCAAGACACATCATCCCTTCTTGAATATGGAAATAGTTTATAAAAATGATTTTTCTTCCTCTTTTTTTTTTTTTTGTTGTCTCTTAATAAATCAATAGTAATATCTATTTCTTTTTTTTTCTTGTATTTAACCCTCAGTGAGTATTATGCATTTTTGAATATCTATCTATATATATGTGTGCCTGTGTGGGCGTAACGTGTGTACGTGCGTGAGTAGTATGTGTGTGCGCGCGTGTATATGTGCGAATACCATGTGACGAACGCAAATTACTTTTTTTTTTTCTATCAAAGATCCAGCCTTCCTTTTTTTCACTTTCTCTTCCGCTCTCTTTTTTTTTTTTTTGGCCATTATACAATTTATTCATCTTTCCTTTTCAATATCATCGACCACCCTTTCCTTTCACTCAATACAACCTTTTTGCCTTTGTTTTTGTCATTTTATATATACATTCTTTCTTTAATTCAAGAACAACAACAATAATGGCGATCAGTGGTGACTCAACCTCAACACGAAAGACGGGACAAGTCAAATTTTTCAACTCTACTAAAGGCTATGGTTTTATCCTTCCGAACGATTCCTCGGCTAACCTGAAGGATCCAAATACAATGGAAGGTAATAGATATGTGAAAGCAAATTTATAACGCGTTGAAAATAATTCTTTTTTTTTTTTTATTAGAAGTATTTGTTCATCATACTGCGATCCAAAACAACGGTGGTTTCAAGAGTCTACGCGAAGTAAGTCAAATGACATCATTTTGGTCACGATCATCTTTTTAATTACTGTCATTTTCTTTTATCTCATTATTTTAGGGTGAAGAGGTAAATTTATCAAACAAAAAATTGGAGGAAAAGATGAATATACAGGAGAAAGAACGAGACAATTAGACGTCATGATGTTGTCTTGCTCATATATATTTTTTATTGATTTACTTTTCCGAGGAACATTCAGGTTGAATATGATTTAATTCAAGGTCCAAAAGGAATGCAAGCTGCTTATGTTACAGGATTAGGAGGCGCTCCTATTAAGGGCGATCATTCAAGGAAAGTGTACGTTATTTATTTTTTTATTATTTCCAACTATTGTCATCGATTGCATTCATACTTTTTTTTTTTTTTTTTTTTGGAGTAGCCAACATCATCAAGAACAAAAACATTACCAAAATCATCGCCGGATGAATTATGGTCATCATCATTTCCAATATCAACAATTTCGACAACCACAACAGCAGCATCATCCTCATCATCTACATCTTCAACGTTACAATGGTAAAACAGATAATAGAGGATAAAATTTTGATCTTACTATTAGTATTCACGAATACCTTTTCTTTTTCGAAACAGGTTATTATAATCCTGCTCTACCTTATTATCAAGTACCGACCTTCCATATAGCACCACATCATTACACATATCAGAATACCCAAAATCAACCCCAGCAAGCACAACAGCAATACCATCATCAACAACAACAAGGGTACGGGATTATGTCTACTTCCCTTCCATATTATAATCCACCTTACCAATATACTCCCACTAGTTCAGAAACTTCTTGATCATCGTTGTTTTTCATTTTCCTTCTCTTTTCCCCATTTCATACAACAATCATCATCATCAATAAATTTAGCACTTGTACAAACATCAACCATTCTTTTTTGTCCTTTGATAGATCTATAAATCAAAAGGTTATCATTGCGTATGATATCACATTATTAGATATTTAAGAGAGTACAGATAGTGACACGAGCGAGCCGACAATGTGACACCATTTTTGACCAACAAAAAAAAAAAAAAGTAATCGATTCTGAGGATTTTTCAAGTCAAAGCTCGTCATTGCCACCGTGGAACCTTCATTGAGTCATCATCACATAGTATCCCATCACCATTTATCATCCTCTCATCCATTCATCACATATCATCTCATCATCATACTATCATCTGCTTATCTATAATACATTCCAACAAAAAAAAAAAAATCAAAATAGCGGTAATGAAGCGCGCGATGTTTTATTTACATAAAAAAAAAAGAACTAAGAAGTTTTATCTAATTGATCAATGAGGGATTGAGAGGAAGGAATATCTACATGTTGTGGAGGAGGAAAATAAGGCTGTACAGGTGAATCTGATCGTTTTGACTAAAAAAAAAAAAAAAAAAAAGAATAAGGATTAAAAGAAAAGGTATGGATAACGTTTGATCCTATATTTTATATAAGATGAATGAGTAACTTACAAAGCGAAAGGGTAAAGAAGGTTTCTGTAAACTAGTTTGCACTGCGCGTTCCATATCGTCTACATTGTGGGTCACTTGGGTCAAAGTATGGTTCATTTGATTAACAAGTAACTATGGAGAAAAAAAAAGGTTATCTAAGCACAACTAGACATATCCATTTTATATTATATATCTATTACCTCTAGCTTATCGATGGTGTTGAAAGCTTGTTGTAATGATGCAGCTTGTTGACGTAATGAAGCTAAAGCATCCCGACATGTTTTTGTATCCGTCTGAATCTATCCATGATGAAGAAATATTCATAGACCCAGTCAGTAAACATGTTTATCAATTTATGTCAATAAATTACTTGTAAAGTTGTATGTTTGGTATCTTGAATTTGTTTTATACATTGTGCACCTTGTTGCTGAACACTATTCAGCTAAATAACATATTATATATAATGATATAAGTAACACAAGAAGCATTTTGATCTTTTTTTTTTTATATTACCAAAGATGTGGTTGTTCTTTCGACGCTATAATACTCTGCTAATTCTTGTGAAGCATTATCTATTAAAGTTGAGGTTGCTGGTATCACATCAGACATGGTGAAAAAGCAAAAAAGACGAAGGAAGTGAAAAAAAAAAAAATCAAAAAGTCTGGTTTTTAAAAAACAAGGTTTATTTTCCTATTTTAAGTGATACCAGCAAGCGGCGTACACCATAAAAAAAAAAAAAAGAAAAAAAAAAGAGTAGAAAGAGGAAGCTCAGCTTCATATCGTTTTTTATTGGTAGAGTTAAAAAACGAGATGATGATCCAGCATCTAATAACAACAAAAAAGGGTTCAACTGAAAAAAAAAAAAAAGATAAATATCAAATGACATACATAGAATAAATAAAAAAAAAAAAGAAAAAAAGGAGAGATGGGGTATATGTACAAGGTAGGGTTCCGTTCGGAAGTAGATCATCCGATGAGATTGTTGGAGAAACCATGATGATGAGAAGCCTTCAAATGTTTTCTTAAAGACCGAGCATGAAAATAAGATTTACCACAATCAGCACAGACAAAAGGACGCACGTTGCTATGAGTCTTTTGGTGAGTACTCAGGGAATCAGGACGAGAAAATCGTTTTTGGCATCCAGCAGTACGGCAAACAAAAGGTCTTTCTCCTGTATGTGTACGTAGATGATTATGCATTTTGTGTCGTTTGGTAAACGGTTTATCATGTCTAGCACATCCAGTCCAACCACAATAATAAGTAGCCTATACATATAGAGAGTGGGTTATTGCTTTTTTTTTTTTAAAAAAAAAAGATGATGTAACTTATCATCAATATCAATCATTTACCTTTCCTCTACCAACATGAACACGATGAAGATGATCGGTCAGCTGTTCCAAAGTGGATGTAACAGTATCACATGAATCCCATCGACATTGCCAACCATCCTGTTTTGGTGATTCCGACGAATGATAGTATACTAACTCTTGTTCTAATGTCAGTACACGATCAATCAAAGCTTCTCTTGACCATTGTTGTAATGTAATAATAGGTGTGATTTCATTATTATCGGTCATCAAAGTAGAAGTAAAAGGAGGAGGAGAAGAAGTGGATGACGTATCAAGCGGATGATGTTGTTGAGGAGATGGACTGATGGATGAAAAAGTAGATATAGATGGTGATGAAGTAACAAAACATGGAGATTGTACTATAGATGATGCATCTGATCTCATAGAGTGATCATCATTTTGTTGTTGTTGAGGAAGTAAGGGAAGTAAACCTTGTTCATAGCCAGTATGATGCCATATATCCATGTTTGAATCTGTAGTATTCCAATAAGGTAACGATGTCATGATGTTAGATGTGGCCATAGTAGTAGAAGAGGTATTGGTGCTATAACTCACTACGGATGGATTAAAAAAAGTGGAAGAAGGTATATATATGAATGGTGATTCTTTTTTTTATTTTTTATTTTTTTTTTTTTTTTTTTTTTTTTTGCTTACATTGACCAGATACGTAATAATCCATATCATGTTTTAAAACCTGTGGGTAATCCAATGAAAGCATTTTTATATAAGTAGTAAAATAAAGTAAAAAAAATGAAAGAAAAAAAAAAAAGGGTTTTTATTTGTACAAAAAAAAAAAAAAAACCTTTTATGCGTGGAGAACCAGTAGAAAAAAAAAAAAAAAAAAAGGTCTCAGCGGAGTACTCCCGATCGTCCGTCCCACTAAAAAAAAAAAAAAAATGATATATATAGGGAGACGGGGACTTCCATTTTTTTTTTTCTTCTTCATTGATCTTCCCCCTTCCGTTAAATTCACAAGACATAAATGTAGATAAATAGAATCAGCCGGAGACAGTGATATATAACGTGATATCGGGATTTGACCATAACGATAACCCATAAACAAGGTCATCTGCACAGATTTTCAATGGATCATTCCAAGCATTGACTACTGTATGCAAATGAGCAAATGATCTATCCACAATCCGCCCATATACTTTAGAATCTAGATCATATGACATGGCCTTTTTTTTTTTTCTGTTCTTCCTTCCGCCTACAGTAATAACATGTGAATCATCATTTTTTTTTCTTTTTTGTCATAACATCATTCATTTTCTTTCATTCAAATATATTTTTATTAATAGTAAATCCACCTATACTAAAATACTAAACTATAAAACCTAAGATGTACCAGATTTGGATTGTGCTTCACCTTGTTTGATCAACTACATTCAAAAAAAAAAAAAGGAGAGAGTGAGTTGATAATAATCACAAGATAAAAATTTTCCCCAACAAAAATACAATTTTTGTATATTTACCTTTAAACGTATAGCTTCATGATGTAAATCCGAAATTTGTTGAGAGAATTGAGAGACCAAACCAGCAACTTTTTGTCCAGCAGGAGAATGTTGTAACCAATCTTGTGCTTTTTCAGAGGCTTCCTTTTGTTTTTGTTGTAAACCCATTCGCTGTTCCATTTCGTTGGCTCTGTCCGACACATGATATTGTTGATTCCATTGCTGCAAATTTTCTCGTATTTGATCAAAGTAATGTTGAACTTTTTCTCGAACACCAAACTTGTGATCAAATTCAATCCCTTTGGCTAACACTTGATCACCCAATAGATATCCTGACGCTAGTAGTTCAGCCATAATGTTGGATACAGGTTTGCTAGTCTGTTCTTCCTCTTCTTCACCTTGCTTTTCCTTCTTACTTTCTGTACCTTCCGATTCACTTGATGATACCTTTTCTTTCGTAGTTTCAAAGTAAGGTTCTACTTGAATATGATTATTTTCCACCAATGCTAATACATAAATATATAAATCATTAATTTTAAGTTTTTCATTATTATAGTTATTTCTATTACCATTACTAAGTAACTCGGCTGTCTTGGCTGCTTTGGAAGATTCAAATAGAATCAAGGCTTTCTGCTGATCACCATCTTCTTGTAATTCAATGTCTGAGATCTTGCCACAAAATGCAAAAAAGTTTTCCAAGGTTACTTGACTTGTATCTTTTCCAATATTCTTGACAATGACCAAGTTGGGAGTAGGTTGTTCAGGAATCTTCATCTTTTAGTACAATAAACCTAAATGATAAAAAAGAAATGAACATAAAAAAAAAAAAAAAGAAAAAAAAAGTAGAAAAGAGAAAGTTAGATTTTTATTATTATTATTGGTTTCATCATTCAAACCCTTGTCGTTTTTGACTTTTCCCACTAGTAATATTGCATAAAAAAAAAAAAGGGAAACTTGCTCTTTTCCTTCAAATTGATATGCTCGATCTAACTTACTTTGGCGGGTGTATAATGAAAATTTATTTTAGTCGTCAGTTTTATTCATCCTAATTCTATTTTTGTTTGGATAGGTTGACATTCGTTTACAAATAATAAATAAAAGAGAAAAGAAGAGAGAAACAAATGCGCGTCTCTTGCCCATGCAAGCAAAATGGCGTTGATTGAAATTCAGGCCAATCATAGATGTGATCTCAATTCTTTTTTTTTTTTTTTTTTTTTTTGGTACTCCAGCTAAAAAGAAAAAGAAGGCAGAAGATAAAATTATTTATGAGGAAAACTCATACTCTCTCTCTTTTTACTTAATGATATCTATGTATCCCCCCCCGAATATTGAAAATGATTCCTTCTCGATTTCTTGTATATTTGATGACATGATATTATTTCAAAGAATAGTTAGATGATATTCTTTTTTTTTTTTTTTTTTGTTTGATGGAAATCCAATCCCATTGCTGCCATTAAAAATTAAGTGGTGTCACAAAGAGAGAGGAAGAAGAATCGCATTGATAAACGTTTAAAAATATACATTGAAGCATTCCGGAGATGACATCTCGATAAGTTTAGAGCAAACTAAACAAATAGTGTTGTTTATCAATATGTTTCATAGATAATGTTGATGATATAAACTAATCCTTTTTTTTGCCAAGAAAAGTAGTGATAATTAAAGCGGATCTTGTAAAAAAGATAAAACCAATAATAAAGGATCAGGTACCATCATGCACAATAAACATCGGTAAAACTATTAAGACAAATCTTGTAAAAAAAGGACAATGGATCGTAAATGGAAAATGTTTATTTCTATGCTAAGAAAAGTAGATGGAAAAAATAAAAATAAAAAAAAAGTAATAATAATAGATAAACGACAAAAAAAAAAAAGGTAAATAGACTAGTAAGAACACTAATGAAGGGGTAATAAAAATAAATCAATAATAAGGGATAGCAATACTAAAACAAAAATTAAAACCAAGGATGGATGAAAACAAACCAAATTGAACTAGTCCAAGTATCTATCCATTTCTTACTTCTTTCACGGCCAAAGATTCAATGCTTTGAATTCATCAATGATTTGTTGTAAATTTTCCTTGGAGAGATAAGGTACCGAGTACTTGAATCCAGTTCTTTCTTCGATCGCAGTTCCATCGACAGAGATAGCATTGTTGTATAATAATTCTGGATCCAAATAGGGTGATAATGGTGAATGTTGAACGTTGTTGGCTTTCAAAATATCTGCCCATGGTTGTAAATGTTTTTCGTTGATATCTTCCACTACTGAATTTAAATTAAGCTAACAAAAAAAAAAAAAGTAGTGAGCCATAACCATATATATATATATATATATATTTATCTTACCTTGGCAAATGTTGAGACAACACTACCATGATAACCAGTTTGAATGCCAAAAATGGCACGTAAATGGGTATTGATAGTCTCTTGATCTAAAAAAAAAAAAAAAAAAAATTAACATCTAATTCTATTTGTATATGCATTCTTATATATACTTACCTGTATCTTGTTTATCAGCTAAATTGAAGATAGGTACTTGTGGATGTTCTGTTGATTGATACCATAAAGCCAAATGCCAACATGCCCTAACCACATCATTGACATGTACAGTGTTCAATTTCAAATCCTTAGACCATAGTAAAGTCATTTCTTCATTCAAATGTTTGTAAACACGACCAATGATGAGACGAGGAGTCAAGCCTGTATTAGCCCCTGGACCATAAGTAACAGCAGGACGAAGAATCACTAAATTCAATCTAATATATAAAAATAATCAGATTCGTCTATTTTTTTTTTTTTTTTTTTTTTTTTTACTTTTTTTTGATTTTTTTTTTACCCTTCCATTTTCTTTAATTGTTCTTCAGCTTGATATTTATATTTGGCAACCACAGTCCATGGTTTGATTTTTGATGATTCTTTGGAGGCTACCTATATATATATATATACGTAATGGTTTAATAAAAAAAAAAAAAAGGTCATGAATCCTTTTATATATATATATATTTTTACCTGATCACTATCATAAACTTCAGCAGAGGATAACATGAGATAGAATTTATTTTTTCTTTTAGCAGCTTCCTTTGCACAGTTAACAGAGAGGTTCAAAATGCGGTCTTGATATACTTCTTCTACTTGAGAATACTTGCATTCAGCAGCAAAGTTGAAGACATAATCAAATTCAGTATTATCGTCGCGTTGAAAACAAGAAGCAATAGAAGCTAAAATAAATAAAAAATAAAATAAATAAATAAATAAAATAAAAGTGAATATATATATATATATATATATAGTTATTCATACCTGGATTAACCAAATTAGCTTGTTTAAATTCAATCTTTTCAAAAGCTTGTTCGTGTTGTTTTGATAGATAAGCAGTTTGAGGTAACATTTTATCAGCAACGCGTATATGAGAAGTCAAGTTTTGAGTGACTAAATAATGAACCAAATGACGACCAATAAAGTCAGTACCTCCAAGAATAAGTACAGTTGGTTTATCTTTTTGAATAGTCATTTTTTTTATTTCAACAAAAAGAATGTATAATAATAATAAAACAATTAGAAAGATGAGACAAAGAGAAAAAAGATGGAGAGAGAAAGAGGGAGAGACAAAAAAAAAAAAAAATTAGAAAAAATAAAATAAAAAAAAGTAACGCCATAGTGGGAAAGAAGTAGAACTATATGAAAAAGGAAAGTGACACGAAATTATAAAAAAAAAATTTGGCCTTTCTTTCCTTTTAGATATTTTTAGAACACCGTCCTTTTTTTTTTTTGTTATTTAGAAAGATTTTTTTTTTTTTTTACCATTTCTTTTTCTTTTTCTTTTCTTTTCTTCTTTATTATTATTACTTTATTATTTGTATATTTAATTAGATGGAATCATAAATGACAACTCAACAAAGGAAATCAATTTATCAACCAGCATTGAATAGAGAATTATCATTTAATTCATCAGAAGAAGAAGAAGAAACTTTACCAATGTCTTCTGAAGGTATTCATAATAATCATCCAAAACGATCCAAATCATTAGTACGACCTGAAAGAGAAAGAATAGACAAAACGCATCGACTTTACCATTATCATCAAGCTATTACTAAACAAGACCCTGACAAGGTTGCACCAATAGGATATTCCATTCAATCACAACAACAACAACATCAACATCAACAACAACAACAACATTCATTACTCCGACGAGGAAAAAGTATTTTAGGTCGTGAAGAAGAAAAGGAAATTATAGATGATTCAACCATTGAAATTAATGAAAAAAAACGGAAATGGCCTAGTCCTTGGTATACTTATTGTTTATTGATTACTTGTTGTATTCCAAAACAAATTTTACGATGTGCTGGTAAATATATATATATTTATATATTTTATTTATACTATCGTTACACTAACATTTTTTTGATAATTATTTTTTATTATTAGGCATTCCTGATGGTCCTGCTCAATCTGCTTGGAGAGAAAAAATTGGTTTAGTCTCTATAATTATACTTGTTATGGGTTTTGTTGGTTTTTTAACTTTTGGTTTTACTCAAGCTGTTTGTCCTATTCCTCCTCTCAGTGTACATGGTGGTCAAGTGAATAATGGATATATGATCATACATGGATGGGCATATATGTTGGCTGATTGGGATTCTCATCCTGCTATTCCTGGTGTTACTAATGCTTCTACAAATGTATTATATTCTCCTCTCAATGGTGGTGGTATGGATGCCTCCTTTTTATTTCAACAACAAGTAGATACATCTGCATGTAATTCTGTACTTACATTAAAAAAAGGTCCACAATCTGTCTTTTTCCCTTGTCAATTATTCAATCCAAATTCAACTATGCCTCCATCTGCCTCTCAATTTTCCAATCACACTAGTTGTCATACTTCTTCTGCTGCTACTCAACAATACAACTCTTTTTATCAAAATGGTGTACCAAAGAAAAACGATGGTGGTGGTTTTAACAAAGCTGCTCGTGTTTATTATGATTGGTCTGATCTGAATCAAGAAAATCAATATATGGCTTATAATGGGTAAACATATATTTACATATATTTACATATATAAATATATATATATATATATATATGAATTAATATCAATCTACTTTTTTTTTTTTTTGAAACAGGGATGTTCTTAATCTCAAACTATTACAATCATTACCTTTGGACTATTTTGGTGTATTACAAGATGGATTGATTCAATCTATACTCAACAATGTGACAGAGTTCTCTGGTAAAGATATGACCACTTATATCCAAGCATATCGAAAGGAAGGTAATCAATGGGAACAAGAAGCAGCCTGTTTACGTTCATTGATCAAGGTGGGAGCTATTGACACTTTCAGTATTGGATGTATTGCTTCTGATATTGTGCTATACGTATCACTCGTGGTGATTTTGGCCGTGATTGGTGTCAAGTTTATGTTGGCTGTGATCTTTGGTTGGTTTTTATCGTGGAAATTGGGTCATTTTAGTGAAGATCAAAACTATGCAGCACGGATGAAACGACAAGAAGATATTGAAAATTGGGCTCGTAACATGGATGCTGCTGCTCCTTATGCACTTCAACCTAACAATCCTTACAACAAAAAACAACATAGGAAAACATTGTTACCTCAAACATCACGTTTTACTCAACCTGAACATGGTGTTCATCGATTCGATTCTGGTAGTACAGCAGTCTTGGCTTCTCCTTCTGCAAACAACTCTACCATCTGGACTCCTACTGCTCCCAATGCTCCTTTTATGCAACGTGCTTCTATGATGAGGTAAAAAAAAAAAAAAAAAAGATCATTCATTTTTAACCATTTATTTATACTCATCATCTTTTTTTTTTTTTTATGTGATTAGTTTACCCAATGGATTTGGATCAAGTCGTCCAAATTCGACATTCTTTGGCAATGTTGGAGGAGCTTCTACCCCTCGACTCAGTTATTATGATAATGCAAGTGGACATCGACTCTCGGCATTAACAACGCCTCGTTTATCAACAACATCTCTTTCTAGTGGTAGTGATAGTAACAACAACAACCTTCCCAAATGTCCTTTACCGTTATCACCCTATGTCAATCCACAACCACCAATCGACTATATGCCCTTCAAATTTGTACTTGCACCTACGATCTGTCTTGTGACATGTTATTCAGAAGGAGAGGATGGGATTCGGACAACATTGGATTCGATTGCTGTGAGCGATTATCCAAACTCACACAAGTTGTTATTAGTCATCTGCGACGGTATCATCACTGGTCATGGGAACAGCAAATCAACACCAGATATTTGTGTGGATATGATGCGTGATCTGATTGTACCTGCCGACCAAGTACAGGCATATCCTTATATTGCAATTGCGGATGGGAAGAAGAAAAACAACATGGCCAAAGTGTATGCTGGTTTTTACAAGTTTGATGATGCAACAGTGGATCCAAGTTTACAACAACGAGTACCTATGTTGACAATTGTGAAATGTGGAACAATGGAAGAACAACAAGAAGCGGCTAAACCTGGAAATCGAGGAAAACGAGATTCACAGATGGTATTAATGCAATTTATGCAAAAAGTTCTTTTTGATGAACGAATGACTCGTATGGAATATGAATTCTTCAACTCGGTCTGGCGTGTCACTGGTTTACCTCCCGATGCATTTGAATTGTGTCTCATGCTTGATGCCGATACCAAACTTTACCCGGATGCTTTGACAAGATTGGTCTCGTGTGCTGTCAAGGATCCTTCTATTTCTGGTCTATGTGGTGAAACCAAGATTGCCAACAAGAAGGATAGTTGGGTCAGTATGATTCAAGGTAAAGGATTATGATTTATATGAGAAAGGGAAACAAATTAAAGAAAAGAAAAAAAAAAGAGGAAGCTGATTCTATTTTTTTTCCTTTCTTATTTTGTAAAACTTTTTATTATAGTATTCGAATATTATATTTCTCATCATCAAAGCAAAGCATTTGAATCCGTTTTTGGTGGGGTGACTTGTCTTCCTGGTTGTTTCTGCATGTACCGCATCAAGGCACCCAAGGGTGAAGGATTTTATGTCCCTATTCTTGCCAATCCTGATATTGTTGAACGTTATTCTGAAAATGTGGTGGATACTTTACACAAGAAGAATTTATTGTTATTAGGTGAAGATCGTTATCTATCTACTTTGATGCTCAAGACATTTCCTAATCGAAAGATGATGTTTGTTCCTCAAGCTGTGTAAGTTGATGTCAATTAAAAAAAAAACAAATAGATATATATATATATATATACATGGAAACATTAATGACTGAATATGTATCTTACATTACATACATTTAGATGCAAGACGGTCGTGCCAGATACTTTTATGGTATTACTATCACAACGACGACGATGGATCAACTCCACTATTCACAACTTGATGGAATTATTATTTGTCAATGATCTTTGTGGCACTTTTTGTTTCTCAATGCAATTTGTAGTATTTATGGATTTGGTGGGTACTCTAGCACTTCCAGCGGCGATCTCTTTTACTTTGTATTTGATCATCATGGCTATTTTGGGCAAACCATCGGTAATCTCCTTGATTTTGTTGGCGTTAATCCTTGGTCTTCCTGCGGTGTTGATTATGATGACAAGTCGCAAATTGGTATATGTTGGATGGATGCTGCTGTACCTGTTTAGTCTCCCTGTCTGGAACTTCGTATTACCAATGTATGCGTATTGGCATTTTGATGATTTTTCTTGGGGAGATACACGGAAGGTGGAAGGTGAACAAAAGGAAAATGGTCATGGTGACAAGGATGGAGAATTTGATTCAACTGTATTTACGATGAAACGATGGCACGAATTTGAACGAGAACGACGTATTCAGTATGCATTGGATCATCAATTACCAGCTCCTCGATTTTTGGAACGTCCTCGTAGTGAAGCTTTCCGCGATTCAATGATGCTCTTACAACGACAACGATTGGGTTCAATACATTCAAATGAAAGTGATTGGCCTTTGGCTCAGATGGCGGTCATGCCCGATGGCATGATGGATGCTTCTTCATCTTCTATTGTCCATGCTGGTACTCCTTCTCCCTCCTCCTATTTCAATGGTGCATCTGCTCGACCCAACAACAACAATAACAATAGCAATGGATCAAGTAAAATACGTCATGAACTTCAAGATGATCCTGTGGAAGAGGTACCATTATCTGATATGCAGCAACGATCGTCACAAGACATGAATTAGTGAATAATAGTTTGGTCTCTTTGATTTATATCATATATATATATATATATATATATATATATATATATATATGGAATGTATTTATGTGTATTAATAGTAGTAGTAGTAGAATAGTTAGTGTTAGTATGTCGTTTTGTTTTTTTTTTTTTATATATATATTTCCTTATTCTGTATAGTCCTAATAAACTCCATTATGCATTTTTATTTTGAATGTTAGGTGGCGTTTTGTGATGATCATTTCTTTTTTTTTTTTTTTTTTGGGCGTGATCATGCGTTTCAGTCACATATTCTCCCTCTTTTGATATAACCATATTTTTCAACAAAAAAAAAAAAGACATTGTTAGGGATTGAAGAAGGAATTTTTATTAATCTTGATAAGAATAAGTACTCATTTGAATTATTTCGATGATGATGATGATGATATTGACTTCTAAGATGACTTTTATGCTTTCTATGACGATGAATACTTCTATGATGATTGATTACTGAAGTCCTATATATTTAATGATGATGATGAGGAAGGATAAATGATTCCTAGATGCTTTCTATGATTCCCAGATGATCTTTTTGATGATGATGATGAAATAGTTTTCCATTAAGAAAAGAAAAACGTTTTCGGTGCCATTTTCTTGCCATGCTCTCAACCTTTTTTTTTTCTTTTTTGGAAGTGTGATCCCTCCTCTTAAACCTTTTTTTTTTTTTTTTTTTTGTTCTTCCGGCTTCACCCCTTTTATCCCTTTCACTCTATTTTAGTCAAGTTGTTGTTTTTCTTCATGGAAATAATAAAAAAAGAAAATCCCAAAGAAAAAGAAGCGGTAAATTTAACTTCTCCTTATATATCTTCCTTTTCCCAATAAGAAACAATAGGATGATCAAGGTTCGTTGCCTTGCAAACCATCATCAAGGACAGGCACACTCTTCAAACCCCGCTTGCATGAATTTTGAATCTTGACAGAAAATCAAAGGATGAACTCCTTTTTTTTTTGAGTAGTGATATTGATTTATTTATTATAAGCAAAATAGAAAGGTTCAAAAAAAAAAAAAAAAGAAGAAATGTGATCTATGTTAATTTAGTAAGATTATATAAACATTTATATACTGATGAGCATTTTTGATGATGTAGTTAGATTATAGCATAAAAAAAAAAGGCGGTTGGCGTGGAAGGAGAAGAATTCCGTCTCCCCCACCAAAAAAGAAAAAAAAAAAAAAAAAAACAGGAGAAATGATTGTCAGGGGCCGGGGGAGGCGGGTCAAACGGGGTCAAAGGGGAAAATAGGTATACCTAAGAAAGGAGTTTTCCTTCGTTCAAAAAGAAAGTAGATGCAGAAAAAAAAAATCAGACACACAGCTACTTTCAATATGTGATGCATTCTCTCACTCTTTCAGTTTTTTTTTTCTCCCTTTTCTTCTCTTTCTTGAAAATCCTCCCTTTTGTTCTTTTTTAATCCGTTCTCCTTAATATGTTCATGTTTCTGACTCTTTTTTTTTTTTGTCCCCTCAACTGTTGGTAATATTTCAATCATTGAATAGAATCGTCTTAAAAGTAAATGATGTCAATGACGTACATGATTCGGTCAACCTTGGGATAATGTTTTTTTTTATGATTATTTTCATAAGTGGATGATCTTTTTTTTTTATTATTATTATAATTATTATTTCTTATTAGATGAATGAAGAAGCAGTAAGTAATTGTCCTCAAGGAAAGCGGTAGATGAAATATAGTTTTTATGCAAGAAATCGTAACAAGGTTTTCTTGAAAGGGAAGAGTAAGGTTCATAAATAAAGGGGGTCATAAACTCCCTTGTATTTTTTTTTTTTTTATTTGTTGTGTCATTTATTGGTTGGTGATGATGCTGATAAAAATAGGGAGTTGGGGGTATTTGGCAGAGAGTGATGGTCATGTAAACCTACAATCAATGTGCTTTTTTTGTGAGATGGATTACTAGCGGAATTTGAACTTTGTCCTCATCAGTCTCAACCGGATCAAATCACAATAAAAAACGACCGAATTTCTTTTTTTTTTTTTTTTTTTACTTCTTCTTCTTCTTCTTTTCTTTCTTTTCCTTTCTTCTTGTTTTATTCTTTTTACTTTATATATAAATATAAATAATATATATACATATATTAGTATATTTCCATTTATACGTTTAATATATTTTTTTTTTGTATTTGATCATCTTTTTCCTTCTATCATATATACATACGCACGCATCTTCATTTATCTATATACATATATACATATTACTTTTTTAAAAGGTAAATATAAAAATTCTTTTTTTTTTTTTTTTTTTTTTTTTTTTTTTTTTTTTTTTTACTTTCACACTCTCTTCAACAACGTATCAATTTTTTTTTATGTATCATCATAGTTATCCATTTTATTTGAATGACTGAACGGAACGACGATACCACTATTCACAACGACAACAAGATGACCATGGAAGATGAAAAGAAGAACGCTGTCGAATTTGAAGATCATGAACATGTGGAACATCAAGATGATATACCACCCGAATTAGAGGCATTATTACAAACGGATCCACAAGTAGGGTTAACTAGTACAGAAGTGGCTGAACGTACTGAACAGTTTGGTTTGAACGAACTACCCGAAAGAAAAACGAATCCTTTATTGAAATTTCTTATGTATTTTACTGGTCCCATCTCCTATTTGATTGAAATCTCTTGTATCATTGCTGCTGTTGTGGGTGATTGGATTGATTTTGGTATTATCTTGGCCTTATTACTCATTAATGCTGTTATTGGATATATTGAAGAAGCTAAAGCTGAATCTGCCTTGGATGCCTTACGTCAAACCCTTGCTCTCAAAACTCGTTGTTTCCGTGATGCTAAGTTGGTAGAAGTCGAAGTCAAGGAACTAGTCCCCGGTGATATCATTGTCCTTCGAATTGGTGATATTATTCCTGCTGATGCGCGTTTATTAGGTTTAGGTGTCAATGGGGAAGTCAATGATGCGGAGCTACAAATCGACCAGTCTGCTCTCACCGGTGAATCACTTCCTGTCTCCAAAAAGAAATTTGCAACGGTTTACTCTTCTTCCATTGTTAAACAAGGTCAGCAATTAGCCGTCGTCACTAAAACTGGTTCTAATACTTTTATTGGCCGAGCTGCAAATCTTATTGCTATCACTGCTGAAGAAGGTCATTTCCAAAAGATTATTGGCAAGATTGGTAATGTTCTCATTTGGTCTACTGTCGTCTTGGTCTTGATTGTTTTTATTTACCAAATGGTGCGCTTCAAGGGAACTGACAAGGGTAACTGGAAAATGGTACTTGAAAACTGTCTTGTGCTTACCGTGGCTGCTATTCCTGTGGGTTTACCTACCGTCATGTCCGTGACTATGGCTGTTGGTGCGAAACAATTAGCCGCCAAACAAGTCATTGTCAAACGCCTGACTGCTGTGGAAGAACTTGCGTCTGTTTCTGTATTGTGTTCAGATAAGACAGGTACTTTGACTTTGAATGAATTGACCTTTGATGAACCTTGGTTGGATGGTGACTATACAAAAGACGATATCCTTTTATATTCCTTCTTGGCTGCTGAACCTGGTGCGAACGATCCTATTGAATCGGCTGTGCGACGTGCTGCTGAATCTACTCTGGACATTCTCAAAAACAGACAAGATCCTCGTCAAGTACCCGGTTTCAAGGTGACTCAATTCCAACCCTTCAATCCTGTCACCAAAATGACTCAGGCGACGATTCTCAATACTGATACCAACACTTCCTTCCGTGTCGCCAAAGGAGCACCTCAAGTTATCACAAAGTTAGTCGGTGGGCATGATGAAGCTGTGGGTGCTGTCAATAGTCTGGCTCGTCGTGGTCTTCGTGCTTTGGGTGTGGCTAAAACTGTGGATGAAGCAATGGAACAATTTGAAATGGTGGGTATGATCTCGCTTTTGGATCCTCCTCGTCCTGATTCAGCAGATACAATTAAGGCTTGTAATGAACTAGGTGTGGATGTCAAGATGATTACTGGTGATCAACAAATCATTGCCAAAGAAGTCGCTGCTCGTTTAGGTATGGGTCGTGTCATTTTGGATGCAAATCATTTAGTGGATCCCTCCAAATCTGAAGATGAAGTTACTGAACACTGTCAACGTGCTGATGGATTTGCTCAAGTTATTCCAGAACACAAATATCGTGTAGTAGAATTGTTACAAAACAAGGGTCTTTTGGTTGGTATGACTGGTGATGGTGTAAGTACTCCTATATAAATGCATGTGTATATGTTCTCATCACATTACCTTTTTTTTTTTTTAAAAAAAAAAAAAATAAACAGGTCAATGATGCTCCTGCATTGAAGAAAGCCGATGTGGGAATTGCTGTTGAAGGTTGTACTGATGCTGCTCGATCTGCTGCTGATATTGTTCTATTAGCTCCCGGTTTATCTACTATTACGGATGGTATCATCACCTCTCGAGCTATTTTCCAACGTTTACGGTCTTATGCTTTATATCGTATTACTTCCACTATACACTTTTTATTATTCATGTTTATTGTCACTATTGTTGAAGATTGGACTATGCCTGCAGTATTATTGATTATGATCTGTGTCTTGGTAAGAAAAAAAAAATGATCAAGAATAGGATGATATTTTTAGATGATTGGATTTTCTCATTTCTATTTTTATAATGATTATATATAGAATGATGCCGCTACTTTGGTGATTTCTGTGGACAATACTGAAATTTCTGAACGACCTGATAAATGGCGTATAGGACAACTGTTGACTCTTTCCGTAGTACTTGCCGTATTATTAGCTGCTCTCTCGTTTGGTCATTTTTATGTTTGTCGGGATATCCTTCATGTTACTGATAATGAATTACATTCTATTATGTATCTACATATTTCTTCTGGTAAAAAAAAAAAAAAAAAAATGTTATCACTGTCCTTACAAGAACTTGATTATTCATTCAACCTTTTTTTTTTTTTTTTTTTTTTTTTTTGTTAGCTCCTCACTTTGTAATCTTCTCCACTCGTGTACCTGGTTTCTGGTGGGAAAACATGCCACATTGGATCTTTGCTGTTTGTATCATTGGAACCCAAATTGTTGCTTTATTCTTCTCAGTGTATGGTGTATTCGGTGAAGCTGAAGGTGTTGCTCCTTGTGGATGGGTGATTGGTCTTACTGTGCTGGGTATTTCTCTGGTTTACTTTATGATATTAGATGTTGTTAAAGTTTATATCTTCCGATACTGGAGCTTTGAAATGACCGCCAAATTAGTCCCTGTACCTTCTCGTCGTGAAAAACTAGCTATTAGGCAATCTGATCATGCTCAAGCCCTACGTGTACAACAGTCTTGGAACAAGATCGCATGGTAAGATTTATATATATATATATAAAAAAGCATCATTATAATTTTGTGATGATTGATGGATCTGTTTTGCTTTTACCTTTTTTAGTATGACCAATGCATATAACATCGTTGCCGCCTTCCAACAAGAAAAGCCATAGTTTAGGTTCATTCCAACTCCATTTGTCATTTTTTATTTTTTACTATTTTATCATTTATTTTTATTACAATTACTATCATTATTATCATTATTATTTTCATTATTATTACTTTTACTTTGTAGCGTTGCCCAAGTGTGGTATACATCCTTTTAAAATAATCAACAAAAAAGGTTATGATTGTTTTTTTTTTATCATTAATTGGTCAATAAAAATCACAGCAAATCAATGTCATTTAGAATTAGTTCGTTGATACAAATCAATCAATTGGATTCAATATGAATCCCTCCCAAAATGAAGAAGCTTTTTTTTTTTTTCATATATCTGGTCCTGCTTTTTAGGAAATTCTTATCGTCTATACATCTGTTTATTCATGATGATAACAACTTTGTATTCAATATCTTTAAAATTCCATCTACAGCCCCTCATCTCAGTGTCAAAAGAAATGCGCATGCGTCAGGTTCAAACATTTGGCTCTAAAAAATGGAGAATCTATCTTATATGTTCATCCAGCGTTGAAATAGAACAGTTAATTTTTTTTTTTCATTTCTCCCTCAAAATTGACCATCATCATACCAAATTTGAATTGAAGATACATGAAGATATTCTTTTTCAGTGACCTTAATAATAATTTACATCATACCTCCCAATTTATAGAGTAAATTAAAAAATGAAATATCAATATCATCATTCCTCGTTCAATAATGATCATCATCCAATAAAATCTCCACCATTAGATTCCTCTCAAGAAGATAGTTTAATACCATTTAATCCATTTTATTACTTGCCATCTAATGCACAATAAACACTAAAAGACTTCATTGATCTTTCCAAAAATGGATTCGACCATTCATTTTTACAACCAAAACTTGGCTGAGGAATTCGAAATTTTTGGCTGTAAAAAATCAGATTCTTTCACTTGTATTAAGAACAATTACCTCCCAATTTATAAAAGTAGTTAAAATATCAAGGTCAAAGAGAAATGAATTAAGTGATAGATATTATTATTTTAGTTTACAGTGATAGATAAAGGGATGAAAAGGTGATAGATACCTCTTATTACTGGTTATTAACCTATCAATCTTGGGTTGCATAATCTTTATCTATCCTTTCATCACAACCATTTGGATTATATATTTAGACATATTCAACCCCGCCTATTCCGAATAAATACAAGTGCGCGCGATTAACAAACACATCAAAAGACCCTTAAAACAACAAACAAAAGAAAATATATATAAGTTTTTCTGGTGTAATCAAGGACCGTCATCTTTTTTTTTTTTTTTTTTTTGTTTTACATCTTGGAACACCCACGTGAAGTAAGACCAAAGACAAAAAAAAGTATGTTTGACAGATGAAAGACAAAGATTACACTAGCCAAGACAATGGATAACTTATCACAGCGATCATCATCATCATCATCATATGTATTATTGTGGAATGTGACAATAATTATCATAAAAATTCGTCATGGGAATAGAACAAGGAATCAAGATGATAGTAGAGACTATACCATAGAAATCATTTTCTGAACGTCAATTAAATCGTTATCAAACATTATCATGATACTAACCATTTATCATCCATCATCATATATTAACCATCTTATATCCACGATCATCCCATCACTATGTCTCTTGTCTTTGTAATATTATGTTCATCCATCATCATCAGATAAACAATGAAAAAAAAAAGATAAAATGATATGAAACCAAATGATGATTGTTTCGGTCTATCTTACCAAAAGAAAAAAGGATTTTCAATTAATGAGTATATATAAAATCGAATTCTTTACCTTTTCTAACACTTTGAATCCGCCCCATTCCTTTTTTTAGACGAGCTAAAAAAAAAAAAAAAAACACAAGCAGAAGTCGGAAACCAAAAAAAAATACTTTATACCACCAAATTAAACTTGAGTACACATCAAATGTACCACATTTTCTCAAAAAAAAAAAAAAACTTTTTTCATATGGTAAAAAAGAAAGAATCTTTTTTATTATTGTCTAATAAGAATAAATGATAATGAAGAAGTAAGATGATGATGGAAAGTAGTTAAGCTTTAATGTAAATAAACATGATAAAGTTTCTTTTTTAGCTATCACCATTGTTAAAAAAAAAAAAAAATAAAAAATAAAAAAAAAAAAAATATTGGAGGGAAGGCGTAGGTTTTTTCACATGATCTAATGAACCACTTCCAAACACAAAGCAGGATAGTGAAGTAATGCATTTTCATATTCCGCAGGTTTTTTTTTTTTTATATAGAAAGCACTGACCATGATTCCCGACTATGGCATACATGTGAAATTCAAAGAGGCTCGTTGTTTCCATCCTGATTTGGTTTTGACCAATTTTATAGTCATTATAGAGTAAAAAAAAAAAAAAAAGATTAAGAAAAGGATAAATGAAATCAGTGATTATTTCATGTTTGATGATATATGATTGAACTAGTTTTCACATGGTTTAAAAAAAAAAAAAAAGGATGTCAACTGGTTGCTATATTATAAATAAATGGATTTGTTTATCGTCTCAAATTGGGATGCTTTATCTTCCAACTCCCTAAAAAAAAAATATTTTTATAAGCCTACAATTTTTAGCGTGAGTAAAATAAAATTTTATTTCTCTCTCTCTTTTTCCGCTTTTCATCACTTTTTTTTATCTATCTCCCTTCTTTTACTTTTTTTTTTTCAATTTGACCACTTTCTTTTATCACTTTTCATATCATGGCTAGACATCATCATCACCACCATCATCATCACAACAATGAAAATGGTAAGTGAATCATTGATATATATATATATATATATAAATAATAGATTAGGGGCTTTTTATTTGGATGTTTCATTATTGAAATCGTTATCATACCAAAAAAAAAAAAAGTTTTTACGCGTGGACCCAACAAAGTGTGCCATTCGTGATTAATGTGTTGGGGCAATAGTCAATATGAATATTTTTATGATTCTAAAACTAATCTTTTTTTTTTATTTCTTTCCTTTTTTTTTATTATTTTTTATTGATGATGATGAATTATAGGCAATGGACATGTTAAGCATTCCGAATCAAATGGTCAGGCGACAAAGGAAGGACAATCTCCAGTAACAAACGACAACAAGAAACAACAACAAACAAAGGCCCAGTTTGTCTCACGTGTGACATCCATCCCACTTGTCCATGATAGTGTATCTTCTGTTTCCAATTTGGCAAATAAAACTAGTCTTGGACGATTCGCTTTCGCTACTGCCAACTCGACTTACTCCACCGTCAGCAAATACACCAGCCAACAACCTGCTTACGTCCAATCTTATTATGAAAGCTATGTTCAACCTCACTTGGAAAAAGCTGATCAATTAGGTTGTAAATCTTTGGACTTGATTCAATCCAGATTCCCTGTTGTCAACGAACCTACCTCCAAATTAATTGATGTTGTGCGTCAACCATCTTATCAAGTCATCGATGGTGTCAAGGTACGATTGGATACTACTTTGACTACAGTGCGTGCCCCTGCTGATTATGCAAACAAACAATTGGTAACCGTGGTGGATAATGTGGAAGCTCTTGTTCATCGCTATCTCCCTCATGACAACGACAAGACAAAGGATATCAAGAAGAAGAAGGATGAATCAGAAGTGAATCAAATCTACCGTGCTTATGGTGTGTTAAATGAAGCCACTCTGCGATTGACTCAACGTGTCACTGATCAAGTCAAGTCCACGGCATCTCAAGTACCTAAATCTCGTGATGATTTAGCACAATGGGCTAATGCTTCTGCTTTGATTCAAACTGCCACCACCAATTTGCAATCCATTCAAACTACATTGACTCAATCTGTTACCGTGTACGTCGATGCCACTCAACGTCGCTTGCCTCCTGCTGTGACTGAACGTATTCAACAATGGCACTCTATCACCACCGAACGTTTACAAGGATTATCCAATCAAGTTTCTATTCAACTCAATCAAGTGGTATCTTTTGTCAAGACACAATCTCAACCTCCTCAATGGCTCAAAGATCGTGTACTTTCATTGGTAGATATTGCTAACCATCAATTCGACTTGGTCCGTGCTGAATACGCTCGTACTGATATTGCTTCTTTGGAAAAGGCAAAGAATGTCGCCTATGGTTTACAAACTCAAGTTGTGCCTGTTTTACAAAACATCCAATCTCAATTGACCTATTATTCCCAAGTCGCAAGAGAAAAGGCTCAAGCAGATTTGAAGGTACCTTTGGATTTCCTTGGTTTTCATGCTCAAAAAGCTGCCTAAGTAGGTAGATCTCTATCACTTGATTTTTTTTTTTTTTTTTGATATCAGATACAACTTTTGTTTATTATATATCTCCATTCATTCCTCCCTGAATCTCTCTCTTTTTTTTTTTTCTTTCTTTTCTTTCTTTTTTTTTATATATTTAAAATAGTTTACATTCTTATCCCCTTTCCGACATTTGATTTATAATGATAAACACACAAAAAAAAAAAAAAAACAAAAAAAAAAAACAATGAAACCAATAAAAAAGATGTATTCTTTTATTCATTCATCAAAACAAAACTATTCATCCATCCTATCTAATACAAAAGTTCTATTCTATATATATACATACAATAATGAGTTTGTCCCCCATATATAAATACATTACATCCTTGATCCGATTGGTCGATACATATCAAATAACCGAGAATTCAGCAAAAAACGTCTATTCTTGTTGTTGTTGTTGTTGTTGTTTCGTCAAATCATCTTCATCAACAATCACTTGAAGATTCTTTTTGATCGCCTCCTTTTGTCGTCGTTGATTGGGACTAGAATCTGTTTCTTTGACAATCAATCGAAGTCGTTCCAACTTTTGTTTCCTATCCATTTGACATAATTCAAAATTAACTACTGAGACACCACAAAAGCTTGCTACTGCCCAGTTGGCTGAAGTAGGCACTGAACCTATAGATATAAATTAATGAATATCTTTATGATTTCCTATAAATTTCCTTTTTTTTTTTCTTTCTTCCTTACGTTTGATCAAGAATCGAATCCCACCCAATCCGAAAGCAGCGCCTGGTTAAGGAAAAAAAAAAGAGTCAATAAAAAAAAAAAAAAAGAGATAAAAGTAAAACGATAATATACCACTCACCCATGCCATAAAGAAGGGAAGTACGTGCACAAGGGATTTTGCCAATATCTTTGAATTCTTCAAGTTTGACAGTCTAATATGGAAAAAAAAGAGAGAAACTGTTGAATGAATCATATTATTTCTAGGATAGTAAAATAAAAACAAAAAGATATACCTTTAATGCTTCCACATAGTCAGACTTATCGGGTACACCATCAGGAGTCATTTTGAATCAAAAAGAGATATAAAAAAAAAAAGGTTCGGACTGAGCCTGAAGAAGTTTGCTTGATGACGTTTGGTGAAGAGCGAAAAAATGGGGGTCGGCTCCAAACTATTCCTTCAGTCTCCAATCAGAAAAAAAAAAAAAAAAAAAAAAAAAAAAAGAGGGAAATTTGATCAAGGCCTAACCACCCCCCGACTAAAAAAAAACAAAACACAAAAAATTTTCAAATCACGCTTGTGTTGTTTTTTGTTTTTTTTTTTTTCTTTTCACTTCTTATTCTTCCCCTCTCTCTTTCTCTTTTGTAAAAAAAAAAAACCCTTTCTTTTTATTTACTATTAAGAGAATGTTGTCCACTGCTTCTCGCATTGCCGTTCGTCCTGCTGTTGCTCGGTAAAATAATGATTCTTATACTACTCATCTTTTTTTTTTTTTTTACTTACAATGACTTCCTTTTTTTTTTTTTTTAGCAACGGTGTTCAAGCTCGTAACATGGCCACTTTGAAAGAAGGTATATTCTTTTTGATATTCGACTTAACGAACGACCACTAATTCAACTTTTATTGAAAAAAAAAATATGACTATAGTGCAATTACGTTTGAAGTCTGTTCAAAATATTGAAAAGATTACCGGTTCCATGAAGATGATTGCCTCCACCAAGGTCAACAAGGCTCAACGTGCTATGGAAGGTGCTCGCGCCTTTGGTAACGCCTCTTCTTGTAAGTTATTATTATTTCAATGAGGTTGGATTGATTATTGACACGTTTTATTTTATGAACTATCCATCATAGCTTTGTACACTAATGCCGAAACCAAGCCTGTTGAAGAAGGAAAGACTTTGTTTGTTGCTACTTCTTCTGATCGTGGTCTCTGTGGTGGTATCCACAGCAGTGTTTCCAAGGCTACCCGTCGTGCTGTTGCTGAAAAGCCTGAATCTCAAGTGGTTGTGTTGGGTGACAAACCTAAGGCTCAATTGTCTCGTGCTATGCGCAAGAACTTGGTCTTGAGTTTCAACCAAATTGGTAAGGCTGTTCCTACCTTTGATGAAGCTTGTTCCATTGTGGATACCATTGAAGCCTCCGGTATTGAATACGACAATGTTGACATCATTTACAACCGATTCATCTCTGCCATCTCTTATGAAGCCGATATCCTTCGCAACTTCTCTCAAGAATCTTTCAAGGCTTCTCCCAACTTTGCTGTCTACGAAATCGAAGATGATGTTCTCGCCAACTTGCAACAATTCACTCTTGCCAACTCTATTCATCATGCTCTTGTCGAAGGTCATGCCGCTGAAATGTGTGCCAAGCGTGCTGCTATGGAAAATGCTACCAAGAACGCTGGTGAAATGATTGGCAAGTTGACTATGTTCTACAACCGTGGTCGTCAAGCTGTCATTACCAACGAATTGAGTAAGTTGCGAAATAACGGAATTTAATATAGTGATTGATGAGTATAAACTAGGGAAAATCAAATGATTTCATAACTAACTTTTTTTTTTTTTGTAGTTGATATTATTACCGGTGCCTCTGCTCTTTAAATGGATTGGGTTCCCTTTTTTAGGTCATACATCATTTATTTCTGCCTTTTACACCCTCTCACCATACACACATACACACACACACGCACACATTATTTATATTTCTCTTTTCTCCAACTTGAAAATATACTGAAATAAACTGATTTGGATGTTTTGTTTTATTAGAAATAGTTTATATATGAATAAAGATTTTATCGAACTTTTTTGTTGTGAAAATAGATCTTTTATTTTATGTTGTTGCCCCTGACATTTTTATTAAATGAAAGTGATAGTCCAAACAGAGAGAGATAGACCAAGCCACATTGCCTCTATGGTGTTCTATTGTTTCAATGTCAGATGGTGTTGCCTCTCAAAAGAGCTTAACATCATACGGATGACAAAAATTTGCAGATCGTACATCACTAAAGAATAAGAAAAGAATAAAGAAATAAGACCAACCAAGAGTATTTTATAGGAAAAAAAAAGTGAAATTTTTCGTTGACGCTAAGAATAAATAAAAAAAAAAGGATGTGAATTCCCTTTTTTGTTCGTCATCAGATGGTGAATAGAAAAAGATTATAATACAATAAAAGAGCTTCTACAGTTTTGTAACCATCAATCATCAATTTGTCCATTTCACACCAACTATTTTATACCGTCATACAAAAAAAAAAAGATCTATTTCATCTTTACCTTTTTCAGCTAAGTCTAAAGAAAGAAAAAAAAAAAAACATGGTTAATATAGGACATAGTTTGTACTTCAATCAACAGTTCTTTATTAAAAAAAAAAAAAAAAAAAGGAGAGATAATGCTAATATCTAGTAGGAGGGTATATACAGTAAATTAAAATAAATATAATTATCCAGCCAAATCACTGAGTTTTATGTTGATGACGGGAACTGGTGGTTCATCAGGTTCACGCTGTTGTTCCAGTTGACGTTGTCTCCATACTATGGGATCAAATGCAAGAGGGACATCATCATCGTCAGTATCATCATCATCACCGTCGTCGTCATCGTCGCCATCATCTTCACCATCATCGCTAGTATCATCGTCATCAGTAACATCATCATCATCGTCGGTATCGTCGCCATCATCAGATTCATCATCTTCATCGATCTTGAACCAAGTCACACCTTGCGATTGTTTTCGATATTTTTCAATAGTAGCAGGATCCAAAGCGGTATCATCGGTGGAAACATGCTGGCGCTTGGCTAATGTACAAAGGAGATCGATGGCAAGCCATGGGAAACTGAACCAAAGAGAACCATCTTGATGGGAACGTTCCGTAGGATGATAAGTGACATAGTACCAAGCTGCAGCTTTTGCTTCCATTGCGGATGATTGAGATAAATGAGATTGATGAGATTGGTCAGTCAAACTGTCTGTACGGGTCTTGAATTCAGCGAAAAAGAGTCGTTGATAATGTTGTCGAAGAGCATGCATCGCCCCCTTCATTCTTGTATGGTAAAGTTCGTCACCATCATCGTCAAATCGTTGATGAGATCGGTGATAGATCACTGTGCTTGAAACCATCTCTGCTTCTGTCTTGACACCATATTGCCTCATCAATGTCTTCAGGTTGTAAATATATTTCTTCTTGAGCTCTCGTGCCTCGATGATATAAGGGGCCATGCCTTCTACCTTCAGTCGTGCATCGTAGGTGATGTTCTCCATGTTCCTGTTGATCATCTGTTCAGTGTATTTGTGATAAGTTGATGTTGGAATCATACGATAGATCTGGCCTTGGATGTTGTTGGATTCATAAACAGGTGTTGCTGGGATTTCCATGTAATCAGGGTATTCATTAGATTCCATTTTTCGATCGATGGTAATGGAGCATGGAACATGAATATAATCTAGAGAATAATCAACTAAATTGAGTGCACTTTCTTTTTTTTTTTTTATTTTGTTATTTAAATGAGCTTACCAAGGGCATCGGCATATTGAAGAGCTAACTTTGTAGATACACTTTTCCTACTTCCAGAATCTAGTTTATCTTCGGACATAATAAAGTGTCGTAGAATAGTATTCCGATGATCATTGCGAAGATAGTTGGTGAATGCAGAGATAATTTTTTCTGGCGTCATTTCAGTCGAGTCGTATGGTTCGGGTATTGGTCTATTATTTAAACGATTGGCTAATTTAATTCTTGGTAATAGATTAGAATCCCAAATAATACTACACGAGGAATTAAAAAAAAAAAAAAAAAGTAAATGAGAAAGAGGTTTTTTTTTTTTTTTTTTTTTTTTTTTAACGGGGAGTAACTTACGTAAAACGTTGTCCATCCATTTTTCCATCTACATGTTGACGAGGTACAATTTCAGTTTGCTTGGAAGATACTACAATAACATCACACCAATGACGAAGAGCAGGATGATCGATTGCTTCAAAGAGACGAATATCGCCTGTATGGACAGTAGGTTGCTTGACAATAAAGCATGGACCAATGACTCGTTGACGTTTCGACATTAAACCAGACTGTAAATCAGAGATCTGACAATATATCTGATTTTCTTGCAAAGTACCTGTGTCATCCATCACCACCATGAGTTTTGCCCCTTTTCTAACGTGTAATGCTGTATTTTTCTTCATGTCGATCATTCGTCGTATCCTGAATATCCATAGATTGTTGAGTAAAAAGGGATCACGCCGTGTAAGGAATCCAGCACCGATCATTTTCCTCATCGATTGTATTGATATATCATCCATGCTGCCAAATGTCTGGAGATAGTCCATTGCTGTGATTGGATCGCTGAGCATGCTGTTCATCATGGCCATAGAGTGTTGGACCATGGTAAGAAAAAGATGACCAGGTACATCAAGGGATAAGAGCAAAGCTACCAAAGTACGATCCAGAAATGCCGGTGAATAAGATGAAGTTTGAATGATTTCTAAATCAGATGGTTGCTTGTTGAACACATAATGCCAAGGTCGTAATGCCACTTTTGTTTTCCCAACCATATAGTTCGATAAGGCCAGTACACCACGACAACCGCCAAGACTATACTCAATTGCACTTGGAGTCGATTCTAGTTGCAAAGTACTGCGGATCACATCACGAGCAAAACTAGGTGACATTTTACCACATACTTGTCGAATTTCATTGCCAAACGAAACCCAATCGTCGATCCATTCAATATCTCTATCCTCTTGTTTTGATTGTTCCTCTTGTGCTTCCAATAATAATAGTTGTACTTGCTGTTGTTGTTTTCGTTCTTGTTGAGTTGGTCGTTGTCCCCTTCCTTTTTTCTTTTTCGGTTGTTTCCGTTGCTGCTGTTGCTGTTGTAGTTGTTTTTTAGTATCGTGATGATCTTGATTGCTGTTCATAGATTGCAATAGGGGGACAGCCATATTGGATTGGTAACAAATATCGGTAGCTGCGACATACTGAGCAAGACTTGTCACTGATGTTGTATCACCCATATCCCTTTGAATATCTAGTGTTGATAAATTTTCAGTAGGTGCAAAAAACCAACAACTATGATGTCTTAATTGTGTTGAATCATATGCCAGAAATTCATAATGTCGATCGCCGATTTGGATACCATATGTCATGACGGTGTATACTCGATCGTAAAGAGCCGAATTATCATGCGTAATGGAATGACTGTAGTCGTGTGGTTGGGTTGTTGAAAGTAAGGTCAGATCTTCTTGCACAAAGGATACCCGCAAGAATCGATCTGTATGAGCACGGTACTGTCGTAATATCCGATTGTTTCGTTCCATTGCTGGTGGTTGTAGGATCAAGGTAGTAGGAGTCACATATGCAGAGGAGATCATGCAACAGTCGTCAGTTAGAGTTGTTTCAGAATACCGTAGAGTTGTTTTTATACGTTGCCAAGATGATTGTAAGGCTGCCAGGGCGTTGTATTTCATCACGTTCTTCGATGCAATCATGAACAATATTCGACACGCAAGAGTAATATCCAGTTGAACAAGTCGATCGTAAAAAGTACTATCCAAGGTGTATTGATTCAAGGATCGGTTCGTAATAGCACATTCCAACATGTAAAGAGTATTGTAATCAAGCAGTTCGGCACGTTGATCATAGGTGAAGTAGCGTGATTGGTTGTTGTTCTTGGATGAAACGACAGTGATTGCTGTAGATCGTTGATAGACTCTCATATGTCGTAGGAATTGAAAGTTGATGGAATCACGAATAATCGCTTCAAACTGGGGAGTTTCTGCTTGTTTTGCACTAATCTCAATCCGGTAATCTGTCCAGGATCCAAAATCGACAATATCATCAGATGTACCAGGTGTGAGTGGACGACGGGTGTGAGACCTGTTTGACATAGTTGATAGGTTCAGAGGTAAGGCAAGATGAGTCGCAGTTGTCCGATTCCAAAGAACGTGCTTCAATTTTCGATCAAATACCTCTTCCCATAGTCGTGGTGGATGTAATAGAGAAATAAGAAGAGTAACTGAACCATCCGATGCGGTTTCCATTGTTATTTCTTTCGACAGACTTGTCCAAGGGAAGTCCAGCTTGTAAGAAACGTCATAGTATTGAAATCCAAGTTCAAAGCACTGGTTGTTCGTATCCATAATAAAACGCGCATAGGAAACTGCTTTCCACATTTTCAAATAAATGGTAGGTTTGATCATACGTCCAAATGATATAGATAGGACATTACAACATGTCGGTTCCTGTGGGCTGTTACGGATTGTTGCTTGCTGGTAAGAGATAAATTGTGTTGTTAAAAGTTGTCCATCCAATATAAGTGTGTTCCCACCAAAAGTTGTATCCATAGGAGGAATGCTAAATAGAAAACAAAAATAAAAGGAATAATGAAATGAGTTTTTTTTTTTTTTTTATTAAACTCTCTCTCCGTCTCTAGTAATATTATATGACTTACGCGAAATATATCCAAGCAGTAGTGTCTGGTATACCATGAGCATCATGATTGATAGTAACTTGACGTATGATACCATATTTTGAGAATAATTCTTCAATTGACTTTTTCGTAGTTTCCCTTTTCAAATTCGATATTAATACATGTTTACTGACTGGTTTGGGATCCTCAGGCAAAGAAAAGGTTGGTGGTGATGTTGTTGATTGAATCTGAAAACTGTGATTACTATTGTAGTAAGCTTTCATTGAACGACTTGATGTTTCCAAAAGATCTTTCCAAACTATCTAATGGAACGCGTGGCTGGTCCTAAATTTCTATATCTAGATAAAAACAGGAAAAAGAGAAAAAAAAAAAAGGTTGACAATTTCGACATAAATAGAAAAAAAGGTTTCGGAACATGAAAGTTTTATTCGATTTCAAATAAAAAAGTCTATGCTAAAGGTTTCCAAGATATTCCTAAGGAGGAAGTATTAGAATGTTGTGATTGTTGTTGTTTTGGAGGTTGTTCGTAACAAGGATTGGTTTGAAGTGTTTGTTCTATCCATTGTACACCCATCATAAGTGCCATACCATCACCTTGTTGTTGAATAAAATGGAGTCGAAAAGTATGTCGTCCTCGTCCTTCGCTGTCAACATGCATTGCCACTTCTGGTAATTGGTAGACTTCCAATTTGAACCGGATAGTAGTTGCTTTGTTATCTAGAAATGGGAAACGATCATCAATGTCATAAATAAAATTTATCTTCATGATACCTTACACCTTTTTTTTTTTTTTGTCTTACCTTGAATCAATACAAATTCACCTTTACGTCTAACTTTGCCATTTTCCCGCCGTTCTTCTATTTTTCCATCCATGTGCTATTAGAGTATAATGGGAATATAATGAAGATAAGAATAATAAAAGTATATTTAGTCAACCAAAAAAAAAAAAAAAAAAAAAAAAAGAGAAAAAAGGAAAAAAAAAGTTCTATCACCCATTTAGATTGACTCTTACCACCTACGTACCTTTTCTAATATATGGGCAGTTTTTTGAAGCGCTTCACTTTCCTTGTGAGCTACACAATCCAGCATACATACCTAACCAAGTAAAATAAAGAAGTATATGAGATAAAGTAATATTAAAAATGAATATATAGACTACATTTCATTTATTACCTTTGGTTCTTTAAAATAAAATAAACCTGGTAACCAAGAGGAATGACATGGATTTTCATCAATTGCAGAGGAAGTAATCACGGGTGTTCCTATAGAAGGCTGATATCCAAGTGGTTGATCAGGATGAAAAGGTGATGTTGGTGGACTTGCTAGTGAAGAATGATTGTACTGAGTTGAGACAGGAGATGCAAAAAGTGTAGAATGCCGTCGGTGTTGTTGCTGTTGCTGGTGTTGTTGTTGTTCCTGGTAATGCTGTTGATGTTGATAATTACGATGATGTCGATGCTGCTGATAATGCTGATGCTGCTGTTGTTGCTGATAATGCTGTTGATGTTGATGCTGATAATTCTGATGATGAAGTCGATGCTGTTGTTGCTGTTGGTATCTTGATGATGGGTGCTGCATCTGAGGTACAAACAAAGACAATGAAGGACGAGTATGTTGATGAGCCGAAGAAACCATAGACTGAGGGGTATTTGAAGGATAAGGTGACACTTTGTTGGTGATATTGGAGGTACCAGATGAGAAGGGTGTGAGACGACTATTATTATTATTATTATTACCATTGTTATTGTTTGTCGAAGATTCATGACGTGGAGTTGATGAACGCCATAAGTGATGCATAAAATCCTTCAATTTGTTTGACTCTGTTTTTCGATGGTAACCATTGGTGCTATGCCTATTCAAGTTTTGATTTTGATGTCGTGATGGAGGTGGTGGCTGTGCTTGCTGATTGTTTTGTAGATACTGATGATAGCCCTGATCGAGTTGATACTGATAAGATGAATCCATATAATTACATTGAGATGATTGAGACGTACATGAAGACATAGGTGATGAAGGTGGTTGATAGTATGGAAAAGGTTGACTAAACGGAGCTTGAGGTGAGATCATATGATGGATGTTCATATGTTGTTGTTGTTGTGGGGACATTGGTTGTTGTTGTTGTATCGATGGTGCTACTGGGTATGAATAAGGATTATAAAGATGAGGTTGCTGCTGTTGAGTAGATGGTAAGTGATAAGTTGGTGATATTGGATTTTGTTCATCTGGATATCGGAGAGGAGGAGTATCTGGTTGTTGCTGCTGTGAGATTGGAATTTGAGGTTGAGCCATTTTAAGTGAAGGTGATCCATAGGGATTTGGAGGTGGAAAAAAAAATTGTTGTTGTTGATCCTGCTGTTGGGAAGGACCATATGGTGACATCCATGGTGATTGAGTATATTTCCAAGAAGATTGATGAAGTCTAAGATCAGGTGAAGGATGGTGTAAATCAGCACGAATAATCTTGGGTTTGGGAGGAAGAGGAGGAGGAGAATCATTTTGAGTTTCTTCTTCTTTATCAGGTAAAATAGGTTGTAAAGACGCTTTAGTTTGGTTGTTGTCAGAGTGTGGTTGATCAGAATTGTGTTGAATTCCAGGTGGTGGAGAACCGGGAATGGTATTTTCTTGTTCAGCTATCTTTAACATCATTTCATTGAGACCAGTGAAAGGTTCTTTTGATGAAGGAGCAACTGCACAAATAGTAGCGGGTCGTCGTCGTTTTGCAGGAGATGAGACTAATCATGGAAGCGTTTTTTTTTTTTTAAAAAAAAAAAAAAAAGAAAAGTGTGAAAAAGAAAAAGGAAAAAGAAATGTAAAAATAGGACGGGGAGATTCAATTTTTACCTGCTCGAATTTCATCGTCATGCGCTTTTTGCCAATAATCAGTAGAATACCTTTGAAGAAGTACATATGTAACTTTTTGCATATTATACCTTTTTTTTTTTAAATAAAACAAATTGGATTAATTATAAATCTGATGATGATTTAATATTTACTTACTCTTCATTAAGTAAAGCTTCGATGACTTGAGCAGAAGTCAAATCAGTCCAAAGGTCCTGTAATGTTGCCAAAATACGATCATCTATCTCAGATTCATTTGCTAGCCTTTTTCCAATTTCTCCGGCCGTAGGAGGATTAGGTAAAGCAAAAGGAATGGAGTGTAGATCGATGGTGAACCAAGGATGAGCTTGAACCTCTGACATCTAACATATATAAAATAAAAAATAAAAAGAAAAAAATAAAATACTTTGTTATATCCACCTTATATCAATCGTACATATATAAATATCATAAACTTTTACCGTTAATCTTTTTGATGGATCAATAACAAGAATTTTTTCAATGAGATCTTTGGCATCCATAGGAATATCTTTTGGCATAGTATATTTCCCCTCTTTGACCTTTTTTAATAAATTGTGCATATTATCATCATCAAATGGTAAATGACCGTTTAATAGAGCGTAAAGAATCACTCCACATGACCATATATCTGAAGCTGATCCATCATATGGAACTCCCTATAATTGAAATAAAATATAAGTATTAATATATTTTATATTCTGTGATTCTGATTATGATTACTTGCATTGACTATTTCAGGGCTGGCATAATGAGGTGATCTATTAAAAAAAATGGGTCAGTTAAAAAAAAAAAAAGGATATGATTATAACACTATATTAACACTTTATTTTATGATTTACCCACAACTTGTTTGTAATAAAGAACCTGTTGGTTGTAAGGAAGCCATACCAAAATCACATATCTTTATATTCTTTTCCTTATCCAATAATAGATTCTCTGGCTTGAGATCTCGATGACTAGCGGGATGGAAATGAAAATCAAATAAGGAAAGTCCTTTTTTTTTTTTTTTGATTTGACAATTCTTTACCATATTAAATGACGATGACAATAATCCAAACCAAAGATGATCTGTTGAAAGTATTTCCTCGCTTCTTTTTCAGTCAGTTTACCACAAGAGATAAGATGTTCAAATAATTCTCCGCCTTCAATGTATTCCAAAATGAGGTACCTTAAGGGAAGATCATTATTAATATATATAAAAAGCGGAATATGAAAACGTTAACGATGGATGTGTGTAATCGAGGAACAGTTATACTTACAAATTTGTAGCATCGGATAAATCAATGACATCAATCAAATTAATAATGTTAGGATGCTTGATCAACTTCATCACTGCAATTTCTCGTTTGACAGATTTCTCTATGGATGCATTGCTATTAAGATGTGATTTGGATATGATCTTAACCGCTACTTTTTGTCCTGTCACTTTATGAACACCAAGTTTGACTCTTCCTAAAGAGAAGTTTAGATTAGATTATTTCTTTTTTTTTTTTTTTTTTGTTTGTTTGTATTTAAGTACCTGATGACCCTTTTCCTAAAGTTTTCCCAAGCCAGTATTCGCCGACTTCCTTTCTTCTTCGATTTCCAGGGGATAATATCGGTGACATTTTCAGGGACGATGGTTTAATAGTTGTATTTACGTAACGACGTCGTTGTGGTGCTGGCGAAGCAACTAAGGTTGATGAAGATTCCACCGTCATGAAGTAAGGGAATAGATATGATAGATGCTGCTGAGAATATTAATCGTGTATTATATATATATAAATAAATAAAAAAAAAAAAAAAAAAAAGAGGGAAGAAAAAAAAAAAAAAAAGAGGTCAAATATTGATCGATGAACCATAGTTTAAACTGGTCGGATAATTTATTCGTTTAGTGGGACTTTGATCTGATCTTTTAATTGCTTTTTTTTTTTTATTTATATTTTATCAATTTTACTTCTCGGGCCGAGGAATGTTCAATGTCATGGCGTATCATGGTTTCTTGGCCTTTTTTTTTTTTTTTAAAACTGAAATCCCCATAATCATCATCGATCTTCATAGATTACTGCTAGATCTTTAGACCCACACTTTCCCGCCTTTTTTTCTTCTTTAACGCCATGATGATGTTTTTTGATTGATTACAAGATGTGATGCTTTATATATCCATGATGATTGACGTATGATAAGGAAAAGGTTAATGATGAATGATAGATGTTTTCATATGACTTTGGTTGATGATGGTGATTAATTGAAAATGAAAGTAAATCATTAACGCTAGGGTTCAAAAAGAAAAAAAAAAGAAGTATAAATCAAGAATCAATTTTAAATCTTGATCTGATTCATATGTAATCCTATAAATCATTATTATAAGATTCATTATAGTAATCGTTATTGAAGAATACAAGGGTCCTTGAACACATAACTAGGTTGACCTATGAATAACGTTGATATGCATTGAAATTTCCTCAAACATTGAAATACCGCCAAAAAAGGTATAGAATTTTTTGTTCTTTTTTGTTCTTTTTTTTTTTTTTTTTTGATATCCAATTGTCATGGGTCAATCTCACTCTGCTACTACAACAACTTCTACAGTTCAATCCAATGATTCAATATCTTCAAATTCTTCTTCAATACAAAGGAGAAAGTCAATACAACTTGTGAAACAAAAATTGTCGCGTTCGGAACTATTGGCGTTACATAATACTTTCCAGCACTTGAAGACACAGTCAACTGATCATGGTGACTTTATAGAACCAAAACGTTTTCTGGTACAGTTTAATTTATACGACAATCATCAAATTTGATTTCTAATCATATCTTCTTCTTTTTTTTTTTTTATTTTTATTATTTTTATAGGAACAATTACAATTACCTTCTGATTTGGAAACTGCTGGTGTTCTGCTATTTAAATCTTTCTCACAACTCGGCGCATACCCAAATTACAAACTGAGCACAGCACCTATCCATTTATCTTGGAACTCTTTTTTGACAGCATTTGCAGTCTTGACTGGAAAGTTGGATGAACCTCATCAAGATTCTATGATATTTGAAACAGCCTTTTTTGAATCACTTGCTGTGCTACCACGACCTGATCAATACCAACATCAACCACAACAAGAAAAGCCTTCGACTACACAAATGCCAAACATCCTAGAAACTGACAAATCTCCCAAAGGTTTGACTTTAGCGGATTTAGGAATTCAATTTGATGATGCGGATAATGACGATGTTATTGGATTGAACAGTTCTAAGGAAAGTACTCAAGATACTCTAAAGATATTACAAACGGACTTGACAGAACTATTCGTATTAGCTTTGTGGATCGTTCATGCTGAACATGTAGAACAACAAAGTACAGTACCAGATATTGACTCCATACGAAGCTTGGCAGATACTATCACCAAAACAATACTTATGATGGATAGAAGCAACAACTACAACAATAAATCTGAAGATGACTGTATATCGCATCATGCCTTTTGTATTTGGAAAGATCGGAATGCGCCATTCTTATTTAAAACCATTCAATCCTTCATTTATACACGCTTTGCTATGGTGGCTCCAATAAAACTAACTGATGAAGAAGATACGGTATCGCTTCGCACTATGGATCTCGTTTTGTCTCAAGATATTGCGCCTTTACCTCTTCATACGGATATTCTGGATACTAATTGTTGTGCTCTTCTTTCTTGGTGTCTACCTGAAACCTTCTTAGCAACGAAACAATGGAGACGACTTTATTCTGGGGACAAGGATGGATTTTCAATGAATCGGTTTGAGAGTCATGTGTTCAAGTATCCTGGCCCAACTCTACTGGTGATCAAAGTACAAGTGACTAACAAGAATATCAGCAAGAATGATGATGATTTGGATGATACGACAATGATCCTCGCTGCTCTGATCAATGAACCATGGAAGCATGGACGACAATACTGGGGAAGCGATGCGTGTTTTCTAATGGAATTGTACCCTCGATATGAAACATTCAAGCCTACTGGAAAAAATCAGCAATATGTATACTGTCAACAACAATTTGGTATTGCCTTTGGAGGAACGACATCACATCCACCATCTTCTTCATCATCATCATCGTCATTATCAGCTACACAAATGACAACAAAAATGGGAACAATAAATGTAGCAAGTGATGGATGCATACTTTACCTTGACAATACTTTACAAAATGGACGATATCACCAAGAACAATATCCAGCCTTACCGACATATCAAAAATCAGAACAGCGATCATCTGGCGCATTTGATTATTTATTTGATGTTGAAAATGTGGAAGTATTTGGTTTAGGAGATGAAAAACTGACATTGTTACAGAAAAAGGCTTGGGACTTTGAATATCAAGATGCTACACGGCGTGCAGGCGTTCAAATTCGGCAACAAGATGGACAAGTTGACAAGGAAATTTTGAAACTGGCTGGGATTATTCAGGACGATCATCATCATTACTACGAAACAAGTCAGCAACAACAACAGCAACAATATCATCATTCTTGATCCGCTCAACAATATCCATTTATAGTATTCGTTTACTTTTCATCTGATATTTTCGATTCTATTTTCCAAATAAAGACAACGACATATACCTTCCAAATATTTTTTTTTATTACGATTTGTTATATACAACCTTGTATGTTTGTGCGTATATATATATATAGGGAACTGTATGAGTGACTACAAGAGAAATGGTGTGCGTAATAATAACTTGAGTGTAATCAGGCGGAAAAAAGGGAAAACAAAACATAAAAATAAAAAAAAGCGGCTATAATCACGAAGATAAAGGGATAATCAACGATGTAAAGTAAAGAAGAAGAAAAAAGAAAAAAAAAAAGTGAATCATAAAGCCAAAAAAAAAAAAAAAAAAAGACATAAAGGGGATAAGGTAAGATATGACAAAGGGAAGGAAAACATATATAAATGATCATCATGACAAAAAAAAGCTGGTATTATCGTCCAATTTTTGATTCTTGATGTTGGTGTAACGGGCTGATAGAAATGATGATAATTTGTTGGAAGCTGATAATGTCTATTTGACGATGTGGCTACTGAGTCCATGGATCTTCCGCGAGAGTTTGCATTGCCGAATTGTAAACAGTCACCAGGTTGATTGCTTCCAAAAGTTGGCCAATGATGTGTACTTGTGCGGCATCAAGTTGTTCAGATGGCAGTAGACAAGGTAAGCGTATCACCGGTGGGTCTCTCCAAGCAGTCTCCAAAGTCGATGCGTGGAATTGATGAAGATATATAAGCCATTGTAATCGACATACCCATTCATCCATGTGTTGAGTAGTATCATCATCATCATCGTCATTTGTGTAGCATCTTAGATGATTGAGAATCATTTGAGCATAGTCCAATAACTGTTCATCCGGTTTTCCTCTTGCTTCGTGATATTTGTACAAGATGAATAAAGTTTGAGCTGAAGAAAGATCGTTACCATGTGATTGTACCAAATTCAAGGCTTTTAGATAACAATCATGTGCCAGATCCGTTGTTTTTTGTTGTTGTTGTTGTTGTTGTTGTTGTTGTTGTTGTTGTTGTTGAAAAAGTAGTGACCATGCCAAAATAGAATACCGTAGGGAAGAAGCAAGTTGTTGTCGATGCTTTAACATATAGGTTGATAACATAGGATAGGATGGATGAATATACTGAATATAAACATTGAAAAGATCATTTTCCAAACAAGTTGATATGGTAGGAATGGAAGTTGTAAACTTTAATGAATTTGATACTGATGTTGATGTTGATGATGTTGAAGACGATGAAGATGACGATGACGATGATAATGATAACGATGGTGTTATTCTTGTTGTTGGTGTAATAAGATGGATGGCATTTGTTGATAATGATGAGTTGTGTTCATTTTTATTGACATCCAATGAAGAGAGAGATTGCATATGATTATCCAAATTTGGGCATGAAGGTGAAGAGATAGATGGATTCCATGGAAAAGTGGCGTCGGACGTATGATCAACATATAAAGGAGGAGAAGGGGTAGTGGTAGTCGAAGAACAAGATGAATGTGATAATAGTAAAGTCGGAGGAGTTGTCGGTATTGGTGATATAGTGGGATGATTTTCTTGTTGGACGCACAAAACAGGGAGATCCAAATACAAGCGTTGATGTGCAGCGTCACAAGATTGTTGTTTGATAGAAGAAGGATGATTTTTATTGGTCTGTTGATGAATATTCTTGGTTTCCATAGGAACAGTAAACGGCAAAAAAGTGAGTTGATGTGATGTCCAATTACATTTTTTTTCGGCTTGTCTTGAAAAAGACGGCGTACTTTTGTCTGATGATTGACTCCCCATGCGTGATTGATGTTGATATGGTTGTCGTTTTTGGTATTGACGCCTTTTCCTTTTTTCGAATGATGACTGATCGCCTTGTGTACAGAAAGTAAATGATAAAGATGATGATGTTGTTTCTTTTTTTGGAGGTAGAATAGTGGTGATTGTCGTTGTTGTTGTTGCTGCAACTGCAACTGCTACTGGTGATGATGATGATGATGATGTTGCTGTTGTTGTTGATGATGACAATGACGATGATTTTGCCGCTTTTATATTAGTTGTAGTTGCCGTTACTGATGTTGTTGCTATAGTTGGTATAATGGTTGTAGTGGTAAATTCGCATACTTTATTGTGTTTTTGACATCCTGAGCAAGGACCAGTACCTGGTTTTCCAATATCGCATCTATGATAAAAACAAGAAATGATTAATAACTATCATTTATTTATTGTTATTGTATTTAACTCTTCTATTTAAACACAAGTGTGTATAAAACGATCACAACAAAAAAAAAAAAAAAAGGAAAGGAAAGAAAAGGAAAGGAAAAAAGAAAAGAAGCAATGCCAAAGGAAGAATCAGAGGAATATGCAAAGTCCGATTGTCCATCATCTGATTGGTGAACCTCCCCCACTTGCCTTTTTCGTACCTTTTTTTTTTTTTTTAAAAAAAAAAATAATTCTTACTTTGATTTACGCTTGCGACAATCTACACATGCTCGAGCAACTTTGATTCTTTTGTAATAATCAGGATCATTGATATCAACAAAGAAGTATTGTATTGGTTTCTTTTTTCGTTGTGACATTTTAAAATAAATTGAAAAAACCTGGTAAGATAGAATAATTAGTTGTGATGATGATAAATTATTAAAAGGAAAGAAATGGGTTAATAGAGAGAAAAAGAAGAGAGAGAGAGAAAAAAAAAAAGGAAAAAAAAAGTGAAAGAAGTTGATTTAAATAACAAAGAGTTTCAAGGGGGGAGGAGGAGAAGTGGATGAAGAAAGTGATGGTTGTAAGAGAAGGTTTTGAAAAGGTAAAATGGAAAAAAAAAGAGGTGGCCTTTTGGGTCCAGACCTCTTTTAGTTACCTTTTTCAATCAAAGCTCAGACCCTGAAAATTGACACTTCAATGATTTTCCTTATTGAGAAACCGCATTGCATCCTCCTTTTTCTATTAGTCCTTCAAAGCGTTTAATATATATTTTAACATATCATCAATATATATATATATATACTCTATGTGTGTGTGCATATGCGTGAATGATTGTATGTGATGGTGTGTCCTTGATGACATTTGTGTGGATGATATCTACAGTAAATATATATATATATATATATATATGTGTGTGTGTGTGTGTGTGTTTGTGTGTTTGTGTGTCTGTGAGCGTGTGTGTGAAGGTAAATACACATATAATACATATTTATATATATATATATATATATATATATTATTTATATATCTATATGTGTGTGTGTGTAGATATATTTATATTACATCTTTTATGAAATATAGGCTAGAACATCCAAAGTGAAATCTGACTTAATTTTCCCATCTTTTTTAAGTCCATGAAGAATTTATTTTGGTTAAAGAATGAAGGATCATTTGAAATTTCACTGAATACCATATAGATATATGTTAGTAAAGAATCATATACTGATGGTTTACTAAAAGATCATAAAATATATATCATTATTAGTTTACTCTTTTTTTTTTTTTATCTATTTTTTATATTTATTTCTTGATTTGATCCATATTTTACATCTTTTTTTTTTTTTCTTTTTTCTTTCTTTTTTTTTCTTCTTATTTTTATTTTTCTTTCCTATTTTAATTTGATGAAATGAAGTTATTGTTACTTGGTACCTTACTATATGGTGTGATCAGCCTTTGTGAAGCTGCATCAAGGGAAAAGAAGAAGGTGATTGGGTGAGTCTGCATAATCTCTTTGTACTACTATATATTTTTCACTGTGGCTGAAAATTTTTTCTTTTTCTTTTCTTTCTCTTTTTTTTTATAGTTATTTTCCAAATTGGCTTTATAATAGTTACCCTTCTTCAAATATTCCGTTTGAAAAATATTCTCATATCAATTATGGTATATATAAAACAAAGAGAATGATAAAATACTGATATATTCATTTATTTATTTTATTATAGCATTCGCACTTCAAAACCATGATGATGGTGTTCCTTTCTTCCAGGACGATTGGGCAATAGACAACTATCTTCCAGAATTAATACGATCAGCTCATACTGCAAATACTAAAGTCCTTTTATCTATTGGAGGTTGGACAGGTTCAGAAAAATTTAGTCCTATGGTTGCTTCACCAGTTCTACGAAAACGTTTTATTGATTGGAATCTAGACTTTATTGAACAATATAATACTGATGGCGTGGATATTGGTAAATAAAAATAAATAAATAAATAAAATATTGACTTAAATAATTAAAACTTATATATATATATATATATATATATATATATATTATCTTATTAGATTGGGAATATCCTGGAAAACAAGCTGCTGGATGTAATGTCATCAATGAAAAGGATACTGACAATTTATTACTTTTATTAAAAGAACTTCGTACTGCTTTGGATAAACGATTCCCTGATGATTACAAAGAAATTTCTATGGCTGTTTATGTTTTACCCTTTATGCGAAATGGTGCGCCTGCAACTGATGTTAGTGATTTTGTCCCTTACTTTGATCATATCAATTTGATGACTTATGGTAAATATATAAATATATATTTTATTTCTTCATATTAACTTTTTTTTTTTATTTCTTATTTTTAAGATATTAATGGTGCTTGGGCTCCTGTGACCGGTCCAAATGCTCCTTTCGAATCTGAAAGTAACAAAGGCGCTGATTTCTCTTTTGTCAAAAGTAAGATTCTTATTATTGATATATAGTTATTGAAAATTTTCCTTTTCTTATTTTAACATTATAGGTATTCAAGCTTGGAAATCCGCCGGTGTGCCGAGTGAAAAGATTAATGCAGGATTGGCATTCTATGGAAGAAGTATGCAAGCTACAAAGGATATGACAACGACAGGATCTCAATATCAAGAAGCCTTGGTGGGTGCTCCAAAAGGGGATTCGGATGATGCTTATTGGGCTAATCCATTTTGTTCTGCCGATATTGATGGTGTATCTGGTATTTGGAAATGGTCCAACTTACGATCTGAAGGTTTAATCAAGAAAGATACTACTCAAGTTGGTCAAGGCTGGGTTCGTCATTGGGATGATCATTCAAAAACCCCCTGGTTATTCAATCCTACTTCTAAACTTTTTATCTCCTATGATGATCCTGCTTCTCTCAAAATTAAAGTCAATCATGCTGCATGTGAAGACCTTGGAGGTGTTATGGTTTGGTAAGCTTCCGTCCTTTTTTTTCATATTATTATTATTATTATTATTTGATTTCTCAATCTTTTTTTCTTTCTTTCTTGCTTCTATACGATATTATTAGGGATGTTCATCAAGATAATGGTGAATTGATTGATGTAGTTTCTTCAGTGAATGATGTTCCTTCTTCGTGTTATCATCAATTATCTGTTGGTGATGATGGTGTTCCTCCTACAAGCACATCTCGTACCGGTAACAAAGCTAGTCCTGCTACAAATGTTTCAGTACTAGCAACTGCATCAACTTCAAGACCTTCATCATTCATTGCAACACCACCAGCAGTTATGTCTTCACCATCGTCAAGTCATCTAGCAAAAGATTCAAAGGTAGCTTCATCTGGACCTTCCAGTAAAAGTATAGCTCAGCATTCTTCAACACCCAAACCAAGTATTCAGGCACAACATGGATCTTCTTGCTCAACACCTGGAATAGCACAATGTATTCAACAAGGTTCAAAGGAATGGTTAACTTGTGATATTACAAGAAAATGGGTTAGTCGTGTATGCGGTGAAGGTCTTGTTTGTTATAATGCATCTCGTAAGTATCAATATTAAGCATCATTATCTATCACAACTGTTTTCTACTATATTATTGATTTTTTTTTTCTGTATTTAGCTGGTCTCTATTGCGGTCATCCTGAAGCTAACAAATTGGATTCTCGACTGGATAATAAATTCTTAAGAAAACCTGTTTTGGCTGTTGAACCTATTAGTGGCAAAGATCGTTAGTTTCATCCGTAGTATTTGGAACTTTTTTTTTTTTTTTTTTTACGATTAGTTTTATTTCCTTCCTCATTATATTGAATATTTTTAGTTCTTCCTATTTTGATCCTTATCTCTTCAATAATAATAATAATAAAAATAATAATAAAACTTTCTTTTTTTTTTTTTATGATACTCGATTATTCTGATAAACAATATCAATAATTTTTGATAAAATGATTGTAAATTCATGTTGAATCTAAATATGATCATGATCTATATATATATATATATATATATATATTTGTATTCTGGTTGGCATGAAAACCAACTAAAAAAAAAAAAAGTATATAGATTATTTTATCATTCCAAGATATGAAACAGACATCATCAACAGTTTACGATGAACCAATAGAACGATCATCATTCCTATCATTTCCTTCTTTTTTTTTTTTTATTCTCCAATAGATCAACTTGTTATAGTTGAAACACAAGGATGTTTTAGTATTTTGAACTTATTAATTTAAAAATGATAAAATATAATAATAGTAGTAAAATGATAATAGCTGTAAATGTGATGATGATCTTTTTCATCATGATCTACAAGGGGACTCCTCCCAGATGTTCTGGGTTCGAATAGAGAATAATGAAAGGGAGCAAAAAGATTGTTTTTTCCCTTTCCTTTTCTTTTCCTATTTTTTTTTTCTCTTTTAGTTTTTTTTTTTTTTTTTTTCGTTCCTTTTCTTCTTTCACTTCACATACTCTTTTGATATCGCAAGATATTGAAGTTCATGAACTCATCAAAACAGCACGACACTTGGAGTGACGACTTGCAACTTCCACCTAGGGATGGTTTCTTGAAACATGATATATTAGAACGTATATGTCGTTTTCTCCCTACTCAACATGATTGTTATCAAGCTTGCTTCATTGATCGGTCCTGGCGTTGCGCTGCTACTAATGTACTTTGGGAAGCTCCTATTTTCAAGACACCAATCTCTTTCAGGATGTTTCTCAAGATTATTGCTGACAAAAAACAATTGGCTCTGAATGTAAAGCACTTGACTCTCTGTCTTCCTGACGACGTCTCCAACACACTCCTCAAACCGATCAATAGGTCCGAAGTTGAACGCCACAAAGCCAAGGATATCATATTATCACGACCCAATATTATTTTCGACTTGATCCAATATTGCCAAAAAATCACTGGTCTTACTATCTACGGTTGGAATTTACAACAAAGAAATTTTGACGAATTATACACTTTACTACCCGAATTGAAAAATCTCACAGTCATTGGAAATCACTCTCATTTACAACAACAAACTGGTCTCAAAACATCAACAGATTTTCAATTGAATACATATCTTCCTCGACTCTCTGGACTTGTACTAGATGGCTTGTTCCCCATTAGTCTCTCTTTTGCTCAAGCAATCGCGTCTAAGGCTCAACATCTCACCACTCTCCATCTCTCACTCTCTTCAATGGATCCTTCAATTTTGGGTGCCTTGTGTGAACCTGACACAGCTTTGAACTTGAACGATCTTACATTCACACACGGAAAAAACTTGAATGATCGATTTCTGCAAAGAATTCTACATCGATTTTCAAATTTACGCAAGTTACGTTTGGAAGGTACCAAGTATATGACATCAAACGCGTTGAAAATAGCTTTGGAAAATTGTACTCATTTGCAACATCTGGAAATTCGACAAGTGACTCTCAACAAACCTCCAACACATGTGGAATATCAATTTGATGATCAGTTCCTGGTGCAGTCCAGTGACCTTCGAACGTTAGTGACGGAAAATCTTTGGTTGACTAATGATTCACTTGAGCTACTTGGAAATTCATGTCCATCACTATCATCTATTGCACTTTGTCATATTGGAACGGATGTCAATGATTTTGGTATGCAAGCATTATTGGGTACACCTCTCCGATATCTTCGTCATCTCAATCTTATTGGTTGCCCCATGGTGACCGCGGATATCTTGAATTACTTGCCATCTTCATTGTATACTCTTCATTTGGAATCAAATGGTACTATGGAACCCGTGGACATTTTCAATATCTGCCTACATACTGTCAACGAAGCTACTGACAACAATCTACGACCTAATTTACACAGAATTTGTATTGTTGGATATGAAAATATAGCATTATCAGCCATTGGAACTCATGCTATCGAAAGGATGGATTATCAAGCAAAACAATGGGAAGATGATCTATCTACAACAGCAGCAACTAGGTATCAAGTCACTTTGAACGATCAAGCAATAGATGCGTTAGCCCACTCGGATGACTTTATCGTGATTCCTGAAAACAAGTTGCTGACCGGTAAACAAATTGTGGAATTGGCAAGAAAATTACAAGTACCATTACATCAATTTGTTCAGCTGTTAGATGAATTGAAGGTAGACCTATTTTTTTTTTTTTTTTTTTTAAAAAAAAAAAAAAGAAAATATCGAATCAAATATTAATAGCGTTCTCTTTATCTTCCTAATAGGAAACTTCTTTGGATCATACACCTCCCTCAGTCACAGGTATTTGTCTTCATATTTCTAATTACTATGTTATCTAATTCCTTTTATTAATATTATTTAGCCCCCAAGTCTCGCGTTGATATGTTGAAAACCACAATGTCTGAAGCACGACCATCCACTCCTCTCCTTTGGGCTGGCGCTGTGAATGACTCTGATTCTTTTCCACCACAAAAACCACATACGTCTTCTATATGTCAGGAATCAATGGCTTTAGGATCAACTCCTGCATCACCTCTGGCACTACCAAGCAATTCTGACAGTAGATCCTCTGGTATTGTTTCATCACAGTCACAACTATCATCAGAATACGAATACGAACAACAAACGTTAGATGGCAAGGAAAACTGGTTAGATAATGAAAGAACAGATAGCGATATCTCTTTAGGCGGCTGGGGAAATAATGATGTATCTTGGGGCAAGTCAAAATCAAGATCAAAGGGAATCAATTTACCAACAACGAATATACATGCTCAAAACACAAATCATGATCATACGCAAATTATCAAGGCTGCTATCAACTGGGATCAAGGCAAAAATGATGACCAATCGTTACTCCAATCGCAAGCAATGGTACATCCAACCACATCAATATCAAGTAGAGTAGGTAGACAACGAACTGATCTCAAGATAGAAAACGATGAATGGGGACAACCAATGCAGCACCTAACCTGGGCAGAATCAAAACCTTTTGTTAGCGAAGTTTTGAAAAATCAGGAAGAAACGACGTATTGGATGCAGGATGATGATTCAAACTGGTTGATCTTGGGGAAAGGCGGATCCTCTACTGGCTTTGATGGGAACAAGGAACAACCGGTGGCAACTACTCGCTTCTCTACCACGACCAAGATTTCTAGTCCAAAAATGAACGGTGCCTCTGTTATGTATACCAATGAAATCACTCATACCAACAACAACAACAACAACAACAACAACAACAGCAACATCAGTATCAACATCAACAGTGACTTTAAACATAGTAACAATGAAAGAACTATCCGAAGAAACAGCAGCTTCAACAATGGTACTCTGAGTTCTGATGGTAGTGATATCGATTGGGACGACGATGATGGTATTACAATCAAGACAAACAATTTAGCAACGATATCTCGGCAACTACCACGACACAATCCGAATATGTCAGGTAAAGAAAAGAGTGGGGCAAGACATCCGGGGAATCCAACATGGAAGGATCAAAAAGAGTGGGAAAGAGTGTCATCAGGCAACAAGGTATTTACTTTAGACTCTCCTTTGATATTGAATAATTTTGGACTTGATGATGATGAAGGTTGGGAAGGACGACAAGGTAAGTCTAGAAACATACCACTAAATTTTCTTATTTTTAGACCAATGATCTTATTATTTGTTATTTTTACTTTGATACAGGAAAATCAAATGGACGCGAATCAAGAGCAAATAGATTCTCAAGAACGAAGTCATCTATGAGAACTGGTCATATGTCTTCTCTTTCAAGAAATCAACCTGACTCCACTAGTTCCCAAACGAATCCATGGCGCCAATTTGCTAAAAACCCTATGAACCATGATTCTGTACCAAATTTGACACGATCATCACCACCGCATATTGGAACTCTTCAACAATCAACGACACAATCGTCATCATCAGAACAGGTAGATCCGTTCAGTAGCGCAGTTGACCGTTCTACCGCGTCTCTTTTGGTGGATACTAGCGACAATGCGATGGATAGCAACTTTACAACATGGCCACCCAAAGACAACCAATCGACGCTCAATGAAATCTATGATTCCATGGCTGAAATTGAAATAGATAATGATAAGATTTATGATCATGCAACGACCAACAACAATTTGATGGAAGTAGACGAAACTGTTTTATGGCAAGATACATTGGATTCTTCGTATAAAGAAAGAAGCGATAATAATACGATCGAGCAACAAGACATTGGAGAAGTGGATAGCGATGTTTTATTACTTGGACTTTCAACACCGGAGCCAGTTGATAAAAACAACAATATGAACAATGATAGCAAGGAACAAAGCGACAACAACAGTACCAATATTACATTACCTGCATTAATTGACTCCAACACTGATGACACAGAGACAACGCAACCTATACGTGATAGTCCTATCATTTCTCCACCTGTAGATACTTTGGATACCACTGGTTCAGGGAATCCTGATTCGGAAAATGATAGCAACATGAAATCTGACAATATGACTTCTGAATCTCCTGACTCTAATCCATCTTCGCAAGACCAAATAGCTGGGCGGCTTGCTATAGGTACTCCAAATGGTCGTCAAATCTTAACGCTATACACGGTAAGAAAAAACACAAATAATAATAATAATAGTAATATAAACTAATTTTTTTTTTTAAAGAAACGGGACAAGCGAGTGGATGTCCATACATTTTGCGAACAATATGGGATGCTTGATCAAGAGGAAGAGGTGTTTTCCAAGGCATATGCATATTGTCTAGAACACAAAACGAATAGGATCTTCAGTGAAAATGCCAAGGACGACAAGAAGAAGAAGAAAAAGAAGAAGAAGAAGAAAGAGTCTTCAACTGAAGGATAGTTTTTTTTTTTGTTTTTAGTTGTTTTTTTTTTTTTTTTTTTTGTAGTAGTAGTAGTATCGTAGTATCATAGTATGTTGATGATTGATTATGTATAAATCAATAAAAAAATACATTTTTTTTTATATGAACACTTTATGACCCTTTATGAAAGATGATTGGTGATGATTTAGGCGGTGATGATTTAGGCGGTGATGATTTAGGCGGTGATGATTTTTTTTTTTATGTATAGTAGAGAAGAGTATAATAAATGATTTAGTTTATTAAGCTTTTAGATTGATTTGAATTTAATTATAATGATGTTTATTTCTTTTTAGAACAGAAGTCATCGAACTTGCTTACCAGGGTAAAAATACTAGTATCAATAATATCAATAATATCAATAATAATAATAATAATGATAATAATAATAACTGCAGACCGGAGCCTGCTGAGTGGAATTGATCATAATGGGGAGAAATGAAAAGGGGAAGGAGACAAGAGGGCAAAAAAAGTGAACTGTAGTCCTGTGCAACCACAACGGAAGGTTGAATTTCATTGGAGACTCCTATTTTTTTTTTCTTTTTTTCTTTTTCCCTCTCTTTTTTTTTCGCCTTTGTTCCCTTTCTTTCTCTTCTTTATAAATATTAATAATAAGACAACACCTTCTTTTTTAATTCACTCATTATCTATTTTGGACATCTTTTTGTCATTCTCGCAGAATATTATAAAACTCATCACACCATGATGAAAGGAATAAAGGGTGTTGTACGTCTTTTTTTTTTCATATATATAAAAAAGATGGGAAAAGTACTCAATGTTTTATTATTATTATTATTATTATTAGCTTACAAGAAGTAAATCCCAACGTGATACCAAAGGAAGGCAGGTGTCAAATAAACCATCCAACAATACAAAATCAACAACAACACCATCCTCCACTGATAGAATTATGGACGATATAAACATTACCACCAATACCACTTCCGTTGGCATTCCTACCAATACTACGACGACAACAGTGACAACAACGATGACAACGACGACTACCATTAATACGACTACATTGGATTCTTCTACTAATGTCAATATGACTGATACTACTCCATCCATAACAAATTCAACATCTTCTGTACCTTATATATCTGTTCAACTCGACAATTCAAACAATAATGTAAGTTTAATGGAATCAATAGACTTATACGTGTCATGTATTATTTTATTTGAGGATACGTATATTAGCGTGTTTTACCATTATCTTAAGAAGAAGAAGAAGAAGAAGAAGAAGAAGAAAAAGAAAGTATATTGATTAATATGAATGATTTTTTCTTTTAATAGATGACATCGAGATCCAACATACTTCCGAAGAACGGGTTGATGCAAGGCACTCCAAAAGATACCATCCCAGTGAAATCACCTCGACGTCAACGATCATCAAGATTCTTTGTTCGTAATGTAGTAGAACTAGAACAATACCCAAATTTCCAAGGTAATAATAATAACAAAAAATAGAAACAAGTCATGAAATGTTATAAATGTATATATATATATATATTATAGAGGTACCTTTATCACAACGTCAAGATTTATTGATCAAAAAGTTGAAACAATGCCAAATATTGTTCGATTTTAATGATCCATCAGCATGTTTGGAAAGTAAGGAAATCAAACGACAGGCATTACAAGAAATGCTTCATTATGTTGGAACTACTCGTGGTGCTGTACCTGAATCTATTTATCCTGAAGTCGTTCGAATGGTAATGCATTCCTCTAATTACATGTATAACATACTGATCATTTTTATATTTTATTATGTCTGTTATTAGTTTTCTGTGAATATGTTTCGATCCATCTCTCCTCAAGCAACCCCTATGGCGGAAGGTTTTGATCCTGAAGATGAAGAACCCGTATTTGAATTAGCGTGGCCACATTTACAGTTAGTCTATGAATTCTTCTTACGTTTTGTGGAATCTCCAGATTTCAACGCTCAAGCTGCCAAGAAAAATATTGATCAAAAGTTTATTCTTCAGGTACAGTTTTTTTTTCTTGTTTTTTTTTTTTTTTTAAAAAAAAAGAAAAAAAAAAAAAGAAAGAAAGAATGGATAGACTGATTTTTGGGATCCCAGTTATTGGAATTATTTGATAGTGAAGATCCTCGAGAACGTGACTTTTTGAAGACTATATTACATCGACTTTATGGCAAATTCTTGAATCTACGGGCTTTTATTCGAAGGTCTATCAATCACATCTTTTTCCAGTTCATTTATGAAGTAGACCATTTCAATGGTGTAGCTGAACTTTTAGAAATCTTGGGAAGGTAAGACAAAAAAAAAAAAAAGAGTATACGAATTAAGATTTGACAATCATATTTATCTTTTTCATTTTTTTTTATAGCATCATCAATGGATTTGCTTTGCCTCTAAAAGAAGAACACAAGACTTTCTTGTTCCGAGTCCTACTTCCTTTACACAAACCACCGTCCTTAGCCATGTACCACCCTCAATTGACATATTGTGTTGTACAATTCTTAGAGAAGGATCCAACCTTGACTTCCGATGTAAGTAAAATGATAATCATCATCTTCCTTTTTACTCATTTTTATTATATTGATATAGACTGTCCATGGATTACTACGGTATTGGCCAAAAGTCAATAGTGCAAAAGAAGTCATGTTTTTGAATGAATTTGAAGAAATCTTGGATGTTACTGATGCAGTGGAATTCAAAAAGATTATGACTCCTCTGTTCCAGCGTCTGGCGCAATGTGTATCCAACCCTCATTTTCAGGTATTAAAAAAAAAGGATAGCATGTGGGATTCTCAATTAATATATGTTATATATTATATAGGTGGCGGAGCGGGCTCTGTACTACTGGAACAACGAATATGTGGTGACTCTTCTTGCTGACAATATTGATATCATTATGCCTATTATGTTTCCTTCCCTTTACAAACATTCACAAACGCACTGGAATAGGTAAGAACAAGAAGTATTTTTATAGTTACTTATCACTTTAAATTTATGATTGATGATAGAGCTATTCATGGATTGATTTATAACGCTTTGAAACTATTTATGGATATGAATCCCGCCTTATTTGATCTTTGCACAGAACAATTCAAACATGAAGAACAAATGTTAGTATATATATATATATATGATGATGATGATGATGATGATGATGATGATGATGATGATCTAATGAATATATCTATACAGGGAACAAAGGAATCAAGAACACAGAAAAGAAGCTTGGAAATTACTGAAAGCCAAGGCTGCTAGTCGACAGGCTTCCATAACAATGACAACCAATAATGTGGTAAGTAACTTTTTTTTTTTTTTTTTTATTCATAAATATCAGCTATCATCCTACTAAGTAAATTTATTTATATTATTTATTATCATTTTAGATGGATACTGAGCCTATTGGATTATCTAATACCACGACTGTTATCTCCCCTCCTTCTTCACCGCTTCCTACTTCACCAAGTCAAGCTGCAGATGATTCCGATGCTGATTCATGGCATAGTGTTTAGCACTTCCTTCCTTCTTCTTCTTTTTTTTTTTTCTATTCAAATAATAAAGTATTCATATTTCAGGATAATGTTCCCTTTGTCATTTTGATTGGCCGCTGTTGCTGGTTTTTTTTTTTTTTTTTTTTTGGACAAAAAGGTTCACTGCTTATTTTTACTTTTTTCGTTTCTTTTTTTTTTTTCTTCCTTTTCTCTTTTTTTCTTTTCCTTTTTTTTTTTTTTTTTTCATTGTTTACCATTATTGTATTCCTAAGTTACCTCACTGTCTTTCCTTACCATTTATTGAATTCACCTCCATTATACTACCTTGTAGTTTATTCCCTCTTTTTTTTTTTTTTTTTTTTTTTTTTTTTTTTTTGTCTGTTTGATACGTGAAGACTCTTACGAATCTTTTTCTCTCTGTCTCCTATTTTATTCAACCGTTGATCAAAACGGATTTACTGCTTCTCTTATTTACCGGTGTGATTGGATTTTCTTTCAAAGGAAATGTCTGGGCGACATCAAGGTAAATAAAATAGACTTCAACTTGTTATCAAAATAGATGTAGTATGCTTGATTGTTTTTGAACAAAAAGTGCTTTATTTTTGATGAACTAACTGATTGATTGACAAATGATTATTTATACTCTTTGACCTCTAGCTCCTTACGCGCGTTATGCTAACACAAACAACTCTTACAATAGCAATATGATTGGTGGTAGTAATAGTGGCAATAATAACAACTTGAACAGCAACAATAACAACAACAATAACAACAACAATAACAGTTTGAACATTCCTTTTCCGCCACAAAACAACGGTATCATGGGAGGAGGCTCTGGTAGTGGAGGAGGAACATATTCTTCTGCAACAACATCCTCTTCTTATAGTACGACACCCACTAATCACACCTCACCTTATTCCACAAGTTCCTCTCCGGGTTATCATTCACCAAACGTGTCCAAATCTCATTATAATCCACCACTGAAAAAATATGTCTTACAACCTCCCGCTAAACTATTACCTTATAGCAAGTCAATGCCTTCCATGGGTTATCCTGGCATGTTTCCTCAACGTATCAATCAAGAAGAAGATATTCTGACCGAATCCAATGTGCGGAGTGGATTTGTTGATAAACCGGCTGTATCTGTATGTGAAAAGAAAAAAGAGACTGATGCATGTTATTTCATGTATAATATTCATCCATTTTTTTTTATTAATAGAATGAACAAACTTGTGCACATGATATTATATTTGGGAAATTACAAGATGATCAACGACTTTTAAATGAAATGGGTGGATTTATGGTAGAAGTACTCAAACGGAAAAGAAAAGCTGCTAGGATAACAGGGTAAGAAGAATAAAAAAAAAAAAAAAGGTGATGCATTAACTCATGTTTTGTTAATAGAACTCCTTCATTCAAACCTCCAACTCGTACTGCTTTGATGGAATCGAAGAAAGAACAATGGATTCAAGAATTGGCTAATGGTGCTGTCCCTTTACGAAAACTATCACGAAACGTTCCTCATGGTTATAAGGGTGAAAAATTGTTAGAAACTCTGGCAGCAAGACAAGTTCCTTTTTTACGTGCTACATGGTATATCAAGGTGGTTGGATTATCTGAAATGGTATGTTTTTATATCATTTTACACAATAGTTATCATAATGGGAAACTAAAGATGATCTTTTTTTTTTTAGGCTCAACGAAATGTTAGTAATGCTGGATCAAATACATCGCATGCATACAATTGGACAGTGATTGTGACTGGACATCTCAAGAAACAATTAGCAGATCTGATTCCACTTTCATCAAATAGTACTACTGGCTCGATGCGAGGATATAGGAATTCAAATGTTCCCGGTGTAAGCGGTACAGCAATGGGTGGCGGTGGGAGCAATGATAATCAAGTGAAACCATGGGCTACTCCTGAAACCAAGGCTCGCTTCGAATCACGATGGGCCTATAGCACCAAACTGGCTCGATGGCAATATTGTGAAGGATTATTAGATCAAAGAAATTTTTTGAAATGGTCATTAGATACTCTTGCGTCAAGTAACTCTTTTGAAATCATGTGGTTGGTACTGACCGGACTTGTACAAGATTATGTGGATGAATATAGACGAAACAGAACTTTGACAAAATTATTGATTGAAACCTTGATCAAAGCATACAGCGCTGTAAGTATTAATGAATTTGACTGTTTGTATTTTTTTTTTCTTATCCTAATCCTTCCTTTTTTTTTTTTTTTTTATTCTTCACTTATTAGGTCTTACAATGCTCCAAACTCAACAATTCTATATCTACTCCTACTACTACTACTGCTAATCCAATCAATGTATTTACTGGACTCAAGCGTGATATCGAAAGGACTCTTCAGGTAACAAAAAAAAAAAAAAAAAAAAAAAAAGAGATGAATCCGGGATAAAATATTATATACTTACTCCTATTTTTCTACCAATTAGTCATTGTTTTTATCTAGTCCTGATATGTTTGTCATTCCAAAATTATACCACCAATACCGACCATTATTTGAAATGATCCTAGGTGAACAATCGCGTCTGAAAGTATCAAAAACAATGCCTGATATTTGCAAGGTCATGGAATCTTATTGGGAAATGATGAAGGCACGCAATGAAATTTTTTGTGGAACTTTGGAAGAAAATCGGCAAGGCACCATCAGCAATAACAACAATACCGTAATGGACTCTAGCACAGTTAAATCAGGGACAACGCCTGTCAGCAATCCTTCTGATATGTCAAATCAAGATACTCCAAGGTCAAGTGTCAAAGGATCTATTAACAGTACTTCTGAACGATCGGGTGTGGATGAAGAACGTATTGTACATACTTTGGATTCTATCGGTCGATATGCGGATTCTGGTCATTTACTACTTGGGAACAGCAACAACATTGCATGGGCGGATATGAAAGGTCATTCATCGGTTACTGCTACTGCAGCGATATTCAGCGGATGCATCAATGCAAGCACAGGCAATATACAAAAGCAGCCGCTCAACCAAGTCATTCAAATCCTTTGTCGATGGGCCACCTGTGAAGCAAGACATGGTGATTGGAGAGCTTTTTTGGTGTCTTCAATTCTTTTATGTTGGTGTGATCAAGACAAGACTTCATTTCCTCAACGACGGATTGCCCTTCAAGAGGCTCTAGTTAACTTTTTGGATAGCAGTCAAATATCTCTTTCATCTACTGGAGTAACTAGCGACATTGAGAATCAAGCTATGATGACGACAGCAACTTCAACAACAGCAGCATCTACAACGGTAGCAACAATGGATCAACAAGTCCTGGACGATCAAATGGTGGATCAACTTCCTTTGAATACCCCAGCATCCTTTTTATATGATACATTTGTTAGAATGCAATTGTTTTCCTACCATCGGTATTTGAACAGATTGACAGCACGTGGTCTTTTAGAACAGTCTCAACGAAAACAACCAAATGCCGTACGATGTCTCCACCATTTGAAATCACTACCATTATTACATCCAGTTCCAGCACATTTGGTGAATCAACGACGTGTGGCTCTTTATGGGTCTCGAAGGGAAGGCGGCGACTATGAAAGCCGATTGGAAACAAAAGCTATAGAACAACTACAATATCTGGCAAAGCAATGGATTATGGGCACTAGGACAACTATTGAATCAACTTTGAATGGGAATCAAAGCGGGTTGACTCTATTTGGGAAGAATGCGGAGGATATGACAGAACCAATGGCTAACGATACACCTGACGCTTTTGATCTCTCTTTATCGGATAAATTTGAACAACAAATGCAACAACTGATGGATGGCTCGACTAGGTATGTGATCATTCAATTCACTAGTGAATGGCTTGTCAACGAGGTGAAACGATTTGTAGTCAAGAATGTACAGATTGGTGAAGACAATTGGCGTGTGATGACATCTCCTGGCTCGTGTCTACTCAACGCTCGTCAGTACGTGGCTCTTATTAAGATATTGGAATGTGCCAAGGACTATATGAACATTGTACAGGTGGCAGTTTGGGTATTGGAAAAAACAAACGAAAAATCAGTACTACAACTTGTGATCGACACTCTCCGGCGGTATGCAAATATATGGAAATTGATGAATCTTGGCAAACTAGTAACGCAAACACTATGGAACAAACATCAATCATTACAAACACGTGGTACGCGCGAACGGTGTGTGATGATATACATGGTTCAGTTGGTTCAAGAAGGACATATGATATCGGATGACATGCGATTACAATTACAAAAGGATTTACAAATGCGACCTAAGGTCCGTGGTAGTCGTCGTACGCCGGTGTCTATGACAGAAGAATTACAACAAGTGATCAACAGCAATGGATCTAAAACATCAATACAAAATGTGGTGGAATCTCTTTGTGTAAGTTATCAATATCAAAATGCTGCTCTTTGGATTGGGCTTGTATTGGATGGCACAGTCAGCGTTATTCAGCAATGGAACAAGAAAACAACCATGTACGGTGGAAGTCATCAAAGTGTACAGCAACAACAACAACAAATGACATTACAGCGGTTCCTTTGTGCATATGCAGATATTATCAAGGATATTGTAGACCAATGTACACTCACTGGAGAAATCAATGATGCTCTTGTCGACTGGTTATCCAACAAGGTGACTGTTGTGGAAGAATTACGACAACCTCAATCGTGGATGGCTCTCTTCATTTGTCTTTTGGCGTCACGAGGACTTGTTAGTTTGGAATCTCTCTTTTATCGATTCACTTTACCCTGGTTTGATCAAGTCAGTCAGCATTTTATTCAAGATGATGTATTGTGGCCGACATCGACAGGAGCAGCAGCAGCATCAACCACAACCATTGACAGCGCATCATCAACAAGTAAAAGTAGTGATAACACAAACAATGGTAACAACAATCAACAATGGCTACAAGTATTTGAAAACATGATGGTATTGATTCGACTTTTGGTCGTTCAAGAACGGTGCTACTGGGTTCAACAAGAAGAAGACACTGTGATGGATGATACTAGTGGAACTTATCAACAACCTTGGGTGTTACAAGCTGAAGAAGTTTTTCGATTAGAGACGTTACGACACACACAATTGGCTTGTAGTTTAGATCGAATAGAACCTATGTTTGCTCTCATGGAAAAATTGGTACTTATCGCAAGTAGTTTGCCTTTAAGCAGTCCTTTACTTCAAGAATTAGTTATACTTAGGGCGGATTTACTACAAATTGGCTGGTTTCGACAAGCATGTGTTCGAGATCTTCATGGGGTTTATCAACGATTCTCTTCTCATGGAACTGAAGCTAGCACGGAGAAGAAGGTTAAGAAGAAAATGCTTAGTATTGTGGATGAATTGATTGGCGGTACTTTGGCAGATATCGGACACCATCATCATCATCATCACCATCATCATCATTTGCATCATGCTGCTTTGGTTCAAGAACCTGATTTTATTGATAAAATTCGACGTATTTTTGTCAATGTAAGTCAATGGAATGAAGAACAATGTCGCGTACAAGTCAGTTTACTATTGGACAATATCTTACTATCAGACGGTGGCAATGGACAAGACCCAAACAATCCTCATATTCTTGGTGGTGATGATATTACGATGAATGCTAATGACAAACAACAAGGCAATGATGATGGATTATTGATCAATGATAGAACGGCTAACAAGGAACTTGACGCTTTTGTACGATTCTTTTTCAATATTGTTTTATCCGATGAAGGTCAGCACCAACGACGATCTTTATTCTTCAAGAATATTATACATGGTTTACGTGAACGGGTGTTATTGGAACTGCTGAATTACGGTGTGCGACTTTTAGAAGGTTGTCATATGGAGGGAGAAGATGAAGCATCACAACAACCAGGGCTTGACCATCCATCGTCTGCTTCACCTCCATCATCTCAGCAACAGTCGGAACAACAACAGCAACAAGACCGGCCGCAACAACAGCAGCAACAACAGCAACAACAACAACAACAACAACAGCAGCAGCAGCAACAGCAACAGCAACAACAACAACAACAACAACAACAACAACAGCAGCAGCAGCAACAACAACAACAACAGCAGCAGCAACAACAACAACAACAGCAGCAACAACAACAGCAACAGCAACAGCAAAAACAACAACAACAACAAGAACAACAACAGCAGCAGCAACAACGACAACTGGATTCATCCACAGATCAAGTCGTTCTTTCATCCTCACCTTCATCGATAGTAGCAACATCCACGAGCGCGAGTTCAATTCAACAACAAGATCAGCAACAGCAGCAGCAACAACAAGAACAACAGCAACGGCGTGCATCAGCTACATCCACTCCATCACCTGTACATTCATCATCCGTGGCGCCTTTTCCCAACAATATCTTATTACTGTCTTCAGTTGACGAATGCTTTGATTCCGACAAATACAAGTATAAAAGCAGAGCGTTCTTCAATATTATGCAGCATATGATGGCACAGAATATTTGGGGAAATAACAAGAAGATTGCACTGGTCAAGACTTTACATCAACAAATTAAAAGGTTTCAGTCTGGATTATTGATTTATCAAGTCATGCAAGATGCTCACACCACATTTGCACGTGCGGTAGCAGCTTTGGATTTGACCAAGAACAATGTCGTAAGTGAAAAAAAAAAAAATAAGATTGATAAGCGATAATAAGATGATAAGCACAACTCATCATTTCTTTTTTTATCCAATCAATAGGATGCTGCCGTTGCATTATTAACAACAGAGGGTCTAATATCGGAACCGACTGATTCTTCAATTACACTTCATGATTTGCGAACAAGGTAATTTTTTTTTATCATGCGATGGACCCCATGATTATCTATTGTTCTGACTCGCCTTTATTATTCTTTACTTATTATTATTTGGGGATGTCAATAGTTTACTGATACGGATGCGATTAGTGGTACCATTTGCCTCTTTGATCTGGGAATATCCAAAAGAGGATGAGTGTGACGCTCTTTCCTGGATACGTATCTTGGTGATTCTATTAGGAGTAAGTCAAAAAGAAAATCACTATGATAATAGAATTTAATTCATCATTTCAATATATTTTAGAACCCGATTGTCCATGGAAATGGTAGTCAAGAACAATTTTTTGAATTTGTACTTGATTTTGTATCGTTGATTATTGATGAAGTACCCAAGGAATTACGGAAGCCTACCCTATCATTACTATCAACACTTCATCATCATGGCGAACTTTCAACTATACCCGTGATGTTTCAAAGTCGGGTGAATCGTATCTTACCATTCTCAACGCATAATATTTATCTCACTAATAGTCGACTAGCCACAGGAATTCTTGGAGCAACAACAACAACAGATCCGTTACAGCAACAACAACATCTGGAAACATGTATGGAACAATCAAGACCTTGGGAATGGTTAGAGGATTATGTCAGTGATCCTCCACATGATAATGATGTACCTATCAATTTGGGTCTATTCAGGGCAAGAAAATCAAGAAGGGTGGATGGAACATATATTCGATGTAGAACATAATGTACATTTATATATATATATATTCTTATCATTACTAAAACTCGTATTACTTATTATTATTATCATGTCGTCCATTTTATTATACCTTTACATATTTGTTTCTCCTGTTATCTATTATTTTGTTAATAAAGTTAACATTGTTGCATATCTCTCTCTTTCTCTCTCTATCTGTCCCTATCGTATATGATTATTACTGTATTACTGTTATTACTGTTACTAATATTTATTAATATTTACGGATGATAGTAGATGGATGTACAAATCAAAGAAAAAAATGACATATTTCAACATGATAATCAGGATGGTTCATATGACAAAATAAAATCAATCCGTCATTTTTTTTTTAATATACGGATCGGTTTTGTGGATTGATCTTTAAGGGGTTTTTTTTCGCACCAACCTGAAAAGGAAACAGCTTTACCAAACATTGTCAATTGATTGGCCAATCATCTTTTAGAAATCCATCCATTTCCATGACGCGAATGAAATGGTGTTATCATGAATGAAAACATTGATATTTACAAGATAATCTAACTCTTATAAAACTATAAAATAGGATGCATTTTATAGATCATGTCTTTTCTTCCTCTGTTAGAGATGATTTTCATTCGTACTAAACATAAAAAAAAAAAAAAAGAGGCTTAACTATTGACTTTTATTCGATTATATCTTTTCTTCTTTTTTTTTTTTTTTTTTTTTTTTTTTTTTTTTTTTAGGTATGAGGAGTACTCTCTCCATTCAACCTTTTCTTCGTATACAATCTCTTCATCGATCATCCATCATTGTTCATACTAGAAAACAATTTCAGACTATCACATCTTCCAAGACAACCATACCCAAAAGTATAAAAAAAAAAAGAAAAAAAAAAAAGAAAAAAAAAAGGATGATATTATAGATGACCAAACTCTTTTTTGTCTATTAGAACGAGTGGTTATCCTAGGTAAGTATATTTATATTTTTTTTTTTGATCACTGATAAGTATGGATCCTATGTGACCTTATCTTTCTTTAATGATATCCTTGTACCATAGGATCTGGATGGGCAGGTAACTTATATTTTTTTTTCTAATGTCATTTTTCTTTCTTTCTTGATACTATCTTAACCATTATCCTTTTGTTATAGGCTACAAATTGATGAGAGAACTGGACAGAAAAAAATTTGACGTAATGGTGGTATCTCCCAGGTAACAAACGCATAATAAATAACATATAATTATATGATCAACATTCAACTCTATTAAATTAGAAACTATTTTGTGTTCACACCTTTATTGGCAAGGTAAGCAGCTTGATTCTGTTGACAGTATTCATCTTTTTTTTTTCTTTCTTTTGTAGTACTTCTGTGGGATCCTTAGAATTCCGCTGTGTAACAGAACCTGTCAGGTACATAAATTCGTTACGCCTTTTTTTTTTTTCTTTCGTTCTCTTTTTCTTTTTTTTTTTTTTTTTTAAATATTTAACTTTGAATCTTGTAGAGGATATTCAAAAGATATTGATTACTATCAAGCTACTTGTGATGATATTGGTAAATAGCTCCTTAGTTACTTTTCGCATACTTGATGTCTATCTCATTCACTTCTCTTTTTAGATGTGGAAAGCAAGGTGATTCATTGTACAAGTCAAGTCCCTGAAACGAAAAAGACAACCTTTTCTTTAGAATATGATATCTTGGTGATTAGTGTCGGGTCTTACTCGAATACATTCGGTATCCCTGGGGTGAAGGAACATGCTTTATTTCTACGCGACGTCGACCACGCTCGTAGTATTCGAAAGAGATTGATAGAATGTAAATGATTCCCATAAAGTCTTAGTAACAAACAAACGTACACACAGAAACGTTACTAACAGTCTTTGCATTTTCATTTCAATTAGGTTTTGAATATGCCTCTCAACCTGGTTTGACGGAAACACAGAAAAGAAATCGATTACACTTTGTAGTAGCAGGCGCGGGACCAACGGCAAGTTCAACTTTTTTTTTCTTTTTGTAGTAGAAACCAGTTGGAGGTAATGTACTCATTTTTTTTTTTTAATAGGGAATAGAATTTTCAGCCGAACTGTATGATTTTATTTCCAGAGATGCGTCTCGACTTTATCCTGAGTTGATCCGTTTTATCAGTATGACTTTATACGACGTGGCTCCTCATATTTTGAATGGGTTTGATTCAGATCTCTCTTCCTATGCTCATCAACATTTTGATCGAAAAGGCATCCGTATTAAAACACGTAAGTTTATCCATCATCATCCTTCCTTTCTTATTTATTATTATTATTATTATTATTATTATTATTATTATTATTATTATTATTATTATTATTATTATCATCGAAAGAACGCTTTGTAGAATCTGTGATGGAGGACAAATTAATCATTCGTAATGAAGGCGAAGGTAATATATAAAGCTGTTCGTTACAAATTATCTATCGTACTAACCTACCCGATCCTTCTAGTTCCATATGGTCTCCTTGTATGGTCCACTGGTTTATGCGAAAATCCATTAGTAACGAAACTGGATGTTGCTAAAGATGACAGAAAACAAAGGTAAGACGATCGAACAGTGCAGCAAAAATGACAGTTCCTGAAAATTCTCACATGCTCTCTTTCTTTTATTAGAATCTTGACGAACTCTCATCTTCAAGTACTAGATAAATCTCATATCCCATACCCTGACCTGTAAGTTTTTTTCTCTTTTTTTTTTTTTTTTTTTTTTTTTTTTTTTTTTTTGTAACTGATGACCTCTTCCCGTTATAATTCATCAATGAACTAGATTCGCTATTGGAGACTGTGCTACTATGAAAAATCAAGATTTGCCATTGACTGCTCAGGGTAAGTGATTTGATGAACCTTTTTATCGACGACAATTCTCGTTAACTACCTTTTCTTTTTTTGGTTTCCTCTTGATAGTGGCAACCCAGAAAGCAATGTACTTGAGTAAAGGTAATGAATGAATATTTCTTTTCTTACCCAAAAAAAAAAAAAAAAAAAAAAGGCGATGCATGGATTTTTAAATACATTTTCAAACTTCTTTTTTTGTTATTAGTGTTGAACGGTAATGGATCTATCCAAGAATTCGAGTTTCGAAATCGAGGAATGATGGCTTACATTGGAGGATCGGAAGCTTTAGTGGATATGTCTTCCGTTCACCAAGGAGCAAAAAACTCTGGTCGATTAGCATGGTTACTATGGCGCTCAGCTTACTTTTCCATGAGCATGAGTATCCGGAATAGATTATTAATTCCACATTATTGGTAAGTGTGTTGGATGATAGAATCTTTTTTTTTTGTTACAAGGATGACTCATTATACTAACGTCATTTTTTTATTTTTCTTGTTGTCCTCTGGGTGATCTCTGGTTGAATGATGATAATAGGTTGTTGACCTGGATCTTTGGACGGGATATCACTCGATTTTAGATGAAATCCCAACTTGTTGATAAATACTTGTAGATGATGAATCCCTTCTGTAACTAGTGTTTCCTTTTTTTCTTTCTTTCTTTCTTTCTTTCTTTTTTTTTTTTTTTTAATAAACGGAGATGAACTACCCTCACAGTATTTTCAAAGTTCGTTGCCAGATCACAAGAAAACGCTTTTCGTGATGTTATAAAACAAGATATAGTACTTTGCCAAAATGGACGTCGCATTACCACTTTTTTCTGATATCGCTCTAAAGATGTTGGTAGAATATGCCAAAACACATTGATTGATTGATGACGATGATGATACAGTATAGTAATCATTCTCTTCTTTTTTTTTTCTTTTTGAAATCTCCTTTGGTGTTCCAATTCAAATTAGATAATCCACTTGTAACAGCAGCATATAAAAATATGTTATCACCTCTTGATGAGGATGTACTGTATTTAATGCTTTTCTACAGGTAAGTTAAAAATAAATATAAAAAATGGATATGTTGACTAAATGTACAGTATATATATTTTTCTGTTATTTGAAATCTCTTATACACAATGGAACTATTGCCACTCCTTCTCTTTTCCTTCTTCTTCTTGTATTCAATTTGGATTATGCGTTCAACTCTTATTCTTTTATTTTATTTCCTATTTTTGCGACATCTTATTTTTGAATTCCGTCATTTATTATTGAATAAAGTTGTACATCAAAATGATAATGGGGGGATGATATTGAGTTTATTTTTATTGATTTAAAAAAAAATGTAACTATAAAAAGGGGAGAGGAAGCTATTCTAAAATGGGGGAAGAGAGGAAAGAAAGACGAATGCAGTAAAAACTAAATAATAATAAGACAAAAGAAAAAGAAATATGATAAGAATGATAGTCAAAAAAAAAGGGAAGAATAAGATAGATAGAAAAAAAAAATGGGAGAGGAAAAAGTACAAATAAGTGATGCGTGCTGATCATCTAAGCAACTTGCTGTTGTTGTTGTTGTTGCTGAGTACGTTGTTGTTCAGCGTTGGACAAAACAGACATAATCAGGTTTTGTTGATCAGCATCCAGATCCTTGGTCAATAGGGTATACGATGCCGGATTGGTTTGTTGCATTGTACGGAAGACTTGTTCAAATCGAATATACGGGTTGATTTCATCCAAAGGTGATTCGAAAAGAATTTCTTCTTCGATTTCTTCTTCATAATCATCGTAATCTTCATCATTAGCATGTAAAGATGCTTGTTGGGCAAGATATTCCAAGTATTCGTTGTCTTGATCAGGGACATCTTCATCTGTAATAATAATAATATGAATATATTAGTATTACCTCCATTTATCCGTATTGTAATATAATTTACCACCAATATCTTCCAAATCATCTTCATCTGCTTCACTGGCATCGAAATCTTCATTGTAAATATCTTCATCGTCAAATCCATCACCATACAACTTTTCCAAACTTTCTCGGTCTATTGAAGAAGAAAGAAAAAGTCAGTAAATTGATTTTTTTTTTAAAAAAAAAAAAAAAAAAAAAAAAAAAAAAAAGGACCAAATCACACTTACTTTCTATAGCCTTGGGTAAAGTTTTAAATACATTAACAATACCAGTCAATACTTGAGACCAACCACCTTGTAAAGAACCAGGAACATGATCCAAAGGAAGTTCAATCAAAGAGCATAATGCGACAATCACCAATTTCTTATCATGAACACGAGAGAACTTTTCAAGTGTATTGAACCAGAGAGTAAAGAAGCCTTGAGTCCACTGATTTTCTTCCAGTAATCGGAGAGTCAATACAGGATTATAGTATAAACAGTTGATCACCTATAAAAAAAAGAATAAAAGAAATATAAAATATATATCAAAGTAGAAAATTTCTGTTTGAACTTACCACTTCAAGACAGTGAACCTTAAATTCGGTAGTCTTCATAGAATTAGTAAAGATGAATTGGAAGGCAAGATTCAAGAATGGAGCAACGTACTGAAAAAGCAAAGAAAGATATATATTAATATCATTACGTACTCGCTCTAATTGTTGATTTTTCCTTTTTTTTTTTTTTTTATTACCATATCGACTTGACCACGGCAATTGAGCAAGACGGATTCGATAAGTTTACCTATAAAAAAAAAAAGAGGATGAGGTTTAGATATGTCTATTTCAAATATATATATATATATAAATCAACAAAACACTTACAAGCACAGACACGATCATTTTCACCCAAACGATCACTCTTCATAACAGTATCAATAATGTCAAACATCATACGTTGAATATTTTCGTTGCTGACAAATACATCACGACCATACGAAATGTAATTGTCCAAAGGAGGAAGCATTTCGTCCATATAATCGATACCGCAATCCTTGAAAGATTCATAGATAAGATCAAACACGCCCCACATGGTAGGAGTCACTCGCTTGGCAGAGAATGTACATGAATCAATAATTTCAAAGATTTCATTGTACAAGTCCATGATCTTATTCTTGAGAGTATAAGTAATGACAGGTAACAATGCATTTTCCAATTGTTGAAGAATATCAGGAGTGCTTTCCAAACTAAGAATCAGAGTACCAATAGTTTTAAGAACACCCATAGCTGCCATAATCTTATCGCTAACATCATCCAAATCACCAAAGTCATCATCATCGTTCGAATCCGCCAATTGATTTGATTGACTGAAATCTTCCATAATACGTAAAAAGGTATCTCGCAATTGCGTACAAAGTTGAACGGCGAAGGGTGTGAGTTGGTCAGCAAACACTTCAACAAATTCTTCCATAGTGGTAGCCAAAGTGTCAATATCAATTTCTTTGGTCAAATTGAGTAATTCTTGCATGATAAAAGGAAGACTAGGGGCCATAGCGTTGCGAACTATTATATATATATTAATAAATAAGTAAATAAATAATGTACTCTTCATCACTCTCCGATTTCAGTATCGTATATTTAACATTACCACTTTCGTGACGGATCATAGGTTGTAAAGCAAGAGCAGCTTGAATCTTGACAGGTAAATCAGTATCACGGAGACAATCCAAAACATTTTGATAAAGAGTAGCCAAGTTCTATAAGATAGAAAAAAAATATATGAGTAAAAAAAAGTCATATATTACTATTGTATTATTGTTTACCTGTTCGTTTGCGAAGTCCAAATCACTAAAATGCTTAGTCATATCGCACGCGCGAGCACGGAGATATGGGAAACGACTCTTGAATTCAGGGAAAACATGAGAGACAAAGAAAGGTTCCATCATATTGGCAACAGGAGACTTCTTTTGTAAGATTTGATAAGAAAGGCATGCAATCATATTCAAAGCACCATCCTTTTCACGGCCATTCTTTTGATCGTCAGGAGTTTCCAAATACTTGTTCAAAACACCATTGATAAATCCAAGAATTCCCATAAAAGTATGTTTCTTACGGTCACGAGCCAAAGTAATCAACAAGTTGCTAGCGTTAGTCTCGGGTGAATGAATATCTTCCAAAGGATCAACCTTTTTGTGAACAAATTCTACAGGATCATCATTCCATAATTCCTCATCTTCATTGGAAAAACAGAGTTGAGGGAAGATAAAATGGGCCACTAAAGTCTCAGTGTGAGGTTTGATAATTTGCCAAGTAGTCTTGTGCTTGACACTAATGTGACAAAAAGAGAGAGAGCGGGAATGAGTAAACGAGTTAGTGCTAAATTCCCAACATACATATACAACCTCATCCTTATTATTATTATTATTATTATTATTATTATTATTACCTGTTGTCGAAAAAGGCAGCAGTCAAAGCTAAACACTTGTGAGAAATCCAAATTTCGTTCTTGATCCAACCTTCTACCTGACGAAGGTAAGCCTGCAATACATTGGGAGCAAAGTTAGAGACAAAGTTTTTGGCAAAAGGAATGTACTTGCTGGCACTGGGAGTCAATAAAGCAGGATTTCCATACTTGGCAAACAGACGATTCAAACAATGATAAGCCCATTTTTTAGTTTTACCCCAAGGATATTTTTCACGTTCTTCAGAATCAGTAGGCAAGACATCAAATGGAATAGGTTTGTCAATCAATTGTAAAAAGAGAGTTCCCCAAGGTACAATGGAAGAAGAATCTTGTAATGTTTTGGGAAGATCGACTTGGATACCAGCATGATAGATTTTCAACGTCAGTTTGAGCATTTCAGCAGCTTCGAGACTATCAGAGGAAACAAGATTGGTACCAATGTTTTGAATGGCAGGAAAAGTCAGTGCGATGATTTGTTGTAAAGGTTCACGTTTTTCGGATGACTTCCATCTAAAAGATATATAGATATATATTAGATCAAATGCTAGTGCAAAGTAATCAAATGATCAAAACTTACTGATACACTCTGACTACTTCACGAAGAGCCAATAAACCAACATAAACTAAACGAGGATCATTTGAAGACAAAAGGTTTTCTAATTCACCAACAAATTGAGACCATTGTTCAGGGAAGTCATTGCTTAAGATAGTATGTAAACAAGACGTTAATTGAACTCTATTGAAACCAAAAAAAAAAAAATAAGCCTAACGAATCTTTTACTTCTTTTTTTTTTTTTGAGTTCTTACTTGACAGCATTGGGGGCTGTTACCATGGCTTGAAGGATAGATTGCTTTACAACATTGCGATCTTCTTCACTGATGGGAGTAGTAGCTTGTTTGTTTCTATTCCAGGCTTTCACCAAACGATTCTTAAAATAGATAGCAGCTATAAAAAGAGATGAAACTCGAATCAGTTCAAAAGTTCAATGTAATCAAAAAAAAATTCAATATAAATTTACCGGCTTGTCGAGCACCGAGTTCAAGTTCTTCAGAAGCCAAGATTTGTAAAACAATAGGGAGGAATCCATTATGACCTTCGAACTGTTAAAAAAAAAAAAAAAAGAATAGGATGGTTAGTTTCTACTCCAAAGTTATCCCTATGTTTAAATAAGCTTTTTTTTTTTTCTTACACTTCGAATATTAAGTTCAGCTTGTTTATGAACGTTTGGATCAGGATGATAAGTTGCCACAAATAACTGATAAACACTGTTTTGGTCCATATTAAATAGTTTTACTGTCGTATATCAAAGAGGTATCAATGGATTGACTCTTACTATGTACCAAAGTTTCAAAATAATGTACTTTTTAGGCACACACACACACACACACGAACAATTGAACAACTTCAAAAAAAAAAAAAAAGGAATAACAAGAAAAAAAAAATCGGGATTCAGAAAAATAAAGAAAAGGAGTCCTTTCTTGTTTTCTTGGGCACACACCAAATAGAATGAAATTCCGCATCCAATCATATCATCGTATTTACTATAGTGCTATAGAATTGGAAATAATAAATGAAAAAGAAACTAAAACCATTGAAAAAACCATGTCATTGATGATAAAAAGAGAAAAAAAAAAAAGATGAGAATCGTGTCATATTATTATTATGAGTCGATGATTTTTAAAAAGCAGATGGTTTCAGATAGGCAACCCATGAACTTTTTTGACGTGATTCGCGGTTATTCAACAATGATTGCATGATCATAGAAAAAAAAAATTAGTATATAAACGTAAAATATCTATTTTTTCAATTTTGAAAGTTTATTTACCTTCTTTTTTTTTTTTTTTTTGTTCTTCTATATATAATCAAAAATCATTTAAGTATGGGCGTCTTAGATATTATTCCTGCTGGTGTCGTTACTGGTACCAATCTTAAGAAACTTTTCGAATATGGTAAGATTCTTTATTATTATTATTATTATTGTTATTATTATTATTTGATGGATGAATCATCATTATCACTATATATATATATATAGTAAACTGATTATCTTTTCCTTGATCATCTGTTTTAGCTCGTGAACATCAATTTGCTATTCCTGCCATCAATTGTACATCCACAAGGTAAAAAAAAAAAAAAAAAAAAAAAAATAAAAGAGGAATTGCTCATCTTACATCGGACTTGAATCTAAACCCCCTGCTATTTTAGTACTGTCAATGCTGCTTTAGAAGCTGCTCGTGATATCAAATCTCCAATCATCATTCAATTCTCTAATGGTGGTAGTGCCTTTGTAGCTGGTAAAGGTATTTCTAATACTAATCAAGAAGCTTCCGTGCTTGGTGCTATTGCTGGTGCTCAGGTAATCATCATCATCAACAACAACAACATCATATATTTAACCAACTTTTGGGTCTTTTTTTTTTTTTTTTTTTTTTTTAGTATGTTCGAACAGTTGCTACTTCTTATGGTATTCCAGTGGTGATTCATTCAGATCATTGTGCCAAAAAGTTACTTCCTTGGTTTGATGGCATGCTTGCTGCTGATGAAGCTTATTTCAAAGCCAATGGTGAGCCTCTTTTCTCATCTCATATGCTAGATTTATCTGAAGAACCCAAGGAAGAAAATATCGCTACTTGTGTACAATATCTCAAGCGTATGGCTCCTATGAATCTATGGCTTGAAATGGAAATTGGAATTACTGGTGGTGAAGAAGATGGTGTGAACAATGAAAGTGTTGATAATAATTCTTTATACACTCAACCTGAAGATATATGGGATATTTATAAAGCCTTTTCTGAAGTAACTGATTTATTCTCCATCGCTGCGTAAGTTCTTTATTATTGATGAATAGATAGATAAATGATATCAAACGAATGATGATGATTGCTGATGATGATTTTATTATTATTTTTATTATTTTTATTATAGTGCATTTGGTAATGTTCATGGTGTATATAAACCTGGAAATGTTGTTCTTCAACCTTCTTTATTGGGTAGACATCAAGCATATGTAGCAGAAAAACTTCATAGTAAAAATCCTAAACCGGTATTTTTCGTGTTTCATGGTGGATCAGGCTCAACAAAGGAAGAAATCGCAGAAGGAGTCAGTCATGGTGTTATCAAGATGAATGTGGATACTGATACACAGTTTGCTTATTGTAATGGACTCTACGAGTACTTTAAGAAAAATGATAAATATGTACAAACTCAAGTGGGTAATCCTGAAGGACCTGATAAACCAAACAAGAAATACTATGATCCTCGTGTTTTCATTCGTGCTGCTGAAGTAACAATGAAATCTCGTGTAGAACAAGCTTGTAAGGATTTGAAAAATGTCAATATACTTTAAATCCTTTATCTTGTAGATAATTTCAATAAAATAATAAAAATAATGATTCATTACTATATATTAACTTCTTGCATGATGAACTTTGGTATGGCGTTGCGGGGAAGTACGTAACTGAGCTTCAATTCATATATTTGATACAAAAAAGCATTCTTTCCTTTTTTTTTTTCCTTTCTTCTTTCTTTTTCCTTTTTCTTTTTCTTTTTCTTTTTCTTTTTCCTTTTTTTTCAATCTCAATAAAGAAAAAAAGAAAATTTTGGATTGTTTCTTCCTCTTCAAAGGAAACTATTCTTATTTTCTTTTTCTTATATCTGTCGAAACCTTTTAATAATGGCAACTATTCATTCGTCAACAACTCAACATTCTCCAAACAGCAAACTGACTCATTTTGGTTCTTCTACTAAGGTCTTGGATTACAACATAACACAAAAAAAAGAACAGCAAAAGGAACCCAATATACAACGTCGATTATCTTTACCTGATTTATCAAAACTAGTGGAAGAATGGACACAACAAGAAGTATTACAAGAAAACTCTTTGCCACCAGGGAAACTTCAGGTACATCAAAAAAAAAAATAACAGAGCAATACATCCTTGACAACAAAGTTCAACGTTTTTTTTATTTTATTTTATTTTATTTTATTTAGATTGATTTATTGAATGTTCGATCAGATGTAGATATTAGAAACCCTCGCATGCGAATACGGATGGGATCACAACAATACTATTCATCAAGATCAAAAGATCCCAATGGTAACTGGAATGAAGGATTTTTGTTCACTACCTCATATCATAATCAACTATTTGATACTATTGAAGTAAAAAAAAAAAAAAAAAAAAAAAAAAAAAAAAAAAAAAAAAAAAAAAAAAAAAAAAAAAAAAAAAAAAAGAAAAAGAAATTGAAACATTACTATTGTTATTAATCGTTTCATTACTTTTTATAGCTGGATTTATATGATCGACGTAAAGGATGGCGTTCCAAAACAAAACATATTGGCAAAGCAAAACTCAAGATATCCAAACTCAAAAATCGACATGATGTGTACCTCACGTATGAATTATTTATAATTTATTTACATATTTTTTTTTATTTACTTTTTTTTCTTTTTTGTATTTTTGTTTTATAGGTTTTTACCGATGTATGAATACCACACCCGACGTTATTTACCGGCTCATATCCCACTACCACACAATTTTTTGAAGTCTCATATGCCAAGTCTACCAAGTTTACCCAATATGCCAAACTTACCGAACATACCCAATTTACCCAATTTACCTAAATTTAATCAGTCCAATCGTGTATCACAATGGGAACATGATCATTACCTGCATTATCAACAACATCCAAGTCATCGCAAGAACTCAATGACTCCTTTTATTGGTTCTATTCAAATTCGTGTTCGTTATGTTTTCCAACGTCCTCCTGATACCAGTGATCATTCCATCCCAATTTATCTACCTTACAATGCCGCCAAGGATTTTGATTCTTATAGTACCAACACATTCCGTAGTAACAATAGTCATCAAGGGCTATCACTATCATCAAGTCGACGTAGCCAAAGAAGTACTAGAACAGTCAGTACTCGTACTTTTACCGACAGTCCCAATAGTAGTTGTAGTAGCCTTGATTCCTATGCCGTCTCATCTAAAACCATGCGTTATCAACAAGAGTCGCTATTATTCGGAGAAACTGCTTCAGATGATGGATTTCATGACGCTATTGAACCAGATATCATTCATGTTATGGATTTTGATCAAGTACAACAACAACAACATCTTCAAGTTCTCAACAACGATGGGCATAGTCATAGTTTACGACAAGTTGAATCATCTCTCAATACTTCCATGACATCAGATTCACACCCTATTCAACCTCCATCCAACAATATCAATGATTCTTTCTGTTTTTCGCGATGTGATGCGGATAGCCGAAACTTACTCTTAGCACGTGTGACTAGGAAGGATCAGACGACGACAACAACGACAAATGACGATAGGAACGGAAAAACAAACAAAAAGGCAACCACGATTCATGATGACAGGGATAGTGCTTTTTCTGATAATTCCAGTATTAGAAGCCACAACTTTGGTGACAAAAACTTTGCATTTAGGTGGATCAACGAATCTTTTGAAGAAGTGGCACTTTCTCATCCCAGTTTGGATCGCATGATTGGTCTGGTAGTGAGTCCTCAAACAAGAACTTTGGTGCGCGCTGTGGTGAAAATGATGAATGCTTTTGTAAGTTGTTCTTTTTTTTAAAAAAAAAAATGACTGTAGTCTGACGCTTACCTTTTTTTTTTTTTTTTTTTTTGTTTACTCTATTATATAGGGCCAAGGATTCAAAGTGACCAGTATGCAGCTTTTCTCTTCTCTTTCCATGTTACAAAAGTTTTATACAGATGTACCAAGGTAAACCAAGGGATTTATAAATAGATTTAATTATCTTTTTATTGAATCTTTCGATATTCTATTTTTATTTGGTTGTAGGTCACCTCCAGCGGGAAAAGTGACGGATCTTCGATTTTTGGATGAAGCACATTATTTCTTGGGTCATGCTATTATTGCCTATGTACGTACGAAAAGTGTTCAAATCATTTTTTTTTTCTTAAAAACAGAGAAAAAAAATTATGTCATACCAAGTGATACCGATGATATTGACATTCAAACTTTATATTGATTTTGATGATAGGGTTGGAGAGGTATCTCATATCTTGGTGATTACGCAAAATACTTGAAAGGTAGGTAGGATTATTATATTATAAATTGTTTTAATTCATTGATTATGTCATTATTAGATGTGATGAAAACAAGATCAAACAAAGAAGCTATCGTCCGTTTCCTCAAAATACCTCAAGAAGATTTACTGGGTTATGAATATGGTCTTCGAAAAGGGGCGGTCTTCCAACCAAGTTATTTTGTGTCTGTGGATCGTGGACATGAAGCGGTTGTGCTTGGCATTCGTGGTACCTGGGTAATTATCTATATTTGAATGATAATGATGAATATATTCATATTTCTTTTTTTTTTATTTTACATTATATAGAGTTTATATGATGTGATCACAGATTTGGTATGCGATTATAAGCCTTGGAAAGGTGGATTAGTACATAGCGGTATGTTAGCTTCAGCTCAATGGTTCTTCAGTCGAATTATACCTCAAATATTCCACTATATTCACGAACGAAGCAAACAAAAAACAGCACCTTACATCAAATCATTCATTATCACTGGACATTCACTTGGAGCCGGGACAGCCGCCATATTGACAATGATGATAGCTGATCATATAGATGAATTACGACAGTTATCCAATAACCCAGATTTTAAAGTACACTGTTATAGTTATGCACCAGTGGCAAGTGTATCATTGGATCTCTCTGAAAAATATAAGCATCATATTGACAGCTTTGTATGTCATGATGACCTGGTGGCTCGACTCTCTTATGGAACAGCATCTTGCACGAAGGAATTGGTTATGGACGCTCTCATAGCAGCGGATGGACTAGGTGGTATCAGCAAAGTGAACAATGACGAAGCAACACGAAAAGCATGTTTTGACATCATTAAGACTCGACGAGAGGAAATCTTCCAAACAAATGAACCAAGATATCCCTTATTATATGTTCCTGGCCGAGTATACCAATTTAGGCGACGATCCATTCCAACAACACATGATAACAGCAAAAGTACACCATCCGAACGACCAAACACTAAAAAGAAGGGCAATGTTATTCAACGACGACATTCTACCATGACATCAACATCAATACCAATCACGTTACGTAATGAATCATCATCATCCACCCTCTCTTCCAGTCATTCGGAACCGATCTTACCCACAGGCGGAGATGATGTAGTCTTCACTTTACACCAAAGCTCTGCATTGTTATCAGAAGAAATGTTTATATCCAAAACATGTCTTGAAGATCATATGCTTGTGACTTATCTCAAGGCGTTTCAAACGGCTAGACAGGACTGTATGCGTGCTAACGGTTTGGGAAAAAAAGGTAAGGAACAACACGTGTATCATCATCGACCAGAATCATCTTCATCCATACCCAATATTCGCGTTCAAGATCCGGATGGCTTCTGTAGTTTAGTTTAGTCTAGTTAGTCAACTTTTTAGTTTGTTTATTTTTTTTTTTTTTTTTTGTGATGACGACGGTGTCCATTATTATACAATAAAATCATTTTTACTTTGATTATCTATTAGATATAAATATATTTTATATATTGTTTGTTACTTAGTTTAGAGAAAGGGGGGAAAGTTATGTATTTATTATTGACTTGAAAATAGATGGAACAACTACGCAAGTGTTATTCATTCTTGTTGTTACCATGATCTGTCATTTGAGCATCAAGGAAAAAAAAAAAATCTAATGACAAGCTTTTTGATTGGTGGCGAGGTATGTGTGTGTGGGGGAAACGCCAATAGAGCCAGTGATTATTTCCTTTTTGAGAGACAAGTTATTGGGAAATTAGTGAAACATGATTTTAGGGAAAGCGAAGAAGGAAAAAAAAAAAAAAAAAAGATAAATAAAACCATCTGCTTTTTTTTTAAAAAAAAAAAAAAAAAAAAAAAGACATTGATGACCATGATAAAACTTTATTTCATAAACGAAAGTAGATATATAAAAACAAAGAAGGTATATTCTAAAACATTGTATTGGGGGGTTGATGGTATTGATTTTCATACCCAAAAAAAAAAAAAAAAATAGATGACACATATATACATTAATGACAGGAGTAGAAAGAATGATGATGATGATGATGATGATGATGATCTATTAAGATCATCGGCCACGGACAGAAGGGCAATAATCTTCATGAGAGAATTGAGAAATATCTACACCACAAGAGGGACAAAAATTGGAATCACGGGCTTGACATACCAAACAGTCATTCATTGTTACTTTCATTGTTATATATATAGATATATATATTATTTGATTTGTCAATGGGAATACAATCGAATGGGAGAGATAAGTAATAAGGTAATCTGTTAAGGAAGAGATAACTAAATAAAGATAAAAAAGAAAGGAAGAAAAAAAAAAAAAAGAAATCAACCCCTTGGGGGGGAAAATAATAGGATAGGTTTATTTATACAAAAATGAACAAAACAACAAAGAAAAAAAAAAGTTTCAAGAACCACGTGCAATGCCATCTTATCCATAAATAATAATCAAGGGTTCAAATAGAAATGAATGTTTTTTTTTCCAAGATGCTGAGCCGCCCATTTCTTTCTCTTTTTCCATGCTGACTTTGGAATCGGAAGAAAGCGAAACGTCTTGCTCTTCTTCAAGCCACACTCTGAGAATGTTTCGACTGCGCCGGGAAGTAACCAAAAACTCGATACTTGGTGGCACTATCCAAAAAAAGAAACAGATGCCGAGTCTATTGATGAGGGAGGAAAAAAAAAGTCAGGTACCTTACTTTTTTTTTTTTTAAAAAAAAAAAAAAACGAAATCATCATCATTATTATTATTAGAAACGAACACAGTAGATTGAAAAGACTGATTTACCTTTTATTTTTTTAATACTTTAGATCATTGATTTATTAATACGGTCTATGATGATACTTTCCTTTTTTTTTTTTTTTGACATCGGAAACCGTTCCTTCTTTCTTACCAATTTTGGGCAGTCTTGAATCCAGTTTTGTCTTCTGTCAAGTCCCATCTTTTTCGCAAACTAAACTTTAGGGGTAATCATTCGTAATATCGTGCCAATTTTTTTTTTCTTTCAAAGTCGCATTTGTCCTTCATTCTTTTGGTTTATTCATCATTCTTTTCATTCATTGGTTTAGAAACTGTTTTTTTTTTGTTGTTAAGTACACTGATCTCTCTTTGATATTCATTATCTTTTCCACTGTAACATCACATGGGATAAACGTGTACCTATTTCTATTTTTTTTTTTTTTTGTAATTCACTCAAAAGTCATCATCACTACACCAAATTTGGAATGAACATAAATGAAAACATTCTCTTTCAATTGTCTTAATAACAATTTAGAACTTACTTTGCGATTTATTGAGTAATTTAAAAAATAAGAGTCAATTCAATCATCCCTCATCCAATAATGATCATCATCCAATGAAATGACCACCATTGGATTCTTCCCAAAAAAGTAGTCAAATATCATCTAATGTCATTTAATCACTTATCCTGCCACTTAATGTACAATGATCACCAAAAGGATTTCATCGATTTTTCCAAAAATTGCCTGATGTACCCTCGACGATTGATTTTTACAGCCAAACTTTGGCTGAGGAGTTTCAAATTTTTGGCTGTAAAAATCAAAAATGATCCCATTTTCTTTTTTTTTTTCATCCCTCCAAATCTCAAACACTCTTCGCCATTGGTGGCACTATTAAAAAGTAGCCTAATAATGGATAATGACTTTTCATCAGCTCAGTTTGGCCCATACAGAGAAAATCGCATTTGAAAAATTCGAACCATTTTCTTTTAACATCTAAATGTTTGTACTATGCTGTAACATCACATGGAGTGTATCTCTTTATACTTTTGTATTTCACTCAAAACTCATCATCATCGTACCAAATTTGGACTTAACATACATGCAATTATTCTCTTTCAGTTATCTTAATAATAGTTTATATGTTATCTCACAACTTGTAGAACTAAAATAAAAAAAAAATGAAATACCAATATTACCATCCCTCATAATGACCAATATCCAATGAATTTTCATATCCCATTTTGAAGGTTTAAACTTCCAATCATACCATCAAACTTACCAGTCAAATATGTGTATGTTTTTTTTTATGGCAATCTTTTTTTATTAACATGTCAAAGCAGATTTTCAAAATTGAAAAAAAAAGGGAATCTTGTGTCTGAGTCTCAAGTCCTGCGTGATGAAGCAAGTCAAAGAAAAAAAGATCTCATCTTTTTTTTTTTTCTTTGTTTCCTTTTTTTTTTGGATACACTCTTTACTTTTTTTTTTTTTTCTTTCAACATGGCGTCTAATGATGAGTTACCCAGGATTGTAGTACTTATTTCGGGATCAGGTAGCAATTTACAAGCCTTGATAGATGCAACACAAACACCAAGAAAGTTACAAGCCAAGATCGTTGGGGTGATCTCGAATCGACAAAAAGCATATGGCTTACAACGAGCTCAACAAGCCGGTATTCCAACGGAGACAGTGTCGTTAAAAAAGTTCAAGGATCAAGGCAAGACGCGTGAAGATTTCGACGAAAGTGTGGCGACATTGATTCACACGATGCAACCTGATTTAATAGTGTTGGCTGGTTGGATGCATATCCTGTCTCCTACGTTTTTGGCCCATTTTCCCAATAATGTCATGAATCTCCACCCTGCCCTCCCTGGTCAATTCGACGGTGCCCATGCTATCGAACGTGCTTTTGAAGCTTATCAACAAGGTCGCATCTCTGAAACTGGGATCATGGTCCATAAGGTCATCGCTGACGTTGACCGTGGTCAGGTCATCTTGCAACAACCTATCCCCATCTTGCCTGACGATACTTTGGAAACTCTGGAAGATAGAATTCACAAGGAAGAACATAAGATCATTGTTCAAGGTGCTCAAGTCTTTTTGGATGAATTGGCTTGTCAACTATAATTTTTCCCTTTCTATATTGTTTTTAGTTACCCTAGTATAGCTTCATTTTTTTTTTTTTTTCAATAAAAACTTTTTTTTTATTATTATTATTATTCAACCATTTCAACCAAAATATATGTATATAGAATATATAAATACAACTAAACTAAAAATATGATTCTATAATATGATCACCACTTGTTTTTTCCACCCTTTTTCTTTTTCTTGTTGGACTTGTTTGTATTCTTGCTGGATGAGGTAGCTTTGGTAGCAGCCGGACTAGTTTCACTTGAAGCAACGGGTTTGATATCTTCTGTAGTTGGTGATGATGGTGATTCTACTGTACGTCCAGCGATCCTTGCACTTCCAGTAGTACCAATACCTCCTCCTTCCATGGCCATTCCTTGTGGTCCTCTTGTAGCTGCCTTCTTTGCCTTACCCTTGGCACGATATGTAGATCGATCACGAGCTGGCATCCATCGTTCCGGATCAGGAGTCTTGCTTTCATCATAATTCTTGGGTAATAAAGGTGATCTTTTCTTTTTGTTTCTTGGTTTCTTGATATGTCCACTATCCATATAACAAAAAAAAAAAAAGATGTAACGAATGATATGAGTATATTTCAAATATATCTTGAGAAGAGAGAGAGTATATCATCTTACCTGGAAGGATCTTTCTTCACATAACCTTTTTTGACACCTGGAACCACATTTTCCAATTCATCTACATTCAATGAGGCATCACTAGCAATGACTGGAAGAGTTTCTCCATATTGTTCTGCCTTAACAGGATCGATATCTGCATAAGCTGAAATCAAACCAGCGATTGCTTGTATATCTGTAGGATCAGCCTTGACCAATTGTTCATAATCCAAAGCGGCTTCTTGGAATCGACCGGTCTTGAGTTTAAATGCAGCGGTTTGCTTCAAGATAGAAGGTGTTGCTGAATGTGATGATGATTGTAATGATGGTAAGTTTGAATTCATGTGTTGATGATGTTGTTTCCAATAGTTTGATGCCTGGTCCAAAGTTTTCATTGCCTTTTCTGCTTGACCTGTTTGTTCATAAAGCCAAACCAATAACGCAACCACAGCAGGTCGATGAGCTTCCTTATCATCCTGTACTTGATCCATATAATTTTCCAATGTCTTCAAAGCCGAGGCTGGTTGTGATGACAATAATTCGAGTTGAATGGTGGCAAATCGAATGGCCAATGACTTTGGATGTTGTTTTGCAATTGCCTTCAGTTCATCCAATGCTTTGTCTGCTTTTTCTTGTTGATGATAAGTTGCTGCTGTTAGAATAAGATAAAGTTCGTCCATGTTAGGATACTGTTTAATTAGACGTTGAATAATTTCTTTGCAAGATCCATGCTATATTTTTTTTTAAAAAAAAAGAAAAAAAAAAAGAAAAAGAAAATGAATACTTTTCTAATGATAGAATATAAATGTAATGTTACCTTGTTCATAAACATTTGTAAAAGTGCTTCATTCATAGAAATGATTCGTTTCTGGTATTGTTTGAGTTTAGTGTCAGCATCCTTTCCAGTGGCCACTTTGATCTTTTTGGCGGAATCAAATAAGTCATCTGTTTTTTGTAAAGTCATCAGATTGTTAGCAACCACAGCATTGACAGCAGTATCATCGATCCTATAACAATAACAATAATAATAAATAAAATTGATTTTCCTTTTTTTTTTTTTTTTTAATTCGTTTTTCTTACTTTGATGCCACAATATCCTGATAAATATCCATAGCTTCCTTGACACGTCCTTGAGTTTGATAGGTATATGCCAACTGAGTTGCAATCACGGCCAATTCGTCATCTAATTCATCATGAGCCATATCCTGATCTTTCAATCTATCGTTACATTGTTCTAAATAAATAATAATAAAAAAGATTAATCATTAGAGTTAGATATGATACACACTTACTTCTTGCTAATTCCAGTAATTCAGCAGCACGAGTATAGTTGCCTTGGGCCAATTGAATAGATGCAGCATTATAAGTGACCTCATAACCAGAGCTAGTTGTAGTAATTAAATCTGATACTTCTTGAGTTTCGGGTGTATCAAAAGCTAATCCAGTTCGAGCAGCTAACAAGTTGACTTGAATTTCTTCATACAATGGATCGTGTTCATCAGTTTCTTGTAAAAGAGCTTCGTATATATCAATTGCTGGTTGGAATTTGTCTTGACCATATAACTTTATATATATGTATAAAGAAAATCACTTAGTCGTTTTACGAACATAAAAAGGTTTTTTTAAAAAAAAAAAAAATAAAAAAAAATACTTTACCAATTGAGCTTCCAAGAACCGTAAAGATGAGGAGTTAGAATGGTTTGTTTTGATAGAAGATAAAAGGTCAAAAGCTTGTTGCCATTGGTTGGTACGGTAATAACAATAGAGTTTTTCAAAAGTCAAGTCAACGGTTTTATTGTCGCGGAATTTTCGACTAATGAGAGAAAGAGCTTCGTTGTATTTTTCCAAGCGAATCAATGTAATGACTTTACAATGTAAAGGAAGAATATCGTTTTCACCTTGTAAACTTATCAATTGGTCACATAAACTTAGACTTTGTTCATCATCATATTCATTGGTTGTTTTTGCAAGTTGATTGATTAAGGTGGCTGCTTGTTGTTCCTTTGATGCCATCTTTAATTAAAAAAAATTGAAGGATAGATGAAAAGAAAAAAAAAAAAAATTAAAAGACCCAAGAGGAAAGGGGGGGGGGTAAAAATTCGTGACTCTTGTCCACACGATAAACTGTACCAGTTCCCAAAAATTCAAGGAAACGGAGATTAAAAAACAAATCAATGACAATTTATTCAACTTGACATTGATCTCTTTTATTTTCTTCTCATTGTTCAACAATCTAATCGCTTATCAAGGAACACGCTAAAGACATCATGTCCAAAAACAAAAAAAAAAAAAAAGAAAATAACGGCATTACCCTATCTCTCTAACCCTTTTTTTTTCACTTGGGCCGTTGATGACTGGCTAATCTGATTCAGTGAGCTCTAAATTGGTTAAAAAAAAAACGGGAAGTCTATTTATGTCGAAACAGAAAAGAAATTGATACATTAATAATAAGGGATAAATTCGTTGATCTCAAACTGATAAACTTCCAAAAAAAAGAGAAACTCATTATTTACAATATTTATGGTTTATCGATTTTCCCGTTTGTTCCATCATAAACAATATCCGTGTGTCAGTCAAACTTGGGATGGATGAGTGGATGAAACAAACAAATAAATAGTGTCAAGTTACATCCTTGATAGAAATACAAAAGATCGGACTTGGAATCTAATGGCTGCATTACTATATAAATAATTTCTTTTGTCTTTTTTTTAATTATTTATTTATTTCTTCTTCTTCTTTACTTTTTTTTTCTTTTGTATATGTTTTTATTGTGTAAATTATTATATATAAGCGTGTTTGCTTTGTTATCAGCTGCGCCACCTTATCTTCCACTTTACTATCATGATGCCCTTGGTTTTTCTTCGGATCAAATCGGTTTAGTACTTGCCATTGCTCCATTCATCCAATCTGCTGCCTGTCCTTTATGGACCATTATTGTTGATAAACGTCCTCATTTTCATGGTACTGTCATGGCTATGACTGGTCTCTTAGGTGGTGTCGCTGTCATGGGGATCATGATGATTGGTCATATCGTTTCTTCTAATACTTTTCAATTATCCAATGCTACTTTGGTTTTGTTGACTAGTTCCTTTGCTTTGACTTTTGCCTTTTTTACTCTTCCCAATGTTTCTTTGGTCGATAGTGCAGTCATGAAGATATTGGGTCCAAATAAAATTTTATATGGTAAAAAAAAAAAAAAAAAAAAAAAAAGAAAGGACTAAACTCAATTGTTTTTTTTTTCTGTTTTTGGTGAATAATGTTTTTTTTTTTTTTATCTTAGGTCAACAAAGATTATGGGGATCTGTATCTTGTGGCTTGACGATCTTAGTAGTCGGTCAGCTGATCTCTATAACAAACAATTTGGATGTTTTATTTTATGTATTTGGTATATCGACATTGGTATTCTCATTCTTATCCTTTTTAGTCCAATTTGATGATTATGAAGAAGGCAAGTTGGAAGAAGGATTAGAGCAAGATTCTGTACATGAACGACTTCTCTCCAGTCAACCATATCACTCCAATCATACTATGGCGTCTGGTGAAAAGAAATTACTCAAAGGAAACTATCAATCGGTATTGGCGGCTACAGCAGATGAAGAATCATATACTCAACTTTACAAGGCAGCAACAGCTCAATCCATTGTATCGGTACGTGAAGAAGCAGATGAAGCACTGGACACTGTTGGCGTTGATCTTGGACTAGCCATATCAAGAATACCATCTGTTGATCAATCTATGGCTCATATCTTGGAAGATGATGTACCCTCATTATCCATCTTGGGATCAGTTCGTGTTTTGACCTTTTTGGCTACAACATTGATGATGGGTGTATCTTTGTCGATCATTGTCAACTTTTTATTCTTATTCCAAGGTCGTGATTTACATATGCCTGCAAGTTGGATAGGTTGGAATGGTCCTACAGGTGGAATCACTGAACTTTTATCTTTTTGTTTTGCAAAACAGGTAGAGATAAAAAAAAAATGGATGATGTATCTTTTTTTTTTTTTTTTTTTTTTTTTTTTTTTTTTTTTTTTTACTGATTTTTTTTCTTTTTCTTTAATAAAAGTTGACGGAACGATTTGGTGTCACAAAATTGGTATTAGCAGCACATATTGCAACAGCTATAAGATGTATTGGTTACACACTATTGATTCCTGATCGGTTTTCAACAAATATCTTTGCCATGTTATTACAAACATTACATGGGATTGGTTTTGGTATATTCTGGGCAACAGCTGTCAGTGAAATCGATAGTTTCTTTCCCCCTGAACAACGATCTGTAGCTCAAGGTATTCTTGGCGCTCTACATGCAGGTTTGGGAACTGGTCTTGGTGCATTAATTGGTGGCTATATCTATGAATATTATGGTGCTATTAGTCTTTTCCGAGTAGCAGCTCTTTTGTGTGGTATCAGCTCTGTTGTCTTTTGTATTGGAAGGTTACCCCGTTACAATGTGAACTAGTTTTATCTTTTTTTTTTTTTTGTTATATATTCTTTTTCTGTATTGTTATCATTTATCATTATTACCATCAATAAAAAAAAAAGTAGATTTTTTTGTATTTGTTTGAAACCAATTGTTTATTTTTTGTGCATATAAAATAATAATAAAATCATAATAATAATAAAAAAAATGTATACTATGTAACTACTCTTCCATAGGTTCTATACTATTACTATTTGTTGCAGTTGTTGTTGTTTCTACAGATGCATTATTGTTGTTTTCCCGATCATCACTATCTTTAGCCTTCTTTCTTGGTTCTGATTGTTCATTTGTCAGATCGTCCTGTTCACCGTTTTCATCCTCCAACCCTCGTTTTGTTCCAGATGTCGCTGAATCGTTTTGCTTATCCTTTCTTCGTTGTTTCTTTTCATTTTGTAATGTCTGATATTCTATATAACAATAAAAAAATAAAAAAGGATCAATATTAATCAAACTTGATATATATATATATATATATATATTTACCTTGTAGTCGTTCTTTCAGTTGTGGTAGTAAGTGATCCAATTCAGCTATTTCCATCGCTTTCATAACATCAACTGGTGTGATCGTCTTGTGGTTGTTACTTTTGGCAGCATCATGAGCACTATGTGAAAAAAAAGGATATAATAATACGCAGTCAGTTCTAATCTATCGAGTCAACACCTATATGTATCAAGATCCTACGTACAGCGAAGTGATATAATTAATAAATACAGTAGATGCTTTACTAACGGCTAGTTTGGCATTTTTTTGTAAAGCAGTTCCAGGAGGTAACTATTATGATAAAAAAAAAAAAAAGAGTGAATAAATCAACATTTGATATGTTCTGTTTATCGAGATCAAAACTTACAGCATGTTTTAATACTCTAGTAACATTGGCTTTTGGTAATTCGTGATCTTCGATGGACGACATTATAAGAAATAGATAGATCGTCTAATGGTCTATGTGCACGTTAACGAAGGAGAGAGAGAGATAAAAATAAAAATAAAAAAAAAAATAAAGATAAAAAAAAAAAAAATAAAAAAAAGGCCATGCGGTATTTGAAACAATCACTTCGTTTTTGTGATCAAGCACATTCAAAAGCATTAAGCGCGTAGGCGCGTTTAAATATTTGCTTTCTCATATTGTGTTACCACTCAATAGGTATCCATCTGCTCACACTTCATTGCGAAATCAAATATATATATTTAAAGATCACATCATAGATGAATAAAAATAAGGTGATATGTTGTTTATTTAAACGAGGTTAAAATCAAGGAAAAGAAAGACCAAAAAGAATTTAAAAGTAGTACATTATCCGAAAGTTCAGGTAATATCAAATCAGACACTATACTAAAGAGTTGATCGTTGATTTTTTTTTTTTTTTTTAAAAAAAAAGAGAAAAAAAGAAAAACCAACCGGATCAAGCATTGTAGGCACGATATAATTCAAGACCATGTTCACCAGCGTGGATATTCAAAGGAATGCCAGCACCAATAAAGTAAACATAACCTTCCTTGAGAGTAAAAGTGGATTCAGTTTTCAAAGCTTCACCAGTTAATTCGCCAGTACCACCAGTGACAATCAAAATACTTGGACCTTGAATGGGCGCGTGTTTTTCATCTTGATTTGAAGTCAATTGGGTTTGAATAACAGAGAATTCATCAATAGGGGGATCATAGAGCAGTGAGTGAGAACCATAAGTCACAGGCTTCATCTTTTGTCCTTCAGCCGAGCCATAACGGTAAGATAGCATTTCGACTAGTACTTTAACATCCTTGAATTTGGGAGTGAGTCCAGCACGAATCACATTGTCACTAGCAGCCATACATTCCACACAGTCTATCAGCAAAAAAAAAAAAAAAAAGTCTCTAAATAAATATCTTCTCCTTTTGTTCATGTTTATATGATACTACCTCCGGATAGATAAGCATGAGGTTCGTTGGCACCTAAAAAGATAGCTTGTCCAGGAGTCATCACCACATAATTCAGTAATAAAGAAGAAAAAACACCAACATCACCTCCAGGGTATTCTCGATCCAGGCGTAAAACCAGTTGATCCATGGTATCCAGATTTGATACAGGTAATTGTGATAAACGTGATGTTAAGGTCGACAAGTAAAAAGTCACGTCTTGTACTGAGCTATTCATCAAGGAGGAGAAGAGTTGTTTGAGCGCCGCCTTTTTGTCGGTATCAGTTTTGTCGTCCCCAACAGAGTTGATAAAGCCATTTGCTACATCTGATCCAACTAATTGAGCAAATTCAGGATACTTTTCAAGATGTTGTACAATTTCATTCAAAGGTCGGAATCCACATAAAGCTTCAAAGGGAGTCAAAGCAAGAGCCATTTCAGGCTATATTATATAAAAGTAAGAAGAGAAAAGAATGAGTTTTCGGAATATATCATTTCAAAAGTAAAATAATCGCGTTACCTTGTGATTAGGATCCTAAGAGAAAAAAAAATGTATTGATATTCAATATATTATATAGCAAGATTTTTTTTTTTATTTTTTTTTATTTTTTTTTTTTTATTTTTGTTTTTTTTTATTTTTTTTACCTTATAGATGGTGGGATGTTCTTTGAATAGACGCGCTCCCAAGGTTTTATCAGGATGAGCTTGAATGGATAATGCCTTGCGAATGGAAAGGATCTTGAAAAGAAAAGGGAGGTCACCGTTATATTGATCATAAATGGCTTGAGTACTAAGACTTGGATTTTGTTTGATAAGAGATTTGAGTGATTCAGAGTTATCCATAATAACAGAAGGCGCGTTAGGATGTGTACCCATCCATAGTTCAGCATAAGGTTTAGTAGGATCCACAGTGATACCGGACTTACTGGCAAACTGAGCAACTTTGGATTCTGAGCCTAGTTTTCCCCAATCATATGATTGAGTTTGACATTGTAAACGATAGATACCAGTTTGAGACATAGTAATGTAAGAAATAAAGTGAGAAGAAAATAGTAAGAATAATAAAAAATAAAAAATAAAAAATGGAACTAATTTATATAGAAAATTTTGGCGCCCTTTCAATTTTAATAACAAAGCAGGATTATTAGAGTAGCCACGTTTTCTTACTGTTTTTTTCATAAGAGTTGCGGAGAAAAATAAATAATTTGCGTTTGCGGGTGATAAAGGTGTGATTTGCGTTGTATTGATCGTACCAAAAAGAGAATATACAAAAAAAGAATAGAAAGAGAAATATGATGAGTAAGTAGTCGCTTTTTTTTTTTTTTTTTTTTGACACTTACAACCACAGACAGAATCAATAGCCTATGAAAAAGTAGAGGGTTAAAAAAAGAAAGAAAGAAAGAAAAAGGCGGTGCAGCTTACAGTTTATTCGTCTAACAAGTTTCTGTTACTTGGATGAGGGGATGGATAATCTTGACTAGGTTTACGACCAGGAGGATAAGAGGTATATTCTTCTTCACTATACTTGTTGGTAAACACAGAGGGCACAAATCCAAGGATAGCAAACAAGGCCAGGGATCGGATATTTCTAGATGCGTTAACATCTCTTTGCCACAATTTATGGCAGGTAGTACAGCCAACCACTTTATGCAATTTCGATGTTCGATCTTCTTCGTCTAAATAAATATCCACGATGGTTCTTGCCCCACAAATCGAGCACACTTTTGAGGTCCAAGCTTCATTCACATCCACGGCAAGGAGGAGATGTTGTCGTTGGGCTTGCTTCACTGCTTTACGGAACGCCTTCGCCAGACCATGGGGTTTGCCACGAAATGTTCTTCGGTCGAATTTTCCATCACCAATACAAAGCAAGGGGATTTTATAGGATTGTTCAAACGGAAGCTTTTTCCACTTGTTAGTCTTGGCTCTACACAGCACCCCACAAAAAAAAAAAGTTTAGGCATCTCATAGTCAACACATACTCTCCTGTAAGTTTACTTACGTATTGGGTGGGGGAGGCTCTTGGACTGGTTCAAACCTACGTCGACGTTGCTTCATTGTTCCATCATGCTTCAACCGACGCTGCTGAACATCAAACGTGTTGCCGCAGTCACGATGCTGTCCGTATTTATGCCCACCATCTACGAAGACCTTGATCATTTCTCGGGTTGCCTTTTGTCGACCGTGATAGTTAAGAAAACGGAGTTCCTGAAAATCTTGACCATAAAACGATAGAAGAAGGTCCAACGTGGACATCTTGTCTTGAATATACTGGACAACTTGTTGAAAGGATGCTGTTTTTGGAGAGCCAATACCACTTTCGACCGCATCAATGTCACGCATTTGTTTCCATTGTTTTATCTTGTCGTTGGTCTTCGGATATCCAGCCAGGCAATAAAATTCAGCCGCGCTCATCTTGCGAATTTGATGTCGATTTTGTTCTGGTGTAGCCAAGATCGGTTCGTTGGGAATTTCAGAATCATTAACATATGTACGAGGATCAGATGAGTTCGAAGCCACAAAGATTTCGCTAACACCAGGGTCAATCCCCCATACTTCAAAGTCACCTAGGACAGATGGATCCATATCAGACAAGGTTAGAGGTTTACCATGAGACACAAATACCGGTTTCTTGAATGGGAAACACACGGAATATCCATCAGTATAGAATTGGTTTTCGAATATTCCCGTGCTATATATATAAAAAAAAATGTTATTCTCTATCCAATTTTTTTTCCTCTTTCTTTCCTTTTGTTCTTTCTTACCCACTCTTGATCTTGGACATGTTAAAGATTTTGAAATTTGGATTTAATTGATTTGCAGTCGCTGATGTGTGAGACTGTACATATTTACCAAGACCAAAATGACGCATGATTTCAGCCAATGATTCATGAGAGACATGAATAAATTTTCGAGTCATGGCGGGGACAGGCAGGATGGAAAACAGTCTAAGCTTTGGCATAGCAAGGTAGTGTGGTGATACAAAAGTTCCGTTTTCAATTTCTTCTTGTGTCGTGGTGACAATAGTTGCAAGAGATTGGCGGGATTCCATACCGAGTACCGACGGTAGACGATGTTGTTCAAATACAGTTCGTTCATTTATTGTTTTTTTCAATCCATAGACTAGTTTGCGTCTTTGGTGATGCTTCAGATATTTCCATTCGGGTAACGAGGATAAATGGTGGTAAACCCAGTTGTTATTCACGACTTGATCGCTGACTTGGGACAATTGTGCATCCGTGGCATTCATGGCTTCCATATCAACAAGAACATCATACATGATGGAGATGAACAGATGAGGGAACCGAGTCAATGTTGAAGTCTTTATGGAAATTGGCCGCGTTGTAGAAGAGGGATCACCAATACGAAGGTCTGATACACCCATTGTAGACGTACTTGCATTTGTTGTCGCTACAGAACCACTAGTAGAGGATTGCGCATCCAAAGACATGGTGTCGTCATTGTCATTATCGTCTTCAGTGACTTCTGGAGCAGAGGTTTGTCGACTATTAGCCATCAAAACAGAGAGGCGGTTCCAACGATTAGATGTTTCATTAACCAATTCCAATAGGGCTTCGTTCACAGCGATGTCAAAAGCAGAGGTGTCCAAAGATGGGTCAATTTCAATAGTGGGCCAAGTTGGAGGAAAATCGTCATTGTTGCTTGTGGTATCATAGACAAAGTCGGCCAAGTTAACAACTTGGGAGCGAGTTAAGGCCTACAGAAAAAAAAAAAAAAGGAAAAAAAAGGGTAGAAAAAGATGAGAAGAGGTCGCCACTTTTTTTTTTTAACCATAAAGAGGATACTTACTGGGACCATGCGAGCCAAACGAGCCTGGAGATACGAGATGTAGATCTGCTCAAATCCTTCTACAATATGATTGATCATCGTTGAGGCGTACAAACGAGCTGTGGATGTCAGGATCTTGGCGAATCCAATCGCGGCTTTTCCTTGAACGGTAGAGGGTACCAAAGGGCAATGAGTATTGGGGACTTGACGCTTGAATTCTTCAAAAGATGCCTTGATGTGTGCACGAGTTTCTTCTTCGAATAGACTTTCATTAGACCACTTGCGCCCTATGATGAGTTGGTAGACTCCATTCACAAATCGATAATCAAAAAACACCAAGGGTATCTGGAGACCATTCGAAAGGCGTTGCGTAAAATAGTACAAGATAAACAGATGGCCACAAATCATGACACGTCGGTTGAAATCCACCACCTTGGCCAGGCCAGACAAAAATTGCGTCTTTTCATTGTTCCGGAGGATCTTCAGGATACCTTCAATACCGTGTTTGATGGTAACAGTTCGAGTATTACCACCCAGTAACTGTCGCGAGATAGCACTCTGAGGTAGCTTGTGATACGGGCAAAGTCGACTTGAGCTGCGAGAATGAGTTGTTGAGGCTTCGGTATTACCATGTTGCAGGCATGTTGGGCAAGGACGTCTGATGGTTTGCTGATCTTGTATATCTTCTTGGCGTTCATCTCTTGAGGTTCGCTTGGAGAGCTTTTCATCAGAGTTTTGCTTTCGACGGGTGATATTTTTGGATTTTCCACGACGTTGCCGTTTTGGAGGGTCTATTCATTCAAAAAGGACAAGAAGGTTAGACTAAATGATTAAGACAGCCTTCAAAAATATCTGACTTACTCGATGGTTGTTGATTAGGTTGTGGATCCAAAAGGACTAATTGAGGTTGTTCTTCGTGGTTGTCATTTTCATCTTCTCTCTGGCGCTTTCTACGAGCGTCCTTCATACCTTGCTTTGTACGCGCCATTCAATGAGGGTGAGAGAAGACGTGAAAATAAAATAAAAAGGGTAAATAAAAAAAGATATAAAGTATGGTATCAATGTAAAAGAAATAGAGATAAGGGAATATAAAAAAAAAGGTGAAAAGAAAAAAAAATAAAAGAAAACAAAACAAAGAAGAAAAACAAAAAGAAAAAGAGAAAATGGGTAAAGCAAAAAATACGGAGATTGAACTATGTCGTACGTAATGCGCTTTCTTTTTCTTCATTTACTGCCATTATGCGGTTTCATCGTTCATCATATGTGGCATCATCATTGGAAATTGGTTTTGATTACTTTCCCTTCAGCACCGACAGAATCATCGTTCATGCATGAATTTACCTATAGTATTTAGTCATTTGACCTCTGCCTCTACATAATTAAATAAAATTGAAGTCGTCTATATTACTTCGATCAGTCATCGGATGATGATTATTTTTTATTTACTAAACAGGAAAAGATGATGACATACAATGCAAAAAAAAGAAACGAGTTTTGCTGTTGAGAACGATCGAACTATTGATTTAGTTATGATCACTAAGACTATAATAAAGAATAGGGAAGTTTCTATTGATATCATTAATCATCAATCATTTGTAATATAAAAAAAGAACCATAACTACACTCAAACCCCAATGCAAACAAGTCTCTAATCATAACGCAGAAAAATAAAAAAATGAACGCACTTCACATGGAAAAACCAGTAAACTTAAAGCTGATGCACTTTCTCTTGTTATCTATTCCTCTTTACTCACCTCATCCGTGCTTCCTTGTTTTTTTTTTCTTTTTTATTTTGATTGTTGTTTGGCTGAAGAAAAGAACCTGTAGATCTTTTTTTTATTTATTGAAATAAAGATAGCATAAACTTTTACTTAATTTTGCGGGAATTCCAACTGGTGCAAACTTAAAAATAAGTCAGCGCAAATTCATTTTTTATGTTGTGCAAATTTCATTTGGGTCAACGCAAATTTGTATTAAGAACAAGTCAATAAAATAATATTTATGGTTGGTTATCATTGTACACTTTATTCATCAATCTTTAGTTTATTTCATATTAATTATTCTTTCTTATAATTCATGATGTAGTTTTCAAGAACCGGTCTGATTTTTTCATGCTCTGTACGTCACTTGCCTTTGACCCTCGCGGTCTTCTAATACGAAACGTTGATTGTGTGTGAGATGTGCGGCGTTGTGACCCAAACACATTCACCCCTTCTTTCCTTTTTTTTTCTTTTTTCTTATTCTTTCTCACTTTTTACATTTATAAAGGTATACTTACTTATAATCTATTTTATTATTATATATATTTTAACTAAACAGTTTTATATATAACTCTTTTTAGTTTTTTTTTTCCATTATGACTACTGTCCGAGCCTTGAATGATGATGAAGTCTTCAATGAAATGAAGAAAATGGTAAAAATAAATCATCTTTTATTATTTTACTTGTAAAACTTTTTTTTATTTACACTCTTTCGTTCTTATAGGTAGCTTTCATCAAGCAAGAAGCTCTTGAAAAAGCTCGTGAAATCAAAGTGAAGGTAAAGGACAAAAAAAAAAGGAATATCATTACTTGCACCAAGCTTATTTTCTAATTATACTTTTTTTTTTATTTTTAGGCTGATGAAGAATTCAATATTGAAAAGGTAAATTTTTCTTGGGAGATAAAGATAGTTATCATTGTTTAATATTTTTTTTTCAACTAGGCCAAGATTGTCCGTCAAGAATCTCTCAACATTGAAGCTGTTTTCGAACGAAAGATTAAGCAAGCTGAAGTGCAAAAACGAATGTAAGCTTTTAACTTCCCGGAAGAGAATATATATATATGTGTGTGTGTGTTTTTGTGCGTGTTAGAAAGTTTTATTAATCAACTTTTGGTATGACCCTTCTGATTTATTTAGCTCTCAATCCAATCATATCAACAAAGCTCGTCTTCGTACACTTCAAGAACGCGAACATGTACTGGATGATTTGTTTGAAGAAACTCGAATTCGTGTTCAAAGTCTTTCATCTGATGAAGGTAGCTATACTGAATTGGTGAAAGGCTTGGTGCTCCAAGGTGCATATACTCTTATGGAATCTGATATTGTTGTCCGTTGTCGTGAGCAAGATACTGATAAAGTTCAAGTGGCTGCCGAATATGCAAAGACAGAATTTGAAAATACTTTGAAGATTCCTTTGAACGTAACTATCAGTGATGATTATTTACCATCTTCCAAGTAAGTAATTGTTTGAAGAAAAAAGGTGTTATTCAAAGAATGTTCGAACTCATTTTTTTTTTCTCAGTGCTGGTGGTGTTGTCTTATCTGGTTTGAATGGCAAGATTATTGTTGATAACACTTTGGAAGCTCGTTTGGAAATCGTTAAAGATGATGTAAGTTATTTTGGTTTTGGTGATGATAGTGTTAAAAAAGATTCTGATCTCTTTCTTCTCTATGATTCCTTTTTTTTTTTTTTTTTTTTTTTTTTTTTAGATGCTTCCCCAACTTCGTGTCATTCTTTTTGGTCATTCACCTAACAGAAAATTCTTCAATTAGAAAAAAAAAAAAGATAGGTATCATACATTTATCCCTTTTCCCCATCCTTTTTTTTTTCTATTTTATTTTTGATATATAATATGTACGTGTGAACGTCACATACCCTCCAGATCCTTTTCTATTTCAATAAAAAAATCAACAACAATTATCTTATTTTGCGATTGTAAAATGGTGTTTTATTTTCATTTGGTCAGAATAAATAAATAAATAAATAAATAGTTGTATTAATGATATATCTATGTGTTATGTACAAAGGAGAGAAAAAAAAAGATATGGTGTGATAATATATGGCTATTTGATGTTCATGGTATTCAAGTACAATAAGGCATAAAGTGGCGAGAATGAGTCTGGTCCATAACACAAAGATCCCTTAACAATATCGATAAATCGCCTTCCATATCATCTACATCAACATCCATAGGTCTACCAAAATCCAATCGGTAACGTTCCCATTGATAGATTCCTTGTTGTTGTTGTTGTTGTTGTTGCTGCTGCTGCTGCTGTGGTTGTTTTTGTTGTTCGTGTTGTAGTTTCCGCTGCTGTTGTCCTTGTTGTTGCTGAAGCAACTGACTGTCACTGTTTTTATCTTGTTGAGTCAAGGAGCACAGTGATTGATCATTGTTGATAATAGATACTAATTGAGGTTGATAGAATTTAAGTTTATTTCTGTCAGTAGTAGCGGTGGCACTAATAGTCCTGATGTTCATTCTTTAACATGAATATATGGAATTCGAAATGAGGAAAAGAAAAGAAAAATAAAAAAAAAGGTGTTTCAGGCATGACATTAGCATTAAATTCCAGCGTGGTTTCAAAAAAAAAAAAAAAAAAAAGGGAATCATCATATCGAGAAAAGTGAACATAAAGAAAAATTAAATGGCTTCATTAATATAATCAACGCTATCAGGATTATTAAAGATTATCATCATAATTATTATTGATAAGCGACAATCATGCTGTGGATGATTTCTCTATTGATTATTCATGAAAAGACATTAAATCGAAAGTGGTTACGGAGAATAAAATTTATATTTCGGGTCCGGGTCATTTCCGGCTGTAGAAGGGCATCAATTTTCCCCTTTCCAATCCTTCGCTTCTATCGTACCCTCTCTCTTTCACTATCGGCAAATGGCTAGAGTAAGTGAAAGTAAAAAAAAAAAAAAAAAAAAGGAAGAAGGAAAATTGTGATAGATACGATACGATATCATCGGATTATATAGATGGATAGGAATGAATGAACGAATGGATGGATGGATGGATGGATCGCCATGAGAGTAGACAGGATAAAGATGAAGGAACTCATTATATATTTTTTTTTACTCATTGAATTAGTTCCACGAATACCAAGTGGTTGGTCGCAAGCTCCCTTCCGAGCAAGACCGTACTCCCAAGCTCTACCGTATGAGAATCTTTGCTCCCAATGATGTTGTAGCCAAGTCTCGTTTCTGGTACTTTTTGGCCAAGCTCCGCAAGGTCAAGAAGACTGCTGGTGAAATCGTGTCTGTCAACGAAGTAAGTGTATAATTGTAGAAGAATAAGAATATATTAATATATTCATACTAACCATTATTATTATTATCATTACAATTATTTGGTAATAGATCTTCGAAAAGCGTCCTGAACAAATCAAGAACTTCGGTATCTGGCTTCGTTACGACTCTCGTTCTGGTACTCACAACATGTACAAGGAATACCGTGGTATGTCTCGTGTTGAAGCTGTTAGCACTTGTTATCAAGATATGGCTGCTCGTCATCGTTCTCGCTTCGGTAACATTCAAATCATCCGCGTAAGTGTCTTTTTTTTTTTTTTTTTTTTTTAGAATAAATTGAACTTAGTGTGTATAATAATGATGTGATGTCCTGTATGCATTTGACTCATCAACTCCGATTCTTCATTTCTTTATTAGGTTGCTGAAATTGCTGTTGCTGATGTTCGTCGCCAATACATCAAGCAATTGTTGGCTCCCAAGCTCGCCTTCCCCTTGCCTCATCGTCACCAACGTATCGAAAAGTCTCATCGCTCTCTTTTCCAAGCCAAGCGTCCTTCTACCTTCTATTAGATCCCCCCATCATTTTACATTATCTCTCTTATATTTTAGTTTAGGATAGTATTTGGACAAACTTTTTGAATAAATAATAAAAAATAAAAAAAATAAAAGGGATTTGGACAATATGAATTTTTATTGGTGTATTTGGTTTCAAAAAGTTGAAGGGGAGAAATTCTCATTGGGTAATACTTGTCAAGCACGCCATGCATTATTGGATGATCTAACTTATGGTATCATTATCGATTAATTTTGTCAATCATTCGTACATAACATCATTGGTGGTTTTTATTCAAAAAAAATTGTCTATATAAAAAAATTTTTTTATTCAATTATCTATTTTTCATTCGTCTTCTTTTTTTTTTTTTCTCTATCTTTCATATCAACAGTATGCTTCATCAAAGTCATCATCATCTTCATCAATCGATACCCCAACAACAAAACGATCATACTTCTTCAGATGATGATATAGAGGAATCAATTGTTGCTTTAGATACGGAAGGTCGTACTATTCGTAACAGTACTATTGGTCCAAGAGGATGGCTAGGAGAAAATGCAAGAGATTTAGCTTCATATGTGGCTAGTTTACGACCTGTGGATCATGCCTTTTTAGATGTTTTACCAAGTCTACATGTTGTAACTGATGATTATGTTCATTCATCATTGGAAAAATCATTTAATTGGAATCATGTTGCAAGCAAACTAGTCAATTGGGAAGGAGAATGGTTCATTGTTGCTTTTCGCAGTGTTAGAAAATCATCAGCCAATGATTCTTTATTATATGAAGCTGATAGAAGAGCACAGGAGGAAGCCATCCATTCTGGAGGTTTATTAAAGGTAATGATTATGACTATTATTATATTTTTTTTTTTAAAAAAAAGGATAGATTTTAACTTTTTTTTTTCTTTCTTAATAGTATTGGTTTGGTGATTTGAATCAACATCGAGAATGTCTAGCAATGTGTATTTGGATCAATCGTGAATATGCTCTTAAAGCTACTCATAAACCATTACATCTTGAAGCAGCTAAATTAGCAGGACAAATGTATGATAGTTATACACTAGAAAGATACAAATTAGTCAAAAAATCTGGTGAATCTATTTTTCATATTACTCCTTTGCCTTTTTCGACACCTCATCCTTCATTTTCATAGACAATAAAATGGACAGCATGATGATCATCATGTTTTGAATAAACTCCGGCTACAACTTGAATTTAAAAATTTACTTTTTTTGATTTTTTTTTTTTCCTTTTCCTTTCTTTTCTCTTTTCGGTTGTATTATTTGCTAATGTCAGTACTTGCACGAGGGTTACCTTTTGCTGCTGTCGGTGCTTGGGTTTTGTATTCCTATCGTCACAATAATGTTTGTCCACAACAACAAAATCAACAACAATGTAATCAACGAAAACGACAAACCGTGTTTCTACCTTTATCCTCTCAACTTCCACCTCCCTTTTTATCTTGCGATCCTAGGCTTTTATTCTCCATTACATGTTTGGAATCGAATAACAATACTTCAAATGAATCTATTGATCAAAATAGCAACATTATAGAAAAGTCAAAGGCAAATTTTTTGGAATTACAAGACCAACTTTTTCGGAGTATACTGACGAGGTTTCCTTTGGTGGAGAACTTTCAAAATATGACAGCTGCTGATCTACGTGAATCTTTGGCCAACTTGTGGGATAATATGACTTTGAATGATATCATTGACTCTGTAAAGGATGTAAAAGATACTGTGGCTAATCCTGAACTGAACCAAGATGCAGTAGTTAGGTAACAGATTGAAAAAGTAAAAAAAAAAAAAAAAAAAAAAAAAAAAAAAAAAAAAGAGTCGACTATACATTGATGTGTGGATGTGAAACAAAAGATAAGTTGGATACTATATTGATCATCATTTTTTTTTTTTTTTGACTGAATTAGGCAAGGCCGACATCTATGTCATCAAGAAAATGTTTTTTTACAGAAAAGAATGGAGTTTCAACGATCATCCTTTGCTAAATTCATTGGTGTTGATGAGAAAGAAGTGGAATTAGAAGATATTCCTGTGATCGCCGTCGCTTCTAGGTAAATCATTCTCGTTGTCAATACAAAGTTACAAATATTATCTATTCATTGATGTCTATCTTGATTCCTTTTTTCCTCTTAGTGGTGGTGGCTATCGTGCAATGCTAGGCTTGGCAGGTTATCTCAAGGCGATGAAAGACTCGGGTGCATTGGATTGTATTACCTATATTGCAGGTAAAAGGATGAATAGTACAACGTCTGTCAAACATGGAAAAGGAAATTATACTTTACTTTGCTAATCTCATCCTTTTATTTTTTTTTTTTCTTCAAACTTTTAGGTATTTCGGGATCATGCTGGGCATTATCATTATATTATAGTGTTCTCACCAACTGTAATTCGGATACTTTGATCTCTCACCTCAAATCACGTGTTGGAAGTCATATAGGCAGTGTATCTCATGTTTTATCTCTTGCTGCTGCATCCACTCAAAATGCAAAACTATTGATACAGGGTATTGGTCAACGATATCTTCAACAAAGCACTGTCAATTTAGTGGACTTATTTGGAACTCTGATTGGTGCTACATTATTCACAAGAACAGCTATCGAAAAGGATGATGATGATGGTGATCAACATGAAGTGGAGTTTTTACTGAACAAGACAGATATGAAACTATCAAGTCAGCGTCAATTTTTTGAAAATGGAAGTCAACCTATGCCAATCTACTGTGTGGTACGACAAGATCTAGGATTGGAATCCAAATCAGTGGATCAATGGAACTCAACAAACGATGAAAATGTGACTTTGGAACAACCTCAAGAAGATGATATCATTACTAGCGAAATCGAAGAAGAAGGATTACATACTTATCAATGGTTTGAATTATCCGCATATGAATTTGGCTCTGATGAAATACATGGTAAATACGGAAAAATAAAAATTGATGACGAATTTTTCTAATTTATATATTCTATTTTCTATTAACCATTCTCTCATTTTTGTAGCATTTGTTCCTATGTATGCCTTTGGTCGAAAATTTGTTGGTGGAAAATGTACAGAACGATTACCGGAACAAAGATTGGATAGTTTGCTTGGGTAACTGTTAATAAAATGATAATAATAATAATAAAAAAGATAAGATTAAAGAAAAGGTGTACTCATAGTTTTAATAATATTATGTTTTAGTATGTTTGGCTCTGCATTTGCTGCCAGTGTAGTCCATTTTTATCAGGAGATACGATCTTTTTTACCAATCTCTACTTTACACATGACAGATGAAACCATTGGACGATATCAAAAATCTCTATCAATTTATCACCCTATCTCACCTGCAGTCTACGCAAATCCTTTTTATCAACTTTCAAAAACCAAGGATACTACAAAAAAATCTCAAGCTCTTTTCAACTCTGAAATGTTACACCTGATGGACGCTGGTATGGACAACAACATTCCGTTTTTCCCACTTATCAACGAACGAAAAGCTGACATTGTAGTTGCTGTGGATATGAGTGCCGATATTCAAACAGCTCCTCATTTTGATCATGCCGAAGAATACGTGAAACGCCATGGAATTGAAGGGTGGCCTGTTGGTGCAGGATGGCCAAAGGAAGATATCAAGAAGACTATTAAGGAAACAGAACAAACGATAAATTCTCTAGACAGACAGCAACACCGATTAGATCATGATAATAATGAAGAGTATCAAACGTCAAGTAACAAATCCCAAAATGATGTTCAGTCAAATATGCGACAACGGTATGCACTTGGACCTTGTACTGTATTCCCAACGACAACGACAACATATTCTGGTATGGATGATGGGAAGCGATTGATTATCTTGATTTACTTTCCTTTTATTGGCAATGATGATTACGATCCTGATTTTGATCCTCAAACAGCAGATTTTTGTTCGACGTGGAATTTTGTATATGAACCCGATCAGGTAGACAAAGTAGTGGGATTAGCTCAAGCCAACTGGAACAACAACACGGATGTGGTGCGGACCGTCTTCAAAGCAGTTTGGGAAAGAAAGCGAAGGTTACGACTTGAACGACGTGATGCTGATACGTTGGCCAATATTTTTTTATTCCCTTGATTATGTGGCTTTATATGTATTGTACTGGTTTTATTTTTATTTTATTTTTTATTGCATCCTCCTCCATTTTACATAGCATTCTTTTATCCTTTTTTTATTATTATTATTATTATTTCATCTTTAATAAACATTCTCTCCTCTATCACTTTTTTTTTATATCGAAGATTTATGTGGAATATGTGATTTCTTGATCGATGATGATTTGATTGGTTTAAGTTAAACTTGGTTAATATGGAAAATTTGATTTTATTGGTGGAATATTAGTTGAAAGAAGAAGGTGCCAGTTGCTTTCATTTTGATTTTTTTTTGATTGTTTGGGAAGGAGATATCTTGATTTGATGATGATGTTCACCAGGATAATGATTGTTACTGATGGAATGTCATCATTAGTTTTTTTTTTTTTTTTTTTATCATTATAAGCATCTATTATTACTAACCTTTATAAGAAACTTTATAAGAAGGGATCTGACATCTAGTATCATCCATCATCATAAAAATCACCGTGCATAAGATTCATGCAAATTGATAGGTTGTGGAGAATCAATCATAGTTGTTAAAAGAAAACATCTAAAGCAAAATGGTTTTTATATGGGGTATGGAACTTTATTATGAAAGATTATAGATTGAGGTTGACAAAGAGCGTAACATGCTTCGTTGAATCTTCTATCGATGGCGTCAGATAGGTTTCTTTTTTTTTTTTTTTTTTGCTGACACCTGGTCACTGCTGACAATTACTGACAAATCTATCAACTTTGCTTATCTAAACCTCGGAACTTGAATACCCGTTGCCATGTATAAATTTGGACATTTCGCCAATTCTTGCATCTTTCTTTATTTATTCTCTACTTTATTTATTTTATATTATATTTTATTCTTTTGACAATTTCAAAAAAAAAAAAAAAATACAATGCCTTCTGCTACTACATCTGCTTTATTCACTCCTATCAAAATTGGGCAACATCTTTTGAAACATCGAGTTGTTTTGCCTCCTATGACTCGTATGCGTGCTGATGATCATGGTAATCCTACTGAACAATATGCTGAATACTATAAGCAACGTGCTACTCCTGGTGGTTTATTGCTTACTGAAGCTACCGCCATCTCCCCTTCTGCTGGTGCTTTTCCTCATACTGCTGGTATTTACACCAACGATCAAATTGCTGCATGGAAAAAAGTGACGGACGCTGTGCATGAAAAAGGTGGTATTATCTTTGTTCAAATTTGGCATGGTGGTCGAGCTTCCTTCTCCTTCCTTTTGCCTGATAATCAATCTACTGTGTCTGCATCTGATATTGCTATTGAAGGTAACTCACCTTTTGGTGCTCCCTATGAAAAACCTCGTGCTTTGGAAGTGGAAGAAATCAAGTCTATCATTCAAGATTTTGTTCAAGCTGCTAAGAATGCTATTGCTGCTGGTTTCGATGGTAAAAAAAAAAAAAAAAAAAAAAAAAAAAGAATAATGCTCATTGGTGAAATCCTATTTGTTTTTTTTTATTTATCTATTCTTTTCTTTTTTTATAAATACCATTCCATAGGTGTTGAAATTCATGGTGCCAATGGTTTTCTTGTGGATCAATTCATTAACACATCAAGCAACAAACGTACTGATCAATATGGTGGATCTATCGAAAATCGTACCCGATTCGCTTTGGAAGTGGTGGATGCAACTACTAAAGCTATTGGTGATGACAAGACTGCCATTCGTCTTAGTCCTTGGGGTGGATTCCATGATATGAAGGATGATACAGCTCTTGCTACGTGGAGTTACATTACTGAACAACTCGAAAAGAAACATCCTCATTTGGCCTATCTCCATTTCATTGAAGCTCGCTCTGACCCCATGACTGATACTCCTACTGAATTGAAGGAAGGTGAAAAAACAGAAACTCTTGATCCTTTCCGTGCTCTCTGGTCTGGTCCTTTTATCTCTGCTGGCAACTATACCTATGATATGAAGTCTGTTTTCGATCGTGCTGAAAGTTCTCCCAACAACCTGGTGGCTATAGGTAGAGCTTTCATCGCCAATCCTGATCTAGTAGAACGCCTTCGAAACAACTGGAAACTCAATCCTTATGATCGTGCTACTTTTTACACTTCTGGCCCTGAAGGTTACACGGATTATCCTTTCTATGATGCAAAGAATTAGTTTTATACTTTTAGATAAGTGCTTAGCACTTGCTATATTTTGTATACCATCTACGCTATTATCAATAAAATTTATTAACTTTTACATATATATATATATATATATATATATATATATGTATAACACGTCTTGCCTACTTTTTTTTTTTTTTTTTTTTTTTTTGGTATGAACTTACCTTATTAGTTATTGAATTGATGCACGGTGTTAACGGCTGTACCGTGATACTGATATAGATACCGTTATTATGGGATTTGATGGAATAAATCATGGATTCATGGTATTAATATCATTGTGCGGGATTGATTAAGTGGATTGCCGTGATCAATCCCGTCTTCACTTGGGATCAATGTCAGGAAAACGGGACTGGTTCCTAGTGTTGTGGATCAGGAATCAGATCCCAGAAATCTAGGATCGATACAGAAAAAAGTGGGTACTAATACCGGAAATAAGGGAACGTGGTATCAATCCCATCTTCATGATACAAGTACCGATTGATTTTTCGTATGGATATCATATAAACGGTATCAATATTTCTTGGTTTAGAGTGTCATTTTTAATGTATTGAATGATCATTCAAAAAACAACAATAAGACCCACTTTATGTCGACATATACATCGCAGATCGCTTTTCTCCTATCTAGGCTAGAAAGCATATAATAGGTAGATTTACCTTTTTTTTTTTTTTTTTTTTTTTGTAATAAACATAATTATTAGGTCAAATAGGTAGAATTTAGGACTTCTATATAGAGTCAAATAAAAATTGGGTTTTCTAGGTAGAATTTAGGGTTTCTATGTAGAGTTGAATAGAAATTGGATTTTCTAGTCCTAATTTGGAAGGACCATGTTTTGCCCACAGGCTCGCTGAGAGAAAATTATGCATTGCCAAATAAAAAAGGACGTTTGTTTATTTTTACTCTTCTTCTTCTTCTTCTTCTTATTTTTATTTTTATCACATTATTGTTCTTTTTTTTTTTCTTTCTGTTATATGTTTACCTTTTAAGACAAATCAAAGTAAGGTATGGAAATAATAATAATAAACGATTGTTTATACATATATTCATTGTATTCATGAACTGACTGAATCATTCTTTTTTGCTGTGTCTGTTTATACCTTTTAGTTAAAACAAGTGAACACAAGTACTTTTAACCTGTTATATGCTGTATTACTCATGTTTAATAAGGTAAATCCATTTCATTATGTTACCAACGTTATATGATATTGATTTTTTTTTTATTTGAATCTATATTCTAGATACAAATATGACGATTAAAGTAAGACAAAAAAAAAAAAGATAATGATACTGTTGTTTTCTAACCTTTTTTTATTTTTATACACAAATCATTCCAAGCTCTTTGCTATATCCTTTTCTCTATGTGCTTTTACAGACACTCACTCTTATTAGCTGTAAGTTCAAAAACAAGTTGTTTTCCTCTTCTTATTTCTAACTTCACTTTTCTTCTTTTTTCTTTTATACACGTTCTTTCGACCTTGATGTTTTTTACTACAACATCTGTCTATCTAGGATTATCGTTCTTTCTTCTTCTCATCCTTCTTACTTGGGTATCCTGGATAATGACTATTACTGAATATACGTCTGAAAAAAAGAAAGAAATCTAGATACACGAAGATTGATCATTATAGTTTCACGTCAATAGGATACTACGAGAAGTGGCTATCCGTCTGGATCAGCGAAATGGATGAACAGGGTGTATTATAGGATTCAATTGGTTTCGACTTACAATCAATTAGAGATATCTTATTGGTCTTTTTATCTTATTCTGGCTTAAAGCGTTAGTGATTCTTTTTACTATCATACTTAGTATACAATTATACATATTGATATTCTTTTTGTTTAATAAAATTATATTCATTGTCACTAATTACAGTCATTACTTTTTTCTTAATGTTATCTATCATTTCCTTTCAAACAACTGTTTGTGTGCCTGTGTTCCTTAAACAAATTAAATGATATGAAAAAAAGAAATATATTATGTAAGTCGTTCTCTTTTTCATATATTTTTTATCACTTTTTCTTTAATATTAAAAACTAACCTTACTTCTTTGTAAATACTTTATTCTCATTAGTACATTACAACATATTCTTTCTCTCTATTATATATTACTTTGGCACATTGCCTTTACTTAGTCGGACTTTTCGTTGCATTTGTATTTATTTCGTTTCCTAACAATTTTCTTTTTCTACCTTCTCTTTCCTTTTCTCCACACTTTTTTTTTTTTTTCTTTACTTCTCCGCATTTTGTTCGTGTCTCCATATTGGCTCATGATAGGTAACATATAAAATACAATGACAAGTAATGGATTCTTATTTTATTATTGTCAATTTAAAAATAATAATAATAATAATAAAATAAAAAAATAGTATAAAATACAATTAGTTACTTGTTTTATAGTTAATTCATTCTAGTGTCTACAGTTTCAAGACCTCTTCTTGGTTGGACTCTCTCTTTCTTCGGATTCCATTGCACAGCCAATGCAATTCAATTATGCACAAGTACTTTTGAAGATCCTTTTTACTGCTTGGTTAGTCTTCCTTATGATATTTCAAAATTTCTTTTCTACTTGTTTGGACTCTCTCTCTCCCTCCCATCTGTCGCTCATTGTGGTGATGTTCTCTTCAATATCTCTTTGCTATTTGGTTGGACTCTTTCTCTTTGCTGTTTTTTGGATCTGTAGATATCAAAGACTGTCGTATGTACAACCAAACTAGTAAGTTTGTGCAAAAAGAAAAAAAAAAAAGGATCAATCGATATTACATACAATCACTTGCTTCTTTCTTTTTTTTAGATCCTTCTTTTTATTGTATTGTGATTGATACATTGACACTGGCGCATGGTCCAAGGTAATATGTATATGTAAAAGAAGAAAAAAAAGAATAACATCGACGGATTACTACTCATTTTGTTGATTCTTTGTTGCCTATTAGGTATCAGAATAGTGGTCTATACAGTCAAATGTCGGATGGTCATCATTGCTTTATACTTAGCTTTTGGTCAGACGAAGATCATGGTGTATTGATCTTTGTTTGTTTACGGGCAATGGACTTGGTCGAGGATGATCAGTCTCTAGAATCGTTTATGAATCTAGTGACTGAATTTTGTGCTCAAGTAGGTGGAGGGCAAAATGCAACACGTAGGAAATTCAGTTATTGTCTGTTGATCGTGTTGTTTCATGCTGGAGTCCTTGTTAAGTCCTGACATTTGCGGTATTTGGTTTGGAAAGATTATTGAGGATCATATCAATGACTGATAGTGGAGCGCTATACGTAAGACGATACAACTATCTTTCTTGATGATCTGAAATTGTCTGATATCTGCATTTGGCAAGCCTTTATTTCTCTCCGAGCCAACTGTTATGGTGACATTGGGTTTACTGGTGGTACAAAACGTTCGATGGTGCAGCCAAGGTAACTTGTACATAGAAAAAAAAAGAAAAAGAAATAAGCATTGGTGGATTACTATTCATTTTATTGATTTTATTTGTAGCTTGCTAGATTATCGTCTATACAATAATGATGATGCAAACATTCAATGATATAGCCAAGGTAACATTTATATAGAAAAAGAAAAAAAAAAAAAGAAAGAAAAAGAAAAGAGAGCATTGATAGATTACTATGCACTTTGTTAATTTCATTTGTAGATTGTAAACCACTCAACAAAACCAAGATCGAATGCCTTCTACGTTGGAATGCCTCTCTGTTATCCAATTGAAGTGTCTGTGTCAAATAAAATAATCCTACCCAAAGTGCAAGTCATGATCGTTATCCTGGTGATGGCATTAGTTGTGATTCCGCTTGTGATTCTGGTCGTAGTTCATGGATATTATCGCTTATAGTGCAGTTACTTATTATTATAGTTATGTAGTATAATTATGTAGTATAGAATATTTGTAGTGATGAAATAAAATTATGATTTCAATAGTATATTTGTACTAATCAAATGATGGATTGATCTCGGAAATACACAGTACGAATACCCACCTAATGATATCGATCCCAGTTTAATTGTATTAATATCCTAATCATGAGATTGATTACAGAATAAGATGTAATCAGTACCATCCTACCGATATTGATCCCAGATTCATAGTATCGATATCTTCCATATGAGATTGCTATCGGAAAAAAAAGGTATCCCATCCCGTCGCCTGTAACAAAATTGGGTATTGATATTGTCAAAAAGTGGAGATTGATATCATCAAATACCATCATCCTGATATTTATTTTTCCATCGTGATGGTAGGACGTTAGGATGAAAATGGGATAATGGAAAATATTGGGTGATGGATAATGATGGGATGATGATGAAAACGTTTAGCTTAGATATTATTACAGTATATATTTGTTGACTACTAGGAATATGAAAATAAAGTATACATTATCTTGTCTTTCTGTTGCAGCTTCTGCCTTTTTTTTTTTCCTCACTATAATAATCCTTGTAATCAACAGAATTCAGTTTCTGGCATCGTCCATCCGCACACCATCACATATCATTTCATTATCCAATCGTTCGCCACCCAGTATTTATCCAATTTTTTTTACATTTGATCACATAAATTTCGTAATATACTTCAATTTATTCATCACCATAACAAAAAAAAAAAAAAGAAAAAGCAAAGAAACAACAAGAAAAACACTAACTAATATGATATCCTATCTACATGTTAATGTTCAATATCTTCCCAATCACGTCCTTTCACATTAGCTAATTGGTCATCAGTCAAAACGTCACCACTTGTAAAATAGCCAGAAGCGATCTTGGCGTCAATTTCAACTCTATATGCAAAACAACATTTTTTTTTTAAAAAAAAAAAAAAGAAAAAAAAGAAAAAGAGTGAGAACGAAATGTAATATTGCCGTTCTTTTTTTTTCCCTGTTTGAAATAGAAAACTTACCGAGAATCAGCAGGGATTAATTCTTCAGGAATAGGCACGCGTTCTATGATAGGAATACCAGAACCAACAATGGCGTCATGTTTCTATTTAAATGAAGTAATGTAATAATCATATAAAAAAATGAGTCATAAGGAATAGAAAATAAATATATTCAGTAAAGGTGAGTGATGGACCTACCATATTGGACATAGACTATGATTTCCAAAAAAAAAAAAAAAAAAAAAAAAGGAACAATAAGTACAAGAAAATTTCTTAATAATATCAACCATTGTTTTCGCTATTTTTTTTTTTTCTAGTTTACCATCATTCTATCAATCTTCTTGATACCCAGCCAATGTAACACGTCAGGCATCAATGCTTGGAATCGCATATCCTTGACACCAGCAATACATTCAGTTCGTAAAAAGTAACGATCGGCTGTATCACCTCCAGCTTGACGTTTACCTGTTGAGGAAAAAAAAAAAAGAAAAAAGAAAAGAAAAAAGGAAAGAATTGGTTAAACTTGAAATTGAGCAGGATGATATGTTATGTGATACTTACGAGCATTATATACAAGGTATTTTGTTACTTCACCTAGTGCACGTCCTTCCTTTCGGACTTTACAATTGAAAATTGAAAATTAAGTGAATATATAAACGAATAGATAATGTAAAAGACAAAGAAACAGAAAACTTACAATACACAATAACACCTACACCACCTTGTTGAGCTTGCTTGACACATTCTTCGATACCATAAATCAAATAGGGTCTACAGGTACAAATATCACTACCTATAGAGTGGAAATAAATAAATACATAGGCTTTCTTTTTTTTTTTTTTTTTTGAATCTTACCAAAGACATCTGAACCATTGCATTCATCATGTACCCTTAGAGTCAATTTCTTGGAAGTATCTATAGGTGAAATAATAAACAGTTAGTTTATATATATATATATATATATATATATATATATATTGTTAAGAGTGTCATCCTCTATTATTTGATTCATCACTTGCCTGATATATATGCAGGGTTACCAAAGATATAAACACTGATACCACCAATGGGAGGTAGGAATACTTTGAGATCTGGACGAGTAATTAATTCAGGATACATACCACCAGTGTCTTCACTATAGAGTATATACATATAAAAAGAAAAAAAGGTCATTCAAAGGTAAAGCAAAACAAAAAAAAAAAAAAAAAAAAAGTATAGTATCCAATTTATCCATAACTCTAGTAAATATAAAAAAAACTTACAACAAAGCGCGACGTAATAATCCTTCTTCAATACCAAAACGAGTAGCAACACCAGGTAAATACCAAACAGGTTCAACAGCAGCCTTAGAAACTGCCAAATCACCACGATCATTGACCACAATCTTTCCATCTACTTTAAGACTACCTTTCTTAACACTCATTTCCATTTCAGCCATTGTCATGTGAGCACGGGTAATTGCAATAGTTGGACGTACGTCTAGACCTTGATCATATTCAGACTTGAAAACAGAAGGAGCTAAATGACCCCAAGGATCAAGTGAGACAATCTTGGTAGGATCAAACCATTCTTCATTGGGTAAGACATCAAAAGTAGGCTCAGTCATTTCAAAATTTGGACGATGATTATTAGTAAGATCTCCAATAGCCACAGCAAGAGCTCGATATATACAGTAAGATCCACCATATGCACCAATAGCATTCCTAAAACAATCACAAAAAAAAAAAATCAAGATCCATCATATATAATTAATTTTCTTTATTTCTTTTATTTACCTTTTCTTGATACTTCCTGTATGACGAGATGCAATAACAGGACCACGTTCTTTAGCATTACTTGCACCCCAAGTTAAAGGAACAGGATGAACTCCATGTTGACTTGGATAAGCTAATATATATATATAAATATAAATGATAAGTATTTCATTTTTTCCCACACAGATAATACTGATAAGATATATATATATAAAACTTTACTTGTAAGAATGACACGTTGAGGATAATAAGAGGAAATATCAGAAGATTTTGTAGGTTCTACCTTAGGAGATAATTGACTTGTTGTTTCCATTGAAGATGAGGTTGAAGTTTGTGAAGCTAATAGTTTACTCACCTACATAGAAATAAGAAATATGCAAGCAGGTTTTTATATATATTTAATAATATTTTATAAAAAAAAAAAAAAAAAAAAAAAGGTTACCTTTTCAGATAATCGTAGTTGGTCTTGACGCATAGCTTCCATAGAAGATAATAATTCTTGAGCAACTTCTTCTTGTATAGTCATCATAAGACGGAAAAAATAATATATATAAAAAAAGAAAAAAAAAAAAAAGAAAAAAGAAGAAAAGAAGAAGAAAAGAAAAATAATGAAAAACGGGGTATGAAGTCTGAAATTTGACCACCCTTTTTATGCACTGCTGACCTGTTTGGGTGACCTGCGGCATTTTGCATACTTTGAAAATACATTTTTATGTGTGATCATATCACAGAAAGGGAAAATGTTTCGTGTCCTTTTTTTTTATTATTTATTGGTCCTTTTTTTCTTTTCTTTTCTTTTCCTTTCTTTCTTTCTTTCTTTCTTTCTTTTTCTCACGCAAACTTCTTTTACTTTATCAAATAAAAATAAAAAACAATGACTGCCACTTTACACATTAGTCAACATCCTATAGTGGCAACAAAATTATCTCAATTACGTGAAGCCTCTCAATCTCCCAAAGTAACTAGAAGTTTAGTTCATGATTTGGCTACACTCTTAAGTTATGAAGCTTCTCAGAATTTACCTTTATCATATGAAAAAACGGTAAAAAAAATATATCAATATATCAATATATATATATATATATAATATATATATTCATCTTTTATTTTTATTTTTCTTTTTCTTTTATAGCTCATGTCACCTTATGAACCTTTTCAAGCAGCTGAATTAAAACAACGTATTGCTCTTATACCAGTATTACGATCAGGTCTTAGTTTGGTGGATGGTAAAATAATAAAAATGAATTATTATCCAATAGTTAATATTTATTCCTATATTAGGATTTTTGTCATTATTTCCTGATGCTCCTGTTTTACATTTGGGAATCTATAGGGAAAAGGTAAAAGATTTCAAATAGAAAAGAGAAAAATGTGTTTTTTTTTATTTATTTATTTACATATGTTATATTTGTATCATAGGTATCTTTACAACCAGTAGAATATTATAATAAACTTCCTGAAAATCCAAATGTTGATCTATGTTATGTATTGGATCCAGTTATAGCAACAGGTAAGAAGAATGATTTTCAATCATATTATTTATTCTAATTATTATATAGGAAATACTGCTGTGGCAACGGTTAACATGTTGAAAGAATGGGGTATTCCTGGTGAAAATATCAAGTTTGTGGGTATTTTAGGTGTAGGTTTACTATTATTATTCATTATTCATTCATTCATTCATTCATTCAAATCATTCTAATCTATCTATCTCTTAGTCTCAACCAGGAGTTACTCAATTACAAAAGGAACACCCTGAAGTTCAAATATACCTTGCTGGTGTAGATGATCACTTGGATGGTCATGGGTAAATGAAAGATGATAATTACACATATATATATATATATATATGTAAAGGAATTTGTTCATTGACTTCTTTTTTTTTTTTTTTAGATTCATTCGTCCTGGACTTGGTGACATTGGTGATCGATTGATGAATACTGCATTTTGAAATATATATATATATATATATATATATATATATTGCGTTTATATGATTATTTTGATTTAGTTTAGTTCTGAAATACCTAGTTTCTTTATTCAATAAAATACCTTTATCAAAAAAAAAAAAAAAAAATTGTGTTATCAAGACGGTGATTGAAAGTTTTATCTATCTTGTTCTTTTGCATGAAAAGGAGAAAGTGTATCAATCCATCAATGAATGACCTACATCCCCTTTTAATACTTCAAATATTATTTTGTATAAATTACTTGGTCATTTTATTTTACTTTATTTAAAATTATATAAAGATAACAATGTTGATAGTCTATATATTATCATTACTTTTGATATGGTGGATAGACTTTGGAATCGTACAAGGAGGTACTACCAAAAAAGGAAACGTGACTAACAAATAAAGAAAAAAAATATACTAACTATAATGTATTACAGTAGCATTTACTACAGAATGTTGGGAAAGGTTAAATGGAAAACAGAATTTATTAAATGATGGAGGATTACATTATCTTAATCAAGGGGATGATGGTTGGGTAACACGACAAAAGGATGATTGGATTTATTATCAACAACAATATGGTAAATAATATTATATGGTGAAAGTAGTCTATGGTGTGACAAACCTTCTTTTTATTCTTATAGTCAATGTATCTCTTTCAAATTATTATCTATCTATTGCTGCAGGTAAATACAGTATTATCAAAATTAAAATTATAATTTATAATAATGAATATGTTTTTTTTGAAAGTTGGTGGATGTATAGGACAAAATAGATATAAGTCAAGTGGATTTCTATATCTAGATGATGGTCATACTTTTGATACTACTGGAAAAAAATTGACTTCTATTGCTGATGAACCTTTAATACAAACAGTAGCAATAAATACATCTTATATGCAATATTTTGTGGATGATTATGCCATGGTCGGTATTTCAATTGTATTTCTTCCCCTTTCTTCTTTAACCTTCCTGCTTCTTTTTTTTTTTTTTTTTTTTTTTTTTGTAGAACCTTACTTTCTTACCCAGTTGGGAAATACCTGATAAACAAGCTGTAATATATGAAATCTCTTTTGATCGTGCCATTGTTGTTACTTTTCAATTTTATGACTTGGAAAAAAGAAGTATCTCCAATTTATCTACAGGAGTTTTGATTGATTCTCTGGCTATTCCTGATGTAACTTTACCTCCATTGACCCGTTATATCGAAAGTGAAAGAAAAAAAGAAAAAAAAAAGGACATGAAAATAATATATTCTTTTCTATAGACAATATCCATTTATGGTTCAAGAGCTTTCCCACCGTGTTTCTCCTATATCTATGCTGGTCTTTATGTTGACAAAGAAGCATCTACTTTATACAAGACATGTTCAATGTGTATGTAAGAAAAAAAAAAAAAAAGAAGAGGTTTATTGGACTTAACTTTTTTTTTTTTTTTTAGTATCAAGAACATTTCAATATCTTTCCCTAGGAAACTTCATTCTGATACCATCCACTTTTGCTATCATGTCTTGGCTTTCTAACTTTAAGTTTCCTCCGTAAGTCTATCTTGTATTTCAACTTATTATTTTAACGCGTATTATCTTATATATTTTAGACCAACTCGATTTTTAAGTCGTCAACCTTCCCATCCAGTTCTTTTGTGTATTTTTCTTATGATTGGTAATTGTTTATAACATTATATTTTACAATAAATATATTCAATTTAATGTTTTTGTGATAACTTAGGCTCCTTTATATTTACTCAAGCATGGAATGTGATCAATAGTCAATCAAGTATATTTCATGAATGGTTACCACGTGCAGCCAAGATCATCGGTAAAAAAAAAAAAAATCATCAAAATTTTATATTTTCTAATTATTATTCCTTTTTTAGAATTGTTTCTCTCTTTCTTTTTATATGCTGTATATTTTTATCCTGTAAGTGATTTAAATAATATCAATAATAAAAATAAAATAATATTGATTCTTTTTATTTTGTTAGCTCTTTTTATGTTATCATGCAAGTATTAACTCAAGAATTGCAAATATATTTGGTAAGTATAATATATATATGTATACTTGACAAATCTTTATAAATGACCGTCTTTTATATATATATATATATATATATATATATAGGTTGTTACTGTGTTATTGTCCTATTTGGCTTAAGGGTGACAGTAGATCTTCCATCTTATGTGATTACATATGCTAGAGATCTACCATTTCTGATTTTGAATGCCATCAATGCTATATTCATCCTCATTACCAATTTTATTGTTATCACCTACTTTATTGTTCGATCTATTACTTTTCAACCCTGTGATTTATGCCATTTGGAATTCCTGCAAGTCAAAGATATTGAAGAAACCTATGTCAAACAACTTTTTATGAGGAATCATCCTAACAAGATCAAGGTAAAAGTGATGTAACATTTAAATCATTATCTCATCTTTTTTTTTTGTTTTTTGTGATTGCTTGTCAAATAGAAAGTACCTCCTTTATTACAACGAATAAAATCATTTTATCGCCAACGTTCATGGAAAACTTTAACCGACATTGAGAAACTTCAATATATGTGGAAAATATGGATGAAAAAGTTGCTTGGGATTAATGAACATATCAGGTAAGCCATTTTTTTTTATCATCAAAAAAAAAAAAAATATTCATAATCTGACTTATCTTCTTTATATCGATAGAATTCCTTATCCTGTCAAGATTTCTCTTTCAATTCTTTTGTTTTGCTTAGGTCAGCTGGTATGTATAATAAAAGGAATAATCAGTTCAAACAATCTGAAATAGAATAGATAGACTAACGTCTCTTTCTTTTTTCTTTTAACAAAAAATAAAAATAAAAATAAAAATAATATAAAAATGATAGGTACCTGTAGTGTTGATTCAACTTCTTGGTGTTGGTGGTACTGTCCCTACTCATATTTGTCTTTGGTCTCCTTACCTTGCTCAACTACAGTATCAACCCAATCCTATGAAGTTTGCCGAGAAAACTTTTTTATTAATGAAGATCGCCGTTTATCTTACTGTCCTTGGTGCTGGTGGATGTATGTTGTTTTATTACCTTCCTATTTTTATATTTTGATAGTTCCTTTAGTACTCATCCTTTTTTTTTTCTTTTTTTTTTTTTTCTTTTTAGATTGTATGATATATACGTTGGGTATATTTCGCCGTGTGACCAAAGATATCACTAACCTTCGACGGGGTAACTATGGATTATTCAAAGGAAAAAAGAACAACGAGTAAGTGCGACTAATATAGTTGTCTCCAAATGAACTATTGATAATTGACAACTTGTAATTTTTTCTATGTATATAAAGCATAGATCTCGATGATGCTATCCGATTTATGGGCGTTTGTATTGGATTTGGTAAGACTCATAATAGAATGGTTGGAATTTATATATATATATATATATATATCACCGTTATTCTCATTTTTCATGCTCTTTATCAGGCTTCACAGGGACTTTATACTGCATGCTGGAGATCGCAATTATTGGAGTATTTGTGGTCATGGTCATTCAATTGGAACGAGCAAGGGATTATGTCCTTAGCCATCTTGGATATGGTAAGGTGATAGAAAAAAGAAAAAAGAAAAAAAAAAAAAGAAAAGGAAAAAAAGGAAAGATGGATTTACACAACACATTCATTTTTATGAGTATAGGTGCTTTTTTCGCTAGCTTCTTTATTGCCTTTATTGTCCAAATGATTCAAAAACGTATCACTCGAATATTATTTTTAAGTAAAGAATCTCATTTTGAAATCAAGAATCGATCTCCTTTATTACACTATTGGTATTTTATGATGTTTACCTCTATGACGCGTGCCTTGACATCCTATGTTTTGAGAACCCTGAAACTACTCTTACGATATCCTTTGTTTAGTGTACGAGTGGATCGAAATGCTGAAACATGGAGTGTACGACGTGGTGATGGTGGATTTATTGGTTATTGTGGAATGGTAAGGATAGGAAATATAGATACTCTGTAATATACTTACCTCTTTTACTTTTATCATTGAAAGCTCAAAGCCGAACATTATTTTAATAATCCTGTGGTGCTAGTTTTTATTGAATGTATCCTTCATCGAATGGTCAAGAAACAACGTATCTTTGGTTCACTCTGTCAGAAACACTATATCAAATTGGATTTGGAAAAAACAACATCAAAGAAACCTAGTCAGGTAGTATCAAATTCTGTGGCTTCTTGTCGTGCCAGAACTCGTTGGTTCCTTGCGATTACACTTATAAACAATCCTGTTGTAAGTATATATAAATATATATCTGATCCTAAACTATTTCAAACTTATTCATTCTTCCTTTATACTAGTTACGAAGGGCTCGTAGATCAATAAATACCTGATTACCTTGAACACTGTGTATCATTTTTGTCCAGGATGAAATAAAGACATTTTGAACTCCGGTTTTTTTTTTTTTTTGATTTAACACTGTATGTTACTTTTTTTTTTCTTTCTCAATTTCCTTTTTGCTTTCTTGTCTTTTATTTGTACAGTTGTGTGTCAAATGAATAATGGAATACCACCTAACTCGTCTCCCTCACTTGCCAATCCGACGCAACCTGTTAGTCGACAAGGTACACCTCAATCTTATCGACCACCAACCAACCCTATGATGCATCAACAATCTCCAGGACGACCTACCCAACAAACCTTTGTCCCGCAACCAGCTGGTGCTTTACCTATCCGTCCGCGTAAGTGCAAACATAAAAAAATAAAAAAATATAAAAAAAAAAAGACAAAAGATATGCATTTATTGTCATAAAAGTTGCTTATTAAAATTTTATCTTTGTATATATTTATATTGTTGTTTGTATTGATACCCGGGCTTTTTACTAGAAACACCACCATTGCCAGTAGGTCATCCACAGTATGCCACCCCGCGCCCACAATTTCCAACTGGATTTGTTCAACAACAACAACAGCAACAACAGCAACATTTACAGCAACATTTACAGCAACATTTACAGCAACATCCTCCAGTTCCTATTCCTCCTTCTCATCAAATGCAACAACGACCACCTTCACCTTTTGGTAGTCAACAACATTCTGGCCGTGGTGGAATGTCTCCTTCGGTAGTGTCTGTACCTGTTGCCAACTCACCAGCTGCTCCCGTTCATCAACTTCAAAGTATGACACCTCGACAAGGCTCACCTGTGCCCAGCCAGCAAGCTCCTTTGCAGACAGAGGGATCCTTTTCTCAACCTCAGCAATCAAGGCCTGGTCGTAGTAAACGTGTTTACCCTACTCAAGGTATCGAAACAGCCAACAATATTCCACCTACTCCTCCACCGAAAACAGAACCTGCTATACAGTCACTCAATTCAGCTCCTCAACAGCTTCATTCACGACAAGCAGCCGCTCAGTATCAACACAATCAACAACAACAACAACAGCAACAACAACAGCAACAACAACAACAACAACAGCAACAACCTCACGGTGGATACCCCTATCGACCAATAACACCAACCAGTATCGTCGGAGCAACAACCCCAGGACCTACCCCACCACCAAAGAACAAAATTGATCCTAATCAAATTCCTGCTCCTACAACTGCACAAATGAAAGATCAAGATCTTTATCAACAACAAGAATATGGAACGTGTTCCAAAGAACCAATGCCACTAGCTTGTACGGATTTCAAAGTGATTGATCAAGGTAACTTTATGGGAGAAAGTTTACCCAAGAAAGAATTCTCGTTCACTTTTCTTATTCTCTAGGAAACAGCAACCCACGATTCATTCGTAGTACTCTCAAAGAAATTCTCAAAACTGCCGATTTATTACGTGATACCAAGTTACCCTTTGGATTAGTAGTTCAACCTTTGGCGAAATTGCATGCTCAAGATCAACCTGTGATTTTTGCTCCCACTACTGAAGAAGGCCCTGTTCGATGTCTCCGATGTAAAGCCTATATTAATCCATGGTGTACCTTTATTGATGCTGGACGAAAATTCACCTGTAATCTTTGCGGATTTGATAATGATGGTAATATAAAAGATAAAAAAAAAAAAAACTCCCCCTATTTCTCTTTATAATCTTTTTTTTTTCTCTGAACAGTACCTGCCGAGTACTATAGTCCTTTGGATATGACAGGAAGACGAATGGATATGGATCATAGACCTGAATTGCAACGTGGTACAATTGAATTCCAAGTACCAAGGGAATATTGGACAAGAGAACCTTCTCCTCTTCACATTGTCTTTGCTATCGATGTCACTTGGAGTGCTATTCAAAGTGGAATGCTACAAACGTTTTGTGAAGCCCTCAAGACAATCCTATATCAAGATAACAAACTAGATCCTCACATCAAGATTGCCATTCTAACCTATGATACTACTGTTCATTTCTACAACTTGAATGTATGTCATTAATATTATAAAATCAAAAAATACTTACTATTCTTTTACATCTATCATTTATAGTCGTCTTTAGCTCAAGCATCCATGCTAGTCGTATCCGATATTGATGATATATTTCTTCCTTTGCATGATGGCGTCTTTGTAAACCCTCAAGAATCACGGTCTATTATCGAAGAACTATTGGATTCCTTGCCTAATCTTTTTGCTGATAACAAGAAACCCTCAGCTGTATTTTCACCTGCAATCAAAAGCACTTTAGCCTCTCTGGTAAGAATGTAGAAAGAGACAGAAGAAAAAAAAAAAAAAAAAAAAAAAAAGAAGAAGAACAACGAATCTTTGGTAATGTACATCGTACCAACTTTTTTTTTTTCTAAGAAATCTACTGGTGGAAAGGTTTGTATCTTCCAAACTCTTCTCCCAACCTATGGACCTGGTTCTCTGAAAAACCGTGATGATGTCAAACTGTATGGTACGGATAAGGAAAAGCAGCTGTATACCCCACAAGACAATGCTTATTATGATTTAGGAAAAGAATGTGTTATGAATGGCATTTGTGTTGATCTCTGGCTATTCCCTCTTCAATCATATGTTGACGTTAGTACTCTCGGTAAGATTAGACATAAACATGTAAAAAACGGATTTACTTTTCTTATCTTACATTTTGATAAATATATATACACTAGGTATCTTATCTGCTCTGACTGGTGGTGATACCCATTATTTCCCTGACTTTGACAAGACTCGATCTGGTCATATATTTGTATCTGATTTGGCACATAGCCTGGAACGAGAACAAGGATATAATGGTGCTCTACGTCTTCGATGTTCAAATGGTAAGAGAACAAAAACAAGAAAAATGGCAATGTTTAACCACGTCCCTTTTTTTTTTTTTCTATTCTTTTTTTTTCATGATCATAGGTCTTGTTGTTAAAGATCATTACGGAAACTTTTATATGGACAATGCAACTGATATCGAACTGGGTGGAATGGATGCAGACAAATCATTTGGATTTTCTATTGGTTATGATGGTAAATTAACTGACAATGGTGAAGCTTACTTCCAGTGCGCTTTATTATACACTACGCAAAAAGGTGAACGACGGGTTCGTGTACACAATCTATCTATTCCAGTATCAACTACTGTTGGAGCAACTTTCAAGCAGGCCGATTTTGATACTGCCATTAACTTGATCACAAAACGAGGTAGTTAAATTATTTGGAAAAAATAAGTCATATATTTTTGATGATGTCTTTTCTTTTTTAATTAACTTTTTTTTTTCTGTTATAGTTGTAACGGATACTGCCAAACGGGATATTGAAACGATTTCAAAAAATTTAGACAAGGAATGTGTCAATATATTGACAGCTTACCGAAAATTCTGTGCTTCATCAGCTGCTCCAGGTCAACTCATCTTACCAGAATCCTTCAAAACACTTCCTTTAATTGGACTATCATTGAAGAAATCGCAAATTTTACGAAAAGGTAACTTCTTAAATAATAAATATTATAAAAGATAAATAGGATCTTATTTTCTCTCTCTCTCTCTTTTTTTAGACTTGTCTTTGAAAGCTGACTATCGTGTTCATTGTATGCGCAAATTGAAAAGTATGGGTATAGCTGGTACAACAAAATGGTTTTATCCTACGATGATTAAGTTAGATTTATGGGTGACACTTGTAAGTCCTTTTTTTTTCTTTTTTTTTCTGATTATATGTTTTGAGCTTACCTTTCTTCACTTTATTTTAGAATCCTGAAAATGGAAGCTATACGAATATATGGCCACTGGAACGACTCTCTTATTCACGACTATCAAGTAATGGTATCTATTTAATTGGTAAGAAAATGTTAATACTATGTTTTGATCATACAAATGGTGATATAACCATTACTTTATATATTAGATACTGATGATACACGATATATTTGGGTTGGAAACAATATATCAAAAGAAATACTTGAAGGACTTTTTGGTGTAGTTCAGTTGGATCAAGTGAATCCTCATATGGTAAGTCACACTATGATCTCAAAGAAAGAATCTAGATATATAATATATATATTGGTTTGTACGAATAGGTTGAATTACCAAAGTTGGACAATGATTTATCACGACGTTATCATATACTTTTGGATGGAATTAAAAAACAAAGAATATGGGCACCTAGGCTTTACGTGATTCGTCAAGGTATGGATATAGAAAACGAATTTATCAAGATCATGGTAGAAGATGAAACATTTGGTCAAATGAATTATGTGGATCATCTTTGTCTTATTCATAAACAAATTCAAACGGAACTGGAGAAGGATAAGCAAGAAACTTTTGTAGCTAGTACTAGTTATTGGGCCCATAGATATTAGAATAATAAAAAAAAAAAGGATATTTTATAATAAAGATATATTTTATACCATCTTGTGGTTGCATGAAAAATTTGGGCGGTGTTGATCATTTTCTCTGTTTGTGAGTCTAACTTTTTTTTCTTGATTTTTGGTTCCGCTGATCTTTTTTTTTTTTTTTTTTAAACCTCTTTTTCTCTCTTCTTTACCTCCTCCAACGCCATTCCCGATTCAAGAAGAAGCTTACAAGAGATCAAATTGTATCAAATAAGTTAGAGGTAATGGTTGAAAACTAACTATCGTTTTATAAAGAAGAAAAAGAAAAGTCAAACTTCGTAATAGAGAAAATAAATGCTAATTAGTTGATATTCTTTATTCTTTTTATAGAAAGAAGAAAACATCTTTGAAAAGTTATCTTCTTGTCAACAATACTTTTTTATACAACCACAGTAAAAATATGGAAGACAATAAAACAAATGGACACAAGGATGTATTATTGGATCGAAGACAATTGGATCAAGTGATGAAAGCAATCAACAAACAAGTTATGTTCAACAAATATATATTTAAGTAAATAAAAGGAGGCCTAATGTTTTCATTCTTTTTTTTTTTAGATTTCACATGCACAATATGAATATAAAGATAGTGGAGCTTTACAAGTAGAAATGGACGAATTGTTTAGTTATGAAGAAATCAACACGTTATTACCTCGTTTAGTGGCTAATCGACAAGCGAGTCTATTGCAAATGAAAGGTACGTAATACGCTAATAATATGAATTCAATGATATACTTATCATTCGATGGGTTTTCTTGTGCGTTTGGATGATAGCAATAGAATTAGATATCTGGATTGAACAACTATTGGATCAGCTAGAATCTGGATATGAACAGAGGATACAAGCAGCACAAGGTTTATTATATATTGCTCTAGGTAAAGAATAAAAAGTTTAAGGAAAGACATGATGACTATAAATTAATGTCTTTTTTTTTTTTTCCTCCTTGTTTCTGATCTTGTAGGGGATTTTGATCAATGGATTAATGATAGAAAAAAACACTTGGATACAATCATCAAGAATAATGCTTTACTATTTGATCGAGGTGTCTTTCATTCTGTACATCAGGTTTTGAAACGTGCTTGTAATCAACTATCTAGGTAAAATACATAAATAACATAAATCCTTTGATAATAACTTTATCTATTTTATGCTATATATATATTAGTTCAAACAACAAACCTATTGATAACAACAAAAATCTACTCTTCGAAATTGACCTCTATTTGACCATCAATTATTTGATTATTGAATCCAATCGACAACAAGGTCGTTTCGAAAATGATCAAGGTATAAAAAAAAACTTAAGAATTTATCAATCAGACTATCAATATGGACTTTCTTTTTTTTCTTGTAGATCTATTGGAAATGGATATTTTGAAATATCTCTTTTTGATGTTGGCGCGCTTGAAAGATGGGTTTATGCAATCTTTTCCGATGAAAAAGGTATATATATATATATATATATATATATATATATATATATATATGTAAACTTTGATCTTATTTTGATATATGATTTTTTTTTTAGTTACTTTTACTCATATCGAAGGTATTATTAGCTACTCTTGGAAACATACAAAATACCAAGGATATGAAGAATGAAGCTCGAAGAAGACATGGACTGCCAATCAAAAGGAAAAGTAAGAGAGTGAAATGAAAAAAAAAAGCATATACATAGTGAACTTAATTTCTTTGATTTATTGATTTATTCGTTAGCTCCTATTATTAAATGCTCACATCGAGATCTATATACATTCCAAAATGATCTTGCTTCTCGATATCCCACATATACGCCATCCAATATTGAATCAACCATATTCAGCAATATATCACCACTGACTATCAAAGCCAGTTCAGCACTCGCCACAGCCATGGGTATCAGTAATGCTACAAAACAAACAACCTTACCCTACCAAGTACTATTCCCTCCAAAACAACCCAAAAGCAACAACGACAACAATAAGCAAGCAAATAATCCTGGTGTTCAAGGAAACACTGGACTTGCTAGTGATGATCCTTGGCATTCTTCACAAACAGTGGTACTTCCATTATTAGAAACTGGACCTAGTCTTCCCGTTGGTCTCAAAGAAGCCAATGCTACATATCAACAACACTTGGAAATTTCGCTAGCAGATTATCAGATCTTGATGGAACGGCAACGCGCGATACAAAAATGGCAAGAATTGGAAAAAGAACGGACAACATATAGTAATGATCAGATAAGGTTATCATCTAGTGAAAGAACAACAACAACAACACCAATGGACGAAGGTCAAGATTCTATCAAGGACAAATTCGATATCATTGAACAATTTTATGTAAATCAAAAAAGATGTATAATTGAAACAAGAAAAAAAAAATATTGACAGTGATATTTATATTTCAAATAGGCATCCATCGCACCTGAATTACAAGGTATTGTGATCGTTCTACTTAAACAACTTTTGACAACAGCCACAGCAAAATCAAAACCGACGAGCAAGAATAATGGACAACAATTATATCAAGATGGAAAACAAATCAAGGAAACAACAAGCATGGACAGACATCGTGAAGTATTATGCAAAAGTATTTCTGCCATTTTATTGTTACTTTTGAAATGGTTCAAGATCTCACGTAAGTTAATATCATTTTAAATTTTAAAAATCTGAAATCTAAAAAAAATAACGACTTTTGTATAGATGTACTGAAATTTGAATACTTGTCTCAACTCTTGGTGGATTCTGGATGTATGCTTTTGATACTCAAGATATTTGGACTACAAGAAATTGGAACTTTAGCAAGCATTAAAACAGATGCGGATGAATATGGACTCTTTCGACAGATGGAATCCCTTCAACCACAGTCGAATGGAATAGCAGCAACAAGTAATGGGTCTTCCTATGTGTCGCCACCTCTATCTCCTTCCTCTGAATCACATTATACCAACGAACGAAATCTTTTTTGGATCATCAACTTGCTTCATGTTTTGCAAATGCTATCTAGGGACAAAGTACATAGGATCATGTTATTGGTACAATACAAATCATCGGTAAGAGAAAACAAAAAAAAAAAAGAAAAAATATGATAATTTGATACTAATAAGTATAAACTGACTTTTTTTATTTGTATTCATATTCTTGGTCAGGCAATCTTCAAACGAGTTCTCAAGATATCACATCCTGTTGTAGAATTATATGCTTTGAAAAATCTGAAGAATCAAATACCTTATCTGGGGAGGAAATGGCGATCCAGTAAGTATTATTTCATTATCAATGAAGCGTACAAAATTATATTTAATCTTTTTTTTTTTTTAATAAGGTAACATGAAAATTATATCTTCTATTTACTTTCGATGTCCTCCCGATTTCCGTGATGATTGGCTGATTACAAGAAATGACAAAGAAGGTGATTTGGAAGAAGGGAAAGCAGAAGAAATCAACCTTCGAATGCTTATCAGGTTATACAATGGGCAGAGATATCTTAGTAGGCTACTTCCAGAAGACGATAGTGCACTATATGATCCTATTAATGGCAACGATATTCCTTTTTCAACATCTCTGGTCTTGGAGAAAGGACACGACTTGGATTCTTCAGCAATGTTTGACGAGAATGATCTGGATGACACATTTAAGAAGGATTATAGTCAATGGTTGGAAACTGAAGTTTACAGCAAAAAAAACCAATGGAAATACGGCAAAGACAATCATGATGATGATGATGATGAATACCTCGACAACTATCATAAACAAAAGGCAAACACAACCAATTGGCCAGGAACACCTATTCCAGCATCACCTATCTGTCGTCCGTTAGACAATGCAGGAATCTCTCCAACAGTACTTGCACAAGAAATCAATAAACTTTATCATGAAGAACTGAACAGGGAATTCGACATGAACGGATCAATGAATGGGAAGGAAACCAAAATCAAGGATGAATGGGACGCACCAACCATACCAACAAACTATATGGGTGAATTCATTTATACCAATAACAATAACGACGATGATGATCTTTATCCTGGTGATGATGATGATGATGACGATGATTATGATGATGACAAGAAATCAACACGTTGGTTAACTGATCCTTTGGTAGATGTGAACTGGACTACCTTGACTGAAGATGAATTTGCCAAACGACTTGCCATTGTGGAAGAAAAAACAGTACGACGCTGGATGAATGTTGACATTAATGATCCTCAATATATCAAGGTCCTGGACACATTTGAAAAATCAGAAGAAAGTGGATACGATGAATGGGACACGACGGATCCTTCCTTGGAAACATAGTCATAGTGTATACATATTTTACTGTTGTTATTATTCCCTTTGTATTTATCCTTCACAATGCAATTGATCATTTATTTTTTTTGGTCCTTTTGTACAAAGTATACATTTTTTTTTGTTTTACATATCAAAATAAATTTAAAAAAAAGTTTATATATTATCTTTATCTAATGATTTGTTTGTTTAAAACATAAATGAACCATCATCAAGACTCAAATGAAGCCTTGGTTTCAAATGAAATGATCGTTTTATTTCTATTATATCTTATTTTCCTTTTTTTTTTTTTTTTTTTTTGATCGTGTATATATAAAAAAAAAATTTTGTTCTTGATAGTCATGAACATCGAAGATCATATCGATGTACGTAACATGAGGGATCCAGAGCATATTTTCACTCATGAAGAATTTAGCCAATTGCGCATTGCACGGCAATCAGCAGCAGCGGCGTCCGTGGTGTTTACGATGATAGCGATATTATTATTTCTTTACTTGGTATTGTATCACCGATCAAAGGTAAATCGCATGTCTTTACGGTGCGCGATGTTTTGTTGTCTTGCCAACTTTGTGGAAAATGTATTTTTTATCATTATGATCAACACCAGAGGCGATACGGTGTTTTGTTCAGTCGCGGGTTTTGTCATCGATTACTTGGCCATCTTGAGTGCCACCTTATTAACTTTGATTGGCATCAATCTCGTCCTCATCTACGTCGTCAAGATTCGAAAACAACATGTGGTTGAATATTATTATTATCCTTGTGCCTTGTTCTATAGCGCTTGTGGCTTGATCGGTCCTGCCATCGACCGTTATCATATTCCAAAACCTGCAAATACAAAACCTCTCCATACAGATACTTGTTGGTATATCGTCATTGTCAATCATCGTTATACCGAAGCTTTCGGTTATGTAAGTGATGCATCATCTGCTTTATAAAAAAAAAAAAAAAAAAAAAAGTTCATTGTATAATATGATATAGATGTGGTTTTATGCTTTTATTTTCTTTGCCACTGTTGTTGCCCTGACCTGTTCTATTATGGCTATCATCAAATTATTGATCGATCATCAAGTGATTCACAAAGAATCAAAAGAGGATCAACATACCAGTTCACGAAAATTACCCACTTATACTAGAGTCATACTACGATGTATTCTATATCCATTTGGTAATGTACCCTTCCTTTTTTTTTTTTTTTTTGTACCAATCATCTTACCTACAATACTTTATTTATGATGATGATTATTTTTTTTTTACTAAAAGTGCCATTGATAACCAACTTTTGTGGATTTATACAACAATGCCTTATAACGAAGCCAGTGGTGACACCAGAATTCTCTTTAACTATGGCCAGTTCGATATTGCATGGATTAGGTGGATGTTTTGTGGCATTTATTTTTTTGAACGATCCAGGGATAACGCATATGGTAGCGGGATGGTATAATCATTGGTATCATAAATATGTGATTGAGTATGTGATGGTGGAAACCAACGGAGGGTATTATTTGAAGGTGATAGATCCTTTAGAGGAGATGGATGATCAAGCCACTGTTGTTATCTCCTTCGTTCCTGCCAAAGAAGTGAAAAAAAAGAAAAAACAAAAAAAAGAAAAACGACCAAAGTATAGACCTTTGTTTTGTTGTCATGAAGATGGGGATCGTGCCTTTGTGCGATCTTATCAAACTGGTGGGGATGGTAGTAATAGGAATGATATTCTCCTTGGCACAGATGAATCATTGGTAACATTTCCCAGAAATGTGTATAGGGGACGACGGCAAGAAGAAGAGGATCGTCATCTTTATCATCATCATACATTGTATGAGGAGGATGTAGATAACATGACACTTCAACGGATTCCTATGCGTCGACTTAGACTAGACTCATCCGCCGTGAGTCAATATATCCGAAGCAACGCATTCAAGCCACAGATCTTATTGGAACGTACTTTTGCAAATGGATTCACCAAGGAAGAACAGATCAATGCTTACACCATCGTCATCAGCGATCAACACAATGATTATATCTTTGTTCGCTACCCTTCCATCCATCAAGCCAAATTCAATCATTGGTTGTTACATGGATGTATGGGTCGTCTCTTTTATAGAAAATCAAACCCTCTCACTCAAGTTCGTATACCCATCTCTCAAAATGATCATCGTCATCATCATCATCATCATCATCAGTATCATTATGAGCATACTCAGGTGACACCCATAGCTGATCGTACCGATGTATTATAATATACCCCTTCTATTCCCCTTGTAATTCTACTTTGAATCTAATGGATAAATAAATAAATAAAAAAAAAGTTCCGAATGTTTATTTGAATTGAAATGAAAAAAAAAAGTGATAAAATACAATAATAATAAAAAAAAAAAAAAGTAAGATGGTATATGTAATAAGATGTATGTATACAAAATAATATATGACTATGTGAATATTGTAAATAAATTAAGAGTGTGATTGCATCAAACGATTATAAATGATATGCCGCATGTTTTCATCATAATCTTCATCGTCGTCATCATTGCCGTCCATTGTAGATATAAAATGTGGATATCGATGAGCCGATCGTGATGACCAAGTTGCAACAGAATGAGCTAAAGATGCTACATCATCATCATCAGGTATGGATTGTTGCCGTGGTCGAAGACGTAGTCTGTCCGAGGAATACTGACGCAAATTTGGATGAGGTGATGGAATGTTATTTCGATGTTGTCTATAAGAGAATGTTGATCGCTTGCTTCTGGTACTGGCTCCACTACTATAACTTTCATTTGATCCATTATTAAGTCGATTATTCATGCTGCTATTGCTGTGATTATTGATTCCAGGAATATTGTTGTGAAGAGATGGTGTAGGTGTTGTTGATTGATTCAGATGGTATCCCATTTGATTAAGTATAGCTGCTAAATGCTTCATAATATCCAAATATTCCTGTTCCGTTGGTGCATGTTCACTGAATCGAGCCTTTTCGTAACCTTCTAAATAGATTCGTCCAAAATCAATGTCCATAAGTTCTTGTTGCATTAGAAATTCAATATAATGTCGAATGGTAATAAAAGGTGGCCTTGCATATTGTTCATTGATTTCAATGGCAGCTTTTTCTATAATCATTATGAATGAACCATTAATAAAAAAAAAAAAAAAAAAGATCATTCATATTCTTTCTTACCAATAATCGTAGGTGTCCTTGAAATAGCACGTTTAAAATCAACACCTTCAAAAGTTTGAGTACCCGGTTTGGCCCAGCCCAATTGCTTGATATCACTTGGCAGAGGTTCGGCTTTTTGACGAATATAACCCACAAGATGGAACCCACGTTGCACCTGAAGAACTACCCTCTAATTAGGAAAAAAAAAGAAAAAATCAGTTGATGATAATCCAAAAAAAGTAATCAAATAACATTCACAAAAAGTTGCATAAGTTTTTTCTCCGACCCCTTTTTTCTTTTATTATAAATATACCCTTGGAAGATAACCAGTTGGAGTAAGACTTTTTGGAATCATTCGTAAGGATCTTCGTACATTGATCAATCGACTACAAGCAAGTAATAAAGTAGCAATGGCCTATAAAAGATGGAAAAGACATTGTGTAAGTATATCATACTCTTCTTAATTCTTACTTACTAATGCAAGATAACTTGTAGTAACTACAGTAAGACCACGATAATCAAAGTAACCTGAACTCGTTCGGTCTGATAAAGCTTGTATGATGACATCCACTGCTGATATAGCTACGCAAACACCAGTTAAAAAAATTAAGAAGAATAAAGATGCAGTATATAAATAATGAGTAGTTCGAGATGTTTTCATATTAGAAAATATAATAGAACCATGAGGAGTTTATTTAATAAATAAAAAAGATGAGTAACGAAAGAAAAAAAAAAAAAAAAAAAAAAAAGAGAATGGATCAAATCTCATTTTTATTGTATTCACCATTGATACCAGTCGGGGTCAAAATTCAGGTTACTTAAAAATCCTATTTTTAGTCTTTTTCTTTTCTGTTTCCTTTTTTTTTTTTTTTTCTCTTTCTTTTTTTTTTTTTTTTTTTTTTTTTTTTTGTTATTTCTTTTCTTCAGTTTTTTATCACCAACAATGACAAATACAGTAACAGGACCTATTGCTATTGTTGATATGGGATCTAATGGTATTCGATTCGGCATTGTTAGCAGTTTATCAAGACATTTACCTGTAGTTTATGAAGAAAGAGCTCCTATCTCATTGTTAGACGCCCAAGGGGAAGATCGTACTATACCGTTAGATACAATTCACGAAGTAGTCAAAAGTTTTTTACGCTTCAAGGAATTATGCAAGGATGCCAACGTTCCTCTATCCAATGTACGTGTACTTGCTACGGAAGCCACTCGGATTGCAACTAATGCTACGGAATTCATGGATAGTATCTTTCAAGCTACTGGTTGGACTGTCACTTTATTACCAAAACAAGAAGAAGCTCTGGTCTCTGCTTCTGGGATCGTAGGCAAGTTTATCTCTCTCAATCCAATTATTTAACTATATGACTAAATAATTTTTAATATATATATATCATTAGGTTCTTTTTATACTGTCAACGGTTTAACCTCTGATTGTGGTGGTGGCTCGGTAGAACTCAGTTATGTTATGTCTGATGGAAATGGTGTTAGTACTGCTCAAACTCCTGTGTCTTTACCATACGGTGCAATGGCGTTGAAGAAAAGATTACAACAATGTGAAGGCAAGAAGGAACGACAAGATTTATACCTTGAAGTGGAATCTGCAATACGTCAAGCTTTAAAAGAAACCGAACCACCAAATCAATTGAAACACAAGGATGGATACGAAATTTATATGAGTGGTGGCGGGTTTAGGGCTCTAGGATATCTATCTATGGCAAGGAAATCACACAAAGTACGAAGTAAAAGCAACCACAAACATAGTTCACGTCAACCTGATTATCCCATTCCAATGATCAATGGATACACTATCACTGGCAAATCTCTCAAGAAACTCGTACATCGATATAGGGACAAGAAAGCTGATCAAGTCATACGCCAAGTACAAGGATTCCGCATCTCGAAACGACGAGCTGAAATGATGCCTGCTGTTTGTCTTTTAGTATCTGCTATGCTGGAAGCCATTCCTATCCGACAAGTGCATTTTAGTGAAGGTGGTGTTCGCCAAGGTATTTGTTATCAAATGCTTTCCAATCAAGAACAATCTAAGGATCCTCTACTTACTGCTGTCAAGGATTATATCTCAAAGTCGGATTTTGCCCTGAACGAAGAAGAATATCAAGCTATCTTTGATGTACTGAAATCAGCTCTACCTTCTCCTTATTTAGAAACAACTCATCCTTTACAGCTTCATCGTTTGTTACCAGCCGCCATTCATCTTGCCAATTTGACATCACATTATCCAAAGGAATCAAGGGCCTTTGTGGCTTTTCATATCCCTCTTCCAAGCGGTCCATTGGCCAATGTCCCTGGACTAACTCACAAGGAACGTGCAACATTGGCTCTTCTTTTGGCATATCGTCAAGGTGGTGCGGTACCTGATCCGATCTTTTACAGAGTGCAACGACTGGTGGGCAAAAAAGGAATATCGGTTTGCAAGTATCTTGGACGCCTCATGGAACTCATTTATTCTGTATCGCCATTACATCCTGGGGTAGGCGTGTTACGAAGTGGATTGAAGTTCAGTACAGTAGTAACCGATGCAATTGCAACTGGAAATAGTGAAGATGAATGTACCAGCAACAACGATGAGAATGAATCAGCGATAATACAACCATCTGACAGCAACAACGATGATGATGACGATGATGATGATGATGATACTGAGGATGACAACATTCAAGATAAGACACTATATCCGTCATTAAAACTTCGTATCCAGCTACCTTCAACACCATCCACATACCTTGATGCACCAGCTATACGATCAATGATTGAAAATTTGGATAAGAAAGTCAACACAAGGAAATTTGATATTGATGACGAACAGAGGCGTCTTCATTGTCCCACATTATTCTCTGTAGATATCTCACAAGGATTAGTTTAGTTTTTTTTTTTTTTTATGAAATAAAGTGTATTATTTTGATGATGGTATATTTGATATGTGACGAACTGTGATGATGGATGTATGAATCGTGATGATGATGATGATGATCACCCTATTGACTTAGACTGACCTAATACCAATGAACGTTAATATTTTATTTATACATTATTTTTTTTTTTCGTTTTGACTTTTTTTTTTTTTTTTTTTTTTTAAAAAAAAAAAAAAAAAAAAAAAACCGAGAAGTTACAATCCAGCTTCCATTAAAAAAGAAATAGAGAAAAATAAGATCATAAACGTCGTATAAGTAATCTATGTAAAAATATTGAAAAGGATGATGATTTATTAAAAAAAAAAAAAAATAGATAAGAATATTAAAAAAAGACTAAACTATAATACAACAACGATTAAAAAATAATAATACAAAAGAAAAACTATAATAACAAGAAGAATCATCGCCACCACAAAAAAAAAAAAAAAAAAAAAAAAAAAAGGAGGGAGAGATCATTGAGTTGAATATCGTCTCATATCTTCAAACACCAGAATATCATCAAAGGCATCGTTTGGATTGGTAATATTTGGATTGTAATATTTGGATCTTGGTGCCATATCCCTATCAAGCATCATCACACCTTCATAAAGATTATTGGCGATCTTGATACTAGGTCTACTGTTATTTTCATCGTCGTCAACTGAGATAAACCGTGCTTGTTTCTGTAGTTTCTTAGACTGAGCCCGATTGTCGATGTTTTCAACAAGAGTATCCAAGGATGATGATGTTGTTGTTGTCGCAGTGCCAACAGGTATATGTTTTTCTAATCCATCATTCGAACGTTGATGATGTTGTGTCAATTCTTCTTCCTGTCCTAGTGATCGCGTATCCATTGTATCCATCACAAAAGTTGTAAAAGGTGGAGAATAACTAGACTGATTCATTTGTTGTTGTTGTTGTTGTTGTTGTAGATGATCATCATGATATTGATGTGGTTGTTGAGATAAATCATTATCAGTACCAGAGAGAACTTGTTCAATTTTAGATAACATCGCAGTACATATATGATCTTGCCATTTGACTTCGGCCATGGAACGTAACATTCGAGCAGCACGCATAAGACCAATCCTAGATCTAGAAACCACGGTAGGATCACCATATTTGAGACATGACATGAGCATTTCCACTGATCGTTTCAAATCACCAGGCCAAGTTTGACAAGGAGCAAAAGCCACAACAGATTGCCGAGTAGTGATCAACTCTATTGAACTATCGATCATAGTCAGTACCGCCCGACGTTGTAATTGAGTCAAGACACGTCCATCACGAGGTAAAAGTCGTAGTGATATCAAAGCCACATCTGTACACCGTTCCATACTCACTGTCAAGCATGCTTCTGCCATATGTGAAAAATTGTCAGGATTCAGGGCCACATCATGTTGCAACATAGAAGGAAGATCTTTCGACCAGCGATCAATTTCCAATAAAGCACCATCGTAAATATCAGTCAGTTGAGCTTCTTGCTGAGGGTCCACCTGTTCAATTGTCTTGGTAATTCGTCGTCGTATCATCCAAATCTTGAGAACGTTGCTCCATACATGCACACCGGCCGTTTCATCCATTTCATCCAATGCACAAATCGTAGGTAACTTTAATCGTGAAAGAGCTTCATAATCATCTGATGGAGGATCAAGCATCGAGCGTGAGATTGTCCCTGATTCCGTCAAAAAGTGATCAATTTGAAAAAGATACCACCATACCCTATTGTTGAGTTCTGCTTCGTTGCTATCTAAAGATGACGATGATGATGATGATGATGATGATGATGATGATGATGAATAAAGAGGCTTGATATCCAAAGCTGCAGCCATACGGACAGCCAAAGTATGATTGATGGCCTTTTGTTCCAAAGGTAACGCGGTGGTCATATTGCATAGACTCAAAGCATAGATATGATGAATATGAGGTTGATCAAAACAGTCTGCCAAAGCATCACGTGCCATATGTGCCAATTTGGATTGTACAGAGTCAAGTACCGTGGGATCATGAAGATGTTTGAGTTGTGCCATGGGATGGTGAATAAAAACATGACGGACCCAAAAGGAAGCTATGGATAGAACAAGAGGATCGCTTGAAGGATCAGCCAAAGATGAATACCATTGTACCAGTAATTGTTTGGGACGAACAGGAAAGTAGTGATTCATACAAGTAATGAAACTTTGGACACAATCATCGAGTAAAACTGGAAGGATGGACATAACCCGAGGCCATTCTTGATTCACATAAATGATACTTCGTGCATAGAGTTCGCTGTGGAAGTGAATGTAAGGTAAAGATATAGGTTCCCATTTTTGAACTTGTTGTTGAGTGTCATGATTATTCTCTGAACTGTTAATATCGTCAAGCTGTTGAATCGAAGGAAGATGAGACAAACATTCCAAATCCAAAAGTTGAGATTGCATCGATGATTGAAGAGATAATTGCCCAAGAGTCTGTATAACATCAGCAATACCTTGCATACTATGAATGTTGATACTATATTGTTGGTCATCGTATCGTTCAATTGTCCAGTGTTCGTTTTTATTGTTGTTCTTGTTGTGCCTATTCAATTGTTCTACAACATTGTGAAGAACCAAGTCGTGGTGAGTATTGTCATTTGTCGTCGATGGTACTGAAGGTGGAGTATAGATACAGTTAAAAGGAGAATCGAGTCTGATAGGTGTAGTACGAGAAGAGGTAGAAGAAGAAGGTACAGATTTCGTTGGTTGATCAGACTTCAAGTATATTGATGGAGCCCTTCCACCTGCACTTTTTCGCATCTTTGGTCGCCTTGGTCGTTTTCCTTCTATCACAACACCATTGAATCCACCCAATACAAGTTCCATAAAGATTTAATTGTTTGGTACGGAAAAGAAAAAAAAAAAAAAAGAATGAAAGAAAGAAAAGAATAAAGAAAAAAAAAAGTTTGACTGTGTGGGGAAAAATATGAAACCAAGCATTTCATTTGTTTCAAAATCCGAAAAAAAAAAAAGAATACAAAATGAGTTTTATTTTTTTTTTTCATATATAATAATAAAAAATATTAAAACTAAAACTAAACTATTGTTCACTGATTATCTTTTCTAGATGATGATTGAATTTTTGCATGATTGACAGCTTGAACTTTGGCTTGATAACTTGAAGGTACGTTAGGTTTTCTTAAAGATCTGATATCGTCTGAAGCAAATCCAGGGATTCGAATATTCCAGTTTCGTTCTATAGAATTGGTTTTAATATAAGAAATAATAATAATAAATAAATAAAATAGATATATCTTACCTAAATGAAGTTGTAAATCTTTCACTTCTAAAGTATCTGATTTTCGATGTTTTGCCAGTCGACAGGCAAATGTTGTTACTGATTCAATGAATTCATCCGCTACTTCTAGTAAGATCTATAAGAAAAGTAACAATTTTAGAAATACTTCTCCCCCTCCCCCTTTTTTTTTTTTTTTTTTTTTTTTTTTTTTTTTTTTTTTTTTACTTACATCTTCTACTTCAGGTTCCAGACGTTCAGCAGGATCGATTTGTCCAACTAGTTCTTGAATCTTACGTTTGGCTAAAACACGGGGCACTCCATCAGCATCCAGGATGTCATTTGTTGCACTTTGAGCTTGAGCTTGAGCAGCCGCTTGAGCAGCAACCTGAGAAGCCTTCTTTTGTTGTTTCACAGTTGACGGGTTGGTAATTGATGTGTTTGTGCTTACATTTGTGCTTCCTGTTGGTGTAGGTGGCATGTTTATTCCTGGTGCAGACGATGATGAAGGTGTAGAAGGAGTTGTAGTATTGTTTGAGTTCATTCCAGCTGCAGCTACAGCAGCAGCAGCAGCGGCAAGAGTGGTAGCATTAGGCGGACCAGATATGTTCTGCTGTTGTTGTTGCTGTTGTTGTTGCTGTTGTTGTTGTTGCTGTTGCTGTTGCTGTTGTTGCAATTGTTGTTGTTGTTGTAATTGTTGCTGTTGTTGTTGTTGAAGCTGTTGTTGTTGAAGTTGCTGTTGTTGTTGTTGCTGTTGTTGTTGTTGAGCTGTATTAGTAGAACTGCCCGCAATAGAAGCTTGCATATAGGAAGAAGCGACTGCAGATGTTGCAACCATGGGAGAAGGAGTGACCATAGGAGTACCAGATATGGAGTTTGGTGATGAAGATGATGGCATCATATGATTCAAATGAGTAGAAGACATCGACACTGCTTGACCCGAAGAGAATGAGAACATCCCTGGTGATTGTTGCTGTTGATTTTGTGCTGTTGGTACGTTCTGATGAGTTTGTAAAGATTGATTAGAAGTCGGCACTGTTGCAGCTGCCATGAGAGGTCGTGGTGAAGCAGTACTATTGGCGTTGGTATTTCGTGGGGAGTTGGCAGCATTTGCAGCGGCTACAGCAGCATTTCCTAGTACAGATGAAGACATAGTTAGATCATAGATTAAAAAAAAAAAAAAAAAAAAAGAAACACGATATACATTAAACTTTTTGAGTTTTATACTTACGCATTTGAACGGGAGAAAATGCAGCAGCAGATGTGGCATTGGCAGAAGAGAAATGAGCTGGTGAACCAGGAGTTGAAGATCCAGTGGTATCTAATTGTTGTTGTTGCTGTTGCTGTTGCTGTTGCTGTTGTTGTTGTTGTTGTTGTTGTTGTTGCTGTTGCTGTTGTTGTCTCCTTAAAAAGGCTGCTGCTTGTTGTTGCTGTTGAAAAGGATGAGGTATAATGTTATTGAGTAATGTTTGGTAACTAACTAGTCTTTGTTGCAGATCTCTTTCTTGAGCGCGTATATGCTCCCTTTCTTCGTTGCTGATATCAGTTCGATCGGCTTGTTGACGCAATTGCAAAATGTTATTATTCAATCCTTCTATATTCTGACGATATTGTTGAATAAAAGCAGGCATCTGTTGAAGAATAGCAGCAGCAGTTTGTGGATTGTTAGCCATGATGTCACAAAGGAAAAAAAAAACCTAAAGGGAAAAAGGAAGGAAACAAAAAATAAGAAAAAAAAAATAAGAAAAAAAAAAAGAACAGTGAGGACATTTATGTCTATGTGGCTGCTTACGGAGTCTAAAATCCAATTGATCCTATTAACCTTTCAAAAAAAAAGAAACAGTATACTGTCTACAATATAAGTTTAAATAAAAAGAGATAGACAGAGAGATATGGTTTATTGTGAATATGATAATGGAAAAAAAAAGAATGCATGTTGTATAAAAATAAAAATAAAACTATGATAAAGAATAATAACAAAGTACAATAAAACAAGATAACTACAAAAAACAAATAAAAAGAATCTAAACTAATAAAAAAGGAATCTATTTTTTCTTTCCTTTTGGTTTCGCACTTGGTTTAGTGATTCTGCCGCCCTTGATCCTATTAGTTCCTTCAAACCCAGGTCTTGCTTTCTTTCCACCTTTCTTTCCAGACTTTCGGTCCTTCTTTGCATCAATACGCTTTTGTAAGTTTTCCGTTCGTTTCTTGATTTTATTTTGTTCATCCTGTTTGACCTTTTCTTCACGTTTGTTCCATTCTTGAGCACTCTTAGACTTGATCTTTTCTTGTCGTTTAATCGTCTTTTTCAACAATGTGGTGTCATCCTTGACCTTTTCACCAGTAGCCATAGCAATTGCCTTTTGCCATTCTTGCTTTTCCATAAGTGATTTAGCCTAAAAGAAGAAAAAGTATTCGTCATTATTGTCCATATTTCAGGTTGCTTACTTTTTTTATTATTATTGTTGTTATTATTACCTTTTCTTTATCTTCAGATTTCAGTTTATCCAGCTTTTGTTGTTGATTTTCAATCTTCTTCAATTGAGACTTGGCATCTACAGCACCCTTTTTCTTTTGAGGACCACCAACAGACAGTTTACCGAACACAAGTTCACTATCCATCTTTACAGAATCAGCTGAAACACCAATACGAGTCTAATTATAATACAAGTTAATGATCATCATAATAATATCATTGTAGTTTCTTTTTTTTTTTTTTTTACCGATGATTTAGTAGGATCTTGAACCAATTCTTCAGGTGCAACCTTATTTCCTTTTTCTTTTTGAGCCTTGATTGCCTTCTTTCGATCTTGTTTCTTCTTCAATCGTTCGGCCAGAATAGCTTCTCTACTACGAGCTTTAGATGTTCCACTACCAGGTGCATTGCGTTTTTGACGTTGTTGAATAATACGTTCATGAAGTCGTCGTTTCAGTTCACTAATTTCATTTTTAGGCGGCATTGGTTGAATAGGTTCTAAAAAAAAAAAAAATGAATAAATGTCAAGTCTACAATAAAGTACCACCTATTTTATTTCTCCTACCTGATGGTTGTTGATTTGATTCAGAGTCATCGACATCATCAGCAAGTCCTGCAAAGCTGGCATGACCATTAAGTGATTTTGATGAAGTGTCCATATCATCGTCATCGTCGTCTTGATCATTTTCAGTCACTCGTCCGTTCTGTTGCTTTGGGGTCACTTTGGTTACTAAATCTTGTTTGGCGTGTTCGGCTTGTTCTTGTTGGATTTCGGCTACTGTTCGTTGATTGCTAGGATCAAACTATAATAATATCATGTCATTAGTATCCTGTCATCACATATCCGTTTCTTTTTTTTTCTATCTTACCTTGGCTTTTTTAGCTTTTTTCGATGCTTCCTTTATAGCTTGTTTGGGTGCCTTTTTTCTTTTATTGTGCATATACTTTGAATCATTCTAGAAAACAAAAAGATAGACAAAAGGGGAGGGGAAGAAATAAAAAAAAAATAGATCAGTTCATCCAAATCAGATCTTTTGTATAGTATCTAATAGAGTAACTTACTTCTGCAGCCTCTGGATCAGTGATGTAAAACTTGATGGGTATAAGGTTTAATAAAGTATCGAGTGTATTGGAATGTGTTTCGATACGATCCTATAAAGAGGAAAGACCAAGTTAATAAAAAAAAAAAAAAAAAGAGAAGATATTGAACACTCGTTTTATCAGCTCCAACGCAAATAGATATATATATATATTTGTTTACATACAGATAATGAATCCAATAGTTGTGTTTGAACCATGTTTTTCAAAATAATAGTAAGGTTAAAGCACTAATGGGAAACAAGATAAAAAGAAGGGAAAGGGAAAAAAAAAAAAAAAAAAAAAAAAGTTCGAGACAAGAAAAGCGAAAAAAAAAAGAGGGTGGCGCTTGTTAGGTTACGGTCACAAATGTAGAATCGGATATCTAAAGACTTTGATTCCCGCTACTTCTCTTTTCTTTCTCTTTCAATATATCTATACAACCAATGGCTTCTACTAAATCCACTGATACTACTAAACCAGATGACTCTGCAAAAGAATGGTTATCTCCAGCACAGAGACACAACATGACGGAAACAGAAAAACGACAACGACAACTAGATAAACTATTTGAAAATATTGATAATCCTGTCTTTATCCCAGAACCCAAGCGTGAAAAGAAAGAGCATAAAGTAAAGGATTTTGTACGCAATGTATCTGGTAAGTATTTAGTTGTTATTTTATCATTATTATTTTAAAAAAAAAAAGATTGTTTTATTTGACCAATGATATCACTCTTCTTATATATATATAGGATCAAGTGCTGGTGCTGGTAGTGGTGATTTTCATGTTTATCGAGCACTACGACGTCGAGAATATGCTCGCTTAGGAAATATGGAGGCGGAAGAACGAAAAGTAAGTAATAAAAAAGGAAAAGGAAGATATTTAGTTTTGCACTGGCATGTTGGATTTACCAAACTTATTTGATTTATTAGGAACGCGAGGATAAAGCCTATTTTGACGAAATGGAAAGGAAAAGGTTGGAAAGTGAAGAACGTACAGCAAAGAAACGGGCAAGAAGACAGAAACGAAAACAGGCCAAAATTGAAAAGGAGGACGAAAAGGACAACAAGAAGCAAAAGACTCAAGATCAAGCAAAATGATGAGCTTCCTAGACAGGTATATAAGGATAGAAGAATTGTAGATACATATTTTTTTTTTTTTTTGGTAGTTCCCTCTCCTATTATATATTATATATAAATATACACAATACGCATAGTATAATCTCACATTCACAACAAACACATTCACAAATATAATATTACCCAAAATATCCTCTTTAATAAATCGAAGTGGTTACTATGAAAGGTTTGCTTTTATTGGTAAATGTGAAAGATGATATATGATCACTTTACTTTTCCGATTTTGGAAAAAGAATGACAACTAGAACAGATGGATATTATCTTTTTTTTTTTTTAATCATCGTATATTAGACAGGGGTTATTTTTGTTGATCATGAATATATAGAGAAGAGAATCATAAAGGAAATCATACAGGGGTAAGTAATAATAATAAAAAAAAAAGTTTGATGAGGAGAAGGAAACAAAAAAACTAGTGTTTGTGTACAAAATAGATGAAAGGGAAATAAAAAAAAAAAAAATGTACATAAAAGAAGATGGGAGAAGATAAAAAAAGGGAGGAATGAACTATCTAAGGGTTGGTATGACCTTTGTCAAGAATATTCATCCATGACTCAGGAATGATGGGAACCAATGAACGTTCTTTCACAGTATGTTCATATTTGGATGATGAATGTTGGCCATTTGTCGATGTTGTTGTTGCTGTTGTTGTTCCATGTGTTGCAGAGGTAGGTACAGAAAAGGGAAGCATAAACTTGGAATCCTTTGTTTCTTTGATTTCCTTTTCATCATCATTATCCAGTTCCGTATTGATTTTATTGTTGTTATCTATTGCCTTTGGTGTTGTCTTATCCACAGGTGAAGAAGGTAAATTTTTTTCTTCTTCTTGTTGTTGTTGTGATGCTGAATCTGTTGATGTAGTGATCCCCATGCTAGACATAAAAGAACCCACTAAATGAGACATACTCTCCCGACGTCGTGAATCGCTACGTTGCATAGAATTGCTCTGAGACCTTGACATAGACATGGATGTATGACGTCGTCGTGGCACAGGTGTTGATTTTGTATCTTTTTGTTGTTGGTGACGATTTTGACGATGACGAATGGTATCTTCAGCTAATTGCATAGCATATTTTTCGATTTCTTCAGGTAGACGAGGTTCATTAACTTCATATCGGTAATTCACTACACAACGTTTTACTTGCAAGGCATTCAATACATCAAATGTTTTCACAGTATTGATAAAACTAACCAAATCTGTCAATTGAGTTAAACATTGTAAAAGTTGGAGGAGTTGTGTTGTTGGTGTCAAATAAGATCCAAGGCTAACTGGCATGTTGTTTGCGCAAATCCAATCTTCAATTTGAGATAAATTCATCCGTACTTGCATAGCTTTGGATCGACATAAAAGTTTCTTATTGGTGAGAATACGGTTGAAGAGTTCACATGATAAGTAATGGAAGAATTGAGCTAAAGCTTGAATGATAATAGTTGGATGGACATCATAAGATTGTAACACGAATAAAGTAGATGATAATAAACTTGTGATCGATTGAGGTGATATAGTACCCATTTTTCCAGATCCGTCTGTACTTGATTCAATATTACTGGTATTGTCGTTACCATTGTTTGTATTGGTACTTGAACTAGGTGTACTTTTATTGCGTTTCATCTGGACAGCAAGGGCGCCATCAGGAGGTACAATCACCGATCGTCGACTACTTCTACGGAAGAAACGATGCCAATCATCAGTAAAATTGACATCATCCATACCAGGGATTTCATCGTGCTCCAACATGGCAGGACCCAGAATCTTGTTAATACGTCGTTCAGTATCATTGATTATCGTCATATAGGTTTCTGAGATAAGTTCTGATAGGTTAAGTTGTTGTTTTGCTGTAGCTACGACAAGACCGGTATCTTTCTTCAGATAATGAAGTAATTGTGTAAGATTGGTTATCCAAAAAGCGAGTATATGTATGTTTCGAGCATTATTCTAAAAAAAAAAAAAAAAAAAAAAAAAAAAATCATCAGTTGATGTATCACAAATATTACAATTAACATTTTGTACTTCATACCTTGATAACATTGGCCACTCTTTCAAGGGATCCATCCAAAACTTGATTTACAAGTTCATCAGTTGAAAAATAATGAGAGAATCGAGCACTGAGGAAAATGACATTAGCTGGTACACATATTTCATGTTGTGATCGCATAGGTAGTTGAATATTGGTGATAACAGTATCAAGAATATAAGGTAAATCATCTGCACTAAATACAAACATTTGATGAGGTAAGCATTTGTCCCATTGAAATTCATTGCTGATATCATCATCATCATCATCATCATCGTCCATATTGTTATGTAAATCCAAATTTGAATCATCGATAGTATTGTCAAGGTTATCCATAGTATCGTCATCACTAACAAGAGCCATTGCTGATTCCAATAGTTTTTTGCGTCTATCTGCTTCTTCATTCATAAAATTATCGAACCCTTCTACAGTTGATTGATAATAAAAGTCATAATCACCAGCATTAGAAGATGAAGAAGAAAGACTACTACCATTTCGACCAAAAACACTTGATGTTGAAGATATACTATCCCTTGGATTGGTTGCTAGAATATCTACTATCTTTTGATTATCAGTATTGACAAAATCAAACACTGTTCGACCTTTGGATGATTTTGTTTGAGAGGAAGCACCATGTTCCAATAATATCTTGACTAAATGTTCATGATTATTATTTGTTGCCCACATCAATGCTGACCATCCAACTAAATAAAAAATTATATAAATATAGTTAATAAATGATTCCATCTTTTTTTTTTTTTTTTTTTAGTCTTCTACAAAAAAAGTATCTAGATCTTTGTTCACATATTATCCAATATTGAGGTAATAAAAGTCTGTCACACACTTACATGAATCCTGAATATCGATTTTTGCACCAGATGATAAGAGAGCTTGAGCAATATCCATTTTTCCAAAACAAGCAGCATAAATCAAAGGAGTAGTTCCATCTTCATCTTTCACATCAATATCGATAAAAGGTTTATATTTTGAATCTTGAAGAAAAAGTTGTACTTTATCAATATCACCAGAAGAAGCAGCACGCCAAAAGAGTTTAGACATTTTTATACGTTTGGTATTATCATCTAATTGAGTATTTTCTAATAGTTGTTGTTCATTCAAGTCATCCATATCGTCTTCAAAGTGAAAATCCATTGAGTTTGTTTTATCAGATGAAGTTGAAGAAGGAGTGATATCACGAGTTCCCAATATATCCGATAATTGTTTATAACTTTCTGCTAGTCGTTGAGTCATTTCATCATAAGACATATTTTCATATTGTTTTCGTATAGTTTCATCTGTTTCTTCGTTATGTTCCTTAATCATAGTAAGACCTGAACCATTAGATAAGTCAATAGTTGAAGGATGATGTATTTTGATGGTATCATCATTATCAGACATAATAATAATAAAATATATACGGAGAAAAAGGAGGCAGTAAAACTACAAAAGGAACGAAAGAAAAAAATAAAATAAAATAAAAATAAAAGCGGTGTTGAAAAGAATTAATCGGGGGTGAACTTTCTCTTTGTACAACAAAAAACTGTTTTTTTTTTACCCAAAGGCAAAAAAAGAGAGATTTCATAATAGTGTAAGTGATCTCAAATATTACACGTTTTTTTTTTTTTTTCTTTAAAAAAATAACCACTTCATTTTCTTTTCTCTTTATCATCCAATCACTGATGATATATTTAATTTTAAAACATGCGCATCAAATATTCTTCCGAAAAAGGTATTGACGCGTTACACGAAAATATGTTTAAGATCATCCAATGAGATTAACTATATATAAAATACATTTACATTTCTTTCTTTTTTTTTTTTTTTTTTTTTTTTTTGTATTTAAATCATGATCATATGATATTTTTTTTTTTACTGTATGATAATCGTAAAAAAATCAAATTGGCATTGTTCTTTCATTTCATCCCCATTCTACTTTCCATATAAAGTAAAAAACGAACATTTTTATTATATTCGGCCAGTTTTATGGTAAAAATAAACTAACATTATAAAAACGTGAAGATTCTTTTTTTTTTTTTAATGTATTTTACTCCTGGATTTTATTTTTATTCTCTTTTATGTCATCATTGGACATCATATCGAATAACTAATTAACCTAATAACCGAGATCTAATGATTTTTATATAATAATGAAGAAGAATACAATGATAATCAATAACCATAAGATTTTTTAAACTGTCAAATTGTTTTTTTTGTAAATGAGGTAAAATGATTTCATTAGTGAGAACATGAACCGGATACTGTTTTAAATAAGAAAATTAGATAATTTGCGTATTTGAATAATATGATTTGCATTGTATTGATTGTACCAAAAAAAAGAATATACAGAAATGAATAGAAAGAGGAATAAGGTGAGTAAAGTCTTTTTTTTTTTCTACACTGATTAAGCATATAGCTCAGACATAGAAAGGAATGAAATAATGCTGGGTTTATGATTCGCCATAATCGTCCTCAACTTTTTTTTATTCATTCGAATTATTCCTTAAATCTTCCAAATCTTTCTAGTCACCAAATCACTAATATAAACATATATATATATATATATATATAAAAGGGAGTTAGCATCCTTCTTTTTGTTGACCAAATTAAAAAAAAAAAAAAAAAGTTTCTATTGATGTCATCAATCATCCATTTCCGTAAAATAAAAAAAGGAATCACCATAAATATATCCAATGCTATTGATCAAACATAGAAAAATAAATGCTGTTCAACATGAAAGAAAAAACCGGATAATTTTTTACCTGCGGGGTAAAGGATGATGAACGATGACGATGATTGGTCAATTTAAAATAGTTTGTTTAAACAAAAAAAAAAAAACAAAAGATACTCTTTATTCTGAGATGATTTAATACATAAACTTTAAAAAAAGAAAGTGAGAGATTTGATATGTTTATACTAAAAAGAAAAAATATGATGATGACAAGTTGAAAATAGACTACAAATGAATATCCGCTATTTTTTTTTTTTTCACATGGCAAAGATCATTACCAGTGAATGTTGCTGACTTAAGATTTTTCATATTATCAAATCAAAACTCTTTCTCTCACTCCGGGATTTTGCCTTACTAACCCTCAATATATAATTATTATTTTTTTTCTCCACAAAAAAAAAAATATTTATTCTTTTTTTTTCCTTTCCCCACTTTTTTTTTTCTTTCTTTCTTTACTTTATATTACTCTTTTTATTATATAAAAACATGGCTTCTCGTCTTCAACAAGTTTCTGGTCACCTTGCTCCTTCTTCTAATACTTCTGCCAATAAGATTGGTGTCAAGTCTCCTGAAGATGTTGTCATCGTATCTGCTTTACGTTCTGCTATTACTCGTGCTCGTAAAGGTGGTTTCAAAGATTCTCTTCCTGAAGGTAAATAAAAAAAAAAATAAAATAAAATATATATTTGACTAATGTTCTTTTATATATATATATATAGAAATGTTATCTGGTGTTTTCAAAGGTCTTATTGAACAAAGTAAGATTGATCCTGCTTTGGTAAATGATATTTGTGTGGGTACTGTATTGGCTCAAGGTGGTGGTGCTACTAATGCTCGTATGGCTGCTCTTCATGCTGGTTTCCCTGAATCTACTTCTGTTAATACTGTGAATCGTCAATGTTCTTCTGGTCTTCAAGCTGTTGTGCAAATTGCTACTGCTATTCAAACTGGTTTGATTGAAATTGGTATTGGTGCAGGTTTTGAATCTATGACCAAGAATTATGGTGCTTCTTCTATGGCTCCTACTTCTGAAAAGATTGCTGATGAATGTCCCTCTGCTGCTGATTGTCTTATTCCCATGGGGTAAAATTTTTCTTTTATGATGCATAAGGAGGGTGGGAAATATTCATGTGAAAAAAAACTAATGTTTTTTTTTTAATTTTTAATTCTAGTCTTACTTCTGAAAACGTTGCTTCTGACTACAATGTATCTCGTGCCAAACAAGATGAATTTGCTGCTTCATCTCATGCAAAGGCTACCACTGCTCAAAAGAATGGTTGGTTCAATGAAGAAATCGTCCCTATCAAGGCTGTCGTTGAAGATAAGGATGGTAATGAAACTACCATTGTTGTCGATAAGGATGATGGTATCCGTCCTGGTACTACTGCTGAAAAGCTTGCCAAGCTTCGTCCTGCTTTTGATGAACAAGGTTCTACTACTGCCGGTAATGCTTCTCAAGTCTCTGATGGCGCTGCTGCTGTTTTGTTGATGAAGCGCAAGGTAATTTTTTTTTTTAAAAAAAAAAAAAAAAAAAAAAGACTAGCAGGATGGTTTTATTGATATAGAAATTTTTTTTTTTATATGTAGACTGCTGAAAAGCTTGGTTTATCTATTATTGGTAAGTATATCACTTCGGCTGTGGTCGGTGTTCCTCCTCGTGTCATGGGTGTTGGTCCTGCTTATGCTATCCCTGTTGCTCTTGAAAAGGCTGGTATCACCATCAACGACGTCGATCTTTATGAAATTAACGAAGCTTTCGCTTCTCAAGCCGTTTTCTCTGTCGACAAGCTTGCAATTCCTTATGAAAAAGTGAACGTCAATGGTGGTGCTATCGCTTTTGGTCATCCTCTTGGTGTTACTGGTGCTCGTCAAATCGCCACTTTATTATCTGCATTGAAGCGTCACGGAAAGAAGGTTGGTGTCACCAGCATGTGTATCGGTAAGGAATTGATGTCCAAAAAAAAAAAAAAAAAAAAAAGGTGGCTAGGATTGAATATCATTTTACATTGTCTTACTCATTTATAATTATATTATTACTTTGTCGATTTACTATAGGTACTGGAATGGTAAGTTTGAAACTGGATAAAAGAGGATGATCATGAGTGATAGAAAAAAAAAAGGTATTCACACTTTTTTTGTTTGTGAATAGGGTATGGCCGCTGTGTTCGAACGCGAATAAGATGTTAGATAGTAAATTATTGTAGACAATACCCTTCTTCCTCTTTTTCTCCTTTCTCACTCTTTTAGTTAGTTATACACATATTTCAATGATGATATGTACATATTGTAATCAAATAAAAAACCAATTTTTTATATATAATTTTGAAAAAGATAAACAACAAAATGACAAACAAGCAACCACAGTATTTCAAAAAAGTCATATACAAATAAAGTATTGAACAAATGCCTAAATGACATGATTTTGATTTATTTATGTACAAGACGAATAATGATGACAAAAACCCTAACAGTAAATGATAATGATAATAATAATAAAATAATAAAACAAATGCCATTTCCGTCCAAAGAAGACATTTCAATTATGAATGATGATGATAATGCCGTTGTATATTTTCCGGATGTAGTGGTGGAGTGGTTGGAGTCAATGAATGTGGTGAATGTGTTGATGAGGATGATGTAATAGGCGTAGTAGGTCCTTGATAATGTTTTCCCAAAAGTAACCGTCCTTTAGTCATCAATTCCTCCATAACCACAGGATCGTGCTTCGTTTTCTTGACTAAGGTTTCGATCGAGGCACAAGATGATGGAGTATGTTCAGGAACTTCAGGTTTGACAGCTATTTTCCGCCTAAACCTTAAAAAAAAAAATTATCGATCAAGATCCATTTTCAATCCAACCTTCTCTACCCCTTTCTCCTTTTTTTTTTTTTTCTTACTTGTTTGTCCATGATAACTGTGGTTGACTGGCAATGGTTGATTTGTGCTCCAATGATGGCGTCATAGTTGAATCCAAATCATTATCATATGAAGTTGCAGAGTGTAATGATATATCGTCTCGATGATCCATATCTTCGCTATCACTATCACCACTAGCATCATCTTCCCAATCATATGCACTTTGTCGTGGTGAAATTTCCATTGTAATTGGTGTCAAGGTGCTAAGTAAAAACTGTGAATCTGCCATACCGTTGCTGTTACCAGGTAAAGTATCCCCACGAGGGTGTCTCCGGATTGTCAGTTTTTCTTTCAATAACGCCCGACTGTTGTGAACCAAAGCTGCTCGCATGAAATCTATTGAATAGACAAATCAATATAAATGAACAAACAAATTAAATTCCGTTGTTTACCTCTTTTGATATTGGATAAAAGTTCAAACCAAGACCAAGTTTTATTGCGATATTCCAAATAAGGTTGTTGAAAGGCAAAATCACGTAAATCTTCAATATTCTTTTCTTTCGGTCCCTGTCCATAAAAAGAAAGTTAATCCCCTTTTCCTTTTTTTTTTTTTCCTTTTTCTTTTTTTTTTTTTTCTTCTTACTTTGTAGGTGAGACAATGTTTCAAACCTGGGATCTTGACAACAATAAAAGTACGATTTCCAGAAGCCCGTTTCTTCATGACTGAAAGATCATCTGGTAAGTACGCTTCTTTTTGTTTTCGTTTACTGGTAGTTGCTTTCGAATGAGGTGGTGTTGGTGATATAATAGGTGATCCTCCACTATCCATATTGCCACCATCTATTGTTGCTGTATCGAGAGTATCACGTATGGATGTTGCTCCAGTGCTTGCGTTTGATGGCATTGGTATATCCATTGCTGTTGATGGTACTGAACGTATATTTTCTACTGTTGCCGACCGGGGGTAACCATATTTGTGTCGATTTGAAGAGTCTTTGTCCTTGAGTTCCAAATTTGCCGATGCTGATTTTTGTAAAGTATCACTTGTAATGGAGTTGGCATCACTTCCTCCACCACCACAACTACCAGAGATAGAAGCATTAGAAGGAAGATTCACATTATTGTTGTTGTTGTTGTTATGTGACGATGATGACGATGTAGGAACTGTAGTTGAGTTAATGCTTTGTTGAGTTTCTTTTTGTCGTCTTTCAGGTGGGAAAAGATAGGATGCCATCGCCTTGCCAAAATCATAGGTCATTTGTAGACGTAGAGGGAATAGATTGATTTCCAAATGCTGAATCACAGGTATACCACCGACAGGCGCAAGGGCCTCCAAATAGCAACGTAGCATCTTATGTCTAGAGAAATCAGGGAGTCGATTGCGTTGTTCAATAAAAGGCAAGAGAACGTCAGTGTAAACAGGATTTGCTGAAGTGTTCTTGACTTGTAGTAGACCGACTTCCACAGTATTAGTATGAGAATGATCATCTTTGTTGATGAGGGTAAATGTTGTATCGTTCAGATTCCATTCACATAAAGGAGTTTCACTATCTATTCGCATTTCCCAACTGAGCTTGGCAGCAGAAAACACAAATTTCCAACTGATGGCTGATTCACTAGTATGTTCATTTCGTTTGTTGGTTTGTAACATCTTGAATGCTTCCATTCCCAGATAAAGATCTTCACAAGAATCTTGAAGTGCCAATCGTATTTTACGTAATTCTTCCAAGTGATCTTGATCAAGCATGCCAATGTTTTGTTGATATTGATCTCGTAAGCCCATGCAATGTCGTACTCGATGTTGTAATTCCACAATATTCTCAGTTGCCTCATCCAGACTTCCTTGATCAGCTGCCATCATGATTTCGTGTAATCGTTCTGAACGTTCCTTTTTTGCTGGTTCCTTATATAGTAATAGATCCACAACAACTTCGTATATTGCATTGTATTGAGCTGAGTCTGCCGTAAGTGCCAAATTGGGGAAGTTCAAGTGAACCGAATCACATCTTTCTTCAAATGGATGATACCGAGCAAATATGGTGCTGTGAGTCTTGAGTCGTAAGCCATTGTATTTGTCGATTTGAATAGTAGGTGATAATTGCGTGCCCACACGTTGAAATTTGTCACTTCGTTTCACATAACTGATCAGCATTTCCGAAGGAATCCACGTAAGCCAATGTTCATGCCCTTTTGCACCATAATGATTGTCCAAGAGTAGATCCACAGTATCGAATTGTTCCTTCTTTGCCACAAAAAATTGAGTATTATCAAGACTAACAATAGTACGATTTTTCACCAATTGCATTTCCAGATCTGTTTCTTTGTCTTCAGTGATATTGAATGCTTTGGCTTGGACTCGTTCATTTGACATGAGTACCAGGTTGTCAGGATCACAATCACTTTGGAGACTAACTTGTGGATTGAGAAGATCTATCAAATAACTGCTTTTCATGCTGTATCCATTGGGAATACTTTCAAGTTGTCGATCAGGGTTCTTGACATTGTCATCATTGAACGTATTCACATCAACATTATCAAATCCATTGCTGCTGCCACCACCACCGATGCCTGTTGAAGGTGGCGTTTCCATTTCGTTCTGAGCATAGAATTTGGTGTTTTTTTCAGCTACTAGTTGTTCCAAGAGTTGCTGTATAGTTTCTTGATCCAATCCATCGTCATCATCTTCCACAAAATATTGCCCCTTCTTGAATCGCCGTTGTTTTTGATGTTTTTTGGTAACATCACGCAGAAATTTGACAGCACGAGATGACATATAATAAGACAGGGCACGCTTGTGAGCTTGTAAATCCATAAAGTGGTACACAATATTCCGTACAGAGTTATTCCATATGATTTGAGGATTGTGGACAATATATCGTACCTTGAAGTGACCCATTTTTTCTTCCCATTTTGATATTGCGTCTTCACCAAAAATCGTTGAATCTGAATGAGCCGCTTTCCCTATGTTGGAGTCATGAAGGCCTCCTGGTAAGACATCAGATGAAAGTTCCCGGAGATATCGTTGCAACAAGTTTCGTTTTTCGAATAGAATTTCGGTCTTCTCTACAATGGTCTTTGACTATTAATACAAACACACAAAAAAAGTCTCAGTACTCTATATTGAACTTTCCAATAATCCATATTTCCGTTTTCTTTTTTCTTTTTTCTTTTTTTTTTTTTTTTTTTTTTTTTTTTTTTTTTACCTCATTCAATAGTTCCTGGTCATCTATTTTTTCAGATAGCTTTCTTTCCACATTATTCAACCTTGTTTGATGTTTGCGAATTTGAATATCAATATTTCGAGTACGTTCTTTCAAAAGAGAGAGTTGAATTTCACGCGTGTCTTCAAAAAAAAAAAAAAAAAAAAAAAAAGGTCAATTCAGTACAGATCATTTTTTGGATACTATTTTTTTTTTTTTTTTTTTTGGACTTACCAGGAGCCGTTCCAATAATACAATCATGAGTCCCACGTAAGTATCGGTATTTTTCAACATCATCCGGATTGTTTTGTTTGATATAGTACATACATGGAGAGAAGGCAAATGGAAGAACATGGACCTTTGGTATACTTTCTGGTGTTACCACATTCAATTCGACAAAATCATCCATATCCATCCAAGTTGAATCTTCTTCATTTTCATCTGCACAGCGATCAGTACCATCCATAAAGTCAGGATCCAAATCTTGATCATCATCAGAAGTATTGCTGTCGATTGTATCATTGGTATTTACAAAATCATGATCGTGATTATTGTCCATTTGTTGATCAACACTGTACCGTGCCTTTACCACTCGTAGATCAATATTTCGTAATTCCACTTCTGCTTCATTAATTTGCCAGCCTGGTTTTTGCTGTTGTGGTTGATCTATGCCAGATGTATTATCGCCGTTTTTAATTGTTGTCCGTTCCCGTTGCTGATGAAGATCTACACTGAAGGTCTTGACATGTCCTTTGAGTCCAACAGTATCACCATGACCTGCCAAATAAGCATTACCACCGTCCACCAGATTGTCATCCTTGTAAAAGTAACCAATTCGTATTGGATTCACCACCACCTTGTATTTCATCGATTGCATATGTGCACCAAATTTTTTGGGAGGTCTTGTGTCAATAGGAGGATAGAGAGAACCAGTACGTAAAGGGTAACTCATATTACCACCAAAAAGACGAAAGGTAGATAAAAAATGATCCAAAAACCCAGGAGAAAGATGTAGAGAGTTCATTGCAGTACGACCAGCATCATCATGACATAAGTTTGATAAGTTGTATTCTTTTTCCGTGAGCTTGATGATACTTATCGAGAAATGGATGAAATCAGATCGAAAACCGGCAAAAGCATCGTAATCCTATACATATATATATTAAAGATATACACATAGACGTTAATGTTTTTTTTTTTTAAAAAAAAAAAAAAAAGAATCACATAAATAAACTTACCTTGCCATGATTCTTCAAAGCATCAACAGCTTGACGAGATTTGTATTTGACCTTGTAATGAGGGACAAAATGTAAAAGTCGACATCGCTCTTGATGAATCGAATGATCTTCTGCGCAATCACCAACACAGAGTCGTTCCAAATGACATCCAAGACCCATACGTATACCACCTGTAAATCGGAGAGCCACCTTGAGGAATTCGTTCTTCGTTATATCATCATTTCCCATTATTGATACTGGTTCCATCGTTGATGCATCATTATTATCGTTGTTGTTGTTGTTGTTGTTGTTGATGTTTTGATGTGGTACACCAAGTAAATTTGTTTCCCCAGAAATAGAAGGTTCTTCACAAGGAAGCAGTAGATGCGGTACTCTGTATCCACCATTAACCAAATCAGGAACACCAAAAAGAAGATCTTGACTAATGATTTGCATAAATTCACCTTGTGGATTGTTGTGACCCATTCGCCATACAACGTTCTTCTTCCATAACTTAGCCAGTCCAAAGCCACGATCAGTTAAATCATACGGATCACGAGAACCTTTCATCACCAATGCCAAGTCGCCACCACCAATGAAAGAAATAGTAGTCTGTGTATGAATCATTAGACGAATCTTGTCCCAAAGGCCAACTTTTGAAGATGGATCAATAGGTGGTCGAGTAAACGTATCCATGGTTCGAGCTAAATCTTGAATAGCAGGTTGATAAGGTACACACCAACAAATACTTGTCAATTTTGGTGTATGAACATCGATATTGACAACAGAGTAAAATTTCGGAGGAGAAGCAACCCTAACAGCATCCATAGTATAGAATAGATCGACATCATGGTCTTCTAAGATTGATACCTTCACCACCCGTGTAGAATCCAAATCCCCAGCTTGATCACCAAATACATAGTCTCCAGATAATGTCCATGCTTTCGATTCTTCGTTATCTTTACCAGAGGAAACATGAAAGAAAGGTATGGGATAATCACGAAGCTGAGCCCATGTTTCGCCACCACACCAATCCAAATGAAACGGAGCCAAGGTCGTAAAATCAGTATCCAGAGGTACACCTTTTCCAATATCATGCACAAACTTCCTTGTCTGATCCAAAGGAAAATCAGGTGGTCGTATATTCAACGTACTGGCCAAAATAGTAAAATCCAAGAGAGAGAAGCATCTAGGAAGATCAATCACATCAATGTCAAATAATTGCGCCGTAATAGAATCCTCAGAAGTTATAGAATATTTGCTTGCCCTTTTATCATCACTGTAAATTCCCACATTGTCAACCAATATACCGTTCGTTCGAAAGTCTTGACTTCGTAAATTTTCAAAAGCAATTGTTTCTTGTTGAATCGCCAGATTGATATGTTTCATCCAATTGTTTGAATTGTGTTCATTAAGCCGTTGTCTTGCTTGATGTACGCGTTCTTGACCTTCTGTTCTTGCCTTGGCTTCAAAAGCATCCAACACATCCAATCTTGATCTTTGTTCCACCAAACCGGTTCGCCAAATCCTTCGTAATTTTGTTTCCAGGGGATCATCTTCCAATTGCATGGTAATCTTGTCACAGTGAAGTCGGATCATGGGAAGTGAAAGTGGTTCGTTCTTCAGAATTGATCCAAAATAGGTAAATGGTTTAGCTCCAGATAAGCGTGGATCCATAGCCTTCAAATACTTGACGAGGTTGACACCATTATCAACAAGATCAGCAATTACATACCGATAAGGCACACGCAGATAAAACTTGGTCAAATCCAATTGATGAATAGGTTGATTAGACTTGCCTTGGTGATTTCCCATAGAATATTGTAGATTGTCCAATTCTAGTAGTTGGTCCCATTTGGTGTCATCCTTGACAGCCACACCATATATAGTTGTATTCCGGACACGAACCACCGGTTGTACTTTTTCAGCTATCTCCATCCGCATTCCAATCACACGTACAAACAATCCAACATCATTAGGAAGTGTAATTCGCCCATCGAGTCGATTCAATTGCACTTGAACTTTCTCCATTTTCCACCATCTAGCTGCTGTTGTTCTTGATGCCACTATTTCCGACGATCTTGTTGTTGCCAAATGCAAATTCGTTTTGATCCTTCCAAGTGTGTATAGTGCCAATAAAAGAGCATAATGATTGGTGACTGTGAAGTGTAAACCAAGTTGTTTGATAACCATAGTAAGATGTAGTATGCATAAATCAGTGGTAGAGACGATAGAAAGCATAGAAGAAAGTCGCGGAATCCACAAAATCAAATCATCTGGTCTATTGTCATCCAAATACCGTGAACTAAATGATCGTACTACCTTGAGAGATTGAATAGTACCTTGTAGTGAGCTTTTGATGAATTCCCTTGATCCAGCAGTTGTTGAAGTAGTAGTACCAGTTGATTCATTGTTGTAAGCTTGATCTCCATGATGAAAGTCGCCAGAGGAAACGTCCAGCTTGTGAGAATCACCATGGAAAATAAAAGAGACATGATCAATTGTAGTAGTAATGATTGCATAGATATCCTGAGTAGGTGCGTTGTCAATGTATCCATGTGGTGCTTGTCTTTCATCTCCATTCTTGCCTTTGTCAAATCCTTCCAATACTAATTTTAGCTGCGAAAATGATAGATTAATGCGAAACCACCGGAGCCAAGTGTCGATCATGACATTGATTTTCCTTGAAGTATCCGAGGGTTTGTTCAAAGAGTGAGGAGGTGAAGTCTTCTTCGGTCGAATTTGTTGTAATTGTTCAATAATGTTGAGCCAATATCCAAGAACCAGACCAGAACCATGCTTGCCAGAAACAGTAACACAAGGGAATAGGGAAAGACAGCTAATGTTGACATCCACTTCATTTCTTTCACCTTTCAAATTCCAAACGACCATCACGAAACCATCATCAGTATTCAGAGTAGGTATGCAAGCTCCAAAAGCAACTTCCACTGATTGTATAGAGAATAAAGGATTTCTTGTCACCGAATTGCCTGTCTTTACCATCAATTCCATATCATGTATAGCTACTCTTGTTGTCGCGTTATAGATCCAGTTGACTTGTTTTTGATTATCACTTGCATCATTTTGTCGACGAAAACGCCAAGTATTTTTAAAAAGTTTTGTCCATCGCATGCCGTTCCCCTTCCTCTTCCTAATGCCGGATGTTTTATCGGTTGATTCCTCTTGTTGACATTGTTGTTGTTTGTTACAAGATAAAAGAGATGAAGGTATATCGTTTTGTAACACGTATTCGCCAGTGACATTCATCAAGATCGTTGACCATTGGACCACACCGAGAGAACATTCTTTTTCTTCCAACAAGTCATGACCATCCGAATCAGCAAAAAAATGGATACTAGGATTTTCCAGCTTCAATAATAGCCCAAGTTTTGGTAATTGTTTTTTAATAGATCCAGAGAATGCTTGTATTGATGGAGGACCTTCATTCGAAGAAACAGAAGAAGAGGAAACCATGGTATTCAAGAGGGAGATTTTGTCCATATTAACATGTAACAGGGGATCCACAAAGATCAAGTTGGCTTGCACTGATTGTTGATTTGGACCATCAATATTGCCGTCATTTACTATAGATCCACCAGAATGGGCTTGTATCATTGGAAACATGCCAGTCAAATTCACTTCAGGTAGCGTCACCAAACGAGTAGAGCCTTTTGATGAGGAGTCTTCGGATATAAAGCAGTAGGCATGTTCCATTTCAATTTGTAAATTGCAAAATGATCCTATGGCCTAAAAAAATCGATAATACAATCATATCTATTAAGTAAAGGCTGACTTGATACATTTTCTTTTTTTTTAAAAAAAAAAAAAATAACTTACTTGAGATTTCACCAGTTGTTGTGATATTGTAGTAGTTGCATTAATGTAATCAATGTCAAATCCCAGAAAGTTCCCGTTGTGATATTCCTTTGACGCTCGAATGTGAGATATAGAGATTGATGTAGATCGAATCATATCCAAAATAAAATGCTGCTTGTTTTTGGTTCTATTTTGATGCTGAGATGAGTGATGATCTTGTTGATGATGATTAGAATCGCTTTGCTGTATTAACGATTGTAGTTCCAATAGTTTTTCCAAACGCAAGTTAAGAGAATCCACATGAAGACTTGTGTCTACATCTTTTAATGTCAGACAGCCAGCAGATAAGTGACAAGAAATAGCTATCCGTCCACCTTGAGGTAATTCCAAACCTTGATTGCCAATCGATATAGGTCCCAGTTGGAGAATAATTTCAAAAAACTTTTCCTTGAATAAGTGTTGAGCACGTTTGAGTGAATGTCGTTGATGACCAGCGTTCAAAAAAGGATGATGTTGATCTATATCGGAATCGTCGTATATGGAAGAGGATGATGGTGTATGGTATTCTATATCATTGTTCTGTTGAGAATTCTTGTTTTGTTGGACAACGGCGGCAAAAAGGATAGAAGATAAATTGATGTGATCTATTTTGAATACATTCTTGTTTTCGATAGCAAGTAATAAACCATTGATCTGAACATCAAAATAGTTTGCAAGACCAGCCATCAAGAATTGAGCAGGCAAGGCAGAAGTGAACTTGACAATATATTTGACAACAGAGATCGAGTACCACCAAGGTATATGAGGTAGATTTCCCATTCGTGAAATACGTCTTGACAAAGTAGTTTGAGAGTTGGTATCAGTTTGTGAGAGTCGTAATATGGACCAATTAGGAATACGGCATTCTACCTTCTCTATATGTAGAGTGATCCAAGCTGTGGACAGTGAGGAAGTTGGACGTTTGATACGGAACTTTATTCTACCAATAGAGATGACATATTTTTCAATAGGTGAAGCATCCTTTGTAGTTTTTCGATAAAGTATTTGAGAAACAGAAAAGAAACCAACTTGACCGAATTTCAGTTGAAAGCATAGCGCGATAATCCACCGAAGAAGTAAGCGAATAAGAAGGAAAACCGTCAAGATAATCACATAGTGATATATACTAAGGGACATGACGTTGCCTCCAATACAATATTAGAATAAAGTAAGGAATGTTAAAGTATATATATATATGATATAAATATTATATAAATAGAAAAAAAAATTAAGTAAAAAAAAAAAGAGAGAGAGAGAGAGAGAAGATTCCTTTTTTTTTATTTTATTTTTTTTTGAAAAACCGCAATAAGGCACTTCGAGTTTCCTTTTGAGGATTTTATGCTCTATTAAATAACAAATAATAATAATAATAAATACAAATTCTATACAGTAACTATTACTAGAGGATTATCTAAGGTGTAATTGGAAATGATATTTTCAGCCCATAACAAGTTTTCAAATGTATATATACTTGGATCAAACACAGTAGGGAAGGCATCAGAGAATGCGGGGAACAGAGAATCATAGAGTTCTTGTAAACCTATCAGAGTTTCTTTATCACGTTGCTGAGCACTAATTGATATACGTATATAGATCAGTTCATATGTAAAAATACTATCCCTTTATCCCTTCCTCCCTTTTTTTTTTTCTTTTTCTTCTTCTTCTTCTTACCTATCATTTTTAGTTGCATGAATAAATGATTTCCATATACTATTCTTCTTGGTAGATTCTCGGATTAAAGCCAACATAAGTACTACGTCTAATTCTTCTTGGATATCCTCAAATAGTTGATTGATGACATTTTTAAATTCTTGATCAGACCCTAATAATTTTTTTAATGTCATAGTGACCGATTCAAGCGGAACAAATGTTGATACCTTGATATTATCCAAATGTTGTCCAAAGAAACCTGGGTTGAGAATATCCAAAAATGGAGCCACTGGTGCAATACGATTGTTGTCTAATTCCAATTTCATCCTATTCAGTACATCTAACTTTTTCTGTTTGATGACATCCAGAGTATGTTTATAAAGTCTTTCTTGACCTATTTCCCCAGAATCGAAGAAAGACAATAAACAGACAAAAAAAAATGAACAATTTGATGAGAATTTTTTTACATTTTTTTTTTTTTTTTTTTTTTTACCATCACGATAAATTAGGGCATATCGTTGCCACCACGTTGGAGTATCACGATTTATCACATCATTTTTCAAAGCTAGAACACGAGATTGAAGTAATATGGTCGTAACTGAAAGCATGGCCAATTCATTCCTGTAACTGATAAAGTCTAATCGATCAGAATCTGTGCAGTCGCGATAGTGAAATAATTCAGTATCATTCATGACAAATATTCGCATCATCTTGAAATAAACTGCTGGTATATGCTGCCAATGGACATAATGAGTCAAAGGATCAGAATTGCCAGAAGTAACATTGCACTGTTGCATGATGTTGAGTTTCTTGGAGCCATTAGGATCCTTTGTAACGTTGGGTTTCAGAGCAATATAGTCAACTTCATTGTTTTCCAAACAAAATCCATATCCAATAAGCACTTTCAACAAAAAAAAATGAATATTTATTATAACCAACATCACCAATTTTTCTTTTCATTCAAGACTTACATTCTTCATTTGACTACAATAATCGTTCACGTACCAGATAAAAAAAAAAAAAAAGAAAGGAAGGAAGAAAGAATATAAACGGTCTATTTTCCTGTTTTATCGACCATTGAGTAACTTATGACTTACCTTTGGACCATAATTATTGAATACTTGTTCACCCAAAGTAAATGATTGTCCAGCCACAAATGAAAGAGAACCAGTTTCTGTATCGCCATCACGAGACCAAGTGATTTTTGTGTTCGGTTTATGATTCAAAGAGTCAACCAGAGGAAAAAGAACTTCAGAAGTTCCGGAATGAGTTGGATCAATTAACTTGTAAGGAAATGATCGGGATGTAATAGCACTATGAGCCCATAGGAAAAGATCCCTTCAGAATAGATAGATAAATAAGCCATCATCATTAAGTAATCCATCACAAATATCAATCATCCACTTATTTTTTTTTTGTTCTTACCAAGTAACCAAGTTTTTAACAGTATCGTCAACAAAATCAGACATGAGTCGTTCATAATCAGAGCGTAACAAGGCCAGTCTTTCACATGCTGCTACTGCTAGATTGGTATTTCGCAAATATTTCATATCATTATCGTCAAAGGTCAAAGCTGTCTTGATGATCTTCGGTAAAATGTTGAGATAAGGTGCATAGAATGAAGAGCCTAATGCCTTTTGATGTGCCACAAACAATGTCAGTACAACACGACAAGAGAAGTCACCAAGATTGGGAAATGCTTTTCGTGCCAGTGGTTCTGTGATCGCCAATTTGAAAGGAACTGTTGCAAATTTGTCCTCCACATTGATTGTTTTAGAAGCAAAAACACTTCGTCCGTTACCATCTTGATCTAGCAAGTAAAATATGTGAGTATTAATAAATGATAAATTACTAACTTCAAGTTTCCATATTTACTATACCTTTCACAAACTTCAATTTATCAAAAGTGCCACCATTCTGTTGTACCCAATCAATATATATATCAAGATCAGGATCAGCCATAACAAATAATTGAAAAGGAGAGAGAGAAGAGAAAAAAACGAAAACAAAAAAAAAACTCTGTTCTTGAGCGGATGTTGAAAGTACACCTTGATGATTCTCTTCCAAAACATATCTATACTTTTTATATAGGTACCATCAGAAAAAAAAAAAAAAAAAAAAAAAAAAAAAAAAAAAACTTGCCTATATACAAAATATCAAATATTGGAAAAGGCTCATTTCTTGATTTTACACTGCGTAACTCTTATCTATATGATTCTTATAATAGTAACTTGTGTGAAGATCGCAATGATCTGCAATCATGAATGATGGATGAATAAATACTAGATTATTGTATAATCAATAGACAGTAAGATAAGTAATGAATGATGATGATACTGAAATGACGACGATTGAATGATTGACCTTAATGATGTCTATGATGCCTCTGATGACCTCAATATAAATTATTCTTTTTTTACTATGATATCTGATTCCCTTTGTTGATATTCTGTCATCTCAAACTTAATCCTATTTGAAACTATCAAGAATAATATCAATCATCACCACTAAAATGATTCATAAAAGTGAATACATTTTTTTTTCATTTTTCATTTTTTTTTTTCACTGTAATTTAGACTGTATTGTCTGGTATATTATCTAATTTCTTTTTTGATTGGGAGTGATTTTGACTCGGTCTTTCTCTTTCTATTTGCCCAAAATGGAATCGGACAATTCATGCTGTTGAATTCTTTTTTTTTTTCTCCATTTGAACGGAACCTTCCAAAAGCGGTCGCTAGGTAATAACCAATCTGTTCACCCCTATTCACCAAATTAGGACAATAGGCTTTACAAGAGTCCGAGAAAACCAATACAGTCTCCCATGAATGGCATATTTTTCTCCGCATGTTTCTTTTTCTTTTTTCTTTCCACACACTCACTCTCTCTATTTATTTTTCACTAGTATAGTATGCAAGAGCTCGGTATTTCAATTATCAACTACTTATAAAAACTCTCTCTCTCTTTTTCTCCCCTTCTTTTTTTTTTCCTTTTCTTTTTTTTTTTTTTATTTATTATTTCTGAAACTCTTTTTCTTATATCTTATTTATTATAAACAATGACTTTGTCCGAAATGAATGTTGCTCGGTGGGAAAAGGAAGGTAGCATCACGGTTACAACTACTCTTATTCCTAAATTACGACCTGGTGAACTATTGATCAAGGTCGCTGCTTCTGGACTTTGTGGTAAATTAACAATAATAACAAAAAAAAAAAAAAAGTTTTCCTTATACTTACTTCTTACTATAATATATATATAAATAGGAACTGATATGCATATTTGTCATGGTGAAACACCTCATGCTAGCAAAAACGTAGTGATTGGACATGAATTTTCAGGTTATGTTGAAGCCATTCATCCTGATACCATTACAACTCTTACTTTAGGTCAATTAGTGGCAATAGATCCCAATATGCCTTGTAACGCTTGTACTTATTGTCGTAACCGCAAGTATCATCTTTGTCCCAATTTGTCATGTATCGGTGTCTCTATTCATGGTGGAATGAGTCAATATGTAGCAGTACCTGTACGAGCAGCTGTACCTGTACCTTCTAATGTACCTGCAGATGTCGCTTCTTTGGCCGAACCACTTTCTTGTGTTGTTCATGCTGTGGATCTAGGTGAAATCAAGACGGGTGATCAAGTATTAGTTATTGGAGCAGGTCCTATTGGATTGATGACAATGGCTTTATGTGCTACTGGTGGAGCTAGAGTAACTGTGATTGAACCCAATGAAATGCGGCGGAAAAATGCCTTGGATATCTTTGGTGCAAGTGCAGCTTATGCTCCTGGTGATTTGGTACCTGGTGATACACTAAAAGGTGAAGGATTTGATGTAGTGTTTGAATGTGTGGGTAGAGCTCAGACAATGACGGATGCTCTTACTTTTGCTAAAGCTGGTGCCACTGTGGTATGGGTTGGAGTTGCCAAAACGGATGCTACTGTGACAGTATCTCCTTTTGATGTCTATCGACGGGAATTGACTATTCGATCTACTTATACAAATCCTTATGGTATGGAACGTGCTGTGAATATTTTGGCTGATGGCAAGATTCAATGGAAACAATTGATTTCTCATAAATTTACATTGGAACAATTTGATCAAGCTTGGGCAGTATTTAGAGATGGACAAGGAATGAAAGTTTGTGTTACACCATAAATGACAGGCTTGTTAGATGAAGAAGGATTGTAGGTTGTATATACATATATATATTATATATTGATATATTATTTAGTTACTTTTAGATGAAGAATAGAATAATATCTCTTTTTGATTTTTTTTTTATGTCCATATCAATAAAAAATTGTCTTTTTTTTTTTTTTTTTTTTTGTGTGTGTTTGACTATATACTTAAAAATAAGCTTTTTTTCTCAACTGTAATCCAACCCATTATCATGTTTTTTTTAAGCTCAGGAAACGGGATTCTATGATTTTGATTGGCTTAAGCGGGTACAGAATTCAGGTCTAGACATTTTACCTTCTGTACGTCTTTTTTTTCATTTTTTTTTTATTTTTTATTTTTTTTTTCTTTTCTTTTCTTTTTTCTTTACATATTATCAAATTGTCCTGCTTGTACTATTATATTCTTCTCATATATATTGTATATAGATATATAGTAGTGACAAATTAACTCAATATAATCTATGGCGGATCATGTCAAACGGCGACAAATTTCAGAAAGTGTGGAAGGTTCACTTAGACGACATGGACAAACAGTTGTCAACCACTTGATGGAAACTGGGGAAAAGGCATTTAGAGAACGACAATACGATTTAGCTAATGCTTATGTGACGGTGGCTCTCTCACTTCAACCAGTTAATTTAGATATACTTATGCGAAGGGTGTTAATTCTGGAAAAACTAGCAATGTACAAGGAAGCTTACGATGAAGCACAACATATGATCAATTTAGCACCCAACGATGCTCGTGGTTATCTTCGGGCTGGTCGTGTATTATTGGCTCAAGACAAGGCTTCCGACGCTTATTCTTTGTTTCAAGCATCCATGAACAAGGTACATTCAACTGATTCAAGATATCAACTTTTAGAGGTCTATCGAAAACGTTGTTCACCACAAACCAAAACTTTTGTTAGTCGTTTACCTTATGAAGTCTCTCGGTCTATCTTTCGAATGCTTCCTTTAGCTTCTTTGGTTCAATGTACAAGGGTATCCAAGGCTTGGCGTCATTTTACTATTCATTGTCCTGATTTATGGCGTGTCATCGATCTTAGAGACTATCCTTCTCGAAAACGACTTCCTCGAAATGCATTAGCCCAATGTATCAATCGTGCTTTTGATCCTCATGCAACAAAATCAAATGGTGTTCGTGAACTTTGGGTTGGAAACAAGATGACAATGTATGACGTGGTGGATTTATTGGTGGCCAAAGATTGTAAACATTTGAATGTTTTATGTAAGAAAAAAAAAAAAGGGTTATTCATAATATTAAACATCCTCTTATTTTATATATACATATATATATATATATATATATATTAGATATGTCTGATAGTGATCTTACAAATAGAATATGGACCCGGATGATGATCAAGAATGTTTGTACCAATATTGCCCATCTTTTTCTCTCCCATACCGATATATCAATAGTGGATGTCATGATCTCTGCTGCTTCTCTACCAAATTTGACTCAACTCGTATTAGATGGCTGTTCTTTTGGATATGCATTTAGCAAGAATATCAAAAGATTTGATCTCTCTGGAGCTGAAAACATTGCACCATCACAATATTTGACCTCAACTCTTCCAGTCATACCATTTCCAAAATTACAAATTCTGGGTTTATCTTCCATACATGATATGTCTATCTTTGCTCTTGTATGGTTACTTTGTCGATGTCCTACACTGACCATGCTTCGAACAATGCATACTGGATTGACTCTGACTCGTATTATGGTTGCCGTTGCTCGATACTGTCCTTTATTGACCTATCTTGAATATAGTCCTGTTCGATCATACCCACCTATTGCGTTTGAACCCAATCAATTACCACTGATGGCCAACATGCGTACCTTACGAATTCATACTGAACAAGATGATGATGTTTTACATACAATTTTTAGTCAATGCTACGAAACACTACAACAACTCTCAACAACTCTCAATGATGAAAATTTGCTGTATTTGGCACAGTTAGGACCCATCCGATTGGAAAGTTTAGAAATTCCGATCAGCCCTGGTGTGACAGAAGATGGATTATGTACTCTATTGAAGGTTGCCCCGAATCTCACTTTACTTGATGTGTCGTACAATGTTGATGCAGTGACTGATCGTGTGATGGATTTGCTCTCGACTATGAAAAGACTAAAGACTCTTCGAATGTTCAATTGTGTACAAGTCTCAGATAAAGCTTTACTAGAATGTGCTCGCAACAGTACTTCACTACGCACTTTTGGAATCTATCAATGTCAATTTACTCGATCAACCATTTATACTTTTGTTGCTGATGTTTTATCAGAAGGTATCATTGAATGCCCTCAAGACTACATCGTCAAACGTAAACGCCATCCTCGATCATCCGACCAAGAAATGGAACTCAACACTTTGGTGGACAGTATTTGTAGTACAATGCAACTGGATATGGAGATGGAAGAAGCGCAACAACAGCAGGATCAAGAACAATCACAAGAGTCAACAAACCTTTTAGAAGAAGAAGAAGATAGAAATAATAATAACAACACTATGATGGTTGAATCGACAACTGTAGCGATTGATGAAACAAAAAGTTTGGATTCTTCTTCTAATGTATTGATCAAGCAATGTTCTTCATCTGTGGTGGAAGATGATTCTCCTTCATTACCTTGGGAACTTGAACGTATGATTAGAAAGGAAACTAGATACCTTTTTTTTTTTTTTTTTACTAATCTTTTTTTTTTTTTTTTGATGTGTTAGATATCCTACGAAATGATGATCTATGGTCCATTTATATATAAATAAGAAAGGATAATGGAATTTTTTTTTATGTATATTTATGCTACTACTTATGTATTTTATGTTTCTTTTATATCTACTTTATACCTTTTATGCTGTATCATTCTCTTTTATCAATTAAAAACCAATTCATGCATTTTAACTAGGTGACGGTGTTGTACAAAAAAAAAAAATTCGGATATTCAATTGAAAAGGATGCCTGGATTTCTTGTTTCTTTTTTTCCTTTTATTTTTTTTTTTTTCTCTCACGAACTCATAACATTTTCAACAAAGAGATGTTATATATTATACCATATTATATATTGTTATCATTGGTTGTCCTTTCTTTTTCATCTTCTGTGATAGTTCAACAGCAACAAGTACCATTCAGGGCGTCTCGTCTCTTCGACAGTAATGACAATATACAGCAGCAATATGAACAAAGTCTAGGACATCTCCTTAAGAACTTCAATCCTTCTGGTACCAGGCGTGGATTTTTTGCAGCGTCTCCTTCCAAGAGCAAGCCAGATTATTTTTATTCTTGGACTCGTGACGCCAGTCTTGTATCAAACGTTCTTGTCACTCTACAACAACACAATCAATTGGATTTGAAGCAGGTACTGTTTGATTATATCGATTTTCAGGTACATACTCAACGTATTGTCAATCGTACAGTCTGTCAATGTCTTGGTGAACCGAAATTCAATATGGATGGATCACCTTTTCTTGAGACATGGGGAAGGTAATTCACTAAATGTTCTGTACTCTTTTTTTTTTTTTTTAATCAACTTCTTTTTTTTTTTTTTTAATTAATCAATTAGGCCTCAAAATGATGGACCTGCTGAACGTGCAATAACCATGATACTATTCGCTAAGAGTCTACAGGAACAAACATCGTCTAACAAGACACATGATCTGAATTACATTACATCATTGTTGAAGCCATCTATTTACTTGGATTTGGATTATGTTGTGAAAAATTGGAATATGCGTTGTTTTGACCTATGGTAATGAATGAAGATGACGATGATTATAAACGAAAGCTAAAAGGACTCATCTGTTTTTCTTTTTTTTTTTTTTGAGGCAGGGAAGAAATCAAAGGTATACATTTTTTTACTTTGATGGTCATGCGAAAAGGATTATTGGATGGATCTGATTTTGCTTTAAAATATGGAGATATCATGCAAGCTCATCTTTATCGACATACAGCAAGACAAATCCAAGATCGTTTGGAAACGTTCTGGTCCTCACAAGATGGGTATATTCGAGTGACTCAAGATCAGGTACAAGGACAGTTAAAGCCATCTGGATTGGATACATCGATTATATTGGCCGCAAATCTTATCTCATCACTCAATGATGGTAAAGAAATTCTATTTTGCATAATACTTTCCGTTTTTATTTTATTCCCTTTCTTACTAATACTTTTGATTTGTATTATTATTTTTTTTTTTTTTTTTTTGTATTATAGGATTTTTTACTCCTGGATCAGATAAAGTAAATAATATAAAATAGCGAAAAAAAAAAAAATAGACGAACTAATTTCGCATTTTTGTGATACATACAATATTTATATTCATCGATTAGGTTCTTGCCACAGCCAAGATCTTAGAAGATACTTTTGATCAACTGTATCCAATTAACAAGGAACAAGGTATAGGTGAGCATAGACATCACGGGGTGGCCATGGGACGATATCCTGAAGACAGATATGATGGCTACGGGACATCCATGGGTAATCCTTGGTTTTTGACTACGGCGGCGATGGCAGAACTCTATTATTTGGCAATGATGGAATGGTATCAACAAGGATGGATGGAAGTGAATGATATCAACCATGCATTCTTCAGACAACGTGACAAGACTGTATCTGTGGGACATGTCTATCGTCGAGGTAACCGGGATTTTGATTGGTTCTTACATACTTTGGCCTCTGATGCTGATCGCTTCTTCGCTACCATCCAGTACCATCAAGCACAAAATGGTGTCCTTTCTGAACAGTTCAATCGTTTCTCTGGCTTTCAACAAGGTGCTCCTAATCTCAGTTGGTCCTACTCTAGTTTGATTTCGGCTTTAAATGCACGTACTCGGTTCTACCGTAGATAGATAATTTAGTTAGTTGATATCCTTTTCTTCTTTGAATTGATTTACATAAAATAATAATAACAATAAAAAAAAACTGTTTTATTTCGAAAAAAAAAAATAATAATAACACTATATATATATATATATATATATATATAAAAGGACAAACTACAAAAGTGATGATGATGAAACTAGTATGAATTGTAAAATGGATAGATGATGTGTGGGGGGATAAAATAAAACAAGGACAGGACTATTCAGTTAAAGGTACATTTTTTCGTCGTTTTTCCAACAAAGTAGCGTGATCCATCTTGAGTTCAAACAAAGGTTGAGGTTTCCGTACCTTGACACGCTTGATGGTATCATTAGTTGTGGTTTGTTGTGATGGTTGTTCTTTTCGTCTTTGTGCAAGTTGAGCATTTTCTACATCTTGAACTGTTTGAGTCGTTTGAGAAACTTGTTCGGCTGACATCATTTGATTCAATTGATGTTGTAATGCTTCGATTTCCAGATCTGTTTGTCCATTGTCTTCTGTACTGGGTTCACTTGATGAATCTTCATTGTCGTCACTATTACTACTGCCACTACTGGTTGAATCGTCATCATCGTCGTTATCGTCTTCTTCATCATCATCAACGTTATAAATCGAGTTTACAAACATATGTGGTTGTTTCTTTGCCCGTTTTTTCAATTTCTTCTCTTCCACTCCACGTGCCATGTCTAAACAAACGCCATAAACTTCTTTCATTGATGGTTCAAGCATACGTCGTCTTTCAGTAGGAGTTGATCGACCGGATGATGTTGTTTTTCGTTGTTGATATTTCAGTTTGATTTGTTCTGCTTCGGATTCTTGATCGACTAATTCGGATTGTTCAGTTTGTTCTTCCGTTGTGTCATTTGCTTTTCTAGATTCTTTTGTCGTATGTGGCTAATTCAAAGATAAAAAAAAATTCAAAATAAAAAAAAAAAGGAAGAATGAATAACTGAATGAATTTTATCAATATTATTATTATTATTATTATTTACCTTTTTCAGCATCCATGGGTGTTGTAAAAATTGATCAATTGTATACCGTTTTCTTGGGTTCATGAATAGAGTATGAGTAATCAAATCCTTTGCACTATCAGATACCACATCCCACCAAGGACTAAGAAATTCATATTGACCTTTGGCCACCTTTTGAGTCAGTTCAGAGATATCTTCATCATAGAAAGGAGGAAAACCACAAAGCATCACATATAAAACACAACCCAAAGCGTAACAATCCACGGATTTTGAATATCTTTGGTCTTTGACAATTTCAGGAGCAGTATAACCAACGGTACCACACGGAGTCATTGTATGTTGATCCCAAACAACTTTTGATAATCCAAAATCCGCAATCTTAACTTTACCAATACCGCCACCACCAACGCCTTCTACGAATTCCCCTTCATCTAATTTCGATTCATCATCAAAATCCGGTAATGGTGGTTTTGATGTTGTACGTTCCATAAAGGGAATAGGATCAAAAAGTAAATTTTCAGGTTTGATATCCCTATAGATATATTCAATTATCAACAAAAAAAAAAAAAAAAAAAAATAGATTCAATAAACGAATGAAAATTTTATTTTATTCTTTTTCTATATATATATATATTCTTACCGATGTACTACACCACGTTCTTCATGAAGATATCGTAAACCTTCCGCCACTTGACGAATACAGTGTCTTGCTAAATCTTCACTAAAGTAAGTTAATTTGACTATTTGATTGAAGAGTTCACCTCCTTCACATAATTCCAGAATAAGAAAAAAGTGCTATCATCCCGATAAAAAAAAAAATAGTGTGTTTTATATATAGACATGAGTTTGACTTGCTTTTTTTTAAAAAAAAAAAAAGAAAAAAAAAAGACTTACAGTGGATGTTTCATGATAGGCCAACATTCGAACGATAGAAGGATGCTTGAGAGTTTGCATGATCCTTATTTCTTTGAGAACACTTGCTTTCTATATATATATACATAAAAATAAAAAAAATAAAAATAAAAAAAAGATCAGATGTTAAAAAATCTAAGTATAGTCTAGAGCCATCAATTCAATACCTGTTCACGTTTTAGTTTTGTTTGGTCCACCACTTTTATTGCTACCTTTTCATTTGTTTCAGTATCTAAACCTTTATATACTATAGAGAATGCACCACTAATAAAAAAAAAAAAAGTTTAATATCTAGTTTCCTGGTATCAAATATAAAGAACTTACTCTCCTATTTTTTCTAATAATTGATAACGTTCTAGTCCAGTATATGAAGGAAGATGTCGTTTAGCTTGTCGTTCTTCCTCTACAATCCTTGCAGCTGTTTCGTATTTATCACCACTAACAGCATTCTTAGTATGTCGTATAAAGTTAGTGAATTTGGAGAAAACTGACATGATGTATATATATAATTGAATAGGATATAGATAAATAAAATACGAATATACAAAAAGGATATATATAATAGATAATAATGTAAAAAAAAAAAAAATAAAATAAAAAAAATAAAAAAAAAAAAGTGGAGAAAAAGTGGAAAAAGAGGGGAAAGGCAAAAAAAAAAAAAAATACATGATGTCATGTTTATTAATGCGGTATTCGAAATAACTATGAACCAACTCAATCAAATCCATTTGAATTTTGATTGGCTATTTCTTACTTCTTCTTTTTCTTTTTTTTTTTTATTTTCTTTTCTTTTATATTATTATAAGTAGTAACGAAATGGAATTACATTGTAATATTATTACCTGTAGAAAAATTGTTTATTATGAACAAAAGGTAAATATAAAAATAGAATAAAATGTATATAGGCTTATTTTATTCTTATTGTTCCTTATTTGATCATTGTTACGTAGGCCTGTGTCACCTCTTGCTCCCGTAAGAATAAACAACAAAAATAGAATCTTTTTTTTTTCTAACCTTATTTTCTTTTAATAGATATTTTTTGTTTAGCGTGTGCCAATATCAAATTCGGTCAAGCTCTTATTTGTCCTGCCTGTGAAACAAGTCTTACTCAAAAGTATAAATAAAAAAAAAAAAAAAAAAAAAAAAAAAAGAACGCCTTTTTTTATTATTATTTTATTTTATTCAACCTTTTTATTTAGGAATGATATTGTACTTGTTCAATTGGCTCCATCTGAAGAATATAAAACTGTAAGTTATCAAGAATATCTTTTATATATATATATTTAATTTATTTTGTTTAATAGTCTGTTCTTGCAGGGTTAAAACCAGATATCATTATGGATATATGCAACCGTGCCTTATCCTTTTACAATTATCAAGTATCTCAAGAATTTTATTATCGCGAAGCCTTACAAGTCTCACTGGAAAATCAATTGGAAACTAGACAAAATCGTTTACAAGCTACTATTCAGGAACATACTCGATTACTCAAAGGTATGTATCTCTTCAAGAATATATATAAATATTTATTCTATGATTCATTTATTTATTTATTTTAGTGGAAAAGGAAAAACTACAAGGTATAAAATGATCTATATTATTGTTAGTCATCTAATTCTATATTAATAGCTTTAATCAAGGAAAACGAATTGGAAAAGAAACGAAACTATGATTTGAAAGCTGAAATACAAAGCAAATCAAGGCAGTTTATCAAAATACAGGTAACCTTCGGAAAAAAAAAAAAAAGAAAGTCTATAGTCAATCAAAATATATTCATCTTATCTATTTTTACATGAATAACTTATTACAGCAAATGTATGACAAGTTGAAACAAAAGTCAATGGGCTCTATGATTCAACAATCGGTTCAAGGCAACAGGTCGATTCTGGATGGCGATACAGACACTAATATCTATGGCAATACCACCCATTATCACGATAACAATAGTCAAGTTGGCGCTATATTTCATCCTGATCCATTACAAAGATCATATCGTGTACCTTATAGTAATGTACCTTCACTCAAAACTTACCATCCTCCCTTACATGTAAGTTTCAAACAAATAAAAAAAAAGTATACTACAATATATATATAGGGTTACTCATGACGTGAATTATTTTATGATATTGTTGAAAGGAAAGGGATGATATGCTGGATTCAATGCGACATACAACAGTAGAACAACAAAAACAACAACAACAGCAGCAGCAGCAACAACAACAGCATCAGAATACAGCGACAACAGCGACAACGGCACCAATGACATCCTATAAAAATAACAATCATCATCAAACACTAGGATCTTACTCAAAACCATCCGTCATAACAACTGGAGTAAATGAATTAGTCCATGACAATCATCAGCAACCACAGGCACAATCTTCTCATCGTAGACATCGTACTGGTTCAATAGCTTCTTTTGTTACTCCCTCAGCAACAATCTCACGACCCACTCGGCAACATTATCCTTCTCACTTCAATGATATCCATCCAAATGTATCTCTTAGTACACGACGTCGCTCTCTTGTGTGATATCTTTTTTTTTTATCGTTACACTTGGCTACACCTTCGATGATTCCTTTACTATATGCATTAGTCCTATATCACTCACTTTATGATTCCTTTTTATTATTCAATAAAAAAAAATATTATCATTCATACAACATTATCAAATAACAACGACAATAATTGTGGATTATTTACTTATTAGTGAAGATGAGGAAATGTATATTATAAACATGAACATCTTTTTCAAAATGATTATATTTTTATTAAAATATTAAAATAAGATACAAATAATATAAAACAAATACAGCTATAACTATATGGCAAAGATAATAGATAATCCAAAAAGACGGGTCAGATGATGGTAATACAATAAAGAGGCAGGGGGTATCTATCTAGTCGCCATATCATCTAGTTCTTCATCATCATCAAAATGATCCAAAGGAGGAGGAAGCCAAAGGTAACCTCTTGCAGTAGCAATCATCAAGGCAATAAAAGGAAACTGGAAGATAAAGATAAACTGGAGAATCATCTTGATTTCAAAACCACTGGGAAACACCATGATCTGTGGTAAAAAGGAAGCGATCGTCAAGACAATTTGACTGATGATGGTCAAGACACAAACAGCCAAGAAGGACCAACCAAAATCAACATAATGTTCCACTAAAATGACTATGTACGCCACCACGTACCACCAATAAACCATATTGGAGGCATCCATCAGGTGTAAAAACGTAGGCAGCTGACCAAGGTCTCCCGTCGTATTATTTCCTACCAGTGAGTTCATGATAGTTGAATTCCAGGGAATGGTGGAGCCAAGAGCCATCATGCTGATCACCAAGGCAACGATCACCATTGTAAAAAAATAAGAGATCAAGACCATCACACCGGATAATCCACTGACCACAGACTTGTTCCTGAATGCATATAATCGATGTGCGGTGACAACAGGGATCAAATGGAAGGTTAAGTTGCTGATGGTAAAAAAAATGATTCGTGCATAATCGTACGGAGAAAGAAGATGTGATCGGTCATTCTCATAATCACTTAAATAAGCCAATGATATTGCACGGAAAATGATCCCATTCACTAGTGTAAAAGAAATAATCGTTTGAGGATATGGTAACTGTTGTTTGCTCTTGAGGGTCCGTAAAGAGCCAGCAAAACCAATTGCAAAAGTCACTGTCGCTGCAATATAAAGTCGGTAAAGTATAGAAGAAGCTGCAAATTGACCTCCAATATCAATATCAAGATAATCCATAGCTTACTATTGGAAAAAAAAAAAAGTAAAGGGGGTAGATAAAATAAAAAAAGAAAAAAGAAAGACTTAACAAAAAAAAAAAAAAAAAATTGCTGAAATCCAGCCAAGGACATTTTTTATTCTGTGCGGAAATCTAATCCGATACCTTTTTTGTATCACTTTCGCCTTCAAGCCACAATCAATGAATAAACTTTATTTGCCAAAAAGGGATTCCTTAATTTTAGTGATCCAAACAAGAAATAATAGTACTGATGATGATAGTTTCTACATGAATGATGGATATTTAGAATGGGTTTCTATGATTTACTTATTATTGATGATGATTACAATAGTAATTTTCACTTTAATGAAAGAACGAGGATGAACAAAAATCAAAGGTAGCGCAAAAATATATAGAAATCTATATTTGCTTTAAACGTTCTTGGCAACTACGGCATCTTTTTTTTTTCTTGTTGACTCCGCTCCTATATGATGATTGTTCCTTGATGATCTATGTTGGTACCCCTTATTTTACTTGGCAAAAATGACAATAGCAGTGTTTGATTTTCTTCATATTTACTTTACTAATCAAATAAAATATATATAGTACGATTGACTTTCAGAATATCATATTTTTGTGATATATAAAATCAAATGCAGTATACTAATGTCTTGGCAGAAAGGGATTCGAGTAAGGGTCCTCCTCTCAGCCTTTTTTTTTTTTTTTTTTTTTTTTTTTTTTTTTACAATATGTCATCGACATCATCAGACATACAACTTACCGTTACATGACAATGCCAAGTCATCAGAGATCAAATCAAGTAATTTTTTTTTTTTTCATCATTCAATGCTTCTGGGTAAACTTTTAATTTATTGAGATGCTTACACCCCGACTTCTTGATGCTGAGCTACCAAAACAGGAGGCGTATTCTTGTTTGACCAGTATACATATTCTAGTCTAGATTATGATTTAGTTCGAAAGGTCAAATTCAAAAAAAAAAAAAAAAAAAATACATCCTATCATCATGGTGGTAATCATTCTACTACCTGTCACCATGAGTTTGCATTCGATCTGCTTTTATCGACGAGGATGATGGTATCCATTTTTAGCAACCGTCATTAGTGTATAAATCATCGTTAGCAATCTTAATAGATTCATCATTGCAGTTAATAATTTTACATGAACGCGGTATTTGAAGCTCGCATTCATATCTTCAAGGATCAAATTCGATTCAGAGTTCCCAATTTCTTTTTCTTTTCTTCCTTTATCTTTCTTTCTTTTTTTTTTTTTTTCCTCAATGCTTATTCTATACTGCTTTATACTAGCCACTTGATGACTTTCGAATCTACCTAATAGGAAGCAAAACGTATTGCAAAACTACCTATACAACGGAAACCACCAACTTGAAATTGATCCTACCGTTATGGACAACCAAATGAAATTCACTGGACCAATATATTGTGGATCAGGCTCAAACATTATATCAATGGTCTCGCTTTGACAAGGATTCCGATATACTTATGATCTTCTTTTATTTATTTATTTTTATTTTATGTTCATCATGCCTCATTTTTATCATATTCCAATAAAATTTCTACTCTCACTTGGAGTCTTTAGCATCTGTTTTTTTTTTTTTTTTTGTTTTTTTTTTTTTTCTTGATGATGATAAATGTACTACATCTTATTCTAATGAAACCCTCTGTTGGAAATCAAAGATTTATGTGATGATGGATGACGAAGGGCGATCCGTGAGAACAAATGACCACTGATGGATACTGTTTGATATTGATGATATAAAAGATATTTCCTAGTAAGATGACTAAATTCAAAAATCCAAAACAATGTTGACCCACATTGATAAAAAAAAAAAAAAAAAAAAAAAGATAGAGAGAGAGAGAGAGATAGCACTAATACCCATTTGCTTTATTATTCAAAATGACGATCAATTTATAGATATGTAAAAAGAATGGAAAGAACAGGGGAAAATCATAGAGCAAATATAAAAGAAGAAAAAAAAATCAATTCAAAATATTTATATATAAAAATGTAAATGATGGTTGAAGGGAAGGTGAAAGTAATAGAATAGATAAAATAAACAATAAAATAAAGAGAGAGTGAAAAGGAAGAGAGAGAAAGATGGAGAATATAAACTATGTAGGTTACGCCGCCAAATTAGAACCTTATGGTTGGACGATATCTTGTTCCAAAGGCTGTTGTTGTTGTTGCTGTTGTTGTTGTTGTGGTTGTTGTTGTTGTGGTTGTTGTTGTTGTGGTTGCTGTTGTTGTTGTGATTGTTGTTCTTGATCAAAACCATTTTCACCTTCGCTTTCCTTGACACCCTTCAAACGACGTTCCTTTTCAGTTTCAAGTTGACCATAGAGTAAGAACAATGCACGTTCATTAGATTCAGGAGTACCTTGGATAGTAAACATTCGTTCACCAGTATCATCATGAGGGACCTTGGCAATGGAAATACGAGAACCAGATAATTGACGGATTTCAGAGATCTTGCTACCTCCTTTACCTATAATACAACCTACCATGTCACTTGGGATAGAGATATGTTGAGTACGAATGTTAGGATTGTTGAAAAAGTTGCTGTTGGATTGAGATGCAGTAGACATACGACGAGAGTTGCTGCCACCTACAGAGCCTGCTCCTGAAAATCCACCCATAAAATCACTGCTAAAATCGGATCCATTTCCAGTACGTGTGATTGAAGATCGACGATGTTCGTTGCCATGAGCACCACTAGCAACTACTTTGGTAGGATTGTATAAGATAGTACCATACGCCCTTTCCTTGTCTTCCATCAAACATTGTCCAATATCCATAATGGCCGCTTGAATGGCTTCGACAGAACCACGTACTTCAACCACCCTTTCAGTACTTTGAGGTAATAAAGTCTTGGATGCAACCATACGAACACCAGTAGTATCCTGAATATGTTTAATCTTAGCACCTTGGCGTCCAATCACAGTGCCCATCAAGTTATGGGAAATCAATAAACGAATTGTCGCCAAAGAATGATCAACAACATTATTACCACCGAGAGACATAGAAACAGTAGATGTTGTTGAGATAGGGTTTTCCAACAAAGTGCGTGCCATCAAAGAATAAGCCTAATAATATAAAAATGAGTTATAAATATCCTAATCTGTATCTATTAAGAAATCACTTACCTTGGCAACACCTTCAAGTGTTCCAGAAACAGTCAAAACACGGTCATGAATACCTTGAACGACTTTGGAAACACCAGCCTTGACACCAGTAGCATCACGTAATTCAGCGACATTTTTACCAGCTATCAAAATGACACATACCATGTGAGTGATATAGTCCGATCATCTCTCTTTTCATTCCTTATTTTTCATTTACCTTTGCCAATAATGACACCAGCTTCCTTAGTAGACACCAAAGCGCGAAGAGTTAGTTGGCCATCTTCATCGAAATGTTGTTGGTCATATTGATCGTGATCATTGGAGTATTGTTCAGATTCGTGAGGTTGAGACATGATGTATCTAGAAAAAATAATATAAAACATGAAGGTTATTCCAAATATAGATTAAATGACATCTTTTTATCCCAACATGGCTTTGGCTGCGCAATTGATTCCATCAATTAAACCGATTGTATGCATTCTTTTCCTTTTTTTTGTTTCGTTCCATTACTTACGTTGATAATAAAATTCAAGGTGTAAAAAGTCAAGAGAAAAAAAGAGAGTGAAGAATTAAAGAAGAACAAGAATAGAAAACGGGAGAAAAAGATATTCAAAAATGAAGTGTTGTTATTATTGTTGTTGTTGTTGTTGTTGTTTTGTTATTGGTGGCGTGAGAGTTAAAAAAAAAAGCGTGAAGGAAGATTCAATGTAAGTGAAAAAAAAAAAAAGAAAAGAAAGAAAAAAAAGGTCGCGCGTGTAAGAAGAGAAGTTGCGGGAATAATTGGTGTAGATGGAAGGAAGAAAAAGAACACAAAAAAAAAAAAGAAGAAGCAAGCGTCAAAGTTTCGTTGTATGTTCTTTTTTTGTTATAGGGTTATGATAAAAGAAGGAAGAAGAAAAAAAAAAAAAAAAAAAGGTGAAAGAGAGAAAAAAAAAAAGAAACAAAAAAAGAAAGTCCTTGAATTTTTTCTTCGGCTATTCAAATTCATTTTCCATCCACTTAGAGTGCGTACGTGTGGACAAAAAATGTGAGTGAGCCGCGCCTCTTACTGAAACTTGGCCTTTCTTAAACAAAATTCTCTCATCTCTTCTGGAACCCTGTGTGTCAAATATATATATTATATTTTCCTTTGTTCAAATAAATAAAATGAAAACGCGTTTATATATATTTCATTATACCTAATACAATAGATTTGTTATTTATTAATCATTGTCTTTCTTATTTAATAATAATCAGATATTATTTACAGTTTATTTCCTTTCAAAGATAATTTCAATGGGATTAAAGATTTAATACCCTTGACAAACTACTATATTTTAAATTGAGTTGATTCATCCATTCTGACTTTGTTCATTTTAGTAACAAATTATTTTTATTTTTCAATTGACTGTGTGATTAGAGATTTTGTCTTGGTTTTGTCTTTGACAATTGTATACTCTTTTTAGATGTTATGCATGAAAATGTTAAATATTAAACCATCCAATCAATCATTCATTTTATCAAATATCATTGATACATAATGTATGATTAAACGAAATAAGACTAATAATAATATTCAATATCCTATATTAGTAGTAACTATTAGTCAATAATAAAAAAAAAGAGAACGATCAAAGTTAGGTCAATGATGCATGATATGGATTGTCACTTCAGTTTTATGGATGGACTGTTTTCAAATCCCGTCAAAAAAATCAATGAGCACACAAATTTTTATTATTTTTTCTTTTTTCCTTTCGTTTCTCTTGACCCATTTTCCTTCGCTTCTCCATCTTTATTCTTATTGATGACAAGCCTGATATGAAATCTTATAGAAGAACACGCGATTCTTATCGTAGAGATGTTGAAAAGGTAATGGTGAATGAAATAGGGAAAAAGAGGAAAAAAAGAAAATATGATTTATTTTTATTTTATTTTTTTGCTTTAATTTAGCATGAACCTTCTAGTCAGGGACCTATGATACTTGAACGTAGAAATGTGAAAGGAGAAACAACTCGACAAGCTTTATATAATCCTGAGAAATCAAAAACGAATATTAAAGTATTACAAGCAACTACTCCGGTCATTCAACAACAACATTCAACTTTTCGACCTTCTGTGAAAAAACAACAAACAACAATATCGTCCAATTGGGAAGATAATGATACTTCAACAACAACAATACAACAACAACAAGAAGAAGAAGAAAGGAAATCACGTACTTCTTATATACCATTTTTCCGACGTGGTGAACAGTTTCATACTGAAAGCATTAATAAGGTTTTAACAGATAGTCCTGGTCACTTTGTGGTTGGCATAGTTGGACAGCAAGGTGTTGGCAAATCAACTATTCTTTCTTCTTTTACAGAACAATCAACAAATGTAAGTTATTCTTAAAAAAATATAATTGAATAATATAAGTTATATTATTTTTTGGATTAGGCCTTTCCGACACAATCAAAGGATTTGTTTCTAGCTCATGGTCATAAAACATCAGGCATTGATATGTATATATGTCCTGAAAGAATGATTCTTTTGGATACAGAGGTAAAATAATAAAAATAAAAATAAAAATAATTCGTTATAAATATTTAATTAATCCACTATCTCTTGCCATAGCCCATTCTCTGTTGGTCTGTATTGGAAAAAGCAATTCGACATCATTTGACAGATGGATTATCTCTAGACTTGTGGTTAGAAATGGAGGTATATATATAAAAAAAAAAAGAGGTATTGATGTTTATATTTATGTATTTTATTTTATATATATAGGCATTATATAATCTAGTGTTTCTTTTATCTGTATGTAATGTGGTCATGGTAGTTCTCACTGGCACTGATATTGATGTTGAAATGATACGGTGTCTTCAACGTGCAGAAATGCTCAAATTTCATCTACCTGATTTTCCACTGATTCCTCCTAGCAATTTTGGTCAAACTCACCATGATATGAATTACTATTCTGATATTGGTAAAATAAAATAAAAAAGAAATACAATGATGATGATTGGTAAACTCATATCCTTTTTATTTAGTGTTTATATGCAACAAGTGCCAAAATGAAGACTTTACATTATCCAAGTACAAAACTATGCAATCTATTCTTACTAATTCATTTTATGAATCCCAATTGAAAACCAAAGGTAAAAAAAAAAAAAAAAAAAAAAAAAAAAATTGAAAAGATTAGCGAAAATAAAATATTCATGTCCATTTGATTTGATAGGAATTGGGTCTCTTGGCAAGATATTACCAGGTTATCAAGAACAAGGTGATGGTGAAGAAAATCTTAATCTCTACTTTTTACCATTTAGCAAACACTTGTGTACATCATCAGACAAGGATAATGTTGATGAAACATTTCAAATGGTGATTACCAGTATGCGGGATCAAATCATGGCAGCTCCACGACGACCTGGTAAAAAAGGACAAGTATCAGAGAAAGAATGGTAATTGTTGAACTTTTTAAAAAAAAAGAATGATATAAGTGATTGACTATTTTTTTTTTATTTATTTATTTTTAATGTGATAGGTTTAGAAACGCTGTAAAGATTTATGAATTGACAAGGAATTCAGAATACATTGCTGACTATATAAAAACTCTTCGGAAACTTCGTGATGGATGATTGATTTTTGTTCAATTAAGAGTCTTCATTTGGATCTATGGATTCTACACTTTATTGCATTACTTGAAGGTGATTGATGAATGATGATCATACCTTTTTTGTTTTTTTTTTTTTTCTTTTTTGATATCTTCATCTTTCATTAGCTAGCAAAATAGAATATTTACATTTTTCTATTCTAGATGTGTTTTTATTTACATATTATGCTTTCTGTTCCCTTCAAACAATAATAAATCTTGTCTCATTAGGGGTCTTTACATGAACATTCTAGGTTTCAGCTACCGCCTTTTCTTTTTTTTTTCTTTTTATTTTTTTTTTTTTATTTTCCTTCTCTTTATTCCTGCCTCCTGTTTTCTCTTATTCTTCTTATCTTTCAGCACATTACTTTTAAACATTAATGCCTCCGTCTTATAACTACAAAAACTCTGGTATGATGAAGTAATAGAAATATTTGAGTTTGATATATATTTATTTGTCTTTATGTTTCTTTGGTAGCTGTAAAACGAATATTACAAGAGGCAAAAGAGTTGGCCAAGGAACAAACCAATGAATATGAAGGTCATCCTTTAGAAGTAAGTTCTTTTTTTTGTTGAAAATAAACAATAGTATTATTTTATTGTGGTAAATGACTTTTCTTTTCTTTTACTCTAGGACGATATATTTGAATGGCATTTTACCGTTAGTGGTCCTGTTGATACTGAGTTTGAAGGTGGAAGGTAAGTGGATATATACACTATTAAAAACTATTAATATGAACCCACTTTCTTTTATTATTATTATTAGATATCATGGACGTATTCTTTTACCTGCTGAATACCCTTTCAAACCACCACAATTGATCTTTTTGACGGCAAGTATTCAAACAAAAAGTAACTATACTTAGTTGGAATTAAAAAAAACTGATATTATTTATATTTGATTTAGCCCAACGGTCGGTTTGAACTTAATACCAAAGTCTGTCTCAGTATCACAGATCATCATCCTGAATTTTGGCAACCAGCTTGGGGAAGTAAGTGATAACATTATTCATCATTTATCTTTTTTGACGTGCGTATACTATAAATTCTGACTTTTTTTATTTTTATTTTTTATTTTATTTTTTTTTTTGTTATTATTTATACTGTAGTACGAACTGTATTATTAGCCATTATGGGGTTTTTCCCTACAAGTGCGAAAGGTGCAGTAGGTGGATTGGACTACCCAAAAGATGAAAGACAAAGATTAGCAAAAATGTAAGCCGACTGATATACAGTGACAATTCATACTAAAAACAACCTTTTTATTATTATTATTATTATTATTATTATTATTATTATTATTATTATTTATTTTTAGATCAAAAGATTGGCGATGTGATGTATGTAAAATGAAAAACAGTGATATCATTATTCAAGACGATTCATCTATACCAAAAAAACCAGTACGACATACCGATGATGACTTGCCTTCTTTTACATTCACCGCTACAGATATTGACGACAAACCTTATAATACATCATCATCATCATCATCATCTACTTCCGCAATAACTCATTATGACACATCTAATATAATAGGATCCTCAGATTCTTCTTCCACAGTAATATCAACACGACTATCATCATCATCATCATCATCATCGTCTGTGATGCTTCCAAGCGGTAACAGAAAAATGATTTCAAAGACAACCACGAAGAAGGAATCACCATCGCTATCATCACCATCGTCAACATCATCATCACCAGTATTAGCGCCAACGACAAGACGACGAACATCCGCACCTCCATTATGGCTTGATACCTTGATTGGATTATGCATCACTTTATTAGTTTATATTTTATATCAAAAATATTTGTGACGAACAATGGTTTATCGTATCTCTTACATCCCCCCTATATTTAGTTATTATTTTGATCAACATTTAGAATAGAATTTTAGTCTAGTTTTAGACAGTTTTGTTTCTTTATCAACTTGTATTATAATGAAATAAAAAAAGCAATCATTGATGATTCATTCCATGAAATATAATTCTTTTGTTTTGGGGCGTATTATGTAACGGTAATGAGTACATTTTGCTAATTCTTTTCTTTTTTTTTTTTATTATTATTATTATTATTTTAGTGCTGCCACATTTGTAAAAAGGGTTCCAACCGGTAAAATAAAAAAATAAATACATTTCCATCCACATGCTACCAATACATTTTTCGTTGAATAACTTTGTCATCCTTAATCCCCTTCTCTTTTCTTTTTCTTTTCATATTCTTCTTATCTCTCTTTCTTTTTTTTTTCTTTTTTATTAACCTAATTGGATACAATGCCAAACAACTTTAAATTTATTTGGTCCTTTTTGATTCTGTTCATTATGGTGACAGCCATTCATGGGTTGGTTTTCGATGCTGACCCAGCAAGTAATCCTTTGATACATCATCGCGCTATCCATCCTTATCGACGTCGATCATCTCGTTTGTCTAAGCAATTATAACATATAACATGTATATACATCAATAGTAAATAATCCCCTCCTCTTTTTATTTATATTATTATACATCATCATCGATAATCGATGATCACCTATCACTAAACTACCACTAAACTATTGTCAAACTACCATCATTCAGTGATCGAATATCTTAGCTTAACTCGAATCCGGTATTTGAATGGATGGCTATATAGATCAAATAAAAACAATCACATAAAGAAAAAAAATTAGTTGATAATCCTTTTTTTTTTTTGTCATTTTGTTGTCATCATTATCTTTTTTTTTTTTTTGGTTTACCATAACAAAGTTTTTCACGTAATAAGGACTTCTTGGTATATGCTATTCGTTATGCAGTGAATGAATGAGTGAGACAGAAAAAAAAAAAAGAATCATCAACATGATGTATTATTCCTTCCTTACCAGGTAATTTGAGTAAATTAAAACTATTCAATTCAATAAGAGAAAAAAAAATGAGTCAATCTTCAAATCCAAGATGATATATTATTTCTTTTCCTTTACCATGTTGAGCTACTTGGTAATCTTCCAGATTTATCGGCACCAGTGTTTAGTTTCAACATCGCTCGAACTAAGCCCATACCTTCTATGGATTGTTCATTGGTTGAGACCATGCGGATTGTAAAAGGAGGCTGGAGATAGCTGAAACCACCTAAAGGAGGCTTGATGTTCAACAAATATCATGAACAAACAAACAAATAAAGAAGTGAATTGCATTGCATAAAGGTAATGAGAGGACTTTTTTTTTTTTTTACCTTTGGACAACTGGTCACAAACTTCAAAAAAGCCCTTTTTTCATTGGATGGGAAGTCTTGTACAATTTGCCACAATAACTTGATAATAGGATGTTGATCAAAGTACCCATTTTGATATTGTGTATGTCGTCGAAGATCTGGAACATCTGTAGAAAATCCATGTTATTCAACAAAAAAAGGGATGAATTAAATATTTGTTTCCTTACCGAAATCCATATCTTCACCGGAAATCACCCTATTCAAATAAAAAAAAATCATATTTCTTGATGAGTTCCTTTTCTTTTATGATGATTCACCTTTGTACCTTTGTAACTCTGGAGGTGCAAATACCTTGATCCACCCAGCAGATATAATTGAGCGAAATCCTTGAATAAATGCTCTTGTTTGTTCTCGAGCTTGTTGATTGAGCTTGAAGTCTGCCATCAAATAAACGTATTCCAATTTGTTTTCATTGGTCACTGTTATTTGTTGCCCATGCTGATAAACCACCAAAAAAAAAAAATCAATTTTGATAAAAAAAGAAGATATGATTTTAACCATCGCTTACATATTTTAGTTCCCTTGTCACAACAGTATCCAAGGATCTTTCATCTGTAGCAAAAGTCAATCCCAAATCTTCAACATCGCCTAAATAAAAAAAAAAAAAAAAAAATCAATAAAAAAAGAAAACAATTATTACCTGTATCGTTGATAATAGTATCTTACCTTCATAATGTTTCAAAAAAATCAGGTTACGCCAAACATCTTCATCAAGTTCTTGTAGTGCCTCCAAAAACACATTTCTTCCTAATATCTTGGACAAGATAAAACCAGCAAATTGACAATCAAGCAGTATTCCTTCATAAATAGCTTTTCCAATCATCTACAATAGGATATAAATAATATCGGCATAAGCATCATTCAATATTACACACACATACACACAAAAATTATCTTCCATTCATTTCTCTTACTTTGCCAATAAATTCAAAAAGTTGAAGATGATTTGACCCAAATAAAGAGGATGTAGTTGCAGGATAAAAAAGGTTTGTTTCCGTAGTACAAGAGAATAATCCATATTCAGGCTTGAATACTTCAGATACTAAAAGAGTAACAAAATCTATATCACAAAAATATAGATGAATATCCGATTCACCAATATCGTTCTTTTTTTTTTTTTTCTAATTTACCTTTGAAGGGACCACCTTGATCAATCCCTGCTTCTTCTATCCCTAATTCATTCACAAAAGACACCCGGATGACACCTTTCAAAACTTCTGATGGTAACCGAGAAAGAGCGCGTAATCCATCTTCAAGTACATGTTGTCGTCGTATCGTCACTGCATGAGATGCATGGCGCGTGATGGTTGATCTGTCCAATTGGATCCAATCTCGAAAAATATGCAATCTTGTCTTGAATGGAATGGTGTGAGGCATCAATTGTAGAATCCTTGTTGATACCATATCGCCTTGTCGAACTTGAGTCAAAAATTGAGACGCTTCAGGAGAATCATCTTTGGAAGAGGAAGAGCTGAAAAGGAATCGTAAAAGAGATTGCTTGCTTATCATAGGATCTGATACAAGTAGCCAATGATCCGGAGGACAAAATCGACGTCGATTATCCAAGTCATAAAGTTGAAGTAATAATCGTTTTGCTGCCATATGTGATTGTAATATGTTGTTTGAATGATCTGTCGCATCCACTATCTTTGATGGTTGTTGTACTAATGCAAAGTAAAATGTGTTCAAGAATCGACCCAAAGCTTGTAAATCAATAAGAGAAAAAGGTGTTTCATTTTGGAATATATCAATGTCATCCAATGTCCTAATTATCATAATACGAGATATCAATTCAGTATATATACTATGTTTCATTACATCAATCTTTTTTTTTTTTTTGGTACTTACAAAAAAACCAAAGAACAAGCTTCACAAAAGACCCTTAATACATCGATCAGAGGTTCTTTTTCAAGATCAGCAGCGCTTTTTCTTGCAGCATCAAGATAGATCACCATATTGCCTTGAGGTCCAAAATGATTCATCACCGTCCAAAGTTGAGACATTAATCCAGGTGTAAATGCGATTCGTGCCAAAATAATCTTCTTTTGTTGAGTGAACATATTACCAAGTTGTGAATACATTGAGAATATCAGTTGAGTATTGATTGAGAATTCAGCCATATCCTTGGTGACGATTTTACTAACATTTTGACCATTCTTCTTTTTAACAGGTAAAAAGTTTTTAGTGTTCATCATGATCTTGTTTGATTTTGTTGTACTTGAAGTCGTCGTCATTGTTGTTGTTGGTGATATAGTAGTAGAAGAAGAAGAAGTAACTTGGAACTTGAGAATAGGTTCTAAGAGTTGATCCATAAACTGTCTTGACCAAAGAGTTGTCAATTGATCTTGAATCACCAGTTCAAATACCGCGGCATCGAGTGTATCACCCCAGGGACTACGTGACCATTTGAAAATAGGATGATAATGGGAATAGGGTTGTCGTTGTCGATCAGAATAAAAAGGAGATGCCAAAGAAACCAAATGAATAACAGTATTCATCAATTGGTAAGCAATATCATGTTGATCCATCATCTTGTCCTTGTACAGGTCCACCAAATTCGCCATCAGAAATAAGTAACCATTACCACCTACCAAGGTAACCATTGTCGAGGATGAATTAGATTTGTTCGATGATGATATGAAAGGATGAATAGCGCCAAGTGCCCACCGTTGTAAAAGATCAAATACCATCGAAGAGACAAGTTGAGTCAAAAGAGGTACAGTCAGAATGGAAGTCCAAAAATGTGTTGCTGCCCAATTCATCCAAGAAGAATCACTTGCGTGCTCCAAAGGAAACAAACAAATCCGTGTCACTGTAGTTAACCATAGTTTGATACCGTTTGCCATTTTATTGCCTTCCTTGTCTAGAGGTTTGCTACGTTGCTTGAATCGTTTTTCCAGTTTCACCAGTCTTTCCACTCGCGTCATGCATGCCTCGCGTAACATACCACCATGATTATTATCATCAAAAAAAATCTTGAGTGTAGATTGTAATATACAAAGTGCTGTATCTGGTAGTCTACCAATAGTATATTCTGAATCCAATTGTTGTTGTATTGGTTTGTACGAGGTAGGATTCAAGTAGTAGAGCAATGTCGTTAGTTCAGGGCCAGTCAAATAAAGTTGTTGTTGGTCACCAACGTTGCTGGTACAAATGTGTTGTAAGCATTGATTCATGATCACCTCAATATAACGTCTGGTATTTTGTTGATAACGTTTATCGGTCAATAGGGTATAGAATGGTAGCTGGACTGAGTTATGGGTATACTTTGTAGTAAGGATTCGACATATCTTGGCCAAACGAATAGAACCAGGAGCTTGCCGTCGACTAAAAAAACAATACTGACCGACTATAGAATAGGCATCCAATAATGTTGTGGTTGTAACATTATATTCAGAATCCCAGTAAGACCAAATAGGAGCAACTTGAGACTGGCGTCGCCACCATCGTTGAAGAATTAATACAGCTTGAGTTTGTTTCAGGAGAATCTGTTGGTCTAATCGTTCACGTTCACGTTTTTGACGTTCAAGACGAGTTTTTTCAACAAAGGTTTTTTTACTTTCATCAGTACGAGTAAACATGGAGTATATGTGAGAGGGAGAGAGGAAGGGAAAGAAAAAGCGAAAAAAAAGCGGAGTATCAAACAAGGCTTTTCTCTTTTTTTGGAAAGAAAATTATTATATATAAATTGGTCATTCATTTTTCCCTTCTTCTTTTTCCTTCCCTTTCCTTTTTTTTTTTTTTTTTTTATCATTACAAATCATTTCATCATTTTTTTATTCAATATCAAATTCAACCGAGGCTCTCTTCAAGTTGGATTCAATGCGCTTGAACATCGTATTATACTTGCACCTCTAATTCGAACCGGAGCAGGTGATCATGGCATCACAAGGTCTCTTCAAGTAGAGTATTTGATATACAGGTCAAGCCATCCCATCTGTCCTTCTTATGCTTGTATCTTCTATTTCTATTCCTAGTGATGACAACAAGTTTCCTATTCCCAAGGCACTGACTATTCCTGAAATCGAAAACATTGTGAATGATTTTGCTACTGCTACCAGAAATGCAATGAAGGCTGGATTTGATGGTAAGAACAAATATAGTTTAAAAAACAAATGACTAATCAATTATATTCCAATTAGATGTTGAGATTCATGAAGCTAATTGTTATTTGATTGATTAATTCAATAATATAAACAGCAATCAACGTATCGATATCTATGGACGATCTATTGAAAACGAAACAAGATTTACATTACAAATTCTCGATCCTGTGGTTGCCGCGATTGATCCTGAATAAAGTACTTTTCGTCTCACCCCTTATTATGGATTTCAAGGTTAGGCATGCATGATGATGATCCTTTAGTAGCATGGTTCTACTTGACTCAACAGTTACAAAATCGACATCCAAACTTGGCTTATCTTCAATTTATCGAACCTCGTACCAATATTTGAACCGATGGTCCTGTCTCTAATAATACAAAATCTTTGGATATTTTTAGATCTATTTGGAAAGGTCCATTTATCTGGGGTAAGATAGATGAATCAACGTCCATCATGTATATATTCTGTTAACGTCTTTATTTTTTTTTTATTTTTTTGATATATATGAAGCTGCTGGTTACTCATTTGATCCGAAAATTGCCTTTGATGTCACGGAAAAATCCTTTAGAAATTTAGTTACTTTTGGTAGATCTTTCAATCAGCAATCCTGATACCGTCAATAGATTTACGCAATGATGGGTCTTTGAATCCTTATCATCGCAAAACTTTTTACACTCATGATTCTGTTGGGTACATTAATTATCTTCTCTATGGTCAAGATAGACGGTCTTCTTTGTACTGTTAGTCATCATCATATATTTATTTATTTTAATCATCTTTTTAAATAAAGTTTTTGTATTTAATATAGTTAGTCTGTGTGTGTATGTGTGCCAGCAGGATAAAAAAAAAAAGCGGAGAATGGATGAAAATGTTTTTTTTTCTTTCCAGATTTCGAATCTTTCTCTTTTCTTTCTTACATATACTCCATTGATCATGTCACGAGGAGGCTTTGGCGGTGGCCGTGGTGGTTTTGGTGGTGGTGCTAATCGTTCAGGTGCGCAACAACTCATGTCCTTTGACTTGATAAAGGATGTGGGGGTCAATGGTCTTTTCAATGTTCAAACTGCTTTGTTTCCAGTAAGTTTTTTTTTTTTTTTTTTTTTTTTTTGTTGGTACTCAAATTATTATTATTATTTTGAATGAAAATGATAGAAAATGGATGTACCTGTGCCTCGCAAACCCTCATCAGTAGAACAAACACAATGGCAGTTACGAAAGGATTATTTGGAAAGGATCAAAAATTCGCCTTTTTACTTAACAGTGCCTCCTCCACCAAAAGGTAAACCACGGAAAAAAAAAAAAAAAAAAAAAAACATTAGATGCTTTTTTTTTCTTTTTTACTTCGGCAGCTCATATATGGATCAATACCTTTATGTTTCTTTTATTTTAATTATAGATATTGAACGTTATTCTGATCGATACAAACAAACGAACCATAACAAACGCAAACTACGTGATATTAAAACGAGTAAGTCAATAGAAAAATCAAAGGATAAACTTGGTACTCATCTTTTCTTTAATTTAGACTTGGACATGTTTCCTGAAGAATTACAGAGTATTTTGGATCCATCTAAAACAAAGAAAAGTAAGTGGAAGACAAGATATTGCAGATAGAGAGGGAATCAATGAACTGATGTTATTCTATCAAATATAGAACGGAAACAGCAAGCTAGAGACGATTTTGGACAAATTGAAGAACTACTCAATAAAGCTAACGAAGATAAGGAAGATGAAGAAGAAGATGGCGAAAAAGCAGCAGGTAGTGACGCAGAAGTGGAAGAAGAAGAATATGAAGATGAAGAAGATTTGGTGGACGACAATGACTATGGACAAAATTACTTTGACAATGGGGAAGACGATGGTGATGGCGACGATGATGGCGATGGCGAAGTATATTACTAGTTAGCTAAAGAACAGATCATAGTAGTTTTTCTTTTTTAGTATATACATCATTATTATTATTCTTATTTTTATCATATATCATGTACAGCAATCTTATCATGTAGTTTATTCCAAACACTCATTCACACACAAACATATATATATTCATACATTTCGTTGGTGATAATCATCAACTTGACACTCACCTTCCTTTTTTTATTTTTTAATATCATTCGTTGAATCATCCAATAAAGATACAAAAAAAAAAAAGATTGATATTTCATACAATATCAGATCACAATATTTATGTTTATTGAAATAATACAAAATAATAATAAAACTAAACTATCATCCTATAATAACATGATCTAATCTATGTCGTTAATGTTATTTTGATTTTCCAGTTTATCCAATTTGGCTACACCACGATCGATCTTGCTGAATTGCCAATTCCAAGATGCATTGTATAAGAAAGGTCGTAAATCAAACCGATTGTCATCAGTACTGTAAGCTTCTGCATGATAAGATGGAGTCATGGTTGTCATTTTGTGTCGATTGATCGAATAATAGAAAAAGAATCGTTTCACTTTGGTGGCCACCTATATACAAAAAAAAAAAAAAAAGGTAAATAGATCACTTTTTTTTTTTTTTTTTTTTTAGTTTAGTTTCTATACCTCAGTTGGATTCAATTTATCACCCCATTCATGAATCAGTTTTGTAAACATAGCATAGGGACCACAACGTTCGATTTTTCGTAAGCGACCAAATTGACCAAGTTCGTCATAAGTCATACCCATATCCACTTCATCGGATTGTACATAGTCGTGCGTAATAGGTTCCAATTCAGCCGTAGGAGTAGCATCCAAGAAATCTTTCAGTATAGGCATATCAAAGGCATGTTGAGCATAAGCAATAAAACGCTTCAGATCACTCTTGCTGATACCACCAATAGGATTAACATCCGCACTACTACAATCATATTTTGTAAGATAACCACGTAAGCTTTCATCCACATTAGCACTACCCAACACCAATAAACCACCTTGAATTGAACGACACCAAGGAAGAAGTTGTGCAAACATATAAGCCAATACCATGCGTAGTCGAGCTTGAATGTTTTGAAGTGCCAAATTTTCAACTGTTGATCCACCATGAGCTTTGAATTTGGGTGTACGTCCTGTTATCATAGAGAATACCGATTGAATGGCTTTGATGATGACGTCCATATTGAGATCAGTATGATAGCTTCCAATGCTTTTGGCAAGATCCAATGAACGTTGTCGTGTTTCCTTGCTAGAATTTTCAGTACCCATATAACATGTATAGAAGATACGATTAGCGAATTCTTGAGGATCAGTTGGAACGTAATTATCAAGATCTTGATCATCCCTTCCACCTTTTGCCAATCGTCGAGCATCTTGAATCACTTGTTGACTTCCTTCTTGAGCTTCTGTCACCACCAATCGACACATAGAGGCCACAATGACTGCTGTTGCACAACTATCAATACCACCACTCAAAGGTAAGAAGTAACCCGCCGTCTTTGATCTTCGTAAATAATCCCATAACCAGCATGCAGGACCTAACGCAATTTCTTCCTCTGGTGAATGATAATAAGGAGCTTGAGGTCGTGAGGGTCGAATACGAAGATGATCATCCAAATCGATACTGACAGCATGATCAAGTTCAATACGTTCATAAGGTTGAGAGAAACTTGCTTGTATACCTCGACTAGCCATTCTTGCACGATGGGATCGAATATCTTCAAGGTCCACAGTTGCTGTCACCACTTCCTAAATGATATATATATTTTAAGTATATAATGATATTTTACCCTAATAATAACAAAAACTTACCACATCACGAAGTGAGAATTGAGATCCTTGAGCCACAATATCCCCATTCAATACAATCATAGCACATCCATCATAATATAATCGATCTCCATCACAACCTTGTTGATTTGAATATAGATAAAGTCCACCGACCTAAATAATAATAATAAGAAATAATATATATATATATATATATATATATAAAGTTCCTTTTTTTTTTCTTCCTTTTTTTACCTTAAGTGTAGCTGCTTTCATCAATTCAATACGAAGGTTCAATTTTCTTAATTCATGATGACTTCCACTACTATTTGTAAAGATTTCCACACCATCCAAGCCCATTCCAATATGAGGACTAAATAACAATTAAAAAGAAAATGAATAAAAAAAAAAAAAGAATATGACATTTTTCATTTTGTTAATGAGTTACCTAAGAGGAGTAAATAATTCTTCGCAAGTTTCACATCCAATACAAGTATCCAAAGTACTGACCACGGCATCACCAATAGGAACTTGGGTTTGTTGAGTGATTCTTTGAATCATGCGAGGTAAATGATGTGATTCTACTTTTCGTGTCACCCATGGAGAAAAGAAGCGCATTTCTCGATAATTTCCATCATTAGCCAGGTGAATTTTTGGACGAATCAAAACAATTTTACAATCAGCGATGATCACTCGACAATTATACTTGACAGATTTATGTATAATAGGCCTATAAAAAAAAAAGTTAAAATATAATAAAATAAATAGAATATTTTAACTTACATTCCAATATCTAATATCATATCTTTTGCTTCTTCACTTTTCAAAATGGATGCCAATACTTCCCAAGAATGAAGATAAGTATCGCCTTCAAGAAAATGATCTTGACAACCATAACCTCTAATAAAAGGAAGAAAGAAAAAAAAATGAAAATAAATATATATTAATTTATTCATAATAATAATTGTTCTTTTATTATTATTATTATTATTATTATTATTACTTACGTGATTTCTAGTTCTGGACCTACGCGTAATCTAGCACCACGTTCTTTTGCAATACGAATACTTTCAAGAATACGTTGAAGATTGCCTTCAAAATCCAATGCCCATTGATTCAATGAACATGTAGCAACAGTGATACTATTAAAATAAATAAAGAAAGAAAAAAAAAGAAAGAAAATTGATTTATCATTTCACATTTAAAATAGTTTTTCTTACAGTCTTCCCATATTAAACGAAAAAGTTATAGAAAGGAAAGAAATTTGAAAACACCCAAAAGCATCCCTTTTCGAACGAGGCGAATGAATTTTAATGTCCGTTTTTATTTTACACAGTTTGAAAATAATTATTAAGAGAAGGAAAGAGAAACTTAACAACAATATTTTTTTTTTTACTTACTGATAAGTCAGATGATTGTTTTTTTGTTTCCATAATGAAATATGTTTTTGTTGTTTCTTGACCGCAGTTACCAAATTAGGATATTGTTGATATCTGCTCCCAAAAGAAATAAAGGGGAAAAGAATTTATATATTTCTCTTTTCTTTCTCTTTCTTTATTCTCTGTTTTATATATATTCAAAAGAAAATGGGTTATTGTAATCGATGTGGTGATATTATCAATGGTACAAAATGTAGAAAATGTGGTGGAAAACCTGTTGGTAAGGATTTTTGATATTTTTATTTTATTTTGTATAGTAAAAGAATTAAAAAAGTTCTCTCTTTTGTTTTTTTTTTTTTTAAAAAAAAAATAGAATCTCTTGCCAAAGGTACAAATGATCCTAAAGCATCTGTTGTAGATCGTTGGCAGAATCAGTAAGTTATAAATATGTTACTATTATTATTATTTGGCTAGTAAACTTATCTTCTTTTTATTAAATAAGGTATGCTAGTAGTATTTTATCTGGACCTGAACCAATGATCAGTTCAAGTACTCCTCTCAATAAGAGATATTCAATGGCTAGTTATGCTTCAAGTTATAGAACAAGAACTCCATCATTATCTGTACAACCAAAAACTTGTATTTTATGCCATAAAGCTGTACCACTCGGAACTCAACTTGGAAAAGGTGATTACTGCTATGAATGCCGGACAAAGATATTTGATAAATCTTCATCATCATCATCATCATCACCAAATACAGATACAACTCAAACTCAATGGTAAAATAATATATATATATATATATATATATAATAATCTAATTCCCTTTTTTTTTTTTTTTAGTGTGGTATGCTCTCAACCTATCAATCCAAATTTACCTAATATCCATCATCAAGGTCGTACATGGCATCCAGATTGTGTCCGTTGTCATACGTGTCTTAAACCTTTACCTGATCCAACAGCTCTTGATTTACAAGGCAATTCAAGATGTCTTTCATGCCAACAAAATCAACAATCAATGACATCCCCTACTTCTACTGTTGGAAGTAGTATTGGGTCTGCAAGCCGTTTTAGTCCTATTACACGTTCTACACGTAATGAAAGCTTTGGAAGCGCAACAACTATTAGTACTTATGGTGATAATGATGACAACACCTTTTCTCTCAAAAAGAAATCAGTCGACGGTATCTCTGCCCTGCCTCGTTTGGAGTCTCAACTTTTCCGCCACTATCAAAAATCAGTAAGTCAACAACAACATTCTGATTCATCTGTACCCAAAACTACTAGTCCTTCACCAATTGTTCGTCCATTATCTTCTCAATCATCTTCACCATCACTCTCTTCTTCTTATATGCCTTCCAAGTTATCAACTTCGTCCTCTACTGATCAAAAGGGACAACAACAACAACAACAACTTCGTCAACGTCGATCATCATTAGCTGGGGACAAACCATCATCCAAGAAAAAAACTTGTCGGAAATGTACTCAAGGTTTCAATGGTTTTTCCCGTATTCGTCTTCCTACACCTACTGGTAATATTTGGTATTATCATTATAACTGTTTGACTTGTGCAGCTTGTGATGGTCATTTTGACCAACCTGATTATGTATGTGATGGTAAAGATGTCTTTCATTTGCACTGTCGAGCTCCTTCACCACCTCAATCTGTGTCTCCATTGTCACCTTTATCTCCAACAACCTCTTCTGGTTCAACAACTGATATCATATCACCATCGTCATCACCCATTCCTTCAGCAACAAAATCATCATCAAATCTTCAAACAAGACAACGTCGTTTATCATCAACACCTCTCTTACCTACGGAATATCAATGTCATACCTGCCATCTTCCTATTGAAGATAAATGTTTGAAAAATGGAACTAGATTTTTCCATCCCAAGGTAAATACTAATCTTATTAAAAAAAAAAAAAAAAAAAAAAGGAATATCAAGCGCTAATATTATTTCTATTTTCTTTTTTTTATTAAATATATAGTGTTTTATTTGTTTCTCTTGTCATGAAAATCTACCATCAGATAAACCATTTTATGATATTCAACAGGAAGCTCATTGTGAAGAATGTACAAGACAAATTATTAAGACTGGATCACGTTCAAATATATACAATAACAAAACAGAAAAAACTAATAATAATAGACCAACATGTACAACATCATCATCAGCATCATCATCTATAAGGTCTTCAATTTCACCATTATCTCCCTCCATGTCTTCACCTTTGTTCGCAGACAATAATGAAAAAGCGGAGACACCTTCACATATTTGGATGCATCGAACGAGAGCCTTACCAAAACTTGGAGGAAGTAAAATCTGTGCTGGTTGTCATAAGAGCATTGCTGTCATGGAGGATACACCTGGACCAAAAGCAAGTCGATGGCACAAGAAATGTTTGAAATGTACTGGATGTAAGAAACAATTGGATTCAAGTGTTAAAAAATTGACTGTGGTGAATGATAAATGGTTGGTGCATTGTAGTGATTGTTCTGTAAGTATTATTATTATTATTATTATTATTCGAATGATATGATGATACTGATTTTTTTTTCCTTTTTATTAGGACAAGAATCCAAGACCACATTATGTTAGATAGACATTTCTTTTTTTTTACCATCCATCCCTATATAGTGATATGATTTACTCCACTTTTTTTTTTGTTTAATAAAATAGATTGTAATGATGATTACTACAGTATTCATTTGACAGAAATACAAAAAATCCATTTGTTCCTTTTTTTTAGATATGCCAATGATATATTAGACAAGTATTATTTCATTTTATTCTATGATAATGATGATATCTTAATAGATATCTTTAATTAATAACATTATGTCATCATTTCTAAAACGATATGGGCTTGTGTCCAAGATATATTAGTAATATTATGATTTCTTTTAAAAAAAAAAAACTGCGTTGTAGAAAAATGGATTTTCTTAAAATCCGTAGCAAGTAAATTTATCCGGCGGAAAATGGGAATTAACAAAAATAAAAAAATAAAAAATAAAAAAAGAATATTCTCTTTTTCTTTTTCTTTTTTTTTTTATTTTTGTCCTTTTTCCTTTTCATATATTACTTTTACCATGACTATTGTTCACATTGGTAAAGAAAAAGAAGTTATAATAGTGAACGCGTATTAAGTTCTTTATTTACGTATTTTTTTTTTTATTTTTGTCTTTTTAGTTATTGCAAAGTTCAAACCTGAAGTCAGTGAAGAAATCAAACAACAAGCGTTAGTAGATGTATTAGCACTCAAAGATACCATTCCTCAAATTAAGTCTGCTTCTGCTGGAAAGACCTTTACTGATAGAAGTAAGGGTTTTGAATATAGTAAGTTATAGTTCCTTAAATAATAATTTTATTTTATTTTATTTATTTATTTTATTTTATTTTATTTTGATAGGTTGGGTAGTAGAATTGGATACCAAAGAGGTAATGTATATTTCTTTTATATATATATTGAATACTAATAAATAATATTTATCTATAATAATAGGAACTTGGGATTTACGCAGAAGCACCTAGTCATGTTGATTTTGTGAAAAAGTATAGACCTATGATGGATGATCTAATTGCTGTGGACTATGAAAAATGATCATCTCCTTCGGTATCTGAATCTTTTTTTTTCTGAAATAAAAAAAACCTCAATTGTGTTCCATTTTTTTCTTTTTTTTCTCTCTTTTTTTTTTTTTTTTTTTTTTTTTTTTGTTGTTGTTGTGTCATTTTATGAATCGGTCTTATTTTACCAGAGTCTCGTTTTTATCTATAGCTTCTTTGATTCATAAAGCATGGGGGTATCCTGCTTCCATTTTAGTAGAACAAACTTTGGAATCCACTTTTTCTCCAGGAATGATTGAAAAAACTATTTTAGTCATTTTCTTAGTCTTACTGGGTGGTGTATTTGCTGGTAATATATATATATTATATTATATGACTTTTTTTATAATTCTCCTTTTTTATTATTTTAATTTTATTTTAAATAGGTTTGACTCTTGGTTTGATGGGTTTAGATGAAACAAACCTTCATGTACTTTTACAGACTGGTACAGAAACTGAAAAAAAGAATGCAAAAAAGGTCATGTCTTTATTACAACGTGGACGTCATTGGGTATTAGTCACTCTTCTTTTATCTAATGTGGTTGTGAACGAAACTCTTCCTATTATTCTTCATGATGTTATTGGTGGTGGTTGGCAAGCTGTGGCTATTTCTACTGCCTTGATTGTTATTTTTGGAGAGTAAGCTAATCTGATTTTATCAAAAAAAAAACACATGATTAATGACGATCTTTTTGATTCTCTTTATACAATAATAGAGTGATTCCTCAATGTAAGTTATTTGATTTATCTTTGATGAATGGATTGATTGATTTATTTGAATGATTAGCTATTTGTGTACGATATGGTTTAGCTATTGGTGCCAAGACTGCAAAGTAAGTTTTGAAAATTTTTAAATCTCCCTTTTTCTGAATCTTGGATCTTCACGCATTTCTAATCTAATATGGTAATTGTCCTCTCTTCTTTGTGTAGCATGGTTCTCATCTTTATGTATCTGATGTATCCTGTGGCTTACCCTACTGCTCTTCTTCTTGATTATTTTCTTGGTGAATCTCATGGTACCGTATACAAAAAAGCAGGTAAATATATATATATATCTATTAATTTGATAATATGATTTTATTAATTACTTACTTTTTTTTTCCTTTAGGTCTCAAAACTCTTGTTTCTCTTCATCAAGCTGTCAGTCCTGCTGATGTAGATGCTCTCACTACTGATGAAGTGACTATTATTAGTGCTGTGCTTGATTTGCGTTCCAAAGCTGTCTCCTCAATTATGACACCTATCGATGATGTCTTTACATTATCTACTGATGATATTTTGAATGAAGAAGTGGTGAACAAGGTAAAAAAAAAAAAAAAAAAAAAAAAAATCAAGATCAAATCTAATCTTATGTTACTAATTTTGATTTTTGTATAGATATTGTATCATGGCTACTCCCGAATTCTGATTTCTGCCCCTGAAAACAAATCAAACTTTGTTGGTATGCTCCTTGTCAAACAACTTATAACTTATGATCCTGAAGATGCTGTACCTGTCAAACATTTTGATCTTATTGCATTACCCGAAACATCACCGGATACTAGTTGTTTGGATATCTTGAACTTCTTTCAAGAAGGCAAAAGTAAGTTAAGAAAAAAGAATGGAAAAGTCAAAAATAAACTGATTATTGTTTTTTAATAGGTCATTTGGCATTGGTATCATCAAACCCTGGAAGTGTTGGTGGAGCTCTTGGTATTATTACTTTGGAAGATGTTATTGAAGAACTTATTGGTGAAGAAATTGTGGATGAAACCGATGTTTATGTGGATGGTAAAAAGAAATATTTTTTTTATTATGATATATGTGCTCACTCTTTTTTTTATTTGTTGAGTAGTTCATAATAAGATTCGTGTAGTTCGTCGACAAACAGGTCAACGTCGTGGAAGTTCTCGATTGACGCGTTTATTGACTCTTCATCGCAACGCCCAAAATGCCAAAGCAAATCAAGATAAACCTACCAATGGAAAACCAACTGATAAAAAACCATATGGTGCGACTGATAATAATAATAACCATGATTCCCCTAGTGAAACCCAACCACTTTTACATTAGTATATTCTTATATAGATCTTTTTTTTTAAAATCTATTTATTATTTATTCAGTAAAATATGAAAACATTTTTTATTATTATTATTATTATTATTATTACTTGTACACTTTATTCAATAATGAATGACGGAATTCAAAGAATAAGATGTCGCAAAAATAGGAAATAAAATATCGTAAGGATAGAAAATAAATGACGGGGTAGAAAAGAGAGAGTTGTCGCATAATCAAATAGAAAATATAAGAAAATAGATATCATGAAAAAAAGACCAATAAAAAAAAAAAAAAGGAAATCCACCAATTGAGTTCACCAAGTTTGCATATAAAAAAAAAAATAAAAAATGAGTAATATTTATCCAGATGATATCTTTTTATTCACTTACAATTTAAGCGCGAACGCCTAAACATGTATCGAGATCACTGCAGCAATTTCTCACTGCAGTGAAAGTAGGATGGCGATAACCATCCCGGAAAGCGTTGTGTTAACAACATTTTTTTGTTTGAAAAAAAAAAAAATGGGCGACCCCAACCACGCCTAGGCAAATAACGACCGAGGTCAACCCAGAGAGGAAAGAAGCGGAAGAGAAGAGAGGCCAGAAAGGAGGACAGACGGAAAAGATGACAGGCCTAAAAGAGAAGGTGACCCCAACCACGCCTGAGCAAATAACGACCGAGGTCAAACCAAGAAACAGGCCACAAGGGAGGACAGGCGGAAAAGAAGATTGGCCAAAGGGAAAGGACACGGAAAGAGATGACAAAGGAAGGGACAGGCAAGCCCAAAAGAAGACAGGCAAGCCCAAAGAAAAAAAAAAAAAGAAAAAAAGAATTTGATGAAGTAAAAAAGGACGTTCTTTTATAATAAAACAAACTCCCTGTAAAAGAAAAAAAGACAAATCACCCCTGTAATTATGCGCTCTTTTAGCTATGAAATCAAAAGCACCCGAATAAATGGTTTCAAAAAGAAAAAAAGGAACTATTATGCAAATTTTGATGTCATCTATGGGAAAAAAGATCAATCGATTCCATGTCTCAGTAATAAAAAAAAGAAGATAAGGACCCGAGTAAATGATTTAAAAAAGAAAAAAGGAACTATTATGCAAATTTTGATGTCATCTGTGGGAAAAAAGATCGATCGATTGCATGTTTCAGTAATGAAAAAAAAGGAGCTATTATGCAAATTTGCATCTGTCATCTATGGGAAAAGAGATCGATTGATTGCATGTTTCAGTGAAGAAAAGGAACTATTATGCAAATTTGCTTTTATCATCTATGGGAAAAGGGAATGATCAATAGTATGTTTCAGTAATGAAAAAAAAGGAACTATTATGCAAATTTGCTTTTGTCATCTATGGGAAAAAGATCAATCGATTCCATGTCTCAGTGATGATTTCAAAAGATAAGAACCCGAGTAAATGATTTAAAAAAAAAAAAAGAAACTATGTTTCAGCGCTTTTGTATTATGTAAAGAATCGATCATCATCCATTCATGCCACCATCCTATCACCCTATCACGTACCAACGTCTAGTCCTACCTATAAAAATATATGTGAAATAAAAAGAATATATCCAAAATCTAATAATACATCAAAAGAAGATTAGAATCAATTACATTACCATGTAACAAAGTAGTTGGAATAAAAATAAAAATTTTATTGAATAAAAGTATAAAAACTAACGACTACCAATTGATATACTAAAAGTCAATACAAAGAAAAGAAAAGAAGAGAAAGAAAGAAAGAGAAAGTAAATCAAAAAAAAAAATATGAAAGAAAAACGGACTTTGAAAACCACTACTTTCAGGCCAATCATCATGATGAATCAACACTCTAATGATGATCCATTATATCAATAAAGAACTTTTGTTTCATTTTTTAATATACTTTTCAAATAAAGTCGCAGCATTTTTTTTTATTATTCTTCCATCATCATCACCAACATCGACCCATCATTCTATTATCAATCACCTCTACCGACATCTCTAAAGCGATATCTAAAAGAGTGGTAATGCGACATCCATTTTGGGAAAGTACGATATTTTGTTTAATAACATCACGAAAAGGATTTTCTTGTGACCCGACAAAAAACTTTGAAAACACTGTATATTATCGACAGGTATTTAGAGATGAAATCATGTATTTAAAAAAGACATATAAATAGTAATAGGACGGGAAATACTCTGATACAGTTTGTTCACTTTAGAATTTGGGAGTGAGGGGAAATTGAGAGTGAAGGGAAAATAAATTTGGGAGTGAAAGGAGAATAAAGTTAAGATCGAAGGGAAAATCCAAAAAGGATAACATATTTAGAAAATAAAATAAAAATATATATCAGTTAATACATCATCATCATTAAAAAAAAAATTACTCACAACATGTAACTATGACCGTTTTAACTATGATCAAGACGATAAAGCAAGGAGGAAAAAGAAAGACTGCTGCTGTTGCTGACAGGATGATCGGAAAATAGTATTGGTTAACGGGAGCTTGTTAAACTGATGCCATTTTGTATGATGGTAGCTTAAGCCCAACGCACAATAACACGAGCCATAGTGATAGTAAGAGGAGGACGGAAGAAAAGGAAAAGCAGACAGACAGAACATGATCGATAAAAAAAAAACCTCTTGCCCTGAATAAAAAGTATAGTGACACAGAAATTGGCCCAACAGGACCTTCGAATAAACCTAATATGATAATGATGATTTTATATTAGATGATGAAAACAGTTATTTTATACTAATATCTCTTACTTACTTGTTCCTGTTACTGCTTTGAAGTATCGATAAAAAAAGATATACGTAAAAAAAAAAAAAAAAAAAAAAAAAAAGAGAGAGATAAATTCGCTGTTTAAAGTTTAGGAAAAAAAAAAAAAAAAAGAAGAGGTGTGGGGTACACTATTTAAAAATCGCACGCTCTTTCTCGCAAAAGAATGTACTATCACTTTTCACATGTTTTTGTTTTCTTCATTATCATATTTTTATTAGATGATATTGATGATATTTTTTTTTTCATTCATCGTTATTATGATCATGAAAAAAGTACATATTTAAAGTGAATTATTCATTGCTCGCTTTTTGCCAGTTGAGAGAATCACCGAGAGATAGGCGACGGAGTCTTTGATGAGAGGGGAGAGATAGATAGATTTTTTTTCTCAAGCTAAAACTTTATTTAACATTTTCCTTTCTTTCTTCATTCTTTTTCTCACTTTTCTTTTCATCATGCCATACTCTGCTGCCATTACACGTCTCGTCCCCAACTCTTTCGAAAACTGTGTGACCAATGTCGACAATAGTGCTCAACCCATTGACATCAAACTTGCTCAAAAACAACACGATGCTTATGTAGATATTCTCAAGAAATATATCCCAAATGTCATTGTTGTAGAAGCTGATGAAAATCATCCAGGTAACACCAAATAAGGAAACCCTTCTCTTCATTTCCTTCTTTTTTTTTTTTGTGTGTCTTTTCCTCTTCAACTTTTTTTTTTTTTAGACTGTAGTTTTGTTGAAGATACTGCAACAGTTTTTGGAAATGTGGCTGTCATTGATCAACCTGGTCATCCTTCAAGAAGAAACGAAGTCCCTGCTATTGAAAACGCATTGAAACAGGTAACAAAGAAAATAAAAAAAAAAAATGATGCACTTGTTTTTTTTTGTCTCACACTGCTACATATTTTTGGGAAATGATTAGATTCCTTCTATACAAACTATCATTAAAATGGAAGATATGGATAAGGAAGCTTTATTGGATGGTGGTGATGTATTGAATACTGGTGCGCATATATTTGTCGGCTTATCTGATAGAACTAATATTAAAGGTGGTGAAGTATTACAAAAGGTAATAATATATAGATATGGTAGAGAAGAAAAAAAAAAAAGATCATTTATTCATCCATTTCTATTAAAATAATTATAGGCATTCGATGGTTTAGTCAAGACTTTTATTATGGAAACTCCTGATGAGATGCTTCACTTGAAATGTGGTATCACGGCTTTAGAAGATACAAAGACATTGATTGCTGTAGACTATGCACGTCCTATTGTTATGGAAATGAATCGATTAACTGACAATCATTACAATGTGATCTATGTTCCTGATTTGGTTGCAGCCAATGTCCTTAGTGCCAATGGATTGTTGTTGATTCAAGAAGGTTTCCCCAAGAGTGAACAAGTTCTTCGTGAACATTTCAAGTCGCTTGATATTGTTGCATTGAACATGTCTGAAATCATCAAGGCGGATGGTGCTTTGACCTGTGGTTCCATTTTGATCAAATAGTATTAGTTTAAATATTTGTTTTTATTGAATTCCTTGTGTAAAATAAAATAAAATAAAAAAAAAAAACTCTATATTTTTTTTTTGAATCCTTCGCTTTGAATCAAATCAAACAAACTTCTTTTTTCTCAACATTTTCTTTTCCAACCATCTATAACAACCAAAATAATATTACACATATATTTAGTTTACACATACACACATATTGTATACACAAAATCCATCATCCTTCATCGTATAAAGTCAAATGTATATTCGAATCATCCATGTCGTCGTCATATATGTAAAATAACTATTTTATTTTGAAATGATATATTCACATAACGAAGAAACTAATGATATGAAGTAGGCGTCGTAAATGAATCGTCGTTTCGTATCCAAAGTTCTAATTGTCTAATTGGCCTTCTTACGGAAAGAGCAACCTAGTAAAAAAAAAAAAAAAAAAATGTTGAGGTTGATCGTTTCAAGTATAATCGATTTAAATAAATCCTTGTATTTTATTTTTTTTCTTCCTTACCTTCAGTCAAACGAGCACGACCACCAGTAGGTTGGCAGAGAACGGTACCGCAGGAGGAACACAATACGACGGTTTGAGCGTGGCTGAAGACAGTGCTGATGTTAAGACAACCTAAATATGGAGATACAAAAAAAAAAAAGAATGAGTATATCCATATCTATCAAATATCAAAGCTTCTCTTTTTGTTCCTTTTCTTTTTTCATTGTCTCCAAAAGTAAAATAATAATAATCATAACAAAGGCTTACCAGGGCACTTGACATCCATGAAATAAGAGTTGGGGGATTGCACCAAACGCTTAAGCTTGTGGGAACGCTTTTCGTGTTCGACAGTAGGGTGGAGGAGATCAACAGCCAACTATATACAAAAAAAAAAAAGTTGAGTATATTATCGAATTGCTAACCAAAAAAAAAAAAAAAAAGAAAAGAAAAGAAAAGAAAAGAAAACAAATCCAAAGTTGAAGGAGAATGTTCATTCAATGAATGACTCGATTGAACTCTATCCATTCACCTCCAATTGGTTGATTCCATTTTTCCCTCCAAAATTTGCATCCATCCAAGTGATCATAATAACTTGATCCACATTCTTTCGTTTGTAAATAAATGTCGCTGGTCGGATGGATGGATCATTAAAAAAAAAAAAAGTCGATGGTAAGACTTACAGTCATATTGTCGTGATGGATGAAGGCGTGAAAGAGGAAGAAAATCAAGAAAGCTTTTAAAGAAATCCGCTGAACATTCTTTCGTTCTGGCCGACCCACCAATAATTTGAATACCGCCATCCTGCCGCTGGCAGGCGAAATCCTGAAGAAAATATCATGCAACCATAAAAAAAAAAAAAAAATTTTTATTCATTATCGTAACTTGATCTTCACTAATCTATTTCCCATTCTAATAAAAACGCTAGATACTTCATATTCTATATAAGCTAAATCCTTCATTAGTTGTTCAGGAGAATTCTGGATGATGTTTTCCAATGGATCTTTCTTTAGCGACCAGGCAATACTTGCGTGAAACCTTGGAGGCTATGATGGAAAGCAAAAAAAAAAAAAAAAAAAAAAAAAAAGAAGTTCAATCATTTAAATTCATTTTCTCATGTTTTTATTATTTTTATTTACCTCATAAAATATAGGTTGTCCATAATGTTTGACGACTTGATCTACTAGTTTCAATTGTTTCATCAACTAGGAATCAAATGGTGAGTATATCTATCTATCTATTCATTTATATTATATCTTACCTCATTGTAACCAGATCCAACTTCAATTGTTAAAAATGATCTTGTATTTTCTTCATTGGTGAGTAAAGATAATTGAGCGAATGAGATAGTAAACCTTATATATAATGATGAGTAAGATAAATATTAGTAAAACATCATCAATATAGGTATGATTCTTTGATGATGATTTTTTTTTTTTTTTTTTTTTTTTTTTTTTTTTTTTTTTTTTTTTTTTTTTTTTTTTTTTTTTACCTTGAAGTATCTCCTAGTCGTTTTTGTATCATATCAGCAAATCCATCCAACTGATGTTCTTTGAGATAAAGACATTTTGTCAAACTGAGATGAAAACTGTTATCATTCGAAATCATGGAATGAATAGTAGCATCTTGGGTTGTCACTCTACCTAATATTGTCTGTATTTGTTCACATGTTGGAACTAAAAGAAGAAAAAAAAAAGTTGAGTAATGATAATTCTTTATATGAGTTATTATTTTATTTACTTATTTATTTATTTATTTACTTTGGATATAAACATGAGTTGGCCAACTGTCAAGTAGAGCTGGTTTTGAACGAGTCCTTCCTTGATGATCTTGAGAAGAGGAAGAAGGCTTGTGAACTATTTTTTTTATATATATATAAAACAAAAAAAAAAGTTACAGATATCAAATAAACAAACAACAAATAAATAAGTATTATTATTTTTTTTTGTTTTGTTTTGTTTTGTTTTGTTATTATTACTTGGAGAAAAAAAAGAAGGTAATTGTGGTAAAGCTTGTCTATATTAAAAAAAAAAAAAAGGAATGATCTATCAACCTTTGAGTTTTAACTACTTATTCATGTTTACCTTTTCACCGGTAGTTTTAATTGATCAGAAGGAAAAGAGCGTTTTCTATTTTTGTTTGTTGTAGTTTTATCGTCATTGTCATCTTCATCGGAAGCAGAATCATAAAGTAACAAAGCATCCATAAGAATGTAGAAGAAGAGGAAGAAAAATGTCGCGTGTTTTTTTTTTTTTTTTTTTACTATTTTTTTAATCTCAGAACATGTATGCGTTAGAACATCCCATAATAAGTGTATCAAATTTTTCTATATGACAAAAGGGTAAAGGGGATCCTCAATAACATATATAGAGAGAGGGAGGGGTTACTTTTTATTATAAATCTACTATTATTATTATTAGTATGAAGTATAATACCTATTCATGTTGTTTTGATTATATATTAACATGTGGATTCTTACTGAAAACCAATGACTGGTGTAACTATCATTTTTTTTAATACAAAATAACAGTCCTTTTATGATTTTTATATCTTATATGAATAAAATGACATCAATATATATATATATATCAATTTATGTTGTTGTTGTTGTTATATTTTGCAGGAGAAGAGTTGCTGTCATTATGTAAGGGCAAGTTTGACAATATACACACCCTATTCTGAGCGCGAAATACTTTTTTTTCGTGTGGAGTCCCCTTTTTTTTTTCTTTTCTTTTCTTTTCTTTTTTTTTTTTTTTTCTTTCTTTTTTTTTTTTTTTTTTTTTTTCTTTCTCTGTTATATTTTATATTATTCATATATCAATAGTTGAATTACTTGATAAAAAAACCTTCTTTCTTCTCTGTCGTCATCCTTGAAGAAAAAAGGGTTTTTGCTGTACTTTCCAGTTTTTTCGCTTGTCTGTTCTATCACTCAAGTTCATGACTTCACTTGAATCATCTTCCTTGAATTCCAATGAATCTTTAAATCCACATTTTTTACGGTCTATTCCTTCAACTCTTATACGAGTTTTATCCCATTGGGTAAATGCTCAACTTGGACAACAAGTCATTCTTCATTTTGAAACTGACTTCAAGAACGGTCTTTACTTGGAACAACTAGTCAATCATTTTTTATTGTTGAATGCTCAACCACTATTATCTTCAAATTGTTATGAAAATGACCACCATAATAATGGGAAAAGCCTTGATCACCTGTATCACGTTCCACAGATCATCACTATTCTATTCGAAAACTATGAATCTTCAACTCAACTGATCACTGAAATTGTATCTGCTATTACTCATGGATCAATGGAAATCACTCTGGAACTTTTATCTTGTATTGCTCTCAAGTTATTGATGAAACCTGCTCTTCTTGATACTCATGGTACATTTCTTACAACTCAGGTACTTATCTACTATAAAAAGGGGAAATATATTAGTGGGACTAATAGGGGATGAGGAGTCAATATATATTATTATATAAATATATATATATATAAAAATATCATTGGAGGCAAAAAGAGGAGATATCATACTCATTTCTTTTTTTTTTTTTTTGATTTAAAATATGCAATTATATAGGTCAACGTCGATACATCATCTTTCCTACATCTCTCATTGCCGACATTCCAAATTTATCAATTATCCTTCCAACATACATTTCTTCAAGTACGATGTTCATTATTATCATGGATCAACAATCGATTCAATCATATTGACAACAAACTGGATGATGCAACCTGTATACTTGATTTTGGTCCCTCCTGGAAATCTGGATTGGCTTTTGCTTTACTGATTCAATCTCAAAATCCATCTTTTCTTCCTGATGATCTACAACTTTGGATAAACCAACAAAAACTCCATCATAGTCGTGAAAAATGGACTTTTATCAAAGATCTTAATCAAACCTCAACATTATTATCATTGATATTCACCCTAGCAAATCAACACATGAATATACCAATCTATTTGTACCCTCAAGATCTTTTAGAAACTGATTCCCCGAATGAATGGTCCATCATGTTATATGTTTACGAATATTACAAATGTGCATCACAACAGTCGCAGCAACCGCAGCAATCTACTTCAACAGTACTTGTACCGGAATCACATTTATTACAAGCTATGATAACTATTCAATTACCATCTCACCCTTTAGATGACCCTGATACTACATCTATTGATTTATATACCCAGCATGTATCAAAAGTTAGATCGCTTTGGAGCACTTATATGGAGGAAAGAAGTTTGACACAACCTACTCATCAACAACAAATGGTGATGGCTTCTATGGAAGAAATGAATCAAGCATATGATCTCTTCAATCAAGGTATACGGTTTGCAGAAATTGGTCAAGCAATTCAAAATGAATTATTAGTCGTGGAAACAATGATGAACAACACAGATTCTACAATGACAATCGAATCTATTCAGCAACTCGAAGCCCGTCTTTCTATGGTGCAATCGTCTCTTTATGGCATGGAAGAAGAATTCAGTGTCCTAACTCGACAGCAGCAATCTCGATATACTGATTATTTACACCAAATGGATGAACGATACAAAATAGTCTGCTCTTGGGTGGATCAAGTTCGAGTATGGATGATTGAAGCCGATCGGATTCGCGAACGTATTTCACAATGGATTGAACTGGTTCAACATCGAAACGCAACAACTTCTGACAACCTTCAAGTCAACGCCTTGAATGTCATTGACTTGGGAATTATGGATGATCATTTGAATGCTATGACGCTTTACAACGAACATGAACAATTGAAAAGAGAAATTGACCATTTCGAAGCCGAAGATATGAAACGATTACGTGCTCACGTCAAACAACGCACAGTCGAACAGCAAAAGAATATGCAACAACGAGATGACCTGACACCTGCCGACACTTCCATTATTGAAATCACTCTGATTACCCTCAATATGCTTCATCGACTTCGTCAACTCGTTAACGATCGTGGATATTGGATAGATTGTTTGGTTCATAGACTCAAATGGGAACATATGTTTGACAATGCTGTGAAATGGATTTTTGCCAAGGATGCTGAACTTGATGACTTCCTACGGGATCAAGCTATTTGGTGTGAACAACAAGACTATGACGACGGACTCAACTCATCTACAAAGTCAACAAAACTATCAGATTCTGCTACAGATTTATCATCATCCTTATCAGTGTCACCATCTAACAACGACAACACCAGCAAACAAATTGCCGAACGAATCATCAACTCTTTGATTCAAATAGAACAAGATATATCTGTATTTGATCGAGGAGAATTTACAACTGTATTGGAAGCTTGCCAAGAAATGGAAGGATTAGTGCACTCTGATGATGCCGATGGTGGTGGTGGTGGTCTGCCTACGTACTTGGAACAACGACAAAATGGATTTGAAGCTGCATTTGAAGACTTGATGAAAAGATGTGGTCTTGCTCGCAATGTAGTGGAACAACACTTGGTCATGATGGATATCGTTGCTCAATTCAAAGTTATTAAAACCAATGGGGAAAATCTTCGTAAACGTCTACTGGCTGACAATGATGGGTTGGATGCTTCCTTTGATGATGACAATGTTGATGATGCTGATGATGATGACGATGATCACAACAAGAATGATGATACCAATGATGGAAACGACAATATCACAATTGATAACAATGACAACGACAGCAACAACTCTATCGAAACCTGTGCTCGTAAATTCAAGGATATTTCAGCTGGTTTTGTTACTCATGCCAAAACTCGTATTCCTTATCCTGAACCACCAGTGATGATGACTGCTCTGGGAGCCAAGGATTCACAAATTGTCGATCTTACAAATGATACTATCCAAAGTACACTACAAACCTATGGTATGTCTCTTGCTTTGATTGCCGATGGATTGGATCAACTATTAGTGGACCGACAACATGTACATTCTCTTCAACGCCGGGCAAAACACGCTTGTGAACAATTGATGCGATTTACAGACTGGATGAATGATCGTCAACGTTTGATCGAAAAGTCCAACTTTGATATATATAACCATGATGAAATAGACAGCAACAACGACAATATACCTTTTACTACTCAATCTGTCGAAGACAAAGAAGATGAATTGATTAGGCTGGAAAAGGAACGAGACAGTATCGCGTCTCGCTTACAACAAATGGAACACGATGAACTTGCAAAACTTCTTGATTCTGTTGATACCCTGGAATCCGATATTGATGATGCTAATGCCGTGTCTGTAGATCGTCATGCTCTTGTGGATGCTATACAACGTTTAGATGATGCTAGGACCACTCTCAATACTCTGTTATCCGAACGTACGCTCAAATTGGATGCTTTGAAAAAACATTTGGCTTGGAGAATGCAATGGATTCGTACACATCAATGGATTTTATCAACCACACGCAAACTTTGGGACTTTTGTGTGAAAAAGGCAAAATATGATCCTGGTGCCCCCGACAATGTGGACAGTCCTGTACCTACTGATTACCGAGATCTCACAACAACTCTACGCTCCTATCAAGACCGGATTACTGATGCTGGTGAACGTCAAATGGCTGGACTGGCGGAAATGTATACAACAATGGTGGATGGCGTAAATGATTGGATAGTAACAACAAAATCGGTGACAATCAACACTGTAGAAGAGAGTATACATCAACAAACACGTCATGATATCTTTACTGGCAAGCAGTCTATGGTAGTTCAAAAGTATCGTACACTTGTACATCTTTCTCAGTATGCTTCTAAGCTTGTGGATCAGCGATCGATGATGACAGATATACTTATTCATATACAAGATGCAGCCCATGAAGGTGAGCGACTCCGTGATAACCTGACGAAATCAACACGACGGATGATGGAACAAGATGTGGTACACCAACAAGACAGTCATCAAAAGGATCAGCAACAGGAACAAGTATTACAGAACCGTGTGGCATCATTTCAAGGTCTTATCACCAAAATCAAAAAGAGCAGTCAAGCCCTTATATACCCTCTGTTTACTCCGAAAAGCAATGATCCTAGCTATTGTACGATTTTTATGTCACCACAATTACAGCAAATCCAACAAAGCAACATCAAGAATGTACTTGTTGACAAAATGACCTATTTAGAAAACCTGGAAAACCTCTTGATCCAACTTTTGGCGGCATACGAAAAGGCAGAAAGGAAGAAACAACTTGTAATGCAATATAGTGCTGATGCTCTGGAACTGGATCAATGGATACAAGAACAAATCTCAACTTTACAAAAAAGACATTTGGATGTGGCGGCTGAGACAATGGACGCATTTCTATTGGATGGGAAACGTTCTTGGGAAAAACTGAAGCAACAACATCAACAGCTTGCGGCAGCAATAGACATCTTTGAATCGAACAAACTCAAGGCATTGCATGATAAGGTGGCACTCTTGATGGAGGACAAGCATACAAAGGGTCAATCGCGACCACCGATACAACAGGAACAACAACAGCGACATAGATCCTCGGTGGATATGACAATCTCTGTGTCACAAAGTGTTGGACTTGTAATCACCAATTTCTCTATACTCAAACAAGATCTGAATGATGAATCTATTACGATTGATGCGATCTTGAAACGGATGGAATGGAATGATGGATTGATGGTTGCCTTATCTCAATTGGAAAACATTCAAGAAAGACTAGCTCTATGGTGCAAGAAAAAGGATGATTGGATTAGCTCTGGTACAGTCTTTGATGGTGATGCTGGTGATGATCAAGATGATGATGATCAAGATGATGATGATGATGATGATGATGATGATACTGAATTCAGTCCCATGCTGGAAATACTTTACAATGATTTGGCAAAATTGACAACTGACAAGGAATTATTTACTGCAACTATACTACCCAAAGTACAAGACCTTTATGATACGTTTATACAATATTTCCCGAAACTACCAAGACCTATGGCCACTCCTGATCATATTGAAGGTGCCATGTCCTCTCTGGTGCGTTCAAATAGCCGATGTCAAGAAATGTTGGTCTCAAAGAACAAGGAATTAGATATTATTCAAGATTGTATACGCTGGGAAGCTACTTGGAGACTATTATTTCAAATGATCAAAGATTGTCAATTCAAGTTGGAAGATTTTGTCCTACGTTTTGCAAGATGGCGACCTCCTACTGATAGCACCATACACAGAATAAACGATCTTTCACTACAACAACAATCAAGTGCTATTCGTCAGCAATGTGAAGAAAAAACCAATCAACTTTGTGATCTGCACGTTCAACTAGATTCTTTATGCAACGATGTTTCGACCAACAATGTCAGCAACATTATCACAAAACTATTACTAGCTAAATTTAATCAAGCAGAATACCATTCACGTCATGTTATCCTTTTGATTCACTTTATGGATCTGGTTATGAAGCAAAATGAAATGGTGCAAGCTCTTTGGTGCCGTATTACTCGCGTTGATAATGATCTTTCATCACTATTGTTGAAGAACCGTGAAACTAGCAACGATTCATCATACGACCATGACAAGGAAGAAAATGATGATATCTCTAGAGTATATTCTATCTCCAATGATCAGCATGCACAATTGTCAAAGGATGTGGATCAGATTCGACTCGACATATCAGATATGATTTATCCCGTACGACCTCTTCTTCAAAATGGATATCATGGTGATGGATCCAGTGATGATGATCATGATGATAGCAACAACAACAACAACAATGGTGTGGCTTTGGATGATATTGACAATAATACTATTCGTGAAACTCTCAAAAATGGACTTGACCAGTTGGATCAACGTGTATTGGAATTGGGTCGTCTTTTGTTGGTGAATAATAAAAGATCACTTCGTCAGGCATCAGTTCAATCATTCAAACAGCAACTTCGATCATGCTTGGATTTGTTGAACGGATTGAAATCAAAATTGGAAATAGTTATCTCTTCTCTAGAATGTCCTTTACCTCAAGTGGTAAGTGAAAAAAAAAAAAAAAGTACATAAATATCAAGCATAAATACGAATTCTGAACTTTGTATATTTATTTATTTCTACGATTTTTTTATTTTATTTTATTATTATTATTATTATTGTTTTATAAAAATGATAATAGGAATCTGATTCAGATGGCTCAGCTTTTGAAACTCGTATATCAACTTTAGAAACATCACTTGATTCTACTCATGGTGTGTTGGAAACGCTAGAATTCAACAAGAATTTATTATCGGAATTATCTCGAATTCATGATCAATTCTTTGGCGATATATGGTTAGTAAATGAATCAACAAGCAAGACAATTGATGATGATAATGATGATGATGGTAATGGTGATGATCAACTTGAACCGACTTACAAGTACATATTGAAGGAATGGGATGATATTCAATCGACAAGCAGCCGGATTAATTCGCAGATCAAAGACAAGGACTTACCCGACATGTTACAACGTGGAGTGGAAAAACTATTGGACCAGTTGCAAGAATTGGATAACATACCGTTGATTGTACATTACTCAAGTATCTCTAAGGATCAGTTCACATTATGGATGGCCAAATTGGAGTATGCACGACAAATGTACACTTATTTGCGCCCAAGGATCAATCATGAGAAGGTGTCAATATTGAAGTCACAGTTGGATGATGCTAACAACAAGATCGTACGAATTGATGGCTCCTTGTCTATGATGGAAAAGAAGATAGAACAATGGCAACTCTTTAGCAAACATGAGATCAAGATCAAGGCATTTGTGGATCAAGTGATGAAGATGGAGCAGCAATTGAAAGACTTGCAACAAATATTTGACACCATGGATTACACGACTAGCAGCGGCAATAATAGTGATGATGCATTGCAAGATGATGACAACTATCGACGAGGAAAAACCCAGCAACGACAAATCACAGAGAATATACAGTCCTTTAAAAGTGTATATATGGATTTGTGCAATTTCTTCATTCAACAGCAGCAAATTCAAATCGCTAACAACTATCATGATGATTTTCTATCGAGTCGTATGAAATCACAACAAGATCAAATGGAAAGTGCTTGGAGCAATCTTCAAAGGACAGCAACAGCGACAGCCCAACGTATATCAATGATGGATCGGTGGCGCGATATTTACATCAATCTCCAAGACTCACGACGGACATTGTATGGATGTAAGACGACCTTGGAAATGATCATGCTTCAAAAGTCCAACACCAGTATCGACAGACCAATCACGGACATGACGAGGACGACGACTCTTATTGATACGGTCAAAAGGCAACTTGCTTCTATTTTACCATGGCTGAAGGACTTACCTGAACAATTGGATAATGATTTATTGTATAATAATGACTATCACTATGGATTATTCTTTGGTTACCATCAAGAGACACTTAACTTGGCTAGTTTGGTACAACAACTTTTGAAGGATCATTACTTGGCTACAGAAGGGAAACATCTTTTTCAGATCTATCAGGATACTATCGATGAAAGATGGCAAGACTGCATCAAGCAATGTACTCTACTCAAGCAATACGAACAAAATTATCAGCAATATCATGGTCCACAGGGTGATTCCAACAGCATCATCATTTCGAATCTTCATGCAATGTTAGAAAATCATGCTAGTGTGGAAGATATCAAACGTAGAATGATGATATACCGCGATGAAGTGTTCTCTGATACTGGTGATATGAAACTTTTGGGGGATCGATTGGCAATTGAATTTGGATATAACGATGAACTCAAAGATCTACAACACAAGCTCTCATCCTCTCTCACGGCACTGGACAATGCAATCCTTTTTGATGAAAAACGATACCAGTTTATGATGGCAGTGGAAAGATATGCAAATCAAACGACAGAGATCCTTGGTACATTGACGGAATTCCATCATGTTATTTCTTCATTGCAAGAAATTGGTCATTCCTCAGAAGGCGATAACGACTTTGCTGAAGTATTGGAAAGGTATAGAAAACTGGAGGAAACAATGTTGGAACAGACATCCTTCGATACACAACAACATGGCGACGATGGTGATGATAATGAATTGCGGGTTGCTTGGGTGACTTGGTTAGATCAGCTACATCAAGAGATTGGAAAGAAATGGAATTTGTGTATGGATGCAATGGAAATTGTCCAAAAACAACAACATATTGATCATCAAAAGAAGCAGCTTGGTACTAAATTGGATGGATTATTACGCTATGTGAACGACATGAAGGATCAAGTGAATGCGCTACACCTCTTGGAATACCAGAATATCACAGTTGAACATCAAGAATTGGATGATATTGAAAACGAATTCCATGATACTCTTTGTGCGAAAATTGATAGTTTACTCGATCTGACAAAAGAGGGTGACAAAGCTATGATTGGCGATGATATTCAGCAATTACGGACATCATTACGACAAGCTGCAGATGATCTGCGATCCATTATCCAACGTAAAAGACAAGATGCTGAGAGACAAGATAGAGCAATGCAAATGATGAATCATTTGGACAAACTAGAACAAGTGATCAATCACATGGAGGACGACATCGCAAGAGCAGCACCTCACCATGCAAGGATCATCAACGATGCATTTGTGAAATCAGATTTACAAGATCTTCGCACGGAACTGGTCAAATCATATAAGGCATGTTCTCAAAAAATGGCTTCACTCTTCGATAAGATTCCTCATGATACAACATTGGCGGCAACAACCAACTTATTGACAGAGGCAAAACAACGATGGACGAAAACCAAAGAAAAGGCAGTAGCTAGGGAACGGGAATTGCAAACTTGTATTGAACAACTTCAACATGATTTTTTCACCAAACTCGCCATTGTCAGTAAAAAGCAACAACAACAAAAGAATACGATACGATCATCCTTTATTTTCCCAACAACTTCATCACCTTCAACATCATATCAAGTGGATAAGGAAAACAGTTTGGATATTCAAGTGGGACGCGTTCTCAAGGATCAACCTTATCGACCCAAAGTGAAGATGGTACCTGGTCAAGTGGGCAAGTATTGGATCGGCAGCGTGCATCCTCGTTTAGTTTATTGTCGTATTTTGAAAAGCAAGGTTGTGATGGTTAGAGTTGGTGGAGGTAAAAAAAAAAAAAAAAAAATGATAACAAATGATAACATTTCTTCTAATGCTTTATTTATTTATTATTTGATTTTAGGTTGGGTTGAACTATCACAATTTTTGTTGGGTAAAATACATATATATATAATATAAAAAAAAAAAAAAGGCTCATTATATTCTTATCTTTATTTAGATCATGGGTGCAATGAAGGTGTAGTGATATCGGATGTCCCACCACTTGAAAAGAATGCAAGATTCAATGAAGCGTATATTCCCTTTTCAAGTCGTAGTCTTTCTCCTTCTGGTCGTGTGGTACTTCGTGGTGGTGGTGGTGTATTGAAATATGGTAATGATAGTATGGGTAGTCTTAGTCCATCAAGATCATCAAGTAAAACATCAACAAATACAAGATGTCGATCCCCTTTGACTGGATATACGGATGGTGAACGATATGTACGAGTGGATGAAGCTGGCAATCATTTAGCTTTGAAAATGACAAGAGCTGAAGATGATTATTTTATTCCTTTTTATCAAATGAAATAGTGTGTATCTCTCCTATCTTTTTTTTTATTATTATTTTATTTATAGTAGTTAGTTTTTATTTTACTTCTCTGTACAATAATAAAAAAAAAATCAATATATGATTATCCTTTTTTTTAAAAAAAAAAAAAATTATGATATATGTGTCAATGATTATAATAACAATAATAATAGTTGAGGATGATGAGATTCATTCAAGGTATGATGAATTTATTGAGATGAACACCTTCTTTTGTAATTAAGAAAAGAAATGACGAATCAGTACCACTAAGTATCTACTTCTTTCGGAATATCAAAAGATAAACCATTTCTTCTTTTTTGCTTTAATGATCCGACAGTGGGATTGTGTAATCTTCCAAAGTGGAAAAGAATTCATTTGAACAGTTGTGGTAAAAACTTCCCAAATCGGGATTTGTGACAGGAAAAGATAATACCATTGTACAAATTGAGGTTATTCTTCTTTTTTCTTTTTTTTTTTTTTTTTGTTGATAGTGACAAGAAAAATACGCCCTCTCTAATATTCATTTCTTCAAATAACAATAATAACAATAGTACTATGATTATAGACGACTTTTATATATATTGATATGTTTACTTCTTTTTTTTAAAAAAAAAATATTAAAATAATAAGACTTACATTGATCACTTCTCTAACTTTATTTCAAACTATCGTTTCTCACGAAAAAGAAGTATATCAGAAGATATTCAAATCATAAAATAAAAAAATCATTTCATTTGGACAGAAATTCCTTTTTTGAGACTTTTTATCTCAAGTGAGACGGTTTTCCTTTTTTTTTTTTTTTGCGTTACTTTGATGCATTTATGTTGGCACTTGCCTATGCTCATAATGGACCAATCAAAAATTATGATCTGACGGAAATTGAAAACGCGTGAAATTGTATAAAGCACTTTTTTTGATATCTCTTTTTTTTTTTTCTTTTTTCTTTTTCTTTTCCCTTTTTTTTTTTATCTTTCACTTTATTTTTTTTATTACTTTATGTTATTAATCAACTAAATTCATGTCAGGCAATCTACAAACGAAAACTGATGAAATCTTGGATGAAAAGAAGTCAACTGCTTCTTGGGACATCAAGGAAGAACAAGTCGAACCTATTAATGATCTTGGTCAACAGAAAATTGATGATGACGATTTGTTTACAAATGATATTCAACACATGCACGAAGATGAATTGGATATTGTTAACGTAAACAAAATTGTTGGAACAACTGATGATACTACTTTACGTTGTTTTAGTCTTCGAGCTGTTCTGGTTGCTACTGTAAGTCTTATTTATTATTATTATTATTATTATTACAGTACGATATTAACTAAATACTTATTTTTTTATTATTTTTTTTTTATAATCATAGGGTCTTGCTGCACTTAGTTCCTCTGTGAGTCAACTAATGTTCTTCAAGCCTGTTGGTTTAGCTCTTTCGGATACATTTATGATCATGGTCGCTTATGTAGTTTGTACTGCTTGGTCTGTTTTCCTTCCAAAAGGTGGTTGGCTCAATCCTTTCCCATTTAATTCGAAAGAATTTGCTTGTATCTATGTCGCCGTCAGTTCCGCCAATGTATCTAGTTACGCAACTTATATTCTTTCTGCTCAAGCTTTGTATTATGATAATCCTCCTAGTGGTGCTGGTGCTATCTTTTTGATTTTCGCTACTCAATTGGTAGGCTATGGGATTGCTGGTCAATTACGTAGTTTCTTGGTTTATCCTGCAAATATGATTTGGTAAAGTGATTTAAAAAAGAGATATAGTAAAATGAAAATAAAAAACTGACTTGGCTCTTTTTTTTTTTTTTTTGTCACCATCTTTATTATTATGATGTTGATGATGATGATGGAATAGGCCAATGACACTACCTACGGTGTCCTTGATTCGAACTTTGACATCAGAAAAGGATGAAGCTAGATGGCGTACCCGTTTCTTTTTCATTGTATTTGCCATTGCCTTTATTTATGCATTTATTCCTGAATATATGTTCCCTCTACTTGGTGGTTTTTCCATATTCTGCTTAGCTAAGGATGATTCAGCTTGGTTTACTCGCCTTTTTGGTGGTAGTGGTGTCAATGAAGGTCTTGGTATCTTGTCTCTCAGTTTTGATTGGAATTTCTTATCTTATTATTATCCTATGGTTCTTCCTCTCTGGGTGCAACTTAACATCTACTTTGGAATCTTGCTTTTATGGATCGTTGGTCCTATTCTTTGGTATTATGATGTATGGGATGCACAAAGTTTTAGATTCTTGTCCAATGGTATCTTTGCTATGAATGAAACAACTCATCTTGGATATACCTACCCTCAAAAGAGTGTCCTCAATCCTGACAACTCTCTCAACCATACAAAGTTGGAAGAAGTTGGTAGCCCTCGTTACAGCACTATCTTCGCCTTGAGTTATATCCTTATCAACTTTGGAGTCACTGCAACAATTACTCATGTCGCTCTCTATTATGGCAAGCAAATCTGGTCTACCGTCCGCACAACAAGAGAAGAATATGCCAAAAACAATCAAGATATTCATAACAAGTTGATGGCTGCTTATCCTGAAGTAAGTAAAAAAAAAAAAAAAAAATATCACTGCCATCATCATCAACAACTCAATCTAATCTATTTTATTATTATTCGCTTTATATTAGGTTCCCAATTGGTGGTATTATATCGTATTTGTTCTTGGTATTGCCGTCAACATTGGTCTCGCCTATGCCAATCACAGTTCCTTGCCTGCGTGGGGTGTTATCTTTGCTGTGCTTGTATCTACTGTTTTATCACTTCCTTTGAATATGGTTGAAGCTATTACTGGTCAAGGCTTTGGTTTGAACGTATTGACGGAAATGATTTGTGGTTTCGTCCTTCCTGGTTATCCTGGTAACAAAAACGACAAATAAAAAAGGATTATATCTAACGCTTTCTTTTTTATTTTTTTATTTTTATTGTAGTTGCCAACATGTATTTCAAGACATTGGGTTACAACACATTGAAGTATGTCAAAAGATAATTTTAACATTATCATCATCATCATCAAGAAAAAAAAAAAAAAAAAAAAAAAAAAAAAAAAAAAAAACTCATCGTCTTTTATATTTATAACACTCATAGTCAAGCTGGGAAAATGGGAAAAGATCTCAAAGTTGGACATTACCTCAAAGTTCCTCCCAAAATGATCTTTACTAGTCAAATCTTTGGTACCATCATCGGTAGTATTTTCAATTATATTGTGAACGACGTAAGTAGAATTGAAGTAAAAAAATAAAACATATGGTGATGACTCAAAGAATGAATAACATTTTGTTCATCATATATACTTTTTTATTTATTCTTTCATATACTTAGAACGTTGTCACCACCAAGCGTGATATTCTCCTCGATCCTGATGGTGGAAACAAGTAAGGACTTGATAAAGTCAACTATTGTTTATATTTATGTAAAATGACGATGCTAATCACCTTTTCCTTTCTATAGTATTTGGTCTGGTGCTTCTCCTCAAGTATGTATAATCTTTTTACAAATTAATTACAAAGACATATGCTAATTTCCATATTATTATTTTTTTTTTAAAAAAAAAAAAAAAAAAAGACTATCAACAGTGCTGCTATTACTTGGGGAGCCATTGGTCCTATGGTTATGTTTGGCCCTGAATCTCAATACTATATCATCTTATGGGCATTTGTGATTGGATTTTTCTTACCTATCCCTGGTTGGTTATTACACAAGAAATTCCCCAAGGTTGGCTTCAATTATATTAATGTTCCCATGATTTTGGTTGGTTTTGCTACACTTCCTGGTACTAATTCTTCCTGGATCACTGTATCATTTATTATCATCATTGTCACTCAAGGATTTGTGAAACGTCGTTATAACGATTGGTTTGTCAAATATAATTACTTAACCTCAGCTGCACTTGATTCTGGTACTTCTTTGATGGTCTTCTTCCTTTCCATGGCATTATTTGGTGGTGGTAGTGGTAATGTATACAACTTCCCTGTCTGGTGGGGTAACCGTATTGGTAAGTACAAAGAAAGAAAAAAGGATAACGTATTGGAGTAATACTGCTTGTATTCTTAATCTCTTTTTTTTTTTTTTATGATGATTCCTTATAGATATCAAGTATGTTGATCATTGTTGTATGAACTGTGATGACGGTGTCCTGATTTAATATATGTATTATTAGTTATATTTTTTTTGTTCTATTTTTCTTCTTTAATAAAATCATGATTACCATTTTTTTTCTTTTTATTATATGATTTTCTTTTTCCTGATTCGATGAACAAACATTTTGATCGTTCCTACCTACTAGGCCGGCCTTTTTTTTTCTATTTCTTTTTTTTTTTTTTTTTTTTTTTTTTTTTTGCGCCTTCTTATTCTTTTTGTTCCCTTCCTTTCCTCATTATACTTTCTTTTCTTAAAAAAAAAAAATTCCCAGCTTTATACTGATAAATTTATAAGGTAGTATACTGTAGTTTGATAGAAACTATTTCATTTCATAGTAATTTAAACTCTATATGTTCATTTCGTAGACTCATGTATTTTTTATTCTTTTATTATATAGGTTAGAGATCAGATAGAGAAACAAAAAAAAAAAAAAAAAAAAAAAGTACAGTAAGCAAACAACTTATTTACCTTTTTTAAATATAGTTTGGTTGAAGCTATTGTTTCCGGTAAACACTTTTTTCTCCAATTACAATGTATACATCTCCTTGTACAATGTTATCACTGACTTGGCTTTTTATTATTCTTAATGCTTTATATATTACCATAGTAGATTAGTATTGTACATTCGTATTGTATAATGCTTATCCTTCATAATTTTTTTTAGTGTATATACTGTACTCATTATTCAAATAAAACGTATTATCCAAATTGTAAAGTTAGTATAGATGTAGGCATGAAATTCTTTTTTATTTGAATGGTATGTTAAAAAAAAAAAAAAAAAAAAAGAGGGACAAAGTATCTATTCTTTTTTTTTATTGATACTATGAACGATCGCTAGCTACTTTGTCAATATAATTATGTTTTTTATTTTTACTTTTTGAATTCATTCTTTTTTTATTTTACGCACATTTTTATAGGTACGGAATAAGTATGATACGACAAATGTAATTGACTCCATTTTCTTCTAATATGTAATTTTGTTATCTTTCTTTTTTGAATGCATTTCTTTCATTTTACGCGACACAAATTTATTTGGATTATGAAGTGTTCAGAAATAATATGAAAATAGAATTAAAAAAAAAAAAAAAAAAAAAAAAAAAAAAAAAAACTAATATCAATAAGGAACAAAAGTAAAAGGAAAACAGAAAGGAGGAGAAAAAAAAATCGTAAAACAGGATTGGGACCCCTGATTGCATACATTGTCATGACAATTCCAACAAGAATGAAGACACCGTAACACCAAATTACCAATACTCGAACGTGATTGGCTGAAATTTACTATGAGATTTATAATAGAGTTTTGGGTTCAGAAAAAACAAATCTCAGATAGTATAGTGGTAAGTATCCCCGCCTGTCACGCGGGAGACCGGGGTTCAATTCCCCGTCTGAGAGCTTCTTTTTTGCATTTTATACCTTCGTTTAGAATTGACCAATCAGAACAAGGCATTCATCACCTTCGTTTTTCTTTGGGGTGACTGGCAAATTACCTTTTTAGGTTGTTACGGATTTTTTTTTTTTTGTAACCAAGGTGATGATTGAAAATATGAAATTGATGGATGATACTATTATTACACTGTAATAAAAAAAAAAAAGGAGACGAGAACAAGTCTGTAAGTTTTCTTTTTATTTAAAAAAATAGTTGAAAAAAGAGACAAAGTATCCACACAAAAAGTTTTGTTGTTCTTATATATAAGTGCGTGGTGGGTGATATGTAATACTAATATCATCATACTATATTTAAGATTGGTGACCAAATTTTATTTTTGTTTTTGTTTTTTGTTTTTTCTTGTTTTTGTTCGTAATACCGTTATACAGGATGCATAATCTTATTAGTATTTTATTTCTTATTGATGTGATGTTATTATGGACCATGATGATTTTCAAAGTCCGTATTTTTATTTTGTTATCTTTTAAGGTTGCAGTAATTTTAGTTTTCTTTTTATTTCTTTCCTTTATAACAACTTTAATCATAGTATATCAATTAGTGATCTATAATAGTCATACTTTTATTTAATAAAGCTTTTATTTTTTATTCCTACTACTTTACATCAATGTAATTGATTCCATCTTACAATGTATTTTTATTTTTTATTTGTGAATGCATTCTTTATTTTTTATTTTATGGATATGGTTACGGAATACGCTGATACGACATTAAGGATAGGACAAGATCACCAATCATGATGATACAAAAGATAATATAGAGATAAAAAGGCAATTCATATTTTTTTTTTTTTGTAGTAATCCGAATGAGAATTATTGTATAAGAAATTACGATATTATACTACTCAACATTTTGGGTGTATAGAAACTAATCTATTTTAGATTACAAAGACATATCTTTGTAGTGTAATTGAGAAAATAGATATCAAGTTGGAATTCATTAATCATGATCATCATATATAATATCAATGATCATCTTGCATATATATATAATATTTGAGGATATCTGGGATCACGGAGTGTAAATACATATAGTTTTTTTTTTTTTTTTTTTTTTTTTTTTTTTTTTTTTTTTTTTTCCAACTTTTTCTTTCCATTCAAAATAAATATGTTTTCACAATCAAAGTCAAACAATTCCACTTTCAAGTTTATTATTCGATCTGATATATCCTCCACCGTTGATTCGGAAACTTGTACAGCTTTTACTTCTGAATCTATTAACAACAATATTAATACAGAATCTGTAGCTACTAATACAACATCTTCACATACTCAGCCTCCTTCCTTAGCAACAGAAACAACAGCAATACCACTCAATGAGGAAAGGAAAAGAAAGCGTTCAGATAAAGATAATATATCTTTGGCATCTAAAAAGGTAATAATAGAAAAAAAAAGTAACATTATATTAGAACTGGATTAATATTATTATTATTATTATAGGTCTATTCTCATTTGGAACGGTGGCATCAAAAACATGAAGAATTGATCACAACAACTAATGAAAGTACACAAAATGATATTGAGACAACACAACAGTTGAATGACTTGTCAACTGAAAGAAAGAAGGAAGATTTTGGTGATTATCGACTATTAGCATGCTTACTATGTAATCGAAAATTCAAAACCAAGCAAGACGTTACTCGACATCAAGCTTTATCAGACCTACACAAAGTATGGTATATTCGGCGACAGTGGTTGTCATCATCATATCATTTATTTTTGGTGCAAGATGGGTCAGGGATATGAATGGGGAGGGGGAATATGATAATATATCAATGATATGATATTGACTCTTATACATTAGAGGAATAGTCAAGATCCGAATACTGTTGCAAGAGCTCGAAACAGATTACGACAATCAAATCAAACGACTGAATCAAATACAGAAAAATCTTTAGATTCTGAAGAAGTAAGTACACAATATATACATGCCTTTTTTTTTTTCTTTTTATAAACATATTATTCTTTTGTAGGTCTCATCATCCATTACCTATAGAAATCGTGCAGCAGAAAGACGACAAGCTTACAATCAACCAGAAAATCCAATTCTTCCTAGTGTATACTCAAAACAAAGATCCAACAAATCAATACAAGATACTGATCCTATTAAAAAATCATACGAAACGTAAGTTTTTTTTTATTTATTTTTTTTTATTTTACCCTTTTATCACTATAACAATAAGATTCTTCTTTTATTATACTTACTTTTTTTTCATTTTTATTTTTAATTAGAGGGTCCACGTTATCAAAACCAATTGCAGATAACAACGTTGGTGCCAAGATGTTGAAACAAATGGGATGGAAGTCAGGACAAGGACTTGGAAAAGAGGGATCAGGTATTATTAATCCTATTAATGTTCAGCAATCAACCATGGCTGGATTAGGTGCATCCCAGGCAGGAAGGATCAATGCTGATGGTTCAGGCGATAGTTACAAAGAACGTGCAAAGGAACTGGTAAGTGAATGATTAATAATCAAATGAGAACAATTATAGTGTTAATGTTTTTTTTTTTTATTTCAATAGGCTAGACGACGTTTATTAGAGGAACTTTGATCTACTTTTTTTTTTTTGTTACTCCACCGGTGTTTGAAATGATCAATAAAGATTTACTTTTTTTTTTTCTTGTTATTCTTTTCCTTCTTTTTTTAATTATTTTATTCTTTATGGGACTCAATGGAACTCAAGATATTAGTCTAGAACGTCTACAAACATCAACTAGAAACTCGTCAGAAAGCGACGACCATCTTTTGAATGACATCGATGACGATCAACACGATACTGATAACCAACATCTATTAGAACACCAGCACACTGGTACAAAGACGCTTTTAAAAGAAGGTCGGAGGACACTGATAAAGTCTGGTGCTATTAACTTGATATGGATTTTGACTTGGTAAGAAATAGAAACGACTATCATAAAAGTAATATACAATAACTATTTATGCTTTTTATCTTATATCTTATTATTTGTATTAGGTACACTGTAAGCTCCCACTTTCTTCTCTCTCTCTCTCTCTCAAACACTTTTGAAGGGAGCTGTACTAATATGATATCAATCTTCATATTGACACTTCTATTCTTTCTTTCTTTCCTTTTTTTTTTTTTTTAGTTTGCCACATTTTTATCTATCTATAACAAATGGATGTTTTCAGCTGATCATTACAACTTTCAGTTCCCTCTATTTGTCACCAGCGTTCATATGATTGTACAGTTTATCTTTGCAGGCGTTTCTCTCTTTTCGATTCCTCGATTACGACCCAAAACAAGACCTACTTCTAAAGAATATGTGTAAGTGAAAATAGGAAATAGAGCATCGTATATATTGAATGTTTTGTATGCCTGAATATATCTAACTGTCTACGCGTCTTTTTTTTTTTTTTGTCTATGATAATAAACATGCTACTTAGATTCAAAGTATTTCCATGCGCTTTGGCCACAAGTTTGGACATTGGATTATCAAACCTCTCATTGAAAACAATTACACTGTCCTTTTATAGTAAGATTTTGTAAAGATATCTTGTTCCTTTTCAACTTTTTTTTTTGACTTACACAAACTTTGTTTTTTTTTTTTTTTAATTTTAGCCATGTGCAAATCATCAACTCTGGCATTCGTATTGGTGTTTGCTTTTTTATTCAAATTGGAAAGTCCCAGTTTACGACTCATTGGTATCATTATCATTATTACAATAGGTGTAGTATTGATGGTCTCTGATGAAACAGAATTCGTATTATCTGGGTAAACAGTATCTTTTTCTTTTTATTCACAAATTGATACTAATACATTTCTCTTTATATATCTATTAGGTTTATTCAAGTCATGGCTGCTTCTGCTTTTGGTGGTCTACGATGGGCATTGACTGAAGTACTTTTAAGAAAGGAAAGCATGGGACTGACCAATCCGTTCGCTTCTATCTTTTTCTTGGCTCCTGCACAAGCTTTTATTCTTGTTGTGATAGCTGGAGTGGTTGAAGGTTATGGATCTATCTTTTCAAGTGTCTTTTTTATCGATGTAGCTGAAGCTTTTCATACGGTATATTTCCTTTAATCAACAATGATACGATACGACTGACTCATCTTTTTTTTTTTTTTATTATTATTTTTCTATTTTGTTTTGGGAATAGATGGGAATTGTTCTATTTGGTGGTGCATTAGCATTTTGCATGATCATGTCAGAATTCTTTTTGATCAAGCGAACGTCAGTGATGACTTTAAGTGTTTGTGGTATCTTCAAGGTAAGTAAAACAAAAATCATTTAAAACTTGAAAATAATATTCCATTTGTTTTTATAGGAAGTGGCAACCATCTTCATCTCGACAATTGTATTTGGAGACAAACTGACTGTTATCAACATATTTGGATTATGCATTACATTATTCGGTATCGGATTATATAACTGGTTGAAGATTCGTGCTGCCTCACTCTCAGTACAGAAGGATTTACATCATCATCATCATCATCATTTACTAGTGGATGAACAGGGCACAATACTACACGATATGGAAAATGATGAAAACGAGGATAACAGTGATCACCAACGTCAACATATATCAGCAGCAAATACAAGTATATTTGAACTAACATCTCGTGACCACCATTATCATCCAAAAATGACCTCTCTATACAGCATGTCAGCAGAAAGTACGCCAGTCCTTTTGGCAGATGCAGGTTTATCAACAGCATATCAAAATAATGATGATGATGATGATGATGATGATTTGAATCTAAATCTTACCAATAAGGATGTCAACAATCATGTACCAACAACCCATTCTCAAGGTGTCATACCCGGCCAGTGATTAGATATAGATTTAGTTTTTTGTCATTGTTACTGTTTTGCCAAATAAACTCCGTTAGATCCATTTGTAGAATGTCAAATTTTTTTATTTCCCTTCATTTCATTTCCTTTTTTTTTTCTTTTTTTTTTTTTTTTTTTTTTTTTTTTCTTTCTTTAGTGTATAAATAATGGTAGCTTCCACTTCGTTGAATGTAGTACCTGATGATCCAACCGCATATAAAACCAGGGAATACTGGGAAGAACGATATCAAAAGTAAGAATAATAAATTCAATCAATCGATAAACTGATCTCGATTTATTTTTTTTCTCTTTATGTACATATTCATAGTGAAGACAGTGGGACGACATTCGATTGGTTCAAAACATATGATGAACTCAAACCTTTATTTGACAATCATATCAGAGATAAAAATGCAAAGATCCTTATTTTAGGTTGTGGTAACTCTAGTAAGTGGAAAAAAAAAAGAGGATTACCCTACTTATTGACCCTCATTTTTCTTAAATAGCTTTAGGGGAAGATATGTACAAAGATGGTTATCGCAACATTACCAATATTGATTACTCAAAGACAGTTATTGACAATATGAAAGAAAGATGCGGTGATACTCCTGGAATGACTTGTAAGGATATCATATAATGATGACATATTTTGATACTAATGACTATTATACTTTTCAAGGGTTAGAAATGGATATCCGGGATTTGAAATTCGAAGATAGATCATTTGATATAGTGATTGACAAAGGTAAGAAGAATCATCTTATACTGATGGATCTTATTTATGAATATATATATATAAATAATATATTTAGGGACAATGGACGCAATTCTCTGTAATCGTGGAGATGTTTGGGAACCTAGTGAAGAACTGATTAATGAAGTGAAACAAGAAGTGGACGAAGTAGTGCGCGTTCTCAAGGTAGGTGGTGCCTTTTTATATATCACGTTTGGTCAGCCTCATTTCAGACGACGTCACTTGGAAAGGGATTGTTGGGAAGTCAAGATAACTACGATGGGTGAAGCCTTCCATTACTTTTTTTATTCTATGGTCAAACAACAATAGTGCATAGTATATTTATTTTTTTATTTAGTAGGAAACGGGTTTGGAAAATGGCTCTTGATTTTTTGTTTTGCGGGAAATTATTGTGAAATTTAAAAATAAATGAAAAAAAAAAAAAGAATAGACCTTTGTTGTTATTATATTTTTCTTATTTTTTTTTTCTTTTCTTTTTTTTGATTGGATTTACATATTATATGTTTATTTTTTTATCTCAATGCTATCGAAATGGTTGTTATTCTCGTCATTATTCTTCTTCAAAACCCGTGTCGCCAATGAAACTACTTGATCAACTTCATAGTCTTGCAGAAGCAGTCAACCAAACTCAAAGTGTCGTCGAAAAGAGAGTTATTTTACAACAGTATCCTTCTTGTCAATCCATCCTCAAACGTATTTATGACCCTCATAGACGTCACTTTGTATCTTCGAAAACAGCTTTTGCATATATGGAGAAACGACAACAAGAATTGGAAAAGTTATCATCAAACAAAGTCACCACAGCAGAACCAATAGCCACTCGAATATACCAAGGTGATCAACATATACCTTTTACATCACTAGAATCATTACTAGATGCCCTGGCTTCACGACAACTTCGCGGACATGCTGCCTTGGATGCTATATCATGGTTCTATTCTCGCTATTGCACTACCACTGTTCAACAACAAACGTTTTGGCGCATATTGGATCGTGACTTGAAGATGGGTGTGTCAATACAAACAGTACGACGTCTTTTATCTAGCAAAAACAATGGTGACAAAGAAAAGGATAACAATGACAATATTATATCGCAAGCATCAACAGTATATCCTTCAGTTCCATCTTCAGCCACACAGTCATTTTATGATCGACGCTTTATGAATATATCTTTAGCAACAACGATGCAACCTGGAGATGAGGAAAAGCTTTGGAATCATGCAGCTAAAGAAGGGCCTTACTATGTATCTAGAAAACTGGATGGTGTGCGATGTATCACTTTGGTTCAATTTTTGGATCATGGATTACCCCATATTACTTTTTGTTCAAGAACTGGTCGACTCTTTGACTCTTTGGAAAAGGTAGAATCAGCCATTCGACAACAGTTGGACAGTTTGAAGAAACAACAACAGCATATTGATTTTGTATTGGATGGTGAAATATGCGTTTATCCTACTCAACCTGATACTTATATAAATGGCGATGATGTCGATGATGTACGCAAAGAAGATTTTTTGGAAACCATAAGACAAGTGCGCACAGCAAAACGGCAAATGGAACACCCGGTCTATCAGATCTTTGATCTCATTAATATGGATGTATTCCGACAAGGCAAAGGTGGACCTCTTTTTGATCAGCGTCAGCAACAACTACGTGATATGTTTGGATCTTATACTGGTGACTATCTCAAGGTTTTGAAACAAACTCCAGTGATGTGCAAGGATCAATTAATGGACATGGAACAAAAAGTGGGTCGTTTTGGATGGGAAGGTCTGATCTTGAGGAAAAATATTCCGTATGAAGGAAAAAGAAGGTAATCAATGAATTTTTTTTTTTTTTGATTCTCTTATATATATATTCTATTCCTTTGTTTAGTCGAAATATGTTGAAAATTAAGGAATGGGAAGATGCAGAATACAATGTGGAAAGTATAGAAACAGGATTGATGAGGATGCCTGGTACTGGACAACAGAAACAAGTGATGACCAATGTGGTGATTAATCATAAAGGTAAGAAAAAGGAAAAAAAAATTAGTTGATTGTATGGTTAAACTACAAATTATGATTTTCTCTTTTTTGATAGGAAATGCTGTCAGTGTTGGATCTGGATTCTCATTACAACAACGATTGGATTACGCAAATAATCCTCAACTCATTCTTGGCAAGTTAATTACGGTTCAATACTTCTCTGAATCATTAGGTGATAGTGGAAATCTCTCTCTACGATTTCCTTCTGTGAAGGCTGTTTATGATGGTGATCGAGATTAGTTTAGTTGGCGCTATTACTTGATTGAATAGATTAGATATCATACCAATAAAAAAAATACAGTTACTTAGAGAGAGTGCGGGTATTGAAAATCATGAAAATTTTGCATAAAGACATCATTCTTGTTCATACAGTAGATCAATATAGATTGAAATGTCAATAGATATATGATTTTTTTTTATTATTACTTGTATTGTTTAGAATTATATCAAGTAGTCAATTATTAGAAGGTATGTTACTTAGTTTTTCTTTTCAGTCTCTCTATTTTACTTGTTTGGGAGGCTTGACCAAGACTTTCGCGGGTGTTGAATTCTTCTTTATTTGTATTTTTTTTTTTTTCTTTTAGGATTTCTTTTCTCTTTCTTTCTTCACCAATACAATGCAACCTTTATTCCAAACTTCAGGTTGGACATTACCAGCCAATGTCGCCCCAGAAATAAAGAAAAAACAAAATAAAGACATTGAACAATCAACAACCAAAACGACCAAAGATGCTGACCAGATCCAAGCTCAATTCAATCAGTTAGGACCAAAAAAAACCAAGAACCAAAAGAAACGTGAACGTCAAAAAAATGCAGATCAACAAGTGAATTCAAAGAAACCCAAACTTGATAAGGCCAAATCACCTTCACCACAAAAACAACCATCTGACAAAAATCAAATTCAACAAAAACAACCCAACAAAAAGATCAATAAGCAACAAGTAACAACTAAGGAACATCAAAACAAACAAGTTGACAATGAATCCAAAGATCAAGACAAGACCATGACACCTGTATCATCAAATACTAGTGACAATATAAAACCCAAAAAAATGATCGATGCGAACAAGAAGAATAAGCTCAAAGCAGTAAGAAGATTAAAAAAGATTACGAAGAACTCTTTTGTTTAATATTATCTATTACTCACTTTTTTTTTTCCTCTTCTTCTTTCATTACAAAATTAGCTTCTTGGTAAAAATAAGACTGCACCTATTGTCAAGGAAGATTCATCAGCACCAACAAAAAAAGAAAATAAGGCAAATGTTCAAAACAGTAACAAGCAGCTGACGGCACCCAAGAATGAACCTCGATTGACCCCACTTCAACAAAAAATGAAAGACAAACTTTCTGGCGCAAGATTCAGATGGCTCAACGAAAAACTATATACCACTGAAGGCAATGAAGCCTTCTCTCTTTTTCAAGAACAACCGGAACTGTTTGATGAGGTAAGATTAAGACATGCATGAATATATATAATATATTGATTTATATTATTTCTTAGTATCATGAAGGTTTTCGACATCAAGTGGAGTCATGGCCTGTGAATCCTGTGGATCTTATTTTAGAACAACTCGAGAAGACACCTAAAGGTACTGTGATTGCTGATCTTGGTTGTGGTGATGCTGTAATTGCTCATACTTTGAAGAAACAGAATGTGCTCAGCTATGATTTGATTGCTAAGAATGACAAAGTCATCGCCTGTGATATCACCAAGGTAAAAAAAAAAAAAAAAAAAAAAAAAAAAAAAAAAAAAAAAAGGTTGATGGGAGACATTACTATCTTAACAAGTGACTAATACACATCTTTATTGTATTTCTTTTTCTTTCTTTCTTCTACTATATAGTTGCCATTGTCTGATAACAAGGTTGATGTAGTTGTATTTTCTCTTTCTCTTATGGGTACGAACTATCTCGACTTTTTGAAGGAAGCTCAACGGATTTTGAAACCAGGGTAAGTTTGATGATTATTTATATGTCAAAAAGTAACTTCTCTCTGACCTTTTTTTTTTTTTTTGATTTTTATTATAGTGGCGAAATGAAGATTGCCGAAGTTGTTAGCCGATTTAGTGATATTGATGCCTTTATCGATCTTGTGGAAACCATTGGATTTGATTTTATGGAAAAGGTAAACACGTATTAAAAGATAGGTACAAATTGGCTGACGTTTTTATCTTTTGTTTTGATTAGGATGACAATAATAAAATGTTTATCATGTTATATTTCACCAAACGCCATGAATCTATCTCTATGGAAAATGCCAACGAGGAAATGATGGAAGGACTATCGAAACATCAAAAACGCATGTTACAACAAGGTACAGGTGGACGCGTCAATATCAACAAATTACGCAAGAAATCCCAAAATCTATTGAAACCCTGTCTTTATAAACGTAGATAATGTTTTTTCCTTTTTATAATAATGGTCAATTTAATTAGAATTTTTTTTTTTATCATTTTTCATTACAATTGTATCAATAAAAACATTTTTAGCATTTCATTTATTCAATTGTTATCATTATATCATCCATCAGTTCATTACTCAAATATTTTTTTTATTAAACCATTATATATATAATCATCAGCTAATAATGATCAGATATATAAATATACTGTGCATCAACCAGCATGATTTTAGTGAGCATTGTATGCGACCCTACATTTCCAGGTGGTTTACACTCCGACTTTGATTTTTGTTGTTAGAAAAAAGGGTGAGCGAGCTTCCCTTTAAGTTTTTCGATTTTTTCTTTTTTCTTTTTTTATGATTTTTCAAAAGAAGACTATTATAGTATGGTAATATCATCCACATGAAAGAAGAAAATTATATTATATCAATACTATTTATTAAATGTTATATATATATTCTTTTTATACATTAGAATCTCCTTCTTTTACTGGAACGATGTGATTATAACCTTGACAAGGCTTTTATCGAGATTTTTGATCGCGGTTCTTCTCAGATCTCTTCACAGTGCTCCTTGGCTAGTGCTCTTGCTGACATTGTTCTCCTCAGGTAAAACATCATATGAATTATCAGGACTGTGTGATAAACAATTTCTACCCTTTTAATTAACCATTAATATTATTCGCGTTTTGGGTTTCTTCCTTCTGGGAATAGAATGAATCATAGCAAACAGCACCAATCAGCCTCCTTCTCAGAGAGTGTACAAAAAGAAATAGCTTTCTTACATGAAGAACATACTACTTGGCGACTACTGGATACTATACAAAGGTATAATGAGAAAACAGGAAAGGAAAAATCTTTTAACATGGTTTATTGATCTGACACCACCATTTACTTACAACGCTTTGAATATACTTGCACAAGGTCGACCAATCCTCTCCAAAAATGCTCAGTAAGATAATAATAATAATAATAATAATAATAAAAGACGAGTTGAATTGTTAGAATTGTCACTCATCGTAATATATTACTTGAAATATAGGGTATAAAGGAATGGATTAGCAAGACGCCCGACACTACTATTATATCAGATATGTTATTACAAGATACCGTAGAAAATGAAATAGACGAAGAGATTCAAGCAATGATTGGATTTTCTGTACAGCAGCATACCTCAATATCGACATCATCAACTAGAAATAACCATTCAACAAACCGACGCCCTGGATTCCATTTTGATGATGATGATGACGATAGTGATGATGATATCAACATGAATATGGATGATGTTTTACCGGATATTCCTCAACTAAGACGACAGAAACAACAATCAGATCATAAAAATCAAAATATCGACATTGAATTTGAAAAGATCAATAAAACTTTATACACTCTTTTACGAAAAGGTGATTTGGACAAAGTCATCGAATTTTTATCGACAAATGATGAACCTTGGCGTACCATGCTATTCAAGTCATATGTTCAGCGTTGCAAAAAAATACAAGGTAAAAGAAAATGAAGAATGGAAAAAAGACTAAAAAGAAAAAAAAAAGGATTGTTATGATTTACCTTTATGTCTTTTTTTTTTTTTTTTTTTTTTTTTTTTTTTGCAGAGGGCAAATCAATCGAATGGGATACAGATGAGCAGCAATCATGGCGATTATCATGCAAAGGTTTATTGAAAAAGGTAATTAGAAGAAAGATACAAAAAAGGAAAGAAGTTATATTAACAAGAACCATACTTTATAGCATGGGTTAGGTCCTTATGGAAAAGCCGTTTATGCGCTACTATTAGGTGATGTTACTGATGTGAGTATCTAGTTTTAGAGAGGAAAAAAAAAAAGACGATGGCTGATATGGTATGTTTTTCTTTTATACTTTTAGGTTTTACCGGTATGCAAAACTTGGGAAGATGTAATCTGGGCCTATTACAATGCGCTAATGGAACATCTTTTGGGTGCAGCATCTGATACCTCAGTTATGGAAGATGATAGTACGGTGCTCAGCAAAAAATATGAAAATATTGCTAATCAGAAAGATCCTATTCTACCAAGGTAAGTGAGAAAGATATCTCATTTGATGGACAAAAGAAAAAAAATATAATTTATGTTATATTCTATTTAGGGGGCATCCTAAGCTCTTTTTTCATTTGGTCCAAGTACATCTATTGAACCAAGATTTATCACTAGTATTTGAATTGGTACGCCACAAATATACAAGTAGACAAAATAGTAGTCCAGCTCTTCTTCGGTAGGTAGTCAAGAAAAATATTAGTCCCTTGGTTGATATTATTCCTCATTTCTTCTTTTTTTTTTTTACTTTTTATGTTTACATTTTAAGCATTGAAGATGATATGCGACTTCATATGGATCGATTCTTAGCTGCACTTGTAGTATATGCAAGACGCTATTTGAATACCTCTACAGGAGATACGAATGCCGAATCCATTGTATACGAATATGCAGAACGAAACCATCAACCACTGACATTCAACGTAAGTTTAGATTGAAGGACACAATGACAAAAATGATTTATTTATTTCTATATACATATATATATATATATATATATATATATTGATATATTGATAGCCCAAGGTTGTAGCATTTTATGCATCACAATTAAATCATGAAAACGAATCTGAATTATTCGCTCGATTTTTGAAAGGTAAGGAAAAAAAAATTAATTGGTATATGTTATGTTAATCATGATTTTGTTAATATCCATTTTATATGTTGATTTTGATCTTGTAGGTTTCGATGGTGACAAGGATGAGCGTTTATTATTGGTGCAAATGGGATTTCAGTACAATCTGGATATGGGATCAATTCTACGTCGTACCTATGACATTGTGATAAGTAATGTAAGATATATACATGTATTAAATATAGGAAGAGAAAAAGATGGATTTTTTTTTCTCACACATCTTATATTTACGTAGGAAAATACTATGGAACATCATATGGAATGTGATAATGATGGTGCCTTTATATTGGATGGAACGACACCGCATTATATATTGAATTTTCTTCAAGCGCTTGAATGGTTGCTGATGGATGCTTCATTATATGAGATGGCAATACAAGAGGTGAATGCAATGATAAGGAAAGTACTGGCTGCTCGGCAGGTATATTTGGCGGATACGTTGGTCAATGCTATCCCTGTGGAAGTGTTGAACAATGATATTCTTCAAGCTCAAGATGGATCGACATTACCTTATTGCTTGGAAGAATTGCAAGGTCATATTCTGTTGATAGAATGTTGGACGCTCTACTCATCATGGGAATCTTCACAAGAGGCAAGACCAATGGTCACTGAGTAAGTGAAGGGAATGAAAAGGGAGGGATGTACAAAAGATGATTACTAATAAACGATATCTTTTTCATATAGAGACAAATTGGAAACATTGAAATGTACATTGGCATGGAAAGACAAGATGATGGAACTGACAGAAAAACTTGAAAAACGATTACAAAGATTACTTACATCATCATGGCTGAAAGGTAAATAAATAGTACCATAATGGTATAACTTACTCGTTCATTTTTATATATTAGATGGAATTGATAGACCTTTGAATGACACTTTACGACAAATATACATACCAGAAGCCGTACTTCGTCTTCATCATATTCTATATAATACAAAAGATTTTATGGATGGGTAGGTGAAAAGAAAATGTAAAGAATATGTTATTAACTTCTATTCTCAATAGTTATTCCAAAAAGAAGGATGATTTAATGTATCTAATAGCTAGTGATGAATATGGAATTTATAGAGATATTGTAGCATGTCATAAAATGGGATTAATACTGGAAACTATGAATTATGAATAAACTATTTCTTTTTATTTCTGATGAACTTTTTTTTTTTTTTGATGTTTTATTGAGGAAAATAGATGATGGATGTCATTTTTCTTATCTTGGTAAAAGGCTGGATTAATGGTGTAACGGTACTTGCCATAGATAGAATATGACATTAGGGAATTCCTGGGTCTTGAATGAATTGTGGCTGGATGAAGGAACAATCTGAAGGGAATTGCCAAGGTTTTTATCCATTTTTGGTGGTTTGTTCAACTCCGGTCTGAAATTCCTTTCATTTTTTTTTTTCCTGCTGATCGTCAATAGTTACTATAATAACAAGGAAGTCCCTATTTCTTTCTTTCTCTTTCTTTCTTTCTTTCTTTCTTTTTTTTTATTTTAATTTTTTTTTTATAATGAATGAAACTTATTATAGTATAGAACAATCGTCCGTCTCGACAAGTACTACCAATCACCAAAAACACGAAGATCATGACAGCAAGATCCAGCTCAACCATGTTAATCAATCTGCTATTACTACTCAAGATAGTCCTTCCTCAACTGACTCAGATAGACGCAATAGTATACTTCATGAAAAGAACACAGCTCATCATGAACCTACAACAATGGAAGGTCTCATTGCTATTGTAAAGTCATCTTGGATCAATCCCCTAGTGATCTTTATTCCATTTGGAATTGCCTCTCATTTTGTATGGAGTCCTACTGTGACCTTTGTACTTAACTTTATTGCTATTGTTCCTTTGGCCAAATTACTAGGTTATGCTACTGAAGATATTAGTTTACGGATCGGTGAAGTAAGTCTATAATTTATTATTATTATTACTATTTTTACTAAATTTAGCGCTTATTTTTCTACTCCCCACTTGGTTGCTCAAACGAACTTTCTGACTTTTCTATTAGGTTCTTGGTGGTCTATTAAATGCTTCTTTTGGTAACGCTGTTGAATTGATCGTATCTATCATTGCTCTTACTAAAAACTTGGTTATTGTGGTGGTAAATAAAATTATGATTATGGTTAGAATGTGTTACTAAATTAAATCTCATTGTATAGCAAGCTAGTATGTTGGGATCTATTTTATCAAATCTTTTACTAGTCTTAGGCATGTGCTTCTGGTTTGGTGGATATCGTTATAAAGAACAAACATTCAATGTTACTGCTGCTCAAACTTCTGCTTCCTTACTCTTCATTGCTACTGCTTCCCTATTACTGCCAGCTGCCTTTTATGGATCAAGTCTTGGAAGTGAAAGTACTACTAGTGTCAAATCGGACGTTTTGATCATCTCTAGAGCAACATCCATTATTTTACTGATTATTTATTTTGCTTACTTATTCTTTCAGGTAAGAAAAAAGAAGAAAATGATTAGAATAGTGCGATTCATTCTTTTTTGGTTTTTATAGCTCAGGACTCATAAGCATTTGGTATGTCAATAAAAACAAACAAATAATAATGATAATAAAAAAAAAAAAAAAGGTGACACAACAACGGATACTAACCCGATCCTCCCAATATTAGTTTTTGGAAGAGGCTATTCTTGAAGAACGACGACCTGAATCAAGAAATGTAGATGCTCAAACTGGATTGGAACAACAAGAAGAAAACGTGAATAATGAAAAAGAGGAATTACCTCAAATGCCATTTTGGATGTCGATTTCTCTGTAAGTTTTTTTTAGGTTGTTTGTTATAGGCGGACATCGAATCAGATATATTAATTTTCCTTTTTTTTTTTTTTTTTTTTTTTTTTTTGTAGACTACTAGTGATTACTGCCCTTGTTGCTGTATGTGCTGAATTCTTGGTTAGTGCTATTGAAGAAGTAGTGCAACAATGGCATATTAGTGAAACCTTTGTTGGACTTATTTTGCTACCTATTGTGGGGTAAGATCATGATGAACTTTTTTTTTTTTTTTTTTTTTTTGTTATTTGATATCTTACCATTATTGTTATTTGAAATAGAAATGCTGCAGAACATGTTACTGCTGTTACCGTGGCTTACAAAAATAAGGTAAGAAGAACATTATTTCATTTGGATAATCTAATACTTTTTCTTTATAAATTTTATAGATGGATTTGGCTTTGGGTGTTGCCGTGGGTAGTAGTATGCAAATCGCTCTTCTTGTCACACCTTTGATGGTCATTATTGGATGGGGAATCAATGTAGATATGAGTTTGTACTTTAACATATATGAAACTGCTGTTATGTTTATTGCCGTAGTCATGGTCAATTATCTTATTATGGATGGAAAGAGCAATTGGTTAGAAGGTAAAATTGAAAATGAGTTACACATAGCAACCATCATTACTAAACCTTTTTATCATGTTGTAGGATTGATGCTTTTTACTGTTTATATTATCATTGCAATCAGTTTCTATTATTATCCTGATAGTGCTGCTGTTTCTTTAGATAGTATCTCCAACTCTACAACTAGTGCCATTGCTACTTCTCCTATTGGTCATTGATTCTTTTGTATTTACTTTTCTTGTTGTAGTCGTAGTATATTTATTCATATTCTTTGTTTCAATTCATAGATGTTTAATAAATCCTTGATTTTTTTTAATATAGATGAAATTTGTAAAAGATCATATGGTTTGCATATGCCGCTGGCTGATTTTGAATTTGATTTGATGTAAAACCAGGATGCCCTTGGATAGTTTTCATTCTTTTTTTTTTTTTTTTTTTTTTTTTTTTTTTTTTTTTTTTTTTTTTTTTTTATCCTTCATAACAATGACTTTACCTACTTGGACACGTACTCGACTCACTAGTGCCTTGAAAATCAAATACCCTTTGGTATCAGCACCGGCAGCAGGTCATACAAGCAACAATCTTATCGCTGCTGTTTCCAACTATGGAGGATTAGGTTCATTAGGTGCTGCCATGTTACCTACTGCGGCATTACGTTCCAATATTCGTGAAATCCAAGCCATGACTAGTCAACCATTTGCCGTGAATCTATTTTGTCGTATGCAAGAAGCACCTACTGAAGATGAATTACAACAACCATACCAGCCTGATATTACACTCAATAATGTTCGTCGTCAACTCTCCATTCCAACACCTTCAAAATACACTCTTCGTTCACCACCTCTCATAGATCAAGTTCAAGTTATTTTGGAAGAAAATGTCAAGGTGGTATCATTCACTTTTGGTTATCTACCTGAAGATCTTACTCAGCAACTTTGGCAACAAGGTGTATATATTATAGGTACGGCTACTACTGTGCAAGAAGCGCTCTTTTTGGCAGGAAGTTCCAACGCATTACGTAAGGTGGACTGTGTAGTTGCTCAAGGATTAGAAGCTGGAGGTCATCGTGGTTCATTTTTACCTACAACCAAGGAAGGCGATGCGAATCAACAACAACTTTCGACCCAAGAGTTATCAGTTGCTGTTCGACAAGCACTCAAGGATAGAGAAGATATTGCTGTTGTATCAGCCGGAGGGATCAGTTCTGGAAAAGAAGCCGCCGATTATCTTACAAAAGGAATGGATGGAGTGGTGATGGGTACCTTATTTATGTTGTCTACGGATTCATCGACACCAAAACCTCATCGACAAGCTCTTTTGACTGATACTCAACCAACTCGACTAACTAGGGCTTTGACTGGAAGATGGGCTCGTGGAATTCCCAACTCATTGATGGATACTTTGGAAAAGCTGGACGATACAACGATTCCTACGTATGATATTCATTCATCAAGAACAAAGGATATTGTTAATTATGCCACTGAAAAAGAGATTCCGGATTACATGCTGCTTTTGTCTGGTGATCGTCATTTGGCTGGTGCAAAATATACAGAAAATGGGACATTATCGGCTACTCAACTCATGGAAAAGTTAGTCAAGGATATCAATGCTGTTTCATCGTAGTTTTAGTTTAGTATATGATTGAATAAAAAAATAAATTATTTTGAAAATGAATTGATATGATAGATCCTTGCCGCCCAAAAAAAAAAGAAAAAGAAATAACGTGATACTTGACTCAGATAGTATAATCATTCATCCTTATCATTTTCCTTAGAAATGACGTTTTTTTTTTTTTTTTTACTCAGGGTAAAAACTATTGCTAATATGAGTAAAGTTCATGCGAGCTGTCTTGAGTAGGACGTGATATCAACATTGGAAGACCCTACCATAAAAGGGTACTTCTGCCAGAAATGGTGTTTTCCCGGATACTCGGTGTAAAAATCTTTGTAGATCTATCTAGGTCCTTTTTTTTTTTTTTCTTTGTGATGATTTTAATCTTATATATGATTCAATACAATAGAAATCATCACAAGGCTGTATCTTAAGTTTTTGAACAAGGACGATTTTTTTATCGTGTAACCCTATGCTTACCAAAGAGGATTTTGAAACACCGTGTTTAAAAATTTGGGTGTAGAAATAAAAAAGTCGCCCTTTCTTTCGTTTTTTTTTTCTTTTTTATAGTTTCCATTTCTTTTATCAACAACCTTTTCAAAGAAGAGGAGAGTTGTCATGTCAAATAGGAAACAACACTACAATTCTATTCCGTCAACTGACGAAGAACAACAGCAACCACAACAACAAGAAAATGAAAATCAACATGGTAGTTATCCTTTATTAGGTAGTAGAGGGAATAGTGAAAGTACATGGTTTGATCGTTCATTTGGACGTGTCAAGCGACCTGTATTTATCTTGTTTATATTAGTTGGTCTTACATTACTGGTGACTATTGGATTTATCTTTTTACTTCCTTCCAACAAACCACGCGACATATGGCATATTCGTCCATTGAAACCTGGCATCTCTCCTCAGGCGCAACAAGCTGGTCTGGACAAATGTAAAGCAATCAAGACTCCTCGTATTGAAAACAAACCAAGTACCGATCGTATCAACCCTAGAGGTCAAGGTTCAACTCCTATCTTACTGAAGAATGCAAATGTCTGGGATGGTCAAGGCGGTATCTTGAACAATGTAGATATTTTATTGGCAGATGGCGTTATTCAACAAGTTAGCACCAATATCAACTCAAAAGATATCAAAACTATTGACGTTAAGGGTCATATCGTTTCACCTGGTCTTGTTGATATGCATTCGTAAGTATTATTATTATTATTATTATTTTTACCGGATGGCAAGAGAGTGGAATAATAATCATGATAAAAGAAGGATAAGCAGTAATGTACTCATCGATTCCTTTTTTTTATTATTATTATTATTATTATTATTAGACATTTGGGTGTGGATTCTTGGCCTGAATTGGCAGCAACTTCTGATACGAATGAAATGACTAGTCCTATTACTCCCTTTGTTAAATCAATTGATGCTTTCAACCCTTCTGATATAGCCATTCGCATTGTAGCTTCTGGTGGTGTTACTTCGGCATTAGTGTTACCTGGAAGGTAAAAAAAAAAAAAAAAAAAAAAAAAAAAGGACGGTACTACCATTCAACTATATCCAAGTCAAGCTCATCTCCTTCATTTTTTTATTCTATTTCTCATTATTTAGTGGAAACTTAATCGGTGGTGAAGCATTTGTATTCAAGCTTCGACCTGTCAACACAACAAGCAATGAAGATATGTTGGTTCAAGCTCATATTGATGAAACAAAGGAACGAAAATGGCGATATGAAAAACATGCTTGTGGTGAAAATCCAAAGGTAAAGAGAAGAAGAAAAAAAAAAAAACCTAAAAGCAAGTCGATAATAATAATGTACTTTCTTATTTCTTTGATTTTGTTTTTATTATATGTTCTTGTAGAGATTCTATGGTAACCAAGGAAAGATTCCATCTACTCGTAAGTTTTAATAAAAATAAAAATAAATGAATAAATAATAATTCTCAAGCTTCCGAAATAATCAATTTCAAACACACTCTTCTCTAGGACTTGGTGAAGGATATTTATTCCGCAAAGCTTATACGGAAGCTCAACAACTTTTACAACAACAAAATGATTGGTGCTCTGCTGCTGAAAATACATCTGCTCGCCTGGAAACCCGATTCCCTGAAGATATCGAATTGGAAGCTTTAGTAGCTATTTTACGCGGTGATGTCAAGTTGAATGTTCACTGTTATGAAACTCATGATTTGGAAGCATTCATTCGACATTCTCTTGAATTCAACTTTACAGTGGCAGCTTTCCATCATGCCCTTGACGCTTATCGTGTACCTGATATTTTGAAACGAGTTCCCAACAACATTACTATAGCAACTTTTGCCGATCACTGGTAATTTTTTAAAAACAAGAAAGATAAATATCCTTATTGACTTATTTTTTTTTTTTTTTTCCTTCAGGGGATATAAGAAAGAAGCCTTCCAAGCATCTCCTCATGCTCCTCGTATTCTATTGGATGCTGGTATTCCTGTTGCCTTAAAAAGTGATCATCCTGTTTTGAATTCTCAACATCTCGTTTTTGAAGCAGCAAAAGCTCATCACTATGGTTTGACTGAACAAGAAGCTTTCCAAACTGTCACTTCTGTACCAGCAAATGCTATTGGCCTGGGTCATCGTATTGGTTCCCTCAAAGTGGGTTATGATGCTGATGTGGTGATATGGGATCGATCTCCTCTGGAATTAGGTGCTACTCCCCTTCAAGTCATTGTGGATGGTATACCTTTGTTTGATGAAAAAGAAATCCCGCCTGTTGTGGACAAGACAAAACCAAAAACAACTGGTATGATTAAAAATGAGGTTCAACAAAGCATCATCACCTCAACTGGCGCTTCCGAACAACAACAACAACAATCGTTTGTGCTCACAAATATCGGTAGAAATCTTCTTGCAATGGATCATGAAGACAAGGAAAACTCTGATGATGTACTCGTGGTCGACAATGGCAAGATTGTGTGCTCTGGAAAATGTGCTTATGCTTTGATTGATAATGATATTCAAAAAATCGATATCCAAGGTGGATATATTGTTCCTGTAAGTGATTTTTTTTTTGTTATAAATATCATTATTCTGATTTTTTTTTTTAAAAAAAATAGGGTCTTGTTGCTGTTGGATCATCCCTTGGCTTGGTAGAAATTCCTAGTGAAGGTAGTACTGGTGATGGAACTGTATCAGCTAGTACTTCTCGTGATGCTAACCAGATTGTGGAAACTGTGGATGGACTTAAACTTGGTACTCGACATTTACAAGAAGCTTACAAAGGCGGTGTTCTCTCCGCTATTACTGCTCCTATATCAAACAATGTGGTTATCGGTGTGAGTGCTGCTTTCAAAACTGGTGCTGATTCTTGTAAGTGAAGCTGAAAAGAGAATGAATTTTTCTTCTTTTTTTTTTTTTTAAAAAAAAAGAAAAAAAATATCAATACTTAACTTCTTTTTCTTTCTCTTTTCTCTAGTATTGTCTGAAGGATCACTTCTCTCTTCTGCCGTTGCACTCCATCTTCAAATCGGTGATGGAGCTAAATCAAGTAGTTTCCCTTCAGTATCATCCCAAATTTCGTTTATCCGTCAAGTACTTGTTGAAAATGAAAAGAATGACAATTATTATGGAAAAGCTGCTCGGGGTGATATTCCTACGGTGGTGAACGTGAATAACAAGGATGAAATTGCTACATTGATAAGACTCAAGGAACGTATCCCAACTCTTCGATTGGTGATTCTTGGTGGCACTGAATCTCATTTATTGGCTCAACATCTAGCCAAAGCAAATATTCCTGTGATCTTACGACCATCATTATGTACACCTGCTGAATTTGACTCTATTCATTGTCTTACTGGGGCACCTTTAACTAACGGTACAGCAGCTCATATTCTCCATCGTCACGGGGTCAAGATTGGATTAGGTGTAGCTGATGATGGACTTGCTCGAAATTTGGCTTGGGACGCTGGATGGTTGGCGGCGACTTCACCTGGCAACAAAAATCAACATGGTATAAGCGAAGATGAAGCCATCCGATTTGTATCCACCAATTTACAAGATATATTTTACAACAACAATGACAAGTTGACCGATGGTTCCAATTCCTATGATAATGATTTCTCTGTTTGGTCTGGTAGTCCTTTTGATATGACTAGTCATTTAGTCTTTGTCCATACTCAAGAAAATGGGGTAAAAATGATAGTGTAGTTTATGTATAGTTTATGTAGTTTAGTTTTTATTTTTATTTACTCAAATGCGTGTATGGATAAACCAGTTTAACTTTTTTTATGTCATTCAAAGACAATTGAAAAAAAAAAAAATACATAGCTACTGTAGGAAAATGTCATAAAACTATTAGGATTGTGTACTTTGGATATCCTATATATATAAAAAAAAAGATCAATTGATAAAATAGGGAGTCCATAGTAAAGTAATGATAAAAAAAAAGAAATGTTTTTATTTGATGATGATAATAATATATAGCATAAAAACTAGACTATATGATAAAAAAAAAAAAAGGTATGGATGGAAGGCATAAACACCGTATATGGGAAGAGAGAAATGTTGGTTAATGTTGAACAACAAATGTCGAAGTTGGAGGAGAAGTGTTTTGTTGTCGTAGTTGGACCAATGTATCCAGTATATTTTGCAGTAAAGGAGAACCTTGAGCCAAGTACTGTTGAGCAATGTAAATCAGGATGGTGATCATGAAGAGAATAAGAGTGAATCGGACAAAGCTGTAGACCAGTCTAAAGATACCACGTAAAGTGACAAGAATCAATGAGAACAATGAATATAGAACAACCAGAGCAAGAAAGACGGGAATAATGTTGGATTGGACAGGTAAAGACACGAACTTGTCATAATACAGTTGGATATGTTCAGGGCAATTTTGATACACGGTGAGACCTACCGTGCTTACGACAGAAGCCACATTGTCAGGTGTTGGTAAAACGGTAATATTCAACACAACGAGTTGCTGATAAAAGTATGTATATATTTGTTTCAATGTTTGACCTACAACAACATCCATATTGAAATAATAATAAAATGAAATAAAAAAAAAAAAAATAAAAAAAAAAATATAAAGTAAAAAGAAACAGAGATAGAAACAAAGAAAGCAGTTGACATTACGAGCAACTCCGCCATAAAGTGATAAAATTTTTTGTGACATTTGGAAAATGCCGGAGATCTTTTTCTCTTTTTTTCTTTCTTTCTTTCTATTTCACATCACTTTAGCTATTATAATGAAAACTCAAACCATTGCTTTATATGCTGCCGGTGCAGTTGCTTTTCTCGGTATTGGATACCTTGTTTACTTTGACTATAAACGTCAAAATGATCCCAACTTTAAGAAACAATTAAGTAGGAGTAACCATAATTTAATACTATCTTTTTTTTTCTTTTTGCTTATTTTTCTTATTTTTTTTTAATTTTAGAACGTGAACGAAGAAAGGCTGCTAAGGCTGCCAAACAATCAGAAGAGGAACAAAAGGAAGCCAAGATCAAATTGATTGAAACTGTCATTACCGCTGCTGCACATGAAACTTACCCCAGAACACCTGAAGATATGGAAAAATACTTTATGGCTCAAGTGGCTGAAGGAGAAGGTTTATGCGCAAAAGGTATTAAAGTTTTTTTTTTTATAAAAAAAGAAAAAAGAAGGATAGGATCTTGATGAAATAAGGGATTTACAATTTTTTTTTTTTTGTTAGGTGAAGGATACTACAATGATGCTATTTTACCTTTTTACAAGGCTCTCAAGGTGTATCCTGCTCCAAAGGAATTGTTGGAAATCTATGAAAAGACTCTTCCTCGTCCCGTTTTTGAAACTATCATTAATATCTTGGCCATTGAAGTAAGTAATGACATCATGATTTTTGGACTTTTGACTCATTCTTTTCTTTTTTTTTTTTTTTTTTTTTGTAGCAACAAGCTGCTGAAGCCCAACGTACTGCAGATATTCCCGTAGAATAAAAATAAAAAAAGAAAGAAAAATACTTAGATTATGATCCTTTTAGACTTCTCCCCTCTCCTTTTTATTTGTTTAGACTATTTCACTTCATTATTTGTCAATAAATAAATAATAATAATAATCCTTATTTGAATTAGTATATATATATTTGAATATCTGTTGTATTTCTCGAATCATCTTAAGGATGTCTTTTTTTTTTTTTTTAATTGAAAGTTTTTGTATAATGATTCAGACGATGATGATTTATAGCCGTTGATAATATTACGATGAAGATCATAGCATTGATGATTGATCTTATTTCATGATAATCATTATTGTAGCATATCTAGATATCATGAATGATAATGTTAAAATATCTTTTCATCCTTGTGATGTATCATCCATCCAACATCAAAAAAAAAAAAAAGGAAATACTGTATCACCATAGAAACCTAGGACATTATCCAATGAATCTATTCTATTCACCATAGAAATAATAGACAACATATGATAATTTGGAATATCGATAGCTTAAACCATGATAAATGTGGATGATAATTTCAAAGATTATTTCTCCCTTTGTCTTTTACTGAATCCATGAAATTGATATTTTACTGTTTCCTTTTTAAGTGATCGGACTTGTATGCAAAAAAAAAAAAAAGAAATTAGGAAAACAAAGCTTCTTCTTTTGTTGGTCCCTTTAGATAACTTACAATGGAACTTGTCGATCAAGTCACTCTACAACTAAAAACAATTCATCTTGAAGGTAAAGAATAAATAATAATAATAATAACAATTCAAATAATAACTATTTATTATAGATACCGATATATCAGAATATATTGTTGGTATTGTAGAGGATGAAAGTTTAGAAGAAGACGAAAAACGTGAAGCCATCAGTGAATTCTTGGCTGAAACAACTGTAAGTTTCAAAAACAAATATTATCTTCCATTTTTCTAATAATTATTTATTTTTGTATAGGATGAATCTACTGATACGATTATTGATACCATACTCTCTCAATGGAAAACTATTCAACACAATCTCGAAAAGGAAGAATCAGATCGTAAAACGCAACAAATAGAAAAAGCTCAAGGTAAAGAAATAAATATAAAAGTGAATCTCTTTTCTTATTCATTCTTTTATTTAGCTCTCGAAAAAGAGCGACTCATGAAAGCTGAAAAGGAACGTGAAGAGTTAGCTCGATTGGCAGCAGAAACAGCATCAGCAAAACAACTTTCCAAGGAACAAAAATTACAACGAGATCGATTACGACAACAATATGGTGAAATGGATGAAGGATCAAATGATGGTAAGGAATAATTTTTTTTAAAAAAAATTGCGATTCATATATGATTGACTCTTTTTTTTTTTTTTTTTTTCTGTTATAGATGATTTGATGGTTAATCAAAATGCAGCTTTAATTCAGGAAAAAGAACGCCTACGGAGGGAAGAAATGAAGAAACAAAATGAAAAGGAAAAGGAACGCAACAAGATGCTATTGGATAAACAACGACAACAAAAATTGGACAAGGATGCTGAAAACAAGAAGAAGGGACCAAAAAAAGATCGCAAAAGAATATGATTTAGTATAGTTGTTATAATATAGAATTTAATATAGACTTATACAACTTTATTCAATAAAAAGCTCTAACAAAAAATCAAAGGTTTATACGGAACGTTTATTTTGTTTTGGGTGAACTAAGATGACGATGAAGGTATGATAAAACGATGATGATGTATGGTGATGACGATGGCAAATGAAAATAAAATCAAATCGTTTTTGTATTTAGTAGTAGAATAAGATCACTCTTTTTTTTATTTTTTTTTTTTATTGTCAATAGTATACTAAGGTAAGAGATTCAATATATATATATAAATAAAAGATTGAAAAAAAAGGGCTGGTTTTGGGGGATATCATGCTGGTAGGTAAAAATGAAATAAGAAAATACAAGAAAGGAAAGAAGGGAAAATGGGGAGAAATGGGTAAAAAGAAAAAAAAAAAAAAAAGGTGGGTGAAAAAGAAGAAAGAATAAAAATATAGAGAGAAAAAAAAAGATTAAAGAATTGTGAAGGGAGTCATCAACTTTTTCTTTTTCTAATATAAAAAGAAAAAAAAATAAGTATATGTAAAGAAGAAGTGTCGTGTACAAAAGTATATAAAATGGTAACACCAAGAAAAGTAAAATGATATAAAAAAAAAGAGGGTGAGAAGAGTAAGGGGAAAAGCATAGATATATAAAAAGCTAGAGAAAAAAAAAAGATCTAATTAAAGATATTCCACGGATTTACCGACATTGCCACACCTTGACAGTTTGATCAACACTTCCAGTAGCAACCACTGGTGATGTATGACAATAACTAACAATAAAAGAAGTAAGTTAATATTTCATTCATAATAATAATAATAAATTGCTTACCTAATACAAGTAACAAAATGAGCATGTGCTTCCAATGTTTTCATACATCGACCAGTTTTGAGATCCCAAATCTTGATTGTCTTGTCATCTGAAGCACTTAATAAATACTTTCCACTAGGATGCACCACTAAACCACGTACCCAATTGTCATGACCAACAAATGTATGGAATAGGTGTCCATTGATATCCCAAAGTTTAATAGTTTTATCACGAGATCCGGTAATTACATATTGTCCAGCTATTGGTTGATCTTTCGTCTTGCTCTATTAAAATAATAAATAACAATAATAATAATAATAATAATAATAATAAAGGTTATATTAAATATATATATATATATATATATATATATATAATTTTTTTTTTTTTTTTACCTCGATACCAATTAATTCTTCAATATATGGATAAGCATTCACAGGAGCAAAGATAGCCCATTCTACTACATGATCATGTCCCCTAAATTCCATTTTTGCTTCAGTTGATTGAATATCCCAAAGGCGAGCAGTCTATAATAATAATAATAATAATAATAATAATAATAATAATAATAATAATAATAATAATAATTAGTATTTAAAATAGAGTGATATAAAAGATTCTTACTTGGTCATTAGATGCAGTGATTAACCATTTTCCATCTTCACTTGGTACAACAGACCTAACCCATTCTGAATGTCCGCTGAAAGTTTTTTCACAATATCCAGAAGTAACATCCCATAATTTGATGGTTTTGTCACGAGATGCTGATACAATCTTATCCCCTGATGGTAAAAAACATACAGATGACACGCTATGATCATGTCCATACAAGGTCTTGATGCATTTGTAGTCATTGTTCACATCCCATACCTTGATTGTCAAATCTGCAGAACAAGATACTATCATAATAATAATAATAATAATAATAAAAGAAAAGGAATGATGAATCATCTATATATATATATATATATATATATATATATATATATAAATATATATATAACTTACCCAAATAATTTCCTTTTGGATCAAAAGCTAGATCTTGAACAGCTTTAGTATGTCCTTTCAATGTACATTCAAAATCACCAGATTCATAATCCCATATTTTGATAGTAGTATCTTCAGAAGCAGATGCTAATACTTGATAAACAGGATGAAATTCAACACGTGTGATAGGACTTCGATGACCTGTCAAACTATGCTGTTCAGGTGGTCGAGGAATCCAATCTACAGAACTTGTTTGTTTTCGTACAGGAGCATTATTCAATTCTTCTTGCATTTGAGCATTTTTGGTTTCCATTTCCATGATCTACAAAATAATAAATAAATAAATAAATAATTTTTTATTCTTTATTTTATTTTATCAAATTTACCTTCTTTTGTAATCTGATAACAGATGTCCATTTCTTTTCTAATAAACCAGCATACTTTTGTTTAGGATCAGGTACAAAGTCAGTAATATGAGTTTCATTCTTTAACATGGCAAAAGATTCAGAAAACCCACTAGCACTAAGATAATCAAGAATAGCTTTATGCCTAATAAAATAAAATAATAATAATAATAAAAAGTAAGTTATCCATTTTCATTACACCTTTTTTTTTATAATCAGTTTCATCATAAATAACCATGACAAAGAATGAACAAAAAAAAATAAATAAATAAATAAATAAAATAAAATAAAATAAAATAAAATAAAATAAAATGAAATAAAATAAAATGAAATAAAGATAAAAGATTTCATTAAGAATAACTATATTTTAATCCATTAATTCTTTGTTCAAGTTTTCACCTATAAAAACCTTGTCACTTTGTCATAGAAGTATATAATGAACTGTTTTCCCCCTTTTTTTTTCACCCCTGTCTTGTTCGCGCTCTTTTCATCTGCACCTCATTTGTTCTCATCCAATATATATATATATTTATTATTTATTTTACTTACAATTCTTCCTTTTGACGTTCTGAAAGAATGCTTGTCATTGATAAAATTGGAATATAAAAAAGAAGATGGATATATATATATATATGTATAAAAAAAAAAGAAGAAGAAGAAAGGTTAGACAAATGAAAGAAAAAAAAAAAGAAAAGAGGAAGAAAAAAAAAGAAACACCCAAAAATTTTTTACAGCCGCTCACTACTTTCCAAAAATCTCTTTGGGCAAATGCTGTCCCCTTCTTGTCTGCATCATTTCATTCTCCGTAAAGGTACTTTTTTTTCTTTCTTTCTTTCTTTCTTTCAATACATTCAATAAAACAACTTAATATTATATTTATTCCATTCTTTATATTCAATTACTTGTAACTTTCAAATCAACAGTGAGTCAAAGTCAATGCCACTTTAAGTATACTATAAAGTATTGTCTTTATTTATAAATATTCCCAATTCTTTTTTTTTTTTTTTTTTTTTTAGTACTCATTGAATTTTGAACAAGATATATATATATATTATGAACCAATTTGATATCATTAAGTGGCGTATGCAAACCTTGCAGAAGGCTAAGACCCACCAGAAAAACAGAGAACTGACAGGCTAAGACTGTGCATATTGTTTAGATGATAGTATGAAAAGTCAACAGGATGATATGTATAAAAGAATATTTTGTACAATAGGATGATATGACAGAATGGTATATACGTCGGATGATTTATAACAGGATTAACAGCAGGATGATTCATATGACAGCATAGAATAATCCATTGTTCTATTTGACTAAGGTTTAGTATAGTATCAGTATTATTTGATTTCGAAATAAAAGATATTTATTGAATTTTTTTTTTATATATTTAATAAAACAATATACTATTGTTATTTTGAACCAATTTTTTTTTTTGTTCAATATGATCGTATATGATACATTTGTGGGGAGGAGAGATGACAAGCAAAAATCACGTGGTTATGACTGAAAAATGATGATGTGGAGGAGAAAGGCGGGAAATCCTTGATGAAATGGAATTTGGGCTGACAAAAGCTTCATATGAGTGGACCAATGAATTCAATATCCGAATTTCGATTTTGCCCTTAAACTCTTTTTTCTTTTTTTCTCCACTTTTTTTATTCTTTTCTTTTTCTTTTTCTTTTCCTTTCTTTTTACTCCTTTTTTTTATTTTGGTAAATCCATCATGTCCGCTGAATTGAAAGCCGAAGTTCCCATTTCTCCTGAAAAAATTGAAAAGGCTGCTTCCTCCACTGCTCAATCTGCGAAGTCTTTCTTATCTGGTGGTAATGTTTTTTTTTTTTTTGTTATACTTTTATCATGACTAGTTGAAATCTAACTTTTATTTTTGGTCTATTATGCCGTTTTTTTTTTATTAAAGGGTTTGGTGGTATGGCTGCAGTATTAGTTGGGTAAGTAAATAATGTACAAAGGAAGGTTCATGGTTTTAACATTGTATTTTTTTTTTTATTTTAGTCAACCTTTTGATCTTGTTAAGGTTCGTCTTCAAACTACTGAAGGTGTATATAAGAGTACTGGAGACTGTTTCAAACAAATTCTTAAAAAGGATGGTATCTTTGGTCTTTATCGTGGTATGGCTACTCCATTAGCAAGTATTACTCCCATCTTTGCTGTTAGTTTCTTCGTAAGTATTGATAAATAAATAAATAAATAAATAAATAAAAAAAAAGAGTATTGAATTTATCTATTGTTTTATCTATAGTCATATGATCTCGGTAAGAAGATTGTTACTAGCTTCCGATCTGACAAGACAGAACGTCCTTTGAATTTGGCTGAAATTACTTTTGCTGGTGCCTTCTCTGCTGTACCCACTACATTATTCATGGCTCCTTCTGAACGAGTTAAGGTATTGATGCAAATTCAAGGACAAGGTGGAGAACAAAAATACAAAGGACCTTTGGATGTGGTTCGTCAATTATATAAAGAAGGTGGTGTAAGATCTATCTTCCGTGGTACCGGTGCTACTTTATTACGTGATTCTCCTGGTTCTGCTGCTTACTTTGTTGCTTATGAATTGATCAAGAAAGGTTTGACTCCTGCTGGTGCAAAACCTGATGATCTTAGCTTTGGTTCTGTTATTTTCGCTGGTGGTATGGCTGGTGTTGCTATGTGGTCTATTGCTATTCCTCCTGATGTTATCAAGTCTCGTCTTCAATCTGCTCCTGCTGGTACTTATACTGGTATGTTGGATTGTTTACAAAAGACTATTAAAATCGATGGTCCTCGTGCTTTATTCAAGGGATTAGGTCCTGCTATTCTTCGTGCTTTCCCTGCTAATGCTGCTACATTTGTTGGTGTTGAATACTCTTTAAAGGCTATGAATATGATGTTTTAGATTAGATTATTATAGAATAATATATTCCCCCCCCTTTCTCTATTCTCTCATGATTACTTTAGTATATTTATGGTTATTATTAGTGGGAAAAAGAGATATGATTGGTCTCTTTTTTTTTTTTTTTTGTATTTGTCCTATGGTTGTATATTCTAGAAGTTTTAAAACTAGATAAAGAAATAAAATTGTCTTATTATTATTATTATTCTCGATTTTCAGGAATTTTTAAGTGTTTGGACCTGCCTTATCAGGGCAAACTAACTGTGAGTTTTAAATAGAGCAAAAAATCACTTGTTCTCTCTTCAAACACCAAAATTTGATATTTCATCCCCGACTAAGACATTAATTATAAATTATTGTTCTTTCCTCTCCTTCTATTTCTTTCTTTCCTTTTTTTTTTTTGTTTTTCTTTTGTTAAACATCTTGAACCACTCTCCTTTTTTTTTTTTATACAGTTATTTTTATCAAGATGGCTCTTCGCATGTTAAAGTTAAATCAATTCACCAAAACCTCTTCAAAGACTTCTCTATCATTCAACAGAGTAAGATACATAACCATTCATATTGACATAATTAATCTTCTTTTTTTTTTTTAATACAAAAAAGTCTGTTTCCAACATGACTTCTCGTAGAATGGCTACTGCTGCTCAAGTACAACCCAAGACTCCAGTAGATACCAATGCTCCTGGCCCCATGTTACGATTCCAAAATAATCTTCCCAAATTACCAGTGCCCGCTCTTCAAGGAACTTTACAAAAATATCTCAAAAGTGTCCGTCCTTTGTTGAGTGATGAAGATTACAAGAAAACTGAACAACTTGTCAAGGATTTCGAAGCTCCTGGTGGTATTGGACAAAAACTTCAAGAACGTCTTGTTGCTCATGCAAATAATCCTGAAGTAGTCAACTGGTTGGAAGATTGGTGGTTAGACCAAGCTTATATGGGATATCGTGACCCCGTGGTTATTTACGTCAGTTACTTTTTCTACTATAAGGATGATAAACTTCGCAAGTTACCTGCCACTCGTGCTGCTGCCATGACCACTGCAGCTTTGGAATTCAAACAACAAATCGTCAATCAAACTCTCGAACCTGAATATGCCAAGGGAGAACCTATGTGTATGGATTCTTACAAGTATATGTTCAACAATTGTCGTATGCCCAAAAAACCTTCTGATTATGAAGCCATTTATGATCCATCCAAGCATTCTCATATTATTGCTATGCGTAAAAACAAGTTTTATGTGATCGATACTATTCATGATGGACAACAACTCTCCACTAGCGAATTGGAACAACAATTTCAACGTGTGATTGACTTGGCTGGCGAAGAAAAAGGATCTGCTATTGGTGCTTTGACAGCGGAGAATCGTGATATTTGGACGGATGTAAGTTTATTTTAATGATTATCAAGCAAAAAAGGGGAAAATCGCGGGGTTCCATTTATGTTTACATAAAGCGATATCTTTTGTGTGTTAATGATGTAGTGATTTGTGGGGTCATGGGTGCACAAACGTGAAAAAAATGACCAATACTCACATTTTTTTTTGATAGAGTCGGGAATTACTATTAGCAGCTCACCCCAACAACAAAAATGCCTTAAATCAAATCGAATCTTCTTCCTTTGTCGTTTGTTTGGATGACAGCACTCCTGTGACTCGTGACGAAGCTGTTCGTGAATGTTGGCATGGTGACGGTCGTAACCGATTCTATGATAAACCTCTTCAATTCATTGTTTTTGATAATGGCAAGGCTGGATTCATGGGTGAAGTAAGTTTTTTTTTATATATAGATAAATCTTATCTTACTCATTGTAATTTTGTTTTTTTTCTCTCTCTTTATTATAGCATTCTTGTATGGATGGTACTGCTACTTGTCGTTTGAATGAATATGTTTGTGAAGGGTAAAAAAAAAAAAAAAGAAGGATAACAACGAAGAATATTATTATGAAATTCAAAAAATACTAATTTTTTTTTTTTTTTTTTTTTTAGATTGAAGAACAACACTGTTAACCATGGTCCTGAAAAGATTCGCAACAATCTTCCTCAACCCACTGAACTTAAATTCCATTTGGATAACAAAAGTGAAAAAGCCATCCAATCAGCTGAATCTAATTTTGATAGTTTGATTGCCAAGAATGAAATGACTGTATTAGCTTATCAAGGTTATGGCAAGAATTTGATCAAGAAATTTAAATCTTCCCCTGATGGTTTCACTCAAATGATTATTCAATTGGCCTATTACAAGATGTTTGGTGTGTCACGTCCTACTTATGAATCAGCTCAAACTCGAAAGTACCAACGTGGTCGTACTGAAACTGCCCGTAGTGTTACCACTGAATCTGTTGCTTTTGTCAAAACTATGGAAGATCCTTATGCTACCAATGAAGAGAAGATCGCATCTTTCCGCAAGGCTTTGAAGGCTCAAGGTGCTTATATGGCTGATTGTGTCAATGGTCATGGTGTAGATCGTCATTTGTTTGGTTTAAAAAATTCTTTAAAGTCTAATGAAGATGCTTCTTTGTTCAAGGATCCTGCTTATGCTTACTCTTCTCATTGGTATCTCTCTACTTCTCAACTTTCCTCTGAAAACTTTGATGGTTATGGTTGGGGACCGGTCGTTAGTGATGGTTTTGGTTGTGCTTATATGATCAAGAACAATGCTCTTCAATTCAACATTGCTAGTCTGAAGGATTTGGAAGTCCATGGAAAGAAATTTATCAATGGTACTCATCACTTTAAGCAAGCCCTCGAAGATGCTGCCAATGATTTACGTGATTTGATGGAAACGGAATTGAACGCTGATGCCAAGTTGTAGATTTAGTTTAGCTATTTTATATTACACCAACACTTATTGTATATACATATATAGACTACCCCATTTTATCTCTTTACCTAGTCCTTTCTTTTCTGATTTCTTTTTTATACACCATCTTTATGATAATAAACTTATTTTTTCTGATGATTATCGTGAAGAGCGATCTTTTATTTTATTTATAGTAATGCGCATTCACTTATAATGGATAAAAGATGGGCTTTGCAAAAAGGACATTCCAAGAAAAATGGAAAACGATCCCAACTTCGGTGATGATGACGGCATAAAAGAAACATGTTCGATTTTGTGCAACGACACGTTACAGTCAGACTGTATTCTTCCCAAAAAAAGACATCTTCTCCACGAACAAACCAAGTAGATCGACGATGAAACATTTTTTTTTTTTTTTTTCTATGGAGATCAAATAAAGTTTCAAAGGATTTTAAATTCAACTTGATTACTTCAACTGATTATAGTGCAGAAAATCATGAATATATAAAAAAGGATCATTCTGAAAGAAATTAGACCACAGATGATGTTTTGAAAATGTCAAACCGCATATAAAAAGTGAAACAAAACTATATATTTATTGATCTTAACATTATGGACACACAGAAAGGGGAGGATACATATACAACTTGTACATTTGGATTCATATAAAACACAAAATAACTACTAAAATAAATATATATAGGGGTAATATATAAAAGAGAGGGGAATAAAAAAAAAGTGGTAAAGGGAATGAATACATACATACATACATACAAGAAAAGAGTAGAAAGATACCACTAAAGGACAGAGACAGAGAGAGAGAGAGAGAAAGAAAAAATCATTCTTCATGCTTAGCGACATTGTATTGCTCCAAAATGGATTCCAATTCTCTGACACGTTGTTGATAAGTGACGACTTCTTGTTGTAAAAGTCGAATATGGTCCACAGATTTCCTTAGAATAGCGCCTTTATTTGGTTTCGTCATATTTCCAGTATTGTTTCCACTCATAGAAGGAGATTGATTGCCATTATTTCCTGGATTGGTAATTTCTTCTAACATGGATTCAGGTAATAAACAACCCAATTCGTGAATACGTTCATTAATGTTTTCTCGTCGTCTTCGTTCCACTATTATATAAAAAGGTATGAGAAAAATAGATGTATACTATCCAGGTACGATGTAACACAAAGTAGAAGAATATATCCTAAGTCCTTTTTTTTTTTTTTTTTTTTTTTTTTTTAGGTCAGATAACAAGCCTTATTTCCAAATTTACCTGCATTGTGTGATTCTCTTCGGCGTCTTCGTTTTTCCATCATGGCTTGTAAACTATGAACGGTAAAATGAAAAGATGAAACAAGGTTTTAGTTCCTGAGGTTAGATACTATTTTATTTTTATAAAACTAGACTTTTGTTTTTGTTTGATATTTTTTTTTTTTTTTGAGAGAGAGACTTACTTGACTTGCATGGCATAATCATCTTCTAAATTTTGAGGTAAATCGGTTAATTGTTGAGGATGATGATTTTGCGGAGGTATATTCATAGATAGATGTGTTTCTGTTGAACCAGTAGCTACGGCAGCACCAACGGAAGGAGAACCTATAGAAGATCGAGAGTTGAGATGGAAATCATAACCAATATTTGCAGGAGCCGACATTGGAAAACCAGAAGTAATACCATTAGGATTAGTAGAGACTAAAGAGGATGAAGAAGAAGATGAAGGATAACCAGGTTGAATGGAAAGACCAGATGGATGATATTGTTGTTGTTGTTGCTGTTGCTGTTGTTGTTGTTGTTGTTGTTGAAAAGTGGATGGTTGTAATTTATTTCTTTCATTCATAAGAAATTTATATTGTTTACTTCCAGCTGCTAACATAGAATGTCGTTGTTGTGGATGATGATGAATATCCATGGGTCCAACAAATCCTGAGCCACTATGAGGCGAAGTACCAAAATCGTCATAAAGGCTAGTATCACCCAAAGAAGTCATAGAATAATCTGATGGTGAATCTTCAAACATTGGTAGTGCATGAATTAATTTCTTTTTTCCTGTAGAAGGTTGATAATCCATATCATCCATATCTTGTAAAGTGGTAGACATGGGTGATAAAAAACTTTGAGAGAATGTATCTACATATTCAAGATGGTCATCTTCCAAAGGACTACTATGATGCCAATGGTTATTATTGTTGTTGTTGTTACTCATTGTCTTGTCGAAACGTTGAATGGGCGAACACTAATGAATAATATTGAATTGGTGTTGATAATAGAGAATATATAACAGATAAGACAAAAAATAAAATAATAATAAAAAAAAAAGAAGAAACTAAGAAAAAGAAGAAGAAGAAGAAGAAAAAATTTAGAGAGAAAAAGGAACGATACTATTTTATTTTTTCTTAACCTTTTTTTCTTTAACTTTTTTTTTTTTTTTGCTGCGGGCGGGCTTTGAAACCAAAAAGGGATATTGATTGGTTCGATTGGTTTAAATGGATGGTGTGAACTTGGTACACACATATAAAATGTATATGTAAAAAGTGTTATAAAATTAGGATGGCTAATCTAAAAAAGGAGATAGGAACGCATGATAGATCAAATGAGGCCATTTTTATTATAATTATACTAGTATTAATAAATAATAATAATAATAATAATAAAAAAGTTGTACACTTTTTTTAATTTAAAGAGGTTGAATATAGTAAAATTGGCCTGTGCTTCATCATGATATACAAATGACTTAAAAAATAATAAATGGTATCATAGGTCACAATACTCTCTTTATCTCTATACGGACACATTATTTCCCCGAGGTTCTCTTTTCTTTTTAAAAAAAAAAAAGTCTGCTGAACTTTCTTTTTCTTTCATCTGATGTAACCCCATGAACCAAAAAAGTAATACTTTTTTTTTTCTTTTATTATTACACAAGTCGCATGAACAGTGCGCATTCAGGTACAATATATTATTATGGCAGAATACTTAATGATTATCCTTGAAAATTATTGAAAGTTGAATTTTATTTCATGTCATCATATCAAAATAGGACATGTGAACTCACTTTTTGAATAAAATGAATAATTTTCTTTTTTGACAGATAAATTTGTATTAGCGTCATTTCTTGCATGAATTTATTTAATCATCATCATTATAGAATTATCATATTAACATCATCATCTTAGAAAAAATCATCACCTGCAAAACGTGCGTCATCGATTCTTACTATCTTTTTTATTTATTTATTTATTATTTTTTATTTTTCACTTCTTACTTCCATCTCTTTTATTTTTTTTCTTCTTTTTATCAGTTTATTAAGCATCCGTTTGATAAATGAATGAATAGATTCAAACGATGATTTCTAGTTTTTACAAAAAGAAAAAAAAAAGAGTTACACAACAGACAGGAACAAATCCAGTCATAGTGTAACATCACCATTGTTTTTTTTTCATCTCTGTCTCTTTGAAAGAACAAATCGTCGTTCAATACATCATCAGTTGCACAAACCTGCTCGATTCACTCGGAATTTCAATTTATTACAGTGATTCTTATGATGATCATGGAGTGATTATAAAAATCTTATTGATGGAACCAAATCGCATAATAAGATGGATGATTTACTATTTTCAAATCACATCGTTATTTTAGAATTCTGTGGAGTCACATAAATAGTCATTGACTATGTGGATCATAAACATTATCATTTCATTGTAAACAATTCATATTTATTGCATAAAACTATGAGAAAGAATATTTTTTTTCCAAATATTTATACTTGTAAACTAAATATTCAATAGGTGATGGATAAAATAAAATGATAATAATAGTAATAAAAAAAAAAGCTAGTTAAAAAAATGATGCTTGTCATAAATTCTATAGGAATATCATTTACTATTCTAAGCATATATATATATATATATATATATATATATATTCATCACGGGTCATTTGATTGCTTGCACAGTTGATCATCCAAATATGAGCGACCGACATAACTAAAGTTTTTGAAATAGGCTTGCATTTCAGTATCTAAAGTTGTAAGTGAATCAATAGGGGTGTCCTTGATAATTTCATCAGTAAATTTTGCATCAAAGTTTTCCGCCAAAATAGGATCAGTCTATCACCATTTTTGGAGAAAGTGTGGAGAAAGGAAAAAAAAAAAACGTTAGATTTTTTTTTGTTTGTTTTTCAATCTAATATATTTTACCACAACAGGAAGAATGGGTGGAGTCAATTCCCGTGCCTTGAGTTTCTGCCAATCCACTTTGCGGAAAAATCCATGTGATTTGATGCGTCGAATGCCATCTTTACCATTTCCCAATCGAACATTTGGATTTTTGCGTAAAAGCTATCAAGAACAACAAAATAAGAAGAAATTAATAATATAATATAATATATTTATATATATCATTTGTTTCATACTCGTGTCAATAGATCCTTTGCATCATTAGATAAAAAGTACGGTAATTGTAACTTTTTCTTTTGAATGGCATCCAAAGTTTTCTTTTTATTGGCTGATCTAAAAGGAGTCTATAATCAATAAATCATATAAAAGTGAGTTGAAATATGATATATTTGTATTCAATCATTCAGCTTACATAGCCAGTCAACATCTCAAACATCAATATACCCAATGTCCACCAATCAACAGAGTTGTCATATGCCATTTCCATTAATATTTCTATACATATAAATAAATTATATCAATATCATTTTTCATCCTTTTTTTTTTTTTTTTTTTTTTTTTTTTTTTTTTTTTTTTTTACCTGGAGCCATGTACTCGGCTGTACCACATATTGTACTTGTTCTTCCATCTAATGATACTTTACTTAAACCAAAATCAGTAAGTACAACATGGCCTTCAGCATCCAACAAGCAGTTCTCTGGTTTCAAGTCTCTAAATAATGTACAAAATAATAAAAAAAAGAAATTGAATATCATATGATCATCTATTTATTATTGGTTTACCTGTAGACTATGCCAAGACTATGTATGTGTTCCAAAGCTAATACAAGTTCTGCCAAATAAAATCGAGCAACATCTTCAGAAAACATATATTCTATAAATAAACTTTTTAGTAAGTGAATTCAAATTGTTTTTTTTTTTTTGTCTATTTACCCGTAGCCATGTGAGTAAATAATTCACCACCAGGAGCATATTCTAATATCAAATAAAGACGATCATTTGTTTGGAATGCATACATCAATTGAACAATAAAAGGATTTCGGACTTCTTCCAAGATTTGACGTTCAGCTTTGGTATGTTCGGCATTCTTTGTATGAACCATTAAAGAAGCTTTTTTGAGTACTTTCATAGCATATAATTGTCCAGATTCAATATGACGACAAAGCATGACTTTTCCATATCTATATAAAATAATCAAGTTTCAGAATATGATATATATATATATATTAATAATCACTTACGCCCCACGACCAAGTAATTTGATAATATCAAAGTCATCCAAACTAACTTTTCGTTTTTTCTTCATGGTTTGAATATCACCAGTTGTAACAGAAGAAGAGATGAATGATTTTCTACCTAGTTCCACTTCATAAGTAGTTTCATTTGGTTGGATCAATGTTGGTTCAGGAGCGTCGACTTCAGAAGAATAACCACTTTCAATTTGTTGAGGAGGTCCAGTCATGATAGTAGAAGCAGTAACAGTATTGGTAAAGGAAGGTAGTTCATCTTTCATACTATTGGCGAGTTCTTTAGTTACAGAATCCAAAGTCAATTCGACAAGAGAAATACTATTATTGGTTGTAGTACTATCTCTTCTTAATGGTCGTAAATTGTCATCATCGTCGAATTCGAATACGGCACTCATGTCTTATAAAATGGTGGTATCAAAGATAATAATAATAATAATAATAATAATAGAGAAGGGAAAGTCAAATAATAAAGAGAGAATATAAGGTATTATTTATGGAGTAATGCACAAACGTCGAGGTACAAATCCAAGCTTAAGAAGAACAGTGGAAAAAGTCATAAATCAAGATCAACAAGGAAATTGTCTCAAAAGAGAAAAGAAAAAAAAAAGTGAAAAAAAAAAAAAAAGAAAACCCCTCTTTCTTTCTTAAATTACCTTTCTGTTTTTTTTTTTTTTTCTTTCGAATACCGCACTGGACGTCATTCAACGGTACTTTTTTTTTTTTTTTTTTGGAGTTCGAGAATCATTTTTTTCCTTTGCTGACCGCACTTTTTTTTTTTTTGTTTCTTTTCTTTTTCATTTTATTCTCTCTTTCTTTATCTATACAAACATAGATTTGTTATAACAGTTTACTTAAAATATGGAAATCGATACTACTACACCACCTGACTTTATGGATGAAGATCCAGTCAACACCACAGCTATGGAAGAAACTGATTTATATTCTGTCGCTGTTTTGATTGACGAACTAAAACACGAAGATATTCAATTCAGACTGAACTCTATTAGCAAATTAGCCATCATCACCGAAGCCCTTGGTCCAGAAAGAACAAGGGATGAACTTATTCCTTTCTTACAAGGTAAAAAAAATAAAAAAATAAAAAAGAGTAATATAGACGCGGAAGGTTTTATTATTATTATTATTATTATTATTATTATTCACTCTCTCTCTTTATCATTTTGATATCTTTTTATTATCTTATTGTATCTCCTTATTTTGGTTAGAACTAATCGATGACGACGACGAAGTTCTTGTAGTTCTTGCTCATGAACTTGGTCAACTTACCAATGCTGTTGGAGGTCCTCAACATGCTCATGTATTACTTCCTCTCCTTGAAAATCTATCTGCAGTAGAAGATGTTTCTGTTAGACAAAAGGTATTATTATTATTATATAACAAAAAAAAAAAAAAGATGATGAAAGGATATGAAAAGCATTACTTAGTGATATTCCCCCTTTTTTTTTTTATATGTATAAAATGTAGGCTGTTGAATCTCTTTGTCAAGTTGCTAATGTCTTGACCGAACAACAGTTATTGGAACATTTTATTCCTTTATTGAAACGATTGACTTTGGGTGAATGGTTTACTTGTCGTACTTCAGCTACTGGTCTTTTTGCTGCTATCTATCCCAAATGCTCCAAAGATACTCAAGTTGAACTTAAAGGGTAAAGAATCATTTATCTTAATATCTATTGATCTATTAACATTTTCTCTTATTTGGTTTGCTATTGATCACATATTATAGTCTATTCAAGCAACTGGTAGAAGATGATAGTCCTATGGTTCGACGCGCTACTGCCAAAGCCTTGGGTGTAAGTATCCTATTTTTTTTTTTTTTTTTTTTTTTTCAGAAGAACGAATAAGACTGATACATTCCTTTTTTTTTTTTTTTTTTTTTTTTTTTTTTTTTTATCACATCAAGGTTTTCGCTACCAAAGTTTCCATTGAAGATGTATTCAGTACAGTTCTCCCTTTATTCCAAACATTATCTGAAGATGATCAAGATTCTGTACGATTACTTGCTGTTGAAAACTTTACACCTTTCGCCGGATTTTTCAGCAATGAACAAAAAACCCAACAATTATTACCTATTTTCAAACGACTAGCCGAAGATAAAGCCTGGCGTGTTCGTTATATGATTGCATCAAATTATGTAGAGGTAAGAAAATAAAATAATATTTTGAAAGGATAGATTGAATACTTATTCTACTTTTTTTTTTAATTATAGATTTCTCAAGCCTTTGGAGATTCACTCGAGGAGGAATACTTTACAACAGCCTTTATCAATTTACTCAAGGACAATGAAGGTGAAGTTCGAACTGCTGCTGCAAGTCAACTTCCTGGTTATGCCAAACTCGTGGACAAAACCGTCATTTTGGATAGATTACTACCTTGTGTTCGTGATCTAGCTGTAGATGAAAATCAGTATACTCGCGCTGCTCTTGCAAAGGATATCAGTGGATTGGCACCTATTGTTGGTCAAGAAGCGTAAGTTGATTAATATATAAGTAAAAGGCACTCACCAATTTATTTATTTATAGAACTACCGAATATCTTTTGCCTACATTTTTGCAACAACTTACTGATGAATTTCCCGATGTGCGACTGAATGTGATTTCAAATCTAGATGTGATCAATAAAGGTAAATAACTTTTGATCATTTGAAATAATGTGACAAAAGTTTGTTGATTTGATTTCTTTTTTTGTAGCTATTGGTGTGGAACGATTATCTCAAGCATTACTTCCAGCTATTATGGAGCTTTCCGAAGATAAACAATGGCGTATTCGTTTGGCTATCATTGAATACATCCCACTTTTGGCAAAACAATTTGGACCTACCTTTTTTGAAGAAAAATTATTGGATCTATGTATGTCTTGGCTTCGAGATCTTGTATTCTCTATTCGAGAAGCAGCCACCATCAATCTACAAAAGTTGACAGATGTATTTGGTCCTGAATGGGCTAAGGCAGTGATCATTCCTCGTGTATTGAAAATGACAATGGATGAAAACTACCTTCATAGGATGACTACATTATTTGCTATGACAGTAAGAAGAAAAAAAAAAAAAGAAAAGCAAGAATATGATAATGAGAATGAATTTGAGACCCATCTTAAATATTATATGTATATACTTTTTATAGGCTATGGCAGAATCTTTATCAGTACAAGTGATTCGTGAAGATGTATTACCTACGGTGATCAGCTTATCCAATGATCCTATCCCAAATATTCGATTCAACGTGGCCAAGTCATTGGAGACCTTGATACCCTTACTGAAGAAGAATGAATCAGCAGCTGGATTATATGAAACAACTGTCAAACCTGCCTTGGAAAAGCTTAGTGAAGATATGGATGGTGATGTCAAGTTTTTTGCATGTCGTGCTTTGGAATGTGGACAACAATAAACTGTGGTGATTATTCATTAGTAATAGTTTGACTTCTTTTTATTATTATTATTATTATTATTATTGTTATTATTGTTATTTTTATTATTATTACTACTATTTGGCGGTTTTGAAGACTTTGGTCAGCGTGAAAGATAAATAACAAAAAAAAAAAAAAGGGGTTGTGTTTATACAGTTAATTTCCTTTTTCGGGACTTTTTTTTTTGTATTGATCTTGTCTCTCTTATTGGTTTATCGTTTTACTTTATCTTTTTTTCTACTATTTGTATTCAATTGGAACCAAATAAAAGAAAAAAAAAAGGATTGGGAAGACTCTATAGTGGATGATGTTGAACGAAACTCTTTTATATGGAATGAATGAACCTTTTTTTTTTTTATGTAATGGGATGTATTACTGCTATTCTTGTAAGTTATGCTCCATTTAAATTCTCCGTTATTATTATTCATAATAGTAAATGGATTTGCTATTGTTATAATGAGGAAGATGACTGATTAAGGATGATCATAAAACCAACCAGGATAAATGGCATTTTTGTACCTTTTTGAATTGTTCATACTACTTTTTTTTTAATTCTTTTATTTTTCATATACTAATATTGTTCTTTTCTTGCCATGGCAAAGTATTCGTCATTGAAACGATTGGAAGGGTTGGCAGGAAATAAAGGACTAGATGATTTACATTTACCAACTATTACAGATGCCAATGCTGAAGATGTAGTGGGTAAGATTCAATCCATTATTCTTATCATTAAAATCAACTTTTTTTTCCCTTTTGTTGAATCATCATCATCATCATTCAGGATTGCAAGGTGAGTAAGAATAAGGACAGTAATCATTATAATGGTAGTATTCATAATCATCTCTTTCTTAGGTCGGATCAGATTACAAAAGAATGATCGAGTGGCTACAAGTACTTGGATTGATTCACAAAGAACAACTTTATTGGCATATGAATATCTTTGTCATATTGGAGAAGCAAAACAGTAAAACTAAAACTAAATAATAATAATAATAATAAAAAAAGAAATCGTATGACTGATATGTCATTCTATATTGATTTAGATGGATTGAGGATTGTATTCAAGAAGAAATACCACCAGTCATTCATTTGGAAGAAGCTTTAAGAAATGGTATTGTACTGGCCAAACTGGCTAATTGGATTGTACCTGGTTCAGTGCGTAAAATTTTCTATGTAAGTCAACCTCTACCTTTTTTTTTTTTTTTTTTTTTTTTTTTTTTTTTTTTTTTTTAATACTCATCATTTATTTTCTAACAGGGTCAAAAACTTCAATTTCGACATTCTGACAATATCAACTATTTCTTTGGTGCTATAAGATCTGTGGGTCTTCCTACTATTTTTTGGTTTGAATTGACTGATTTATATGATAAGAAAAATATTCCTAGGGTTATTTTTTGTATTCATGCTCTCAGGTACCAATCATTCTTATTACATACATACGACTATTAACACGATAATACCTTTATACGGTAATACGTTCTCCAACTTTTTTTTTTTTTTTTTTTTTTTAATAGTCATTTACTTTCTCGACGGAATATTGCTCCTGATATAAAGAATCTAATAGGCCATCTTCACTTTACCAGTAAGTGCATATATACTTAGTTATTCTCATTTCAGAAAAATGATTCGCTATCGGCAAATAAATTTTAGCCAATGGTCGAATAATTTTATCTAAGGTCATATTTGCATTAAAAAGCCGGAACTAATTTTTTTTTTTCCTCTCTCTTTCCCTGTTACTCTCCAATTTTTTTTTCCTCCCCTTTCTATTATAGACGAAGAACTTCATGCTACTCAAAAGGTGTTAGATTCTTCTGGTGTTCCTATGCCAAATTTTGGAACGTTAGGTGTTTCCTTAAAAGCTGAACTTCAAGAATACGATGACGATCCTCAAGGTGCAAAGACTCCAGAATTAGTCAATGGTGAAGATGAATCAGATGAAGAAGATGTTTTGACTCAAGAAGAAAGTAAGTTATTATTCGTTTTATTTATTTTACATTTATTTCTCTGTCATGAATTCATTATTATTATTATTTGTTATTGTAGAATGGCAACAGTACTGGACATCTGTGGAAGATCAACGACTTCAAAAGTTGATCCTGTGTCAATCTTGCATACGACGCTGGCTCACAATCAAGCACTACAAACAGATGAAGGAACAACTCTATAGTACATGTATACAAGATTCTACTGTACAACTTCAAGCTCATATACGAGGTTGTCTAGTTAGATTTCGACTTGGGCAACGACGACAATTGTACACTGAATCTATTACCTGGATATGGAAGGTATCGTATGACTGAAAAGAAAAAGAAAGGGCAATATGTAAATTGTATATTAACCTTTTATGAATAATGATAGTTTCAAGCAATTTGCCGTAGATACTTAGTCCAAAAGAAATTATCTGCAAAGGCTAATCATTATTTGAACAACATGGATAAAGTCATCAAGGTTCAACAACACGTGAGAAAACGATGTCTCAACAGGAAATATGAAAAATTGGGTAAGAATAATCTTTTATGATAGCGAATTGAACGAAAATAATCTCATCTAATTCTTTTCCTTTTTCTCATTGGATTAAACATTTATAGAAGTAGATAACAATCCCACGATCGACACGGTACAAACATTTGTCCATCTTTTGGACGATAGTGAACTGGATTTTGACAGCGAAATAAGTATGCATTTTAACTGATTTTTGTATGTATATATGAACTAATATTATCTTTTTATATAGATTTGGAAGAAATGAGACAACAGGTGATTGAACGAATTCAAGAAAACAATCATCTGGATGCACATATCAATTCATTAGATATTCAAATAGCTTTGTTTTTGAGGAACGCCACTACAATGGAAGAAGTCATGAAACATTCTGGAGCTCTCAAGAAAAAGAAGCAGCGCATATTGAAACAACAAGCAATGAAAGGTCCTTCTCGATCAGATCCACACTCATTGAATGGCATGGATAAGGCAAGCAGAGAAAGATTGGAATTATATCAACACTTGATCTATTTACTACAAACGGAACCAAAATATCTGGCAAGATTATTATCAGCTCTTACTCTTCATCAGGTTGTGGGACGACATACGATATACCCGCTGATTGAATCCACCGTATTATCCTTATTTGGTTATACAACAAATGCCCGTGAAGAATATCTTATGATCAATCTATGCAAGGTAATAAAACCAAAATAAATGAAGATTATATCCACTTATATTTCCATTATCACCCCTTGCTAACCTTTTTTTTTTTTTTTTTTTTAAAAAAAAAAATCTCCATGACTACAGTATTGTATTGCGGAAGAAATCAAGGGGGCACATAACGTTCAAGACTTCTTACGCGGCAATTATGCATTCATGAAATTGATTGTACAGACCAATAGGTAACAGAGGTTTCAAAACATCAAGAATATCGTGTTAATAACATTTCTTTTCTTCTCTTTGCTTTTTTAGGGGTGCCAAAGAACGTAGATTTTTCAAAAAGCTAGTTCGACCTTTGGTGACTATGGTGATTGAAAACAAGGAACTGGATTTGGAAACAGATCCTATCAGTATTTATCAAAAAGTCATCAATGAAGAAGAATCAGCTACAGGTCGACCTACTTCTCGTCCATCTTCAGTGACAGCACAAGGTGCTTTAGCAGATAAAGAGGTCAGAAACAGATTCATTTCTCACTTGCGCAATGTCCGGGAAACAACAGAAACATTCTTGACAGCCATCATATCCTCTATCGACGACGTACCTTATGGAATCCGTGTTATTGCTCGTGAACTTCGCCTTACTCTTGAAAATACTTTTCCCTCAGAATCTCGTGAACAAATCACCAAGATCATTGGCCATTTTATCTATTATCGTTATATGAACCCTGCTATTATGTAAGTACGACTACAATTACCTTTTTTTTTTTTTTTTTTAAAAAAAAAAAAACATGCTCTATTAAATTTATTCATTGTTTCTTACTTTTTATTTATTTTATATTAGTGCTCCAGAACAATACGACGTGGTGGATGCTGTCATTAATCCTGTTCAACGTAGAAACCTTGCTGAAGTAAGCACACAATTCTTCAACAATAACAATAATAATAAAAAGGTTAACTGGCTTTTTCTTTTATTGCGTTGACAGGTCTCGAAAATGCTTCAATATATTTCAAGTGGACAGGTTTTTGATAAGGCAGAATATTTCATCAGTCCTTTGAATGATTATGTTCTGGAAGCTGGTGATCGGTTTGCTAATTGGTTTATGGAAGGTAAGAATTGAATAATAATATGGAAATACATCCATTTGGGAACTAAATAATGAATTTTATACATTATCATTTTATATAGTAACCGAAGTGGAAAGTCCAGAAGCCTATTTTGATATGGATACTTTGACTGATCATACCAATACTCGAAAGCCGATGGTTTATATGACTCCAATGGAACTGTTTCATTTACATTACGTACTGGAAAACAACATGGATATTTTAGAACCTGGTGTTAAGGACGTGACCATCCGTAGGAATGAAGGTGGAACTCCTCTATCTGACTTGTTGACATCGCTTGGACCCTCTAGTTTTGGACCAGATCAAACCATACCAAATGATATTACTGTTCGTCTTACACTTACAAGTCATCGTGATGATTTACCTGTAGATTCAGCAACCTGGCTTCGACAAGCCATCTTTGATACAAAACGTCTGGTAGTTTATGTCATCAAACATCAAAGTGGACCAACTTTACTTGATATTTTGCAAGCACCTGTGGAGCAAGAACATGAAAGCAATTGGGAAAAATTCAAACAAATAGAGTTCTTGGGTACTACAGCTGACGACAATGATAACAAATCTACCTTCAACAACAGTAAAACTATGATGGCAGCGAAAAGACGGCTTCTACAATTGATAGCATCTGAAACGGCTCTGGATTTGTATTGGTAAGAATGATTATGAGAGATGTGATATATAAAGATAAGAGATATAGTTACTCATTATATATTATTATTATTATTATTAGTTGTACTTTTGAACAATTGAAACAGCTGGCTTATCGATTTGTAGTCCATTTGGAACGATGCAATGTGATTAATTCAACGAAAGGTTATCAAGATGTTATCAACATGATTGCTCGAGATATCACTGGAAAAAATGCTAGACGCCAAAAGAGAACACGTGAAGTATCTAGGATGAAATCCATTTTGGCTCATTTACAAACCAAATGTGATTATTTACTGGAACAAGGCAATCAATACGAAGATTATTTGAATGGATGCATGACAGCAATGGCCAATAAAACATCGAAAAACAACAAAAAAACACCTCTATTATTCAGCCGGCAATACTTCCATATTCGAGAAATACAGAAATCTGGATTTGCCGTTCCGCGGTTTGGATCATACAGGTATACAGCGAAGCAGCTTCATGATCGGGGTATCTTGGTGAATATAGATTATCCTGGTATCAAGAAAACAAGGTATGATCGAATTGCAATGGTATTTTCTATGGATCAAGCAGGTCTTATTGCGGTAGAGGCAAGATATGCTAAATGGACAAAGAACAAATCCGTCACTCCAGCTGGTGCAGTGATTAGTGATAGTACTAGCAGTGTCAATTTAATGTCTCCTTCTATCTCTTCAACCGGTATCTATACTGTCAATCCAACAACGAACATGATGATGGGATTACGTGTGGATTTGCGATACGAAGATTTATTACAAGCTCAATTTGAAGGCACTCAAATGATCACCTTATTGGATGATGCTGTCAAGGTGAATTTGAATCTTTTGATCTACTTTATCAATAAGAAGTAAGTATAAAGAAAAAAAATAGCATTAGTATGATTTATTGCATTACTTATTTCTTTTTTTTTTTTATGGATAGATTCTATTCCTAAAGAAACAGATTTACCTAATTTCTCTTTAATCGTTGGGGTCGTAGTTATATATATATATATCAGTCTATTTTATAGTTTATTTTATTATTAATTAGTTTATATTATCTTTTCTATTCCAATTTTTGTATTCCAAATAAAACCGTCTGGTCTCCATTGGAGTTTTTTTTTTTTTTTTTCTTTTTTTTTTTCTTTTTTTTTTTTTCGAAATCAATGTGGCGATTGACCGATGATTTGATAATGCAAAAAAAAGGAACAAGGGTTTTTGTGTAACTGGTGTCTGTATTTCGATGAAAACTAAGAATTCTTTTAAGGTGTCCGTTCCAAGATCAGATATGATAAAGTTCTTTAAATAGGGAATCGTCCATATTAATCAATTTGGCGCATCCATTCTATCGTATTCATCTACACCCAGCCAAAGTGAATTACATTCTCATATGTCCATATACGCAACCACATCAAGATATAAAACAAATCAATAAAGAAGGTATATAAAAGTTTATTTCATTTCCAATAAATAAATCATAAACTATTAGTTATCCATGCTAGTACTATTCTATTTGGAATATTTTTTCGCTCGATGCTTTGTAAACTCATAATCCGCCATATCGCTTTGGTGACCATCATAAAAACATTGTTGACAAAATCGATCATTATCACAATCTTGACATTCAATTGTAGCATCTTCGTTGCAAACACCTATCAAAAGTAAGAAAAAAAAAAAGAACAAGGTCATAAGACAAAAAAAAAACAAATATCCCAAATACATAAAAGTAAAAACTTTTTATCAACTTACAACACCAATCATCCATTTCATCATGAAGTTCATTGATGGTCAATGGTTTGGGTACAGATCCACCAAGAGGACCCTGACTTTGTTGTGTTGCTGAAGATGATGAAGATATGATGCCATCTTTTTTCAAAGCCAAATAACGCCGTTCCAAATCATCATCTCTTTGTTGTTCAAAAGCTGCATATTTACTTTCCACTGCGGCTTGATCCTGTAACTGACATAATAATTGATGACCTTCGTCGTCGAGAATAATATCACCTCTTTCCTTGCTTGGACTTCCTAGAAATGCGTCTTGCCAAGCATCCAGTTTTGCCTTTGTTGTTGTTTTGTTGATGGTGGGTGCCTTTGATGATGTGTTGAGGATATCTGCCAAATAATCGTCGTCATTAGTATCATTTTCGCTATCTTCTAGATTAAGTAATGTTTCTGCTTCTTGAAGTAACCGTTCGACCTACATAAGAAAAAGAGATATGAGGGAATAGAGTAACATGAGATATTCATTATATATTACGCAGGAATATAACCATTCCTTTTTTTTTCTTCTTCTTTTACCTCCTTATCATCAACATGATCAGGGACAGTATAATTGAATGGTTTCTTTTCATTCACACTAGGAGCAGTGGTAAACACGTTTTTGAATCGTTGAGCAAGCTCATCGCTATAGAAAAACCAAGGAACAACATACGACATTAATAGGAATATTATTTTTTATTCTTCTTCTTTTCTTTTTCTTTTTTCCTTTTTTTTTTTTTTTGCTTACTCGTTGGGTATAGGTTTATCATTGTTGAATAGTTTATCCATACGTTGTTGTAAATCTTTGTTATCATTGTGTATTTTCTTATTGGAAGACATACAATTGAAGAGAAAGTGAAAGAGACCAAAAAACCCCAATAAAAAGGGTAAATTTCGAGCTGCGATCGACCTTTTTTTTTTTTTTCTTTTCTTTTCCTTTTTTTTTTTTTTTTTATCTTTCCTTCTTTGCTACTTTGTCCTCCCTTTCTCCCTAAAGTTCTTTCTTTCATCGTTTGGGGTTTACCCGGTGACACTTTGTTGGTCTATGACATTGGAAAATTATCATATTGTATCTCTTGAAGGTGGAAATGAGAATTTTATCATTGACAAGCGATACAAGATCTTACGCAAAGTCGGGTCTGGTTCTTATGGATCAGTGTGTAGTGCCATCAATACTGAATCAAAAGAAGGTAAAAAAAAAAAAAAAAAAAAAAAAAAGGCTTGTTTGCTATCATAAATAAACTAACCAACTTGTAAATATTCTTTTATTATTATTGGTTTGTTGTTATAGTGGTGGCTATCAAAAAATGCTTTCGAATATTTGACCGAAAACTGATTACAAAGCGGTGTTTACGAGAAATCAAGTTACTTCAACATTTCAATGGTCATCCTCATATTGTGGGACTTCGAGATATGGATATTGTGGACCATACTCTTTTCAACGAAATATACTTAATCTTGGAATGCTGCGACACGACCATGAGTGATGTCATTCACAATGTTCAACTTGAACCTGTCCATTATCGCTGGTTTATGTACCAAATCTTCTCTGCTCTTCATTATATTCATAGTGCCAATGTAAGTTAAATAATTAGAATAAATCATGATAATTTTAAAACGTTTTTTTTTTTTTTTATTATGTTAGGTACTTCATCGTGATTTGAAACCTTCCAATATTCTAGTAAATCAAAATTGTACTTTACGAATATGTGATTTTGGTATGGCTCGTGGATTTGTTAATTCATCTTCTTTGGATCATCCTTCCATGACTCATTATGTGGTGACAAGATGGTATAGAGCCCCTGAAATCATGCTAAGTCATAGCTCATATGATAAAGCAAGTAAGTCTAAAAAAAAAAAAAAGATTTATGCAAGAACTCATTCCATATTTTTTTTTTTTTTTTTTTGAAAAAGTTGACATGTGGTCAGCTGGTTGTATATTTGCAGAATTACTTGGACGACGTGTGTTGTTCAAAGGTACCGATTATGTGGATCAGTTAAAGAAAATTATTGGTGTACTTGGTCTTCCTAAAGATACTTCTTTTTGGGATGAAACTACCTCTGAATCTGTGATTGAATATATACGAAATCTTCGAAATGCTGATGGTTGCCCTCCTCCAACAGAAACTATCGACTTTAGTACTTTGTTTCCCCATTGTCCACCAGAAGGATTAGATTTATTAGTGTCTCTACTTCAGTTGGACCCCAAGAAACGATTACGAGCAGAAAATGCCTTATCTCATCCTTATGTGACTGATATGCGAGATCCTGCAGAAGAAATGGCATGTCCTGTACAATTCGATTTCAGCTTTGAAAATGTACATGATCAAGATACCTTACGTTCCTGTATTGTGGATGAAGTGATGACATTCAAGCAGCGATGGGATGAAGATGATTGGGATGATGAAGATCATTTGAACAGTGATGGTGATGATGACGATGATATGGATGATACAATGATGAACAATGATGGAAACGACAATGTAAACACCAGCAGCCCTTATAGCAATAGTTATCATGGTGATAGTTTGACGGCAACAGATGGATCAACTACAGGACGAAGCAATAGTCATCGAACGACTGGATCATCATCCTCTATTCTATCGCGAACAAATTCATCTACATTACCAAAAAGACGATACACTGGCAGTTCTATATCAACACCCATTTCAGCATCAGCAACAGAAGCCCATCTTAGTGCCCTGGCGGCGGTTCAAGAGGGTCGTGATGTACCTATTATTCTTCAGGAAAATAGCTCTGGGAACATGATCATGGAATCCGATCAAATTGTAGGTGAACCTGAAGATATGGATGAAGATGACATACAAGCAATGCATAGCGATGAAAGTATACAAATCGATTATCACCGAAGACTACTGGATCCTAGCAACACAGATGTACAAGCCATTGAACGACATCTTAGTAGAGATTGGTAGTAATTTATGATTGTAGTATTTACATCCATTTATTTCAATAAAACATATCTCTTATATACCAATTTACTTTTTTTTTTTATTGTATTTGAATGATGCTCCGGTTTTGACCTCCAATAATATTTACATTTACATATATTTGGAAATTTTTTGTTCTTTTCCTGTTTTCAATAAAATTCATCGGAAAAGCACTTTCCTACTATCGTATGTTGGTGAGTTACAAGACAACAGAAAAAAAAAGCAATTTCATTGGTTCATTTTTATCTAGGGGGGGAGTGTCAAAAGTAAACCTTTGAGGGGTGAGCATAAGAATTCCCTTTCTTTTTCTTTGTGACAATGATTCTTTCAACACCTAGATTGATACCTTTCTTCCGCCCTTTCGTGCACATTTCAAAATTCAGTACGACCTCTTCTTTACTTACCTCCACAACTGAAACGACAGCAACGACCAATACAATAGTTGAACCAGACGACTTCTTTCACCGGGTAGATTTACGTGTTGGTAAAATAATAGATGCGGAACATCACCCTGAAGCCGATCATTTATATATAGAAAAAGGTAAGCAATAAAAGACAATGGAACTTTGTTAGATAATACTGTCATGTATATTCAAATATTGTGTGTATCTGTATATGTCAAAAAGTCTTAACTTTTTTTTTTTTGTCTCTCTCTCTCTTTTGGTTAGTGGATGTTGGAGAAGAACAAGTTCGAACCATTGTCAGTGGTCTTGCGAAATATATGCCAAAGGAAGAATTGAAGGTATAGTAAACAATAGAATTGAAACATAGTTGAACTCTTTTTTTTTTTTTTTTTTTTTTTGACGTAGGATAAGCAAGTGATAGTGGTGGCCAATTTGAAACCAAGTCGTTTTCGAGGAGTATTATCTCAAGGCATGTTATTAGCAGCATCAAACAAATCGATAGTGGATTTATTGACGGTACCTCACAATAGTTTGAATGGTGAACGCGTTTTTATTGAAGGATCTTCTTCCTCCTCCTCTCCCGACAGTATCCTGAAACCCAAACAAAAGGTATTTGAACAGGTTGCTCAACATTTGATGACGGATGATGATGGTATAGCAACCTACAAGAATTCGGTATTGATGACTTCGGCTGGCCCTGTCTTTTCAACCAAGGTGAAACATGGTCAAATTTCTTGATAGTAGCATAATGTAGATGTAATTTAGGAAAACATAAATAGTGTTTTTATTTTATTTTTCTCATTTATACATATAGATCTCTCTTTCTCTCTCTCTCTTCGTATTAAGAATGCTCAATAAAAAAAAAGATTTTCATGTCTCGTTTATGCTCCATTTCTTGGATTTTTGGAAAATTTCATATTTGAACCGACCAGAGAGATCATTTCGTTCTAGCTATCATCAATATGTTATCGAATTTAATTTTCTATTTGTCTTTTGTTCTACAATCTCCATACCCCATTCTATATTAGTAACAGATCACTATGATGTTCACTCGAAAAAAAGAGAGTCTTGAGTAATGAGTTTATTGAAGAGGTATAAAATAAACAAATATGGATGTAAAATGTAAAAAAGGTAAGCACTGATCTAAACTACAAATATACATTAATGTTCAAGATGATTTTTTATCATTCGAAGTAACAGGTTTCTTCAATCCAGCACGAGTATATATCAAAGTACCAAAAATGACAAAAGCAGATCCAATTTGAGCCACCAATCCAAAAGCATTTTCAAAGTAGATAATGGAGATAACAAGAGACGTAAATTTGCGAAGATTGAGAACAAGATTTAATGTAAGTGAAGTACAAACAGCAGTCATCCGATTGACACCAGCAATACAAATATATCTATCAAGAAGAAGGAAAAAAAAATAAGTATACTCTACTTCAAATTAAAAAAATATTCATTTTGAAACCAACTTACTGAGTAATCATATTCAAAAAGAGATAGGCCCATAGTTTTGGTACAATAAATAGATTCAAATAATCGGCAATGATTGGAGGGATCATATGGAAGATAGAACCAAGCAAAGGTACTTCATCAAATACAGTCATCAAAGGTGCCATAGTAGACATATTGTACGTTTCTATTTGAGATTGAATATCCTTGAAGAAAAGTAAGAAACAGGGCAAGGCAAGAAAATGCTACATAAAAGATATTTTCAAAAAGTAATTATTAGACTAGTTGCATAATAAGGTAATACTATCTTTTTTTTTTCTTTCTGTAATCACTTACAGTGTAAAACAATCCTTCACGCCATTGTTTCCCATACTTTTTGTAAGTAACTTCTTGGAAAAGACCCATACCAGCTGATAAGATCATCGCGATCACTAATAAGGAAATACCCGTGACAAATTCAGTCGTACTACTGGAGCCAGCCTACAAAAAAAACAAAAAAAAAAGATGAATCAGATACGAGATATATCACGTATATAATTTACTTGAGTGCTTGTATTCGAATTATCTAATGTAGCTAGAATAACACCAAAAGTTACACACAGAACCCCAATGATTTGGCCAAAAGAATATCTGAATTAAAAAAAGGAGGCATGAGTTTTGATTTTCTAACAAAAGATCAAGAACATTCTTTTACCGTTTTCCCAGAATAATAGCGCCCATAATCATATTCACAATAAGACCACCACTTCGGAAAATGATATGCAATGGTACAGAGATATGATATCCCAAAGCAAGGTTATTCAATACCGATACTGTAAAGAAGAGGATTACCAGTAACACCCAGTTGTAAATAGGTACTACAGTTTTCTTAAATCTTGGACCATACGTTCCCCATTCTAATTGATGTCGTATTCCTTCGAGGGCAACAAACAAAAATTGTGCAAAAGTTACCAAATTACCTACAATGGTAAAAGGTGAGTATATCTGTTTTACTCTTGAAGAAAGTATATTACTCTTTTCTTCCTACTTACCACTTTTTGGTGCATCACTAAATTGCATAAAAAAAAAGAAAAAGAGGAGAAGAATAAAGAGATAAAGTCAAATGACATGTCATATCTATATACTTACGTTACAAGGACTTCAAGAGCGAACACGTTGCTACAACAACCTCCGAATATCAGTGATAATATAATCGGTAATTCTGGAGCTATGATTTGAGCAAGAACACCAATAAATGTTGAAGAAGATGTCATGGAACAAAATAAAGATAAATAGATAAGAGAAGAAAAGGAAAAAGAAAAAAAAAAAAGAAGGGAGGCCTCGCTTTTTTTAAATTTTACCGACCCGTGGATTTTGCCAGGGCGAAAAAAAAAAAGAAGTGGATTCAAACTCACTCTCTACTATTGTATTTAGCCTTATTCCGAAATTCAATGATTATTTAACAAAAAGTTTACAATTCAATGAATAAAGTTCTATCGTTTGACGTACTACAATGTAGAAATCCTAGGTAACTTTTTCCTTTCTTTTTTTTTTTTTGGATTATCACCAAGATAATTCAACAACACAGCTGGCTTGATAATAATGATGATGATGATGATGTTGGTTTATCTAGTTTCTATCGGTGAGTAATATATTCTTTTCATACACTATGGCGAACTAATGTTAACTTTTAGTTTCAGCAACATCATCATAAAAATCACACTAGCAACCTGAGCCATGGAGCTATGATACAGTATTAATGTCATAACATCTAGTAAATCTTTCTGTATTTTTATGTTCTTCATCTATAACGTCTTTAAGTGTAAAAAAAAAAAAAATGAATGATACTAATTATTACATAGTCTTTGTTTTTGAAACAGGGCTAGTTCATCCTTGTAATTCCAAATTGTGACCAAAAAGGAAATCATAGGCGGTAATTGAAACGAGTTTTTTTTTTCTTTCCTTTTTTTTTTTTTTTTTTTTTTTTTTTTTTTTTTCATTTACAATTTGATTCTTTAAATAAAAGATTTCATCATGACGACATGCACACGAGACGTATTATCCCGATTACAAGCACTCTCTAAAGCACAAGAAACACGAATAGCTCTTTACCAAGAATTTGATGAGTAAGTCATAAAAAGAATCACTACCTGATTCTCTTCTTCTCATTCGCGGTCCTTTCTTACTTTCTATTCCTACATAGCGCGTATCAAGATTATCTTCAAAACAAGTGTCCTACAGAACAGTTTTATTCCATTTGCGGTATTGTTACGGAAGGTTTCCAAGAAGTATCATTGGAAATTCAAGCTATTGAAAAGGAACTTTCAGAAAAACATAAAAGATCGGATCTTTCTATATTAATACGACGACTACAGCAAGCAGAAAAGGACAAGTTATATAACGTAAGTCATAATAGAACACATTATAGAATATATATCTAATCCATCAATGTTTTCATATAGACAACTCATTTGCAAATATATACTATCAAGTCAAGGAAAGAAGAAAAGGATTATGACACGACCATTCAAGAAACCAAACAAAGGTAATTCATATAAAAATATCAAGTGGATGGGACAACCTTCTTATTCGATTTCTTTTTCCTTTTTATTTCTCAAGGCTACAAGACGCTGTGAATGCTATTCAAGAAGTATGGGACGAAATACGACAAGAAATCACTGATTTAACCTATGCAGCACAATGATACATAGAATAGAATAGAATAATCATGTAATATATATCAATCATTTTATTATTGTTATTCGTTTTGAAATGTACAAAATATATATTTTTTTTTCTTCTTTATTATTCATCAAATTGAACAAAATGGAATGGGGTGGTTGTTTTGTTTTCATGAAGTCTATGTAAAACTATGTAAAAAAAAAGTTGGATCGTGAAGAAGAGGAGAGGATGAAAGGAAGAGCGATTTTGTTGATAAAAAAAAACATATATATATAAAAGAGTTGTGGATGATCTAGTCTTGAATAATATAAGGTAGTTTACATGCCAGAGCCACGCAAGTCTTCCAAACGCTTCACAATGAACAAACTGGTGTCCAAGAAACGTTCCACACAGTTGGACAAACAAGCTTCTTCACTACGGTCCAATTTATTGTTGACTTTGGAGATACATTTGTCCTATAAATATGAAGACGTAAGTTTGTTTTGTTTTGACAGTATTTCTTTTTTTTTTTACCCAACAGCTATCAGTCAAAGTATGCACAGTTTGTTGAATACGAGCTTTGGCGTTTTCGGCTTCAAGGAACTAGAGTTAATAAGAAGAGTCTATTAATCAATAATCATATCCTTTTTTTTTCCTATGAATCGGTCATTATAAACAATGGTTGAAGTACATTTCCCCATTACATAACAGATCTAATCCTGTTCTTTTGTTTTTTTTTGTACTGAATAATAGATAGTTTACCTGAGCGAGTTCACGTTGGTCGTTTTCACTGAATTGAGGTTGTTGAGAAGACATGTTGATTTGGTTGTTTTGAAAGAAAGGAAAAAACAAGCAACTTCCCCCCTCACACTTTTTAGCGTGAATTTTTTTTTTTTCATTCACCCCGACTTTTTTTTTTATTCCTTTTTTTTTTAAGGTAGTTGAATTTGTTTCAAGCCACAAGTAGGAGAAAAAAACGTCATTTCCTAATTTGTTTCCCAGAAAAACCTTATTGGCCATTTTAGTTCCTTAAAATCACTTTTTTTTTTTTTTGAACGAATAGATGGATCATTCAATTATTCATGCTTTTTTTAAAAAGTTTTAATGTAGTAGAAATCCTTGAATAGGACAATCCATTGTAGAGTTTCTTGTTTTGGATGAATGATCGATCTCCGCATCCATTCATTATGCCATAATGACTGATGGTTTTCACATGTATCAGGTACCCTTTAATTTTCCCCCATCAATTGATTTGCATTTTTTTTTTTATCTTCTTCTTTTTATTCTTCTCTTTTACCTTGATTATCTCTCATGAAAATTGATCCATCACTTGTAGGGAAATATCCTGATTTAGATGATTATGTCCGTTTATATGCAAGACGTCAAGGTAATGTTGAGTTTTGGGAAGATTATATCTCTCCTTACTTGACTATCATCTTTGCTGATAAAGATAAATTGATCTGGGAATTTGATGTGCATGATAATCATTGTAATCAGTAAAGTGACAATAAAAAAAAATATATGGGATCATCTTTTATTAATGTCTTTTCTTTATCTATATGTAAATAGACTCGGAAATCTACATGGAGGATGCGTTGCTACATTGATTGATGTTTGTAGTTCCTTTGCTACTTTAGTACATGAAGGTAAATTCTGTGAGTGGGGAGAGGATGAGATCATGTGCCAATAAAATATAATTATATGACTAATATCATTTCATCCATGTTTAGGCACAAATCGTTGGGATATGATTGGTGTCTCTACCGATCTTGGAGTATCGTACATGAATGGAGTATCATCTGGAAATAGAATTCGATTAGAATGTGAAGTACAAAAACTTGGTAAAACCCTTGGGTATATTTATACAAAGGTATATGATGAAGACAATAGAATATGTTACTCTGGTTCACATACAAAATACACCATTAGTCGTAAATCCAACCTGTAAATCAAACAATACATCATCATCGGTAGTGGTTTTCAATGATAATAATAATAATAAAAAAAAAAAACTCCCTTCCAAAACATCCAGGCTATCAGATTTATTTTCAAATATACAAAAAGGAGAAGAAAAAAATGGAATCGATACAATATATCTATTCTACAAAACCGAAAGCGGGGAAGAAATGAAGGGGAAAGTCAGAAAAAAAAAGTATGGTGTAATGAAGCTGTAATGATGAATGATAATAAAAATGTATATGTATCAAATAGAAAACAAACAAAAAGAATAATAAAGAGAGTGTAAAACGGAGGAAGGATAATCTATGAGTAAGTGTCGACCAAGGTATCACGTAATTCGTTGACAATAGCAGTAGGCTGAGCATCCTGTAATCTAAAGATACTTTCCATCACACTCAATTCGGTTGATGTTGTATCCATACCGGCAAAAGCACACCAATCGTTGACGACGGCACCAGCACCAATCACATCAGAACCACGGTTCACTGTACCAGCTACAAGAGGAATTTGCAATAAAGAAGATAATTCATCTTGATCTTGAATAGAAGTACGAGGATGTACCAAACCACCCTGGTTACTCAAAGCACAGTAAGATCCCACCAATACATTGTCAGCCACCGTTTGTCGAAATACTTCTACTTGAAGACTATCAGCGATAATTTCTTCCGTTTCCTATTTTTTTTTTTAAAAAAAAAAAAAAAGAAAGAAACAATTAATCCCAAACTTATCTCTTTTCCTTTCTCTAATCTTTTTTTTTTATTTACTCTATCAATATCAGGATGGACAAGAGCAACATAATCATTACAAGCAATCACATTTCCCAAAGCAGATAAACGTTCTTCGACACGTTGAACATGAACTTTATCAGGTAAACAGTTTCGAAGATGTTGAAGTTCTTGATCGGTTGTGGTGGAAGGTACAAGTAAACCGTTCTTGTTACCAGCAGTCAAACGACCAACAATACGAGTACCAGCAATAGAAGTATGTACAACAGGGATAACATCACCCAATTCACCTTCGAATACACTAAAAAGAAAAAAAAAAAGAATAAGAACAATCAAGTCTTTTTTTTTTTAATTTACCTATAAAAGTTTTCAGAACCACCAAGAGCAACCAAACAATAAGAGTTGGTCAAACGGGAAAACACACCGATTTCGTTGCTGTTTTCAAATTGTGCACCTATTAAATAAATCCAAATACCATGAGTTTCATTCTGTATTTACTGACGAAAAAGAAAGGATATCTGACTTACGGACAGCCATAATGAATAATCAATTAAAAAAAAAATAGAGGAAAGAAAAAGTAAAGAGAAGGGGAAAAAAAAGAAAGGAAAAAAGTTTTTCGTTTTTGTATCGAGAAATGTAGCCCCGCCGCAGCATATTTTTCAATACACAAAAAAGAGAGTTTATTTTTCCCAATCATCACTGAATATCAGCCACCGACTTTTTTTTTAAATCTTATATATAAATCTCCCAGCCAATCACGTTATTTTTAGATTGGTCAGTATCTTTGATAATGCTTTTTTTTTCTACTTTATAATCAATCATGATCGAACTTTTTACTTCTTCTTTTCTCATCAGATGAGCTTGAAAAAAAAATCCACTTAATGATGATTGGTTATTAACACACGAAGTCTATGGCTGATTATAATGATGTTGATACAGGTAAAACAGAAAAAAAAAAAGATTGGCGCAGTCCATTGGCGCAGTCTATTAGAGTTTGATGGCATCCCTTACAATGGATGAATAGGTAGATGTGTGTGTACGACGGTATGATGATACACTGATGATAATAGACATACGATGTTGGATGAATAAATAGATGATGATAGGTTTAGGAAGTTATCCTACGCATTGACCCCCCTCATCAAAATAATGCCGATCTTCCTTGTCACCTTGCTCCCCGAAAATGAAAACAGTATAATTAATTTTTATTATTATTATTATTTATTCTTTATTCATCGTAATTGAGAAAACTTTTCAATTTCACTTTGTAATTCTTCTACACTAAAGGGGAATGGTTCTACTACTTGTTCTTGTTCCTTTTTGGACAGCAACAAAAATCGTTCTATAAGATCGCCATCAATGTAATTCCGTGCTGCGCCAGTTCTTGTTCCATTGTTGAATGCTCGCCAAGATGCATAATCCAATTGTCCAATCGGCGGTGAGATCTCCAATAACCGTTCCTGTACAGTTAATAGATATTCGTACTCTTCTTCTGAGATTCCCATCATTGTACCAATAGCCCCATTCACAGTTGCATATACGATAGTCCACGTATCCCTTGTTTTCGTCAAAGTATCCATTTCATCAGCCAAAGTACCTATTAAACAGAAAAAGATCAATCATTTTTGTGTCTTCTTCTTTGAAAAAAAAAATACTTACCATGATGCATTCGATTGATCAAATCACCAAGATGATATTCACCCACAACGTCCATTCGTATAGATTCTCCAGATCCATCATTACTACCTATTGATTTCTGACTTGGTGTTTTCATTGTGAAGAGGTTGTGAGACATTTCGGCACCAATATAAACATCATCAGCCACCATCTTAACAGCCGTCATCCAATTTGCATTGTAATCATTCGCAATTGTTGTCATTGCAGATGTATCTTGATCGTTTAGTTTGACCAATGAAATAGATTGCATGAAATCACCAACTAGGATCAAATCCCCATGTGTATCCAGATCCAATGCTAAAACATTTGCATGTATCTTTTGTGACATGTTCAACTTTTCACCAACTACGGATTCAGGCTTGAAAGAATCTAGGTAGTACAGCTTATGCAAATAAAAAAACAATGTAATATACCGTAAGTTCTCTTTTTCATAATTTCTATCCCTCCCGCCTGCAAAAAAAAAAGACATACCGTTCCATTGACTGCAGCCACAATGCTATTTTTATATGATTTGATACAATACACCACACCAGGTACATTAATGGCATCCACCATATGATACGTTTGATCAGAGAGTACTTGATACATAATAAGCCTACCAATGCTTCGTTGTGGTTCGGATGGAAGAGTGATAGCAGTTCCAACAAAGACATAGGATTGTGTTTCGTCGAATACTTTTGCAACACATATTGATTCCACAAGTTCATATTCCAGTAGATCATGAACTTCAAGTTCTAATCATCCAAAAAAAAAAAGAATGAAAGTTTATCAATATTGTTCCTTTTTTTTTTCTTTCTTTCTTTTATTTCATCACTTACCTTGGAATGTTCTTGCATCATAAACATTAATCCATCCAGTTTTCAATTCAGCACCATTATCAGGACTCCATGTCAATCTGGATGTACCAACGACAAGAGTTTGAGATTCTTCATGGTATGCAATCCGTCGACCCATTTTTTTCCCAAGCGGTAGTTTTGAATAGTGTAACTTTCGTATAGGATCCAAATCTCCAAGTAATAATGCCTGATCTGTAATCACCAACAAAGAGTTTCGCCAGGATGCGCTGTTGAACATAGTGAAACCTATCACATTCTATATATATATATATATGATGCAAAATGGAAGGGTAAGTATGAACTATCTTTTTTTTTTTTTTTTTTGATTCTTTACCTTCAAATTGATAGCAGAATATACTAAGTGATTTCGAACACTATTGATGACGGTTGGACGATCAGATGCTGCAAATACTACAATATCATCATGAATCGAGAATGAAGACAGAGTAGCGGTTTGAGTCCCTAATGTGATCACATTCGGTTGTAAAAGTTCCATAGAGTTTGATAACGGATAAACTATTAATCTTCCATCGCCTAAGGGAAAAAAAAATATTAATAACTCTTATCGTCATGATTCCTATTCCCTTAAATTCTCTTATTTTCTACTATACCTAGTGTAACGAAAATGTAACTTTCGTCTTGTAAAGTTTGGAAGAGTATACTTCGAGGGACTGATTGCTCTACAGTATCATAACCAACGACGGAGAAGGAAGATAAATTCAAAATCTGCACGTTTTGTCCACCCCATAATCCAACGGCTACATAAGAATGATCCATATTTTTGCTTTTCAACATGGTCAAACAAGAAATTTCATGTTCAAGTTTGATATTACTAAAATAATTTTGTTACATAAATAATAGAAATGATGAATGAGATGACACCTCTTTTTTTTTTTTTTTTTTTTTTTTTTTTTTTTTTTTTTGTATCGCCAAGTCCTTTTTCATTTTACTTACTTTGCTTCAATAATATTTCCATCATCAGGATTGATTTTAAAGCTAACCAATTGCCCAAAAGTACAAGAGACAACAATACAGTCGTCATAACCAACAGCGCCATTAGTAATCTTAACAGATGGAGGAGGGAACCAGAGTTTCACCATTTTATTATTGATAGACGGAGACATCACTCTAATTTCATTTGTTGTAATTTGTATAATGTTACCATTGCTAAGGTTACCAGCTACCAAAGTTTGATTTTCTAAATCGAATGCTGAAAAAGAATCAAGTTCTTCCATAGACATGCCTTCGCCACTATCAGCTTGATAAAGAAGGCGTGTATTTCCAATGAATGAGAGTACCAAAAGATCATGAAATGAGTTATCCGAAATAGCATCTGATGATAATGACCATATACGTTGCACACCGCTAACTGGAATAACTGCACGTTCAATAAAACCAACACCACTTTGAACAACACGTAATGATCCATCATTATTTGCACCAGAACAGCAGACCATCGTTTGCTATTATATAAGAAAAGAAGAAGAAATTTAAGATGACACCAAGTACTTTTTTTTTCTTAATATTTCTATTACCCTTCCTTGTTTGTCGAGATCATAAAGACAAAAATCCGTAATAGGTGCTAAATTTGAGTATTCATCAATAAGTTCCAAAGTTGTTATTTTGCCATTGGTACATAACCTTGCTAGGGATGAGTCACCTTGTGATGATCCAAAATATAATATGTTGAAGCCAAGATATACAATCGATGAACATACAGCAGCCTAGTCAAATATCATAAAAAAAAATGATTGATTAACACACTTCTTCTTTTTCTTTTCTTCTTCTTCTTATATAGCAGTTCTTTTATTATTCTATTGTCGTTGTTGTAGTTGTTTTTACTTACCTCTCCAAGATATCGTATACTGAGATCAGTTACCATTGTACCTGTCGTTATAATAGATAGCATATATAATGTTCCAGTTGTATCACCTAAAATGCATCGTAAAGTAGGGCCACCAATATATTCGTACCTATACGCATTATCATTAAAATGAAGAAGTTAGATAACTATGATATTGTTTATAGTACGCAGAGTCACAAACTTACATTGTAATAATAACAGCGTCAATACTAATGGCCGCATCATTTCCATCCATATCAAAATAAGTAATCGTATATTCTCCCACTACCAGGACACCACCATAAGGTTGAGGAACTGGAATCAAAAGATGACATGAAGACTCAACAGGACCATCCACTTGATACCTTGGTGAGATTTGTCGATTTGGTGCCTTGATTTGATAAAATTTGACATGAGGTCCATCATCTTGATCGTATAAAATAGCAAAAGTTGGTGTTGTTGGTTCTTCCAAGGCAACCATTGATTTGATGCTGAATTCTTGTATTCTATTATAAGAGAATAATAATAAATATACCCAACCTTTCCCTTTATCTTTTCTAAAAAGATATTATTTTCCGCATATAATTACCTTATGTCGAAAGGATCAAATGTCATGCCGGGGTATGCTGTTTCTTTGCCTTTTCCTTTTATCGTCCGTATAGGTGCATTTCGAGATTGGAGTGGAATAACAAATAATAACCCAGTAAATGCGCTGACTACAATTGCACGGTTTTCAGGATCCAAAACACAAAGAACTTCGTCGTTGGGTCTAGCATTCTTTTGTTCCAATGTACTAGTAAAATCGGTGATAATTGATTTCGAGGCTGGGCTATATCGTAAGATACAAAACACTTGTTGTTCGCTAAGTACAAATAAAGAACATGTTGTTTGATTCTAATCAGACCGAGATTGGATAAAAAAAAAAAAAAAAAAAAAAGAAAAAAAACGGTCAGAGTGAAAACTATAATAGACCTTTCTTTTTTCTGGCTTCTTACTGGTAAGGTAACTGCTTTGATGGAGGCAATTCGACAGTGTAGGTTGAAATCTAAGACCGGTACAAGTATATCGTTGGAGAAAGAATATATTTCAATACGGGTTCCTTTACTATATAGGAAGAAAATAAAAGCATTAATTCCATCATTATAACGTCATATGAATATGCGAGTGATAATTTTCTTTTGTTTTGGAATATATTCACTTTTTATTATTATTACCTAACAATCAAGTTTGTATTATTGGGGGATATAAAGTTTCCTTTTATAGCTTGGTGTACAGCAGTAGGTGGTTGTAATGTGTTAATGTAGGTATATATACTCATGGCATAAATGAAAATAAAACAAAAAGAAACTTAAAAAGAGAAAGAGAACAAAGCGCGAAAAAATAAAAAATTCATCCTTGGACAAAGACATCCGCGTTGATATAAAGTCCGCCAGTTGGTTTTTTCATTGGTTTTTCATGTACAAGTCTAATACACAATATGTATAATAAGATTTTTCTTTTTATTCATTAAGAGAAAAAAAATGCAACTAGAAAAGAATAAAGGGATGAAGGATGTTCAATAATCTAAGCCTTGAGAGCACGGATACCCTTGGCAGGACGCAAGTTCTTTTGCTTAACAGGTTGTTGAGAAGAGATGACAGCGGAAGCACGAGCAAGAGCAGCCTAATAACGATGAGAATAAAAAAAAAAAATTAATAACAATGCATCTTTGTAGATAACAATAAGTTTTTAATAAAATAAAATAAAAAAAAAAACTCACGGGAAGGAGATCAGCTCTGTAGTTGCTGCGAGCAATCAAGTTAGCAACAGACTTGGCAGTGTGGCGACGAGACTTGGCAATGACAGTAGAGTTAACAGACTTGGCAGGAGAAGAAGTCTTCTTAGTGTTCTTGGTCAACTTGATACCACGAGTAGCAGCTTGGATACCAACAGTCTATTTGTATTTTAATATAAGTACATTGATAACATATATATATATTTCCAGTCTATCCTTTTTTTTCACTTACCTTGTTGTTAGCAATACCAGAGTACTTGAAAGAATGGAGGTTGGTCAAGTTGTTGGATTCAGAAGAAAGTTGGAGACCGTCACGCTTCACAAGGAAGGAGTTGTTGTTCTTGATGAGTTCCCAGACCAATGCAGAAGACATCTAATCATATAAAGGATGTTTGATGATACGATAAGTTCATTTTGGAACTAATTACATAATGTTTATCAGGTCTTTTAAAAGAAAAGAAAAAAAATGTAAGCATTTCTTTACTTACAGTTAGATTATTTGTTCAAACGAAAAAGAGGGAAAGAAAGAGAGAAAAGGAAAGTTTTAACAAAGATATAAAAAAAAAAAAAATTGTCGATGTTCAAGCCACAGAAAAATCCATCTCTCAGGAGAACCCTTTTTTTTTGAGTTCCGTCAGATGCGTCCTGCACTATGGAACTCATTCAAAAGTGATCATCATTGAAACAAATTTATATAGACCATGGATTTAATCATTCTCTTTCATTTATATTAATAGCAATTTATACCTTGCCTCCCAATTTATAGAGTAATTTAAAAAATAAGAGTCAATTCAATCATCCCTCATTCAATAACGATCATCATCCAATACAACTACTACCATTAGATTCCTCTTAAAAAAATAACTTAACATCATCTAACCCCATTTCATAGCTTACCTTGCCACCTAATGTGCAATCAGCATCAAAAGATTTCAAGGATTTTTTGAAAAATTGCCTGATGAACCCCTGACGATTTATTTTTACAGCTAAAATTTGGCTGAGGAGTTCGAAAATTTTGGCTGTAAAATCAAAAAAAAAAAAAAAAAAGAAAAAGAAAAAGAAAAAGAAAGGTAAATCCGTATCTCCAATCTCCCTTAAAATCCCATTTTTAAGGTTAAATCTATTATCATACTGTATAAGTACTATTAATAAAAGATGTGTATATTATCTATGATTACTTGTTTTGTTAGTGGATCAAAAAGACAGTCTGTTAATAATGTGTAGTCATCACCATTGTTGGCACTTATCGTGTTCCCACTTCCTTTGTCATTTTCATATAATCATCTTTACAAAGGAGAAACCTATCCTTCCACTCTATCCCAAAAAAAAAAAAAAAAAATCGAAGCAGTCAGATCCATTTCATACATAAAAAAAAACTTTATTCAAAAATATCATGATGTAAAAAAGAAAAACTAATCGGTATACAATTTGCGTTCGCCAGAGAGAGATACATAATCCATTTGTTTCACTGTCAGAATAATCAAACAAAAGTTTTCATAGGCATCATTCAAATCTTGTTGATTTGGAGAAATAAACCATTCACCAGAGTCATCCAATCCTGTAATATCCAATGTGCTGATTTTCTTGGGAGAAAAAGTGGCGCGTAACCAACCATCCAAATTGGCAAAGTGTCGTCGTCGTTCGGCTTCCCAATCGAATGTATCTTGACCTTGTTGTTTGTTGAGGAATACTTTACTACCTAAACTCTTGATATCTTGTTGTTCGGAGGATGATAATCGTCGATAGACTGGAGGTAAAGAAGACGCTTCATCTTGTGGGTATATAAACACGGTCCCTTTCAAACGATATTGCTCGCCCGTTCCATGCATAAACCAACATACTTCATAGTCTCGATTGTTTTGCAATTCTTTGAACTTGTTGGAACGTTTGTCAGATGTCACAACAAGGCAATTGCTAGTCCATCCAAGTTCATCAGCATGATCTTCTCCCGCAAAACTTCGAAATACAACCGTTCTGGCACTTGGAGTGGCAAGACATAATGTCATAAAGCAAGACGATAGCCCTTGTTTTTGAATGTTCTTTTGTAGTTGTTCCCATAAAACTTTTTTCCATAACGGTGTTGTCATTGTAACAAAAAAAAAAAAAAAAAAAAAAAAAAGAAAAGAGAGAGAGAGCTTTTGTATTATCAAGTGAAATTTTATTTTTTATATTTTTACATTGTGAAACCAAAAAAAAAATCGGTCATTAAATGATCCGTTGCTGATGGTATCAAGACAACACTAATTGACTGACTAACTAAAAACTTGAAGATATGACTAATCCGTTTCTTCTAAAATAATAATAATAATAAAAAAATATCAGCAAAGATCATCAGCCATGTTATTTCTCTTAATATTTCTTACCTGTATGATAACCACTTCTTCGCATTTCAGCAAGTATACGACGAGCATTGGTGAGTTCCGAATCCAATTGGAGAATCTTGACCTGTTGTTCCATTTCCCGACGTTTGAATTCATGCACAGATAATTTGTTAAAATCAATATCAATATTGTCACTCTTTTGAGCCACCAAATTCTTGACTTGTTTAACCAATTCAGCTGCAGCATCCTTTACAGTCTTTGCCGCTACTTCCAAACGTTCTTGAGTACGAGACATAAAGGAGGATTTGACTCGAGAAGCAGCCACCAATTGAGCTGTTGCCGCTGATACTTCGTTGGATGCCACAATCAACTGTTCCAGGGAATGTGTTTTACTGATCACACCATCAGCAGCTTCTACTAGTAAGTTGGTTGCCATAGCCACAGCCTTAGCTGCAGAGATCAAACCTTCCGTCCATCGATTATGTTTCTTGTAAAAGGCAGCTTTAGATGAGGTACCACGTCCTTGAGCCACAATTTCTTGTTGAGAGGCAGTAGCACATTTGATCAAGTTAGCAATGGCATTGGTGAGAACAAGTACCGAATTGAGAAGGAGTTCATGGACTTGGATATCGGTGGCTGAGAATTCAGGATTGGCAGGACGACGCATTAAAGCTTGAATCTTGGCAGTAGCTTCTTCAATAGCACGTGCAGCATTGGACATTTCTTGTTCCACCAAATCACCTACTTCACCTTCAGCGAGCTTATTGATATCGGTCGCACCCGTCAAGATCAAATCTTCCGTCTTTGTTGATAGTTTCATCAAGGCTTCCTGTACCCGCATATTACCTTGGATCACCACTTCAGGTCGTTGAGCTCTTGGAAGCATGTTCAAATATGTTGACATCACACTGCTAAAGTATTGGATACATGATTCTGCCGATAGTCGTGCTGATTTGATGATTTCATCGATATCTTCATCATCTACCACAAGTCGCGTAATTCCCTTGGCGTGTATAAGAACATCATTGATTGTATCCGCAAAGTTGAGTGCTCGAGTAATAGTACTTGTATGATCACCACTGTTGCTTCCATCCAAGAATTTGCTGAATGCTGACATAAATTCGACTGAGGTAATACTGGCACGTTCGATCATCGATAATGTCAATTCTGGTGTTGCGTTTTCATTGCCATGTTGTCCAGGTGTTTCAAGTTCATAGACACCATCATTGATCTTTTGGATACAGGTACTAAGAATACTATCTATAAAAATGAAACAGTGATGGGCGTGGTTAAAATTATAGCATAAAAAAAAGGTATTCTTTTTTTTTTCTTCTTTTACCTAAAATTTGATTGAGTTTATCGGTTTGTTGAGTTTCCAATCGCTCCAATTCCTCTTGAAGATCCGCTTGTCGATCATTCTAATGCGATAAAATAAAATAAAAAAAAAAAAAGAAGAAGAATGAGCTGCTGATGGTAATCTATTTTCTGTCATTTCTACTTTCCACTCACCTGTTGTAAAGCTGCCAATTGTGCCAAGCATTCATCCATACCAGCTTGTAAGACGGCGATTTCTTCATCCTTTTCCTATATGTAATAATGATAATAATAATAATAAAGGAGGTTAGAATCACACAACATATCTGATTGACGTTGAATGCATCTTACCCTTCTAATATGATCCGCATCTCCTTGTTGATCTTCGAGTTGTCGTAAGAATTCATCAATCAAAGCTTGTTTCTCGTTGAGACTTGCTTCCAAATCTGCTTTTTCCCTGTTGAATTTCATCAAAAGAGTACTAACTTCATCACCCTTTGATTTGCCCATACGTTGTACTTCTGATCGAGCATCATCCAATTCCCGTTGCAGTCTTTCCATATCATCACGTTGATTCTAAGAATAAATTAAAATGAGAAACTATATATATATATATATTGATCCTTACCCCTTGAAGTCTTGCCAATTCATTACGAGCACGATCACGTTCACGAATAAGATCAGCCAATTCAGTATTTTTTGCACGCATATCAGCTTGCATACGTTCCAATTTCTCAGTTGCTTCCTGCGCAGAGTTGGCCTTGACTTGTAATTGCTTATACTTATTGAGAAGGTCGATATGTTCCTTTCGTAATTGACTGTAAAGCTTGGCCAAGGCTTCATACTTATTCTTCCACATTTGTATTTCATCTATAGAAAAAGAAAACCATGTACAAAAATGACAAGTTTTATCAATATCATCTCTATTTTTTTCATTTTCTCATATACATACTTTGAAGAGAACGAATCAATTCATCTTTAGAAGCATCACGTTGTTGAGCATTGGTATTGATAAGTTGTAGTTCTTGTTCTAATGCCTTCACTCTCTATAAATATAATACTTTGATATTAGTAACAAATTCCATATAAATATAATCAGATTTACTCTATCGTATTGTTCCAATAACATCTGATCACGTTCGAGTTGATTGCGATAATTCAAAAGTTGCATTTCTAAATCATTTATTCTTCCAGCTTGATGATTTTGCATTTGTTGACGAAGAAGTTCTTCTTGTTGCATACGTTCCCTTTCAGCCAACAATCGTTGTTGTTCTTCAAATTCCCGTTGTTGTTGAGCTTGTTGTTGTCGAATACGTTCTTGTTCTTCAGCATGTTGTTGAGCTAAACGTTTCTGTTGATCTTCATATTCACGTTGTTGTTGAGCTTGTTGTTCAGACCAGAAATCAATAACAGGTTCAGGAGATGGTTGAGCAGCAGGAACATTTTCTATTTCAGGTCTTTTTGGTAAAGTTGGAGTAGCAGCATCAATCAATGATGGTGGATCGGGTGATAAGTTGGGAACCTTGATCAAACTAGTGAGATATCTGAGATTGGAGCATTCATAATAAAACTTGAGAAGATTGTAATGTTGAGAATTAAATTTTTGACGTAAAGGTTGAAGGGCATCAGCAGCATCAGTACCTATTAATATTATTATTATTATTATCATAATATTAAAATAATTCATAAGAATCTTGTATAATATTATTAATATTTTAAAACTTACGTTTATGCATAGCTCGAAGCATACTAGTGATAAATTTATAAATTCCATAACTTTCTTCTACCAATGGTACCAAAGAAGCAATACGACATTCATTATTGGAGTGCATTCGGAAGCTAGAGAAGACTACTTTTTGGAATCGATCAATACGATCTTGCAATACCATAAGATCATTGATTGTTTCAAACCTATATTTAAAAAAAAAAAAAATGAGTCTATAATATCAAATATTACATATATTAGCCTACCCTTCATTTGGATCATCAATATTCTTCAAACTAATATATTCTTCATAATCAAAGGTACCATTGAATTCTGGATGATCACGATGATATTGAAGTTTATGAAGTAAAAGGTCAACGTATTGACGTATCAAATTTCCATAACCACGAACACCTTCACCAGAAACACTTCGAGCACAAGTTTCCAACCAACCAGTTTCACGAAGAGCATCTTTGATAACCTATTCCAAATAAAAAAAAAAAAAAAGGAATGAATAAATGAATAAAAAAGAAAGAATATATATATATAACCTACGTTTGGATGACCATCTTTGATAATCTTGTGAACAGTAATAAGAGACTTGAATGTTTGTACTTCATCAGATAAAACAGGTTGTACTTTCAATATATTCCAGATAATAGCAGAAGTACGATGATCCCATGTATAAACAATACATTCTATTTTATTAATAATAATAATAAAGGTTAGAAAAAAAAAATAAAAAAAGAGTAAGATGAGTTCATCCTGATTATTTAAAACTTACTTCGAACATGTTTTTGTTTAGGAGCAGTTTCTTCAATACTAGTGGCCTTTTTGATACTTTGAGCTAATTCAGACTCTGCTTTTTCAGCGGATAAGTATGACATAATAGTTGGAAGTGGATGAAAAACAAAGGAAGAAAGTATAGAAAGAAAGAAAGAAAGAAAAAAAAAAAAAAGACTGTAATTCCAATGGAAAGAATCCTTTTTCGCTTGTGTTGAAATTCCATATTGGGAAAAGAAGAATCTTGATTGGTGCTGAAATTGAAATATTCACAAGTCCAAAACATCTATTGTTTGCTACAGCCTTTTCAAAACTAATAAAAACCAAGAATAGGATTATACAGTGTTTTCAAAGTTTTTTGTCGTGTCACAAGAAAATGCTTTTCGTGATGTTATAAAATAAAATATCGTACTTTCCCAAAATGAATGGCGCATTACCACTTTTTCAGATATCGCTCCAGATGGCGGTAGAGTACATTAAAAAGACATAACATATTGATGATAACTTGTTTATTAAAAATAAAAGACACAAAATAAAAGTAACATGGACTTATCATATTTTTAGCAGCTTTGGGTGTTGCCCATTCTTTTTTAGGTTTCAATTGATTGATGATTGATGATTGATGATTGATGATTGATGATTGATGATTGATGATTGATGATTGATGATTGATGATTGATGATTATATGTTGGATGATGGAACATCGTAGTCAGTCACTGTACAAATTTCTGCTAAAATACAAAATACTTCATTCTAGTTACCTTCTGACAGAACAACATTTTCTTTTTCTTTTCTTTTTTTCTTTGAAAAATGTCAAAACACTCTTTTATCAGCCAACATGATAAATCAATATAATAATAATGATGATCACCTATGGAAATTAAAAAATGGCAATAATAAGTATCCTGTGCACAATCATACTATCATTTAAAATAGAACAACTAAAAAAAAAGAAATCTGGTCATTAAACTAAAACACGACAAAAACAAGTCAGTATCACGTATCACTTAGTACATGGATATTGTAGTAATAGAACTTAATGTGAACATTTATATAATTAACTTTATTATAAAGAGAGAAATGTTGCTAACACTAAAAAAAAAATGATGAAGTAGATAGTAAAAATAATAAAGTAGATACTAAAAAAGACAAATGATAAATTAAATACAATAGAAAGAGAGAAATGTTGTTAATACTAAAAAAAAAAAAAATGATGATGAATTAGATACGATATAAAGATAGAAATGTTGCTAATATTTAAAAAAGATGATAAAACTCGCTTACATCTTGTCTCATCATTTTATCTACTAAAATTAGCTCATAATTGCAGGGGTGATTCATTTTCTTATAAAAGGATCTCTTTGATTTAACTTTTTTTTTATTTCTTTACATTACATTCATCTTACGGGTCTGCCTTTTGGCTTACCTGCCTGCTTTTTGGTCTGCCTTCTTTTTTTTTGCCTATCTTTTTCTTCACAAGTATTCTTTAATGGTTCAATAGCCGTTGTTTATAATTTTCTTTACAAGTATTCTTTAATGGTTTAAGCACCGTTGTCTATAATTTTATTTACAAGTTTTCTTTAATGGTTTAAACACTGTTGGTTCAATTAATATAACAACTTAACAATTTAACAATTTCCGGGATGGTTATCGCCATCCTACTTTCGCTACGGTGATCACGTTACACTTAAATGGTAAGCTAGTGAAATATTTTTATCTGGATAAATATCACTCATTTTTTTTTTATTTTTTATTTTTTTTTTATATGTTAACTTGGTGAACTCAATTGGTGGATTTCCTTTTTTTTTTTTTGTTCATGATATCTATTTTCTTATATTCTCTATTTGATTATGTGACAATTATATTTTTTTTTTCCTTCTGTCATTTATTTTCTATCCTTACGATATTTTATTTCCTATTTTTGCGCCATCTTATTCTTTGAATTCCGTCATTTTTTATTGAATAAAGTGTATATCATTAAATATAATATCATAAAAGTAACTCTTTTTTTTTTTTTATTTAAATATTATCATTTTTCTTTTCTTTGCCTATGATTGATCTATCTTTCTTGGCATTTTTTTTTCCATAGTAAAACAGTCTAAAGTCCGGTGCTAAGTTTTTTTTTTTTTTTTTTTTTCTGTGATCAGAGGGGGAAAAAACAAAATCGCGACTGAACGTGTTTTTTCTTTTCTTTTCTTCTCTTTTCTTCTTTGCCACTCACTACTTTTTTTTTTCATTCTTAGTATGAACTTTTTCCAAAATTATTCTACTGCAAGCGCACAAAATAAATCTGAGACCAAATCACATATTAAACCATGGGTAGAAAAATAGTAAGTCAATGACAAATAATTATCCTTTATATAAAAGTCATATTTAACTATTTACTGTTATTTAGCCGCCCAAAAACTATTGACGATATCTCTTCCCAGGAACAAGCTGTAGCAGTATTGAAAAAAGCATTACAGTCGAACAATGTAGGTATCCAAAAGACAGAAAAGAATCATTGTTAACTTTTTTTTTCTAGTTGCCACATTTACTATTCTATGGACCACCTGGTACTGGTAAAACATCTACTATTTTAGCTCTAGCACAAGAACTTTACGGGTAAGAAATTCCAATATATCAAAAATAATAGATCATTTATATTTATTTATAATAGTCCAAAGTTTGCCAAATCTCGTACTCTTGAACTGAATGCATCTGACGAACGTGGTATCAACATTGTCCGAGAAAAAATCAAAAACTTTTCCCGTTCTACTTTGACAGCTAGTGACACGTAATAAAAATAAATAAAAAAAGAAAGAAAGAAAGAATATAAAACGTATGATGGATATTGATATTGTTCTTTTTTTTTAATATATATATATATATATATATATATATATATATATAATTATTATTTAGTGATAGCAAATACCCTAATCCTCCATACAAAATTATCATTCTGGATGAAGCTGATTCTATGACAAAAGATGCCCAATCTGCATTACGAAGAACAATGGAAGCATACTCGAAAACAACTCGTTTCTGTATTATCTGTAATTACGTCAGTCGGTAAGCAAGTCATGAATACAAATGTGATTTGATAATATATATATATATATATATTGATTCCTTCATTCATTTTGAATAGTATCATCGAACCTATTACTTCAAGATGTGCCAAATTTAGATTCAAACCGCTTCCTGTTGCTGATCTTACTAGTCGTCTTGAAATGATTTGTAACAAAGAAAATGTAACTTTGGCTAATGGCGTAAGTAGATAATTCAAAAATCTCAAAATAAATATAAAAAAATTCTATGCTCACTTTTTTATTTCTTTATTTTATCAAATAATAGACTATGAACGCATTGATCAAAGCATCAAATGGTGATCTCCGTAAAGCAATCACTTTCTTACAAAGTGGAGCAAATCTACATAAAACTGAAAGCGTCACTGTGGGAACGATCAACGAAATGGCTGGGGTAAAAAAATAACTGATGATTGAAAAATTATAAAATGATGTTTTGACTTTTTATTTGAATTATATATATATAGCTCATTCCGGATGATACTATGCAAAATATAATCAAGAAACTGGAATCTGGAAATACAAATGATATTGAAGAATTGGCACAAGATCTGATGAACGCTGGCTATTCTGGAGAACTATTGGTATATCAGGTAAATGATATAAAGAAGAAAAAAGAAAGAAAATCAATTTAATCCATTATTTTTATTCTCAATAGCTGCACGACGTGATATCACGAAATGAATTCTTAAATTTGACATCATTACAACAAAGCAAGATTTCTCAAATCCTGGGTACGGCTGATTTTCATCTTATTCGTGGTGCTGATGAACATATACAAATATTGAACGTCTTATTACAGTTGGGTCTGATAATTTCGGAATAGTATAGCTCCTTTTTTTAGAAAATAAAAAAAAAAAATTAAGGATTTTTTTTTTTTGGATGTATTATAGTATTTGATTGGTCAACAAAATTGCATGAATGGATTTTATAGATGCGAGTCACATCACCATCAGTTTGAAAAGAATAAAGTCGGTGTTAAAAAATTTCCCTTTCCTTTTCCTTTTTCTTTCAACCTTTTTTTTTTTTTTTTACTTTTATATATATTATCATATGGAAGAAACTCGTGAATACGACAAGATTCTTATCAAAAACTTGGTTTTGAAAAATGTTACTGGAGTTGATTCATGGCAACGTTTGAAATCTCAACCTGTAGTGATTACAGTGTGGTTGTATACCGATATTAGTGCTGCTGGCGAAACTGATCATGTCACCAATTCTATTCACTATGGCCATGTCACTAAAGGAATTACAAAGTTAGCTGAAACAAGTACCTTCAAGTCTTTAGAAGCTTTAGCTCATGCTATTGTCAAGTTATGTTGTGTTCATTTTGGTGCTGAACGAACCGTGATTACCGTGGAACAACCTAAAGCTCTTTTACATGCTTCTGCTTCAGGTGTTCAACTCAGTCGTAGTCGACAAGACTTTAACAATGATGATATTGTGGAAACTCTTGGGGATGTATCCAAACTTGGTTATCAAGATGTAGTATTTGTCAAAGATCTTCGACTTCATACAATTATTGGTGTTAATCCGTGGGAAAGAGAAGAAAAACAAGTAGTGGTGATCAATCTGACTATCTATCCTTCGGCATTACTCTATCCTTCCTCTATTCATTATGAAGATCAACAAAAAAAGTCGCATCATTTACGTACCATTGTTCGCACTTTGACTCGACATATTGAAGCGTCTGGTTACAAAACTGTAGAAGCTTTTGCTGTGGCAGTGGCTCGTTTGGCTTTGGAAAAATGTCATGTTAACAAGATTCGTGTACGTGTGGAAAAACCAAGTGCTATTTTATTTGCTGATGCCTCTGGATTAGAAGTGACGCGTGATATCAAGTGGTTACGTGATGTTTTAGAAGCTGAAAAGAAATCGGGTCATCACTTTGCGCATGGTGCTACTTTGGAAGACGAGATCGTTGGCAAGAATATTCCATCTTCTTATACTCATACTTCATTCATCGCTTTGGGATCCAATGTTGGAGATCGTGTGGCTCATATTTATCATGCTTTGGATTTATTGGAAGAAGAATGTAGTTCGGTTGTAGTGGACACCAGTTTTTTATACGAAACACCACCAATGTATTATACTGAACAGCCTGCTTTTCTGAACGGTGTATGCAAAATCCTTACTTCTCTCGAACCAGTTGAACTTTTGGCCAAATTAAAACGAGTGGAAGAAATTATGGGTCGTACAGCAAGCTTCCGAAATGCACCAAGACCTATTGATCTGGATATCCTTTTTTATGATGATGTGGTGATGGAAACACCTGATTTGACGATTCCTCATATCAGTATTCAAGAACGTGAATTTGTACTTTGGCCCCTTTGTGATATCGCTAAAGGAATGGAACATCCTCGATTGTACAAGACATGCGGTCAACTTTTATCTCAACTCCTCAAAGTGACAGCGGAAAGTGAACAAGGACCTCTCAAGATTGAAAAAGTGATTCCCATACAAAAGGACAAACAAATCTGGCATTGGAACTCTCAAACATATATCATGGGTATTCTGAATACAACACCTGACAGCTTTTCAGATGGTGGAAATTATGTAGATGTGGACAAGGCAGTGGAAGCGGCTATACGAATGAAGGATGAAGGTGCAGCTATTTTGGATATTGGTGGCATGTCAACACGACCTGGAGCAGATGATGATTTCCCTGAAGAAGAAGAAATCCGACGTGTGGTACCGGTGATTCGACGTTTACGTGAACAAGGATTTGATCTACCCATTTCTATTGATACCTTCCGTGCAAATGTGGCAGATGCGGCAGTAGAAGCAGGTGCTACCATGATCAATGATATTAGCGGTGGCTCTAGGGATCCCAAGATGCTTCATGTAATGGCCAAACATAAAATCCCAGTGTGCTTGATGCATATGCGTGGTGATGCCAAGACGATGATGAACAAGGAAAATACGACATACGATAATGATGATGTAGTGGATGCAGTATCTCAACAGATTCATGATTTGATTAAACGAGCTTTAGCAGCAGGTGTATATCGTTGGAATATTATTATGGATCCTGGTGTTGGTTTTGCAAAAACAGCTGAACAAGATTTTGAACTTTTACGACATTTGGGTGATATGGTGGCTGAAGATAGTCTTTTAGAAGGATTCCCTACATTGATGGGCCCAAGTCGCAAGAAATTCATTGGCAAGGTGACTGGGGTAGAAGAAGCTGGAAAACGATCTTATGGTACAGCTGGTGCTGTTGCTGCAAGTGTCGCTGGTGGTGCAAATATACTTCGAGTCCATGATGTTCGACCAATGTGGGAAGTGGCTCGTGTATGTGATTCCGTATGGAAACGTGGTGATCATCGTCATTGTTAGTGGTAGTTTTAGATAGATTTTTTTTTTGTATATATACAACTATTTGTATTCAAATAAAACGTTTTTGTCTTTTATTTTATCATTCATTTGAAAAAAAAAAAAAAAAAAGTTAGCGGAGTTCTCCATGATCATCTCATGCAGTCAAACATTAATGGATGGGGGGTAAATTCACTCTTTTTTTTCTCTCTTTCTCTCACTCCTCTCTCTCTTTTTTTTTTTTGTTTTAATTGTTTTTTATTGTTTCTTTTTTTTTACTTGTTTTCCTTTCTTCTCTTCATTGAATACTATTGTTATTACTCATCGACACAACTAGTATTTTAGTTGTTGCTTTTGTATACCATGGCCAAAACTTTATTCTCCAAACGACTTAGCAAAGAACTTCGGGGTAATGATATGTTTTAGTTTTTTTGTTGTGAATAACAACAACAACAACAACAACAACAACAGCAAAAAAAAAAAAAAAAAAAAAAAAAAAAAGACAACATTTTCAAAGATAAAAAAAAAAAAGGATGGGCTAACTGATATTTTACTTTTTTTTCATATAGATCTCAATACCAATCCTCTTGAAGGTGTGTATATTGATGAAGCAGACGACTTTACAAGGTAAGAATTTGAAATGGGCTGAACAATGATTCAGTATATAGAAAAGTATATGTGTTCTTTTTGATGATAAGAGATGGGAAAGAGTTATTCAATTATCTTTTTATTTATTTATTTATTTATTATTGTAAAGGTGGCGATTACGAATAGTAGGTGCTCCAGGAACTATATATGAAGTAAGTGTTAACTAGTTTTTTGAAAGGTAGTGAGTGGTTGACTCGTACTGACTTTTTTATTATTATTTTTACTGATTCGATAGAACGAAGAATTCAAGCTTGAGGTAAAATTATTTGAAAGAAGAATATAATATTGTTAACTTTCCTTTTCTTGTCAAATTAGTTTCGATTTACTCCATCATATCCATTAGAATCCCCTGAAGTACTTTTTATTCGCCCATATGTCCCAGTGCATCCTCAGTAAGTAGTTATAACAGATGATACTCTATAATGATAAGGATGATTATTTTTTTTATACCTGTCAGTCTAACATTTCTTTGGTTTTCTTTTGTATGATAATCTTTCTAGTGTACGTAACACTGTTGATCCAAAATATTTAAAGCATTTATTAGATTGATCCCTTCTTTTTTGGAATAGGTGTATTCAAATGGACATATCTGTTTGAATATTTTATACAAGGATTGGTCACCAGTACAAACAGTAGCTCAAGTATGTCTATCGATCCAATCTATGCTATCAAGTTGTACCAAGAAAGAACTCCCACCAGATAATGATCTTTATATTAGAAGTGCGCATGCATCACCAAAGAAAACAGCTTGGGCATTCCAGGTAGATCAAAAAAAAAAAAAAAAAAAAAAAAAAAAAAAAGATAACATATGAAATCTACGATTGGATGACTGATTACTTTTTTTTTTTTTCCAATAGTAAGTTTGAAATTTAGATTCGAATGAATCAGTGGTAGAATCATAGAATCATAGAAATCCAATGATAACATTTACTTTTTTTTTTTTTTTTTTTTGTAGTGATGATAGTGTATAGTTTCGTTGTCTTTTTCTTTTTTTTTTTCTTTTTCTTCTTCTTTTTTTTATGTAGCCATTGTATTGTACTCTCCAATTGACCATTTTGTCCAAACGCACGCACACACATACACATACGCACGAACGCACACATATATACACAATAAAATTTGATTTTTCTCTCTCTCTTTCCTTATTTGAAGTTACTCAATACTAAAGACCTAATATAATGATGATGTTTGACAGGTTGTTTTTTTTTTGTTTATTTATTTATTTGTATTTACAATGCATGAAAGCCAAAAAAAAAAAAAAATCATCTAATCTAAGACACTATATGTATATTATTCTATTCTAATCTACCAACCTTTCATATCATTGACCACAGCACGTTCCCTATCCTTGCTCATTTCACCATAGCCCATCACACGCATGGAAAAGCTGCCACTTCCACCTGTCAAGCTACGCAATGCACTAGAGTAACCCAACATGGAAGACAATGGAACTTGAGCCTTGATCACATGTTTTGGTATGTATCCGATATCCGTACGATTATTATTATTTTGAACCAAGATAGAATCTGGAGGAGAATACACCTGAACATCCAATGTGTCTTCATTGCCAATAGTAGATGATGATGTATCCATTCCTATCACATGCCCACGTCTTGTTCCTGATAAATCACCTACCACAGTACCGATATGATTCTCGTTGACTTCAGTAACCACTTCCATCATAGGTTCCAAAAGACAAGGATTGGCTTGTTGAATGGCTTCTTGTACACCATGAGCAACACAGGACGAAATAGCACCTATCGTAGTATCAGGTCCAAAGAGTTTTAAATCAGATACCTTCACTTGCATTTGTGTCAATGGGAAGCCAAGTACTGCACCACGAGCAAGTCCAGACATAAGACCAGTATAAACAGCTTGATAAATATCATCCTTCTCCAGAGCAAGTCCACTAGATGATGTGTCATCATCATCACCAAATCCATCTAATTGAATACTGAAGCGATTACCTGCCTCCATTCTCCAAGTATCTTCTTGATTTATTTTATCTTCTTCTTCTTCTTCTTCTTCTTCTTCTTCTTCTTCTTCTTCTTCTTCTTGACCAATACCAGTCAATTCCACAGTACATCCAGCGCGAGCACGCTTGCCTAGTAGTTCCTTGTCATACATTGCCTTGGCCAAACCGGTCCCTTGACATGTTTCACGATAACTGATACGCATCTTACCCATATCCGTCTTGCACTTGAAATCATTGATGAGTCGATCTTTGACAATCTCCAGATGAAGTTCACCCATACCACTAATCAATCGTTGTCCACTTTCTTCATCCGTCCATACTTTGAGAGAGGGATCTTCACGCACAAGATGTATCAATGCTTCTTCCACAGCTTGTTCATCTGATACAGAGTGAGGCTCAATAGCCGAAAAGAATGCTGGACTAGGAATGTCAATATTGCCTAATTGAAGATTGGATTTGATGGCCTTGCTATCATTCGATTGTACTAAAGTGTCACCTGTGCGTGTTCCTTTGAGACCAACAATCACACTAATATTACCCGCTTGCACCATTGGGATTTCTTCCACGTCTTTAGCATACATTTGTAGTAACTTGTTGACCCGTTCTTTGCTTCTTGTTGTTGTATTGAAAAGTGTCATACGATTATTAATCTTGCCAGAATATACTTTAACATAAACTAAAGGACCCCGTCGAGGATCATGTGTCACTTTGAAAGCCAAAGCACATGGTGGACCATTTTCATTCAAAGGAATCAATTGAGTCTTGTTATTGGCAAGAGTAGCAATGGCTGAAGGACGATCCAAAGGGCTAGGAAGATAATCCACCACCGCATCCAATAAAGGTTGTACTCCAATATTCTTGAATGCTGCACCGCAGAGTACAGGAACTGCCTTGTTATTAAGAGTCACACGTCGTAAAGCATCCTTGATTGCCTGAGGGGGTACTTGCATATGATCACCATCTGCTTGTTCAAAAAAGATATCCACAATATTTTCATCCATTTCTGCCAATGTTTCCACCAAAGCCGTTCTTGCACGCACAGCTTCTTCATAATAGGTAGCATCATCGGAAGGTGAAAAAGGTATCCGTTCAAGTTGAGCTCCATCCACATCTTTCCATGTCAAAACTTCCATATTCACAATGTCCACAATGGCCTTGAGGCGACCCATCATCGTTTGTTCTATAGTATCATCATGATACCAAGGAAGTTGTACTACTAGCGGTCGACTTTGTAACTTTTTCCAGACTTGTTGTACCGTTCGTCCAAAAGCACCACCCGTTCGATCGAGTTTATTCACAAATGCGATACGAGGAATGTTGTATCGATCTGCTTGTTTCCATACAGTTTCTGTTTGGGCTTCTACACCAGCAACACCATCCAAGATCGTCACTGCTCCATCCAACACACGAACAGCCCGTTCCACTTCCATGGTAAAGTCCACATGACCAGGGGTGTCAATAAGATTGATCCGGTGTCCATGCCAACCAAACGAAATGGCCGCGCTATTGATAGTAATCCCTCGTTCACGTTCAGCTTTCAAATAATCCATTACAGTGTCTCCATCATCAATGTCACCAATCCGTTTTGTCACACCGGCATAATAAAGCATGCGTTCCGTTGTGGTCGTTTTTCCTAAGAGAGCAAAAAAAAAAAAAAAAAAAAAAAAAAAAAAATCAGTAACAGACTCAACAATAAGAGAAAGGAGGAAAAAAAAAAAGAATCTTCATGATTACCGGCATCAATATGAGCAATGATCCCAATATTTCTTGTTTTCGGAATAGAAAAGTCTTTTGCATCTATCAATTAGAAAAGAAAAAAAAGTTGGGTCAAAAGAATGAAAATGGGAAGAGACACTGGAAGGAGAGAAGGGAGGATATTTTACCAGTAGAGTAGAATTGATATCGTAAAATAGATTGTCGACAATGAGACAAAGCAGAATAAACTTTTCTAGAAGAATAAGATGGCAGACTTGTAAACCGCTTTGTACACAATGCTACAGACTGCAACATGAAAACAAGAAGAAAAGAAAAAAAGGTGCAAAGACAGAAAAGAAAAAGAAAAGAAAAAGAAAAAAAAATAGAGTTGGCAGGTCATTTCTTTTAACAAAAAAAAAAAAAATTGAAAATCCGTCACGACCGCAAATGCATCATTCGCCCGTATGAATTCATATATTTTCGACATGATATCGTTAGCTGATGTAAACAAATGACTTACACGATGATGATGATAATCATGATGATGATAATGATGATGGTGAAATATTCAGTATAAGAAATATTTAATATCAAAAAAGATCATAATGAATAATAGACAGATTACAAAAAAAAAAAAAAAGAGGATCATCAAGAAAAGAATGGTAGATCAGATTTATTGATGTTTTATATAAAATAGTAAGAATTACATAATACAGAAGAAAGAGAAGAAAATAATACAGGTAAATAGGCAAAATGAATGATGGAATAGATGACAGAAGGTAACTAACAAGTAGTACATTCACCATAGTAATTAGCCATAGCCATAGGACAATTGTCAGGAGTAGAATTGACATCCCAGCCACCATTACCAAACCAGTTTGGTGAATAACCAGAACCCATATTAACACCAAAGATAATAAGAGTACAAATAGCGACAGCGGAATCAAAGGAGGCGGAAGTAATATAGTTGTATTTGATCCACCAATCATGTCTATAACGGCGTAACCAGAACATGAAAATAAAACCGAGAGCACACCACATGGAAAAGTTGATAGGTACAGCAGGAGGCATCATACCAGTAGCGTTGAAGATCAAAGGAATATGCACATACTTGAACCAAGAGTTGGGATAACGTTTTGACAAGAAATAGAAAGGGATGGGTAAAATGAATCCAATCAAGAAGAAGTAAAGAGTAGGTGAATAAGGAGAATCACTTGCAAACATACGTTTAGGACCAATAGCACCCCAGATGATAGAAGCAGAGTAAAAGGTTCGAGCATTGGGGCAAGTGAAAGGATAACCAGCATCAGTACAAATATTAGGAATAGTTTCCATCAACCAACGAGCAACACCAAGATTGACCACACCAGCAATAGCGGTACCTAACATTTGAACATGGAACATAGCACGAGGAGGTACCTTGGTATAATGACCCAACTTCAAATCACCAACAAAAACAAGAGCGTTGAACATGGATATATAACCGTAAGTCTTGAAAGTAACATTAGCGATAGGATGTCCAGGTAAAGCAAAACCAATGATGAATTCAGTAATAACGTTGAGACCAGGTTGTTGATTGGTGATGGCTTGAATAATACCAATGGGTAACACAAATAACATTGAAAGGCCAATAGCAAGGAACATACCCCACCAAGGTAATCCAATAGGGAAGCAATAGATCACAGCAAAGGAAACAGCAAAGGAGATAATAAATGTAGCATAGTACCACCAACCAGGGACTTCAGGATAGGCACGCATAAGTTTGTGATGGATATCTTCATTTTCGGTACGAGAGGCACGGAATTGGCGCACGATTTCCTTGCCATGGAAAAGGAAAGTATGAGTGAGGACAGAGGTGACACCAGCAAATCCAATACCATAGGTAATTGCAAAGAAAGTGGACATACGCATAGGACCATATTTTTCATAGGCGACAGGATCTAAGATTTTTTCGGGTGTAAGTACCAAAGAGTTGTTCCAAGGTTGACCATCGAGAGTAAACAGTTGTTGAGTGAGAATAGGGAAAGTTTTGGCACCCCAAACATCAGTGTAATACATGGCAGGAGTGATGATCCAGGCAACAATAACAAAACCGACAGCGACATTAGCGATAGCCCACCACGGGACAATCAAGGGTGATTGAAGGAAAGAAACAATAGTTTCCCAATCAAAAGAGATGGAAAGCATACCAAGACCACTATAACCACCAGTTAATTGACCCAATACAACGTTGTTAGGACTGATCCAGCAGGCCCAAGAGAAGAAAGTCAGTACGGTGAAGAAATAACCAGGAAGCCAATAATAAACGAACATCCCCGAGAACATATATAAGAACCATTGGAATCGAGTAGGTCCAGTCCAATTTCTATAGTTATTGGTTGATGATTGATGGTAAAAGATAATGAAAGACAAAAAAAATCAGTCAGTCAAAAGTGGAAAATGATATTTCATCAATTTGTTTTTTTTTTTTTTTTTTTTTTTTTTGGAACTTACTTGTCAACAATATGTAAAGATCGGAATAGAGAGATTTGAGACAAATTAGCAGGCCAAACCATAGCAGCAGGATAAACCAAGTAGGGACGAAGAACACCAGCCATACCATAACCCAAGAATTGAGTAGTCCAAATTAATAAAATACCACCACCCCAGCCCATATCTTGTTCGTAGAATAGTTTTTGAATAGTGAGAATATCAATAGCATAGGCAGTTTGAGAAGCACAGTTGGCCATAGTTGTGATCAAAACATGTTCTTTCATATTGAATGGACCAGGATTGAAGAATCGAGAAGAAGGAATCACGCGTTCCATAAGTTTACCAATAGGGAAAGATAACAATTGGACTACCAAGGTTGTAAGAGTCATAGAGTTTTTACGATACCAAAAGAATTGATTAACAAAACCCAACACACCAGTAAACACGATACCAAGAACCCACATACGGAATGTATAAATAGGTAAAGTAGTATCATCAGTACTATAAAATAAAAAAATCATATAATTAATATAAACATAAATATATTATTTAGAAAAAAAAAAAGAACTTACTTTGGTACCACAGCACGTACTTCTTCAATGGGAGAATCTTCTTCTTCTGTAATTTGAATATCATTAGGTTCAATATCTACATCACTTGATTTTTCATTGTAATATTCAGTTGTTTTATGGTAGTCGATATCCTCCACCTTTTTGGCAATGTACTCTTGCTCCATGTCGAATGATGCTTTGTTGGGTAAAAAGTTACTACACAACGGAGTTTATTAATAGTACAAAAAAAACCGGATAAAAAAAGGGAGGTATTAGATATAAATATAAAAAAAAAAAAAGATAGAAAAAGATGAAAAGAAAAGCGAAAAATAAATTCATGATTTCTTTTTTTGGTTTTATAAGTGAAAAAGCAGGTAGCGGTAATTGAAAAATGATTGGTGTAGATTTGTTTGTAGTAAAGAATCATCAGCAGTTTACAAAACATCATTTACTACCAAATTAGGTTCAAATATCTGTATTAGGATATGGTTAACAATTGATGAATATGAACTCCACAACTAGGTTCAATGGGAGGACAAACTCATATTTGATAAGAAAAAAAAAAGAAGCGTGACGTTTAGATCTCCGTAGCATTATTCTTACCTTCTATTTTAAAAGAAGATGATAGATGATCATATATAAATGTTTCAACATATAGTTCAAAAAAAAAAAAAATGGAAATCAAAAGAGGATGGTATGTGCTTTTTTCTTTTTTTTTTTTTTTGATACAAAATGAACACGAGACTTATTCTTATAAGACAATGTGAGAAAAAAAAAATGAAAAAGTGACAAGCTACATCTATCAGGTGTGAAAAACACCAATTTGAGAGTATTTATGCTACTTTGGATAAGAAGACAGAACTGCTTAAAATGAAATATATTTCCTTATTTGTCAGTGAATCCCCATATTCAGATACCAACTTTTTCTTTTTCTTTTTTTTTTTTTTGATAGAATTATTAACTATAAGTGTTCTATAAATTATCATCATCATCACCTTAATATAAGCTACCACTACTTCTTCCTTTTTTTTTGCCTTTTTTCTTTTTCTTTTTTTTGTTCATTAACCCGAAAAGTAAAATAAGAAGAAAAAAAAAAAGAACATAATCATAACATATTTGTACAACCAATTGGACTAGGATTCTTTTCTGAACTGAGTTTATATTACTTCTTGTTCATATTTTTCTTTGTGTACAATGGGAAGAAAACCAACTTTTGATCCAACCTTCTCTTCAGTATGATCGCACGATGAAATAACTTGTTTCTTTACTCTTAATGTTTTGTACTTCTATCGTCACATTTGTAAATGATTTTGATTTTGTTAGTTATCTATAAAAAAGGATTATCTACTTTTATCATCCCTTTGAAAGTCCGTGAACTTCCTATTAGGAGATTCTTTAAGAAAAACGTATCCAAGTCCCATTTGAAAGGAATATCAGAATAATTATCAAAAAAAAAAAAAAAAAAAAGGAAAAAGGATGATTTTTTAAAAGAAGCTCTTGTTTTCTATTTGATACTTTTGAGTAAAGAAAATAATATTATTTTCTGTAGAAAATACGATAAAGTTACTCATCTACGGGATGATGTCTTAAGACGACACGCACAAGAGTGAGTAACCTTGTTTTGTTTTACTTTCTTCCGATGATTCTTTTCTGGAGAATTTAAAGTTCCACGAAGTATCTAAATAAGTCATATGCGTATCTTCTTTCTTTCTACCTCACAAGTTCTTGTTGCTAGTTTTCAACTTTTACGTATCATCATTGACATTATTAACCAAAAGGTATCAAAGGGATATCATCAAACATATATTTACAATATCCTTTTTTCTATGATATCATAGCAATAAAAAAAAATCTATATTTGGCTGTCAAAACTCAAAATTCTTACAAAATCGTGAAACAAAAGATAACCTTTTTTTAAACAATTTTTTTTTTTATTGATTCTTGATATCAGGATGGGAATGATAAACCACAGCTACTAACTAACTTGAATGATGAAGGTATATGTGTACTGATATAGAATAAATTCAATATACTGATATTCAAGATATTGGATCAGTCATTTTCGTCTTTCTTTGGTGGTCAAATCGTTCTTGTTGGAGTGATTCTTTTTGTTCATGTTGTTTTTTCTGTATGTTGCGTTTCCTTCGTGCGATTACCATTTGTTGCCTTCGCTCAGCCATCATCCAACCGTTCTTGAATATTTCATATTGGCAAAAGAGACAAATCCAATCATTCGTTCCTAAAACAGATGAGGGCACCAAATCCACGCTATTCTTGTTATTGATATTGTTTCCAGATTGATGTCGTCGTTGTAATTCATAATTGTTGTTACTACCTTTATTATTTTTTCCTGTTGATGTGATACCACCAGAGGATATTGACGATGCTGATGGTATATTCATCGCTTTGCCTTTTCTACCTCTTGCCTTTTTCTTGCTACTACCATTGCTTCCACCTTTTTTACTAGATTGATTCGATGTCATAGGTGTTGGGGTTTTTCCTTGACCCTTTTTCTCTTGGCCTGTTTTCTGTGGAGGTTGTAATGTCGTTGGATTCAGAGTTGATTGTTGTGATGAATTTGACGAGATCGGTGATTTGCTATTTCTTTTTGTTTTTGTCGATACTGCAAGTGATTTGGAGTTTTCTGGCTGTAATGCAACAGATGGTGATTTTGAAACAGTCGTTAAATCCTGGGATGACGATGACGATGATGATGATGATGACGATGCTGAAGGTATATATGGTATCTTGGTAATGGTCCTGGATGGTATCGCAGTAGATGATAATGGTAGTGGCGTATGATGTTGTGTTGGTTGCAGTGTGTCATCGATCACGATACTAGTATCAGAGGGTGATAAATTTTGTAATGGTATCGCTTTGGTGGTAGTAGTTGTTATTGTGCTTGATGCTGATGATCCACTACTGTTGCTTTTCATGCATAGATCCACGCTATCCCCTGCTATACAAAAATTAAAATCATCTTCCCCATTTCGCTTGGCCTTTTTGGTATTATCGTGGAAATCTTGCTCTTTTTTCGTTTGGCAGTCGTTGATTGGAGAGGTAGTGAGCGCTGGAGAGAATATCAACTTTGTGCTTTTCTTTCTGTTTAAAGTTGCTGTTGATAGTGGTGCTTTAAATGTGAATGAAGAAGAAAAAGGAGTACTGTTTGTTAGAGGTTGTTCTTTTATTTCAGTTGTTGCAGATGTTGAGGTTGCTGTAGATGATGAAGACAGGTTGATTTGGCGTTGTTGTTGTTGTTGTTGTTGTTGTTGTTGTTGTTGTTGTTGTTGTTGTTGTTGTTGTTGTTGTCGAACTCGTTTCCACCGTGAAGTCGGTAAGGGTAATATTTTTCGTTGTTGAATGGGTATTGATAAACTTGGTGACCATTGTAAACCATTTGCATTGTTGCCATCTCGATAATATGATTTTTCATCCACCAAATGTTGTTGAGGGTTTGTAAAAGAGAATTCGAATTCCGCGGGTAATGTGGTTCCTGGCTTGCAAGATTGCTTATTGATTGTTGGTAAAGGTGTCCGTCCAGTATATGTTGAAGTTGACTTTTCAGTTTGTATGCTGCTGTTCAAGGGTTCATAAATCCTAGTACTAGACGACACAGTAGATGATTGCCTTTCCAAAAAACAATCGACATTTCCTTCGTTGATACTGTGCTTTTGCATTTTCACTAAAATTTCCTTCATGTTGTCGTCATAGATGGCTGCATTGTCTTTATCCTCTTTGTTATCGCACGATGTCAAGTCGTTTGGTGATTGTGAGTTGACCTTTGGTTCAGTTTTATTCATTGTTGAAGAATAGGTAGTAGGAGTTCGTATTTGTAGCGAGTGAATAACACCAGGTAGAGGAGAGAACATATCAGGTTGTGAGTTTGAGAATTGAAGTAAACTATATTCACCCCAGGGTCGTTTTGGTATGATGCTCGAAGATAAATCATCCACTAATCAAAGAAGAATAAGAAAAAAAAAAAAAGAAAGAAAGAAAGAATTATGAGAAACAGGGAGATACTATTTAAGAGAAAAGAAAAAAAAAGACAGAGAGAGAGAGAGAGAGAGGAGGTTCGGTATTACCTGAGACAGAATTCAAAGTTGAAAGAGAACCGTCATCTACTTTATTTGAAGAAGCCATGACTAGTCTCTTATCAGTTTGATAATGTTGAAGATAATCCTATAAATAAAAGAAACAAGAAGAGTCAATATATTGATTGGAATACAATAAGAATATCTTTTTCAGTTTTTGTAGTTACAGAAGAGCTTTCACATGACTTAAAACTTGAATTATCATCCATATCCATTGAACCTGGTGTAGAGTTGGGTGAATCTGGTAAAGTATCTTCAAGACTACTGATGGTATTTGGTTCGGTAGATATATTGTTGTACTCTGTATTTTCAAATAGAGTCATGGAACGCACCACTTGCCCCATACTTTATGAATGTATAAAAGATGATCAAAAAGATAAAGAACCAGATTGATACTAGGTATAATAAAAAAGACGTTGATAAAAAAAAAAAAAAGAAAAAAAAAGAAAAGAAAAAAAAAAAAAAAAAAGAAAAAAAAAAAAAGAAAAGAAAACTTGATTTTCCTTTGTTTTTTCACTTTTTTTTTTTTTAAACACTGAGAAAATCCGTCAAAAATGAACCTTCACCTTTCCATTTTTCTTTAATGTTTATATATATATATATCATTCTCATTATTATTATTATTTACTTAAATCCAAAATAGACATATATAAATATATTCCTCTCAAATAAATTCAAACTACATCCAAAATGATACATTTCTTAAAAGTAAACTAAGGTACTCAATTATCGTCCCAGAGTGCACGGAAGCTAACCGGTGTTTGAACATTCTTACTTGAAATGGAAAGGAAGTATTGAATTACTTGTTTGTATGTATAAAAACCATATGATTATATATTTACAAACATTATACCATCATTATTATTATTATTATTATTATTATTATTATTACTACTACTATTATTATTATTATTATTATTATTATTATTATTATTATTTATTATTTATTTAATAATCTATGTAAGAAAAAGATAAACTAATATTATAATATTTTTAAATGTTATTCATTAATGAAAATAATTCACCAACACACACTCTCTCTATTCTAATTTCATTTTTGATTTAATATAAAATACAGTAAATAGTTATCTTATAATGATATTGTACCTTGATTCTCAACTTTGACATATCTAAGTTCTGCATTTTACGTTGACCCACAAAAAGACTTTGTACGGCGTTTAAATTTGTGATATTTATTTCTTTTTATCTTTTTTTTTTTTTGTTTTTCCTTCTCTTTTTTCCCTTCACAAGTTCGAAGATGGTAAAATAGGAACAGAAAAAAAAAACAGTCTTCTTTTATATATATATAAAGATGTTGATCATTAACTATATTATATTCATTTTATAGGATCGACTAAATATTAATAGTCAAATTGAACATTGTAAGTATTCATCTATTTTTTTTTTTTTAAATTGAAATACTTAATGACATATTTTTTCCATGTTTAGTACAATCAAAATATATTGGTACTGGACATGCTGACACGATCAAACAGTAAGTTATAATAATATAAATGAAAAAAAAGAAAGGAAAGTAACTAAATGTTTTCAACAGTGAATGGCTTTCCAATCAACACAGAGATACTTATGCTTCCATTATTGGACATCATCCATTATTATCATATGTATCTGTAGCCGAAAATGAATGTACTGCTAGAGTCAAATCAAATTTGTTAGAGGTAATACTGGAAATGATATTTAGATAAGTTAATGATATTATATGATTAATTATATATTTTAATATTTTAGAAAATGGTATCACCTACTGGTCCGCCTCCTGTCCGGGAAGATCAATGAAAATTACGAGAATCTCTCTCTCCCTCTTTCTTTCTTTCTTTCTTTCTTTCTTTCTATCCTCTATCTTGTTGTCTGATATAATATATTTTTTTTGTAGATAGTATTTCTTTTTTTATTTTATTTTTATTTCTACTTTATTATAATAAAAAGAAAATCATATATGCTTGTTTTATTATTGTTAGTTTATTCATCATTATTGCTCTATAAGAATCATTAAATCAAGAATCATTTACTGGTTTTTTTTTTCCTTGTGAAGCGCGTTTATTTTTTCTTTTTCTGCGTTATGGTCATAAGCCTAGCATCATTCCATTTCTTTCTATGTCTGAGCTATATGCTTAGTTCTGGTAGCAAAAAAAAAAAAAAAAAAAAAAAAAAAACTTTACTAACCTTATTTCTCTTTCTATTCATTTTCTATCGTTGTCACATCAATCCGTTGAACCATCATACCATATATGCAAATAAGTTGTATTACTGAGTAAAAAAAAAAAAAAAAGAAAAAAAAATAGTCAAATATCTCTACAGTCTTCCTAATTTTTCCCACGGGGTCGCCATTTTTTCTTTTCAATTCTTTTGGGGATAAAGATTTCGTCCTTTTTTTTTTTTTTTTTTTTTCTTTTTTTCCTTTCTCTTTTGTTACATTATTCAGAATATCAATATCCTATCCCCTCTCCCTTTTTATATATACTCTTCTGATATAGTCCGTACTTTTTTTTTCTTTATCTCATGCACGCACGAATTCACTCCATGTCAAAAGCCACCACTCTTCTGGCATTGACCAAACCTACAAGTCAACGTGTTCTTTTTCTCACGGTAAAAAAAAAAAAACTTTGACCATCCTCTTCTTCTCCCTCATTCTTGTAATTCCTTATTTTTTTCTTCTTCTTTTACTTTAGCCTTCTGGACAACGCGCTCGCTTGATATCTGTCAAAACAAGATCTTCTCGTTGTTCCACTTTGAACACGTATTCAATCAAACCTCTTGTTACGCAACAATCTCTTTATGCCAGGAACTTTCATGGATCAAGTTTTCAACAAGCTTTGAAACCTTTCCTTCTTGCTGATATTGGTGAAGGTATTACTGAATGTGAAGTTATACAATGGTAAGACTTTCTTTGTCATTTAGTTTTAATGGTTATTAACTGATCTCTGTTTTATATTTTATTATTCCTTTTATAATAAATACTATAGGTTTGTGGAGCCTGGACAAACAGTTGCTGAATTTGATAAGATATGTGAAGTGCAATCGGATAAAGCCTCAGTGGAAATTACTTCCCGTTTTGCTGGAAAAGTCGTCAAGTTGTATCATAATGTTCATGATATAGCAAAAGTAGGACAACCTTTAGTGGATATTGAAACTATGGATGGCACTGATATTACTCCTAATCCTTCTTCAAAATCATCATCTACCTCAGAATCTATCAATCAAGAAAAGGAATCATGGGACAAATCGAAATCCAACAACAAATCAACTACATCAACACCGACATCATCATCATCATCATCATCATCGTCATCATCCTCATCATCATCATCTTCATCATCTGCGGCTACTCTCGCTACTCCGGCCGTTCGTGGGTTAGCCAAGGAACATAATGTTGATCTTTCTCAATTGACTGGATCAGGTGCAGGTGGCCGTATTATGAAACAAGACATCATGGATTACGTTTCTGGAAAACAAAGTAAGTGGAAAGATATGGGCAACATATATATATATATATATATATATATATATTTAAAAAAAAAAAAAGAAGAAATATCACAGTTATAAGAGTTAATACTGACTTAATATTACTTTCAATTGCTTTTTCCTTTATTTTTATTTTCATTAGGTGATACCACATATGCGACACAACATACCAATGCAAATATCAGGAGCACCGATTTGGCAGGACCAAGTGATCGAGCTGAACCTTTGACAGCCATTCAAAAAGCAATGTTCAAATCCATGACAAAATCTTTGGCTATTCCTCAACTTGGTTACAAGGATGAAATTGAATTGAATGCAACTACAGAATATCGTGGTGCTTTGAATCAACATCTTATCAATCACCCTGGTGTCTATTCCTTCTCCAAGATATCTTATCTTCCCATCTTTATCAAATGTATGTCTATTGCTCTTCGACAATATCCTGTTTTGAATGCAACTATTGGTCAACATGCTTCTGATGTCAATGTCAATGATATCAAGATTACCTACCGTTCTTCTCACAATATTGGTGTCGCCATGGATACACCTCAAGGTTTGATTGTTCCTAATATCAAAGATGTACAGTCGAAAACTATTTTTGAAGTGGCTTCTGAATTGAACCGTTTGACTGAACTAGGAAAAAAGAATGCTATTCCTCTATCGGATTTACAAGGTGGTACCATCACATTGTCCAATATCGGTGCTATTTCTGGAACCTATGCAAGTCCTGTTGTTGTTGCTTCTGAAATGGCCATTGTTGCTCTTGGTCGCATGCAAACTCTACCTCGTTTTGATGATGATGGTAAAGTAATTGCCAAACAAGTCATGCCTGTAAGTTGGTCTGCTGATCATCGTATCATTGATGGTGCTACTATTGCTCGCTTTGGAAACTTGTGGAAAACTTTGATTGAAAACCCTGCATTACTGGCTAGCGAACTCCGTTGAACAAGATAATATGGTTATTGTGCGATCTTTATTTTATTTTATTGTTTTAGTATTAGACAAGATGACAGTTTATATATAGAAGGTTGGATGTTTAGTTTAATTGTAGAATTATTCCTTGATCGTGTTTCCAATAAAAAAAAAAAAAGAAGTAAAAAGTGATAATTTTTATTACTGTCGTATCAGCGTATTCCTAACCATGTATGTAAAATAAAACTAAAGAATGCATTCACAAATAAAGAATAAAAAAAAAAAATACATCTAAAGATGGAATCAATTACATTGACATGTAACAAAGTAGTTGGAATAAAAATAAAAGTTTTATTAAATAAAAGTATAACTACTAAAGACTACTAATTGATATACTATAACTAAAGTTATTATAAAGAAAAGAAAGAAATAAGCATCCCAGGGCATCTAACATAATGAATATCTAACTGTACACTTTATTCAATAAAAAATGACGGAATTCAAAGAATAAGATGTCGCAAAAATAGGAAATAAAATATCGTAAGGATAGAAAATAAATGACGGGGTAGAAAAGAGAGAGTTGTCGCATAATCAAATAGAGAATATAAGAAGAAGAAAAAGAACAAGAAGAAAAGGAGTGATAGTAGTTCCATTGAGTATTTTGAATAACAGAAAATAAAATATTATTTAGTCAACATATCCATTTTTTTATATTTATTTCAAATTACCTGTAGGGAAGCATTAAATACGTCCTCCGAAGAGGCGATAACATATTTTTATATGTTGCTGTTTACAGGTTGGTTATTCACTTTGAATTGGAAACACCAAGAGAGATTTCAAAAAAAAAAAGAAGAGAATGATTAATATACTGTATCATCATCATCATCATCATCATCATTAAAAGAAACTTACTATATATGCAAGCACAGAAGAAGGAAGTCCAATAAGTATATACAAAAAAAAAAAAGCAAATGGACCTAAAGGCCCGTCTTGATTCTTGTAAGGTTGTAGTCCAGAAAAAAAGAAAACTTGTATTGCAGTGGATAGATATGAAGGTCTTGTATGCTTGTAAATTGGTTTAAAAATTGATATCAAAATAGATAAAGAAATTAAAAGAAAAAGAAAAAAAAAAGGAAAAAAAAGAGAAAAAAGAAACAGAAAAAAAAGAAAAATAAAATAGCACTCTTTTATATCTCTCACTTGATCAAGGAATAAAATAAACCTGGCAAAAATACCTCAGAAGAAAAAAAAAAAAGAACTATTATGCAAATTTACATTCGTCATCGATCGATCGAATGTCTCAGTTAATGAAAATAAACAAAGAAGACCCGAGTAAATGTATTTTTTTTTTTTTAAGAAAAAAGAAAGGAACTATTATGCGAATTCACATCAACATCACAAGATATGAATATTACATTAGTATACCCCTGTCTTAACTGTGAAAATTATGATGATGATACAATATAAAAAATATAGTTCTTTTTTTTCCAAAGATGGCCTGTTGAAAAGAATCAGCTAACAATCAATCATCAATCATCAATCATCAATCATCAATCATCAATCATCAATCATCAATCATCAATCATCAATCATCAATCCATGACATACTCCACCGACATCTCTAAAGCGATATCTAAAAAAAGTGGTAATGCGACATTCATTTTGGGAAAGTACGATTTTTTATTTTATAACATCACGAAAAACATTTTCTTGTGACCCGACAAAAAACTTTGAAAACACTGTGTCGTATCAGCGTATTCTGTATCTATAATATAAGTGTATAATAAAAAATAAAAGAATGCATTCATACATACGTAATACATCCTGTAGATGGAAATGACCCCGTTGACATGTAATAAAGATAATTGTAATAAAATAAAAACTTTATTGAATAAAAAAAAAAAAAATGTGTAAAGTAACGACTACACTAATGTATATAATAAAACCATAAAAAAAAGTCAATGGAAAAGAAAAAGAAAAGAAAAATGAAAAAATGAAAAATGAAAAATAAAAAAATAAAAAAAGGGGACTTTGAAATTTATTCTGCTCTTAACCTAAATTCACCCCTGAGTAAAGAACTCTAATTTAATGAATGAAGAATGTCGATACGTTTACCATATAGTAATCATCAAAGGAATTAATTATGAATATCGTTCAATTTAATCAGATATACCAACAAAGAGCATACATGGTATTTAATACATATAATGATTACATGATGATTATAATTTTATCTTAAAAACAGATATAAAAGAAACATAAATTTTTCAAGTGTAGATACAATAATCAACTTTATCTTTTTATTTTAAATAAAAAAACTAAGAAGAATCTCACTGACTTATTACTAGTCTCATACTGTTACTTTATTTTATTTTATCTACACACAATTCAACACACTGTATTATGGATCATTCTCTCTGATTGGCTCAACCCCTTTTTTTCAAAGTCAGACCAAGAACTTCTCTTACCTTCCAAATTGATCTTTATTTTACTACTTTACTTTTCTTTTTTATTTTATCTCTTTTTTTATACGTGTGCTTGCGTAATCAAGTACTGGTGCTCACTATAAACATTATTAATTTTCAATCATCCGTTTTACTTTTTCAATTTTGAACCTATAAACCAAAAAAATCACCCAACAAACCTATTAACCAAAAAAACTCACAACACAACCAAAAAAATCACTTAACAAAAAAAAAAACAAACAAACACGAAAGAAAACTGTAAAAAGAAACCGCCCCCGGGTGGGCTTGAACCACCAACCTCCTGATTAACAGTCAGACGCGCTAGCCAATTGCGCCACGAAGGCAGAAACTGAAATTTGGACCGTTTACATCTATATGAATCTCATCGTTAATTTCGCACTCCGTTTTCCTTATTTAGATGATTGTATCATTTTTTTTTCTTTATTATTACCGTATTATGTTAAAAGGATACTTTTTTTTAATAATGGACCATATTTATTTATGAAGCTGATCACACAATTCAATTGTCAGGTTTGGATAATAATATAGTTTTCTACGTTAAATTTTCTGGTGCCTGTCAAAAATTTCCCTGTTCACTGATGTTTCCAATCATGAACTTTTTCTTTTTTAAAAGCCAGATCAAAGTTTTTTTTTTTTTTTTTTTTTTTTTTTTTGTCACTCTCTTTTTTTTTTCTCTTTCTTTTTCGTGTGTCTTCCAATGCCTAAAGAACCGATCAAGACATGTCCTAAAAAGCTACCTTGGAATAAAGGGGATCCTATACCTCCTCCACCTGCTAAACAACGACAATGTAAGTCTCAAGATGAAGCGGACGAAAACAAAAAAAAAAAAAACTCACAGTTTCTTTTTTTTATATAATGCTTTTTATTTTATAACACAATTGTGACTGACAGGTCATTATTGGATAGAACGGAAACGTCGATATTGTCAACTCCTTGCAAAGGCAACAAATAAGTATTGTGGTGAACATATGGTTGTGTCTGATAACAATGGTGTAGAAGAAAGTAAACGTCGTGTACCTTGTCCATTTGATCCTTCTCAGTAAGTCAAGAAATATTACATTAAAAACTATATCGGTGTAAATTCTCACTTTTTCTTTTATATTTTTATAGTTCAGTGGTTCAAAAGGATTTAGAAATTCACAAAACCAAATGTAATGCAAGACCACGTGCACCTGAATCACATTATGCTTTGAATATCAATACAACCCTTCCTCTATCGCAAGAAGAACTCGATTTCCAACAAGGTATTTACTCACACAAAGAACTGAAAGTACAGCCATGGATTGCTCGTATACAACTGGATGAATTATCAAGATCTGAATTAGATGCTCTGATCAACAAAGTACAATTAGCTTATGATAGTCATGTCCCTTCGTCTATTCCTAAACAAGTTTTATCTCATCAAGCCATTGTGATCGATGGACAATCTTCAAAAGCGATACGACATTTACACCAACAGGTAATGAATGAATAATGAAGCAATAGTCGAGATTTAATGACACTCCTTTTCTTTCAAATATATACTTTTATATAGTCTTCATTACTTGGACATATGCTGGATTGTGGTATGTTAGACAATAAAAAAGCGTGTTTCATAGAATTTGGTGCAGGCAAAGGTAAATGATATTACTTCATAAAAAAAAAAAAGAATAGAATCTTATTCATTTTTTTCTGTAGGTGAACTCTCTGGTCATCTCAAACAGGCATTACAAGAAGAAAATGGTGAAGCTACTTATATTTTAGTTGATCGTAAATCAGTTAGAAACAAGGTAAATATAGAGTATGGAAAAAGATCATTATAAAGTGGTATCCTTTTTTTTTTTTTTTTTTTTTTTTAATCTGCTTTATTTGCTTAGTACGACCGTAGTTTACTTGGTACATCAGAACGAAATTCAAAAGTGCAGCGAATTATGATTGATATCAAGGATCTTCAACTTGGCAAGATAAAGTCTCTACAGGGTGATGATAACAAAAACAAACCAGTGGTATGTCTCTCTAAACATTTATGTGGAAGTGCGACCGATATTACATTGAAATGTTTAATGAATTATGTTGCTGAAGAAAAAGCTGCGGGAAATGGGTAAAACTAAAAAGAAAAAAAAAACAACTAAAAAAAGAAAGGTTCTATGCAACGTCAATAAATTTTATAGTCACTAATATATTATCTGATTTTTTTTTCATACAGTTGCCCTGTTTCAGGCATCATCATTGCTCTATGTTGTCATCAAATGTGTAGATATGAAATGTATCCCAATACAAAATACTTGGATAGTATTGGACTCTCAAAACTGGAATTCGATCGACTATGTAAAATGACAAGTTGGGCTATTTGTGGAAAACGAAATGTTACAGATGAATCAGAAATCGATCATGCTTTACTTTTAGAAGAAGAAAAAGAAGATGAAATGGGGTATGAACTATTATATTAGGATGATTGTCTTTTATGAGTACGCTGATTTTTTTTTTTTTTTTTTTTTTTTTTTTTTTGGTTAGTGGGCATTATTCTGGACGTGATCATGAGGAACGGGAAGAAATAGGATACAAATGTAAACGTGTATTGGATGCTGGACGACTTGAATACTTGGAACAACATGGTTTTAAACCATATTTGGTATACTATGTGGATAAAACTAGTACTTTAGAAAATTGTGCCTTGATAGCTGTACCTCAATAGTTAGATAGAAGATGTATCCTTTTATTGTTATTGAAGATTGTAAATAAACTAGAAGTATTGTAATAATTGATTGACTTTTTTTTTTTGTTCACACAAGACAGATGGTGAAGGATTTCACACGTCTCTATCTTTTTTTAGTAGTCATGCTGTCATTGGTAGTTTTCTTTTCGTTGCTTTCTGTTGAAATATGATGTTATATTGACAAAGCTCTCCCGATTGGTGGAAGGAAATAGTTTCATACCCTAGTGGTATCCTTGTAGAAATATAATTTGGTCATGTTATCTTTTCGGGGAATAAAGTAGAACGTATAGGGTAAAAAGAAATTGATTTATCTTAAACCCATGTTTGAACTTGTAATAAAAAGGTGTGGTGATTTTTTTTCTCACTTTTTTTTTTTTTTTTTTTTTTTTTAAAAAAAAAAATATATATATATTACCAAACAAACATGCCTATGGCTAAAGATCTTGGTAAATAATTTATTTAAATTATCTAATCAATGATCGCTAAAATGTTTTTCTTTTCTTTTCTTTTTTTTGTTAGCAAACGTTCATGACCAATTAGTTAGTATCGCTAAGGATTCTCAAGCTCTTGCTCGAAGAAAACACAGTGCAGATGATATTTCAGTATTACAAGTAAGTAAAAGACTATAAAGATTTGTCTCGAGTTTAACATTTCTCTATAGAGGCGGTTAAGCGTAGCTGAATCTGAATACAATTCTAGTCAAAATGATAAAAATTATGAAGCGCCTGGTCAAGCTCAAGTTTCGGAGGAGATAGATAGAGTCCATCATATTCTTAGCTCAATGCTTCAGCGCACAGACTAATAAAAAAAAAAAGTTGAAATAGTTGTCAATTTTTTCTTTATTTCTTCCTTTTTCTTCCTTTTTTTTTTTTTTTTTTTTTTTTTTTTCTTCTTTGTCTTTCCCTCTTGATATCTGTCATCATATCTACTTTTGACGTTGTTCTTATGTAATGACTAAAACAGTTCAATATTTATCAATATTCCTCAATAAAAGATCAATCAATTCTGAATACTAATTATAATATGCTTATGTTTATTAGAAAGAATGTCGTCTGATAATACTTGGGGCCAATATGATGGTGGACGTGGGCGTGGACGCGGACGCGGACGTGGAAGGGGACAAGGAAATCGTTCGCAACAACAGGATCAGACTGAAGGATCAACATGGGCTTCTGGATTCCAAACAAGAGGAGGACGACATCAACGAGGTGGTGGTCGATCTCAACAACGTGAAGGAAAGACTTCCTATCGAGATAACGGTGGACGTGGTGGTTATCGAGGCAGAGGTGGATTCAATAATCAGAAGTAAGAAAAAAGACTAAAAAATAAAAAATTCACCATCAACATGATGATACGACTTAAACATTTCGTTATTCTTTTTTACTTATTTACATTTATATGTTATATATATATATATATATATATATATGTATATTTACATGATAGCCAGCAATACAAGTCTTCAGGTGGTGGATGGACAGCAAGTCGCAGTGGAAAAATGACTACTGTAGATAGTACGGATAATTGGTCATCAAACCCTACAAGCGATTGGGCAACAGCAACAGTGTCTGGCACAGCAAATACTACGGATAATTGGTCAACACCGACAACCTTTGGCAACACAAACGACAATTGGACAGAATCAATTAGTACTGATAATGCATGGTCAAAAATAGCAGCATCCTGTGGCAACGATCAATCAACAAAAGCAACAACAGCTCATGCTTCATCAGATAAATGGGAAAATACGACAACTGATGTCACTGTAGATAATTCATGGGGAACTTCGACTGATACAGGGCAAACTGATAGGTAGGTTTTTCACAGTCAAAAAAAAAAAAAAGATAGCAAATACTCATTCATTGTCATTTGATTTGGATAGTTGGACAGCGGATATGGCTACCTCACAAACTGATTGGAATCCATCAACAATACCTTGGTTAAAAACTCTAGATGAACCTGTGAACAAAAAGGAATCTGGTCGAGGTGAATGGAAAGATGGACAACATGTGATAGCAGAACGGGATCCTGAAATTGAAAAGAAACTCTTTGGTGAAAAGGATGCGGATTTTGTACACTCTGGTATCAACTTTGATCAATATGACAATATACCTGTGAAAGTGGAAGATGACACTGTTTTTGAAGCAATGAATACCGTAATGATTTTTTTTAAAAAACAAATTAGACAATTATAGACATAGGTGTTAATTCATTTTTATTTTTATCAGTTCACTAGTCCTCCTCTTAATGTTCATCTACTTTCCAACATCAAATTGGCAAAATATTCCACTCCTACACCGGTTCAAAAGTACTCTGTTCCTATTGTATTGGCTGACCGTGATCTAATGGCTTGTGCTCAAACAGGTAAAAAAAAAAAAAAAAAAAAAAAAAAAAAGCAAAACGGATGATCTGACACTTTTTCTTTTTTTTTTTTTTTTGGAGGTTCTGGAAAAACGGCAGGATTCCTCTTTCCAATGCTTACAAAGTTATTCAATCAAGGTCCTCGAGAAATAATGGGAAACAAAAAGAAAGATAGTCGCAAAGCTTATCCTGAAGTCCTTATTTTGGCTCCTACTCGTGAACTTGCTTCTCAAATATATGGGGAAACCAAGAAATTTGCTTATCGATCCTTTGTTCGTCCTTGTGTTGCTTATGGTGGTGCAGATATCAGTCAACAGCTTCGATTATTAGGTCGTGGGTGCCAAGTACTTGTAGCAACTCCTGGTCGTTTAGTGGATATTCTTGAACGTAGACGTGTATCTCTTAGTAACATACAATATCTTGTTTTGGATGAAGCTGATCGAATGTTGGATATGGGCTTTGAACCTCAAATTCGACGTATTGTACAAGGTGAAGATATGCCTGGAGTGACTGATCGCCAAACTCTAATGTTCTCTGCTACTTTCCCTAAACCCATTCAATCTTTGGCCAAGGAATTTCTCAATAATTATGTTTTCTTTACAGTTGGTAAAGTTGGTGGTACTTCTGAAAATATTACACAACAAATCCTGTAAGTAAAATATACATATATAAAAAAGATCATATTGAATTTCACTCATATATATATATATTCACTTACTTTGATCATTTTACTTAGACTCGTGGAAGGGCAGGACAAACGGATCAAATTAATTGAAACATTACAAGAAAATGAACAGAATGATGGATTGACACTTATTTTTGTGGAAACGAAACGAATGGCGGATAGTTTGTGTCAATATCTCGTGGAACAAGGGAAGCAAGCAGCAAGTATTCATGGTGATCGATTGCAAAGAGAACGTGAAGAAGCATTACAAGCATTCCGCTCAGGACAAGACCCTATTCTGGTGGCAACAGCAGTGGCAGCACGTGGATTAGACATTCCTAATGTGACGCATGTGATCTCATTCGATGTACCCAAAGATATTGACGACTATACTCATCGTATTGGAAGAACTGGACGTGCTGGGAACACTGGATTGGCTACTGCTTTCTTTGAAGATAGCAATCGGTTCATAGCTGCTGATTTGGTGGAATTACTGAAGGAAGCAAAGCAAAGTATCCCTGATTGGTTACAACAAATGGCTGATGAACCTCAACCGGTGATGGATGATTATGATCAATCAACAAGAAGACGACAAAGAAGATATGATGATGATATTGGTGTTAGGATCAAAAATCTGAAGTTTTAGTTTAACTACCTTTATTTTTTACTTTTGATTGTTTATCATTTATCACAAATAAAAATCCACTTCAAACGGAGAATTGTTGTTTAATGATTTAGTTCAAGATCGAACTTTTATATATCTTGCAGATTATGCCGTTCAATTAAAAAAAAAAAATGAAATAAACCGATTTTATTTTTTCGTTTATTCTCTTCTCTCTCTCTCTCTCTTTTTTTTATAATTCATTTTTATTGAATATATATTGTATATATAAATATATATATAGAAGTATATATACATCAACATAACCGAGAACCTTAGATTATGTTCGATAAACAATTTTTGATTTATGGTAAAAAGAACCTTTTTCACTTGATGTTTATATTTTGATATAGTTTTCTTTATTTACATATAATCATCATTCACATATTACTCTTTTTTTTTTTTTTTAGTTCTTGTCACTTTGTTGGTAGTGTTATCACATTGTCATGCACTTAGCAACAGTGATCTCGAGACAGACTCCGCCCCATCCCCTTCATTACCAAACGTATCTCTTGCTCCACCCTCCACAACCACCATCATCACCACAGTCTCCAGTAATAGTCCAACCGAAGATGTTTCTCTTCTTAGTAATAGTGATCTTGGACCAGATTATCTTCCTCTTCCTGAGAATTTGGCTTGGGTTCAAAACAACAAGAATGATGATTTCACAAGTAAAGACAATACAATCAGACTGACATTAAATAGTGAAGCGTTGTCAAGTTGCAAAAAAAAAAAAAAAAAGAGCTCGGGGAATTTAAAATAAATCCTCGCTTTTCTTTTCTTTTCTCAACCTTGTTTTCTTTTCTTTTTTTTTTTTCGCTTATCTAGATGTCACCGAACTTGACCAAAGTGCATCACGAACTGATACCATAAATGGAGCTATGAATCCTTCAGGTACCCGACCTCGTGTTGCTCAAATGACAGGTTGTCGTACTCAAGGTCAAATTGCCGTTACCTATGTAAGTTTTTTTTTTTTTTTTTTTTTTTTTTTTTTTGTTCTTTAACAAATATTTTAAGTGAAACTTCAACTTATTTTCTATTCTTATAGAGTGAAGGTCCTAGCGATGCTACTGCAAGAATTGTAAGGCATCTCAACAATGCTGATGCTCGTGCCAATTTCTTTTTCAATGCTTCTTGGTACATATCCCCATCCTTTATCTTAAATGAAATACTGATATCTTTCATCTTTTATATCCACTTTTTTTTTTTTTTTTTTTGTTTAGGCTTTATACACAGCAATATGCAATGGTAGTACAGAATGTATACAATGCTGGTCATTTTGTAGGAATGACCTATCGGGTGAAGAATGACGACTCGTCATTATGGTCAGACAAGGAAATTCGAGACGATATTATCAACAATGCTCGCATCATTGAAACTCTAATCAAGGTATCGCCAAAATACGTCCGTTTACATTATACACCCAAACCTGATACTCGTGTGGAAACCATTCTTCGTGACCTAGGCTTTGTTTTGGTGGGATACAATTTAGATAGTCAAGATTATTCACACAAAGATCCAACAGGACCAAACTCTATTGAAGATGTCTATCGTCGTACCTTCCAACGCCAAAAGGATACCTATGATGCCAAGGGGTCCTTCATTTCTATTCAATACGATATTCCTGATACTGGTGCTCTTATTGCTGTCCCATTCATGATCAATACCATCAATGAAGAAGGTTACACTATGGTCCGTTTGGATGGTTGTCTCAATGACCCCAAGCCATACAAAAAAGGTAAGTTTGAATAGAAATATCAATCAATAGGATAATAACACTTTATTATTATTATTATTATTATTATTATTATTATTATTATTATTATTATTATTATTATTATTATTTGTTCTATAGCTGCCGACAGTATGGAATATGTCTCGGATAAATTCTCATTCAACTCTACAGGTTATCATCAAGGTCAAAAAGCCATTTCTAGTGAAGCTCTTGTGGTGGACAATTGGGAAACAGAAGAAGACCGTATGTTTCTTAAGAAGAAAAGTTTGGCTACTGATATACTAGTCGATTGGCCTTATTTGGTGATGGTCATGGTGTTATCATTTGGAACAATGTTACTGTAGATTATATATTTATTTCCTTCCTCGTTAGTTTTACCTTTTTTTTTTTTTATTTTTATTCTTCTCTTTCTCTTTCTCTTTCTCTCTCTCTATACTTAGTATTCATATTGTCATTACTATAATTTTTCTTTCTGCAATAAACAACCTATAGGATACAAAATTATTATAATTAGCTCCAGATAAAAAATGGTTTTCAAATAACTTACTAAGTTTAGTCCACACCTTGCGAGGACTCCAAAGGTTTCATCTACAAAGACGTATCTTGGTGTAAAAGTTGAGTTCCAGTCTTTATCCTGTTTTTGAGAAAAGAAAAGAAAAGAAAAACTCAAAACAGAGAAAAGAAGAAAAATCTCAGGGACAAAAAAGAAAAAAAAATTGGAAAGAGTAAAAGACATACCTTTTTATTGGGTGGTGTGGAAGATTGATAGGTAGCAAAGAGATCAAAAATAGGCAATAATGTTATTTGCTAATCTTTAGTTTTTCATGTAGTAAATAAAAGGTACATTTCCTTTTTTGTTTTAAATACAGTGTTTTCAAAGTTTTTTGTCGGGTTACAAGAAAATGCTTTTCGTGATGTTATAAAATAAAAAATCGTACTTTCCCAAAATGAATGTCGCATTACCACTTTTTTAGATATCGCTTTAGAGACGTCAGTAGAGTATGTCATTGATTGATGATTGATGATTGATGACTGATTGTTAGCTGATTCTTTTCAACAGGCCATATTTGGAAAAAAAAGAACTATATTTTTTATATTGTATCATATAAGACAGGGGTATACTAATGTAATATTCATATCTTGTGATGTTGATGTGAATTTGCATAATAGTTCCTTCCTTTTTTTTTAAAAAAAAAATACATTTACTCGGGTCTTCTTTGTTTATTTTCATTAACTGAGACATTCGATCGATAGATGACGAATGTAAATTTGCATAATAGTTCTTTTTTTTTTTTTTTTCTTCTGAGGTATTTTTGCCAAGTTTATTTTATTCCTTGATCAAGTGAGAGATATAAAAGAGTGCTATTTTTTTTTTCTGTTTCTTTTTTCTCTTTTTTTCTCTTTTTCTCTCTTTTTCTTTTAATTTCTTTATCTATTTTGATATCAATTTTTAAACCAATTTACAAGCATACAAGACCTTCATATACATCCATACCAAATACAAGTTTATTTTTTTTCTGGACTACAACTCTATCATAATCAAGACGGGCCTTTAGGTCCATTTGCTTTTTTTTTAATATATACTTATTGGACTTCCTTCTCTCTGTGCCTTGCTTAATAGTAAGTTTCTTTTAATGATGATGATGATGATGATGATACAGTATATTAATCATTCTCTTCTTTTTTTTTCTTTTTGAAATCTCTCTTGGTGTTCAAAGTGAATATCTAACTGTAACAGCAACATATAAAAATATGTTATCGCCTCTTCGGAGGACGCATTTAATGCTTTTCTACAGGTAAGTTAAAATAAATAAATATAAAAAAAATGGATATGTTGACTAAATAATATTTTATTTTCTGTTATTCAAAATACTCAATGGAACTACTATCACTCCTTTTCTTCTTGTTCTTTTTCTTCTTATATTCTCTATTTGATTATGCGACAATTATATTTTTTTCTTCTGTCATTTATTTTCTATCCTTACGATATTTTATTTCCTATTTTTGCGACATCTTATTCTTTGAATTCCGTCATTTTTTATTGAATAAAGTGTAGTGATTACTCTCTCTATCTGTCTGGCTACTAGCTTTATCATTTTTCATAGAATAATTCACTCAGTACTACTACCTTATCATTATTGTTCTCATAGAGTTGTAATCCATCATCAGATATTTATTCATTCATCTAGTCATCAGATAACATCCACCACCATAATCATCATCCTATATCATCACATACTAATTTAGAATCCTTGGATGAAAAGCATTTCATTGGATATTTTTTGTATTTCCGCCTCTTTTTTTTTTTTTTTTTTTTTACACTTGATGGTTCCACACCCCCTTTTTCTTTTTTTTTTTTCCTTGTGACCGGTATAAGAAAAAAAAAATTGAACAAACAAAATCGCTTAGAGATTTATTTTTTTTTTCTTGTTTTTCTTTCTTTCTTTCTTTCTTTCTTTCTTTCCTTCCTTTAATAGTTAAATATCGCAATCATGGCTCACGCTAACGTTTGGAATTCTCGCCCCAAGACCTACGGTAAGGGATCTCGTCAATGGTAAGTCCTTTTTATTTTATTATTCATGGTGAAGACTATGCAGGTTTTTGTTTAATTTCTTGTCATGATCCATCCATCATGTGTTGTTCCTCTTTTCCGAAAAAGTGGACAAAAAAAAAAAAAGAAAGCTGTATTATCAACTTTGTCAATCATTGTACTCATATTTGAATATTATTTTATAGTCGTGTCTGCGCTCACCAAGCTGGTTTGATCCGCAAGTACAACCTCAACATCTGTCGTCAATGTTTCCGTGAATACGCCAACGATATTGGTTTCCACAAGGTAAATCATATTCACGAACGAAATATGGTTGATACCGAAATATTCATTTATATATATGTAATTTTTTTTCTTTTTTTTAGTACCGTTAAATCAACCCTGAATCCTTGGTCTATGTCTCCCAGGTTCCTATTGGCAATTAGACTATTCAATTCTTTTTTTTTTTTATTATTGTATTCATATATATATATTTGATCATTATGTAGAATGTAATAAAGAAAACCTGACTGATTGAAACCTTATGCAGCGATGGATTGGATGCCTGATCTATATATATATATATATATATATTGTGAACAGAAATTAATGATTATGCATGTGTATCTAACTTGTGGAATGATATTGACAAAAGGAGTTGTTGATTCATTATATGAAAAATGATGTCTGAAATAAGGTGATATTTCATAGGACAATCATAATGAGAATGATAATGGTGATATTTTATTATATTTGTACAAGAAGGAGTAATGTTAAAAGAAAGTAACTATACACAGGAAATAACAATACTAATAATAATGATGATAACAATAAAAAAAAAAGTAATACTAATAAAAAAAAATGGATGATGATGCTAAAGAAACACTATTCTAGACCAAATGACTAAAAGAATGGAGGTCAAAAAAGGATGAGATTTGATAAAATAACCGAATAGGCCCAAATGAGATGATGCAGTTGAAGATGAATGAGAAGGCGCTGTTGAAGAGGATGATGATGGTGGAGGACGAGCAGGACCACTAGGGACTATACTTGCACTTGCACTTGGATTGTCAGTTGTACCCACTAAACCAGAAGGTGGATTCCAATACGTTAAAGGTGGACGAATGGTTGATGATGATGATTGTGAGTGTATTCGGTAGCCAAGGGAACTAAGAGATTGTAATAAATTAGGACCAAGAGGACCAGTAGAAAACGCTTGATTCATTGATGCAATAGAGACACCAGGTTTCGTAGTATATGTCATCAAGTAATCAGCACTATTGTGATAAGAAGAGTAATCCACATGTGATAAAGTAGACCCATCCGTAAAAGGTACCAGGGAAGTTTCCATTGTCACTGTATTATTGCTATTTGGAAAGACAAGGAGAATATCTTGAATAGTAATAGAACCATAATATACTGATTGAGCGTATACACTGAGATTAGAATCTACCCATGCATTGACCATATCATAAATACTGTTGTACAAGATGTTGGCATTACCCCAGTTATTCAAAATGTTGGTGATGGTCGACAGTGGTACAGAATGATATTTCAAATATTTATCCATAGGTAATTCCACAAAACCCCAAAACGGTTGATTTCCTTCATCTGTATTTTCATTTTGCATGATAGATTCAAGTTGTTTTGGTGGTGTGAGAAGCATCGGTGTAAGGAAAGGTATCAAGCCGTCTACATAGGGTTGAAATCGTTGATATAAGTCGTCGGACCAAGAGCTTATAAAACCTAGGCCATGTACTAGTTCATGAAGGATAGTACGAAGTAGATCACTTTGATCAGATGAAATAGCAGATGAATCATCCTAAACAAATAAGGTAAAAAGATATATATTAAAACCTGTTGAATTGATTACTAAAATAACTTACGACAAAGTACCAGTTATTATCTCCATTAAATTCAGCGATAATATCAAATTCGAGCCATTGAGGTTTTGGTTTGAGATGGGTGAATTGTTTCAAAGTAGCTTGAGGATACATACGAGTCATATTATCGCTTCCATCGGTCATCAAATAGGAAACAGATGGATAAGCTTGTCCTATAAAAGATAATTTTATTTATATCAGAGGTTATCTTTTTTTTTTTTTAATATATAAGATGTCCTACCAATGGATACTTCATCATTGTTAATGGTGCATTCTTCATAGAGATCACAAAATGAAAAATAAGATATGTTGACATAAAGAGGAGTTTCGAGTTGAATAATAGACGATATGATTTCTGTAGCTGCATTGACAGTATTGTTGACATGATCACATATGATATCAGTATCTGAGCAATGAAGTTCGTAGTAAACCTTATTGGGAAGATGTCGAACTGATTTCTTAATGTTGGAAGAAGATTCGTCACAAAAACGTGTAGATCGATGCTGAGAGTGTTGTTGTTGGTATCGTGATTTATGGTCGAGACACACTATAGAAGAATGAACGTTGTGAGGTATACATAATAATAGCAGATGGAGTGAACAATACCACCACCACCACCTATGACTATATAAATTCATATAATATGTTAATATTCAACAACAACCAAAAAAAAAAAAAAAAAAAAAAAAAAAAGAAAAAGAAAAAGAAAAAGAAAAAAAAAAAACAGATGCTAGTTTCTATTTTAGTGTCCCTTGTTCCTGGTGCAACATTGCGGTATTCTAAAATAGAAAATGCCAAGAACAACAGATGAAAGGTAATCAAAATAGGATTGGATCAAAAAAGAGACATTAGTCAATCTAAAGACTGAAAAAAATAAAAATTCATCCTTTCCTCTTGATTGGTTGCTCCTATCATCCTTTTCACTCTAAAAAAAAATTAAAATAGGAATTGAGTTTTATTACGAAAAAAAAAGTAAAAATGATTACGACAATATGATTTAAGATAAAGTGTAAAGAGAGATTAGGAAGGATTAATTAAAATGTGATACATTTGTTATTGAATAGCAAGAGGATATAGGAAAAGGTATATGGGATGAAAATGATGTTGCTATTGAAGAGAGGATGATCGTGATAAAGATACAGAGCCAGGTTTAGAGAGGATGATAGCTGAACAATGATAATCTTTGTCTATCAACGGAGTTTTCAAGATTGGAGAAGAGATGATGGTAATCGATGAGATGAATAGAATCCGAGACCAATAGCTTGTTGGCATTCATGATTGTTGTTTCGATACAATTTTATGGATTGACGCCATACATTATGGTAGAGGGAATAAGCTTCTTGAGTATTACCAATAAAGAGCATCCATCTTTATCGACCAAGAAAAAAAAATAACTATATATGCACAGATGAGAGTTTTTCATTGATTGTTCCTGATAAAAATAGTAATGGATGATGGAAGAATAGATACTAGTCGATGACAATATAATAAACAACGATAAGAATAAGATTTTATTTAATAAGAATATAAAATAAAAAAAAATGGTATACTATAGGAATAAACTAATCTCCATCGTAAGGGAGAAAGAAAGAGAAGTTACGCAAAGAAGAATAAGAGAGACACCACTTTTTGCCACCAAGTAACTTTTCATTCTCTATCCAATCAAAGCCCCCGATCGATCCTATTGTATTATCTATCTAGCGTATCTTCATAGAAAGATAAAATAGATTAGTTCATAGTACGAGAATGAGAGACTAAGAAGAAGAAAAAGTAACAAAAGTGTAGAGAGTATAGAGTAAATATAAATAAGGATAGAAGTACGTACGTATATGTAAAGAATGGCTAATGTTAAACAAGTATAAAATATAGATTAACAAAGTATCATTATCTATGATTGTAACTTACATGTTCAAGGAGTCATTGATCGAAAGAAAACAAAAAAAAAAAAAAAAGGGGGGGGGGAGTGCGCCCACTTTATTAACTTTTCAAAGCGCTTCCACATGATTTTTTTTTTTTTTGAGATTTGATCTAAACCAACTATAACGGAATCTGAATTTATATCAAGTTGTGGAAATGCATTAAAAAAAGTTGAATGGATAATAGAGTAAATAAAATAAGATGATTTTAATGAATAATGTTCGAAAACATAGTTGACGTTTTATAATGGATGATTTTAAAGCTCTCTTCATTTCTCTCATCTTTTCAACGTTTTCTGTTCAATAAAGCATACAAAGATCATCATTATATATAACAGTCAACAGGAACATCAACAACAAGATGATGTAAAAAAAAACAAAAGCTAAACGTAATAAGTGTGAGACAGAAACCAAGGAAACGATGTGGTAATGCAGAATATTGAAACACCGGATGATGAAAAGTGAAGTGATGGTAAAAGGTGAGCTGACTTTTTTCTTTCCGTAGTAACCAGTGTCTATAAACGAAAGAAAACAAAACAAAAAAAAAACAATGACGACATTTATCCTACATAGATGATGATGTATATGAAATAGTTTGTTTGCTTTGATGATCGTCCTACGTATCAAAGCGAGTAATCTTAAGTTTGCTCCTTCTATCCTATCTTTCAAAAAATAAAAAAAGGCACTTAAAGCTGACCAATGATTGGCCAGAGATTACCCCGCTTTTTTACATCCATAAGAAAGATCTTAAACGGTATAGGAAAAATATGGTTTATGATAGTAAGAAAACTTTAAGCGTGTGAAAGTTTTTTTTTTTTTTTTGTTCATATAGAACTGATTCTTCACTGATAAGATCATTTTTACAAGGGAAAAAAAAAGTATTTTTAATAGTGGAAAATTATCATGTTAACTTTTTCCGGATGGGGTGGGAAAGTCAAAAGGAAGGAGATTCAAAGCATTAAAAAAAAAGATAAATTCCTCTTTTCTTTTCTTTTTCTCTCTCTCTTTTCGCTTTATATTAATTATTATGTCTCCTTCTTCATTAAAACGTGTTCATGTTGTTGGTGCCAATGCCAATGGTTATATCACTGCTATTTTACTTTTACTCCAAGGTTACAAAGTTACTCTAGTTGCAGAGTCATTCCCTGGTGATGACCTTTCTAACAATTACGCTTCAGACGATACTACTTCCCAATGGCAAACCGATACTTCACTTTCACAGGCTAGTTTAAGTTTACAACGTAAGTAATAACTATTGATAAAAAGTGATTAAAAAAAAAGGGGGGGGGATGACAAAATATAAGGGGAAAAACGGAAAAAGGAAATGACTTTTTTTTTTAATATACATATGTGTTTATTATAATCAACACTATTAGAATACGATATAACATCGTTTAACATGTTTTGGAAACTAGCTAAAAGCAAAGCTAAAGAAGCAGGAATCAGAGTAGGTAATAGCTTTAAATATTATCAAGAACCAACTGCAGATCAGTCCAATCCTTGGTGGAAACATATGGTACCTGGTGTAAGTTTCTATATATCATATATCATTCAAAAAAAAAAAAAAAAAAAAAAACTCCATTCAATTCACTTTTGTTATTACCCTGATTATATAGTTTCAGATGATTAATCGTCAAGATTTACCCAATAATATACAGCTTGGATATCATTATACAACTGGTAAGGAGTGAATGTATATGTTGCGTGCAGTATGAATTTTAAACTGATGCCTCTCTCTTTTTTTCCCTTATAGTAATGATCAACCCTAAAAAATTCCTTTGTTGGCTTCAAGTACAATTTCTAGCGATGGGAGGAAAACAAAGGAAAACCAAATTGAATAAATTATTGGATGCAGTTACGGAACAAGATCGTGTCCAGATCCTTGTCAATTGCAGTGACCAACTGCAATTGGATTCAACAGCTAGAGATGATTTATTGGAAAAGGTGGAACAACAGCAATGGATTATCAAGGCTAGTCAAATACGTAAATCAGTTCAAGTCAAAACCAAAGAAGAAGAATTATATGTTTATCCTCGTATGGATGGTACTGTGGTGATTGGATCAAAACGACGACAACAACATCATAAACAAGCAAACAGAAATGCAAGAGATATCATTAACAAGTTGGTAGATTACTGTCCTGAACTGACATGGGGAAAGGGTATTGATGGTTTGGATATCATAGACCAACAAACAACTATCAAATGGATTCGACAACAAGGTCCTCGTATTGAAAATCAGTTTACAGGTAAGACAATAAAAAAATTCGAAAAGGGTTGGAATGGGTCATTTACCTTTTTTTTTTTTTTTTTTTTTCCTAGTTGCACCCTTTGGAGGAAGAATTGCAGTAACTCACAATTATGGTCACGATGGATATCAGTCAACCTGGGGATCATCAAAACGTGCTGTTCATTTAGTGAATGAAGCCTATGCTACTTTGAAAAAGGACTCTGAATCTGTATCTGCTTTATTAGCTCATCTATAGTCGATCTCACTATTATTATTATTTATTTATTTATTTTTGTATATATCGTTTACACTTTTTTTTTTATTTGATTTTCAATAAACATGACTCTTCAAATATCTGTCTTCTTACCTTTATTATAACAATTTGACATTTCTCGTGTAACTTTTTTTTATTATCTTCAAAAAAAAAAAAAAGCGTGTGTATATATGTGTGTGAGAGATAAAAATAACAAACTAAAGAGAGGGTATGATATATGTATATATTGTTCAGGTAATGATACTATGGGGTAAGAAATAAATGATGATGATAATAATGATGATGATATTGAGAATAATACTAATAACTATGATCTATGACTAATACATTGTTTTACTGGATCAATGATTTCGGCAGAATTCCATTGACTTAAAGTAGAGCCTGCAACCCAAATCATACTAAAAAAAAAAAAAGTTTAGAAAAAAAAATATACAAAGAAATGATCACTTACCAAAGTATACCAAATACAATCAGGAGATAATTTGCAAAACGACGGATAGGTGGAAGAGAAAGAGCCCGAAGATGAAACAATGGAGGGAACACAAAACATAATGGAATACAAAATAAAGAACCAATCAAAGGAACGAATTTATCCAGCTTGTCCTTAGAACCAACAATCCCAATCCATGCACAAAGGAAAACAACGAATACTCGGAATACGTTCTTTTGCCATTTGACTACTGCATTATTTTTGCCAGATCGTGTAGTAAATAATCCATTTTCCATGATTCGAATAGCAGGGAATAATTGAAGAGGAATCGATAAACAGATGGCCAAAGAATATAATGTTTGAATGGATGATACCATAGGATCCTTACTCGGTAGATTGAGTAAAATAATAGTTTGTACTTGATCACCAAAAGTCATATAAGAAAGAGCGCCCATGGATACAAATAAACATGTGATAATAAATAAAGCACGTCGTAAAACGGTAGGGAATTGTTGAGGTTCTTTCATAGATTCAGTAATAGGGATCACTAAAAAAAAAAAAAAAAAGAATGAAAATATAGAGTTTAGGAAATTTAGATTTTGATTTTTTGTTTTATCTATTTTCTTACCTAATCCAATGCCTTCATATGTGAAAGCGGCCGTACCAATAAACAAAGGAAAATGAATAGAGTTCCATAATGATACAGTGTCCGCCACACCAACCGTTGATAATTCTTTGACATCATAATAGAATAAGTAGCTGAGACCAATAACAATAAATACATCAGCAATCAAGGCAAACACCGAGAGACGTTGGATCTTGCGAATCATGGCCAAAGGAATAAACGCAAAGCTTTGCGCAAGGATCAATAAATGCATAGGAATCATTAATCGACATTTTGAAAATGTTAATGCCAAGGATTGAAGATTCTCGGCCACAAATACCATATACGCACAAACAAAACCGATCTGAGATAAAGTGATAGCTATCAGTACCGCCATACGCATCTTGGGACCATAAAGGACACTACCCATATCACTAAAACTAGCAGGAATCACCAACCTTGTTTGAACCAATAATAAAAAAGACCATAATGAAATCAGTGCCCAAGCAATGGTTGCAAAAATAGAGAAGAGTAATCCACCATTTTCAAACCTAATGACATCATATAAAGGGTTGTGAGTCCTCTTTTTTTTTTTTTTTTTTTTTTTTTTTGGAATGGAGATATAAATACTTACGCTTTAGGTAAGAACATGATGCCTATATAGAGAAATAAAAAAATATGGATGAGAAGTCATCATTACACAGTTTGGTTTCCAGTCATACCTGTTGTAACAAATGATTTTAATAATAAAAACATAGCTTTTCCGGGAGTTGCTTTTCCTTGAAGAGTATGTCCAGGTCTTGATCTAGAAAGTAGTGGCATGGTTTCACGTGCGTGCAAATGACGGTACTGTAACGGTTGATGATGATCCCCATTTTTCAATGTTGAAACAGGAAATGGTAAAGCTGATGATGAAGTGCCTACCCAAGTTGGTTGTTTGATTGTTGTTGTTGTTGTTGATGATGAACTTTTTCTTCTTTGTGTATCAGATGGTGGAGAAGTCAATGAAGTAGTACCATAGGGTTGTTTTTGTTTTTGTTGATTGTTTTTGTGAGAGAGGGATGATAACGAAGCATGATGTAATAAAGGACCACGATAAGCCATCACATTTCCTTCTTCTTGTTCGTGCGCTGAATAATATTGTTGTTGTTGATGATGATGATTGTTATGTTCATCGACCTGTATACTACCTCTATAACTACCAGAATCACTGGATCCATTTGATTGATTGTTGTTAATATCGACATCATAGTTATCAACATCATCATCGTCATCATCATCATCATCAGAAGTAGAATCGTCGGTATCACTAAGATCTTCACCACCAAAATGACCATATAAACATAGAAATTCCACAAAACTACTAGTAACAAAATTAGGAGGTCTTTTTCCTTGTTTCGCAGCCTTGGTAAGTACAAAATATCGACGAAATCCACCAGGTTGTTTGAGGGATAAAAGAAGAGGATCAACAGTAGGTGTTCGTGTTGCTGGTAAAGAGATAGATTGAGTACGTTGTCGTCGTTGTTCCAAGTGTTCGACATGAGCAGTCCATTTGTAAATGTCATCTAATATAGAACCACTGGATAAAAGGTGATGGGTATTGTAAGTTTCTTCTTCTTCTTCTTCTTCTCCTTGTGGTTGTTTATTGTTATGAGAAGACATCGTATTTCGTGGTGGACAGGGTATCATAGAAGACTCATTCCCGAGAGAAGTTAAAGGAGGTAAAGAAACTTGTGGATAAACAAGATGTCGTTTTACCACTTTCGCAACTTGTTCCACTGGCAAATCAATCGTAAGTGTACGTTCCATAAGGAAGAGCCAGATCAAAAAAGATGTTTATTATAATATGATATTAAAAAAAAAAAGGGTCAATGAAACAAAAAAAGAAAAAAAAAAAAAAAAAAGAGTGAGAAAAATAAAAAGAAATCCCAATTGCGCGCACAGGGCGGTATTTCAAACCTTCGCTGTTGTGTATGAGATTTTTTTTTTTTTTTCGTCTATTCTTTCCACCCCTTTCTTTTTTTTCTTTACTTCAATATTTACTTGTTATATAGACATTGATACACTTTTACACTACAATTTGCAATGGAACAAGAAGGTAAATAAATATTGAACTATTATGTTATTATCTTTTTATATATTTATATTATTATTATTTTTTTTTGTCCCAGCCATATGCAGAGTGTGCCGTTGTGAAGGATCTATCGACCAACCTTTATTTCATCCTTGTAAATGCTCTGGTAGTATTCGATATGTTCATCAAGACTGGTAAATAAACAATAATAATTAATAATATAGATATCAATAAATTGACCACCTCTTTTTTTTTTTTTTTATTATAGTCTGATGGAATGGCTTTCTCATAGTCGAAAGAAATATTGTGAATTATGTGAACATCCTTATACTTTCTCTCCTGGTCAGTCTATTACTGTATATACATATATTATTGAATAAATTAGTCTAACTTTATTCTTTTTTAGTTTATCGAGGTGATATGCCAGATACTATTCCTCTTCGTCTATTCTTGTTACAATTAGGAAACAAACTATGCAAAATGATATATATGATATTACGAGCCTGTTTGGTAGCTTGTGTATGGTTATTCATTTTACCTTATTTTACTATTAATGTTTGGCGTTTTTACTTTTGGACTGGTGAACTTCTTTCTGTTCAGTTACTCCGACTACAAAACTATACAGCCGTTCATAAACTTTATTCTACAACATCTTTACCTTCATCACCAACATCATATATCAATATCATCACCAATACCGACTTTTACGAAGCAACCACTACTGTCGCCTCTGCTGTAGCATCTAATACTTTGGAATCTGTCATAGAAACTGCTTCTGCATTCAACAAAACTTCTCAACAACTTGTCAATACAACTTCTTCAGTGAGTACTACCCATTATGTGATATTCGATCGAACTATCAGTGTATCTGATATAAAGTAAGTTTGTATTATATAAAAATAATAATAAAAAATAATAATAATAATAGAATGGTAATATATATGAATTTTTAACCTTTTTAACTCTTTTTTTTATTTTTCTTTTCTTTAATATTATTAGGAATTTGCTCACTGATTGCTTTGAAGGACAAGTCATTACTTTTTTTGTGGTTGTAGTATTTGTCTCGATTTTTCATCTACGAGAATGGATTGTGCAAAATATACCTGAAGAATGGTTGGACGACGTGGTACACCTGGATGACGAACCTCAAGACCAACAAGAAGATATTTTAGGTCCACAGGATGAACCAATCTTTGAAGAACAACAACAACAACAACAACTCGCTGAACCTTTGGGTACATTGTTTGAAGAACAAGAAGAGGATGAAGAAAACAACAACTTACCTGATGATCAATATCACCACCGCCACCAACAACAAATAGAAGATCAGGATCGAATGAATACACAGTATCAATTACACCGAACAGACACTCAAGTAGATGAAATGGATTATGAATTAGAGTATGATCCAATAACGGATAGTTTCAAAAAGCAAAAACTATACAGACACCGTGATATGAATATTCTAGGAATGGAAAATGTAAGACGACAAGATCGCGCGACCTCGGCACCACCTTCTTCTTCCAACTTCATACAGCATTCTTTTTTGGATAGTGATGGTAATCACGTTATGGAAGACATGACTCATTCCCATTCTCCTTATTGGCGTCTACGAGCAACAAGTGCTGAACCTGATCTGGAAACCTGGCCTACGTCTAATTCTTATGGTGAAGAACAATATTCCTCCTCATCTTCGTCTTCTGGAGCGGCTGGACCAAGTAGATTATTATATCGACCTCCTTTGGATCATGTGGAATCAGTTACCAAAAGGGAAGCAATTTCTCGTGAAGATTTTATCGCTTCTTTGAGGGAATCACAGCAACCGCGTCCACAATTACAACATTCTATAGCGGCAGTGCCTCCTTTACCGCTACGACAACAACAAGAACAACAACAACAACAGGAACAACAGGAACAACAGCAACAACAGGAGCAAGAACGACAACAACAACAACAAGAACGACAACAACAACAACAGCAACAACAAAATGAATTACAAGATGAAGCCCCTCCCGTAGCTAATGACGATGATAACAATGTCGGTGATGATATCATGGATATTCTGGATGCTGTTGGTATGCGTGGTAGTTTATGGACGTTGATACAAAATATCTCGCTTATAGGATTGGTGATTTTCAGTTGTCTTGGTACTGCTGTTTGGATGCCATATTTGATCGGAATGACATTTGTTATGGTATGTTCATAACTAAAAAAAAAAAAAAAAAAAGTGAATATATTGGATAAACACTCATTTTCTACTCTCTTTTTTCTTTGTAGGCTGATATTTTTGATGTTGTTCGAATACCTTTGTTAGTCGTACGAACTTTAACAGATCCAGTGATTGAATGGCTCATTGCCCTTTTTATTGATACTATTTGGCCTACGATGATGGCAGGTATGGAATCCATTCTTCTCAATATTTCGATGTTTAAAGCGCTACTTCCTGATAACATTCAACACGCTTTGATATCAATGACAACTTCACTCTCATCTTCATTGCATGGTTCAGTCACTTCTTTCACATCCTCGACATCTATGGTGAACGGGTCTGCTGGTGCAACTAGTACGGTGTTGAAACACATGGTGGATCAGTCCAATCTAGAAACATCCTATTTCGATCAACTTCTTTATTGGATCAGTCAAGTGGAACCTACTTTGAAATCTATGGCTATTTGGTATCAACATCTCGCTATTGGAACATCGGCTGTGGATCGTACTATCTGCATTTTGATTGGGTACGTGATTGCTCTCGCTATGAGTTCATGTTCTATGTTTCACTTATTGGCAAGAATGTTACTTGGAGATCGTGCTCAAGGTACTATTAGACAACAATATTTGATCCTAAAGGTGGGGATGTTTTTATTGTTTGAACTATTCCTATTCCCAATTGTGTGTGGTGTCCTTCTTGATCTTTCGGCAGTACCTTCCTTGTTGAACCTCTCTATCTCGCCTTGGGATCGGTTGGCTTCTATGTGGTCTTCTCCGATTTCCTCAATGTTTGTATATTGGTTAGTGGGAACTGGATTTATGCTACTCTTTGCTTGGCTCATAACCAGCTGTCGTGAAGTTTTGCGTCCTGGTGTGATGTGGTTTATTCGTGATCCCAATGACCCTCAATTCCATCCTATCAGAGAAATTATTCAGCGACCAGTGTGGACTCAATTGCAAAAATTGGCTGCTAGTGCTACTATGTATGCTTTCATTATTGTCATTGGCGTGGGTGGTGTAGTACAAGCTATTCATCATTTTGGAAAAGATTTTTTGCCATTGCAATGGAATTTGGCGTAAGTTCTTATTAGAAAAAAAAAAAAAAAAGAAAGATTGTTCTGACTTTTTTGTTCTGTTTATTTAGTAGGCCACTTTCAGTTATGCCTTTTGATCTTGTTATTGTACAAATAGCCGTACCAGCTGTGATTCGCTACTTCCGACCCATTGGAACACTCAAGGCAGCATGGGGTTGGTGGATGCTACAACTATGTCATCAACTACGATTATCCTCTTTTATGTTCGGTGTACGACCAGCAGTAGAAGAAAATGTGATGCGATATCCAACATGGTCAAGCTGGATTCGAAGCTTTTTTGATGAAAACAATCAAGAGGGCGTTTTGGAATGGGAAGGACAACTGATGCGGGTACCAAGGCACGACAGCGTGCGATATATTCCAGGACGACGGATGCTTGTTCCTATCGATCATATAACCTATGTTCCTTTGAATGAACGTGAACGTCAACTTGGACATCCTGCAGCTCGTGGACCAGGCGGTGAAGCAGCAAATACAGTGATTGTTTACACTCCTCCAAAATTCAGGCAACGTGTGGCTTTGTTTATGATAGTGCTTTGGTTATCTGGAAGTGCGCTGCTTTGTTTGATGACAATTGGTCCTCTTGTGCTTGGTCGATATATCTTCAAGAAAGGATTCAGAGTGGAATCTCCGGTGCATGATATGTATTCCTATTCCGTGGGTAGTGTTGTTGTACTATTGGTTGGCAGTTGGATAGGCCAACTCTTTATTGCTATACGTGATGTGATATCTCAATCAAATGCGACTGCAAGAATGACTAGCTTTATGAATCATTTTCGAAATATATCTCGCTTGGTAAGTTTTTTTTTTTTTTTGAAAAAAAAAATTATTGTTATGATTGATTTTTATTTATGTTTATTTCATTATCGATAGTTATTCAAGTGGTTGCTATTCATTGGTGTATTTGGTGTTGGATTCCCTCTTTTGTTTGGATTGATGATAGAATTATATTTCATTCTACCTTTACAAAATCTTGGAGATCGTCTACCTACTTTTGATATATTACCCATCTGGATCCGTGGTTTTGCTTGTATGAATGTGATGCATGGTTTCTTGCATATTTTGCCTATCAATCCACTTCAACACAATATTACTCGGGTAAAAGAACAAGAATAAAAATGAAATTACATTTTGGAATTAACTCTTTTTTTTTTTTTTTTGTATTTATTCTTCTTTAGGCATTCCGACGAGGCATCACAGAGATGAATGTTAGATTTTTATGTACAAAGGTGGTGGTACCTCTATGTGTGATATGTTTCACTGCGATTCTACTACCGATCTTGGTCGCTTTTATCAATATTCAATTATTAGGTATGAGAAAGATGAAAAGGAAGAAAATAATGATGATTAATATATGATTTTATGTGATATTCTAGTACCTGATGTTATATCTGTCAAGATCAAAGTAGTTCAAATGATGTACCCAATTAGTTTAATTGGATTAGGATCTTATCATATTGGTCGAATGGGTGCAAGAATAGGTCATGGTTGGATACAATCTATTCGTGAAGATCATTATTTAGTTGGAAGAACATTACACAATATGGGTGAATGATAACTCAACTTTTTTTTTTATTATATATTCCTTTACATCATGTACATACAAATCAATCCTTCCTTTCTCTTTTACGTAGTTAGTATTTATTCTCAATCGAACTCCTGTTGAAATAAAAGTATATTTACCACAAAGAAATGGATCAAACTAGGAAATGAAAATGTATCTATATATATATATATATATATATATATATATATATATAAGTATGTGCGGATGTTATAGTAAAACGGTATACTGTATTGCGTTTTGTTTCAATCTATTCCGATCGATTGTGATGGTTACGTAATTTTAAGAGGTCTCAGTACAGGATTCAACAAGAAAAAAGAGAGAGAAAAAAAAAAAAAAAAGAAAGAGTTTCCTAATGAAGATGATTATGAGCCTGAAAAGGAAGGTACCTTGTCTCCTTTTTTATTATTGATTCATCTTCTTTATTCCTTGTGAAAGAAATTGAATATGGAAATTCACCGATCCCGGCACTCGATGAGGGTCAGTATAATAGAGAACTGACCATTCAAATAAAAGGGTAGGTCACACAATCATTCATTGTTCTGGTTTGAATATCAGGGTTGCACAGTTCAACTGAGGAATTGGACGCCGCCTTCCTGTCAAACGTGGCCCTTGATCAAGGGGGACGGGGATAAGTATGTGTCGTACGAAAACAATAACTTGACACTCATATGAAAAAAGGGATCTGGGCCCTCAATTTCATTATTTAATTGTTCCAGCTTAATTTTTTTTTTTTGTTCTTTTTTTTTTTCTTTCTTTTTCATATTTTATTTATTTATTTCATTATGCTTTTTTCTCATTTGATATATTTATTGGCCCTGGTGGTCTTATCAATCTCTGCTCTTCCCATTCCCAGTCTAACTGATCATTCATCCCAAGAGATCTCTTATGATATTACTCCTCAAGCTGCCAATCATGAAAATAATCTTGTAAACAATCTTTCTTCTTTGGATCCTTTGGATAGCGTTACTTTTGTTGATGCTGACGATAATGAAGCTAATCGAGATACTTCTACCTCTTCCTCAACTACTACTGTTACCACCACTATAGCTACTTCTGCTCCTACAACAACAACAACAACAGCGACAACAACAACAGCAACAACTAGTGCCAAAACAAGAACTACTACTACTTTGACACCTACTTCTTCTTCCACCTCCTCTTCCTCCTCTTCTTCTTCCTCCTCTTCTTCCTCTTCTTCTTCTTCAGGTACTCACTCTGGTAGAGGTACCTGGTATACACCTGATCTAGGTAGCTGTGGTACGAAGAATAGCGCTTCTCAAATGGTGGTTGCTCTCAATCATATTGATATGGCCAATGGAGGCAATAGTAACAACAATCCCAAATGTGGCAAGAAGATTCAAGTCAACTACCAAGGCAAATCTGCTGTTGCGACCATTGTTGATACGGTAAGTTTTTTTTTTTTTTGTTGACTTTTTCGACTGATCATCATTTTTTTTATCATCGTAGTGTCCATCTTGTGACAAAGGAGCTTTGGATTTATCTCCTGCCGTTTTTGAAAAGTTGGCTAGTTTGGACGATGGTGTTATCACAGTGACTTGGGATTACTTGTAGATTATCCTTTTTTTTTTATTTGTTTGCTGTGCAGACGGTTGTATCATCTATTACTTCCCTCCTCTCCTTTGTATTTTTTTTTTATTATATATACATCCTACCTTTCCTCATCTGTGATGACTCTTCTTCTGTTTCTTAAAATTATTATTCTTGTAGTTAAGTCATTATACATTCATCCATTTTTAGTGGTAGTTTCATTGATTGAATCTCTCACCCTCACTTTTTTTTTTTTTTGCTGGACAATATCATTTTCGTTACAATAAACATTCTTTTCTTCCAACTTTTTTTTTTTCTATTGACATCCAATGGTTATATTGACAAGGAATTTCATGATATTCGGTGGACAAAGCACGTTGACCAAGAATAGAGTTGATGATCGGATAATCATCAGATAAGCGATTATGGTGGATGATGATGGGTAAGGGATAAATGGGGAGACCAACTCGTCAAATATCAAGTTCAAGCTGAACTTCGCCTACAAATGTCATCCTTGTTAGGCATTTTTAACCTTCATCATTGTTTAAAGTTTCATTCACGTGTTCCAAATATAAGCAATGCTTAACCTTCCTCCTTTTTTTTTTTTTTTTTTTTTTTTTTTTTAAAAAAAAAACACTTTAAGAAACTGGATTGACTTTTTTTTTTTGACAACATCCTCAATGTAACCCCTTGACAACACATTTTCAGGACTAAATTGGACTCCATTTAGCTTGAGGAGTTCCAATCTTTCACCTATAAAAAGTTAAAATGAAAAAAAAAAGAATAAGATTTTTCATCTTGGTCTCTTCAAGGAGACTTATGCATGTCTCGAACAAAAATGACGACCAAAACCTTGAAGGATTTGAGACTTTCTCCATGCATCTGTTGACACATCAATCTATCTCTTAGGAATCGATGATGATGAGTGATGAATGTGATGTTGATGAATAATAAAAATATATACAAATGGATGAGAGTCGGCTACGATAACCTATAATAGATGGCGACTAGTCTCTGGGTCACTTTGAGGACATAATCGTGGCCTCGGATGCACCAGTCTGATATTTTTTTTTTTTTTTTTTGAAACAAACAGTAGATGCTCGCCATCGCAAAATGATTGATTTCGTTGCATAGTATGTAGAATAAAAAAAAAAAAGAATGATCTGTAAGAACGTTTTTATTGTAAATAGATAAATAAATTACATGGTAACAAATCCCGTGATTCGAGAATAAAAGTACAGTAAAGGTATAACAATAAATAATATAATAAAATAGTAATAAAACAAAAAAAAAGAAATATAATAGTAATAATAAATAAGTAATAAATTATAATAATGGGTTATTAGCCTACACACAAAAAAAAAAAAATTAAAGTCATACATGAAGGAATTAGACAGGGTGCTTGGATTGATCGTTCTTTGTCCTATTGCGTTCTCCAAAACAACACCATCCATGTCGTCGACCTTTGTGTCGTTGATGACGTTCATACATTTCCACATGTCGTACTTGATGCATCACGTCAGGAAACCACCATTGAACCACAAAAGTGCATAGATACCTAGGTAAGAAGGCCACTACCAGCGAAACCAAGAATGTCAGCCAAAATGACCAGCCACCAAATACCATGTAAGCCATCCCATAGATCGCAGTACTTGGAAAAGCTCCGTACGCCACTACCCATAGAAATGTCACCAAGACCTCCAAAAATAGAAATACAAACATCCACCAAGTCCAATAGTAAGTGTTAAAGCCAGGCATCATGTTGGCCAAGATAATCACAGAAATTGCCACTGATGTAGATAGTTGAAGCATAGAATCTGGGTAACCATTCGGATTGGCGTCTGTTTGGTATAGAAAAAAGAAGGCATAAAACACCACAACGGATTGCCACAATCCATCAATAAAATAAATCCAAAACCGTAATCTTGTGTATATTTTTTTCTGAATGCCAATCTGATAGACTTGAGGATATCGTTTCAAATAAGAAGAGGTGATATCTTGATCCGTCGCACCTATATATATATATATATAAGAGTAACGAATAGGTTAACAAAATAGAATAAAAAAATAAAAAAAAATAAATGTAAACTTACCCAATATAACCACAGGAGCCACTGTGAAAATCAAATTGTATAGTTGTAAAAAGGAATAATCATAAAAGAGGTTGCCAGAGAATCGACTATAGATTTGATACCAAAGGGCAGGAAATACCCACACAATGTTCTTGAAAAAAAAGTTCAGGATCATTTCGGCAATACGTTCATAACTCCAATGACCTTGTACCAATAATAGTTTCTGAAGAAATCGAAATTGGGAAATTGCATAATCCGCCGCCATTGAAGCTTGTACCCCTTCTTGACCTGCAATACCTATACCCACATTGGCAGCTTGAATCATTGATACATCATTGGCACCATCACCCACAGCAAGGGTCACTGCATCTTGATTGCGACGCACCAATTCTACGACTAGAGCCTTTTGTAATGGACTGACACGACAGCATATCACACTTTTGCATTGCAATGCTACTTCGAGTAATTTGGCTTTGGATTCTTCTGTTTCGTATATCTTGGAAAGTGCTGCTCCTTCAATCACCAGCGCGTGTTGTTGATCTTGTTCTTGAGGATGATCGACTGCAGCATCATCTTTGACTACTGTTGTTGTTGTTGTTGTTGTTGTTGTCGCTTGTTGTATTTGTCCCAAAATGTAATCCAATCTTTCATTGACACTAGCCGTGCGTTGATCCCCATCGTTATCATTGTCAGATATGGTTTTCACTTCATCACGCACAGTCCAAAGTTTCATTGTTCCATCCAACAAATTGCTTGCATATCCAATATTAATCGCAGTTTCCAGTTTATCACCCGTCAAGACCCATATCTTGATACCAGCATGTCGTAAATCTTCAATACATTGTGGAACACCTTCTTGTAATTTATCTTCAATTGCAGTGGCACCTAAAAGAATCAACTGTTCTTCCAATTCATCTTGTAATGCATTAATCTTGTCGTTTCGTCCCTCCACTGCCGTACTGGCTTCTTGCATACGATGTTGCCATTCTCGAAAATAATCATCATCCTCTAATGTTCGATATCCTAGTACCAAAGTACGTAACCCATCATTGGAATAATCATCAATATCCTGTTGTGTTTGAGCCATACGAGCTTTATTGAGTGGTAAATCTTGGTCTAATCGAGCATACATCACATTGTCGGCACCTTTGGAATACAAAACTATGTCATGCCATGGCGCAGGTCGTCGTACAATCACACTCATGCGTTTTCGTGTAGAAGTAAAATCAAACACATGCAAAAGATCAAACGTATATTGTTTTCCAAGTATATTCACCATCAGTTGCTTGTTGCCTTGTCGTCCAATAAAAGCAAATCCTGCATTACGTGCTGCTAGTACCAGTGCCGCTTCATCTGGAGATTCTGCTTTGTATTCAAGCTGATCTTGTACTGTAGTGTCTACACGTTCCATCCACTTTGCATCGTCCTTGTCATCTGATAATGCTGCATCCAAAGATTCTCCACGATGTTTCTTCTTCTTTTTGCGAAGCTTGCTAGAAGGATGCCATTTCCCTTTTTTCTTGCCAATATTGTTGGTATTATGCAGTAATGATGATGATGATGATGATGCTGTTGGAATCACTTGTGGTTTTTGTATACTGTCGTCATCTGTATTGTCGTTGTCTGTACCTTCCAAAGTATCATCTACAATTGTTTTGCCATCCTTCCCAATACGTTCCACTACCACAGTATGACAGACTGCCAATAAAGTAAAAAATTCTTTGACAGCAGATCCTTGTTCATCATTCGCAGCAAGGTCTTGCATCAATCGAGGATCAGCAAATGAAAGACGTGAAAGATCCGTACTTGCATATATTGGCGTAAAGAGGTTCTGCATTGCTTTTTTGTATTCGTCTAATATATTCAGGCGTTGTTGAACTTGATGCTTTTCATCAGTAACATTTGCAGTATCATCATGATGAGTTGAGTTAATAACATTGATATTATTGCTGTCATCATCATTGGACCTAATAAGGGGAATAATCGTTGGTGATTGTTGTTGTTGTTGCTGTTGTCGTCGCAATCGAGCGCCACGAGCACCTTCAGTTTCTGGAGCAAAACCATTGTTTCCATATCGTTGTCCATTCACAGTACATTCACGAAATTCCATCACATTACGGGTCAAAGTGCCAGTTTTATCAGAGAATAGATATTCGATTTGTCCAAGATCATCTGAGAGGTTCCACTATCATGAATTAAAAAAAAAAAAAGGATTTCAAATTTGAGTTTTTACTTTTTCAGACGAAGATCCAGGGAAGTGTCTTACCGATTTTGGAATACAACTTGTCTTTGAATTTTCGTCCCACATATCCAAATCGCTCCAAATGAAGTAAGCCTATTCTTTCCAAGAAGTAGTAAAAAAAAAAAAAAAAAAAAAAAAAAAAAAAAAAAAAAAAAAAAAAAAAAAAAAAAAAAGTAGTGATGGTCAGTTTGATAATACTGTTTCATCGTTATATCTTACCTGAAAAGTTTTGACAAATTCAATGGAAACATATAATGAGATAGGGATAATATTTTGAAAAATAATAAGACTTGACCTGTATTAAAGGAAAAAAAAAAAAGAAAAGTTGGAGTGAGTCAAATGATCCTATTTTTCATTCATCCAATCATACCAAAAATTGATAAAGCCAACAAAAGCAGGGGAACTGTCTTGTTGGGAATATAGTTTAGTACCACCATCACGATCATCTTGATATTTTTCCACACCAGCCATGATGGCACAGACAAGACATAATATCATGAGAATACCAAAAGCAATCAGGATCTAAAAATAAATAAATAAAAATGATAAAGTAAGAACAGGGTAATTTCAGGGGGATAGTATATGCATAATAAAGTTAAGGGAATAATAGACTTACTTCAGAGTTCATTCTTTTTTCTATTTGACTACGTTTACTTGGTGTTTCACCTGAATTGAGCATAATCTTTGTATCCGTTCCAGTAAATATCACCACAGCAATTGCCCAAGGAGTATTTCGAATAACATGTCCACGAAGTATCAAATGATCAATTGATAATGGTGTTTTGGAGACTTCATCAAATGTGTTTGAATCTTGCTGCTTTTTTTCCAAGAGAGCAATGGTGCCTTCATAAGAATACAAATCAGGAGAAGGAGACGCAGTTTCTACATAAAAATGCCGTTGTAAACAGTCGTGACCAGATTGAAGATGCATAAGCGAATGTACAGCAGATCTTGGCTTCAAGTTGGTTTCACCATCCAAATCCTTTGTTTCCACAAAACAGATCCCATTTTCATCATCAGAACTAGATAACAAGATACAGTCAGCTGGGCAACTTTCACCGTTTCGAAGTAATAAGATATCACCAACACGGACATCTTTGGAAAGAGCAGGACCAAAGTAACCCTTATTATCGTCGTTCACTGTTGTATTAGAGGTTGCATGTCGTTGGGAAGATGAATTATTATTGGTTGTTGATATTGTTGAAGGATAATTTGGGTTGTTGTATCCAAGTAGGGTATGAGTGATAGTACCGTTGTATTTAGCGTCGACCTTATGTCGTTGATAATCTTCAAAACCATCCTTGACTGCTGAAATAAAGACCACGGCACAAATAGGAAGTAAAGTCAAAGCAGGGGACTTTACACCAAAGGCAGGAAGCATTTGTAAGATAGCCATAGCAAGAAAGTACATGTTGGCAGCACGACGAAATTGTTCAAATAGATTCTTGGGAATAAATGTCCACCATGTATATTTTGAGGTACGGATTTTGTTGGTGACATAGGTTTTCTTAGGATGACCTCGTTTATCTTTTTCATATGTTGGGAGTGGTAAATTAAAAAAGACTCTTCTTCCACCTACAGGGATTTGGCGTAACTTGACAGTGGTGCTGGTTCGTCTTAATCTCGTACTGGAACGTCGAGGATTTGCCGTTGATAATGGTCGAGAGGTACCAATACTACTGCTATTGCTGCGGTCATTATTGGCTTGTCGAGATGTTGAATGTTGACGTAAAAGAGATGGCGATGTTGTTGTTGTAGAAAAAATAGAGGTACGTCGACTATATGCTTCTTCATAATGGTCGTCCTTTTTAGGTTCGTTGTTCTTTTTATTATGTGATCCGTTTGATAGCCGTGAATGATACCAGTTTTTTACTGTTTGTCTTAAATTCATCCTTCTCTTCTCATATATAAATACAATTTCAATATAAAAGTTGATCAAAAGAGAAGATCGACAATTATATTTAACTAGATATATATTAAAAAAAGAAAAAAATAAAAATAAAAAGGGAAAGTAAAAGGTTCTTTCTTACTTAGCAAAATGATTTACAGCGGATTTTGAAAAATAGAGAAACTATAGTGTTAAAAAATGGTATTTTCAGCCGATATCATATACTAAGCCGCATAAGGACGTATTTCTTTCATATTATCATCTTCGTCATGATCATCATTAACCGTATTAAATAACTTTTTTTTTTTATTTTCCCTATTGTAAAACGAAATAGAAAAATTTGGTTCAACTCTACCTATTGTATCTAAACTGCACATGTGCTAGCCAATCAAAATACTGTCAATCAGAACATGGAAAAAAAATAATCCCGCTCTCTGTTTTCTTTTTTTCTTGTTGTCTTTTTACCTTTTTTTTTTTTTTTTCGTTCACAAATATATATATAACTTATCAACAATATAATAATGACTAGTGGTCAAGAAAAAGAATATGAACGGTTAATAGAACTTCAAAGGAGAGAAATGGAACTTTTGGCACAAACAAGAGAATTCGAGGACGATCTATCGGATGACGACTATAACGACACACGACTTGTTGACCTACGACAGGCAGTGACAGTTCCTGATATGCGATTTGAAAAACAATTCGAACGAACTGTGGCAACCTTAAAAGCGAATGGAGCATCCAATACAACTATATTTTTATCAGCTGTTATCAAGGATCAAGTGGTGATGCAATTTATCTCTGGTTTCACTTGGTGTTTGGCTGGACATGCTTGGCGATGGTTACGTCTCCGTAATCAACGTGTGAATAACAATAAGGAATCTTATCATTTTTTACGTGGTATCAAATATGGTTTATCTCGTTGGGCTTCGTAAGTTGGATAAATTCAAACTGTTTCTCTGGTTTGTATTTACAATTTCTTTCTCTTAGATCATCCTATCAAGCTTTGGTGAATTTGCCTTCGTTGACAACATCTTCCCCCGTAGCATAGATTTTTTTTTTGCCTTGATGTTTAGCTAGATACAAAACACATTCATTGATTACACAGAAATCAATAAAACAAAAATACCATCTTTCTTAGTTACTTTTGTTCTCTATCTCTTCCTACATAATATCCCAATAATATACATCACAATATATATACAATTAAAGTTTCCTTTTATTGATAAAGATCTTTGAATAATCCATACAATTAATAATAATAACTAAAAAAAAAACCCTACTATCTACACTAAATCTACATTCTATTCTATGATTCTCGTTGTATTTTCAATATGTACTGCCTTTCACGACCTGCTCGTCGTTCCAATGATATGTATGATGTCAATCCATATCCTTTCAAAATATCCATGACATCCAATGGTCGGTTTTCATTGATCAACAACAGATAAAAGACACCATGAGGAGATAATAAATCCTATTAAAGACAAGATTATATATATATATATATGGTTGACTGTTTTGTTCCTTTTTTTTTTTTTTTTTTTTTTTTTTTTTGTTTGACTCTTACCGATACAAGAGGAAGGAATTGATCAATGACTTCACGACCATCAATACCTCCAGCCCAAGAAGCTTCAATACCAAAACTACCTACTTCACTAGATGGTGTGACAACATAAGGAGGATTGAAACAAAGTATATCCACACTATGAAATAATCGAGGTAAAAGTCCATTCACCAAATTTGTACGCGTGCATTCAATATCAACTTGATTTTTTTGTCCTGTTTGAAAAGTGGCCTTACAAGCATGTTGATTAAGATCTGTAGTCAAATATACTATAAGATTCAAAGTGAGATTCTTTTCTTTTCTTTTTTTTTTGTTGTTGTTGTTGTAGAAAAAAAAAAAAAAGGAGTGTGAGGGAACTTACATGCTTGACTACCAATAACTTTGGCCAATAAAGTGGTAACACATCCTGATCCAGATCTAACATTAAAATAATAATAGTAATAAGAATAATAAAAAAAAGAAGGTTAGCTTACAATCCTCCATAATGAAGTTCTATTTTTACCCTATCTCCAAACAAATCTTTGGTTGTAAAGCTTGAATTTGATCTTGATCTTGTTCTAAAGCATCCAAAAGTAAAAAGGTATCCTCTAAAAAAAAAAAAAAGAATGTCAGTATAAACTTTATCACCATAAAATAATATATATTTATACTCGTTACCGGCAGGTTCGTATATTTTGCCGAAATCTTGACTAGTCAGGTGCGACAAGTCTGGAGTCGGTATCATGTCAAAAAAAAAAAAAGATTAAAAAGAATAAAGGAGAACAAAAAAAAAAAAAAAAAAAAAAAAAAAAGGATGAGAGAAGAGGACAAGCCAATTGGGTGATTTGCTTTTCGCCTATAAATTTCAATATGGGCTTTAAAAAAACATTCAGGCATGCAAGAAGTAAATAGTAACAGATCTATTGGTTGAATTGACTCAGCCTTTTAAGCATTTCATTTTATATTTTCTTTTCTTTTCTTTTTTTTTTCTTCTTCTTCTTCTTCTTTTTCTTCTTCTTTTTTTTTCTTTTTTATTTATTTTAAATTTACTAAACCTCATTTTCATTAAATATCATGTCAGATATCCGTATTCTGGGTTACAACGCACTACTTACTCCCAACTATGTGTCTGAAGAATTCCCTATGGTAAAAAAAAAAAAAAAAAAAAAAAAAAAAAAAAAAAAAAAAAAAAAAAAAAACCTTATGGTTATAGATAAAGAATTCATTGTTATTAAACTTTAAAAGGATCATCCTTTTGTTTGATTTATTATTATTTATTTAATCTAGTCTGAGGCTTCCAAGGTCACCGTGGCTGAAACAAGGGAACAAATCAAGGATATTCTGCAAGGAAAAGATGATCGTTTACTTGTCATCGTAGGTCCCTGTTCCATTCATGATACTCTGGCCGCAAAAGAATATGGTAAAATCATCATCATCATCACTTTTATGTTACCTATATTTTGTTAATCGTCATCATTTTTTTTTTTTATTTTAGCTTCCCTTTTATTACAAGTCAAGAAACGTCTTCAAGGTGAACTTTTGATTGTAATGCGATCTTATTTTGAAAAACCAAGAACAGTGGTTGGTTGGAAAGGATTGATCAATGATCCTAATATAGATGGAAGGTAAAAAAAAAAAAAAAAAAAAAAAAAAAAAAAAAAAAAAAAAAAAAAAAAAAAAAAAAAAAAAAGTAATAAAAAAAAAGTGTGGTCAAAAGGATGATCTAAACTAACTTTTGATTTATTTAGTTTTGACATCAATAAAGGATTACGAATTGCAAGAGGAATGTTATCTACTTTGACAGACATGGGAATGCCAGTGGCAGTTGAATTATTGGATACTATCACTCCACAATACCTTGGAGATCTTATCTCATGGGCAGCGATAGGGGCTCGTACAACGGAATCACAACTACATCGTGAATTAGCTTCAGGCTCATCATTTCCTGTCGGATTCAAGAACGGCACAGATGGGAATCTCCAGATAGCCATGGATGCCATTCGAGCGGCTGCCGTGCCACATCATTTTCTAGGTCTCACTCATGCCGGTGTGGTCTCGGTCGTTCATACCCGTGGCAATCCTGATTGTCATGCCATCTTACGCGGCGGTACGGATGGACCCAATTATACTGCACCCTTTGTTCTCAAGGCAAAACAACAACTTACTTCTCTCCATTTGCCCGCCCATATCATGATCGACTGTTCTCATGGCAACTCTAGCAAAGATCATCGCAATCAACCCAAGGTCGCCAAAAATATCGCTGATCAGATCGCTTCTGGTGAACACGCTATCATGGGTCTTATGTTGGAATCTCATCTATGTGAAGGTAATCAACCCGTTCCCGCTGATGGTCCTGCTGCTCTCAAGTATGGTGTTTCTATCACTGATGGTTGTATTGATTGGGATACTACTGAAGATGTATTGGATATGCTGGCTGATGCTGTCACTACTCGTCGTTCGAAACAACAACAAAATGGTGCTCCACAAGAATAACATCTCTCTCTTATATGGATACCCCCCTCTCTTAGTTAGTTATTTTTATTCCAAATAAAATCATATGTTTGTGTATCTATTTATAAATCAATATTGTTGTATGTTTGTACACTTTATTCAATAATAAATGACGGAATTCAAAGAATAAGATGGCGCAAAAATAGGAAATAAAATATCGTAAGGATAGAAAATAAATGACAGAAGAAAAAAAATATAATTGTCGCATAATCAAATAGAGAATATAATAGATATCATGAAAAAAAGAGCAATCAAAAAAAAAAAAAAAAGAAATCCGCCAATTGAGTTCACCAAGTTAACATATATAAAAAATAAAAAATAAAAAAATGAGTAATACTTATCCAGATAAAAATATTTCACTAGCTTACCATTTAAGTGTAATGTGATCGCCGTAGCGAAAGTAGGATGGCGATAACCATCCCGGAATTTGTATTGAATAAAAAAAAAAAAAAAGGCTGACCGTAACCACGCAAATGCGCATTAACGACCACGGTCAAGCCCAAAAACAAAAAAGAAGTAGATCAATTGAGAGACAGACAGAGGTGGTTGAGTTATTAAAGGATGCTTGTAAGGAAAAAGGTAGGCAAAAAAAAGAAGGCAGATCAAAAAGTAAGCACGTAGGCCAAAAAGATGAATATAATGTAAAGAAATAAAAAAAAAAGTTAAATCAAAGGGATCCTTTTATAAGAAAATGAATCACTCGTGCAATTATGAACTAATTTTAGTTGATAAAATGATGAGACAAGATGTAAGCGAGTTTTATCTTTTTTTTTTTTTAAATATTAGCAACATTTCTATCTTTATATCGTATCTAATTCATCATCATTTTTTTTTAGTATCTACTTTATTATTTTAGTATCTACTTCATCATTTTTTTTTATAGTATTAGCAACATTTCTCTCTTTCTATTGTATTTAATTTATCATTGTCTTTTTTAGTATCTACTTCATCATTTTTTTTCTTTTTTTTTTTTTTAGTGTTAGCAACATTTCTCTCTTTATAATAAAGTTAATTACATAGATGTTCTACATTAAATTCTATTATTACAATATTTATGTACTAAGTGATACATGGTACTGACTTGTTTTGCCGTGTTTTAGTTTAATGACTAGATTCCTTTTTTTTTTTAGTTGTTCTATTTTAAATGATAGTATGATTGTGCACAGCATACTTATTATTGCCATTTTTTAATTTCCCTTGATGTGATGAATCATCATTATTATATTGATTTATCATGTTGGCTGATAAAAGAGTGTTTTGACATTTTTCAAAGAAAAAAAGAAAAGAAAAAGAAAATGCTGTTCTGTCAGAAGGTAACTAGAATGAAATATTTTGTATTTTATCAGAAATTTGTACAGTGATTGACGACAATGTTTCATCATCCATCATACAATCATACAATCATCCAACATATAATCATCCATTATCACATATCATCCATCATACAGTCATCCATCATCCATCCTGTAATCATCCAATATAAAATCATCCGTTATCACATATCATCAATCATGAATCATCAATTATGAATCATCAATCAATTGATACCTAAAAAAGAATGGACAACACCCAAAGCTGCTAAAAATATGAAAAGCTTATGTTACTTTTCTTTTCTGTCTTTTATTATTAATAAACAAGTTATCATCAATGTGTTGTGTGTTTTTAATGTACTCTACCGCCATCTCTGGAGCGATATCTGAAAAAGTGGTAATGCGCCATTCATTTTGGGAAAGTACGATATTTTATTTGATAACATCACGAAAAGCATTTTCTTGTGACCCGACAAAAAACCTTGAAAACACTGTATTTCCTTTTTTTTTTTTTTTTTAAAAAAAAAAAGTGGTTTTATTGAAGTATGTATAAATGGAAAACAATGGTAAAATGGAGGAAAAAGATGATAACAGAATACAACTGAATGATGTCAAAAATAAAAAAAAAGGAGGGAAAAAAATGTAAAGTATAAATGTATGTAAAAAAAAAAAAAGAGGAAATGAGATGTTTAAAGGATAAAATAAAAATAAAAAACTAAAAAAAAAAAAAAAAGAGAATCTATACATCGTTGGTCGCTTTTTCCAGAGCTGGTTGGATCACTCTAATCTTTTCTAAAAGAACATTCACGGCTAAAACAAAAAGATTTTCAGCAGGGATGATACCAGTTGTTTCCACGTTGACTAAAAAAAAAAAAAAAAAAAAAAAAAAAAAAGATATTAAATCACTTTCAATAAAATGCATCCTATACTTACAAATAAAATGATCACGGACTCGAGTCAATCGCACCTTGTTTTCAAATTCCTTATGTCGTAATACTTCTCTACTAACGGTATCCTTACGTGGATTAACAACCTTTGCAGTAGTTACACCATCCTTTTCAACCAAAGCCACCACACCTTCAGGGAAACAATTCTTGAATTTGATAGCATCATCACCAGTAATAGGTTTCAAAATAGTAATTTCTGGAAGAAGTCGATAAGAAGCTGTAGCTACAGGTGACCATTTGGCATGTTCCTTTCCAACTCCCTTGGTACAATGTAATTCCATGTCGATTTCTTGTCCTGGTCGAAGTTTAGCAATCAAAATATCATCTTGTACTGGTCGAATAGGATCATCAGCAAACTTTTCAGCTTGATCACCTTTAGGTTCCCATACCAAATGACGAGAATAAACTATAAAACAATTATTATTATTTTATTAGATTCACTAGATATGTTTAAACTTTTTCTTTTCTTACCATGACTATTAATATATAACTTGCTAGGATCAGTTTCACCTTCAGCAGCATCAGGATTTCTTTCACATTTCACCTTGAGCTTGAACACAAGAGTATTCAAATCTGTGGGTCCATCATCAGCTAATCATCCAAAAAATTGAGAAAAATGAGTATTCATAATCATTCCTTTCCAATAAATTAGTTACCTGACTTGTAATCAAAAGCATGAGGAGGTGCTTTAATAGGGACCAAACCCAATCGATGGGCAAGGACTTCGTCTTGAATAATGGAAGTGTTGTTCATAACATAAACGTGTTCAATAGCCATCGTAGGTACCTAATAATTAATCAATAATTAGATCAACTCCTCTTATATGTATATATTACAACTTACTTCAGCAATCAAGATACGTCTAAAAGCATTAGCAACAGAGGCATCAATACCAATAAGGTCAAATTCTATACTGTGTTGGGAAAGTCGGTTGATCTTGACTTGAAAGTTCTGAATGATAAAATTAAACAATGGAGATTAATAAAAAGTTGCCTTTCATAATATAATATCATTTATTTACCTTTTTAAATTCTTCCAAGTCCCAAGCATTACTAATACCAGGATATTGATGAGGATAATCACTACCGCTTACCTATATTATATATAAAGTTGAGTATGATAAGTACACTTATTATTATTATTATTATTATAAACTTACACTGGTGACTCTATCACGTTCTACTAGTACTCGTGTACGTAAAAGTTCAACATTGTCAGCAAGTTGTGCCACCATTGCTAGAATAAAAGGAAAAGTTATAAAGAAAAAGAAAAAGAAAAGAAAAATCGGGGTTCGTTTGTCACAAAAAAAAAAAAAAAAAAAAAAAAAAAAGAGTTGATGAGAGACACACAGAAAGGAAGTAAGCCACAAACTGGCACTCCGCCTATGCATTCATTCACTTAATATGCGATTTTCATTCGCTCTCAGATCATCCTTATTAGGCTTGATTTTTTTTTATGGTGAATGATTGAAAACAATAGATAGATTGAATGATTAAGTCGAATACTGATGAATGGTTTGAATGATCTCATAAAGCTGTAGGATACTTGAGTAATGAATATGCTGAACATTCAGATTCTCTATCCTTATGAATAAGCTGTAGTGATATGTCAAATCTGACCAATTCTATGTACAAATACACTTGATTTTCCCAAAAAAAAAGAGAATGTATAAAAAATGCATGACTTTTGTGACAAAAATAATTGGAACTATATGATGATTTTTTTTATTGTATGTATAAATATAAAAAAAACAAAAACAAATAATAATAGAAGAAAGAAGGAGTTGTGATAGAATATCTGTTCTAGAAGGAATAATGATGAAGAATATGTTGGTGTCATGTCGCTTTCTTTGCTTGTTTCGCTTTTTGTTTTGCCGACGCGTAGGTAAAGAATGCAACAATACCCACAATACCAAGAACAAGGATATAAAAGGGTAAACGAATGGCGTATTCAAAAGGAGGGAAGTATTGTTGTATTCCATTGTTTTCATCAATAAGTGGCTATTTTTTTTTTTTTTAAAAAAAAAAGAGATTAATGTAGATGAGAAAACCGAATAATTCATGTAAACTAACTCTAATAAAATATTATAATTATTATTTTTCTTTCTTCTTTTCTTTCTTACCATCACTAAGGCCCACAAAGTATAATAGATGAAGATAACCCAAGCACTAGCAAAGGCAACAGCTCCAACAAGTTTATCAGTTCCCGTACTCTATAGATAAATAAAGTTCCATCATCAGAGTCCATTGAAGTACTAATATTTCTCTTTCTATATCTACTTATTGATTTACCATCTTGATTAGTGATACTAATCTGTGAAGGCGTTATTTGGAGAAGAAAAGGGAAAAGAAAAAAAAGGAAAAAGAAAAGAGGATATATATATAAACGCTCCAAGCTGGGTTCGAAACCTACGTTAGGATTTTTTTTTTTGGGCAACTCAAAACGTTAAGCAGTCTGTAAAGACAATCATCATGCCATTTTGATACTTCTATTGTCTACAAATATACTTGAATCATTTTATTATGAAATAAAAGTAAAAAAAAAAAAATGAGGGTGAAATAAATATATAGAAACGATTAGAGGAAAAAAATCATCTATATATAGTCATCATCAAAAGCTATCATTCTTTGATTTATAATTAAACGTCCATTTCAAAAACAAGTTGTTGGTCACTATCATCATCATTTTTATGGCTATTTTCCAAGGAAGATGGTTCGGACAAAGAAAAAGATCGATTGGAAGGAGGAGTTGAGAATTCATTGATCATTGTCAAAGGCCAAGCTGAAGGATGATGATGAGGAAGACTACCCACTTTGAAATCTGGTAGAGAATAAAGCCAAGGGGAAATGACTGGAGAGGTTGATGATGTACATGTAAATGGAGGACATGACTTTAAAGAATAATTAGAAGGTGAATCATATTGATAAGATGCTGATGATTTATAATTAGGATGAGGAATAGCCATAGGATGTACCTTTTTTTCATTCTCTTCTTTTGTGATGACGACTGGTAAAGAGAATGAAGTACTTGGTTTTTTGATTTTTTTAAGTGGAGGTTCTAATTCAATTGTTGGTGGAGTATGAGTATATGTAAAATCTATTTGACTATCGTTCTTATTCATCATAATCAGACTATTTTTTTTTATTATGATGACGATGATAGTGGGAAAAAAAAAGGGAAAGAAAGAAAAAAAAAAAAAGAAAAGAAAGAAAGAAAGAAAAAAGAAAGAAAAAAAAAGAATATGTACAACATGATCTTGATTTTATGCCTTGTGGGTCGCAGCATATTTTGATGGTACCATAATATCAAGTTCATAAGCCTTGTGATGAAAAAAAAAAAAAAAAAAGCGTGATACAAAAGAGATCGCTTGAACAATCAATATATATATATATATTATTTCCCTTTGATATTAAAAGATCATTGATCACACAATAAGTATCAGGTGAATTGTATCAAGTCAAGGATTGTAAATATCTTGGCTTCTATTTCATCCAATAAAAATTCATACAATGTTAACTCGGTTATTCTTTTTTCTCAGGTACCACATGGCCTTTTCAAATAAATAATCATGGGAACAATAAAAATAAATATTTAAGATTAATATGATCGATAATTAGGCTCGTGCGTTCCAGATTACCTCTTTTATTATAGTCAATAAGGTAAATAAAAGTAGTAATGAATAATATTCATATGTTGACTTTTTTAAATAGTACTCATAACGGCATTGATAAAAAAAAAAAAAAAAAAAAAAAAAAGGGGGGGGGAAGGTTTTGCCTATCTCCTTGAGCCGTGGCTGAGTCGAACACCCACCCAATGAGGATTCTGGGCATTTGTCCAATGATTTTTCAATTCTTCTCTCTCTCTCTCTCTCTCTCTCATTTTTTTCCCTCTCTTTCTTTCTCCTTCTATTCATCATGTCCAACTGGAAAAATGTTAACAACTGGTATATATAAAAAAAAAGGAACTTTTTTATTTAGATAATAGTTTTATTTGTTTTTGTATAAATAAACTCAAACTAACTAAACCATTCTTATATAGGCACTGGTACATTTTTAAAAAATCAACATTCTTTTTTTTTTCAAGGGGGGAAACCTTGATTAATAACCGGTATTTTTCTTCTTTTTGATAGGGTCAATAAAAACTGTCTCGTATGGGCTCAGACTTATTTTACTGACAAAGTAGTTGGATTAGAAACTGAAAAGGATGGTCACCAAGTAAAAATCAGCAAGATGGATGAATGTACTGGTGATGTCGAAGTCTGTCAACGCAAAGGAAAGATCATTACTATTTATGATGTTAATTTGAAATATTCTTGGGAAGGTATGTTCATATATATATATATATATTTGGAAAAAGGAAGAGAATATTCGAACAAGTGTGATAACTAAAAAAAAAAAATATCTTTTTATTTTTATCATAGGTGTTGCATCCGATGGTACCAAAGTGTCAGGTACTATCCATATTCCTGAAGTAGCTCATGATACTGAAATAGATGAATATGTGGTAAAGAGAAAAAGAAGTAAAAAAAATAGAGAGGAAGAAAGAATGTATATGTGTGATGATTGATATCGATTATTCTTTAGTTTGAAGTGACCGTCAAGGAAGAAGATACCCTCAAACGTACTATTCGGGATATTGTCAAACGTCATCTTACTCCTTTGATGTCTAAACAATTCGACATGTTTTCCAAAGATTTAATCTCCCGTAAGTATTCTTGTCATGATGATTAAATAGATGATGAACTCCCTTTTCATATATTTTATTTATTAGATCATGGATCTGATGTTTATATTCAAGCCGATCAACTTGGTACACCAGCACCGCTTAGACAACCAACTCCTTTATAGATATAGTGTGATTGATTTTCCACATTACATCCCCCCTTATTCCTATCCACATGTTCGTCATTGGGTTTATTATTATTATTATTATTATACACATTGCATTTTATTTATTAAACTTTTACACGTTATTCTAGCATCGCATTCAATTTGTTTTCTTTATTTTATTCCTGGTTGATTACTTATATTATTCTTGAAATAAATAATAATAAAAAAAAAGTTGATTATTCCAATTGAAATATATAATCATACATACATACAATACGTTGAACAATGAAATTTGGATTGGGTAAAATAGATGGTAAATCTTTATTAATAAAGGAATGAATCAATTGTGAAGATAAATGAAGACTATTATAGGTAAGGGTATATACATAAAAAAAAAAAGGAAAGATCAATAAACTATAAACAAGAATGACAAGGATATGTAAGATTAAAGAAATGATAATGAATGGAGAATAGATAAATGATGTTAAGAATAAATTCAAAGCAACAAGAAAAATAGAACGAAATCAATAGTTTGATAATTGATCCTTGAGGAACAAAGACTTGTCATAAACCACATATACTTTCACACTTTCTCGTAAAATATGACTAGCACTTGTCAATCGAGGCTACAAAAAAAAAAAAAAAAGTTTGAAGGATATCAGTGTTCACCTCTTTGTACCCCGCCTTTTTTTTTTCTTTTTCTTATTTCATATTTCTTACTAGCTGATCAGTTTGATGTTGAATCCAATAATCGAGAGCATCAGCCACAATATGATCCGATACAACCAAGCAATCAGGATCTTCACGATTTGGACGTTTGACATTTGGTGATCGTTTTACTGAAGCAAAAAAGGTAAATCCAAATAGTGACAGCATATCATTATCCAAAGTATCATCATTATTTTGTTCATCAATAGGTTTGATCTGTGTGGATGTCATTGTGACCTTGAGTACTGCTTTGGCATGTCCTGTTGTAGAATCCATAGCATTGAATAATCCCAGAGTAGAGATCAATGTTCTGGATGAGATGATTTCGTTGAGTTGATATGTTCGTGTTAGAAATCCAAGTAATCCATTGATTTTCTATAATATTAATATTTATATCAGGTAATTGTTTTTTTTTTTTTTTTTTTTTTTTTTTTTTTTTTTTTTTTACCTTTTGAACATGAATAATAGGAGGTAATGGTAATGGATGTTCTTTGTATATGGTGGTAATAGATGTTTCATTGGTGAAAGAGTTGGAGTAATCAATATGTCTTGGTGATGCAGGTGGAGTAATCAATAAAAATGAAGCATCAACATCATTGTTACTGTAATAATTATTGCTCAAGTCACAACTAGATGGAGAAGGTGGTAGATTATCATTATAAAGATTTACGGCGACCAACTGATCCGCAAATGTCACTTTGGATTTTTTGTTGCTTGAATTATTATTGTTAATAGGTTGTTCATCATAATAATCAAGGATACTATCATGTTTTGCATCAGGAAAGGACGGTAGAGCTTTTTCTTGAAAGTTGATATCTGTATTGATTGAAGGTTGTTGTAAAAGGACATCCACGGCTGAGTCTCTTCTTTCTTCTATTATTGATTCTTGTTGTATTGATTCTGATGTAACAGGTGGGATACACAAGGATGTTCGGTCTTTCAATGAAGTGTTATCTAGAGCGATTGTTGCATAGTGTTCTTCTTGATTTATGCTGGATAAGTCTTTCATTTGTTGACGGTCAGGTTCCATTGGTGAAGAAGTAATAAGACTTGTGGAATTCGATAAAGGTTTTTGTGAATCTGCAAGGTTGAAGGAATCGTTTTGTGCTATAGACAAAGAAGAAGAATGAGGTTAATATAATAATAGGAATCATATTAAAAAAAAAAACTCACCAGATTGAATTTGATTAGAAAAGGTGTTGGCATTCATACGTTCCAGACGTAATTGATTAAGTTTGGTTTGAATATTGGAGGATAGATTGATAATTTGTCGATACTTTTGACGATCATCTACTGAGGACAATTTGTCAGCGATACCATTGAGTTGAGTAGATGACAAGAAAGTAGTGGAAGAAGAATTAGCCATATTTTCATGTTGAATATAAAAAAGAAAAGTAAATAGAAAAAGAAATAGCCAAAAAAAAAAGGGGGGAAAGAAGAGAAGAATGAAATATAATAAATATATTTATTGAGTGAGTGAAAAGGAGCGAGATTCATTGTCCGGTACGCTTGTTTATAAAAGGAGTGACCAGTAAGACTCCCTATCATATATATACCAAATATCAATATTTTCTTTTTCATTTATTCTTTTTTTTTCGACCAACCAATAGAAAAGAATGTTAAATTGATTTGATCATTTAAAAAGAAGTCTCTCTCTCTCTCGCTAATAAGAACAAGAAAGATGATTTTTATTGACAGGAGAGAAAATGACAGTTTCCTTTTTTAGTCTATCATCACATACAGTAACATCAATATGCAATCAAAATACAGTAAAAATAAATAAATAAATGAATAAATATATAAAAAAGAGGGGGTAAGGAAATTATAGATATATAAATACGCATACGTATGTACTTTTAAGTAGGGGAATTATGTGAAGACAACACCAATGATTTTATATAAAGAATTTGATGATGTTTATTATTGTATGGTCAAAAAGAAGGATGTGGTATAAATACAAAATTAATAAAGTAATGTCATAAGGCGCAAAGAACATATATATCATAATAATAAAGGCATAATATAGAAAAAGAGTAACCCCATAATAATAATAAAAAAAAAAAAAAAGACTAGCATAATCAACATAAAAAAAAAAATTGGGAGAAAATAAATAAATAAAAAGTTATGTAAGGAATGATTATTTAACTATGATGATGATAATAAGAATGAGTGGAGGAGAAAGGAGAACGATCATCCATGGCAATAAAGAAAGGGTCCATTTCTTGAAGTCGAGGTAAAGAACATTCATTCTTCTTATTGTAATCACTTGATTCCATCATTGTAAATACGCCACTATCTCTTCTACTATCCAAAGTATGATAATTCATTGATGATGGTGATGCTAATTCAATACTGGTGGCAATAGATTCAGGTGATGTTGGATAAGGAGATGTCGAAGGTGATAATTCAGGTAGATGATATCCTGTTCTTTGGATGTCAGTTGAATTTGTGGTAATAGGATCATAAATAGGTTGCTGAATTTGATTCAAAGGTATCACCATTCTAGGTTCTGTTGATGTATTTATTGTTGATATCCATTTTTCACTTTGTTCATTCAAAGGTCTCCATTGAAGAGTTGTACGTTGTTTGGTGGAGGTATCGTGTGCTACTTTTTGATGAGTGGTCAAAATAGTTTTTCTTGCGAATTGTTTATTGCATCCAAGTATACGACATTTGTAAGGTCTTTTTCCAGTATGAATCCGTCTATTTCATCAAATATTAATATAAGTATATAATAATAATAATAATAATAATAAGTATTAATTTACCTGTGTCTTGCCAATGAACTACTATCACTAAAACTTTTTCCACAACCATCCACTTCACAAATATGAGGTCTTTCACCAGAATGAGTACGAATATGTACTTTCAAAGCAGATCTCTATTAAAAAAAAAAAATAAAATAAAATGAATATAAGAAAATCATCATCATCATCATTGTCATCATGGTTTGATAATATATTTATTACCTGTATAAAACTTTTACCACATCCGATTTCATCACATTTGTATGGTCTATAAATAAAAATATATATTTAGTATTGGTATCTAAAAAGAAAACAAACTATTTTTTTTTTTTTTTTTTTTTTACCTTTCATTAGTATGAATACGGAGATGTCTAACAAGATCGGAACGTCTTCCTATAAGAGAAAAATAAACTTTCTATCCCCTTACATTCACCTTTTTTTTTTTTCTTGTGCTACTTACCAAAAGACTTTGTACAATTCATCATAGTACATTTGTGAGGTTTATTTCTACCAAGTTGATTTTCAATATGTATCAATTCAAGAATATCCATCTAACAAAAAAAAAAAAAAAGATTAAAAAGTGAAATAAATAATAAAAGTAGCCATACTTTACTTTTATATCAAATGTTCAGTTGGCTACAAAATATGGCTTGTATAATGTCAAAAAAAAGGGAAGGAAAAAAATGTATGTGTGTATTAATGCAGAGAAATACAAAATCAAATATGATTGGCTAACAAAATACAAATTAAAAAAGAAAGATCATCCAAATTGAATGAATAATAAATAATAAAACAACAAAAAAAAAAACAAATATAAAAATAAAAAAGAAAGAAAAAAAAACAAAGAGAGAGAGAGAGAAAGAAAGAAAAAAGAATAAGGTGAACAAAAGAAAAGAAAAAAAAAAAAAGAAAAGAAAAAAAGAAATAATATTTATACTTAAACCAAAGTGCATGATTATGACATTTTTAAGGAGCGATTCTTGACTTTTTTGGGTAAGTAGTGAGTTTGAACATAGTAAAGAAATATAGATAGAAAAAAAAAAAGGGGACTAAGAGGAGGAAATAAGCATGACAGTCAGGCTATGTAAAATCTTTTTTTTTTTTTTTTTTGCCATACATGTACATAAAAATCTTCTCATATAACACACATTTAAACGCATTATAAAAAATCATCATCATCATCATCATCATCATCAAGAAGACAGGAGATGTATTAGAATAAAAGGGTCAAAGGGGGAAAATGCAGTCGATCTGGAGAATCCAGAAAGAAAAGAAGAGATCAACCTTTTTTTCTATAAATGATATTTGTATGTCAAACTAAAAAACTATTTACAATAAAATGAATGATGTGCATAAGACTTTCCTAAAAAGAAAAAGAAAATAAAGACCCATGGTTTTTCTATATATGTATAATAATAATCATCATCATCGTCATCAAATTGGCCTTTTTTTATTCTCTCCTCCGAATTGATTTTTTTTTTTTAAAAAAAAAACCAGGTTCAATGCTACTTTTTGTACAGTTAATGCAAAATGTGCAAACAATTTTACATTGACTCCTTCTCCCTTCTTTCTATCTTTGATCATGATCCACACAATCCATTCATCATTATATATGATGATTAAATCAAATTCAATATTCTACTAGATCCATCATTATCATTAGGTTGAATGGATTGAAATAAAAAAAAAAAAGTGCACGTACCACTCTGATCTCACTTTTTATATCCACATCAAGAGCAAGAAATAGAGAGAAAAATGAATAATAAATAGTAGGAGCAAAGTAGCAGTAATGATCGACTTCAACCATGCTTTAGTTTTTCAATTCATGAAAAAAAAAATGGTTTTAATTTTAGTTCCTTAAAAAAATTTCTTGGATATGGATCCATATTAATGATTAAATAGTATATATATGCGTATATGTATGTATGTATGTACGTATGTATGTATGTAAGTAGTTTGTATGTATGTATTTGATTGCCAACTTCCCCTAAAACCCTTCTCCTAAATCTCAATGTAGGTATTCTTACCACGCATGTTATCCCTTTCAACCTTCTGTGCGCTTGTTCTTTTCTTTTTATTTTTTTTTTCCATCAACAATTATATAAAAAAAAAGGAGATATACCCAAAAAAAAAAAAAACAATATAAGAAGGAGAAGAATGATCTTCGTCAATATCTTGATACCATTTTAATGGAAAGAAGAAAAAGAAGAAGGGAATTAAACAACGTTGCCATGCAGATCTTTTTCTTTTGTTGTACTCCTATTTCTTTTGATCTCCCATTCCCGAAAAAAAAAAAAACCAATCCACCCGCCCATGCAAAAAAAAAAAAGAGTATGACAAGTCTAATGTATATTGATGACCATTCTTGAACAAACAAACAACAACAAAGAATACACTCTCCCCCTTTATTTTAGGAACATCGCCTTTAATCCCGGTTAGATAAGCTGTTTTTGAAAGGAAATTGAAGGAGAGCACAGACAATCAAGAGTACATTTTATTTCCCAGGAGTAATTTCTCTCTTTCTTTTTCTTTTTATTCAATACACCCCTTGTTCATGCCAGAGTAAAAACAATGCTCCACGTTACCTTTCATTACCATATATAGTCAATATCCATCTATCCATCAACTTTATTGATAAAAACAATACATCATAATATACAACTAAACTAAACCTAATCAGAATTGGTAACATAAATACTTTCCATATCCTTGGCGCAACTAGCTTGGAAATTCAATTTACGTGCCATCCTAAAATCATCATATTCATCAGTCAATATTTTTTTTTTTTTTTTTTTTTTTTTACCCATCATTGATATCATGCACCCAAGCATGTACAGTTAACTTTTGTCCTCGTTTCCAAGCATCTTGAACAATAGTAGAATAACAAACATTTTGAGCTGAATGGATTGCATTGAATTCTACCAATCTACGAAGTCGTTCTGATTCTTCTTTTTCGCTATTCACTTTAGATTCATTCACTATGTACACAAAATCATGAGTATATCTTTTCTTTTTTCTTATCCATTTACTCTTGTTTCTATATCTCTACTTACATCGATAAACGTCTTTGATATTTCTAAGCCAATTATCAATCAATCCCACTTGTTTTCGGCTATAAGCAGTTGCCACACCACCACAATTGTAATGACCTAATAAAGGAAAATTAATATATTTTTGGTAAATTCGATTCATCTTTTAATTTTTTTTTTCATAAACTTACCACAAACAATAACATGTTCAATTTTCAAAACTTCAATAGAGTATTGTAATACAGACAAACAACTCATATCGGTATGAGTGACTACATTTGCAATGTTTCTATGGACAAATATTTCTCCAGGACCTAATTGTAACACTTGATTGGCGGGTACACGAGAATCAGAGCATCCTATATTTGGTAACGATATATTAAAAAAAAAAAAAAGTTAATGAGATTGTATATAAACCAGTAAAAAAAAAAAAAAAAAAAAAGAAAATGAAGAAGAGAGTTCACATTACCAATCCAGAGAATCTTGGGACTTTGTCCAAGGGCCATTTTCTTGAAAAAGTTGGGGTCTTCATCAGTAATGGATTTAGCCCAAGCATGGTTTTTTGCCAGTAATCCATCAAGATTTACGTCAGAAGAGTCAAACTTTGCATGAGCTACATTCAAAGCCGAAACAGGAGTGATAGGTGATGGAGTAGTAGGTTCAGTCATCGTATCAATTGAAAAAAGAAAGGAAGAAGAAAGCTTAAAAAAAAAATAATCTATTCCCCCGTTTTTTATTTTTTTCATTTTATACTATTTTTTTAATTTCCGCTGATCTTTTTTTTTTTTTTTTTTTTGAGAAGGGTTACCCCAACAACTTGAGAATACTAAAAATAAGTACTAAAGATAATGGATAAATGTTTTTTTTTATTCTTATTATTTCAGATAAATGTTTTATTATTATTTCAATATATATACAATAAAGGAGAATTGAATAAAAATGACTAATCTAAAGATCCAGGAAGAAATTCTGATGTTTCATTCGTTTGGTGTGACCCATGGTTGTTGTTTTTGGTGATGAAGAAGAATCATGCCGTTTTTTTGTTGAAGTACTGTCATTGTTCCTGTCGTCGTTTTCTGTACCATCATCACTCTGATCAGAGTCTGGACCATATAAATAACCAATATCCCAAAATCGTAGTTGCATATCATGTCCACAACTACCAAGTAGGCATATCGGAGAACTTTCTTCATCAAGTAAAGGACCATCATGAGATAAGCGAACACGTTCCACAGGAAAATCTTCACCATGATCACCAATAATACCTTCAAATTGATATTGAGGCGAGACCGAAACCAATCTTAAAAGACCATCATTACCACCGGTACATATAGTATCTTCATCTAATTTACAAAGTGTATCTACAGAGGATGGATGTCCAACCCATTTATCCTTGACTTTTGTCCATTCACCCCATTCCCAAAAATAGAGCGCCCCACTTTGTGACCCTACAACTACTTGATGATCATGCTATATAAGGATAATAAAAAAAAACCCAGCCGTCATCAATATCAGTGTAACCGTTGTTTTTTTCTTCTTCTTTCTTTTTCTTTTATATATTACTTTGATTGTCGTTAATGATAATAATTCATCATCCAATATACATGTTGCCACCTTCTTGTCCAATTTCCTTATGTCATGTACAGAAAGCATACCATCACCACTACAAAAGATAAAAAGGATAATATCAAATCAACCATTAGTGAGAAAAAGAATAGACATACCTTTTTTTTTTTTTTACTTACCCAGATGCCAATAAACATGATTTATCTTGAGCAAAAGTCATATCAGCAATAAAATCATCATGAACATTGTATTGTTGAATCATGCTCGGTGATCGCATATCCCAGATCTATTCAAAAAATAAATAATGATATCATAAAGAAAAAAGAAGTCGTTCTATTTTCAATCCATTAAATAATAATTTATACCTTGATCACACCTTCATCATCTCCAGTAGCTATCCGATTTATATCCAGTGCATGAATTTTATTGATTGGGTATCTAATAAAAGAATATTTTTATTATATATATAAAATATGTAAAATGAGTTTCCTTTTTTTTTTTTATTTATTACCTATGAGCTTTTGGTATCTTTTGTAATAATCGACCTGTAGTCATATCTATTGTTTGAATTGACTTGTCACGAGATATGGTCATAACCACTATCAAATAACAAAAATAAATAAATTAAAACGTCAAAATATCACAATATTGTTTTCATCCGTTTTACTTACAACTACCATCATGGTTGAACTCAACCCCTCGACAAGACTTTTTTGATATCTGTGTTGACCATTGTAGAATATTAGCATCATTATCATATTGATAACTATATATACAAAAATATAAAATTCCATTAAAACAAACGAATATAATATTATGTAATATATTTTACCAGTAAACATGACCTGTTATAAGACCAGCTACAACAAGATTCTTTTTAGGGTGAAAACTAAAGTCAAAAATAGGATCAGAAAAGATAATAGGTTCAGGTGTATTATTTTCCTTCATTAAGAAAGAAAAAACGTATAGTGAAAAAGAAAAAGAAAGACGGGGTGTGAAATAATGCATTTCAGGTCAATAAAAAAAAAAAGGTTGGGTGGCTTAAGACATTTCCCTTTTTTTTTTTTCTTTTTCTTCTTTTTCTCTCTTTTTATTTTTTAATATTACATATTCACCATGTCTGGAATGGAACTAACTACCAATTATCCTCCTTCCAAGTTCCAAGCAGATAATGACTTGACAAATACAAATGTTATTGGAAAATATAAACATGCTGCTGATGTTGTTAATTGTAAGTTCTGATTTACTATTTTACAAAAGCATACTTAGTTTCTTTCTTTCTTTCTATAGCCATTCTTCCTGAACTTGTTAGTCGAGTCTCTCCTGGTGTATCTATCTGCGACCTTTGTCAATATGGTGATGATCTTATTGAAGCCATGGTAAAAAAAAAAAAAAAGGAATAAAATTAAAAAGGATCTTTTCAATATATTTATATTTTTTTTTTTTGAATTATATAGACTTTGACTGAATATAAGAATGCTGAACGTGGTATTGCTTTTCCTACTTGTATTTCTGTCAATAATCTTATTCAACATGTATCTCCTCTTTTGGATAACGATTATCTTTTGAAGGCTGGTGATGTTGTGAAAATGTAATAAGTAACATAAGAAAAACATAATACATACAATATACTCATATTCATTCTCATTATTAGTGAATTGGGTGCCCATATGGATGGTTATATTGCCACTGCTGCTCATACAACTGTGGTATCACTTGATCTTAGTCAACCTATTACTGGTCCTGCTGCTGATGTGATCTGTGCTACTTATTATGCTTGTGAAGCTGCTATCCGCATGATGAAACCTGGTGTCAAAGTAAATCATAATAATAACAATAATAATAATAATAATGATTATAACTTTATATTCATATACTAAACTTTTATCGTTTTTTTTTGTATAGGCGTCTGAAATTACTAGAACGATCAGTGAAATTGCAGCCTACTTCCGATGCAAACCTGTCGAAAACACTTATTCCTCAACCATCAAACGATTTGTGCTTCGCGGTGGTAACGATATTGAAAATGGTTTCCCTGAAGATATGATTGTACAAGATTTAGAAAAGTATGATTTTGAAATCCAAGCAAATCAAGGATATCAAGTGAATGTGATTTTGACAACAGGTGACGGCAAGACTAAACAATCAGAATACAAACCATTCGTTTACCAACGTGATGTCAACAAATCATATCAACTCAAAATGAAGGCAGCCCGTGCAGCATTTAATGAAATCAACGAGAAACATACCGTCTTTCCTTTTGCCACTCGTGCTATGTCCAATAGTCAAACTCGATTGGGTCTTGCCTCTTTATTGAATCATGAACTTGTTACTTCTCTTCCCGTATTACGATCCAGTTTGACAAGCGATAAGGTAGCTCAATTCAAATCCACTGTCTTGGTCACTCCTACTGAAGCCTTACGCCTTACTTTGTCAACCAAATTGCCTTTTGTTCATTCTCAATATTGCATACCCGAACCTACCAATGCTGCTCAAATTCTTCATTCTGGTTCTATCAATCAAGTTAAGGCTTCTAGAGGTTTGCCTCAATTGGATGTTACTTTTGGAGAAAGACGCATCGAGGTAATTATATCAATGTTGTTATTGGACTAAAAAGAAAAAAAATAAAACTAATCTCCTACAACTTTTTTCTTTTTCTTTATAGACTGAAGACACTAACATGGATATGGACATGGAATAGTTCTTTTTAGCATCAACTTTCTTTTTTTTTTATCATCATCCTTTTATTATTAGCATTACATAGAAACAATTCATTGATGTATTTTTTTTTTATTATTATTATTGTTTTATCACTCATATTAGTCTCTTTTTTTTATTACTTCAAATCTACCATCCTTCTTTCCCTCCTTAGTTTTTAGTTATCTCCTCATTGCTCAATTTTTTTTTTGTTTTTGTATATAAAATAATAAAGAGAAAGAATATATTTTTCATTTGATATTATTGATTCCTTTTTTTTTTTTCGTTGTTGTTGTTGTTTGTGGGAGACAGGATACTCGTATGTAATGTTGCACGATCTTTTATGTTCTGTTCACATGATCATCTTCATCATCATTCACTAAGATATGAAATACAGTATTAACGTTGTTGATCAGCGTCAAAGGAGTCATCTTCATTGTTGATTATTAGAAGGGTTCTTCCATCATCATCATCATTATCATCATCATGATGACTTCCTAGTTAGACAGTACACCAAAGGAATTAGGATTAGCTTGTGTGTAATAGTAATCCAATACGAAATATTGATTCATTTAAAACATGAATTTGTCATACATCAATAAAGGAACCTCTTTTTTTTATCACCTTTTTTGGTGCATGAGACCCTCGGGAAGTCAGATCAACCCTTTTGAATTTAGGGTGTTTTTCTTTTTTAATTATCATCATCTCATTTATCCATCACTTCGTATCATCCATCATCAAATATTCTCTCTCTACCATTAGTCCCATAAAAAAAAAAAAAAAAGGAAGTTTGTATGAGCATATACATTTTCTCTTTTTCCTCTTTTCTTTTCAATGACTGTATTTCAGCTAGATACATTAGAAGGTTATTCAGGGATGTTCAACACAAACCCTTCAGACCTGAAGAACTTTGTTTTCTCCCAGTTTGTGTTGCCGTGGGGAATGAAAAGGGAAGAGGTATACTTGTATCCGTTAGCATATTCAGAAAAATCATAGCGATGATGATTTCTCAAAGAAATAAAAAAAAAAAACATAAAAAATACAATCGATTCAAGTTAGATGATTATTACTAAAAGAATCCGGAGTCAAGAACAAATACGTTTGAATGATGATCAGTTTGAGGTCGGGAAGACGGGAAAAAAAAAACAAGTTACCAGAGAAGATAAATGTAAACTTTTTTTTTCTTTTATCCCATACATAATATTACATAAGATCAAGAGATGATTTCAAATATAGTAAAATACGTTTGCACTGATATTTCAAGTAGGAATGTATTTCTGTTTGTCAAACGAGAAAAAAAGTTCAGGGCTCACCATCATCACAATGCGGAGATAGAACTGATACCTCCTCCTATTTTTTTTTTTTTTGTACAAAAAGGTGCATTTTTTTTCTTTTTCCACCTTTTCTTTTCCTTTCTTTTTTTTTTTATCAGTAAAAAAAAAAAATAAAACAAAGCAAAACAAAAATAAATGATGATTATGAAATCCTTTTTTCTTTTCTGGACTACAGTCGTATTAACGGTGACAAGTATCAAGGCACTACCTTTGGCAAACAAACGAAGTGGTACAGCATGGAACTATTGGCAAAACAAGGCATGGGGACCGAATTTGGGGAATTGGCTTATTCTTGAAAGATGGATGGGAAGTGAAGTGTTTGATCAAGCTGGTTCTAATGCACAAGATGAATGGACATTCTCTGCCAATGTTCCTAATGCGGCAACACTCTTACAACAACATTGGGATAGCTGGGTGACGGAAGACGACTTTAAGACATTGGCTAGTGTCAAGGTGAATCATATCCGAATTCCTGTGGGCTTCTGGGCATTCATCACACCTGATCAAGGCGAACCTTACGTGTCAACAGGACAAAAAGCACAAATTGAACGTATCTTGGGCTATTGCGCGACATATCAAATCTATGCTATCATTGATCTTCATGGATTACCAGGTTCTCAAAATGGGGAAGATCATTCAGGTCATATTGGTAACAAGGATTTCTTCACTACTTACAACATCAACCGATCACTTCAAACCGTACAAGCAGTGGTGGATTGGATGAATGGATTGGATTCACAATTGAAGAATCAGATCGCAGGGATTGAATCAGCCAATGAACCTCGTCCGGATAATGATAGTGACAACGCCATGCTACGTGATTACTACCAACGCGCCTACAACATCATTGCTGCATCTGCTTTCAAGGTACCGATGATTTTTCATGATGCATTCAAAGGACCTTCGTATTGGAGCGACTTTTTACCTGCACCTGCCAACGCCGTTCTTGATTTACATCCTTATTGGGCTTTCTCTTCTACGAGCGATCAAACTACCATCTTGAATCAAGTATGTGATAAACTCACTGGTGACAATAATTTCCACTTACCTGTGCTTTATGGTGAATGGTCATTGGGTTCGGCTGTTTCTTCTTCTGATTCTTGGTTACGTCAATTTATGGATACCCAAGTGTCTGTGTATCAAAAAGGGAATGCTGCTGGTGCTGTCATGTGGGCTCTCAAGAACTCGATCAATTCTGATGTTTGGTCTTTTGAACAATTGATCAAAGAAGGTTATATTAACGATGGTACTTTTTCTTTGCATACAAACGCAAAATGTTGAATAGTATAATGTAGTTTTAGTCTTAGGATAATCTTTTTTTTTTTTAATGATATGTCATCAAATAAATACAAATGATTTCTCTCCTATTTTACATACTCTCTTCCATTTAATCATCATCTTCATTTTTTTTTTTTTTTTTTTATAATTTGACTGGTAACTAAATCGGATAAGATTAGATATTCCTTTTGTTGGCATTGTTTCATAGCAATACCCGATCCTACCTAATTTGAAATGATAGGGTGGTCTATGCACGGGCTCTTTTTTTTAAACATCTATTTTTGGAAATAGAGGAAAAATAAAAAAAAAAAAAAAGGTACCAAAAAAAGAAAACTTTTTGGGACTTTGATAGGTTTTTTTTATTATGATACGATATTGATAGAACATGATCAATGTTACCATTCAACACTTTTTAATATGATTTAATATGGCACATTTTTTTTCAAGATATCATTATTTGCTCTTTCCTCGGAGTTTCCTATACGCTGACATATCAGTTATTCTAATACTCCACTTTGTTGGGGAATGAGGGTAGGAAGATGAAAGGATGACTACCGGGTAAAGATCAACCGAATTGGATACTGTACCTTTTTTTTTTTTTTTTTTTTTTCATGATGGCATGCTGAGCAATTGATTGTCTTGGATGTTTTCTTCCCGATTTTTCTTTTTAATATCTTCTTGTGGTTTTGGATTTTACGGTCATGATTTGGCTGAGGATTTCAAAAATTTTGGCTATGAAAACAAAATGTCAAGGAGATCATCTGGCAATTTTTCGAAAAATAGATGAAATCTTTTGATACTGACTGCAAAGTAAGATAAGGCGATAAAATGGCATTAGATGATGTTAGATTTTTTTTTTTTTACAGAGGAATCTAATGGTGATAATCGTGTTGGGTGATGATGATTATTGGATGAGGGATGATGATGATTATTGGATGAGGGATGATGATGATTATTGGATGAAGGATGATGATGACACTGTGATTTCATTTTTAATTTACTTTATAAAGTGAGAGATAAGGTATAAAATGTGATTAAGACAAATGAAAGAGAACGATTTCATGTATGTTTGGTTCAATTTTGGTGTGATGATGATCGTTTTTGAATGACAAATGAAAAGAAAAAACATACTCTCGCCCTTTGAATGCAGGATGAACAAATAAGATAGATTTCTCCATTTTTACATCAGTATTGTATTTTCATCATACAAGTTAAAAGGATACAGTTTGGACGAACTTGGCAGCGGAGTTACATTCCTCTCATAGGTTGAAAAAATGTTTCTTTGCCGTTTTGCCTTTTTTTTTTTTCCTCTCTTTCCTTTTTTTTTTTTTCCTTTTCATTTTTTAATATATCGCCATATTGTTATATTTGAATATATATATTGATGGAATTTTCAGTACTAGAAGGAAACAATGGTACTAGAAGATCCAATGTCAATCGTACAGTTTCCACTACAGTTGCTGGTTTATCTATGAACAAACATGGCCTCTCTATGAATACACTTCGCTCTCAACGACCACCAAAAGTATATGCTGCTTTACCACCTCCACCACTCAATCATAACAGCAATAATTCTCCAACGATACCTATTCGAAAGCATTCTCTCGATTCAAAGACAATGGACTCTCGGTCTTCTTCTCCTTCCTCCAATACTTCTTCAGCAGAAAGCTCACTTTCCATCAATAGAGAATCGGTTGTTTACATGATGTCATCCTTCCAAGCCATAATACTTGCTGCATCCACTCTTCATAATGCATTACAGCGTTGTTTACTTTCTACTATCATATCTGGAGATGACTCACCTTTTACCTTTCTTCATCCTCTTCTGCAACAACTTCAACTTACTTTCGGACAACTAGAAACAGCATTACATCATTACTCGTCAAAGACACCTCCAGCCCAAACGGAAGAGTTTACCTCCTCTCGACCGTTACCGACCGATTATGTTACAGATACCCTATTACCTCTGGCGACAGCTTGTTTGAAGAGCTTCAAAGAAACTCAGGCTCAACTCAATGACCGTATCCACGATTATGCTCCTCTGCTCGACAAAACTCACCTTCGTCATTTGCTCCTGACTCTTCATGGTATCACACTCGATCTCAAGGATGCTTGGCAATCCATTGTGACTCCTTCTTTGACCCAAAATGCAATAACAACTTGTCCAACATCAGTACGATCAACCTATACTGAACCACCATTACCTTCGCCACTCGCCACTCGCCATCGTTCTCATAGTGATCATGTTAAACCGACGTTATCTCTATCTCCTTTGACATCTTCTTCTTTCCCTGCCACAATTTCGCCAACGTCTGGAAACAATAATACTCATGAAAATACAGCTTCAGCTCTTTACGCTCATCTTCAAATGGCAGTGACAGCTTCTTTCAACCTAGTGGATATTTTGAATCAGTCAATGGATACTATGCTTCAACAACAACAACAACAACAACAGCCAAATGATGTGAATGAAAACTTTGGAGAACTGAAGCAGATGATTCAACAAGCGGTTAGATGCTCTCATCAGATGAACAAGCATTTGGATATCATTCAAGATCAAGGATTCTCATCACAACAGACTTATACTATTCAAGTTTGGGAAGATACCAATTTATTTTTGAAGGTAAATATATATATATTTATATACATAAAAGGTGAGGGCATTGATGAATGAACCTCTTTTTTTTTTTTTTTTTTTTTTTTTTTCTATTTTAGACATTTGTATCATTGATGAGCTTGATTCGTTCTCTATCCACAGAAAAGGATGTGCATTGGCCTAAATCTGTCAAACAAGGTTGTCTCCATGTTACTCGTGTCACTGCCGAAATCGCAAGGTTATGGAATAGTGATCCGACGTTTGTTCAAGATGGTTATTATCTTGGGAAAACTGGCGATGATTAGTTGTTTTTCCACTCATGATCCCCTTCTTACTCTTCATCTTTTTTTGTTGGTCTACTCTATACCCCTTAGTTATAGTTTTTTTTTTTTTTTTTTTTTTTTTTTAAAAAAAAGTCTTCACGTCTAGTTTGATATCTTTTTCATATTTAAAAAAAAATTATAATAAAATCAATATTTGTCTGATAGATTTTTTTTTTGTTTGGTAGTTGGGCTCATAAGTAATTCATGAAGGTATGATTGATCATAATTGTAATAATTAGATGATGATGATACATATAAGCATGAAAGTTACTCATTATTATCTACAGTGGTTATGTCAATGATAATGATGATAGTGTGGAAAATATCAAATTGATTTTATTAAAGAATATAACGTAAAAAAGAATAGGTAAAACTGGCACTAACTTTCATCGATATGTTGATAACCAGATAAGAGACAAACAAATCCAAACCAGATCAATCCAAAAGATAACACTTGCAAATTGACCATATGTACAATCATGCTACAATTATCCAATTGTATCAAACCCGATACGTTTATCCTGTTGAAACCTGTTACACATACATCATTTTGTCCATTCTTTGGTCCATCCAAGCATAACCGATTTAAGTCTATGTACACAATAATAATAATAATAATAGTAATAAATCCAGGTAAGTCATAAAATATGAGAACTAAACGAAAAGTAGAAGAGTAGGAAACTAAAAAAAAGAAAAGACATATGGGAATGAAACACTAACAGAATGAGAGAATGCATGTAACCATAATGGAATGTAAAGAATGAGAGAATCATAAAAAGAGAAAGAGTATGAGTCAAAGGTTAGAAGAAGCAGAAGAGGAAAAAAAAAAAAAAACGAAAATAGAAAGATAATAAAGCCGGAAATGAGAAGAGGGATGGTAAAACATAGTTTAGAAAAAGAGAAAGGAGAAAGAAAGAAACAAAAAATTCGACTAAAAGTCAGACTTTATAACTCTCTAGGCAAAGCCAAGAATCATGGGACATATTCAAATTGACCGATAAAGAAACATCAATCCAGAATCACTCTGAAAACATAATCAAGAAAGATATTATTATGGACATCGAATTGCTTCAATGAATAGAAATACAAATTTTTATTAATAATAATAATAATCAATGAGAAGACCTTTTTGATAAACGTTCCCATAAATAGACAGAAAAAGCCAAAACTAAAACTATGCAATGTCCAATACCCAACAACAAAAAAGGTGCACCCTTCATCCATCGATCAAATAAAACACCCCCCAATTTGGAGAGAACAATGATACCGAGAGCGCCAAAAAAGGAGAAGGTACCTGCCACACTTCCTCGATAAGCAACCGGAACATGATCACCACCAACCATGGTTAAGCCAGAGATAATCATACCTTCAAAAAAAAAAAGATGAATATCAAAATGATGATGATTGTTTTTTTTATCCTACTTACCATATTGACCAATCCCAATGAGAACCACCAACGCCATACTTGCTTTTGATGTAGGATCAATAGAAAAAGAAAAAGGGATACATCCACCAGCACCAATCAAACCAGCTGCCATGATTGGAAATTCCTTTGGTAAATATTCTGAAGCCACAGCAAAGAAAGGACATGCCACCAAAGCCACAGCTTGAGCAATACCAGTCAAAGTTCCAGACGTTGCAGCCGATACATAACAAGGTTCACCCACTGAACAAGAACCTTGTTCAATATAGTATTGAGTAATCCACAAGCTGACAAAATTCGAGATGATGATTTCGTCTGCACGCGCAAAAAAACTAGTTGTATATCCAAGGGCAATTTTGGGATCCTTTGCTGCCATCACCCCACGTTTGATTTTGTATATAAAATCTTGAATGCCGCGAATAAAATAACCACACCAGCGTGTCAAGAAGAAAGAGGAGGATGATCGAGAAGGAAGATAATGGGCTTCGGTTGTAGATTGGACGACTTGAGGGGATTTTGGGAGGACGAAATAAAGCACCATACCAACAAAGACAGTAGCACCACCAATGACGCCAAATGAAATATTAAGAGATTTTGTATAATCTTGAAATACCTTGTTGACTTCGGATGGTACCATGAAAAGCACAAATACGGAAAAGATGGCACCTAAACCAGAGCTTGCACCCAATAAACCAGAAACAAGACCACCTTTACCACTAACCACTTCGATAAAAAAAGCTGCCATCATGGAAGTAGTTGCCGCGGTACCAGCTGAGAAGATGAGACGTAAGATCAACAGAGAAGGATACACGTTGGTTGCATAAGGATAACAGATACAAGGAATACCCATAATAATAATGCCCAAAGCCATCACTGTCCGTTTTTCATGATGATCAGAAAATACACCCCAAAATACAACCGCCACCAAAGATATGATTTCCGAGTATAGCGCCAAAGAGCCAGTGATATCGCCTGTTTCATGTGATACAGCTTGAATCCGGATAAGAATATAAAATGATTGTGCACTTGCGATAAAGACAATCACAGCAATAGGTGTAAAAACGGCAATCAATAAAAAGAAGAATTGAATAGGATGTGCATGTGGAGCCAAAGGAATAAACCAAAGAAATTTGCGTGATGGTTTGTTGTCTGTACGGAATTCTTCAATTTCAGAGGATATTGAAAAAGAAGATATCCTTTGTGGCTTTTCTTCCATATTTCGTTTTGATTTTTTTATTGTTTAAAGTGTTGGTATATAAAAAAAAAAAATTGTGTATAAAAAAAACAAACAATTGTGTATAAAAAAAAAAAAAAAAAGACGAAAGAGAAAGAAAAAAAGGAAAAAGGGAAATTGGTGTTACTTTACAGAATTAGGCGGGATATGAAATTTCAATCAACTTATCCTTTGATCTAGTACGCCCGTTCTTTCCCATAGATCTGATAAGACTTTCTTTCTCTTTTGCATCAATACACATATACATGGACACAAAGATAGTAAGTGAAAATTCATCTAGTGTTACTTTCAATATCGCATAAAAGAAAACCCTTTCACATGTTACTAATGTTATTCCTTCATTTCCTTGCTGGTGAAACAATAGACATTCGAGTCTTGTTTTCATTCTCCAGTTTCCTTACTTTCCATTTCTCTCTCTCTTTTTTTTTTTTTAAATCTCCTCTTTCTCTTTCTTTTTTTTTTTTTCATCAGGTAACTTTATATCATGATCAATCAATCATTATCTTCTTGCTGTTCGTGATCACTAAAAGTAGCCAGAAAGAGATAGCTATGATTGATGTTAGCTAATAGTGGATGATATGTGATGACAATGTGATAATACATATATGTACCTAAAAAGAATGATCTATTAGATGATGATGAATGATAATAATGGAAAAATAGACATATTTCAAACGAGAAGGATCTGATAAAGGAAATGTCATCCGTACAACGTGGGTAACCCCGCGTCTATGGTACATCTGATAAGTTCAGGGATTAGTTTCACAAAATCGAACAAGAGCGCGCCCTCGGAGCTGAATTCTTTTCTTTCCCTTCTTTTGTCTGTTCTTTTCAATTCATCCCATAAATTTGCTTTGTTTTTCTTTGATTTCTATCCATTTTTCTTTTCTTTTCTTTTTTTTTTATTCACTAGATATTTTATTTACAATATGCGTCCATCTTTCTTAATCCTTGGTGCTGTTTCTTATGTTGCTGCACAAAACTGTAATCCTACCTATAATGTGGCCTCTTCTGGTGATTGTATGAAAAAATGCTCAGAGGTAATGATGAAGAAGAAAATTTTTTTTCTCAATATATATATATATATATTTTTATTAATTTTATGATATGTATATCAATAGGATACTGGTAAATCCATTTTCAATGATTATACCACTGATCCCGCATCACCCAATTTTATTAAATCTGTTGGTATTTCTTGTTCCAAGGGTACTCCTGATTACATTGCTTTCATGACCAAGGCTGGTACTTGCTGGTTATCATGTCCTAAGGAGCAACAAGATGCTTACACACAGAAAGAATTCAAGGAATCATGTACTTGGTATAATCAACACAAAGATGATAAGTGTGACGGAACTACTTCTTCCTCCAACTCTTCTACTTCTGCCTCTGGTTCTGCCCCTGCTTCTGCTTCTAATTCTACAGCTTCTCAATCCACCTCTGCTTCTACCCAAATTCAAGTTACTGGTGTCGTTGGCTTGTTGGCCCTTGGTGCTACTATCCTTCTTATGTAATCCAATTCCTTTTTTTTTTTATTAATAATAACGTTACCAAACGATAAATTAAAATAAAACTATATCTACAATATCTATCTATCTATATTATTGTTTCCAATTCCCATTTATCTTGATCCTTCAAAACTAATAGATACCATTAACCTCCAGAGAGATAATCCGTGTAAAAATGCGACCACAAAGATAAAAAGTGACATTCTTTTTTTTTTTTTTTTCCAACCATCGTATCCTTCATCCATAGATCTAAAAGAATAGTCCTTTGTCAGTAGAGTAAAGATAAAAAAAAAATTAAATACCTTACCTTTTCAGCTTGTCGTAAAGATATAATCCTAGCGTTCAAAACATTGTTCTCTTATGTGTTCATCATACTATCCATTGTAATTTGATTCGTCCAATTTGTCTGTACTTCCATAATATCTGTTCCTTCACTATTATGACAGTAATTCTGTTGTTCATTCTTTTATTGTTGGCACATTATTATAAAGATTTCAATCCATTTCTTGTCTTTTGCATCCTATGCTTTGTCCAGTAAGGTGAAGATATCGAACAAAAAAAAAAAAAGCAGAGTATCAGTGAATATAATATTAACTTACTGATCCTAATCGGCATCCGTATGAAGAGGAAAAAAAAAACAACAACCAAGGTCAATCGAAAAGTATGATTTCTAATAAGAGTGTCTGAGGTGATTAGTATTTCACACTGTCAGTTAACTTACTACATCATAACAGAATGCATTCAAAGTAGAAATCAGACAAAATAAATATGGAGTTCATAAAAAAAAAAGAAAAAGAAAAAGAGAGAGAGAGAGAAAAAAAAAGTAAAAAAAAGAAAAGGAAAAAAAGAAAAACCACAAAAAGGGAAAACTGATGGGCGCTCTTAGAAAAGTAAAAAAATGTAGGATCACCCTCCTTTGAATATTGACTCTGATGATCTTTACATATATTATAGTTAGTTTTCATTTCGACTATCAAAGAGTGATATTGTTTTTTTTTGTGGTATTAGTAGATGAACATATATGATCATGTTTGCCAATAAAACAAAAGAAATCAATGCAAGCAGAACAAGGTATACATATATATATATATATAACGATCTTTTGTGAATATGCGTTGTATTGAATGAATAACCAATATCTGCACATTATTTTACCAAAAGGTAGGTACATACTTTCAAACACATCTATCTCTACATATGTGTGTATCTTCCTTACCGTTTGATCATCCAATATATTTTTCCTCGGAACGCCATGTTAAACAACGAAAATGTAAATTGTCTCGTGATATATGTTTTTTCCGCAAACCATGCTTTGATCTTTTGATTCCAATTGGCTAGATGGATCAAACTTTTGATGATCTTTTATGAAGAACATTAGATTTATCAATTCATATTGTTTATCATCACCCTTTTTTGATAGATTACATTTTCATGATCATCATTGGTTTTTGTTCTTTCAATATACAATATACTTTATGATGATAATGATAAGTAAACAGCTGATGAATAATATATTAAGGAGTGAGAGAATCTCCGCTCTTGTCATCCGAAAAACGGAGACGATTTCTCTATAGAGTGCATGTCAAATGGACTGCATTGAAACACACAAGGTAAAAAAAAAAGTTTTGTTTGCTTTTTAGTTCAAAAAAGATTATCCGTTTAGAATTGTGCTTTTAACAATCATCCAACAATTCTTTTTTTTTCTTTTTTTTTTGATAATCATACTAGCCTTTAAGGATTAAATGAATAGATTATCATTCTATAGCCTACTTTATACCTATAACAGTAAAAAAAAAAAAAAAGTATAACAATAATGATGATGGGTGATAATGACAATGAGTTAATGGGTGATGGTATCACTGATTAGTGCAACAAAGAAAGGTCATTTGATATTGAAATGGTGCATTGATCAGGTGGTTTTGGTAGGGTGATACAAGCGCCTGAAGTGAAAAGTATAACCGGTTTTCTTTTCTTCCATCCTGTCCATATGTCAAAAACTACTGGATGATCACCCAATAAACTTTTTTTTTTTCGTGTACGGCCCGATTGTTAACATCTTTTCCGATATAGAAAATTTTCATATTAATCATGTAAAGATCATGGTTTTTACTAGTATCCTCTCTCAAGCCAATCAACTAGAATCATATTGTGATTATAAGTTAAATACTTTAATTAAAATAAAAGACGAAATGATGGATAATGAGAATATGTCAACGTTTTTTTACACACATACAACAAACATCGGAGATCGAACAAGATATCCAAAATGAATGAGTTGCATATTAGTACTTGACAGGATAAAAAAAAAAAAAAAAATGCAAGAGTCGCAGCAAAATTTTTGAAAATAAGCAGGGGAGAAGAGAAAAAAAAATGAATGATTAATGTGATGATTCAATAATGAAATCATGATCAAGAGAATGAGATAATACTGATGATGATTTACGTGTTGATCTATAATTTTGAAAATGATATGGTATCATACAACAGGTAAAAGATGATGAGATAAACAAAATAAAACGATGAGTAATTCATTTACGGGAAATCGTTAATAGTTTAACCATCCAATGACGATGATGATTCATAAGTATCGTGATTTTCCTTTTTTTTTGACACTAAAGTGAAAAAATGCAAAAAAGATATAAAAATCGCTCTTTTCATTTTATTATTTCTTTTTTTTTTTCATTACTTTTTTTTTCTTAAAAAACAAATACAAATCTAAAAAAAAAAATCAAATCATGGCTGTTCCTCTTGAAGAATTCATCACTGACTTTCATGTGCGCTTGACATGGATTGCTTTCTTTACACTTTGGGTGTTATGGGGTCTTGTTTATACTATTCGTTTTATTCTTGGTGAAAACAATAAACCAACTCCACAAGCTGATGCTGAAGCTGGAGCTACTACGTCTGAAAAGAAAACTTGGAATCAAGGTGGTTTTGTCGTAAGTCATTCAATGGATAAGAGTTCTATGATGATGGTCATTTGATGATGACTGATTTTTTTTTTTTTTTTTTTTTTTTTACAGGGTCGCCTTCGTAACGCGCACCAAGTATTATTTGAAAACACTCTTCTTTTACTTTCCGTTTTGGTGTTGAATACTCTTGCTACTGGATCCACTCGTGCTGTTATGATTTTGGCTTGGATCTTTTTTGCTTTTACTGTGGTTCATGCATTCACTGAAATTGGTGTTGAACATCGGTTCGTCCGCCTAGCATTTACTTTGGTCTTTTATGGTGTCACCCTAGCTATTGGTGGTCTAGCCTTTGCTCAAGGTTTCTAAAAGAAAAAGAGAGGTGCTTATTCTACTTAATAATGATGATCTAGAAGGTGATGATCTTCATCAATTTTTTTATTACCTTTTTATCCTTACTTATATATCATGATTACTCTTTATTTTACTTGTATCTTTCTATAGTTTTTATTTTTCCATGTCATCTGTCTTTTTTGATGATGATTTTATTTACTTTACCTCTTATTCTTTGTTTCATTGCTTAATTTTATAATAGTAATAATAATAAAAATAAAAAAAAAAATAATCAACCCTTCCTATCCTGACTAATGGAAAAAAAAAAACTAACTTCAAAGTACATTACAATAACATATCATTTGGTTGTACTATATTGATATCATGCCCCAAGTGACTAAATGTGCGCGCGGCATATTTTATGCATACATCTCTTTAAAACTTTCAATTAGTCAAAAATAGTCGTTTTATTATTTAATAAGGATGGATGATGATGATGAATCAATGATATGTGATGATGAATCAATGATATGTGATGATGAATCAATGATGTGATGATGATGATACATGATGATTGGATGATAGATAGCAGCAGTTTCACCCAAGTGGACCTAGGAGCAGATGAAATCGACTCAATACTTATTAGGTCAGCCCAATCATATACACGCGTTTTGATACTTCATTCGGTGCCTCCCTAGCCTTTGTCCAAGTGATCATCCATTCCATACTGGGTTTTATATGCAACAAAAAAAAAAAATTAACATCATCGCCTGACAAAAAAGAAAAAAAAGTTCTCAGGGTCAATATTAGGTGGGTGGATGGAACTTGAAGAGTTGGAAATTTTCGTCTGTAAAAAAAAATCCCAACATGAAAAGGTGAAAATCTCCTCTTTTTACTTGTCATTTTTCTTTTCGCTTCACATCTTTTTTTTTTTTTTTTGCATAGATTGAGAGAAGATTTACTATACTTATCATTGGTCTGTATTTTATGGTTTTCATGATTGCTGTTTTCATTATTTTCCAAGTTCCCGATCATCATCATTCTTCAAATTACTATCTTAACTGAACATGACTATAGTATATGGATATTTTATTCATATTGGTTTTTATAGACATTAATAAAAAGAAGACCAACTAGTAAAGGATAACACTAACAAACTACAACCAGGTTGATCCGAATTCTCGATTAACAATATTGATCCAAATTCTCGATTAACAATAAAAATACAAAGGATAAAAGTGAGGCAGACTTCTAGTATCGCTTCTTGTAGAAACGAATCCTAACGTCTTGTGGAATCATCAGATTTGAGTTCGTTGTAATCAATTCTTCCTTGTGTATGCTATCAGTTGGTAATGTCCATTGATATTTTCGTACTACAAAAACCAAAAAAAAAAAAAAAGAGAGAGAGAAACAATCATCAGTTTTTGTTTCACCATGATTCCATTGTATGATTCTTACGTAAACAGGCCAATAACACACGTTGTTCATTGATACTAAACATATTTCCTACGCACATTCTTTGTCCACTAAAATTCCGTCCAAATAGAAAAAAAGAGAGAGAAGTTAGATGATGATGTCAGTAATACATACTTACTTTGCAAAAGGTATCCTATGAAAAAAACGATAAGTATACTATATATATATTACAATTTCCATCATACATACCACGCCATACCCCCACCAGCTTGTTGATCAGCTTCACCACCAGGAGCAAAACGCTCAGGATCAAAAACATCAGGTTTCATCCAAACGTTCGGATTATGATGAAGGTCATAAATATTGACGTTGACTAGAGTGTCTTTTGGAATCAAAACATTGGATAGAGTGACATCATTTGTTGTAAGACGAGGAGATACTAAGGAAACAACGGGGCCATTGATACGTAGTGTTTCTTTAATGACTTGATTCAAATAGTTGAATTTCTTGACTTGGTCCGCTGTGGGTAAAATATCAATAGGAGGTTCCATACCATCAGGACAAAGAATACCAATCACTTCTTGACGTGCCTTCTCTTGAATATCAGGGTGTTTGGCCAGGTAGTAAACTGCAGCCGTTAAAGCAGTGCTGGTAGTATCATGACCCGCTATATTCAAAGAAACAAGCAAAAAAAAAAAAAATCAGATGGTTAGTATTTTATTTTTTTTAAAGAAGAGTTTCAAAAGAAGAGGAGGATACTGTACCAATGAAAAAAATACCAATATCATTCAGTAATTCCCGATCAGTCAAAACACCTTCTCCACGTAGTTCACTTTCAAGCATCAGAGTCAATAGATCCTTCTCTGAATCGTCAATGTCGTCGGCCGTAGCATATTTTTCCCGTAAGGTGAGTCGTTTGTTGTCAATGATTTGTTGAAGCATTGTCAAGAATTTGGTGGTAATAGCATGGATTCGTTGCCGCTTGGGGAGCATCCACAAGAAATATTTTTCCAATGAAGGTAGCATCATATAGAGAGGATCACGATGACCATTAATCACAGTATCATATACTTGCTTCCAAGGACTAGCATCATCAAGGACCGAATTGAAGTCAAACCCTAATAGACATGGAAGTTAAAATCATATTGTAAGTATGTATTTTCTTGTTTCTATTTCTTCATGCCCTTACCAAAGCCTGCTCTTCCAATCACATCGATTGTTATTCTTTCCGTCAGCTGTCCAAAGTCCAAAGTAAAATCATTAGGTTGCGTTTTATCCAAGTGAGTAAAGACCTGTTGAGCGACTTGTCCAAATACTTGAATAGGCATGGATCGATGGAAAGCTGGATTGACAAGCTAAATGCACACACATAAAGAAAAGAAAAAAAAAAAAAAAGTGATATCGGCAAGAGTAAAATTTTGTTTTAGTAAAATTATGGAAGAAGAACTTCAATTATTTACCTTGCGATGTTTTCTCCATTCGTCACCATTTTCAAAAACGATATTAGAAGTACCAACAAGACGATAGATAATGCTTGCATTGGCGGAACTTTGATTGGCTTTTGGAAAAAGATCTACATCAAAAACAGATAGGACGGGTTAACGTCTACATGATATTGTAGTCATTTTAATTTACCTGATTTCAAAAACACTTTTTTTGCAGCATCAGGGGTACAAACATGAACGGTCCAACCAAACTTATCAGAACGTACAAACATAGGGTTCCCATCCTTCAATAAAGGTAACTCGAATTCTCTCGCGAGTTTTGCAGTTGTCCACTTGCTAATGATAAAACGACGACTGAAAGTGAAGAAGTTGATATAAGGAATATGACGCAATTGACGAGGAGGACGAGAGACATGGCGATACACAGAATAAAGGATGGTTAAACTAATAGCTACACCAAGAGCCAGTCGTTTGGTTTTGCTGGTAGGAGCGGTGGTAGAAGCTACAGAAGTCGCTTTTTCAACTTGCTCGTTGTACCATGTCATGAATCTTGACCAGTCAGTATGACGATGAAAATAGTCAGAACATTGAGTCAATGTTGTCTTGATGAGTGACATAAAAAAAGTAAATTGAATATATATAAGTATATAAAGATGAGAAAATAAGTTAAAAAGAAAGAACGAAAAATAAAATAAGGATCCTGCAATTTTTATCTGGGGAAAAAGGGAAGTTGAAAGTTCTCCCGGTTCGCCACTTGAATCATTCAAGGCAGATCAGTATTTCCGTTCATGGGAGAATCTATTAACTTCCTTGTTATACAAATACAGACTAATATTGTAAATTGAGCACTTGGTGTTAGGGAATGATTCAAACCATTGAGTTAAGACGAACCTTCTTTTTTTATATGGTTCAACCTAAATCATACGTATCACTTGATGTTGCTTTTTGGCAATACTCATTATCATCATCAAAGGAAGAGAATGATTATTTTGTATTGAACTTTTTAGATAAATCATCTACGATCCACATAAAAAAGAAAAGAGATATGTTACGAGTAGAGACAGTTCTAATGATTTTCATCAAATATGTATTTTGGATTTTGTCATTGTTTATTCTTTATTTTGAAGCATGTAAGTAAAAAAAAAAAAAAAAAAAAAAAGTATAAAAAAAAGACCATTATCTAAGTCAACAAAGGATCCAATGATATCACATAAAGTAAAAATGATGATTGAGTTAAAGCAAGTTTTGTAGAAGAGAAACAAGAAGAGGGGAATCCAAAAAGATAAATATATATATGAAAAAAAAGAAGAAAACTAAAATCGTAAAAAAGATAATAATAATAAAGATAAAAGATAATAAAGGTAACAAAAGGGAATGTAGTTGGTATTGTTGGATTTAAAAAGTTTCGTCTTCATCATAAATTTCATGTTCTTCCAATTCATTTTCAGGAGGTACTTCGAATCCATCCTAAGGAAAAAAAAAATTAAGGTTAATGATTTGATATTATTAAGAATAAAAAACTTGATTTTTTTTTTCTTTTTACCTCTGTACTATACAAAATAGTTTGAATTTCCTTGAGTACCACGACTTCTTGATCTTCCACTTGTTCAGCATCAGCAGCATCGACTTGATCTTGCACCAGAATTTCAATTTCACGCAATTTATTGAAATAGAAATCACGTTCTTTTTCCAATCCATCCACAGTTAACTTGAGTTCAGCAATTTGCTTGTTCAATTCCATGATAACAGAAGCCGATCGATTATCAACACCAGCAGAAGTTCTTCCTGAAGCAGCTGCACGACTAGCACTACGTCCTGAAGTACCAACAGTAGCAGATGATCCACGAGTACCAGTAGTAGTTCTTGAAGCTGATGATCCACGTCCAGCAGTAGCAGTATTCCTTGAAGCACCACCAAGATTAGGTCCACCTTTACGACGAGCAACTGCATTATAAGCACCTCCAGGGAAGTTTTGATCCCAAAATCTTTTCACCCATTGCATAAATTCAAGATTATCTTGGAACCTACATTTCATCAACTTATCTACTGGGATGATCTAAATAAGAGAAATATTATGGTTAATTCTATATGTATATTATCCCCCCTTACTTTATCCAACTTTTTCAACTCCTCTTTTTCCTTTGTTTTTCTTACCTTGTCAATTCTTTATGTTGATACAATACATACAATAGTAACAATAATAATAATAGTCAATTATCACGTATACTATTTTTTTTTTTTTACTTACTTGTGCTTATCAAATGTATTTTGAAGCACCTTATAATTCCCTACAAATTCATATTCTTGTCGTGTATCAAACTTGACCTTGTTCATCGCGACATCACCTGTTAAGAGAAAAAGAAAAAAAAAAAAAAGAAAGAAATATAGGAAAATGAGAACTATGAAAACTTCTAGAAAAAAAAAGAAAGATGATTTCTTTTACCATAGATGGAATCCATGATTTGACAATAAGCAGAACCTATAATAGAATATAAAATAAGATATATAATGAAAGAAAGATGAGAAAAACAGGAAAAATATATTGTCGCGACTCTTTTATCTTATCAAGTTTTCTTTTTATTATTTACCTGTGCCGGCTTGTTCCACTTTATTGTAGTTGATTTGCAAAAGATCGTTTAACCAAGCTAAAAGTTCAGTTCTTGATTCACCCATATTTAATATTTCTGTCAATAAAGAAGATGAAAAAAAAAAAAAGAGAAGAGTAAAGAAAGGTACACTTACTCCTCGTCCACGAGGGATAAAAAAATAAAAACATCGTCATCTAATATTAAAATTCAGCCCAGACATGGTGTACAGTTGCCAATATCTGAGCCAAAAAAATGGACTCGTGGCAATCTTATATCGCATTTTTTTTTTTTTTCAAGGGGAAAAAAGAGAAATTCATATATATATGATTTGTTTGAAGGTTTAGATATTAGAAAAAATATATATCATATTTGTTAGTTCGTTTTAAACTTTGTTTTCTCAAATTAATATTATTAAAAATACTAACTGTCAAAATTGAATTATTATTAAATATGATAACCCAAACTTTTTTTTTTCCACATGGTGATCACTTGTTTTTTAAAAAAAAGGGTAGTTTGATTTGTTTCAATATACAAGTGCTGGGAATCAATGTCCCGTGATCTTTTTTTTTTTTTTTATTTCATTGTCAAAAGGTAGGTTTCTCCTTCCTGCTTAATTTTTCCCTTTCTCTTTCCGTTTCACACATATTATTATACCATCTCCATGTTGACGGTCTCACCTTGTTTGTTAAAGGCGATCTTCTTTCCATTTTCAGTGTACAATTTATCACTTCAAGACTGGTTATTCTAGTCCATATTACTTTTTTTTTCTCTTCTTTCTCTTTCTGTCTCTTATTACTGTTATTATAGAACATATTTTTACTTTTATTGCAACAAAACTAGACCCTCTTTTCTCTCTTTTTTTTTTTTTTTCTTTTTTCTTTTCTTTTTTTTTTTCTTTTTTTTTTTACTTTCCATGAAACTCTCCGATTATAAAGTTATGGTCATAGGTCCTTATCCTCCTAATGCTCTTCTTCGTGATACCTTTTCAACTGGTAATATATATATATATATATGTGTCTATAATACTTATCCCTTCTCTTTGTATATATATATAGTGAGCTCAGTGGATACTGTAAAAGAAGCCTTGACTCGTTTACAACAGCAACAACAAGATACCACTATTAATAATAATAATAATGACACCAACCCTTCTACTTTATTATTGATCGACACTGAAAATGAACATCGAAATATCCTCCTATTGAAAATGATAATATATCATTTACGCCATGTTTATTTAGGCAATGTTATTCCTCTTGGTAAGAAAAAAGAAAAAAAAAAAAAGAAAAAAAAATAAAACAAAGCTTTCTTGACTTTAGAACTTTATTGTATATAAAATATTTCATCTTTGACTAAAAACACGAAAATATAACTAAAAATATCTTATCTTTATAGTTTGTTGCTTCAATGATTCTCCAAATTATATGATGACATGTATCAATCATGGTGCTGCTGGCTATCTTCTCAAACCCTTACGCCAAAATGTTATCCAAACTATGTTTTTGGTAAGTAGTAGAAGAGAAGAGAATGATCACTATTTTTTTTTTAACTTCCTTTGTTAGCATGCTCATCGTTATTCTCCACCAATTCAAGTACCACCACCGCCGTCACCAACTCTATCTATATCAACACCTTCTATGGATTCAACATTTGTTTCCAAAGTGGATCCTCATTGGCATCATAATAATCAACGGTATCATCAAATTCGACAACTTTTTCATCAACATGATAGATTATATCGATCAGTACTGGATTCTTATGCAGTGCGACAATCGAGGAAACCATGTGACGTGGCGATTCTATCAAGGTACGATGAAAATAAAGCACAATACCAAAGTTATGGGTTATTTATTATTATTATTTTTATTTTTCTTTAGGCATCACAAAAATGAATTAGCAAACCGAGTATGTCAATGGAACTTTAATCCTTATGATTTGGATGATATTGAACTGATTTACTGTGTGTCGTGGATTTTTGATCAAGTCTTCCAATTACCAGATTTAGCAGCTTACAAATTATCACAAGGTAAGGATATGTTCTTTTTTTTTTTTTTTTTTTTTGTCATTGATTGATGGATTCAATATTCTTCATATAGAGCGTATGGATCAATTTATTCAAGAATTACATGATGGGTACCTTAATACAAATGCATATCATAGCTTTTGTCATGCTGTTGATGTCCTTCAAGCCATGTATTACACTTTATGTCATATGGATCTCTTGCACCAACCAAAAATTTCACCTTCTATTACACAAAAAACTCTTTATGTCAAACAACTTCTTGGTCCTATTGGTATATTTGCACTTCTTATGATTTGTGTTAGTCACGATCTTGGTCATCCTGGGGTTACTAACACTTTTATGATCAATACATCTACTTCCTTGTCTTTGATATATAATGATGTTTCTGTATTGGAAAGTCTACATGCCACTCTCTTTTGTCACTTGTTTCAAAAATATTGGCCTACTCATCTACAAGATAAAAATGATGGTAAAAAAAAAAAAAAAAAAGAGTTATATATATATATATATATATATATGTATATAACACTGATTTGTTTTTTTACTTCTTTATAGACCTATTCAGAAAGTTAGTGATACAAGGTATATTGGCAACAGATATGGCAATGCATCAGGAATATATGACAAAATTTATGCAGCTTGAAAAAACATTGTACTCACAAGAACAACCACCAATGAATGACGATGATCAACGAATCTTGATATGTGCTGCTTTGATCAAATGTGCCGATATATCCAATATTGTATGTTTTATTTATTTAATTTATTTTGATTGTCATGGACATATTTTGATGATCTTGTTTTATTTATTTCTTCATGTATTTTTTAGGCAAGACCATTCTCAGTGGCCAAGGTATGGGCACAACGTCTGGTGGAAGAACTACACTTTCAAAGCGAAATGGAAGCTGAATTGGATTTGCCTTCATTATATACTTCATTTGGTATTCCACTGGATGAAGATGGCCGATTACCACTACCTCCTTTCCAAAAACAATTTATTAGTCGAGTAGGAATTAATTTGTTTGAAGCTACCAACAATCTTGTATCCGGTAATAACAACATAAAACCATTGATTAGCATCTTTTATTCATTATATTTATTTTATTTAGGTTTGGATGATTGGATATGCATAGCAAAGAGAAACATGACACTTTGGAATCTTGAACAACAATGATTATCAAGGGTATCATAATTTTTGAACAATGTGACACATTTTCCCCTTATCATGTATATATATTATACACTTTATTCACTCTTTTTTTTTTTTTTTTTTTTTTTTGTACATTTCGTTTCCCCTCCCCTTTTTCCAATCTGTATATCATTTCCCTGTCAACCATCTAATATTATTATTATTATTAGAATATTATATATGTTTATTACAATACAATACAAAATAAATAAATACTACCATATTGACTATCTATCTATCTATCTACCTAAGAAATACGGGATGTCTACAATGATAATGATGAATAACGAGGGAATTGGGTGTATTAATGTCTATCTATTTATCTACATAAATATATCTACGTATCCGATCATCCTTCATATCAAACGAATCTATGCTAAGGGAAATAGCCATGGGATGAAGTATTAGAGACCAGACAGTGTACCATAGTAAAGCGGAAAGAACACCCAAGACTGAACCAACCAAGACTTGAGTGAGGGTATGATATTTCAGCTGTACACGGGACCATACTACAGCCAGGGAAAATAAAGACACTATCAACACTAGCCAAGGCATGGTGTTTGTGCCTACACATTGAAAATAAGTGGCGAAAAACATGATCACTTGGGAATGAGTCGAAGGCATCCCATAACCATCTTGTCCATACGGTCGAGGTTGTTGCCAATAACGTTTCAATATCTTCGCAAGTACTGCAGTACTACAAGATCCAACCACAAAATAGACAACATGTACAGATTGTGTATAAAGTACTAGCATCAAAGTCACCAAAGAAACAAAGAATTTCGTCTTTTTTTTTTGAATAAAAAAAAAAAGAGGTTAGTAGTTGTAATTCCTAGTTGAATGGAAGGAGAAATGGACTTACTTGAGCCAAAATGGCTAAAAGACCTTGGTTGGTCCGCTGTACCATGATCAACTTGAAAGAGAAAATTCAGTCAATAAAGGACAATAAAAAAAAAAAAAAAAGGAAACAGTATTACAAGGAAGAAGTTGGAATGAAGAAAAAAAAGAAAAAAAAAAAAAAGAGACAAAGAAAAAGGGAAAGAAAGAAAGGGTGATTTGAACCCCGATGATGACCACCTTTCCTCGTTCACCAATTCATCTATCGTTATTATTATTATCATGTATGATGACTTAGAAACAAGGGTTACTGATTGTCAGAACGCATAGGAACGTTAACGAGGCGTATCAAGCTAACAGAGACTGATATCATGTTAATTAGGATGATTGATTGGCGATATGGAATCTTTTTTTAATTTACTCTACAAATGTGATGAAGTTTTATAAATTGCATCAGGTAAAATGAAAGAAAATGACTTATTTTATGTTCTTGTCAAATTTGGTGCAATGATGATGATTTTTAGGCGAGAAAGGCAAAGGCAAAGTTTTTATAAGCTTGTATGCAGGATGGAAACAATGGGATGGATTTTTTGATTTTACAGCCAAGATTTTCAAATTCCTCAGCCAAATTTTAGCTGTAAAAATAAATCGTCGAGGGGTCATCAGGCATTTTTTGGAAAAATCGATGAAATTCTTTTAGTATTTATTGCACATTACGTGGAAAGATAAGTGATGAAATGGTATTAGATGATATTAAGCTACTTTTTTGAGAGGAATCTAATGATAGTAATCTTATTGGATGATGATCATTATTGAATGAGAGATGACGATATTTTTAATTTACTCTATAAACTGGGAGGTAAGGTATAAATTGTTGTTAATACAAATGAAAGAGAATGATTAATTCCATGTTCAATCCAAGTTTGGCGCAATGATGATGACTTTTGAGTGAATTAAAAAAGTATAAAGAGATATATATCCCATTAGGTGGAAAAGACAATGGTTCGAATTTTTGGTGGATAAGTCAATAGAGAAATCAGTGAAATTACCAAAAGAAAAAAGAAAAGAAAAAAAGAAAATGAGCAGATGAATAAATCAAAGACAGGGAAGCATCCGACTTTGAAAAAAGTAGTATTGCAGTCCATTGTAGACCGGAGCTGGAAAGGCTAAGGGGGAGGGGAGGATCAGACCAGTGACGGTTTGGAAAAAAAAAAAGTTGGGACTTCCGTTTTTGGAGCGATTCGCTTTTCTTCTTTTTATTTTTTTTTTTTTTTCACTCACAATGAAGAAACGACAAAATGCTTCCATTATATCAAAACAAACACAATTAAAAAGAATAAAACGAGAGGTAGGAAAAGAAGATTATATCATTGTTGAACAAAATCGATCTAACAACTTGTCTTGCCTTGCTTGGATTCGCACCTGGTTTTTTTTTATTATTATTATTATTCATCTTTTCTCCTTAGGATCATGACTCTAGAAACGATACCCACACAACAGCCACTATTACTACAAATGGTGGACTTTTTGATGATCTTGATGAAGAAATGGATCCAAACGTGATGGATAGTGTATTGCAACAACTGGAAGATGAAAATGGCAACAATAGTGACGATAATGACAATGACGACGACGACAATGGCGAAGATACGGGTTCTTTATCGCCAAGTATACCAGATATTGATCAAGATAATGATGGTCCAGAGGAAGAAATGGATGAAGAAGAAGAAACGACACCCCATGATGATGATGAACCATCAGTGACCTCTAAACCATCAAATCAACAACTTTCATCCAAATTCAGAGATCATTATATGGGCAAAATAACACAAGCTTTTGGATCAGATTTAGATCAAATTCGACAGGTAAAGAAACAAGAAGATAGAATGGGTTAAAACTTCATAGAAAATTGATCTTTTTTTTTCTTTTATGATCCAGGATCCTGGATTTACTGCATCTCGATTAAATGTCTTGATTGACTCTTTGGAGTCTGGCATTAGTATATTTAGTGACTTGGAAAAAAGTATTAGTTTAGCGGATGTGAATGATAGTTAGAATTAGTTATGATTGTTGATATAATAAAATAGAAAAACTTGTACATTTTCTACCTTTTATTTAGTTGGTTTATATTGTTTAATGATGGAAATAGTCGTAAATGATACAATTAGTAAAAGGACAGCTATTTGAACTGTCATGCCAAAACTTGCTGTGGTGGATGCAGTTCCGCTTGATCGGTGTTTGATTCATCGTGCAACAAACAAAACAAAAAAAAAATTCATTCACTTTTTTTTTTCTTTTTTTTTTTTTTTTTTTTTTTTTTTTTTTTTTTGCTTGATCTTTATTTCTTTGTATATATATAACAATATAGTCATACTAGAACGATGAGTTTCCAAAAACGAAATGCAGATCAACAACCTAAACTTCCTCCTGGATCACGTCTTAGTGCATATAATGGACAATTATTAATATCAACAGGGGTGCCATCGCTCGATGATATTCTTGGAGGAGGCTTACCTGTAGGTACCGTATTATTAGTCAAGGAAGATCGTGCAACCACCTATGCTCAACTATTACTCAAATATTTCATGGCTCAAGGTATTTCGTCAGGACATCATTGTACACTCGTATCCAAAGACGAAGATCCTTCTGAAATGGCCCGCAATCTCATGTGGTTGGCATCCTCCGATGCTGATATGGATGACGATGATCTCGGCAACAAGACAAGTAATACTGGTGAAAGTGATCGAATGAAGATTGCTTGGAGATATTCTCATCTCAAAAAGTTTGAAACAAGTGTCAAGGCAACGCCAGGTAAAATACTGGAGGGTTTAACTTTAATGATTGAACTCAATTTTTTTTATATATTTCTTGTTCATAGTACCTACACCACGCCCTGTCACCAAAGATACCGTTTCTACACCTACTACTAGTGCTGACAAATCAAAGGATCCTCCACCTTATTGTAGTTTATTTGATCTTACCAAACGCATTCCCGAAACTATATTGGAACAAGCTTCGTTATCTTTGATAGATCCTTCTTCAGAAAATAATGATGATGATACTGTGGATCAATATGGTGATTTGATACAAAAAATACGAAAAGTGATTTTGGATGGAAACTTTAGGTAAAAAAACAAAAAAAAAGAAGAAGAAGAAGAAGAAAACAAGTATTTTGAAGAGGATCGCTTATTTTGGTTTACACTTATTAGTTCGGCAATCCCTGTTCCTCCAGGTACTCAACGAAATGCATTACGGATAGCTATTCATTCTCTGGCTTCACCTAGTTGGCAATCCAAATCATCACATGTAAGATTTAATTTCAATCAAACACAACGGTATTGATTTTTTTTTTTTGTAGGATCTATTCAAGTTTTTCCATGCTCTTAGAGGTTTATTACGATTCTCTTTTGGTGCTGCTATTGTGACAATTCCTGCCTATTTATATGAAGAAGTACCGAATTATATCTGTCGTGTAGAACATGCTGTAGATGCAGTAATAGAAATTGAATCATTTGCTGGTAAAAGAGAAAACAAAAAAAAAGAGTCAAAGAAATATATCTATATTGATCTTATATATATATATATATTATAGGATCATCTTTACATAATGATAAACCATATACACAAAACTACCATGGATTCTTTCACGTTCACAAGTTACCAGTCCTCAATTCTCTTTTACCACCAAGTACTAAATTATCCGTATTATCTGCTGGAGGAAGCAATGATCTAGCATTCAAATTACGAAGAAAACGATTTGCCATAGAAACATTCCATTTACCGCCTGAAGGAGGAGTAGTAACACGTCGAACAGAAGCACCAGAAACTACAGAAAAACCAGCAAAGAATAAAGGATCAGTACAAAAACGACAAATTGGTGGTGGATGTGGCTCAAGACCAGGAAAAGTGGATCCATTGGAATTCTAAAATTAGAATTAACTATATATATACATGTAATTGTTTTTTTTTTTTTTTTTTCAAAAATAAAAAAAAAAAGTCTTATTTATTTTGAAGCCCAGAACTTCCCTATTTATCTCTGATTGTTTCAATTTTACTCCTTTCTCCTTTTTTTTTTTTTTTTATTTTTTTTTATTTTCTTTTTTTTTATATTATATATCATGCCTGCTGATTTACCTTTATATAAATCAGATAGTTCTACACTATTGAGGCGACCTAAACAAAATAAAAGACTTATTATAGCATTCGCTTTGATTGGTGTATGTTTTATCTTTTATCTCAATGCTCGTTTGACTGCCTCCAATTCTCAAACTGACCAAGAAACTTTACCCACTTCCAATAGACCTAACTATGATTCTTCTGAACCTACCTCTCAACAACAACAACAAGATGACTATTTTCCTTCTATAGTACCTCAAGAAGAAGCTAATACAAGTGATAACAAGGACACATATTCACCATCCACTCATTCTGATTCTCATAAACCTATGACCCAACCTTTTGATGATGAAACAACTATGATTGATACTGTCATCAACACTTCAAAGCATTATCCTCAACTTGTGCTTATCACTTCCAATGCTGTTTCTATGGACCGTCGACGCCTGATACGTGAAAAATACTTTGGCCTTCGTGATAATTTACTTCCCTGTATGACTTATAACGCGGATGTATACTACAAATTCTTGATTCATGGTGGTGCTCCTCATGCTGATACTCCTATTCGTCGTCAATTTGAAGCTGAAAAAATGGAATGGAATGATATTGTAGAATTATCGACTGGTACTTCATTGGATCAAGTGGATGTACTAGAATGGGTAAATAAATCATATTTTTTTTTTTTTTTTTTTTTTTTTTTTTTTTTTTTTTTTTTACTTTTTGATACTGATAATCTTTTTTTTTTTTTTTTTTTTTTTTTTTTTTTTTTTTTTTTTTGTAAACAAAAGGTGGAAACTGATTTGGCAGATCAAGGCATTACATATGATTATATGATTTTACAAGACATCAACACGTTTGTGCAACTGGATATCATCAAACAAGAACTGGATTCTGGTGTGATTAGCGACAGTTTGGATTCTCCATTTTCCATTAATCCTGATGCACCTACTAATCTTGTATGGGGTAACTTCCGAGGTGATGCCGGTGACAAGGATGCTGTGGTGGTAGGCGCAAGTGCTGTCAAACTGGCTTTACAGCATCGCAAAGAAATCGAGGCTGCAAGTAACAAAGGTGAACCTATCCTGACAAGTATGTACAAATATTATCAAGCTTACACTGATACAACTGAGGCCGATAATGACGACACTGCTGCTGATGATAATAACGTTGCGGAGCAAGAGGCGTTGGAACGTGGACAATTGATTCCTGAATTTATACGTGAAGATGGTCCTGAAGGTAGTCATCGGTTCATTCAATGGGAAAACAACGTGGAATCTGTGCATCCTGAAGATATTGCGGTGACTCGTGTATATCAAGATTTGGAATTCTCTGAATTGTCTCTTTGGACTCGTTTAAAGCCTGTACCCGTATGCCATCGTGCTCAATCTACTTCTGGTGGACCTACTCGACCTTTGGATGATGATGAAGAAGTAACGGCACTTTTGGAAGAAGAACATACTGATTTGGACTTGGCAACAAATAACAACAACAATGATAATGATAAAGCTTCTTCGATGGCAGTGGTAACATCATCATTTATCTATGATGCATGTATGGAACCTTCAGCAACGCGAGCGGCCATGAACAAGAGGGATTATGCTTTAAAACATGGATACTCATTTGTGGCACGATCTGCCGAATTTGCACAAGAATCAGCTCGTGGACAACGCAAGACAGTATGGGGCAAGATCGACGTAGTAGAAAAAGTACTTCCCAAGTATGAATGGATCTTTTGGTTGGATATGGATGCAGTGGTGATGAATCAAGATCGACAATTGGAAGATATATTGGATCAATGTCGTCAAGCCTATCCTGATGGTCCTGAAGCGTTTGATGATCAAGTGGACTTTGTGGTATCTCGTCCTACTCGTGATCCAATGATTAATGCTGGTGTTTTCCTGATGCGTAACACTCCCTGGGCTATGCAATTCCTTCGTGATGTGCAAAAGACGACTTTTTGGTTTAACAAAGGTCCCTCTTACGAACAAGGTGCTATGTGGGATATCATGCGATTACCCGAAAACAAACAAAAGGTCTTCCTTCTTGATCGTGATGATCATACATTCAATACTTTCCCCAAGTTTTATAATTCTGGTGATTTTGTCGTCCATTTCGCTCCTGACAAATGTCCCAATGATGCTACTATCAAAGGTCTCAATGCTGCTGACAAAATCTTGACTGGTGGTGCCGTGACTAAATTGGATTTAGAATAACTTTTTTTTATTATCATTATTTTTATGTTGATTCTTTTTTTTTTTTGTATACAGTTCTTAGACCACCCATTCACTTTATCTTCACATATTTTTTTATTTATTTATTGTATGATAGTTCATATCCCGCACCATTTTGTTATAGAAATAAATTTGTTTCTTGTCTCAATTTATTTTTTTTAAATCTTGGTTGTTTTATCAACAGAATAAGATGGACTTGTCATTTAATACTAAGCAGATCGAAAAATAGTACTTTAACCCTCCACCAAAAAAAAAAAAAAAAAAAAAAAAGCCAAGCAATCGAATCGTCTACCATACTAATTAACAAATCAAATTTTCACCGTTCAAAAACTATTATGATATTAAGATTGAAAAGTGCCAATGAAGCTTCAGAGCATTTATTGAATAAATAATCAATAGTTTTTTTTTCTTTTTTTTTTTTTTTACGTGAAATGATGAATGATGTATACTATATATAATGTATGAAACTAATGATAATGTCCATAAAGGAATAATGATAATAATAATAATAAAAACTATGCTAATAAAAGGAAGGAAGAACTATGTTGAAGACAATGCTGATTTGAGAAGTAATTTCATTTTGACTGAATCTATCCCGGCATCATCTTGATCTTGCTTGTCTTGTTCACCATCCATTCCAGAGATGGATCTATCCAATCGTAATCGAATATCCGCCATGGCTAAGATGTGTTGTTCAATGGTATGTTCGGAAACAAGCTTGTGCACTGTAACATCCTTTGTTTGCCCCACACGATGTGCTCTATCTTCTGCTTGTCGATCATTTTGAGGATTGAAATCCATATCATACATCACAACCACGCTAAAAAAAAAAAAAAAAAAAAAAAAGTTCTATCAATATCTTCGTTTCATCATCTCATCTTTTATTCATTAAAGAACTTACTTTGCTGAGGTCAAATTGATACCAAATCCACCAGCCTTAGTACTAAGGAGAAAAACATCCAAAGAAGCATCTTGATTAAATTGATCAATGAGAATTTGACGTTCACCCACTTTGGTAGTTCCATCCAAGCGTAAATAAGAAAGACCTAAGGTAGTCATCACTGGTTCCAAGATATCCAACATGCTAGTGAATTGACTGAATAAAAGTACCTTGTTGCCTTTTTGTTTCATTTCTGGTAACAGATCACATAATTGTCGTACTTTGCCTGCATCCATCCATTCTTCCTTGTCCAACATGTAATGTCGAATGGACTATTATATATATACAGATATAAAAGACTGATGAGCCAACGATCCATTTCTTTTTTTTTTTTTTTTTGAGATTACCTTGTGATCCTTACAAAGTTGATTCAATTCAAAATCTGTCATCACTTGCATATCTTCATAAATATATTGTTCGTTAGCATCCCAATATTGTTCTTCCTTCGTGATACTCTTAGCCATCTTCTTGATCTTGTCATCGGTATAAATGTGGCGAAATAAAAGAGGATGGTCGGCAGCTTTTCGTAAATGCATCACAATGTTACTGAATTTTTCCATAGGTTGTGTCTTTTTCTTTTGTACATTGTTGTTGGTATCATCCATATCCTCCATGATCTCGTCCTTGTATCTTTCCTGTGATTCTGTCACGATCCTTGTATATATGGCTTGTTGGTTTGGTGTCATTGGGCAATAGTTGATTTGATGAATCTTTTTGGGTAAATGTGTGAGTACTTGTATCTTGCGTCGTCGAAGCACAAATGGAGTCATCATCTTTTTGGCGCGCTGAATTCGTTGTCGTGAAAGCATCTGAGCAGCATTGGCAGCAGCAGTAGTAGATCCAGTATCTGTACTATTGTTTTTGTTCTTGTTGTTCTTGTTATTATTGTTGTTGCTGTTGGAATCAGAATAAGATCGGATTTTGAAGATTTTGCGTACATCATCCTCGTTCCCAGAAAACACCTCTGGCATGATGAAGATCAGTAGTGATACCAGTTCTTGGAGATTATTTTGTAAAGGCGTACCAGTAAGTAAAAGTCGAAAAGGGATCTTCAATTGCATTAAATGACTGTATCTTGCGCTTGTATAATTCTTGATCATATGGCCTTCATCCAGAATCATTGATTTGCATTTCAATTTGCGTAAAAAACTACGATCTTCTGGTCGTCCTGCTGCAATTGTATATGTTGTCACTATGGCATGAATGTCGTCCCGTTCGTCCATCAAATCTAATTGTAGTTCCGCTCGTTCGTTTTGTGATCCATAGTAGCATCGTACTTGAAGCGTAGGACAGAACCTTTCAAATTCACGAAGCCAATTATCCAATGTAGAAGAAGGTACCACCACCAAATGAGGACCAGTTTCACCAAGTTCATAGAGTCGTCCCAAGAAACTGATCACTTGTGCTGTTTTCCCAAGTCCCATTTCGTCCGCTAATATTCCAGAGATTCCCTTGCGATATAATAGTAACATCCAGTTCAATCCAATGATTTGATAAGATTTGAGAGTAAATTCAGGGTTGACAATGGCTGGTTGTGTTGTAAGAAAACCATCCATTGCATCTTCATATAAACTAGTTTTCTTGGTCACTTTTTCCGGATTGATATTCATTTCCACAAGATGAATTCCAGCATCACCATCATCATCATCATTATCTTCATTATTTGTTGCCGTTGTAGTAGTAGTAGTAGTAGTAGTAGTAGTGGTATCCATGCTGTGCCATACATCTAAAATAGATTGTAACTTTGTACCAACATCTTCGATATTTTGAATGATTTGATCCACTGCAGAATAGCCATCCATCAGTTCCAGATAAGCATCTATATATTTGACACTAAGTCCATGTTGAAGTCGCAATTTGTCAGACAGATCTTCCAAGTTTTCAAAAGGTCGTAATGTTTCCAATTTTTGAGCCGCTGATAGTTTGCATCCAGCCACATCCATGATTTCCTGAGGAGATGCTGTGTTATAAAAAGCCACCGTTTGTGCCGCATCCCGTAGTTTCTTGAGCCGCATCATTGCACCAAGTCGATTTTGCTGTTCATTATCAGAATCATCAGAATCATCAGAAGAGTCTATAACACGTCGTCGTCGTCTTCGTTGCTGTTGTAATGGTTGTTGTGATGATGATGATGTAGGTAAGTCAACGTGTCTATTATTGCTGATATAAAGGATTGTTTTGGGAATATGTCCGTCATGATGTTCTAGAGCTTGGCGTAAGGTATCACGATTTATTCGAGGGAATCGTTCATAGAGCAATACCAATTTGTTGGAAAAAGAAGCCGCATTCATTTGGTTTTCTGCACGAGCATTGTTGTCCATATAATTATCATCGTCATCATCGCTATCACTTCTCACTTCCATAGTACTGCTAGTGTTGGAGTTTGCTATCGAAGAGTCATCATCGCTATCACTTAGTAAATGGTGGTTTCGTACTCGTTTTTTTTTTCGAGAGCGTTGTAAAACTTGATCATCGTCATCATCGTCGTCACTGATCACAAGAGGTCGCCTATTGATTGGTATTCCTGGTGTACTTGGTGTCGCTGGAGTTGATAGAGCTGGTGAAGATGTACCTCTATAACGAAAACTAGCAAGTTTGGCAGCCAAAGTAGGACCGGGCAATTCAGTGTTTGCTGAAGGAGTCATAGAGGGAGTATAAGACTTGTTCTTTCCAGGATAAAAACTCAAAGTCGTTTGGTGGGTTCTAAGAATGTCTTTGACTTTGATTTTAGCTTGAGGTCGATCCGAAGGGTTTCTGCTACCATTGGGAGTTAATCCAGGAGATCGGAATCCTGTTGGACGATTGTTAAGAGATGGTATGGCCATGATCCTACGATAGCAAAGGTATATATAATGACAAAAGGAAAGACAAAGAAGGGAAAAAAAAAAAAAAAAAAAAAAAAAAAAAAAAAAGGGAAGCTGATTTCAATTTTTTTTTTTTAATTTTTCTAAATCGCGAGGAGTCACGTCCGAATAGCTTCTATATAAACCGCGTTTTTCTACATGACATCGATAGACACTTAACATTCCTGAATAAAGATATATACAAAAAAGAAAAGCCACTACAATAGTTTTAATATATAAATATATTTTTTTTCAATTTGATTCTTTATTCATATTCATCATATACTAATAATAATAATAATAACTATACTATAAAACAACACCTAATATTAAGGTCATGATAAGAGAATTGATATCTAAATCAAAAAAAAAATTGATGATTAATAATCATATTCAATACACTAAAAGAATTTGATTCCAAATTTCTTTTCTTTTGTTGAAAGAATTTCAGTTTGAATGCTAAAAAGTAAGTATCTTCACAGGAGTTCAGAAGCAGAACTGGCGTGTTTGCTAAAAACTTTTTGTTTCATCATATTCTTCAACAAAAGAAAAAAAAAAAAGAAGTCAAAAAGTCACTTACCAATCGATGAAGGCTAAAAATGATCATAAACCATCACCCATCAACACCATATTTATCATACCTAACTAATAATAATAACAAAAAAAAATATGAGTGATCATTTCTTTTCATCCAACTGTGATTGATAGAAATCAGTCAAAGTGTCAATAAAGAGAAGGAATCAGATGGTGATGCATGTTTTTAACCCGAGTCTTCATGCTTTATCTGAAAAGGTGGGATCCTTTAATCATATTCCTCCTCTTCTTTTCACCAGCCATTTTTCATTCATCACATAAAAAAAAAGATAAACTTACCAAAATAAAAAGATGAAGCCACAAGAATAATCTTAATTGAAAAGAAAAGAAAGAAAAACAAACAACGAAAAACAAAAAAATTCAACCTTTTATCCTTTTGGCAGCCCCCCAGAAAAAATTTTTTTCACTCAAGGAGGCGTCTGAAAATTTCAACAGTCATTGGACTGTTCGCTTGAACAATACAACCAAACATTTGTCTGCACCAATCAGCCTAAAAAATAACGAATGTCACGTACTTTTGATTCCTAGTCATCTATTTCTCTCTATTATGTCCTTGATAAAGACATATAATGCAATATTCATCCTAATCATCTACTCTATCCTATCATCATAACCTAGAAAGGATATTTTTTTTTTATCTGACCTTTTATATCAGGTGATTTAACCCTCCAAAAGGTCAAAAAAAAAAAAAAGCGGAATGTAAAAATATGCATCACACCTTTTTATTTTCTTTTTTCTCTCTCTTTTTCTTATTATTATTATATATGGCACATTCCAATACGAAATCAAAAACAAGCGAACCAGATACCCAAGCTAATCAAGTATTGAAAACGCAGATCGATGTCTCCATTGATGCGGCAAGGTCACTAATACATTCCTGGTTACCGCCACCCAAACCTGGAGAAAAAATGGACGATGATCAAGATCAAGAAATACTTTTTGAAAAATTTTCCACTGGTCGACCTGACAGGTAATATATACATATATATATATATATATATATATATATTCATGGAATCATACTCAACCTTCATTTTTATATAATAGACTTGGACTAGGTGCAAAATATTTATCACACAATGAAGCCATGAAATTAAACACAACAACAGGAGGAGCAACATCAAAACAACAAATACAATTGAAAAACAAAATCTTGAATCAAAACCAACGAGCAGCTTCCAAACGAAACCATGGCAACAATGAATCACCGAATTCTGCTAACAAACGATCAAGGACCTATGCTGAAGACGATGATGATAGTGATGACAATGACAGGAAAGCAACCACTAGCAAAAAGAAGAAGACCATAGGTGGACAAGGCGACTTCTTATCCATGTACTTAAATGAACGATCCAGCAAGAAAAAGAACAAGGCAAAAAAATAGTCTAGGTATTCCTTTTTTTTTTTTTTTTAGATAGAACATGTGTATATAGTTTCAAGTATATTCCCCCCTCGATATTTTTTTTATCAATAAACTTTCTGGTAGTCCCTTCGAGCATTTTGAAATCAGAAATTTGTTTTGGATATTTATTTTGTTGAAGGATTAGTTTTGACTATTATGAAAGATAGGCTTTATTTATGTGATGCTAAGGATGATGGTTGTAAGAGACCATTATAGATGTACTGCCGCATAACTAGTTTATCTTTTTTATACTATCGAATTCCTGTTGTAAACCCTTCCTGTTACAAATCGCATGAGCTGATCCTGTCGTACAGTCACTTTATCTTATTCTATTCCTATCAATATGCACATTGAAAGTAAAATGAAAAAAAAATCAAATGATTATTAACGTAGATTAATAAAGAAATGATCTATCAAAACAAACTATGTACAACATCAATTTTTTATTTCTTCCTAATCAAGATCTAATAATATGGACGACGGACAAAACAAGGGGAAGAGTGTTTGTGTAATGGTAAATCATAGGGAAGGCGAATAGGTACCACTGGTATGCCTGGCAAATTGGAAGGAGAAGGATCAAAAAGAGTGGAAGGCATCATTTCAATATATGGATCTTGATTCGTCTACCAGAAAAAAAAATTATTATTTTATTCATCTTTATATATCTATAATGACTTTACCTCCCATAGAGATGGACATATTAAAACACCAAGTTCATAACTTTTGATATAAAGTTGAGTACCATTGACTTGCTGATCACCCCAAGCTGCTCTACTAAGATTATGTGAAGTCAGTAAGAACCAAGCCAGCGCATACTTGTCCGTGATAGTGTCGTGATATATTCTGGTATAGGTTTTGATATGAGGCATCAAATATTGTCGTCCTACTGTATAACTTGCCCATTCCACCATATGTTCTTCAAACCAAGCCTGATTCTTTTTATATACATCTATGAAAACCAAATAGTTAGTATATCTGTTCATAAGTAATCTTTCTTTTTTTTTTTTTTACCTTCATCTAAACGAAGAAATCCACCACTGTCTAACAATCCAGTACAACTAAATTAGAAGGGCCATCGCGTGTATGTAAAAAAGAGAAAGGGAAGAAAAGTCAAATCATCATATTCATATATATATCATATTAAGTTTACCTCTCTGCAACAGTCTCCATTGTAGGATAAACCAAACGAATCTTGGCATGATTCGCGTCCTTTGCATTGTTAGCCGCAGAAAGGCATTGTTCAAAAGAATGGATGAATCGTTCTGTCATATTGGCAATACTAGAACACTATATAAAAGAATAAAGAAAAAAAAATCAGTATCATCACAGATCTATTATCATTTTTTTTTACCTGCCTGAATAACGATGGATGATTCATGACAACATTGTTCAGGAAGATGGACATGATCTTGTAAAACTTGAGCCAACCTTAACATTCCCCATTTTTTCAAATCTTGAGCTTTATGTCGACCTGGAATAGATCCAATCAAGATGGCTTTACAAGGACTCCAATCATAATATCGTAATCGCTGAGCTACCTCGTTCAACACTGGCAAATTGTATCCATGAAGATAGTTGATCATATCTCGAGCAAAAGGAGATTCAAATTCCATACCTTGAAGTGAACCAGCTGGTGAATAAGATGATGAAGTAGAATTGATTTTAAGTTGACAACGTGGTGTTCGATAAAGACCTTGAGTCATCCTTCTACAAAATAGAAAAAAAAAATCATATAATATAAATAGGAATACCTTTTTTTTTGTTTTTGGTATCGTACTCCCAGTCATCTTGAACCATGTTAGCCGTCATGATAACAATTTGTGCTGTTTGAATACCATTTGTATTGAAGAATAAGATCATGGCTTTGGTATGATGAGATCCTAAAAAGTAAAAAAAAAAACAATCATTATTCATCCTTTTCTGATTGTAAGGTCTTTCTTATTTATGGACAATAGTATCACTTTTTTTTTTTTTTTTTTTTTTTTTTACCATATCTGTCCTTTAAGTGAGGTTCCACCAATTGTACCCACGAGTAATCCTAATAAAGATGGATAAGTAACAATAAATAAATTTAAGAGTGTTTCTTGTAATTTTACCTTTGTTATTTGACGAGCAATATCAGGATCAGTATGACCATAGACTACCACCAAAGGCACGTTTCCATTTTTGAAATTTGGATGTAAGTGAGACATGAGGTAAGTTAAATCCACAAGAAAGTTCATTTGTACAATATATTCTAAATCTTCCTATAATGAAAATAAAAGAATATAAGCATGATTAAAAAATATGGTTATGAGGAAACTAGTCACTTACATGGTAAAGTAAATCATAAAGAGAGACTATAGCAAATAAGAAGAGAATATTTAATATTTATAAAAGTATTTTTTCGTATTATTATTATTATTATTACCGGTGTCTACGTTTTCTTCAGGATGGACATGAGGCGATGTGAATAAAGAGATACCAGGTTGGATGGATGTCATTTTTGTTTAGAAAAGAGAAGAAGAAGAAATAAAAAGAGAAAGAGATGGTCAAACCGGAGTTGTAAATCATACATCGGATTTTATTCATGCATATGAAGTAGTTGGAAGAGAGGAAAACTGACCTTTCAACGCAAGACTAACATTACTATTACTACTTCTACTACTACTATTATTATTATTACTATTACTATTATTACTATTATTATTACTATAATTATTATTATTACTATTGATACTATTACTACTACTACTATTGATATTGATACTATCACGGAAACGACGACCAGCACCACTTCTTCCAGTCACCATAGCAGCAGCAGCAGTCATCAAAGCTTCTTCATCTTCGTCGGTAGTAACAGTATCTAAACTAGAGGTACTATCTGTTTCAGGAGAGCGTCTAGACGAGGATGATAATGAATCATCCATAATAATACTTGTTCGATCAGTGAAACGTACATTTTTTAAACCAGCAGATCTTGATGGTGTAGTGGGTGATAAGGTATCATCAAAAGTTGGAGAGGTACATGACAAGTTTCTTAACGTATTTCGAATTGTCAAAGGGTCATCACATATCACATCCATAAATGTAGGATCTGACTCGTCAGGTTTGATATAAACGTCATCACCATTGAAACTGGAAGAAACTGGAGATGATGAAAGTACAGTCGATGTCGGAGAAAGAGTTTGATCAAGAAATGTTCCAGCATATACAGGTGATCCAATAGTAGTTGAGATAGGTTGCATTTTCTTATTCTTTTGTTTCTTATTTAACTTTTTTTTATCTATTCAAAAAAAAAAAAAAAATTACTATTTTTAGTACTAGGCATTAAATATAATATAATATATATTTATATCTTACCAATATTCATCCAATTAGGATCAACAGATGATCGTAATAAGTCCTTGACTAAAGGTAATAAATCAATAACCTACATAAAAATAATTATTTAGCCCAATTATGTGATACAACAGGAAGAAATTAGGGATTAAATATCCGATGAGGTTACCTTCCAACTATAGTCTGACAATGAGAGTAAATCACGTACCTATCAAAAGAGAATGAGCTTTTTTTTTTTTTTCATTGAATACATGTATGATGATTTACTTACTGTATACAATCGATGTTCATCCAATATAGCAAGATCGTTCTTCACTTGATCTTGTGACCATGATCTTTCTAAAGCTATTCTTCTTAGTAACACAGATGTTCTCTGTTGATTTGTTTGTAATAAAGGTTATAAATAAATACAATGGAATAAAACTTTTCATCAACAATCCTTGTTACCAAAGTATCAGGAAGAAGTATAGAATTGTGTTTATCAAGTAGGGTATCTAAATATATAATATAGAGAATCATCATTCAAATACATGTCATATATAAATTGATTCCTGATGGATTCCGTCTTTTTTTTGTTTTATTGTTATTACCTGGATTAATTTCCAATGGTTGAGCAAGGTTGTTTCGTTCGTAAATTGATGCAGAAAAAGACCGTTGAATCATAATCAAAAGTGAAAGAAAAAGAAAGGGAAAAAAAAAGAAAGGTAGAAAGAAGAAAAGAAAAGAGAGAAAGAAAGAAAAAAAGGAACAAAAGGAAAAACTCAAAAAAAAAAAAAAAAAGGTTTATACTTTTGCCACACACATATACACAACATATTTCTGAATACCCATCCAAACAAATGGGTTCTAAAAACAATTGCCGCTCCGTTCCTTGTTCATCTTCTTCCACAAATAAAAATCAAGATCTCTTCAACCTCCGGTACACTTTCCTTTCTAAAAACAAAAAACAAAACCAAAAAAAAAAAAAAAAAAAAAAAAAAAAAAAAAAAACCAAGCTTGACCATGTGAAGATCTATTACAACAAAAATAATCATTAACCTTTTTTTTTATTCAAATGATGATCACTAGATTATTGTCAATAGGGAATAAAAATATGCAATCTAAAGTTTCGCAAAGATTCTTTTGTGTTGCCTATTTAGTTTGCCGCCAAAGTCTTGAATGTCCTTGATCAATAATTTGTCCACTTCTAATCCTGGAAAATGTCCACCCTAAAAAATTATTATTATTATTATTAGTCACTATTCACTTTTATTTTCTTTTGACCTTTTACCTTTGTATATTCTTTATAATGTTGTAAATTTGTCGATGTTTCTAACCATTCCTTCGGTAACTATCCAAAAAAAAAAAAGGTTAACAAGATCTCATTACTGCTTCTTTTTCCTGAATCTCCGTTTCCTTTTTTGGTACGATACCTTGATAACATCATGATTGAAGTTGCTAATAGCTGTTGGAACATTGATTCTTGGAATCACTGTCTTGAACATTTCATGTTGATGAAGACATTCATAATAAATACGGATAGATGATGACATAGTGTTGGTCATCCAATAAAGTGTCACCTTCCAAAAAAAAAGATGGAATCAGTCAATGTTTTCTTTTTGTTTCATCAATGAGATTACCTGAGTAAGGAATTCATCTGCTGTAATAGTAGGAGGAAGTGATACTTTCTTGCTAATAGATTCATCTTCATGGAATGTCCACTCATGATATTTCTCCAACATCCATGCTACAAAAAAAGAAAGAACGTAAATTGTCATTCCCTTTTTTTTTTTTTTTGAATTTTACCCATCAAGCCAAGAGGACTATCTGATAAACCATAGGATAATGTATAAGGTCTTGTTCCTTGAATAGCACGATAACCACAACCATAATATAATTCAGCATTAGCGAAAGTAGCCCAGTTCAATATAGTTTTTCCTTGACCATACATCCAATTGAAACCCGTCACCAAACTACCAAAAAACTTGAACACATTCAATGGATGGAATAATAGATTTCTTGGTGTAGGAATAGGTGGCAGCACCATAGGGAAATTTGTATGGAATCCACAACAGTTTTCACTATGATTTGTTGCAGTGTACTTGCCAATAATCGCTCCATAATCTGTTCCGCTGAACAGGTATTTTGAGTACCCCAACTTGATCATCAAAGTATTCAGCATGTCAGACATCTTGACTACACCGCAGCCTGGTGTTTTCGGAGGATCAGAGAAACCGTAACCAGGTAAACTAGGTACAACCACATGAAAAGCCTATCCGAAGAAAAACAAATCATCCTAGTCAGAAAGAAATGATCCATCATATTTTTTTTTTTTTTTTTTTTTTACCTGTTTACCATTTTCGCCATCGCGTAGAGCATTGATCACCTTGTGGAACTCATAAAAAGTAGATGGCCAGCCGTGACATAGCAAGATAGGAAGAGCATCAGGATGTGATGATGGTTCATGGATAAAATGGATATTCAAGTCTTCAATTTTAGTATGATAATGATGCCATTGATTGATTTCTTGTCTTGCAGTATCAAAATCATACTCTTGTCGCCAGATATCAGCCATGGACTTCACTGCCCAAGTAGGTGCCCCTTTTTAAAGAAATTGGTATATCAACAAACGTAGATAAATAAATAAATAAAACTAAATAAAAGATCATGTTATGCGTTTATATAATGGATATCTTTTCAACATACCATAATCCCAACCAACGTCACTTTCAAGTTCATTAGGATAAACGATGTTGGCAAGTTTTTCTTGCAATTGTTCTTTTTGTTCATCAGTTAAACCAGGCACAGTAAAAGGTATAATGTCTTGATTAGTAGAAGTTTTCATTCTATTTGGTTATATAAAAGAAAAGTGAAAAAAAACAAAAGGGGAAGAAAGAAAAGGGATAAAAAAAATTCAAGAAAAAGAACTTTTGCCAGTAGAAAGAAGATTGAAAAAGGACAAAAAAAAGTGACAGAAGTGTAAGAATGTTTCCATCCCCGCCACTTCCAAGCATGTGAGATACCTTTTTGATTGGGGTACTAAAAAAGATATTCGCAATACACTGATCCATTTTAATCATGTAATAGATGTATAGACATTAGATGAGTCAATAACAAAAGCATATTTTTATTGATGATCAAAGAAATAAATAAATGAATAAAAAACTAGCTAAATAGATGGATAAAAAAAAATCATATGGCGGTAAAAACAGTTCGCATAATACGCTGATAACATCAACGTTGTACTTTTGCCTGCAGACTGCGGAAACTTCTTGGAACTAGGTTAAAAAAAAAAGGTAATAATCAATCCATTTGTTCTTCATACTGTTTGTTTGTAACAAAATCTTTAAAACTTTTTACTTACTTGACGGTCGCGTCTATCACATTTTGTATGATTTCAATGGATGATGGCTGTCCGTTTGATTTTCTAATGGTGTACTCTGTGTTCCTCGACGTGACCTTTCTTTGAATCTTGGTACTTTTTTCCAAACGATCAATTCTTCTTTCATGTCTTCTTTTGCGAAATTTCATCAATGATAAGCTTGTTGTTTTTTTTTCGTCATCGTTGTCAACCGTTTGATGCTACTGTTGCTGTACCTTGTACTTTCTAATAAAAATCAAATGTCAGTGATCTTTTTTTTTTATTCATTCTCTTTTTATTATTATTATTGTATCCTTACTGTCGCTTTTTTATTTGGTCCCATTGTCATTGCTGTCGTTTTGGAGCCAGTTTTTGAGATTGTTCACCATAAATTCGAGATATTTTTGTTATTGCGTTGGCCATCAATGTGATCGACGATATTATTTGTATCTGTTTGTTCACCGCAGTAGATTGGTGCCACAAGTCTATATCGAAATCAGGAACTGTCCTTGCCTCCAGCCTTGAATAGTTGATGCTCATGCCGTCATAAGGGGTGGTATTTCCAGCGCTGCTGAAGATTCTGCAGTTGACACTCGATTGGACGTTGACAACTCTGTAGGTGTTGTTGAGACTTAGTTGGAAATTGATCTCCTTGGTTTTCGATCTTTCTCTTGAATTGGAAAGGTCACACCAGAACCTGCACTTAAAACTGACCTATATTATTGTAAGATTGTAAGCATGTTATATATATATATATATATATATTGCTTACTGTTGAGTTCTATCAAAATAAAATATTTAAAAATAAGGTGAGTTCATCTAGATATCGTGGCACTTATAATGAGCTTGAGTTGTTGGTCTTACTGGAAGTGATTTTCTGATATGGTCGTCCAGGTGAGCACCATTTTTATTTCGTTCGTCGCATATGGGGCGCACTTCTTGATTCTAATGATAAGACAAAATAAACAGAACTTAGTATATCATTCATCGATTAACAAATAAAAAATAAAGAATACTTTAATATATTGTGTCTTTATCTTCTTCTAATAAGTTGACTGCTTACCGGATAATGGTACTAATAATAGCTGGTACATACATCAAAGGTAGAATAAAAAAAAGAGATCTTCATAACTTGAACAAAGAAAACACCAAAAGTCAAAAGGATAGGACCTGATTGCTGATAATAACGTTATTGAGAATGATATCATCCACGAATATTTCAAACTTTTTCTTGTCATCCGAAAATTTGAGAATAGAATAAAGAATAGAATAAAGAGGACAATTGATTTTTGAGGGATAGAAAATGATTCTTGACATGATTTGGACCAGATAAAGGCTTTTTTTTTTTTTTTGAAAAGTTCAGTCAAAGGAAAGACCAGGCTAGCAAAGCAATGTAGATGTCGTTTGAAGAACCCAACTTGATAAATGTTTCAATACGAGATGCCTTTCCATTCTCTTGACAGTATCTTCATCCCAAGGAATGTTCTTTTTTTGATCATATAATATTTTGAAATAAGCAAAAACCAATACTTGTAAGAACCTTGACAGGATAAGTATACAAATGGTACATGGAGATCCTAATTCGGAATCATTGATATATAACAAAAGTAGTTGGAATAAAAAAAAACTTGATTGAATAGTAAACTGACTGATATATTAAAACTAAAAGAAAAGAAAAGAAAGGGAAGAATTGCATTAAATAGAACAAAGAAAAAAAAACGGGCTTTGAAAATTACTCCTTGTTTACATTATATAATTTATCAATGAAATCAGAACATACGATGATATCCATCGTTGATAAATCAATATATCAATGATCATATCAATAGCAATATTTTATATATTCATGCTTCAAAAATAAAAAATAAGATATATATATATATGAAAAAACAAGAAAGTAGAGTACGATATAGAAAAATTCAGTCATCAGGAAAAAAAAAAAAAAAATCCAAGTACCGAACTGATCTTCCGAGGGACGTACTTATTTTCTGTCGACGGCTAAATTGGCGGCTTCGGGAAATTTTTATCCGAAATCTTTTTAAGGCTGACCCTTCCTTTTTTTTTTTTCTTGCACTCTTTTTCTTCTGTTTTCTTTTCTTTTTCTTTTTTTTTGTATTGACTTTAGTGTTAGTATATCATTTTAGTAGTGTTTATTAGTCTTTAGTAGTTAAACTTTTATTTAATAAAGACTTTACTTTTATTGAAATCACTTCATTACATGTCAATGCAATTGATTCCATCTTCGAATGTACCTTTTTTTTTATATATGTGAATGCGTTCCTTTTTATTTTACTTTTTTTTTTTATAGATAAGAGAAACGATACGATTCCAATATTCTTCACTTCGATATAAGTTTTTACTGTAGATTAGTTACTACGTCAAACCAATAACTTCGTCACCAAGCCACACTACTTGTGAAATAAATAGTGATACTCCTTTTTTTAAAAACGTTTTTTTCTTCTATTCTTCGTTTTTCTTTATATTTTCCTTTTCTTTACTATAGTGATACCTACGTAAATAACAACATGTGTCGTATCAGCGTATTTTGTACCTGTAATATAAGCGTGTAATAAGAAATACAGAGAATGCGTTCATACACATAATACATCGTGTAGATGGAAATGACCCCATTTATATGTAATAAAAAAAAAAAACTTTATTGAATAAAAAAAATGTGTAAAGTAACGACTATACTGATATATACAATAAAACCATAAAAAAAGAAAACATAAAGGTACGCGTATTAAAAATAATGAAAAAAAAGAGTCTTCACCATTTTGATCCAATTTATTCAATTCCTGGTCAGGCATAAACATTCATGCAGGAATCCATCAGCTAAACAGTATGGTCCACTGGTGAATGCCAGTATCATTGTAAAAGCTCATTCATTATCTAAATATAAAAAAGATAAAATACATACTTTGATTTTTTTTTCAAATCGAGTAACATACCATCGCCTGATTGAATGATTGAATAATAAAAAAGTTTGCTATACAGCATTTTATTGAAATAATATACTAATAATCATGAGTAAAATAATATACATATATAAGATAAAATAAAACGAAGTGCTCTTCCAACCTGTGGGTGCATTTCAAGAAATTGTATTCGATTGTCGTTGTTGTTGATAGTCGTAGATGCAGGCAGAGAAGAGAATGTAGTAAGACCAGCAGAAATTCAAATAAGACGTATAACCATTGTTGGAAGTGCCTTGATGCAAAAACTACCCTTGGCATTGATCCTTTTTGCTAATCACATTTTCACAAACTTCAGTAAACTGTGGGTAATATCAGCTTCGACGCCATCGGCTTTGTCCTCTACAATGCGTTCCAACTTGATTCAATAACAATCATTTGACCCATAGAATTCCTCTATATCATATTGACAACAACTAGCAATCATAACTTCAGGTAAGATACAGATTATTTGTATAAAAAAGTATCCTATAATAAAAAAAAATACATCAGATCACCACCAGCTTGAAAATAATACTTCTTACAAGGTTTGTTCCAAAAAAAAAAAAAAAAAAAAAAGAATCCTGCCATAATAATACACTTTGCTTGCATATTGGGTGCATCCTTGAGAGTTTGTTCCATTTCTGGTTCACATCCTGATATCTTGATTTGTTGATGAAGAGGACGGTAAGGAAGTAGTCATTTCAATATTAGTTGCAATCTCTAAAGGAAAAAGAAGAAAACCAAACGTTTTGATAAATGATGAATATCAATTGAGTTAACGTACTCACGTCGTTTTCGAAGTTCAACCAGAGGTGTTTTTGCACACGTAGTATTGCTTTCATATAGAGTCAAATCGTACTACAAACGCATCAAGTTGGTCCAATAGTATATTCAATCAGTTGATCTTGATCTGTACCCATTTAAACATTCTCTATGCATATAAATGTGTACAGTAAATTAGAAAAAAAAAAAAACAGGCAGAGTCCATAGAAAAGTCGAGATAACTTACCAAACAAAAGGGTTGCTTCACTACCATCAACAACAAAACGACCAAAAGACACCAACCTTCTATTATCCAATAGCAGATACTATACAATTAGAATATAATGGAAACAACAAAAAAAAAAAAAAAAGAAAAAGAAAAGAAAAGAGAAGATACGAGCATTTGAGCCTTTTTTCGCGGAGTTGAATTTCCTTGATCGCATAGAATAATCATTATTTGATAGCTTCAATGGGATTGGAGATAAAAAAAAAAAAACAATATAAAAGACATTTTTTTTTTATTTTCTCCTTTCTTTTGTTTTTCTTTCTTCTACAAAACACAAAAAAAAAAAAAAAAAAAAATTCAAAATCAAAAAATCAAAAAAAAAATTTATTTGCTTCTTTTTGGCTGCTTCCTTGTTGGTGTCTTCTTCTTTCCGTTCGCCTGGTTAACGCAACAGAACACTCTCATTTTTGTTTGTGATTCTTGTTTCTCCGTTTTCCTTGCTGTTCGTGTTCTCGTTGTGCCTTTGGTTGTCTGTCTTTTGCGTCTTCTGTCTGTCTGTCTTCCTTGCTGTCTGGATCTCTTTTTTTTTTTTTTTTTTTTTTTTTTTTTTTTTTTTTTACCATTTATGATATTTACACTATCCTTTTGCGTCGCGCACATCCTGGATGGGTTGATGCGTGGCGACCGTGCCTCAGAGCCGGAGGGTCTTCTTGTTTTTTTTTGGTAAGTGCACATATACAAATAATGTTTAGTTGATCATAACACTAACCATTTTTCCATTTCTTCTTTTCAACCACCGAAATGGGGTGAAAATACCGTCGATAGAAAATAAGTAGGCCCACAAGGAAAGGGCATACTTTTATTTTCTTTTCTTTTTTCCCTCACTTCTTTCTTCTCTTTTTCTCTTATTTCTAAAATGCCTTCCGCTGTACGTGTCTTCAACAAATTTAGATGATAGTTTTTTTTTTTTTTTTTTAACAAATGGTTAACTCGTATACTTTACTCATATACTTTACTCATTTCATAGGCCTTTGAAACAGCTGCGAAGGAAGCAAAAGGTTTTACAAAACTTCCTGATGACGAAATATTATTGCGACTATATGGTCTCTACAAGCAAGCAACTTTTGGTGATAACACTACTGGTAAAAAAAAAAAAAAAAAAAAAAAAAAAAAGTTCTCTGAAACTATATTTATTTCTTTATTGTTAGATAAACCTCTCTTGGATTTGAAAGGACGATATAAATGGGAAGCTTGGAAAGAACACGAAGGTAAATCAAAAAAGTAAAAATTCAGGATACGTAGTTTCTAAATATTTATAGGTGTACCTCAAGTTGAAGCCGAAGTCCAATACATAGCCCTTGTTGAAGAATTAAAATCCAGCTACCAATAATATTCTTATTTTTTTATTTTTTTATTTGAATGATTTTTTAAAATAAAAAAAAAAAGTATATAATCATTTTCATTTTTCATTTATATAAATAAAGCCCATACTCGACGTCACATTGCAAAAAGTGTCAGGCAAAGGACATCAGTGGTTCAATGAGATAGCAAGCCAGAGCTCATTGATCCAGGCGCAAAAAAATTAGAATAACAACAGCTGTACTATGTACAGCATTATAGTTGTTAAACTATAAAGAACAGATACTACACTTGATCTTAGCCAAAAGGCCTGAGAGGATAAGCTTTCATCGAGTTTTCAAAGTAGACCGCCTTTTTATACTTTTTTTCTTGGATTCTATACTCCGCAGACTACGGTCCCGAGTCAATTTATCCCCCCCAAAAAAAAAAGGAGATGCGGGTCACTTTTTCTTTTTTTTTTTCTCCCTCCCTTTTTTGTCTCGATTAAATATTCCTCCAATGCATATTGATATTCTTTTTCTCTTTTTTTTTACCTTCTTTATTCTTTTTTTAACTCATGAAACAATTCTTGAACCATTTATCACTAACGACATTTTCACAAAATACTTGTGAACCTCATCATGATCCTTCTTCTTTTTACATTAGTCTCTTTTTATGTATTGGTTTAGTAGTATCTTATCTTCCACAGGTAAAAATAATAATAATAATAACCCCGAACAAAAATAGATTTAAGTGGCATAACTTTGACATTTTGTTTTTAGCATTATCGTATCATTGTCAATAAAACAAGTGAAGGTTTTAGTGCTTGGTTTTTACTTCTTGGTGTTGTATCTTCTACTTCTAGTTTATTCAATATTGTTTTATTACAATGGAAAGCTATTGTTTGTTGTCATTCTTTGGTAAGTTCTCCATTTTTAAAAAAAAAAAAAACGAAAGAAAAAAAAATATATGAACTTTTCTTTTTTTTGTTATCTATAGTCAACAGGTGCTTGCTTTGAAGGATTAATGGGTGTTTTCCAAATTGGATTACAATGGGCCATGTTTTCTCTAGTGTAAATAAAGTTAAAGAAGAAAAAAAAGAAATGATGATTATTCATAATTCTTTTTTTTTTATTAGATTCATCTTGTTTTTGTTATATTTTCCCGAAAATCGAAAACGTCAAGTTCATCGTCCAAATAGCTTACATTTAGATTTACCATCTACTCTTACAGATCCTATATCAGAAGAATGGAAAGTATCTCTGGTGATAGCTGCTCTTTGTCTTGGTCATCTTGCTCTGTCGTTTGTGATATCTGTGATGTTATTGATCTTTGTTGGTGGACCTGAGGATCATCATTTGACAAATTTATGGGCTGGCTTTTTAGGTGTATTTAGTATGATCTTGGCTGCTATGCAATATTTTCCTCAAATTTGGAAAACTTGGAAACGAAAATCTGTTGGTGCTCTTAGTATTCCTATGATGTTACTTCAAACACCAGGTAAAAAAAAAAAAGGGAAAAAAAAGACTGGAAACTCATCTGTTTCTGTGATAGGGACGGCTTTGTTTGTATACTCCTTGATGGTTAGACCTGGCACCAATTGGACAGCTTGGATTACATATATGGTGACAGGCATCTTACAAGGAACTTTATTGACATTGTGTATCATATGGCATTTCAAGAATAAACGGATGGGTGTCAGTGATTTGGATGGATTACCCGAACAAGTACATACCGATGAAAGAACTCGACTATTAGATGATGTTAACTAATTTAATAGTTAATCTTTTATTTTTATTTTTATTTATATTGTATTTTACATTATGATACTCTTTTGTTTTTATTTTCAAATCGAAATAAATTATTGTATATGACATTTGATATTTCAAATCGATTGGTTTCTTTTTCTAGATAGTATGACAGGATGGAACTAGAAAGAATAAATGATACAATATTTTACTTTTATTATTATTATATGTTGTCAATATATTCATAACAAATAGGAAAAATGGCATTTTGTTGGGGAAGGCCTTCTTCATAGATGCCCAAAACCTAGTTGCATCTAATCTCTTTCCTTTTTTTTTTTTTTTAGGGCCTGAACAATTGGGTCACCGCTGTTACTGTCTCGGGAAAAAATCAATCTCTTCCCCCTTTTTTTCTTTCCTATCTCTCTCTCTTTCTTTCTTTTTTAATACTATCTATCAAGTGATCAATTCCTTATGGCAACCTTGGTGGATGTGATATTTCTTGGTACAGGCAATTCCGGTTGTATTCCAAATGTATCTTGTTTGACGGATCCCAAGGCTGACTGCAAAGTATGTTTATCATCAATGACACCAGAAGGACGTAAGAATAAACGTCGAAATGTTTCTGTGGCTATACGTTTTCATAGCCACGGCGATCCTCCTGAAGCACGATTAAGGTAAGAAAAAGAACAGGCTCTTATTACAGGGAAAAGTTGATACAAAGGAAAAATAAGTTGTATTTGGACTCTTTATTTTCTCATCCAATCTTTCTTTTTTTTTTTTTTACATTCTTAATATTTAGAACTGTTCTTATCGATTGCGGAAAAACCTTCTATGGTGAGTCACTTCAAACAAATAGTTTCTTTCTAAAGGAAAAAAAAAAAAGGTATACTCACCCATTGTTATGTCCTTTTTCTTTGCCTTATTGTCTATTTTATGACCATAGAAAGCTCAATAGAACTCTTTTCAAAATACGGTATAAGAGAATTGGACGGCATTGTAGTGACTCACCCTCATGCAGATGCAATCTTCGGTTTAGACGATGCTCGAATGTTGACTCATGTAGTTCAAGATAAGGTAGATATATATCTGACTCAAGAGACTATGGACACCGTAGCAACCACTTTTCCATATCTTGTCAGTCCAACTCTTGCAACAGGTAACAACAATAACATATGTGTATAAGTCATTAAATTAGATATAACATTAGGTACTGATTTGAATGTCTTTTTTTTTTTTTTTTTTTTTTTTTTTTTTTTTAATGGGAAACAACATGTAGGTGGTGGTGATATTGCTAAATTCAAATACCATATATTCGACCCCACCAAATCTTTTGAAGTTCATGGATTGACATTTGATCCTTTACCAGGTAATCTAAAAAGATAGGCTAAAGAATATAATCTCTCATTTCATTACATTACTCACTCTCTCCCTCTTTTTTTTTTTTGATGCAAATCTTGTTAGTTCATCACGGTATTTACTTTACAACTCGTACACCTTATATTTGTCATGGTTTCCGATTCGATGATATTGTTTACCTTTCTGATACAAACTACATTCCTCCTGAAACAATGGCTGCCATCAAATCATTACCTTCTCGTATCTTGGTCTTGGATTGTTTAAGAAGTAAATCTGGAATACACGAATCGATTGTTTTTTCTAACTTTTTTTTTTTTAAATAGTGGGTGAATCTCATGCATCTCATTTTGGATTAGATGATGCGTTGAAAGCAACTAGGGAAATCAATGCATTTAAAACTTATTATGTTGGATTCAGTCATCGGATGGATCATTATTCCTTGGAAAAACAATTGAAACAACTTGAATCTATAGAAAACTTGCGTGTGGCTCCTGCCTTTGATGGATTGCATTTAGATTTGGCGTCAAAAACTAAACTTGTGGAATCATCTTATTTTACTGATACTATCGTTGTAGACTAGAATTTTTTTTTTTTAGGTTAGATTTACTATTGTTTACGTCATGAAAAGCAATCAATAAGACTTGTATTATATCATTTGTAATACCAATATATATTTGTGATTTTTTATTTTATTTTTGACTTTGGGATGATCGTGATGAAATGAGAGATGGAATGATGTACATATGTAGATACTACTACTGCTGTTACTACTACTGATAAGCATACTACAACTACATATCATCGACATAGGATAATTTATTAAATTTTGCCGATTCGCTTCGTTGCCCAAGGAGAAATTTGTTCTTGTTCAAAATATTCAGTAGAATCCATGTTTAACCGAAAATCAGAAGAAGAAGAAGAATGAGACCAAAGAATCAATCCATCATCAACTTTTCTTGCCAAAAAAAAAAAAAGGTAATTGTAGTTTAAAAGTGGACCTCGAAGCAACCTTTTTCAATATAGGCATTTTTCATTCGTTTTTCGATATCCATTTCCAAAGGCAATGCTTGATTAGTCTTGATATCACGGTAAATAAAAGGAAGTCGTAATACATAGATCCCATTTCTAGGCAAAATCAATGGTGCATCAATACCAAGATCATAATCTACAGACTCGTCCGTATCAGGTAATTTGATCTATATCATAAAAAAAAAAAAAAAGAAAGTAAATATTTGATTTATTTGATTGATACAACTTTCTTTTTAAATGTTAAATATATACCTTGATATTTGGTTTCATAGTGATTTCAACATTGGCGTCGGGAGTCACCACATAAAAACGCTGTAACTGAGCAAGTTTGTCAGGATTCATTTTATTATGACCATAATCAGCAAAGTTGCAGGGGCATAATGCATACAATGGAAGATCTTGATGAATAAAATGGTTTCCATGTCCCTAAAAAAAAGAAGAATCGAGTCGATCAATGTTAAAAAATAAAAAAAAATAAAAAAATAAAAATAAAAATACCTTTGGATGACCTTTGTGACCTAGCTTACAAACTCTACCGTCACCACAGCTAAGGAAGCGATGACCTTGAGGACATTCATATTCTGCACCAAGAAATCCACGGATTTGACCTTCTAAGCGATAACTACGTTTCCCATCTCGTCGTCGTCTTTCTTTCCTTCGCTCGTCTTTGCTTGATTTCGATGGTGTTGTTGTTGCGATTGACTCTGTTGGATTTGTTGAGCTGGATGTGGTAATTGTTGTTATTGTTGAACTTAAATTTGGTACAATAGGTGCTGTCTTTGTGGTATGGAGAGAGGGAAAGCTTTCCATGGATACCGCAGTCGCCGTTACAGGAGGTTTGGAAATTGGCACTAAAGAAAATAAAATAATCTTAGATATCAACTTTTTTTTTCTTTTCTTAGCATATATATATATATATATAAATTACCCTCAACGTTTTTCCCAAGAGCGGGCCATTCATTCTTGGATGCTGTTGTATTTCTTTTTTGTTCTGTAACTTCCTTGTTGGTAATAGATGGTTCTGATTTGGCCGCCTTTGCTTCAAGTTCTGATACTGTAGTAAGATTCCAAGGTAATAAATAGTTTGTATTTTCGGTATAGCCTTCATAACGTTCTAATCCCACTGTATTCCGATATGCAGATGCGGGTCCAATGTAAAGTAATACAGCATCACTATGAGGTAGAGTATCTTCGTTATAAACCAATTGTTGTTGAATACCAAAAGTAGAAGCGTCCAGATCAATTGCTTTATGTTCATCAGCCAGACAACAAGCGAATTTTTCATAGAACCAATAATTGGCAACCTAATAATAATCATAATAATAACAAAAAAAAGAAAGAACGAAAATATTAAAAAAAAAAGCTTCCCAACATATATTGTTTTTGAATCAGTATCGCTTTTCGAGTTCTACCTCAATATCAAATGGATCTTCTCTAATTTTTCGAGACCGTCCACATGTGCAAGCATGATTGAAAGAGTATCCAGAGCTATGTGCTTTCGTGTCGGTGATAAGTAATCGATCATCCCTTGTGACAGTTTTGTGATTGTCATCCTCTTCATCCTTACTTTCTTCCACCTTATCATGTCCATCCTATGAAAAAAAAATTAGTTCATGAGAATAAATCAAAAATTTCTAATACAATATTACCTTGAGTCTACAGACTTTTCCAGTCAAACTGATGGCTTCACAACTTTGTCGACCTTGTTTCCAGATAATTTCACATTCACGTTCCAGTCGAGTAGCAAATTCGAGAGCAGATGGACCACGAGATAAAGAATTGTAAAGTCGTAAAACATTTTGGCTCTAGAATAGGAGAAAAGAAAAAAAAGAATGAGATGACGATCTTGTGATCAGTATATCATTTAATACATAGATATCTGGATATTTACCTTGAGCAAATGATATTGTTGAGTATAATAAGGTGGTGAATCTTGAATATAGGCGTCGATACATTTTTGCATGATAGCTTGTGAATGACTAAAAAGAAGACAATGACATAAATAAGAATTCTAACACATATTCAATATATGTATATAAACTTTTTTTTTTTTTTTTTTTTTTACCTTCGTGAAAAAACTCTTTCCACCTCTACCGTATTCTTGATTTTCTTGCGTAAAATAACTTCAATTTGTTGTACCATACCTTTCGTACTACGGTTATCAGTCATGATCTGTTTTCGGAAGTCATCATGTTTTGCATCATCACCATAACGATGTCCATAAATAAGAGACAAAAGAGGAACCAGTGCTGAGAAGAATTGTAGCGCGGTTGGTAAAGGTACATTGGTTTGTTTGACTTCATGTCTTCGGTTGGACGCTTGAGATAACACCTGTAGATGCATAGGGTTCCTTGATTTCGCTGTCTTGATCCAATGGCTGATAAATTGACATAAAAGTTTGTTTCCATAATCTTCCAACATATTTGCTACTTGTATTTTGTTGTTTCTTTTTCCATTGGATTTTACTGTCGTTATAGAGGAATCTTGCAATTGATTAATCGTGTCAGATTGAGTAATCGTATCTGCAAAGTAATCTATTTTGGAGAGATAAGTGTCGATATCCAATTGTGATGGATCTTCAAACGAATATTGTTGTTCTTGATCATCTGATCGAAGGGTTGATGGTATTTCAGGAATCATATGCAGAAAGGGAAATTGATCTTGAGGAAGGCAGAATAAGGACCTAATAATATACACACAAAACATATATCAGATCACTTCAAAAAAAATAATAATATCACTCTATACTTACTTAAACTCTAGATTATTATGACTAGCGTTATTGTCAGAGGGTATCGGTATAAGACGAATGGATCGAAGTAAGTGTCTCATTTTTGCCTGTAATGACTCTTGTAATTTCTTCATAAACACTGGTAAATGAGATCGGTTCGTGTTCTCTACATTTGGAATTGGTATCTTGTAAAAGAAAAAAAAATAACATTTCCATTAATAATCAAATGCCAAAGAACACATATATTTTCCGTTACTTACTTTTGTCAAGATAAAAACCATAAGTGGTACACCTTTTGCAGGACCCCACCAACCGGTCACTTGAGCATTCAATCGTTCTCTTTCACGTCTACTTTCCGCTTCCTTCTTTTCAAATATCGAGAGAGGTACTGATATATCCCAATGTTTCCAACAGTGCGTTTGAAATTGAGCTAAATGAGTATATATTCCGTATTTTGCTTGTCCAAGAGTTGACATGGTGGAGAGTAGTTCAGAAGTAAGCATAGATGAAGGTAAAATCGGCTAGTTCAAAAAAAAAAAAAAAAAAAAGAAGAAGAAGAGAGAATGTCAATATCAGTTTCACTGGAGTACTGATTCTACTTACAATAACCAAATGAGATAAAAGAAGCATTAAAAGAAAGCCACGCATTGTAGCTGCTTGATAACCGGTCATCGCCTTCTGAACTATCTATTATAAAAAGAAGAAGCTATTGGTTAATATAGAATCCGAACAAGTTACACTTTAAGAAGAAGAAGAAGAAGACTCACTTTTGCAGCGGCTTCCGATTCATTGTTGGTAGAATGAGATGAGGAAAGTCCAGAAGTCAAAGTTGTTAGATGTATAGTAGCATCCATATATAAATATCCAATGTTGGTATCCTTGTCAATATATAATTGAAGATCATCAGTGACCTAGTATATTGACATAAAAGAAGAAGAATGAGAGAGAAAAAAAAAAAAAAGAAAGAAATCAGTCAAACTTGGTATCTTTTGAAAGATTACAAAAATCAAAATAACGTTACCGAAAGAGTCCCTGGTTTTATTTGCTATATATAAAAAAAAGATCATATATTCTGTTAGTTGTATATCACTTTTATTTTCTTTTAGTGTCATTTGCGTACTTCATTTTTGGCTACAAACACGTCCTTCCCTACAATGGTGTTTGCTATGGTATCTGAGGAGTATGAGGTTCCGTAAGTGGTAGATCCAAGTCCAGGACTACCAAAGATGGAAACAATAGTAAGATTTGTCTGTTCAATTAGTTTTGTTTCCTTCAAAAGTCGATTGATCTCATCCATCCAAGTCGGGTGATATATATATATATATATGAATAAAGAAGAATAAAAAGAAAAGAAATAAAAAAGAATAAAAAAAAAAACCACTCAAAGGCAGATGCCCTTTGGATTGATATCCCCATATTTTTCAAGTACCGCATTATTCTAGGTCGGGCGAAGTGTCTCTAAACGCGACACGCCTCTAATTTTTTTTTTCTTCTTTTTTCTTTTTTCTAATACTTCAGTATTCTTTTTGTCCTGTTTGTACCTTTGTATCCATGTATATCAAACAGGTATATTGAACTATTATATGAATATTAAAAACTCTTTCTTTTATTCCTTCTAGTGAACTAATCTTGTATTCATTTACATGTAGATTACTATTCAAGGATTCAAGTCTTACAAAGACCAAACAACTTTTGATCCTTTTAGTCCTCATCATAATGTCATTGGTAACAATATCAAGCACGTGTAAAATTGATAATGATCTAAATACATTATCTTTATTTTAGTGGGACGCAACGGATCCGGGAAAAGTAACTTTTTCTCAGGTACATTTTGTCTTTGTTTTATATAGTTATGTAATAATATTGACTCACTCTGTTTCTTTATTTTTTTCAAAAAAAAAAAAAGCTATTCGTTTTGTGTTAGGTGATGCTTATACAAGTCTTAGCAAAGAAGACCGTCAAGCACTTTTACACGTAAGTCAAAATAGAAAAAAAAAAAAAGGTAAGTGTTTGGGGGTATTTATCATGCTTTTATTTGGTTATTATAGGATGGTGTTGGGGCTGCTACCATATCTGCTTATGTAGAAATCACTCTAGATAATACGGACAATCGACTACCTGTAAGTATTCATATATATCTTTCTTGTTTTCCTTTTTACTCATTATACGCACTTCGATATATATATATATATATATATAGATTGACAAAGCTGAAGTCACATTACGAAGAAGTATTGGATTATCATTGGATGAATACTCGATGGATGGAAAAGCTATCACGTAAGTATGATACATATATAGGATTGGAAATATATTCAAATAGTTACTTCATTCGCTATCATTTAGGAAATCCGATGTCAAAAATTTGTTTGAAAGTATTGGTCTTTCTAGTGCAAACCCTTATTTTGTTGTACCACAAGGAAAAGTATGTACCTACTCCTCTATATCTTATATCTGACTGTTTTATTTTTTTTTTTTTTTGTAGATAAACGCGTTAACAGTTGCTAAAGATAAGGATCGACTAGAACTTCTCAAAGATATTGCTGGTACTAGTGTTTATGAAGAAAAACGAAAAGAAAGTACAAATGTTATGCAAGAAACAGGTACCAACAAACAAATAGTAATCATAAAAATTGGATGATAACACTGACCCTTCAAATTCTTTTTTTTTTTTTCGTATTAGACACCAAACGTGCCAAGATCGGGGAAGTGCTCGAATACATACAAGATCGTCTTAATCAACTTGAAGAAGAAAAGGATGAGTTATCACAGTTCCAAACAGTAGATCGCGATCGACGTTCTTTAGAGTACACCATCTATGCTCGTGAACAAAGTGACACAAATGATAAGCTAGAGGAATTGGAAAATACCCGTCGACAGGATTTGGAAATTCGTGACTCAAAACGTGATGATTACAATGATAATGAATCCTCTCTTAATGTAAGTATAAATATCAACGAATGAATATAAAAAAAAACACTTATATACATTTATATCAATATTAGCAATTGGAAATCAAAATGCGGGATCTTACTCAGTCAATTCAAGCTCATGAAATGGATAAGAACGAACTACAAGATGAACTAGAAGATCTCATGAAGCTACGAACTCAATTGGAATTGCAAATCAAAGACTTGGAAGACGATCAACTTTCAGAATCTGATCTTAAGGTAATAATAACAATAATAAATGGAATAAATTATACTTACACTTAATTCTGGATTTCTTATGTATATAGGATAAGATAGCCACACAAATAGATCAACTCAATAGCGAGATTATCAATAAAGAACAACATATAGCTGAAATCAACCCTCGTTATCAAGATCTACTGAAATCGGACAAATCTTTAAGAGAACAGTAAGCGGGTTAATATATATATATATATGATTGAGCATATCTCTGAATTTAACGACATTGTATAATTTTCATAGATTGGATACACTCAAGATTCAATTGGAAGGTTTATATGCCAAACAAGCCCGTCTTTCTCAATTTGGAAGCCGTAATGAACGTGATCAGTGGTTACAAAGTCAAATCGGGGAACTTTCATCACTCTTCAATGATCTTGAACAAAAAGTAAGGATAATCCATTTATTTATTCACTGATACTTTTTTTTCTCACTTTTTCCTTTTTTTTTTGGATCATAGGCTCAAACATTGATGGATGAAAAGGAAGCTGCCAAGGAACATTTATTACAGAAAACTCAACAAATTCAAGACATTCAAGACAAGGTCACTGAACAACGATCTACAAAGGAAAAGCTTTTAGAGGAAGAAGCTCAACTCAAACAAGAACGGGATCAACTAACAGAGTCAAGAAAGTAAGCATTTAACGAACATCAATTTTTTTTATATGCTCATCAATCGTGATGTTTCTTTGTAGAACCTTGTGGCGTGAAGAAGCTGGCCTCGATACTGTTGTTCTCAATTGCAAAAATGAAATCCACAAGGCAGAACGTGCATTATCTGGATCTATGGACAAGGTAATGATATATATATATATTCGTCATTTAATATTTACCATTTGTATGATATAGAACACTAGTATTGGACTTGCTACTATTAGTCGAATTACAAAAGAGCACAATATTCAAGGTGTCTTTGGACCTTTATATGAACTTTTTGAAGTGGATGATCGATTCAAAACTGCTGTTGAAGTAGCTGCTGGAGCAAGGTACTGATGAAAAGAATAAATCATGAGTATCAACGTACTAACAAGCTATCCATAGTATCTTCCAAGTAGTAGTGGATACAGACGATACTGCAACCAAATTACTGGAAACAATGAATGCTGAAAAAGGAGGCCGTGCTACTTTTATTCCTCTGAATCGTGTCAAATCTACGCCTATAGAATATCCCACAGCCAATGATGCCATTCCATTGATTGAAAAGCTTCAATTTGATCCCAAATATCGAAAAGCATTTGAACAGGTAACAAAAAAAAAAAGGTGGAATAAGGAGAAGAAAGTTGTGGATTCATTCTTGAGATTTATTTATGTTTAATAATCCTATAGATATTTGCCCGGATTATAGTTTGTCCCAACCTTGACGTCGCAGCCAATTATGCCAAATCGCGTGGATTTACAGTAGTGACTCTGAATGGTGACCGGGTGGATGGAAGAGGTGCTTTCTCTGGTGGATACACTGATTTTCGACATTCAAGATTAGAATCTGCCAGGACATTGAAGACTCAACGTGAAGCTTTGGAACATCATCTTACTCGTGGAAAAACTATCAAGACAGAAGTGGAAACATTAAATCAACAAGTGACACAAATATTGAGTTCACTGCAGCTGGTGGAAACTAAGAAGAAGAAAATTCAAGTCCAAGAAGCACCTGCAGAATTGATCAGCCGATTAAGAAAGGAAGAAGATTATTTCAACAAAATGATCCAATCCAAGGTAAGACTAAAAGAAAAAAAAAGTAAAATAATGATCATGTACTTATATTGGACATCATATATCTATTTTTATTACTTGTACAGGATGTCTCGTTAGAAGAAGTACAGACAAGTATCTCTCATTTGAAGCAACAAATAGCAAGTTATGAGTTGGAATTACAATCAGAACCTACACAATCCTTATCAGTAGAAGAACAGGCGCTTGTAGTTAATACTCGATCTAGTATGGAAGAAATCCGACAACAACTATCTCAAATTAGTGAGGCCAAAATGACGGTAAGAAAAAAGAAGAATAAGAAAAAAAAAAAAAAAGGAAATCGAATGTGTATTATGTGGGATTTATAATACAAACATCTTATATCTCTTTATTTTTTTTTCTTGGTTTGTATAGGTGGAGAAAGAAATCAATGGTTTGAAGGATATGTTGGAAAATGATTTGAAGCGACGATTGGATAGATTACTGAATAGACGAAACCATATCAATGCCGATACATCATCTGAAGAATTAACTCAACGAACTAAAGAACACAAGGCAGTTGTACGAAAACTGGGTAGATTAACAAAACGAATCACTGGTAAGAAGGATATGATCCATTGGGTTCATGAAATAAAGATAAATATTAGAAAGCTGATCTTATTTATTTTAAATTAGAATTGGATACTGAAATCGACAATGAACAGGAACAAATTGAACGACTCAAGGAAGAATTTGATGAACTTCATGTAAGTAACAAAAAAAAAATATTATAGAAGTGTCTTTAATTCTTGTTTAATACCTATGAACAGACCATACAAATGAATTTGGCACATGATATCAAGAAATTGGAGAAACACCTTGAACGTTATCTATACCGACGATCTATTTTACACCAAAAGAAAGAAGAATGTAATGCCAATATTCGTGATTTAGGTGTATTACCGGATGATGCCTACGACAAATTTACAGGATTGACAGTGGAAAAGGTAAAAAAAAAAAAAAAAAAAAAAAAAAAAAAAAAAAAAAATACATATGAAGTAAAATGGAACTAACTTTTTTTTTATGCAACGGTAGCTACTTCGACGATTACACAAAGCTAATGAAAGTTTGAAGAAATACAGCCATGTGAACAAGAAGGCATTTGAACAGTATACACGGTTTACCAAGCAACGGGATCAACTTATCACTCGTAAATCTGAACTGGACAATTCTGCCTTGGTAAGACATCAAAAAAAAAAAAAATGGTATACTATAACTGATATGTTCAATTTTTTTTTTAAAAAAAAAAGGCCATCCGTGCATTGATTGATTCTTTGGATAGAAGAAAGAATGAAGCTATTGAACGTACATTCAATGAGGTAGCCGCCAACTTTACGGAGGTATTTGAAACTTTGGTTCCTGCAGGTCATGGTGAATTAGTGATGGATCGATTATTACAAGTAAGAAAAGTAGTGGAACTGAATGAATGATAGAGAGAGAGACAATCTTAGTGACTAATTAAATATTTATTTTGTACGCATAGACAGCTGATGATGATGTAATGGATATGGATGAAAGTAGTACTCCAAAAATGGTCGAAAGGTATACTGGTATTGCCATCAAGGTATGAATTTTATATATATATATATATATATATATATATATATATATATGTGTGTGTGTGTGTGTGTGTGTGTGTGCTGGGAAGAGGGGAAAAAAATCGTTCTATTATATATTGATCATCACCTCTATTCTTATTATTATTATTAGGTGTCATTCAATAGTCAGTCAGATGAAGGGATGATTATGCAACAGCTTTCCGGTGGACAGAAATCACTTGTAGCCTTGGCACTTATTTTTGCTATTCAAAAATGCGACCCAGCACCGTTTTATTTATTTGATGAAATCGATGCTAATTTAGATATGCAATATCGTACGGCGGTGGCTGAAATGATCCATTCTCTTTCTAAACAAGCTCAATTCATCACTACCACTTTCCGACCTGAACTCTTAGCCGAAGCCGACAAATTTTATGGTGTCACATTCCAAAATAAGGTGTCACGCATTCATGCTATTGCCAAAGAATATGCATTGGGTTTTGTGGAAGAAGTAAGTCCAAAAAAGGGTAGGGATGAAAAAGGTTAGAGTTCTGACCATTTTAATTTCTTATCTATCGTTAGGAACAAGCACACTAGAATAGAAATCATGTTATCATCATTTGGTTTGACCTTAATCCTCATACAAAATACACGCACAGAGTATACTATTCCATTATTGATCTTTTTTTTTTTTGATATGTCTGAAAAAATAAAGGGGTTATTTGTCCTTTTATATATTTTTATTGATTGGTTGAAAATGAAGTATAAACAAAAATAAAAACAAGTCATTGTTGATATTGAGATGATGATGATAGGGAGGTGGTGGCACATTCAACATGGAATGACCATAGGATATATGTATAATTGAGGAGAGTGGGAATAAGGAGATGATGATAGAGCAGGGGAGTGATGTTAAATGAAAAAAAAAAAAAAAAAAAAAAAAAAAAAAACAGAGATAAATAGATATGTATAAAGATATAGATATATAAAACTAGAACTAAGACTGAAGAGAACAAAAAAAAAGAACATAACAAAGTAAGAATAGTAATAATAATAATAATAAATAAGGAGAAACGACTATTGATTAGGCTGTGTAATCATGATGATAATAATACTGAGAAAAAAAAAATAGGGAGTTTTTCATGAGGAAGTAGACCAAGACCAATCCAATAGAGCCAAAAGCTTGTCGTTTTCGGAGGGGATAGCCAGTAGGAATTGAGTGCGAGTAGTGTCTGTATGTATATGTTGTGATGAAGGTGGAGACTCAGATGTAGGAGGTATATGTGAAGTAGTAGTAGAAGAAGAAGAAGAAGAATTGGCTGTAGTAGAATAAAGAAAAGGTGAATGAAGAGTAGTTGAATGAAGAGAAGGAGGTAATGAGGGTAAAGGTGGAGGAGGAGGAATCGATTCAGAGTCCATATCTTCATCAAGTTGATCAAAGCAAGCATCCAGCCAGATCTGTTCCTTTTCCTTTTCTTGTTCCAAGCCAATAATATAAGTCGTCAACAATGCATTCCGAATCAATACCTTTTTCCGTAACATGGTCTCTTCTGGCGCGTTTTCTTGTTGATAGAGTTTATACAATGACAGTTGTGCAATTGGATCCATGTCATAAAAGTTCGTCCAATAGATATAATGAGAATTACTTATTGTTGTACTTGTTGTTGTGGTTGACATTAGAAATAGTACATCATGGTCAGACCCAGTTGAAGAATGGGATAAAATAATATATATAGAGATATAGAAAGTAAAGAGGTATAGTGATAGAAAATCAATTCCCCTTTATTGACTTGTCCCCCCTTTATTAAAAAAGAGAAAGAAAGAAAGAAAGAAAGAAAGAAAAAGAAAAGAGATAATGCCTTTTTTTTTGGGTCCACGCCTACTGACCCCCTGAATTTTTTTTTTTTTTGTCTATCTAATTTAGGGTTTTCCCTTCGCGTAATTTCTTTTTCATTTCATTGGACACAAGTAAAGATACAACACACATGACTTTACCCTTTTTTGATCTACAAACATCTTACCAGGTGAGACATCACAAATAATAGAAATTTGAATTTTGTTTTTTAATGAAGATAATAAATGCACAATGTGTAAAGAAAAAAAAAAAAAAAAAGAGAGATGCATAAATAGATGTATAAACTAGATTATCAAGGGATGATGATCACAAAAAATATATATATATAAGAGTAAACTATACAAAAAAAAAAAAAAGGAATGCAGGAAAAAGTAAAATCAAATATATGTACTAATCCATTTTCAAAAGAACCACTGATAACTAACTACTAAAACTAAAACTAGGACAATACATACAACTATTCGCATAAAGTAGGGTAACCTTGATTCTATTGTTAATGTTTTGGTTGTTCTATCTTCGACTACCGATGTTATTGATTTCATATCAGAATTAGATATCAATCCAAGTTCCGATAAACAGTTGTAGAGTTCACTTGTCAAAAACTTGATTTTTTCTTGATGTTCCAAGACTTGATATGTATGCTTCAGTTGTGTCAATTGATCCTGCATATTTTGTTCCATGCGTTGTCGTTGTTCACTGACATAATGAGCCATCCGTAATTGGACACTTCGGCGCTGCTTGGCTTTCAATTCTTGAATCTTTTCTGCTATTTCCCTGGTTGCAAGCTTTTGAGTGGTATTTTCCAAATCCAACATTAATGTACTGTTATCGTTTATTTCTGTCAATGATGGTCGATGATGATGGTGATGATGATGATGATGTCGATGATGATTGCTATTGTTTCTTGTAGAATTGACTGATAATGGTGATGTTGCTGATGCTACTGATGCTGACGATGATGATGATGATGATACTGGTACGGACAAAGAGGATGCTGAAATTGGTACTGTTGTTGGTGTAGTTGTATAAGTTTCTACTGGTAATGTTGATGAGATTTGTTGTCGATAATATTGTTGAATATTGGTCTGTTCCCGTCGCCAAGTCACAAACTTTTCTACTGTCAAATGCCTCAGCTGATCCACATGCGTATAAAATAAGACTTGCTTGAGATGCATTAATTTTGAATAACAAGTTGCAGACAAGAGTCGATGGTGTAGAGATTGAGTGGTATCCATTTTATGGTCGTAATTGCTGGTCTTAAGTTTTGTACTAATAGCAAAAGGGGGTACATCAAGATCGCCTTGCTGACAAAGTGCTAACAGTTGTTCAAACGTAAATCCACATTGATAAAACTGGATGCCATTCGCTTCAAGTTCTTTTAATACTGCATATTTCAATTTCTGTTCCTGTTCACGCGATAATAAATCTGTCTTGACAATCACTGGGATCACGTTACATAGTTGATGGATCGATCGTAAATATTCAATATCCACTCGTTTGACTCTATCCAATATCAAATAAAGACAAATGTCGACATGAGTATGACCACCATGTTGATTATGTAGTAGCTGTTTCATCCGTGATGTCGTTGGTTTTGTGGGTGATAATAAGTCGTTGGTAAGTTGGAATTGTCGTTCAAGGTATTTTGTAGTTGATCGAATCACTGATTTCGCCTATTATCCAATAAAAAAAAAAGAAAAGAAAAGAAAAGAAACACTATAAATATTTTATATATATGTATATTTCCATTTGCCGAAATAGAAGAAGAAAAAAAAAAAAAAACTTACATCTACAAATGCACCATAGCCAGGTGTATCAATAAAGCGAATATTCTTGATCAAATATGAGTTTTCTTGTGATAATTGTTGATATCCTTCAGGATGTTGATACCACGGTGGTAATAACATAGTGCTTGCATACCATTCCTTGATACTATTTGTAACGTTTTTTTCTTCTTTTAACGCTGGTATATCCATCACAGTACTATCAGATTCTTTCATTGTTGTATCGATGGATGTAGGCTCAGATGTTGTGAATAATTGTCCACCAATAACTTCTGGTATCATTGTAAATGCGTTGATTAGACCTGATTTGCCAATACCTATGAAACCGTCAAGAATAAAAAAAAAAAAAAAAAAAAAAAAAAAAGAAAGGTCAGCAGATGACAAATATGTGCTCTATTTTCTTCAATTCTATTTTTACCTGAATCACCACATACCATGATAGAAAGATATCCAATGTTCTGCCCATAAGATTTTCTTGATGTATCCACTTGAATGCCATTGTTGTCGTCGTCGTTGTTGTTACTGTTGTTGTTGTTTTGGTTCAATTTTGAAAAATGAGAATTATAGGATCTGATGTTGACTTTTGGTACCACTAGCTCGTTATTGCTATCGATCATACCTGATTGCCACGTTGTTGAATCATCATCATCGTAGGAATCATGAGTCTGATCATCCCTGTATTGTCGATGGTGGTGGCGATGATAACGGTCGGATGTTGTGTCACCTGTCAAATGGGAGTAGGAATAACTGTCATTTGTATCATTATCGTCATCATCGTTGTTCATGTCGGAAGTGATATTCGACCTTGGTTGGTGAAGTGTATCCATTGAAGTATCAGATAACATATTGGAAAAATGCTTGTAAGAATAAGGAAGAATATTCGTATTGTTGGAGAAACGAAATGGTTGATTCGTGCTATCGTCATTGTTCTCAGTAAGTGCTGTAGACGATTTGGAGGTAGTAGATAATAATAATGTTGTCAAAGCATCATACTGTGTTCCAGGTGTAGGAGTTCGTAACAAGTCTTCGTTTATGCTTTTGACCCCATAATCATCGGAAGAGTCCAACGTCATTATCCTTGTTGATTTGTCTGTTTGCTGTGTTAGTCCTTCATGTTTGGGTACAATTTTCTGTTGTTGTTGTTGTTGTTGTTGTTCTTGTTGTTGCTGTTGTAGCTGCTGCGGTGTGTGTTTGTTGTCGTCCATGGGTGTTACGCTAGTCGACATTGGAACGCCAAGAGAATGGAGGATAGGAATCCAATATAATAAGGAAAAGAACAAGAGGATATAATGATAAGAAAGATTAGGAGACTAATAGAAGAAGAAGTAAAAAAAAAAAAAAAATGTAAGCGGAAAGAAAGAGAGAAAAAAAATGGTAAAGATAACTGGTTTTTTTATGCTCAAAATCGATTGGCAGATGATTGCAGTGATAAAACAGTATAATGGAAAAAAAAAAGATGAATTCAACAAAATGATCAACATTTTATATATGATATCAAAACAATTCTAAACTACAATAAAAAAAATAAATAGTATATATCTAAATCATCCAGAAAAAAAAAAGTTCTATTTTATTGAATGTTTTCCTTGATCTTTTCCCATGCTTGTTTTGCCTTGCCAGAGTAATCGGTATTGACCAGATTATGAGCTACTTGTGTCACTTGACTATTCCAAGAATGCTTCACTATATATAAAATATATGAGTCAAGTTTTTCCATTGAATTTATCCATTTATATATATATATATATATATCTATTTATTACCTGAAGGTACAAGTCGATTGGTTACATAGTTTTTCGAATCATCGATCAAAGTGAAAGGAGGTAAAATGGATTGGTGAGGAGTATCGATCAAAGACTTTGTAGAAGTCGAAGAAGTGACATTATCAAGAGTTTTTCGAGCTGCTTGTAAACGTTGTTGAAGTTCATTGGTATCTTTTAACAAGTCATCACGGAACTTGTATGTAACAGCTGAGATAATAACAACACCGGCAAGTAAGGGAACTGTTCGGGGCATGGTTGAATGAAGATAGATGTATGAAAATATATATTTAAAAAAAAAATAAGAAAAAGAAAGTGTTTGTTTTTTTTTTTTTTTTTTGTGTGTTTTTTTTTGTTTTTTTTGAAGGCGGGATTCAAAATATCTTCTGAAAAAGGGTACAAAAAACAAAGGTACAATCATTTTTCTTATGAGACTTTTATTATTTTTGACAATCATATGTTATATAATATAAAAAAAAATGAGAATCTACAACTCTATCTAGTAGGGAGAGGAGGGAATAATAAAACTAAACACAGATTTGATCCAGATAACTTTGAGCATGAACCAACATATTTTCTCCATGACAAATAGTACCAATATGACCATCTGGACGAACCAATACTAAAGTTGGACCAATAGATTCCTTTCCTTCACATCCATAATCACGATGACATTGTGCTCTATTCAATTTATCAATGACAATATGCTCCAGTAAATCATTATTGTTATTATTAGACATATCCATAATGTTGCTAAGTCCATCCGTAATCGTAGTTGTCACAATAGTACATACTACATCCGAACCAAGTCGAGTGCGAGCTGAAGATTGAGTCCATTGATGAACCTTTTCTACTTGTTGCAAAGTCTCTGATGAGGAGATATCATGTGCTAATATCAAGACAGCAAATGTCCTCCAATCTATTCCATCAAATAATCTTGTCTTTTTCCCAGTAGTAGCCTTGATTACTTTGGCATTCGGAGCACGAGCACCAATCATTGATCGACCATCCTTTTTTTGCTGCCCATTTTCTTGTGATATAAGTGGATTCAAGTTTTCACCATTATTCGACAATACAGGAGGATAATATATACCAAAACCAGAGGTGAATAATCGATTTTGTTGCACAATTTCACAATAAATATCTGATTCATGACTTGCTGCAGATTTAGCAGCCACTTTGTCAATGTCCAATACTTGCTTTGCTACAGGATATCGTTCCATTGTATAAGTTTGTAAAATCTTTCTATCAAGTACTCCACGTTCAACCAGGCACAATTTCCATAGCTTTTCATTAAAAAAAAAAAGAAAGAAAAAGGTGAGTATCCAAGTAATAAAGAAGTAGTTTCTATTTTTATTTTAAACTTTTTTTTTTTTTACCAAATTAAAAACATCACCAAATCCTGTATTGATTCCTTGACCCAAAGTAGGACTTTGACAATGAGCAGCATCACCAAGTAAAAAGACCCTTTGATTCATTCCATCCATTGCCGTTGCTTGACGTTGACCAACTATATAAGTGGACCAGTATAAAGTGCCCACGAATTCCAATCTGTAAGGCATCAGCGCCCGCTTTGCTTCACGTTGAATATCCTCCATTTGAATATTATTACGATTGTGTTGTTCCCTTCGAAGTGCATTTTCATTTTCACTAAAGTGAACAAAGATCCGAGTCAAGTCATTTTCTCTAGGGAATAAGCTAACTGTTTTGGAAGTATCTCCTTGAAGTAAACTAAAAAAAAAAAAAAAAAAGTTAGAACTGGATTATATATGTTCACGTAATATTTATTCATATCTTTCATCATCTTACCAAAATTCCTTCTTTCCAGGAAAGTTTGTACGAATCAAAGCATCCATGACACCTCCGCAAATTTCGGTACTTGCACCATCATACACAATACCCAATTGTTCACGTATGCTACTATGAGCTCCATCACAACCAAGAATATATTTGCATTCCACTTGTTCTGTAACTTGATCATGAAGATTGGAAACAGTCGCTATCAGAGGATGGGTAGCCTTATTTTCACCTAGTGTATTTTCTTGCATATGGGTGACGGTACACGGTCTTTCTACTTGAACTTCATGACGAGACAAATGACTTTGTAGACTTGATTCAGTAATATGTTGACCAACACAAAGAAGATATCTAGAATAAATAAATAAAAAGAAGGTAATTTTAATGACATGGTTCCTTTTTTTTTTATTTTTTTTTTATTTCGTCATTGCTTACTGATATTTTGAATCCACATGATCAGGAACAAAAGAAGTTGATTGAATCAGTTTTGTATTGTTATAAGTATTGAGTTTGTTTACACGAGCCCCACTTGTTAAAAGTTCTTCTTCCAATCCAGCACGTTCTAATAATTCCATTGTTCTACCATGCATATTATCCCCTCTACCCCAATGATTAGGAACAAATTCTACATCTAAAGAAAAGTAAAAGAAAAAGAAAAAGAGAGTGAGAAAAAGAATGATGATATTAATAAATGACTTGCCTAAAATACGAAGAGTGAAATCGGATTGTCGAAGCAAGGATGCTGCTAATAAACCAACAGGACCAGCACCTACAATCAAAACATCAACCACCTTGGATGGTGGAGGAGGTAACGGAATATCATTATGAGGTGGCATGTTTATTTTTTTTTCTATTTTGTGGTAGAAATATAATAAATTGTTTGTATATATAATAAAATAGTAAAAGAGAAGGGAAAAAGAGAAATATAGAAACGAAAACTAATATTTATTTTATTTAGCATGAAAAATTTGCTGTGTTTGAATTCCATGAATCTCAAAAAGATGGCATGATTTTTTTTTGAGTCATAGAAATGGCATGTCCCTGAGAAAACTAAATTGAACTAACCCAGATCATCACCCCACTGTTGCATATATATATATCGTTCCGAAGGATAAATGAATAAATAAAAAAAGAAAGATTTTTCTGATACTTTATTTCAAATAATATAACAAAAACAGTAATGCACAATGGAGTAAGTGGTTGGATATTTAAAAAAAAAAAAATTTCAATTGAGGTAAAACGATAAGGGTAAAGGAGAAACTAAAGAAGGGGTATCTAAAGACAAGAGTTGATTCAATACAATTTCCACACCCAAGAAGAAGACGCGCCATACTCGAGAAATATAAATAATACATCGCCCAAAATTGATAGTAACAGTTGTATAATGATGATTATCCTTCTTCTTAATAGAGTATTGCTGATGACTTGCTTTGTTGTTGTAATCCATTTTCGTTACCATAGATTCAGCCACCTCCGCTACTAAATAAGCTGCTTCCACAAATCGCTGTGATAAAAACCATATACTGGTGTACCCATTGCCGCCACGAAAGTGTCTGTTTGTCGCTGGTTTTATTTTTTAAACTTGTCGCAGAACTGTCAATAGTTTGTGTTGCCGTTGATACTTGATTATTCTTACTGTATTCCTGACAAGGTGTTGAATCAATACAGGTTTGTTGGTCATCATTTATTTCCATCATTATCGACGAAGGTCGGCGTTGAAAAGTCGTATGTTCCACAGCTTGGCAACATTGCACAGTTGCTGATGTTGAGGATATTGATTTCTCCGAGGCATCATCATAAGAGAGGAAAAAGTGGTCATCCTTTTGTTGATCTTCATCACACGCCATAATTGTTTCTTCGTGTTCATCGTTATCATCTTCGCCGCTGTCATCATCGTCGGTATTGCCCAAATCATTCGTTGTCGCATCATTGACAACGCGTAGCAGAAAAGTAGGTTCATATCGCATCCATAGGTCTTCATCCAATGTATATTTTGTATCATCTATCCTATTCTTGTACGTTTGAATATAATGATGATCGCCCGATTCTTCATCTTGCTCGTCTTCTTCCAAATCATCCGGTTCTAGTTGATGAAGTGATGGCGAATCGGCCAGTGTCTTAGCTGTAGTCGAGTCAACAGGATCAGTAGTACCAGTAGCAATGGTTGTTTCCGTGTTTGGAGGAGGTGTAAACATAAAATCATCACCAGCTAATATTACACAAGGACGCCTATCTGGTATTCCCAATAAAACTTTTTGTGATTTGTTATACATGGAATGAAGTTGCAAGTTCTCTAAAAACGAGTACAAAGGTCCAGGTTGATGATGTCGTGTATGAAGATCGTTTTGAATAGTGAGTTTGTAACAAGTGGCAATAAAAGTACGGTTTGCCCAAGACTGTAATACTTCGTTCTCGTCTTCCTCTGTCCAAGAATAGTTTGTGTCGTACCAAGAGCGGTGATGACTGCATTGTTGAGGACAATGATGTTGTTCCGCAATGTAAGTTATTGTAGACGAGTCATTGGAGGTAACATGTTCTTTTCGAGAGTGTTTTGTTTCTTTTATTTTCATATCGTCAATATAAAAGAAAGAGAACGAAATAAAAAAAAAATATTGAACCAGAAAAAAAAAAAAAAAAGAATAACCTTTTGTGGCCTTTTACATCCAATGAGTCGGAACCCAAATACCAAAAAGGCAACGGAATCCATTAATACTTTAAATCAAATTGTTACCCACGCTAAGATAGAAAGGATCACTTTTCCCTTGCAAAGACATATGAACATGTGAATTTCGGTAAGATGTCTAAACTGAACGCATGGGCCACGTGCAGAAAGAGAGAGAGAATATAGTCTTTTCTTTTGACTCGTTTGTTTATCATCAGTATAGTATCTTCCGGTCTTTTTGTTAAAACTAGGGAATGCGAGCATGTAACATAGAGAATGATTATGTTAGCTTCTTTTTTTTTTTTTTGAAGTTATCATATACCTACGTATATTTATTTGCACTTTATTTGGATATATTATTTCCCATCGATAGTAGGTAAACATTGAACAACTCAATCACTTTATTCACTTTGAGAAAATAAAAACAAGAAAAGAAAAAACAAGAAAAAAGAAGTAAAGGATAAATTGTTTTATTGATAAAGATGATGATGATAATGGTGATAATGATGATAATGATGATGATAATGATGATGATGATGATGATGATGATAATGATGATGATGATGATGATGATGATGATGATGATGATGATAATGGTGATAATGATGATAATGATGATGATAATGGTGATAATGATGATGATGATGATAGTGATGAGTTGAAACACTGGATATTGATTATGATGATTCGCATTATTGTTTATTGATATTACAATTAATAGTAAAATAAAGAAAGGCGGCCTTTTTTAATTTACTATTTGGGAAATAAAGTTGGGGAAAAAGGAGAAAACGTGCGGAAGGGTTTCCGCCAAAGCAAAAAAAAAAAAAAGGAAGATATACATAAAATAACATCACATGGAAATTAAAAGAAACGGTTGTTTGATAATGCATTGTTTTTCTTTGTTATTTTTCCAAATCGTTTGAAGTTTTCCTGTGATGATAGCTCTCCTGATAAGGACTTACAGGACAGTACTAAATAATAAGAGAAAAAAAACCATGTATACAATTATGATGATGATAAAACAGGATGATGATGATCAATGGTTTTTTTTTTTTTACCTTAGTTTGATGGACTGTAGAACCACATATAGCGCACCTTTCAATTCCACATTGTTGATACAAACATATGGATACTTTCGTCAGTCCCATAGGATTAAAGATTAATTGAATCAAACAAAAAAAAAAAAAAAAAGGATAGCAGGCAAGTGAAGGGAGAAAAAATAAAATAAAAAAAAAAAAAGAAATATAAATTTACTTTCTCATGAAGAAGAGAGTACATTCCCTTCCTTAAATGGTTGCCTATCAAAATGAGATTGTATCTGATAGATGATATATTAGGATAAAGACTTCCCAGTCAACCTTTATTACTTTTAGCATGTGCTTTTCTTCTTCTTGTTTTGCTCGTATGATATATGAGGTCTATTCCCTTCTTTCGCAACTGTTTTGAGTACCCGATCGCATGATAATTATAGTTTTTTTTAAAGATGGATCATTCATTCGTTCAATTACTGTCAACTGCATTCTCAAAATTAAATCAGTGAGGGATAAAATCTGTAGAAAGTTAATCATAATCGATCGCATCACCAATATTTAATCCTCTATTGGATCCATGATAAGAATGATGAATATTGCCTTAAGATAATGCTATTCTGTTGAAGTCAATGGTCATTCCATGATGATGAGTCGATGATGGTAACAGAATGAATTTGATCACACCATATTTTGTAATGACAATGGATGATGATTGAGAGTAATAAAGACCAAGATAACAACAACATTAGTGATGATGGTAACTGTGTAACGTTGATATGACTTTATTAAAGAAGAATATATGAAGAGAACGTACTATAGATAATAATGTAAAATGCTACTAATATTAAGACACTAATTATTAACAAAAGAACCACAAGGATAAAGGATACAGAGAGAAAAATAGATAGAAATAGCAGCCACACCATAGAGCATCATTAAAAAAAAAATTGACTTATATGTCTCGTCCAATCGGATCCCATTCAAGTTTTGACATTATACACTTTATTCAATAATAAATGACGGAATTGAAAAATAAGATATCGCAAAAATAGGAAATAAAATAAAAGAATAAGAGTTGACGCATAATCCAAATTGAATACAAGAACAAGAAGAAAAAGAAAAGGAATGACATTGGTTCCATTGAATAAAAGAGATTTTGAATAATAGAAAAATATATATATATATTTAGTCAACATATCCATTTTTTTTATATATATTTATTTTAACTTACCTGTATTTAAACACATCCTCCTAAGAGGTGATAACATAATTACTATATGTTGCTGTATACAGATTGATTATTCACTTTGAATTGGGAACACTAAAGGAGATTTCAAAAAAAAAAAAAAAAGAAAAAAACTGCACATAGTATATATTTTATACTATTATTATTTTATTTCTTTAGTTTGTCTGAAACAAAACGTTGTTTTATATTTGATCCAGTCTTTTATTGACTCTAGTTGATGATGGATGATGGATGATTACTTTGTCATTTACTATTCTTATTTCTCTTGAATTATTATGATAAAAAATATTACATTTCTTACCTTCCATTAAAATAAAAACTTGTTTGATATCTAAAATAATCTTAAAATTGTGGATGTTTAAAGTCATGCACGTCAATTTGGACAGTCTTACCAGGATGCATAAAGAAGTCTTTTTTTTTCTTTACTAAATATGTAATATATTGGTGATGGGTAATGCATGATGGGCGATGGATGATGACTGAATATAAAAGTTTTGCTGAAATTTATCGACTATAGGAAAAAAAAATCAATTTGCAAGGTTGGGGTTGTGACGAAAAAAAGAAAAATCAAAAAAATCATGTCAAATAGTCGACAGTGGACGGGCTTCAAAAACCCACCCCCTTTGTGCGCGTTTTGCTTTTTTTTAATTTTTCTCTTTCTTTTTCTTTTCTCCATCCACTTTTTTTTCCACATTAGGTGTCTTCTTTGTTTGCGCGATCTTTTCAAGGTATATTTTATTGGATTTGGAGGGTTTTGAAAAAGGGATTTACAAAATACATGGGGAAACCCTTTCATTTTGGATGTAGGATTTAGTACAGGTAATGGCAAAAATATTTTATAATAGAATGTGAATTACTTGGCCTGGTTTTATTTTACTAGTAATGTGAACGAAAAACTGACTTGATGACAAGCTTCTTTTGGTTAGGAAGGGCAGCTTGTTGTTAGGATCTCTCGGTGGTGGACGAAGGCTTCTGGTTGGTACTATAATAGATACATGTAGTGATAGTTTTAGTTAGCCAGTATGTGGATTTTTTTTTTTTGAAATAAAAATTATATTGCTTTTTGTGATACATAATAATACACTTCCATGACTCTTTTTTTTTTTTTTTTGATGATGATAATCATTATTAATTGGATGAGGGATGACTGAATTGACTTTTCATTCTTGGTTTACCTTATAAATTGGGAGGCAAGGTGTATATTGCTATTAATACAGCTGAAAGAGAATGTCATCACGCATCTTCAGTCCAAATTTGATGCAATGATGATAGGTTGCGAGGGAACTACAGAAATATAAAGAGGAAGGAAATTTGACTGATGATCATGATTCATAGCTTTGATTGTTGCAGTAATTGATTCAAACCCACTGGTCAATCGTGAAGATAACTCGGGTAAAGCTAACTGGATTTTTGACTTGAAGTGAAAGCTCGTTCATCATTCTCTTGTGCTTTTAGCAATTGATCTTCGAATTGCTTATATAAAGTTGTGGAAAAAACACATCCTCTATCATCCATCATTATCCAACATCCATCATCCATCATCTATCATCATCCATCATCCATCATCCATCATCCATCATCCATCATCTATCATCATCCATCATCCATCATCCATCATCCATCATCTATCATCATCCATCATCCATCATCCAACATCCATCATCCATCATCTATCATCATCCATCATCCATCATCCATCATCCATCATCTATCATCATCCATCATCCATCATCCATCATCCATCATCCATCATCCATCATCCATCATCCATCATCCATCATCCATCATCCATCATCCATCATCCATCATCCATCATCCATCATCCATCATCCATCATCCATCATCCATCATCCATCATCCATCATCCATCATCATCCATCATCCATCATCCATCATCCGTCATCCAACATCCATCATCCGTCATACTGTAAATCAAAAAAGAGAGATGCCATACCTGTCATTTCTTTTGTTTTGGTAAATGGTTTATAATCGTGTTGATCGGACGTTGTACCCGATTTCTTGTCAACGTCGCTTCATTTTGATACATCATCAATGTGTGGATATCACTGTCTTGTTGGATTTGTTGATCATCCATGATCACGTATATATGTATATGGAATAAAAAAAAAAAGAGATCGAAAGAAGGTAAAGAAATAGAAATAAAAAAAAAAAAAAAGAGAAAGAAAAGGAAAGATTTTTACTTCTTATTTTTATTTTTCAAATGATCAAGATGACATATGAAGTGGAAAAAGAAACATTGCCTATCCAAATGATACTAACCCTTCTATATTAACCCATTGCTTGAGACTCAGATGAGAACGAGAGGTCAAAATACGGAAGTATTTGGCATCATGACTTTTGCATTTTGATCCTGTACAACACCAAAATACGGATTTTTGGGACCTGACCCGCCAAATTTTTTTGAGACTGATGAGACTCAGTTTCTAGATACTGTAAAAAAAAAAAAAAAAAAAAAAATCAAACCATCTCAGCTTAAATTTTTTGCGCGTAAGATTACTTACAACTACTGAAGACTGGAAATAGCAAAAAATAAAAGCCTTAGATTTGTATAAAATTAGTATGTGAAACGAATATTGATCATCATCCATCATTTAATCATTACCCTCCAATCATCATTCAACTGTGGCCATATTTACCTTTCGTCAACCATCATACTTGCCTGTAACAAAACACTCATAAAAGAGAAAATATTTGAAAAACACGTGACAAGTTCTGACTAATCTCTAGTTATAACAGCGTTTTTGTACTACTTGTAAGGATTAATCATACAGTTTTGCTTTTCTCTTTTTTTTTTTTTTTGTCGGGAAATGGATGACAAATACAGTAGAAAATTTTAACACAGTATACTTTTACTGATGATTACATTAGTAGAACTTGATGATCTTAAATGAGAACTCTCTTCATGATGAATCCAGGAGACATTCTTTCAAGCTAGAGTACAAAAGGGCGGATCCAATTGTTGATCACTTTTTTCCATTTTATATGTCATTATTTATTGAGCTATTTTCTATTAATTGGTAGTAAATTCATGAAAAATGATGATTTTGAAATATACTTTCTTTTTACATTATTCATTCTATCGAGTGATTTGTATGGAATAACTTGTAACCGTTTCTCGAATTGCATAATATTTTGATTTAATGTGTGGGGAGGTTGTTTATTGAATTTCCGCTATTTATTTTTCTATAAATTTTCACATCTTAGTCATTTCTTTTTTTTTTTTTTTTTTGTTTCTAAACTTTACTATTCCTTTGCTTATTATTATTATTATTATTATTTTAGTGTGATGGTTTCTGTTCTTCTTACTACTAATCCTAAACCCAATTCTGGTTTCAAATATGGTTTCGAATTCAAGGAACAAGCTTTAGGACAACCTGCCTCTGATCAAGCTGTCGTTAAGATTCAAGCTGCTGCTTTCAATCATCGGTAAAAACAACAATATAATTATTTCATTACTTTCTCATTGTTTCTTTTTTTTTTTTATTGACAGTGATATATGGATTCTCAAAGGTCAATACCCTGCCATCATACCTGGTTCCGTTCCTGGCTCTGATGGTGTCGGTATAGTTACCAGCGAAACTGCTTCCTTCAAGCAAGGTCAACGCGTTTTAATTAATCCTGGCTCTGGATGGGATGAAGATGAACGTGCCCCAGAACAAGACTTTAAAATCTTGGGTCTTCTTCCTTGTATTGGTATGTATAATAGAGTAGTGAAAAACAGAGAGAAAAGAATTTGACCGAAACTCATTCCTTTTTTTTTTTTTTATTATTAGGTACATTCACTGATTCTGTAGTTGTCGATACAAAAGAATTACTTCCTTGTCCTGAACATCTTTCAACTGCTGAAGCGGCTGCTCTTCCCTTGGCTGGTTTGACTGCATATCGGTATGAATGAATAAAAGTGATACTCCGTTACCAGTTATACATGATTGATACTTTTTATTTTATTTTTTTTATATGTTGTATAGAGCATTATTCACAAAAGCCAAGGTTCGTGCTGGTGAACATGTTTTGATAACCGGTATTGGTGGTGGTGTGGCCTTATTTGCTTTACAATTCGCGGTGGCTGCTGGCGCTCATGTCTATGTTACTTCCTCCAATCCTGATAAAATTGAAAAGGCTATTCAACTTGGTGCCAAGGGAGGCGTTAACTATAAAGATGGTAATTCAATCATGTATTATACATTTGTGACTAAGAAAGTAAACTGAATATCTTTTTTTTTTATAGAAAATTGCATCTCGGAATTGAAAAAGCTACTGAATGGAAACTTATTATCAGCTATTATTGATGGTGCTGGTGGACCTTTATATGAACAATATCCCCGGGTGATGCGTACAGGAGGCATCATTGCAAACTATGGTCAAACTGTTCGTGATCCCGCTGTCCACTTTACTGCGTTAGCTTTCATCAAGAACATTGAACTTCGTGGTACCACTATGGGTTCTCGGGCTGAATTTAAGAAAATGGTGGCATTTGTTGATGCTCATAAAATCAAACCTATTGTATCTCAAGTTTGGCAAGGATTGACAGAAGAATCAGTAGATGAAGCTGTCCGTACTATGGCGTAAGATCTCATGAAAATACATAAATATATATATATATGTCATCGATGATAACATGTCTTTTTTTTTATTATTTTCTTTTTAGAAATGGTGAACAATTTGGTAAATTGGTTATTCAAATCGGTGATATTGATAGCCCTCATACTCCAAAACTCTAGATTAGTGTAGATTATTATATTAAATTGTATTTTATGGATGCACAGTTTATACAATAAAATGAATTTGACAGGATCAGGAAAATATGTTGATATCGATGTGTATAATAATATATAGATGATAGGCAGTGTTTATTCCCATTCCAATGAAATACTGATAGAGGGGAAATTCCTAGGGGGTTGTTTATTTTTTTTACGATGATGACCGATATTTTAAGAAAAAGGACTAGTCTTCATTTCTCTTTTCTTTTTTTTTTTTTTCTTTTTTGTTTTTCTATTCATTTTTTTTTTATTTTATTTTTAATTATTATCATCATGATGATCGTATATACATATATTCTAGTTTATTTATTAGGAGGAATAACATTTTTACCGGCAATTGCGTTATATTATTGGTATATTTACGTTGTTCCAATTCAGCATCAACAAGAAAAGGCAACAGAGTATCCATCCGAACCCTATATCGGTATCAATGAAAATCACAGTAAAAAAGGATGGATTCGATTAGTGGAACATCTTCCTTCTGTTTCTCCTGTCACAGTCAAAAAATCTAATTCATTTACAAGAACTATGGCCAACATCAGTCTTTCTTCTTCCTCTAGTACCATAAAAGGTAATAGCACTGACACTAGCAACAAATCCGATCCTTCTTTGATAAAAAATTCCGGCGGTCATTCTTCCATTTCTTTTTCTTCTCCCTCAACTTTATTTTATGGTGTTCTCCGACACGGTACTCTTTTTTGTTATGACAATGAACAAGGAAACACATGTCTTTTGATTCTTCCTATTCACGATTATAATATCTCTTTATATCCAAAAGAAGGAAAACTCGATGCTGAATTATATGGAAGAACCATGGCGATCTCTTTGGTACCCAAGAAACAGGATAATCAAGCTTCAATTTATTATTTATCCTGTCGACGGCCTACTGATAAGGAGGACTGGTATCTGGCTTTGATGTCTGCAGCTCGGTTACTTTCTGAAGACGATCCAAAAGATGCACACCATATCGATTGGTACGATACAGCTATGTTTGAACCTTCGGCAATGATAAAACTACAAAATATTCTGGATGGATCACCTGCAATGGAGGAAGCTCGATGGTGGAACGCATTGATGGGTAGATTATTTTTGGGGGTTTACAGAACTGATAATTGGAACAATATGTGGCATCAAAAGATGATAAACAAGCTGGATAAACTGAATACCTTTCAACAACAACCTCTTCACTATTTGGGTACTCGTGGCAATGGCGAAAGTCAAAATAATGGAAAACGCACACTCATGACTTTATCACCTTTTCAGTTGCAACAAATCTCTATGGGTGATACTATTCCTTGTTTAACAGAACCACGACTAGTAGAATGTGAACCTGATGGAAATTGTGTCATCCATGCCCAAGTACAATATAAAGGTGATTTTCTCTTGGTGATTCGAACGGATTTTTATTACCTTTGGCCTGGTTTAGCTTCTTCTTTGGCTTTTGAAAAGAAAAGAAAATCATCATTTAAATCTTCTTCTGATTCTGATTCAACAAATACTTCTTCTCCTGGTTCGCTTCCTTTGGTGCTATCAGTCAAGTTACGACAATGCAGTGGAACTCTTGTTTTCAAAGTCAAACCTCCTCCTTCCAATAGAGTATGGATTGCTTTTGAAGAAATGCCAGAAATGGATTGGGAAGTCAAACCTATCGTTTTGGATAAACAAATCAAATGGTCAGTGGTCATCAATCTAATTCAAGCCAAAATCAAGGAACTGGTCGCAGATAACTTGGTGATGCCTAATATGGAAGATGTGCCTTTTACTGATTCTGAAGGAATGGGAGGGATTTTTGGTCAACGTGCTCCTGTCATAGATCCAACAATAATGACTGATGATATCGATACGAAAATGAATGATAACAATTCTATGGAGGATGTGGATAGTAACGAAAAACAATTACAACAACAAGAACAACAACAAGAACAAGAACAACAAGAACAACGACGAAGATCAACAATATCAAAGGTTTTACAAGGTTATGTGGATAAGATCATGGCACCTCAGATCTTATTAGCGGCTTTCTACCCTGTACCCACTGAAGCACCGGAAATGTGAAGGATCAAATGTTATGGATGAATTGTACTTTAGAATAGTGTACTTTACAATGGATATCCTTTTATGTTTTATTTTTATATATTTGATTGTCATTTTAGGTGCAAACCATAGCGATATACCTTTGTTATTGACTATACCGATTTATTATCTTTTTAAATAAAAATTGAATGATTTTGGTGATTACACTTTTTTTTTTTTTTTTTATTTCTGTGGGATACAAGTTGATGATGAAGTATAATATCTGTGAAACACCATTCAAAAAAGAACGAAGTCTTTCATATGCCGCTTGTCGCGTCGGGAAAAACAATACATAAACTAAACTATGGTTTGCTTAAATATTCAAACAAAATATCAATCATACTATAGTGAATTCTGTTGTAGATCAATTTTATATAAATGTAAGATAGATACTATGGGCTAAAAATGTTATTTGGTCCTACTTACCATAAACTGAAATTGTGGATTTTAACTGTGTTCCCAAATCAGGTCTAAATCCAAAAAAAAAAACTTTTCTCTCAATTTAGATTTTCTGCTCTTTTCTTTCTTTTTTTTTTTTTTTTTTTTTTTTTTTTTTCCTTTTTCTTCTTTTTCTACATATTTATCCTATGTTATACCGGGAAACAGTCGTAAGAAATTTATATATTAAATAAATATTGGATACTTAACATTAACTTCTTTTTTTTTTTTAAAAAAAAAAAAAAAAGCTTCAGTTCATCTATTCATAGTTGCCATTATTTCTTCAATAATATCAACTATAATATCAGTGGCAGTAAACCAAAAATACTCATCATCATGACACATGAAAGGCAAAATTTGTTATTTGATATATCTCAACAAGACAACAATGACAGTACTTCTAGTTCTTCTTCATCTAGACAACATAGCGTAGAACTAAGACGAACCGCTACCATCTCTTCCTCACCCATTAAACCTCAATCTGAAGAACCATCATCCGAAGACCATCATACAGACAACAATATTACACAAGAAGCTTATTCATATTCTCATACAGCTACTACTGAATATATGCAACTTGATGTAGACGACTCTGAAACAACAACTCCCTTTAGACAAAGTCAACACCGACCTCTTTTATTAGACAATGAAGACGACGACGACGACTCTATAAATAGTCTTGAAGAATCAAAATTTTATCGATTACCATCGGATGGTGGAACTATATTTGCTAGTTTCGTAAGTGGCGTATATACTCCCTGTTTCTAGGGTAACAAGTCAAATTTGGACATGTATTCATTTTTCGCTCCTTTTTTTTTTTTATTTATTTATAGTTGAATATGGCAAATAGTATTATTGGTGCAGGTATTATTGGTATTCCATATAGTATCAAGGAAGCAGTAAGTGTCAAAAATGATTTGATCAGAACCGAAGATATATATATATATATATATATATATATAAAGAAGGGGGAAGATCAAATTAGTTAACCAATCGTATCATCTTTCTTCTATATATCGTATCTAGGGTTTTGGTATGGGGATTATATTATTGATCATATTGACAGTAGTTGTTGGTAAAAGAAGAAGAGAAAAAAAAAAGAATTAAATGTTATTCAACGAAATGAAACTTATCATGTTTCTTTGTATATCCTTTCATGAGTGTAGATTGGACAATTCGATTACTCATATTCAATGGCAAGTTGGCAGGAAGAACTACATATCAAGATTTGTTACAATTTGCTTTTGGTCGAGCTGGATTGATTGCCATTTCTATTTTTCAATTTGTATTTGCTTTTGGAGGTAAGTATGGAGAGAGAGAGAGAGAGAGAGAGAGAGAGAGAGAGAGAGAGAGAGAGCAGTCAAGTAATGAGCTCCCAACTTTTTTTTTTTTTTTTGATGAACATATGTATAGGTATGTGTGCCTATTGTGTTATTATTGGTAAGTGAAAGAAAAAAGAGAAAAAGGAAAAAGGGAATAAATTTTATGTTATGGTACTGATTGTTTTATATATATATATATATATATTTTAGGTGATACCATCCCACATGTTATTCGATCATTATTCCCATCTATTGAACGAACACCAATCTTATGGATCTTTTCAAATCGGAATCTATGCATTGCCTTCTTTACGCTCTTTGTATCGTATCCTCTGTCTTTATACCGTGATATCTCCAAATTGGCGAAAACAAGTGCTTTGGCGTTAGTAGCTATTGTATTCATCACTGTCAGTGTTGCGGTAGAAGGTCCCAAGGTACCTACTGAATTACAAGGATCTAGGGAAAATAGGTTTGCGTTTATGAATGATGAAATCTTTCAAGGCATAGCTGTGATTAGTTTTGGTAAGTCAATGAAGAAAATAAAAGAAAAAGTTAAGAAATAATAACCATAATTTTCTTTTTGATTAGCCTATGTTTGTCATCACAATAGCTTTCTTATATTTGGATCTTTGAAGCAGCCGTCTTTGAACCGATTTGCCTCTGTAACTCATTGGAGCATGGGTATTGCTTTTCTCACATGTATGGTATTGGGATTATCAGGATTTTTAGCTTTTACGGACAAAACGGCAGGTAAAAATAAAAATAAACGCATGAATGAACATGTGATTAACTTTATAATGTTCTTTTTGTAGGCAACATATTGAATAATTTCCCATCAGATAATGTATTTATCAATATTGCTCGCCTGGCTTTTGGATTGAATATGTTTACAACCATTCCTTTGGAAACTTTTGTGTGTAGAGAGGTAAATATATATGTATATTCATGAGAAAATTGATAGAAGGATAAAATAAAATAATGGATACTCATATGATCATCTTTTTTTTTTTTTTTAATTTTTCTGTAATAGGTTTTGGAAACATTCTTTTGGCCATCTCAAATATTTGATCTCAAACGACACTTTTTACTTACAACGACCCTGACGTTGATTGCACTGACAATTTCCCTATTGACTTGTAACCTTGGTATTGTATTGGAATTGACAGGAGCATTTGCGGCGACATCATTGGCCTATGTATTACCACCCCTCTGTTACTTGAAACTGGCAACAGGTCCTCTCTGGCACTGGAGCAAACTTCCACATTGGTCTTGTTTGATCTTTGGTCTTACTATCATGGTAGTTAGTAGTTTTTATAGTATCCAAAAACTTTTTGTCCATTCCACCGCTAGTCCAGGTGCTTCTTGTGATTTATAGTTAGATTTTTTATTTTATTTTATTTATTTATTCTTATGTCTATTTTTATTTTATTCTTATTCTTATGATGATAGCGAATAATAATAATAAAGATAATAAATAAAGCAATACAATTTGGACTTGTGTGCTCCATAGTGGAATCGCTTTATATGGTCAAACACCTTTTTTTTTTTTTTCATTGCACAACATGTGTATCATAAATCATGGGGTTTAGATGGTTCGTGTGTATTGTATGACAAAAGGAATATATGGATAATTATCTTTATTGATATTGAAGATGAAGAAAGAGATGAAGATATATTTTATTTTATTTTTTATAATAGTACATATACGTAAGTAAAGAAAAAAATAAAAAACTAATCAGATCTAACTACAAATTGACTATCAGCAGGTAAACAATCAATGAATAATTCCAAATAGGTCGATGAGGAGAATAAAGAGGGGTAAACACGGGCGACTTTAGCTTGAGGCATGGCGGTAATGGACCCGGACAATTTCGGTTCCTTTTCCAAGTTGACTAACGTAGCCAACTGAGAGGTACGAACCAATCCTTTGACGACAGCAGAAGGTTGATAAAAAGAGATGTAAGGATCCAATTTGGTTTGATTTTTGGGCATCATGGCAATCCAACAATGAGTATCTTGATCTTCATGATGCATCATGGATGGTTTGATTCGGTAACACCAAATATAAGATCGTTGCGATAAAGCCTTGGCTTTTTTTTCCAAAGAAAGCGATTGTTTGCGGGTCAGTGAGTGTGCTGCCAAGTCCTGTACCGGAATCAAAGATGGTGATGATTGTTGTTTTTGTTGATCTGTTACATTGCTGGAAATACTATTGTTCCGTGATAACCCGTTCCCACCATCCAAATTAAATAAACTTTCAAAAAGAGACCGACGACGGCGAGTCTTCGTACCAAGAGGTTGAGATGCACCAAGAGAAAGAGATCGAACCAATGGTATTAACGAATTTTCTCGACTACTAGCAGGTGCTGATTGAGATGTTGATGATGTTGATTGAGTAGGTGGAGTAGATGTTGCATTTGTGATGGGATCAGGTGCACTTTGAGGACTTTTTGCGTCATCCGATAAAGGTGGAGCTGGAGTAGACGAAGATGACGTTGATGGCATGGTGGTATCCTGATGTTGTGATGATGGTGGTACTGTTGGTGGCATGATGTTTTTTCCTGCTGTATCCAAGGATTGAAGTAAAGGAGGTTGTGGCATCATCATGGGGTTGAATGGCATACCAAGTCCAGGTATGGGCATCGTGGGAAAGTCATAATTGAGATGATGATGAGATGGAAGGAATGATGGTCCATGAATCATAGGTTGAGGCATTGGAACGATAGGTCCTTGTGTTGTTGGAGGAACCTGACCATAAAAAGTAGAAAGTAAAGGTGGTGGCAAAGGCTGTTGTTGTTGTTGTTGTTGTTGTTGTTGTTGTTGTTGGGATTCTGTTAGTAACACAGGACCATGCTCCATGTGGGAATGCCGTCTCTGATGTAATACAGGCTGAGGTGAATGCTTACGTTGTCGTAAAGGTGATGAAGATTCAGAAGATGGCCCTATGATCGGTGAGTTTGTCCAAGGAGGTGAGCAGTGACCATTGTAATGTTGGGATAAGGAAAGTCTCCGTCGGTGTACTCTATCTTCATGTGACAGTGGCAGATGCATTTGATGTTGTTCCGAGAATATCATATCGTCATCATCAAATTGGTTTTCATCATCCATTGAATAAAGGTGACTGGATTTCACATACATTGAATTGTTGTCGAAATGGGATGATCTTCTGGAGGGTCGATTGGTTGGTTGAGGAGGTAGGCTGCGACGTCTGGACAGTGAAGTCGAAGGTGTTGAACTGGAGGGAATCATGGGACCAATATACCGACTGCCTTTTCTGATATGATTGTGCACCCTTGATGTATTTGTCGGATCTAGGATTTCATGTTGATCGATAAGATACTTGTCGTTGTCATATTCATCACCGTGGTCATAGTCATAGTCGTAGTCATAGTCATTTTCGATGTCTATATTGTTGTAAGGGCTATCTGGGTTGTGATGCTCTTTCCAACCATAATAATAATCACGTTGCTGTTGTCGTTGTCTTTGCATTGCTGCTAAGGCTTGCCTTGAATGTGATTTTCGATATGTTGATGACCAGGGTAAAGCAGGTGCTGCATCATTTATGTAGTAATCATCCAACAGATAGTCATCAGGTATATTTTCTACAACAAAAAAGAAAGAAACTAAATTTAGTGCCTGCTTCCTTTTTTTTTTTTTTTTTTTTTTTTTTGGTTGACAATCCCCACTGAAATAAAAAGAATTAAATAAATAACTAGTGGTTACCTTGTATTCCATCATAAGAGATATGGTATATATCATTGTCATCATCGAAGTAATTGGACTTTGAGTAAGCTGATGGAGTATTTAAGAATGGAATCTGTCGTGGCCCTCTTTTGGAATGTGAATGTCGTTTTGTTGAATGAAAACGTTTTGACTTTGATGAATAGCGATCTTGTTGTTGGTATCGAATATCATATTCCGGTTGTTCCCAAGGATATTCGGAATGTATGTACACCATAATGTTGTCGTTTCTTTTTATATGAAAAAAAAAAAGTTAGGAGAAGCGGAAAAAGAGAGAAGAAATCGTTAAAGGCACATTTTTATAGTTGTTTGAGAGCCTAAATTTGGTAATACCGACTGTGTTTGAAAGAGTTTCCAATAAAGGTAGATCTAACCCTACAACTTCTTCTATTGACAACAAAAAAAAAAAAAAAAGTGTTTCAAGATATATAATAAGGAATCTCTTTCAAATTGATAAGTAATAAAAGGAAGTTTTTTATTTAATTCATATAAAAGTTTATTGAGGTAAATCAAGAGAGGTCATATACAAAAAAAAAAAAAAGATATCTATATACAAAGAGGGAAGAACTATAAAGTACTATGTGGAAAAAAAAACAAACAAGCTAAGCAGTGATCATAGAAGTATGTTGTTGTTGTTGTTGTTGTTGTTGTTGTTGTTCTTGACGTTTTTTCTTGGAGGCCATGAAAGCAGCACGCATCTTGAAATAATCTTTATGTAAACCACATTCGGTTTTTTGTTGACCCGCCCATCTACCATCACGTTCACCTTCTTGACCTGTAGGTTTCTTTGTAGAGTGATGATCACCAATTGATTTGTAACCTTGATCAATTAATGCATTGTAAGGTACTTCATTGGCCCGAATGTAGGTCCATACTTGTTGGAAATCCCATAAAGCCAAAGGATTGAGTTTGATTAGACCAGTACCATCTACTTCTAAAATAGGAATATTTTCTCGATCACCACGTTGACTTCGACGACGACCAGTAATCACAGATTTGACATTCAATTCTTCATATGCGCGACGTGCTGGTTCCACTTTGACAAGATAATCATACATATCTTCATCCACCTTCCAAAGATTGGATCCATGTTCTTGTTCAAATTCGGCAGTAGTTGATGCATCCATAGGCTTGTATACATGAAGGGGAACTTGGTATGTTTCTTGACATCGTTTGGCCAATTCAAGTGTTTCCTCAAAATGATACAAAGTGTCTAAAAAGATCAAAGGTACCAAATGATTTTGATTTCGATCGATACTTATTTTGTTGATCATATCTACTGTAGCAAGTCCTATTTTTATAATATTAAGAAAGTTAATATACAAATATTCATATATACATTATAGCATTCATTACCAGTCAATCCAAAAGCAGTAGTTTGATAAAGATTTGGTAAATGATCAATAGCCCAAGATAAGATTTCAGTAGGGGATAAAGTCCAAAGGTATTTGTTAATATTTTCTAGGTACTCTTTTGTCAATTCGGAACCTGAAGTGATTTGTTGAATATTGGATGATGTGCTAACAGGCATGATAATAATAAATGTAGATATATGAATAAATAATGGATGATAATAATAAAAATGAATAAGATGAAGTAATTATATATATATATATATATATCTAATGAAAAGAAAGGTAAAGAAATTGAAATTGAAAAGAAATAAAAAAATTTATTTATATGAATGAATATGCGGACTTTTAACGATATGGATCAAAATTTGGCCAATGAAGAAGAGAATCGATGGTGACATTCTATTCAAAAATTGCGGTGGAAGAACCCCAAATGTCTAGTTTATACGTATTGGATGATTCATCCAATGAAGATATTGATTGATTTATAATAATGGAATAGATAAGAATTTAAACACAAAATACCCCAAATGCAAAGAAAACTTTCTTTTGAATTTCCCTTTATGAATAATACATACTTAAGGATGAATAATCCAAACTCGCTCAGGAACCGTGATTTAGTTTATCTTTTTCTTCTGTTCATCACTATTGTCATTATTAAGATGATTATTATAATGATGATTATTTAATGATCTGTTCGTGTAAAAAAAAAAAAAAAAGGTGACTTGAACTCCTAGATAGGGATGATCAGTGAATGATGATGATCTCTTCAGTTCATAAAGTTCTGATGACAGGATGACGTTAAAGTAACATGATTGTACATTGTGTGTCTACAGTGTATGAATCCTATGATGTGATCATATATAGTAGTATCTCTCATATACAAGTTATTCTGGCACACCTTATTAGAAGAGATTCATCACTGTGGTTTAAATAAACAAAAATATGCAGTAATATACAGAATGAAATAAGAAAGGTATATCATTGTAAACAAGGGAGGAAGATATCTATATATGGTAATCAAAATACAATAGAAGCATAAAAAAAAAAGGATGAAAGGTATCATAAACTTTGAATTAAAAAAAAAAAAAAAAGACAAAGACAGCAACAAAAACTTTTATAGTAATAGTAAAAAGATACAGTATGATATATTTGAATTTTTTTAAGTGACTTTATTATTATTATAGGAATCTTTATACTGTGTTTGAAAAGAAGAAATGGGAAATGATTAGTGTGATGATCAACTATACTATATATTTGTATGTGTGCATTTACCAAAAAATGATTCACTAGCGCAAGGCCTAGGAGTATCACATCAACCAATCCAGGTTGTGTGATACAGAGAGATAATAGATCAACCTAAGAAAGTAATAGAGGAATCGAGAGAAGAAAAACAGATAGACCATACAAGAGACATACGACTAGATAAAAAAAAAAAAAAAAAAAGAACATCAAGAAGACACCAACAAGAAGCAATTTTTTTTTTTTTGGTGATTTTTTTTTCTGTGTTTTTTCTGTAGAAGAAAGAAAAGCAAAAGAAAGAGAAAATAAAAGAAAATGTCTTTTATATTGTTTTTTTTTTCCTTCCAATCATATTGAGACTATCAAATATAATCGTGATTATTCTATTAAATAAAATATTTCAGGTTTATCGATCAAATTCAATCATTCATCATCCAGTCATTAATATGTTATAATTCATATCTAATAAAATAAAAATCAAAGGCTACTTGTAGATCATATATAGCAGGGAACACGGAGATTGAAAACTTGTCTTTTTTTTTTTTTTTGGCCCTAGGGTCTTGAAGAAGGATTGGCCAGCCACTACTTTTTTTTTTTCTCTTTTCTTTTTCTTTCCTTTTTCCTTGAAGAAAAGCTAATAGAGTGTTTCTTGTCCCTTTTATCACTCTCAAGGACTTATATATTATTCAAATACTCCCTCAACCGATATGGCTGGTAAGTGTTATTTACTTTTTTTTTTTTTTGTAATTCAACCTTCTGATATGATGGGAAAAAAAAAAGTTGATGGAGTGTCTCTTTTGGTTTATTATGATGACTTTTTAAAAAGGAAAAAAAAAAATAACACAAACTATTTAACTCTTTATTATGAAATATAACTAACTCAATAGTTTTATTCTTTGGTTTATTTACTTGTGGTTATTACCATAATAGATCTCGGGTTTGACTTTTCAGATGACCAGGACGACTATCAAACGTATGAAGATGGGAATTTATCTACTTTAACGGAGAAAACCGATATTTCCACCGAACAACAGTATCATCTATCCAACGTAACTGACGACTTGAATAATGCAGCAGCATCTTCAGATAATCAGACAAATGACAAGGACGATTCTGATGCTACCGATATAAAAACTTTTATGGAACATCAAGAAAGCTCTTCTGGGACGGATGAACAACTGGACAATGATAGTTTTACTAAAGAACCCGACTCACTCATTCCATCCAATAGACTCTTGGAAGCTCCTAATGAAGGTTTTAGCTCAGAATCCTTATTACAGGCTATTTTGACAGAAGGTAATTAGAAAAGTGTAGAATAGACTTTTATATACATATGAAATAATATTAACGTCTTCTTTTGTTAACAGAAGCAAATGAAAGTGATTTAGATGACAACATTCTTATTGATTTGGATGAAACTTTAACTTCAGCAGAACGTGTTTACAAGTTTAATAAGAGCAACGTTATGTTCTATAGGTAATATAGGAAACAAATGAAAATATATATATATATATATATATTTATGACTTTATTATTTTAGACACTTGGTAGCCAAGGAATTGCCAAATGCACTATATGAAGTAGATACCAACGAAGCAATAAGTGAAATGTTACCAGTGATCCTTAAAATTGCTTATGATGAAGATGAAGCTGTACGAGAAACCTTTGTTAGTGAATTGGACAAAATTATCATGTACTTTTATCAGGTAAAATCAAATGATTACATAAAATATAACCTATACTAACATACTTTGTTATTATCTTTAGAATGCACCTCCATTGATGGAAACAATTCAAGCAACCAAATCAACTCTTTCAACACAACATCAACAAACGTTACATAGTGAACAGGAGGACAATGATAGAACGTTAATGACTACTGAACAAAGTGAGTCAACAAAGGAAGAGAAACAACAGAACGACAATGGCCAACATGGGACTGATCACGTGGAAATAACATCATCACAACAGCAACTTTATTCTCCAACAATGAACAATACAGTCGACAAACAAATCATAAACAATAACAGTGTACAAGAAATGGAAGAAAAAACACCATTTGTGGAACAACAACGTCAAAATGCATCTAACACAAATCAAATTCCTTCTAGTGAACAACAATCAACATATCAACAACCTCATATTCCGGCAAAGAAATTTAGCTCTATGTTGATTGCTCTGTTATTGGATCAAAATTCAAATTTGGCATCTCTTGGACAGCAATGTATTGTTTCTGTGGCTGCAGAACTGGCGTCAACACCACCAGATTCGGAAAGAGCTGCTCTTGATCGCTACTTATTGGATACCGAAATATTTGATGGAGTTGTCATGGGTCTGATGGATATTGTGGAAGGCAAAATCAATAATGAAGAAAATGACGAACAAGGGGAACAAGGAACAAAGAATACAGATAATGAGGAAGAAGGTTTATCAGCCAACTTATCTGCAGCATCATTAGACAAAGATTCTTTTTCTTCTTCATCTACAACCACTGGTGTTATTCGTCGGCCATCTGCTACCCCTGGATTTGAATCAAGTTCTATGACTCAACCTTCTGATGATTCTCGTCAAGGTGAAATGAATTTAGCGAAAATGATGTGTCTTTCGGTAAAAAAAAAAAAAAAAAAAAAAAAAAAGAAAAGAAAAAAGGAAAACAATACAAAAACGAAATAGAAAAATGATAACATCACTAATACAGTTATTTATATTTATTTAGTTGATCTCTGCTTTGACGGTTGTCTTGGGTCCAGAATGGGCTACCGAATTCTGTTTACCTATTGTGGAACGATTATCCCCAGACCCGATGTTTTATGTCCGTAGGGAAGCCGCTGGTGCCATTGGTAGTCTTGCCACTGTTGTTAACGCTGATGTTGCCATGAATCGATTGGTAAGGAATGAGTAGGAAGAAAAAGAAAAATAGTAGAAGCCATCATTGACTAGACCTAATCTTTTTATTTATTTATTTGTTTATTTTTCTTTTATAGCTTCCATTATATATGAACTTTTCTCGTGATACTATTTGGCACGTTCGACGATCATGTGTATTGGCTTTACCATTTTTATGCAGTGTCCTACCTGAAGAAACTAAGACTCAGGTCGCTATAGAAGGTGTCGAACTCTTCAAGACTGATGTCTCAAGGAATGTTAGAAATACATTGGCCGAAGTGATAGGAGAATTGATTGCGAAATTTTTACCTGAAGATTGGGAAACATCTGGCAAACCTGGAAAAGTAAATTCTGTTTGAAGAAAAAAAAAATGAAAAATAGGGGAATACTGATTTTTTTTTTTTGATGAATGATGTATAATAGGTACCAGACCAATTATTGAATTTCTTCTTATCACTTGGTGCAAATGGAAATCCGAATCAAATGTTCAAGTTGGAAACAGATCGTGCTCTTATATGTGCTTATAACTTCCCTGCCGTAGTATTAACTGCTGGTGCTGATTATTGGGACTCTCATTTGAAGGACACTTACCTCAGTTTAACCAAGGATTATCAAATCAAAGTGCGACGAACTTTTGCCTATTCTCTTCATGAAATTGCTCGTATTATTGGACCTGAACGTACTGAAAGAGATTTGGTTCAAATCTTTGCTCTCTACTTGATGGATTTGGATGATGTAAAGCAAGGTGTATTGGAACATTTGGCTGAATTCTTGGGAACGCTGGCCGTTAGCTCACGCAACGAATATATTCCAATCTTAACCGAAGTATGGGACGGGGTGATGACCAACTGGCGATTAAGAGATATCTTGGCTGCTCAATTACGTGAAATCGCTTTATTGTTTGACGCTGCTCGTGTGGTGGAACATGTTCTTCCTTTGGCTATTCGTGCATGCAATGATGAATTTGCTGCTGTGCGTGAAACTGGTGTTGAAGCTGTAAGTATTTGTATAATATATATATGTATATATACTGAAGACTAATAATATATTTTTCTTTAGTTTCCTGTCATTTTGGAAATTGTTAAACGCGCTGTAGATGAAGAAGGTGAAAATCTATCTCATGATGATGTTGAAGAAGAAAATGAAGATACCAAGGAAAGCAAGCGAAACTTTGCTCTTGCTCTATTGAATCATGTTATGGAACGTTTAGACGAATTCGTAAGATCTGATATGTACCGTGGTCGACTAGTGTAAGCCATTATTTCTATACATATATACATAAGTTTATATAAAGTGAAATATACTAATATATTTTTTATATTTATAGGTTTACTCAAATCTGTCGCTCTTTGTTGGATGCTGGGATTTCTGCTGGTGACTTTGCCTCTTTCTTTTTATCTCGACTTGCACCTTTAGCTGTTGATAATATTATCAACGTCCGCATTGGTACAGCCCGTACTATTCGTCAACTCTATCTCAATGATGCTTATCGACAAGAGCTTACCACTGTGGCTTCAGTTGATGGTATGGAAAATGACGATGATGAAGTACCAATTCAATCAAGCAAACTATTAGAACAAATGGTATATCGACTTGCTTTGGATACAGATCCAGATGTGCGTATGTTTGTTTTAGATTTGGTGGATCCCGAAGTACTGCAAGAAAAGGAAAAGGTACTATTAACAGCGGCAGCATCATCTAAACAACACGAAGACGAAGAGGATCAACAATTTGACGGTGCTACTGACGACAGCGGTATGGTTGGGACACCTATGCAAGATATTGAACGCTCATCTACTCCAACAAGTAGTACTCTGATTGGCACAAACGCGAATGAATCATCCTCGACAGGTCATCATATTATGCGGAGGATTCTATCCAACGAGGAAGAAAATGATGAATCAAATGTTGAATACCACCATATAGACAACTCCAAAGTTATTTCGACACAACCGGATGAAGTGCAACAACGGCAAGAAACAGTTGAATCCGTGGATGAACATACTAGTGACGAAGAAGGCAAACATACTACCAATATGAACGGTGCAGTCAATGCAAGTCTAGATAATGATCAGCATTCTATTCACAACAACACGGACGATACTGGAAGTGATGATCTTGATGATGAACATACCTCGGGTACACCTATGGATTGCACTGAGGATGGTGGTCAAGAAAACAGCAACAAGAAGGATAACCATGACGAAGATGGTGATGAAATGATGATGGAGGCTGAACGTGATGACTGTGAAGAAGAACCTGCCATGATTGATGACGATGATGATGAACATGAACCGACATTTACTGACGAAAAGGAAAAAGGTGAATATGTTTATTTGTCCAAATCTCCTCATGGTTCCATACTAGCAAGTTCCCCTACATTGAATGCTGGCAAGGATACGACTTAGATCTTCTCTCTTCCTTCTTTTTTTTTTTTTTCTTTTTTCTTTTTTTATTTTGTTTACTCTTATAGTTAATTATTTTTTATTATATTATTTTATTTCTTTTTATCTTCTTCCTCTTCTTTTCACTACCCCATCTTCCAGTGTAGCTTATATACATTATATAGTTTTAGTTAGTTTACCATCGATTTTTTTTTTTTTTTAGTGATGTATCTATTTCCCTCTTTTTTTTCACTTTTTTTATTGTACAGAACGATGACCTTTTTTTTTTCTTTTATGTATTCATATATTTATATATATATATCCCTTCCCTTTTTGTTTTCTTCCTATTATCTTGACTTTATAATAAATATTCTGCGCATCCGGTTTTAGTGATGACACCATAAAAATGACGGATAATACCTCTCTGTTGATGATTATTGAGAATCTAGAGGATAATGACCATTGTGATTGAAAAAAGGATGAATAAGAATTTTATTGAAGTAATATATAATAGCTAAGACTAACATTAACAACCCATAAAATAAGTTATGGCTTTGTACAATGCTTTTTTTTTCCACTTGTTGACATTGACTTCCCAGAAGAAATATGCATGGACAGCATGCAATGAAACCGACCAAGAAAAAAAAAAAACAGGAGGACGATTGAGCCAATTTAGATCAGGAAAAAAAAAAAAAAAAAAAAAAAGAGAGATAAGGAAAAAAAGAAAAGAAAAGACCCTGAAAAATTTTGGAAAAAAAAATCTTGACTCCTTTGGCGCACATGAAGTTGGTAATTATTTAGGTTAGAGTTCTGAAACCTGAAAAATGACTGGAAGTGGTTCGAATGACTTTCTAAAAAGACTTAGACTAGCGTAGACCCATTAGGCAAGACTGATTCACCATTAGTCACTCTTTATTCGTCATCCATCATCTGTCATTCTTTATTTTATAACACTATCATTACCATCATGCTAATATCGTATATCAACCCATCACATATCATCTCTCATAAATAAAAAAAAAAAATAAAAAAAATAAAAAAAGAACCTAATGGTAAATTGAAAAATGATCATTGATTGACTTCGCCATTATGCATTTGAGAATTTTTCAAGCTTATGCAAGTTGAAGGTCATTATAAGGATTGTACATGTTGGTGTTGATCAGGGGATGAATGAAGGTTATCGAAGAGACATAGAATATCATCAGTATGAAGGATTATTCATATGAATGATTGTTTACATGTATATATTTTTTAAGGCAAGGTTTCACTGCACCGGAATGCTCTACATGTTGCATCATAGAAAAAAAAAAAAAGAAAAAGACATGGATGATTCCTTGAGGGAACACTATTTCCTTCTTTTTGCAGGTTCTCGGTGTCTTTCTATAAATAGTGGTGGATAAACGTATTTGCCATCTCCGGTTTGCTTAGTTTTGAAAGGAACAATGGGAAATGGAAGACTCAACAGAAAAAAAAAAGTCAGAACAAATAAAATGAACTATCATCATCATCACCATCATCATTACTATTGTTATAGTGATTATCGTGATCATCAAAAAGCCATGATCTTTTTTTTTTTTTTTTAAATAGAAACGGATAGAACAACCTAATAAATATGTATACTGGTATCAGACTGCATGGTTTTTAATTTCTAATGAACAAATGAATCAGCTGTGCTCCATCTAAAAAGGAAGTATTCAGTTGACATTGAGTAATTTTTTCTTTTTTATTTTTTTACTCGGTGATAAGCATTTTTTTTTTCTATTCACGGTTGATGATGATGATTTAGACATTATATACTAACAAGACGAAATATGAAGAATGGAATGGACAACAAGGGGAGTATAGAAAAAAAAGAAAATCAATAATATGAAATGACAAACGGAATGAGTGAAACCGAGGAACAAGGTGGTTCGATCGTGTAACCAAAGGAGAATGAAAAGGTTGAACCGGAGAACAAGGGAATGTATTAAACCGAGGACAAGAGATCGTGTGTGGTCGCGTGAGGTGGTGTGTTTGCATAATGATTACTTATCATCAATTTATTTTTGTTTAGGTTAAAAAAAAAAGAAAAAAAGAGAGGGGGAAGGGGTTATTTTGATTTAGCCGCCGACAAAAGTTACATAAAGTATTATATTTGTTCTATTTTTCATTTTCTTTGTTTTCTTTTTTCATTCTTTACATAACATCATGTCTACAGCTGTAATTCCTCAAGGTACCATCTATGAACCTCGGTCTTATCACGATACCAATAACAACAATGATAATATCAAAACAAATGTATTATCATCTACTGTACCTGCTTCATTGTTACAACCCAATCAACAAGAAACGGAATCTGAAGAAGAAAAGAAAAAAAAGAAAAAGAAGACTTTAAGACATGTAAGTTATTTTTTTTTTTTTTTTTGGTTAACTTTGTATACTGATGACGATGATCATCATCATTATTTAGGCTGTTGGGCTTATTGTCATTGACCCTATCACAAAAGGGGTACTGATGTTATCAAGCAAGAAAAGAGAAGGTGCTTACGTTTTACCAAAGGGTGATTGTTTGGTAGAACCTAAAACTGAAACTTATGAAGAAGCTGCCTTCCGTGTCTTATATGAAGCTGGTATCAAGGCATCTAGCTTATCACGAAAAGTGGGTGTATACACTGAAGCCAATAAAAAAGGCAAGATTATTGCTCATCATGCTATGTTTGAAGTCTCCTCTTTTACTCTTCTACAACCTTCCCCAGAATTTGGTCGTACTAGAGTTTGGGTAATTATACACGTTATAAAATGAATCCTATTTTCTAATCATCATTATCATTCTATTAGGTATCCTATGAAAACGCTATCAAAGCTAGCCTTGATCGTCCCATGTCCTGTATTGCATTGAAAAATTCATCCATTCGCCAATGATTTCCCCTAATTTTACATATATCACTTATAACTGAATAAAAAGAAATCTTATTATTGTTGTGCCTTTTCCTATACATTGTCCCATATATATATCAAGTTTTATTATCGTAACAATATCATCATCCAATATCAAAAAACAAAAGACATTTTCAATATAAAAGTATTCTAATATACTAGTGAACCTGACTATAAACTATAATCCACAACTGTGAAAAAAGAAACAAAAGGAATTGAGTAACATTCTTCTGAACCCATTCTTTTCCTCTGCTGCATCAGATTCTTTTTTTTTTTTTTTTTTTTTTACCTAAAATTTAGATCATCCACCATAAAACTATCTTGACAATTCAAAAAAAAAAATTCCATGCACGTGCGTGTCCTCCCAACATTGCAGGATGATGAAGAAAGAAACCTTGCCAAGGTGTTCCCCTTTTTTTTCGCCACTGTAAAAATTCCTATATTATCATTCCAGGTTTTTCCGGTTACCGTTGGGAAAAAAAAAAGAAAATAAAGAAGTATTTAGTTGTTTCCCCCCCTTTTTTTTTCCACTGTGTTCTAGGCACCCCCAACAAACCAATTCCAGCTACCCGGATCCTCTTTATCAACACCGACAACCACTATCTTAGCCCAAAAAGTTTTACTTACTATTTCCAAAATCATAAAGATAAAGTCGTATATATATTTATATAGATGTAAGACAGATTGGTAGATTCATAGATCATGATGAAAAAGAAGGAAATGTCTTTTTCTATCAATAATGAAAGAAAGAGAAAAAAAAAAAAAAAAAAAGAGAGAAAGAAAGAGAAGATTTTCGGAAAATGAAAAAGACCCTTATTTTTATTAAAAAAAAAAAAAAGAAAAAAAAAACTATACAGCTACTAAATATCTACATAACGTTCCAAAGGTCCTCCAAAGCACAACATACTTTGCCACATGCTACAGATGCCGATAATGAATAGTTTGATATACCTAATAAAGAAAAAACATGAGTTAATCATCATTATTATTATTTTTGAATATCTACTTTTGACTTACCAATCTTTTCATCAGTATATGCATCAGCAAATGTATCTTCCCCTTTGGCCATAGCTCCCACAGCAATTACAAGTGGTTTTTCATCTAGATTCAATTCCTTGAAATAACTGTATAGTCTTACCTTAGGCGCATTCCATGACAAGGCTAGTATCAATAAATAAGAAAAAAAAAAGAGTCATAAAAAATAAAATAATGCTATATATATATATTTACCGAGTTTGATTGCGTCTTTGGGTAAATGTTGAATCAATGGAGGTGTAATAATTTCAAGTAATTTCGTTTGTCCCATTTGACTAGTAATATAACCTCGTTCCAATAATTGAACTAGATAATTAAAAAATAAAAATGAAAGATGAATCATCATATATATATATAATTCTTCTCAAAAATGAACTTACTCATTAATCCAGAGAATCGTTTGATAGTTCTTGGAATACGACATTCAGGATTGATACGAATAACGACTCCTTTGGCTGTATGAATATATACCTATATATGGAAACAAATTCCAAAAAAAAAAATACTAAGTATCATCGTATAACTCATGTATGAATGCAAAAAAAAAAAAAAGGTTTTATTTTGATAGAAATATATCTTACCTCCAGGTGACCAGCCTTGTTAAGAGGACTATCCAAAAGTGTAAGGAGACACTAAAAAAAAAAAAAAGAATAGGTTAGTTCGATCTACTTCTTTTTAATGATATTACTATGATCATTATCACTTGACGAAATGAACTTACTTGATGAACAATATCAGGTCGAGCATCAGCAATATCCCTTCCAAGTCGTTTCAATATTGATTGATGTTCATCACAGTTCAATAGTTGCATTTTACTGTCATATCTATTTGGATTCAATTTGGCGGCTTCTAATGAAGCATTTTCCAAAATAACAATTACTTTTCGCTTTTGCTGAGGTATCACTACATTTGTTTCGTCTGTAGAAGTTGATCCATTCACTTCCATATTAGTTGTATTTGAGTGGTATATACAGATATTCAAAAAAAAAAAAAAAAAAAAGAAAAGAAAAAGAAAAGAAAAGCGGATAGAAAATAAAATGGGTCGGAATATGATGGTACTTGATGACCGTCACACAGTTGTCAAAATAGATAAGCTTGTTACTTTTAAATATATCATTGAAACAAAAGTAATCTTTTTATATTTTTTATTTCTAACGTATAATATAAGTATAAATGTATAAATTCTAAACTATATTCAATATGGTATGATTATTTCTTGCTATCTATCAATGATGAGTGGGTTTGGAGCCTAACAAAAAAAAAATATGCGGATATTTAGCGATTTAATCTTGGATTATCTCTCTCCCCCTGAATATTTCTTTACCATCTACTCGTAAATTTCGTGTAGCTGAAGGGATACGCACTGTGATTCCATCCAAATCTTGATTCATTTCAATTTGACAACCTAATCTCGACCTATAAAAATAATAATAAGAATCCTGATTTAGCCTAAGATAATAATAATAATAATAAAAAAAGGAGTCGTAATTGTATAATCACACTAACTTACGTATCTGTCAATCCAAATGCCAAATCCAACATATCATTTTCTTCATCCGATGGTTCTTCCATTCGATCGAAATATTCTTGATCACAAATAACATGGCACGTTGAACAAGCCAAGGATCCTTCACAAGCACCTGCACCAAAAAAAAAAAAAAAAAAAGATAATCCAAATTTATGAGTTTCTTCATTCATATCTAATATTGTCCATTGAATAGTTATATTTCTTCCTTACATTCCAGATCAATATCATATCGTTGAGCCAAGTCTAACATGGTATCTCCTTCAGTAGCTTTGACATCAATTGTTTCACCTTCAGGTGTAATGAAGTGAACGGTATATGGTCTAATATATAATAATACACATTTTAGTTTTAATTTGATCGAAAATGTAAATTAAGTCTTTCTTTTTTTTTTTTTTTTTTTTACCCTTCACCACGGGAGATATCCGATTTGCCATGTAGTAGAGCTGTAGGAGAAACAAAGAATAGAGGAATAATGGGAATTAATAACTATTCAATACAATAATCAAGAAAAAAAAAACGACTTCTTTTGTTTGTTACCTCCAGTTGTAGAAAATGCCTTCATACTAGTATTCTTCCAAAGATATGATTGTTTCGCAGCTGCTTTGAAAAGGGGTGCTTTGTGACTGAAAAGTCGTAAAAGAGACATTGTTTCAGAGTATATATGTATATGTATGTCAATTCCAATAGATATATATTTTGTCGAATATATTTCTTCTCTACTTAAAACGGAGGAGGGAAGATATATAAAAAAAAGAATGTAAGGGATCGAGTTCAAAAAAAAAAAGAAAAAGAAAAAGAAAAGAAAAACACAGAAAGGGTAGTTTTTTTTTTCTTTCTCTTTGAAAGCCAGTGAATCGAAGTTTTTGGGCCAACTTATTTTCTATCGACGTTTTTCCCACCGCCATTTCGGTGGTTGAAAAGAAGAAATGGAAAAATGGTTAGTGTTATGATCAACTAAACATTATTTGTGTACGTGCACTTACCAAAAAAAAACAAGAAGACCCTCCGGCTCTGAGGCACGGTCGCCACGCATCAACCCATCCAGGATGTGCGCGACGCAAAAGGATAGTGTAAATATCATAAATGGAAAAAAAAAAAAAAAAAAAAGAGAGATCCAGACAGCAAGAAAGAAAGACAGAAAGCAAGGACAGACAACCAGAGGCACAACGAGGACACGAACAGCAAGGAAAACGGGGAAACAAGAATCACAAACAAAAATGAGAGTGTTCTGTTGCGTTAACCAGGCGAACGGAAAGAAGAAGACACCAACAAGGAAGCAGCCAAAAAGAAGCAAATAAATTTTTTTTTTGATTTTTTGATTTTGAATTTTTTTTTTTTTTTTTGTGTTTTGTAGAAGAAAGAAAAACAAAAGAAAGGAGAAAATAAAAAAAAAATGTCTTTTATATTGTTTTTTTTTTTATCTCCAATCCCATTGAAGCTATCAAATAATGATTATTCTATGCGATCAAGGAAATTCAACTCCGCGAAAAAAGGCTCAAATGCTCGTATCTTCTCTTTTCTTTTCTTTTTCTTTTTTTTTTTTTTTGTTGTTTCCATTATATTCTAATTGTATAGTATTTGCTATTGGATAATAGAAGGTTGGTGTCTTTTGGTCGTTTTGTTGTTGATGGTAGTGAAGCAACCCTTTTGTTTGGTAAGTTATCTCGACTTTTCTATGGACTCTGCCTGTTTTTTTTTTTTTCTAATTTACTGTACACATTTATATGCATAGAGAATGTTTAAATGGGTACAGATCAAGATCAACTGATTGAATATACTATTGGACCAACGTGATGCGTTTGTAGTACGATTTGACTCTATATGAAAGCAATACTAAATGTGCAAAAACACCTCTGGTTGAACTTCGAAAACGACGTGAGTACGTTAACTCAATTTATATTCATCATTTATCAAAACGTTTGGTTTTCTTCTTTTTCCTTTAGAGATTGCAACTAATATTGAAATGACTACTTCCTTACCGTCCTCTTCATCAACAAATCAAGATATCAGGATGTGAACCAGAAATGGAACAAACTCTCAAGGATGCACCCAATATGCAAGCAAAGTGTATTATTATGGCAGGATTCTTTTTTTTTTTTTTTGGGAACAAACCTTGTAAGAAGTATTATTTTCAAGCTGATGGTGATCTGATGTATTTTTTTTAATATAGGATACTTTTTTATACAAATAATCTGTATCTTACCTGAAGTTATGATTGCTAGTTGTTGTCAATATGATATAGAGGAATTCTATGGGTCAAATGATTGTTATTGAATCAAGTTGGAACGCATTGTAGAGGACAAAGCCGATGGCGTCGACGCTGATATTACCCACAGTTTACTGAAGTTTGTGAAAATGTGATTAGCAAAAAGGATCAATGCCAAGGGTAGTTTCTGCATCAAGGCACTTCCAACAATGGTTATACGTCTCATTTGAATTCCTGCTGGTCTTACTACATTCTCTTCTCTGCCTGCATCTACGACTATCAACAACAACGACAATCGAATACAATTTCTTGAAATGCACCCACAGGTTGGAAGAGTACTTCGTTTTATTTTATCTTTATATATGTATATTATTAAGTATATTATTTCAATAAAATGCTGTATAGCAAACTTTTTTATTATTCAATCATTCAATCTATACCCATCCATATGTCTATTTATCTGTTATACCCAGCATATAGTATCAGGTAATGGTATGTTACTCGATTTGAAAAAAAAATCAAAGTATATGTATTTTATCTTTTTTATATTTAGATAATGAGTTTTTTTACAATGATACTGGCATTCACCAGTAGACCATGCTGTTTAGCTGATGGACTCCCGCATGAATGTTTATGCCTGACCAGGAATTGAATAAATTCATCCAAAATGGTGAAGTCTTTTTATTTTTTTCTTCTCTTTTCTTTTTCTCTTCCATTGATTTTTTTTATGGTTTTATTATATACATTAGTGTAGTCGTTAGATTACATACTTTTTTTATTCAATAAAGTTTTTTTTTTTTATTACATATAAATGGGGTCATTTCCATCTACAAGATGTAGTATGTGTATGAATGCATTCTTTTTATTTTTATTATACGCTTATATTACAGGTACGAAATACGCTGATACGACACATGTTGTTATTTACGTAGGTATCACTATAGTAAAGAAAAGGAAAATATAAAGAAAACCAAAGAGTAGAAGAAAAAAACGTTTTTAAAAAAAAGGAGTATCACTATTTATTTCACAAGTAGTGTGGTTTGGTGACTAAGTCATTGGTTTGTCGCAGCAACTAATCTACAGTAAAAACTTATATCGAAGTGAAGACTATTGGAATCGTATCGTTTCTCTTATCTATAAAAAAAAAAAGTAAAATAAAAAGGAATGCATTCACATATATAAAAAAAAGGTACATTCGAAGATGGAATCAATTGCATTGACATGTAATGAAGTGATTTCAATAAAAGTAAAGCCTTTATTGACTAAAAGTTTAACTACTAAAGACTAATAAACACTACTAAAATGATATACTAACACTAAAGTCAATACAAAAAAAAAAAAAAGAAAAGAAAAGAGAAGAAAAGAAAAGAGTGCAAGAAAAAAAAAAAGGAAGGGTCACCCTTAAAAAGATTTCGGATAAAATTTCCCGAAGCCGCCAATTTAGCCGTCGACAGAAAAAAGTACGCCCGAAGTTTTTTATTCGCGGAGATCCGGATTGGTTTGTTCCTTCACCCAATGATCTTTTTCTCCCCACACAGCTGAACATCAAGTGTAAAATAAAAATTCATTTCCATCATTTAATAATTATATTTTATTATTATCAACCATTTTCCTTTAACTATAATAGCTATTTTCACTTAATGATGTATATATATATATATATCGTATTAAATAATCAATCATTATCTTGATTCTATTACTCTTTCTCATCATGGAATTAACACTGTAATCGGAGTCTAGCTAGTTGTTTTGTATCCCTTATTGTTGCTAATGATTGGGAATAAGGTTCAGGAGAACACATACAACAAAATAGAACACGAAAAAAAAAAAAAAAACCAAGCTTGAAACAAAGTTTATATAATGATCTCCCCACATTTATCAAAGATCGATCTTCAATTATAAGACAACATGTTTTTGGAACTCATATCTTCTATGGGATGATCTTTTAAAAATCACACTATATTTATTAATGAGACTAAATAAGACTTATCTATTGTTTTCACTAACATATTCTTCCCATGTTATCTTTACTGGTCGAATCCTGATCTTTTCTTTTTCTTCATAAAGGTATGATTTAATGTCCGCAGCGTTTGGGAAGAAGAGTTGGACTGACGTGGCCAATTTTTTTTTTCCTTTTTATTTTGGTGAACTTTGAATTTTTTTTTTTTTAGAGCTCCTTTTTGTTTTCGTCCCCCCCCTCCCTCATTGACAAATTTTTTTTTGATTAGTTTAATAACGATGCCGGAACGAAGCAGAACAACTATATCAGATACCGAAACGACATCAACAGATACCGAAACACCTTCTTACCGTGTCAAACTATATTGGTTGGATGCCGATGGAAAATGGGAAGATAAAGGCACAGGCTTTTGTATTTACTTGGAGGTATGAAAAAAAAAAAAGGATGAAGAGGAAAGTTATATATGCCGAAATATGTATATATGTCTTTTTCGTTTTGCTGTAGTTTTTAAATAGTTGTTGAAAATAAGGATGGAAGATCTGATCATTGACTAATACTATTCTATTTTGTTTTTTTTTTTTTTTGATGATCTGTTTATGCTATTTGTTGTAGGGTACGGGAAGCGATCCTGACGAAATCTTTGTACGATCAGAAATAGACTCTACACCATTGTTAAATTCAAGAGTGATACCTCAAAGATCTTATCAAAAACAACAAGGTATTTTATTAAAAAAAAAGAAAAAAGGATTGAATGAATGGTAATATACAAAGAAGACAAGTGGCTTACTGTTTTTGATCTTTGGTAGATACTTTGATCGTTTGGACTGAAAAAGATAATGAAGATCTTGCTCTTAGCTTTCAAGAAGCAGATGGTTGTGACGATATATGGTATTTAAAATAAAAAAGAAGGAATAATTTTATTATTATATATACTTGACGAATAACAACAATAACAATAACTTTAGGCAACGTATATGCAATAAACAAGGTAACGAACAGAATACAGGATTATTGGACGATTTATTGGACGATGAAAGTGGCGATGGCGATAATACTTTACAAGAAATCAATGAAACCTTACCACAACCACAGTTATCGAATTTGAATGATATTGCCAAAATACTCACTAGTGTCACCTCACTTCACGAAAAAGATGAATTGGCTTCATTTGTTTTGGCTGGTGTAAGTTGACTATCTTTTTAAAAATAAAATAAAATAAAATAAAAATAAAAAGTGATTAATAATATTTATATTTCTTCTTTTCCTTAGTCTTACATCAACAAATTTTTTCCCCATTTTGAATACTTTGAACGAACAAACAATATTGAAGGTCTCCATACATTATATACCATAATGAATTCTATAAGTATGATATTGAAAATAAGATAAATATCTTTATATATAATATATATTTATGTCAATTTTTTTTTTTTTTTGGTAGTTATGCTGAATGATAGTTCCGTGATCGAATATCTAATTGCTGATGATGCTATCATGTCTGTTGCTGGTATACTCGAATGTAAGTGATCATAGAAATAGAAATATTATATATATATATATATATATATGTTTACATATTTACATGTTTATTTATAGATGATACTCGTACTCCAAATGTAAAAGCAAACCATAGACAAGTCATTCAGAAACAATCTCAAATGGAATTGGTAAAATATAAGAATATAGATAGGAAGGAAATGGGATGAACTTAATTCTTTATATAGGTTGTACCGCTAGATGATCCGACTACATTATCGAAAATGCGACAAACTTTTAGACTACAGTATCTTAAGGATGTTATACTGGGAAGATATCTCGACGAGACTTTGACATCTATGCTACAATCTCTTATCTTATTCAATCATGTTGACATCATTGGTCATATACAACATAACACTAAATTTCTTACTGACACTTTTGATATACTGAATCAACCTGATGCAACTGACATCCAAAAGAAAAAAGTGGTTCAATTTGTTTTACAACTTTGCAATATATCAAGATCATTACAACCAGCTTCTAGAACAATGTTTTACAGGTAGATATGATTAATAAACAAAAGAGAGAAAAAATTTTTATGTTGTACTCATATTTTATTTTTTTAGAACTCTGGCAATGCATGGCTATTTTGATATTTTTGAATATGCTTTATATTCCCAAGACGAAGGAATGCGAATCGCTGGTGTAGGTGCATTAAATTCAATTGTGGATATGGATGTTTCATTAGTGCGTACACGGATTCTTGAAGATACGGACGACAAGAAAAAGAATTTATTGGAATGCATTGTTGATCGGTTTATTACACCTTGTGATTCTGGTCTCAAATTTCAATATTTGGAAATTCTTAAGATGATTCTCGAATCCAATCCTGCCTCTCCTCCTGGTATTCTGAATGCCAAGGTAAACAATGTTTTTATATTTGTTGATGAATTTCTTTTTTATTTATCATTTTCTCTCTCTCTCTCTTTTTTTTTTTTTTTTTTTGATAGGTTCTACGGAAACAAGATCCCGGTATTGATGATATTCTTGGTATATTTTATGAAAAATACGCAGATATTGTCTTACGGCCATTACAATCCATTGAAAATAAACCTATGAATTTGGATGGTAAGATAATACATTTATTAATTGGTATACATATACCTGATTAATGTATTATGTGCTACCTTAGGTCCTATTGAACCACTAGAACATGATTATCAACAATCCGCCGTCTATTCACATCTTATCGAATTCCTTTGTTTTACCATTCAACAGCACAGCTTCCGTAGCAAGTACTTGATGCTCTCCTCCGACTGTTTTCCCAAAATGACTCAGTTATATAGATCTCCACAATCATCCATCAAACTGAGTAAGTATAGCTTTTTTTTTTAAAAAAAAAAAAAGGATCTATAGGATTACTAACTTTCTTAATTTTGAAGGTGCATTACGATTTTTCCGAACCTGTGTTGGTCTTCTGGACGACTTTTACAATCGACATCTTATTAAGCACAACATCTTTGAATCAACCATACGTATCTTACTGGACACTGATGGCAAAAGTAACTTGTTAAATTCAGCATGTTTGGAGCTTCTCGAATTTATTCGAAAGGTAAGTAATCACATCAGTTAATTATTGAAAGGTTTTTTTTTTTTTTTTTAATAATCATCTCCCATTTTTTTTTTTCTTTTTATTAGGAAAATCCAAAATTATTGGTCACTCATTTGATTGAGAAATTCGGCTCTGTGCTGGACACAGTGGACTATATCTCAACCTGCGGTTTATTACGATCACAATATGAACAAAACCAAGAAAGAACAAATCCATCCACTTCTCTGGCACAATCTGAATCTCTTCCGAATAGGTATAATATTCTATTAGATAAAAAAGGATGAGTGATGATAATCTTTATATTCCTTTTTTTCTTTGTAGGGATGAATTGGATGTCAACAACAAACGACAATCGATCTCACTGGATCAATATGAAGAGGGCTATTTCAATGAATCGGATGACGATGAAGAGGACGAAAGGATAACAGAAAACTTGGACGACAACAAAGACAATCACACAGCTTTAACAGAGCCAGCACCACCTAAGGGTACAAAACGCGATCGAGATGATAACAAAGACGGCAATGATGATGACAAGGATGATATTGATTATCTTTCGTCCAAATCACAAAAAACACATGATAATGATTCACCTAACCCATCAAGGAAGATCTCATTTATCAATGGAAGCACAGACAATGGAACCAGTAATAACATGGAAGACATTTTTACCTACAACGAGGACGATGAACAACCAACAAAGACTAATACACAAAATGATGAGCATGATGACAACCAGAATGGCAATGGAGACAAGAAACGATCGGGTGATGTTATTGAAGACCAACCACCTCAAGACAACAATGGAGATAAGAACAGTGATGATGATGATGACGACGATGATGGATTGTCTTCACCGCCTTCTTTTATTGGTCTTGGACGACGCCTTGGCAAGAATGATGACGATGATGATGATGATGTATTGGCCGTAAAATCATTGAAATCTTACAAGAAACAACCTGATCGACCCCCAACAACTAGATCTGCCACCAAAGCCTTGCAAGCTGGAAGAAAGATTGTCATCAAACCACAAACAACAACAAAAAGATAGTTGAAGATTTCACTCTAGAACACCCCTCCTTCCTTATTGATTTTTTTTATACATACATATATCATTACTCCATATTAGTTTGTCTTTTTTTTTTTTAATAAAGCAATTTGTATATTTTGATCGTCCTTTTTTTATTATTATTATTATTAATATTTTCTTTTTAGAGGTGATATCTTTGACAAAGCATATTATTATAAAGATGGAGACGAGAGGTTTATTCCAGATTGCATAGACCGAAAAGAAAAATTCAAACATCAATTTAATAGTCCTTTTTGGGCCTATGATATCCCTTTATAAAGATGTTAAAATATGATGATATGTCTATAACGGATCATAGATGATCAGGATGATGAAATAAATACATTTATATATATATATATTAAACAGATGATTTATTCAAATTGAAAAAAAAGACGTAAGGATAATAAAATGGAGAGAGAGAGTGATATACATATATAAATTGAATGTGTCTATGAATCTATAGATATGTGTATGCGTGAGTGTAAACAAGAGGGAGAGGGGGGGGGGGAAGGTGTAGACTCTAAAATCACTGATAACTAACTAATTATTTATTTTGGTACAGATTGTTGAAGATGGTCCACCCATTGTCTAAATTCAGCGTTTTTTGATGGTACACGAGGTAAAACTTGATGTACAAGCCATGATAATTCCACATTAGATTTTTCTTGCTTGGCCAACTTGACAACACCTCGAATCGTTTCTCGTGATAATCCAAAGCTAGATGTTTGGTTTTCCAAAGTCCGTAACACGTCGAATACTAAAGATACATCTTGTGCATCAATCAAAGCAGCGATATACATATTGATCATGGCCATATCATTGGCAGAATAAGGACCTGATGGAAAAGGTACGATGGGTGATGATTCTCGTACAGGGATAGGGATCTTGGCTTGTTGTTCAAATCGTTGCATGGTAAAACTGTTGAATGTGCGTTGGATATTTTGCATGGTTGCTCCAGAATCGTCATGTAACAGATGATGAGACATCACGTACTGCCAAATAGGATTGTTATAAGGAACTTGATTTGTTTCCATTTCTTTCAAGAGTTTGGGTACTTCAGGAGCAAGAGTAGGGATGGATGTATACGCTCGTAACAAGGGTGCATATAAATCAGACTTTTTCATCGTATCATCGTTGTTGTTGTTGGCGATGGTTGTGGGAAGTGCTTTGGAGATATATCGTTGTCGCATTTGATCGATGATCATGGTCGCCATATCGGGCATTTGAGCAGTGATAGCACAATCCAACATAGCTACATAGGTGTCCCAGGGTATACGTTCGTGATCAATTTCCCGACCCAATTCATTTCGTGTCACTGCTAAAGCATATTGAGACTGTTCTGAATCCATAGAGGCTAAAGAGAAGACATGTTGATACAATCCCATATCGCGTTGCAAACCAGATGATTTCAAAAGTTTCCATCGGTTCCACATTGCTTGATATTGACCGGTAACACCGAGGCAGGTCAACATTAACTTGATGGTTGTACGATCATGAGGGATTTTGGACGACATCATGATTTTTTCCAATTCGAAAATCCGGTGATCAAGAGATGGTGTGAATCTTAATGCTGAAGTCAATTTGGAAGCTAAGAAGAAATGATCAAAGATGTAACCTTTTCCGGGTAAGTAAGGACGGCAAGCCTTGAAGAGAGCGTGGAAGCAAGATTGATCAGCGTGGTAGCCAGCTTCATCCATGCGAGATAATACCACCAATGTCTTGTCCAATCGAATATTGTGCTTTGCATCATATTTAAATTCACTAGTGGTCGCATATGCATTTAACAATGTCTTCCATGTCATTTCGTTCGGTTTGAGGTCGTGTGCTGGCATGTACTCATCCACTATTTGTTCTGCCATACTGAGAGGAAACTCGTCTGGATCAATACGATTGGCGAGAGCTAGATATTCCAAGATAACGTTGCACTGAGTAATATCAAATAGTTTATTTTTATTTTCGGCCATAAGAGAATTCCAAGATGCATGAAGTTGATCCAGTTCAGGTGTCGATATTGATTTGAGAGGTAAGCCTTGAGTGCCACATCGTTTCACGAGAGAAAAATAACTGTTGGATAATGCTGCTTTATGAGCAATGAGCTGCATTGTAGTGTGGTCGGTAGTATCTGGGTAGAGTTGATTGCATATATTGATATAGTGTTGAGTAAGATTCAAATCGCCTTTGAATCCATAAATCCGTATCAATTTTTGTAGTAATTTTTGATCCAATTTTTCATCCTTTTCCAATGATTGCATTAATTCATTCACTTTCTGGTTAGCACCCGTAGATGCGTAAGCTAATATACCACTTGATGCCAATGATGATCTATCCAAGTCAGCATATTGAGGTTCCGTACTAAGTTGAGATAACAATGTTGAGATGCGATCAGTTTTTCCCAAAATACCATAAGCCTGATTAAAAAAAAAAAAAAAAAAAAAGAATATTTAATATAGTAATTATTACCAATAAAACGGATCATCCTTTTTAAAATCAAGTTCTTACCCGCAATAAAAGTTCCAAAGATTGTTGATCAGTTATAGTGGATACATCAAAGGTTTTAGTGAAAGTTTCAACAAGTACACGTAAATCTTCTTTTCGGTAGGTACCACCCAAACGGAATCCAAGTTTCAAAACATCATGCCAAAGTTGTTCATTCTTCTTGATATCATCTGAGATCGGGGATTGTGGAGAATAGAACCAAGAAGCAACAAAGGCACTTATATCAATATCAAGAGGAGAATCCAGTAAAGTCAGTAAAAGTTGTTGATACATTGCTACTGTAACGGTGTTATTTTCTTGAGCTTTGCGTACGAGATTGAATGCACCCTTGATATTACCAACAGATCGATATTTACTAAGTGTATCAAGGATTTGTTGTGGTGACATTTGTTTGTGTGTGATGCTGGTTGCTGTTCCTAATTTCGTTGATGGTGTATCCAAAGGTGTCGTTTTGAAGGTGGTTTTGTTTTCAGTTGCTTTCATACTTGTACGAGCAGTATAAGACAAAGGGCGAACTAAGGTATCTATGAACAATAAAAAATAAAAAAGATTAGTGGATGAATATCTATAAAGATCTATATGAAGGAATAGTTTATAAGTTTTTTTACTTTGTATCGTCGTTGTATTTGTCCTCCTTGAGATTTGTTTAAGCACATTATTGACAGTGCTGTTCCTTTTAAACATGGTTACTTTGAAAGAAAGGAAAAAAAAAAAAAAAAAAAAAAAAGGTTTGAAAAAGGGACAAGCTTAAAAAAAAAAAAAAAAAAAAATAGAGGGAAATTGCTTATTGTGACTTAAAAAAAAAGTACTCTCCAGGCCTTGTAAGCGGAAACTAAAAAGTCTTTCAACAATCATGAACAGAAGGATGATCTACCAAATGCATTAGCAACATCTGATAATTCTTATTTGACAAATAGATCATATGATAAACGAAGAGTGATTTCTTGTTATAAAAAAGTTTTAGTTTGAGTTGTGTATTGAATAAATCTTTCAATATATATTTTAATGTATCACAAGTAGTCATTATCAAACTGTCATTTTTATTTCAAAAAAAAATAATCCAAAGTAATATATATATAATTAAATAATTGCTTTCATCTTTAACCTAATGATCATCTACTATATACATATATAAAACAATCCAATTACAAATCTAAAGGGATCTACAGGGTCAAAGATGCACGATGTAAATCGCATAAGGATTCATTAAAAAAAAAAAATACCATCATGATTTGACAGGGTGAGCAGCCATAACAATATCTCGACCAAATGTTTGATACTGAACATTTTCTAAATTTGTAGTTGCAGAGACAGTGATGCCTTGATCACCAACATAAACAGGAGCAATGGTAACAATCAATTGATCCACAAAACCAGATAGAAGACAAGATTGAATAATACTACTTCCACCTTCTACCATTACACTTTGTATTCCTTCTTTTGAAAGTATTCCCAGTACATCTTTCCATGCTAGGCGTCCAGTTGCTGATTCTTGTATTGTGAAAATCTTTGCCCCAGCTTTTTCCAATGCCATCTAGTATTCCCCAATATAATAAAGAGAATGGTCAAAACAATAGAACATAATCAATTTTATATAGTACCTTTTTATCAGTAGATGATGATGATGATGATGTGATAATCCATGGTTGTTTTCCTTGACCAGTAGCATAATTCTTTAATAACCGACATGATAAAGGCAAGTTCAAATGTGTATCCAAAATGACTGGTTGAGGTTGATTGTTCATTTCTTCTAATGGTATATGCCGTGCTGTAGTACAGAGACAAAAAAAAAAAAAGGAACAAATCCAAAAAAAGTAAGTTATTTTGGTAAACATTATATATTCCTTTTTTTTTTTTTTTTACCGTTTAATTGAGGATCGTCTATACAAGCAGTACCACTTCCAACCAATATAGCATCATGTATAATTCGTAATCGATGAGTCATAGCCATACTTTCCTTTCCAGAGAGTAATAATGGTTTACCTTTTAGAGCAATTTTACAATCGATACTTTGAGCATAGGTTAATGTCAATAAAGGACGGTTAGAGGGAAAAGTTATATTCTGATATAAAGGAAGTAAAAAGTTTTTAGCTTGTTCGTACATTAAGGAGTATATATTTATATATGAGATATGAGATGGGTATGTGGAAAGAGAGAAAATCAAGAAGAAAAGAAAAGAAAGAAAATGAAAAAAAAAAAAGATCAGACTAACGAACAAAAGTATTTTGAAACTCCTTCTGATGTTGGATTATAATATTCAAACGAAATGTCAAACATCTAGAGAGACAATTGATTCGTAGTTTACACTTTTCATATATAAAACAAACATTTTAATCAATAGGAAATAAAAATGAGGATCTCTCTCTCTCTCTCACACACACACACAAAAGAGAGATATAAAGAGAGGGAGATAGATGATCTTTTAAGTCATTTGGTTACCCAAAGTACCACCTTCAATTCGATAAATGCTAAAAAAGTACAGTTGACCTCCGCTCTTCTTTTCATTGTAAATGAAATATGAAAATGTGATGTATCGAACACCCTGCAGATAAATCATAAACAAGAAGAAGGAAAAAAAGAAAAGAAAAAAAGTGGAATGATGTTTATTTAAGGAGGGGTAGAAAGTTTTTTTTACTATATTTCTTCCTTTGATGATTTAAAAAGAAATGGGCTGTGAATAACATCAGAGGTTGTTTTTTTTTTTAGTGTCACCCTCGGAGTACTATTAATCACTATATAAAAAAAAAAAAAGAGTTACGTTTGTTGTCATGGCCCAAAAAAAAAAAGGAATAAATAATAATTTTATTATGTATGGTTCATTATAAAAAAAAAGCATTCATATTCTTGGATTATTATTATTATTTTCAATATAGTCAAAATAGGAAGAGTAATGTGGACTGTGGGGAGAAAAATGAAATGATGTCTTTTTGTTGAAATTAGGACCCACATTTCTTATGTATTATAGGCGGAGATGTAATTGACATAAAAAAGAAGGTTGATGCATTCATCCTTCCTTTTCTTTTTTTTTTCTCTTTTCTTTTTCTTTTTTACTTTTTAAATATCTTGTATCATTTTTTTTTTTTTTTTTTTTTTACTTATCTTGAATTTTATATTCTCTCTTCAATGGTAAACAAACAGAAAGAAGAAAAAAAAAAAGAATGTTTTCATATTATCTAATTCTTTTATTTACTGTTCTTTAAAATAACTCTTTTTTTTTTATTATTTTTTAGACTACTTATATTAACTTGGAGGAAACAGATTCCAACCTGAAGAATTCGTTATCTGAAGAAAAGTCATCAACAACAATACCAACATTACTCACCAACACAATAATACAAACGCCTATTTCAATTTCAGCAAACTCTGACAAGAGAGAAGAAGAAGAAGAAGAAAGTGACGATGATGAAGATCAAGAACAATTTGACCGAATATCTGGTATCCTATCAGCATTGATTCATGAAGCAAATGAAGCTATTAATACTACACCTTCATCTCTATCATTCAATATACCTTCTGAAGTTGACACTCTTTTTGAAAATACCACTGTCATCAAAGATTTGACTACCACTTCCAAGATGAATTCAAATCACCTTTCTATCAATACAAACTTTGAAAACAATATTACTTCCAACATGACTTCAAATGATCGTTCCCGTCCATCCCGTTTACCAAGACCAAAGAAACTTTCTATTGAATCCATATACCAACCTCTTCGTAGATCTTCCAGCAATTCTTCTTATACACCGACTGTATCCTCTTCAACTTCTTCTACAAGTGATGATTATGATATCTATCAAGATGAAGATGCACTATTCTCACCAGTATCTACAGATCTCACTACACCAATGTCACGTACCATTTCACCCCTTTTGTTCGATAAATCCACCTTGATACAACTATTAAGACAAGAAAAGATCAACAACGAAGTAGAAAGAATGGAAACACATGATATCTTTAACGATAATCTTGATGATCACATTGATGATGATAATGATGACGATGATGATGATGCACTTTTATCTCCAAGTGACTCATTGATGGCTTCATTTGAACGATTGGATTCTTCTCTTGCTATTGTGGATTCTTTATCTCGTGACTTAGCTAGTTGCCGTCGACGTGCTCGATCTGTATCTACACTTAGCGATACCATGGTGATGAAAAATGAAACTCTTGACAACACAAACATGGATCAGTCAAAAAACAATGAAACAGGCTATTTTGATGGATGGATAATTGTGTTGATTCTACCTCTTTTGTATATTCCATGTATGTTACTTAATGCTTTATGGAATGAATTGATAGTGGTCGCCACAGTGGAATCAACAACGCCCTTGTCTTATTTATCAACCAAAGCATCAATGTTTGTATATGAATCTAGTTTTCCATCAACTGAACTGGCAACACCTACAGCAGGATTAGCAGTATTCTTATTATCGATGTCGATTCTTCATTTGTTGACGATGGGCAGCAGGAATCAGGAACACGGTCATCGTCACGTTATCAGCAGCATGGATCGGTCCAAATACAAGATGATCCGACGATCCTCCTTACCAATGGATCCTCCCTTCATTTCTTTACAACCTTCCATCAATCCTCATCTTAGAACTTCATCCTCATATACATAGTTTATTCTTTCTTTCTTTTCTTCCATTTGTTTCCCCCCCTCTCTCTTTTTTTTTTTATAAATAGTATATTGATCTTGTTATATATCGTAGTATAGTTTGTCTTTCTTCTCCTTTTTTTTTTGTTTACTTACTCTTTTGTTGTTGTTGTTTTTTTTTTATTTATATTCATGTTACAAAAATAAAAACTTTTTCCTTATCTTTCATCATCTTGTATCGTACTTATCCTTCTCCTTTTAACTTTCCTACTCTTTGAAACAAGTATCCTTAATATTATTCATGCTTCTAATGTTGTTTACTTTTTGTTGTCGAGATGAAGGCACTGTTGTTTAGTTTATTTCAATCATACATGCATTTATATTTATATTTATATTATTGACGTGGGACGTGGTTACTTACCATCATCACTATTTCTAGATGTATTTTTTGGAGTAGTTTATTTATTTGGATTGGAAAGAATTAAAAACTGAGACAAAAAGAAAAAAAAAAAGTTAAGTATGCATAAATTGAGTACACTTTTATAATATAAATTTATTTTCTTCTAAACATCTATATATATTAAGTAATTTAAAATACTAAATCAAAGGATAAATATCATTTCTACGATGGTTCATCACTGGCATTTCAGTTCGTATCTTATTCAGGTAGTCCAAATCGATGGAAGCCAATGCTAAGGTGGGTTCTGTTAAATCAGGACAACGAGCTAACACTGTACCCCAAGGATCTACAATCTAATGAAAATAATAATAATAATAATCAGTTTTTGAATTCAATATATTATCCTAAACACAATACCATAGAATTTCCATAACTAATTCGTTTTTGATTATGTTGACCTATTTGTGCTGAAGCTATTACATAACATTGAGTTTCAATTGCTCTTGCCCTTAATAAAGTTTCTATAAGAGTAATAATAAAAATAATAAAAAAATGAGTTGAGTGCACATATCATTTGCGAATCCTCTTTATTTTTTTTTTTTTTTTTACCCCAATGAGCCATTCCGGTCTTGACAGTAAATGCACTTGGAAAAGTGAGTATATGAGCACCTTGACGTCGTTGTTGAATAGATAATTCAGCGAACCGAAGATCATAACATATTTGAAGTCCTAATACACCTAAAGGACTTTTAATAGGAATATTGATATTTTCTCCAGCCTTGGTTGAATCACTTTCCATCAATCGAGGACCACCTTTGATATCCACATCAAAAAGATGAATCTTTTGATATTTTGATGTTATTTGACCTTGATCATCTATCACCACGTGAGTATTATAGATACGTTGAGGATCACTAGTGCACTATTTAAAATTAATGAATGTTTTCTAACATTATGTATGAATGAATTTACCTTTTCATGAATACCAACTGATACCCATATTCGTTCTATTTGAGCCGCTTTACGTAGACCTTGAATAAAACTAGATTGATCAATAGATTCAGTCAATGAATAAGCTTGTTCCTTTGTTTCAGATATAAAGTCGGAGGCTTCAGGTAAAAAGAGCATCTATTTTAAAAAAACATCATTTTTTTTTTCTTTGAGTAATTAGTAAATTCCCTTTCTGTTACTTACTTACTTTTGCACCTTGTTGAGCAGCCTTTTTCATCAATTGACAACATGCTATTTTATTTGTCTCTATAATAGAACTAGCACAAAATTGACCTATAGCAGCTAAAGTCATACTTGAAAAAAAAAAAAAAAGAAAAAAGAAAAAGGAAAAAAAAAAGAACCGGAACCTGAAATGGAAAACATTACCAACCAAAATATTGAAAAAGATAGGTGAATGAATAAATGATTGGTTGACTCGAATTCTCTCATTCATGCCAAAAAAAAAAAAAAAAAGAAAGAGCTGACTTTTTTTTTTTACGTCATGGGATTCCTCGGCTACCTTTATCTCTCACTGGTTGCTGTTGTTGGTAATAAGTTTTTCTCGAGACATGGAAATTATTTTCTCAAAACGCGTTTCTTTCTTTTTCTTTTTTTTTTTTTCTCTTTTTCTTTATTATTTCTTTTTATCATTCTTGACTCTTTTTATTTATATATTCCCCGTTTATAATTAAAGGTTTGATTCATTATGCAGACCAACCGTTTTCAAGACTCTACTGTCAAAGCTCCATCACCTTTAGGAAGGAGACAATCTACTACTTTTACACAAAACACGGACCACTTGGACCATATTCTTCACTCTGTACGACAACAAGTAAGTTTATATTTTGCTGACAAACCAAACCGGACTTTTTATATAATCTTTTATTTCTTTTTAATTAATTATAGATTGAACGATGGGGAACTAATGCTAAATGGAAAATAGACCTTGTATTGACTGAACCTGGACAACCACAACAACCACAACAACCGCAACAACAACAACAACAACAACAACAGCAACCTCCTTCTAAACCAACGGCTTATTCATTACCCGTATCGGCCACTACCCAATATCCAGTAAAGTATCATAAAAGTAAATATATTATTAAATTGGTCATTTACTAAATAAATAAATTTGTTTTCTTAGTGGGATTATGTACCACCTTATCATGACAAATGGAACAGTGAATATACAGAAGATCAAGAACAACAGGTAAATTAATATACTATCATTATAATTTATTCTATTAACTACCTTTTTTTTTTATTTATTTAGCTACGAGAAGCTTTGGAACGAAACCAATATCTTGAAGGCATTGTTCGCTCCCAAGCCGATCAACTGCGACAATCCCCAGTATTACCACCTGACCTCAACAACGTGGTAGAAACTATGAAACAAGTTTATCTCATGTCGGTAAGTGAATGAAAAAAAAAATCCTGATCTTGACAATAACTAAAAAAAATATTCTTTGGTTGTTGTTATTATAGGAAAATGAACAACGATTACGATATCAAACAGAAACAAGGCTATTGCACAAAGATATTCAAACATTGACCAAACGATTACAACGCATGGCTCAAATATTACATTCCGTAGAAGATTTAGAATTACCTGAAAAAGTAAGAAACAATAACATTAAAACAAATAACTAACTAAACTATTATTATTATTTTCTTAGGATGCTCAGTTAGAAAAGGATGATTTGTTGACGGATAGAAAACGATTGTTACAAAAAGTTCACCTTGTACAACTACGACTAAAAGCACGCGATGCGGAATTGGAATTTTTACAATTGAAACAAAACCAACATAAAGACGAGATCACTCCAGCAACCACTTCTCCCGCTTTGAATCAATCCTCCCCTCGATTTGATGCTCGTAATAATCGACCTTATCTCTTCCAGCAACAATATTCACCCAAATTAAGGAGCGACATTCGACCTAGTACTATCTCTGGTTTGGATAGTCTCGGAATATTGGCTGATCAAATGCTTAGTGATCCTGATTTTGAATCTCAACATGCAAGTGATACTGAAAGATCAAGATATACTGCCACTCCTCCTCCTCCTTCTTCTCGACGTAACAAGCTACGAAAACGATTATTCAATAATTTAAAAGAAGAAGAACCTGATCCAACCATTTATTATTATAATCGGCCAGCGTATAGTAGTAGCAATACTCCAACCTATTATAATCATGAAAAAAGATCCAAACGTTCTATTGATTCTGCAAATACTTTGTTATCTATGTTTCCTTCAAGGTCTCCTCAATATTCTGATAGAGGTAAGAAAGAAAGAAAGAAAGAAAAAAAAGAAGAAAAAAAATAATGTTTTTACTTTTTTACTTATTTATTTATTAGAAGCCACACCAACAACGGAAGGACAACCTATTTCCAAACCAAAAAACAAAATGGCCTATGTTCGATGGACACCAAATGAAGATCAATTACTGCGACAATCAGTGGAACAAAATGGAACAGGCAATTGGGACAAGGTAGCAAGTATGGTTCCAGATCGAAGTGGTCAACAATGTAGACAGAGATGGAGTAAATATTTGGATCAACGGCATGGACAATCTTCTAGTACAAAAGAAAGCACTCCAACCACTGATGCAAGGCATTCACCATCTATTGCGTCATTATTGAACTCTACTACAAGTTTGGAAAATGATGGTCAAAATATCAAATCTTCGACATCTCATTCGGTTTCTCCTCCGTCACACTATAGTCATACTGCTGCAACTGATGCTTCTTCTTCTTCTTCTTTACCACAATTCCCTTATGGCTATCATCCTCCTTCCCCTGTATCTACACCCAAGAATCAACGTCGTTTTGTGGATAGTCTAGATAGAAATGGATAATTATATATTGTATCGTCAATAAAATAATAGTAAAAAAAAAAAAAAAAAAAACGTTTGATCTCCGAATTTTGTTTCTCTTCCCCATTTTTTTTTTTTATCCTTTTATCCTTGAGTCATTACGCCAGTCCTTCCTATTATTCTTTGTATATCCTGTAATATAGAATTCCTTTTTTTTTGAATAGATTATATACGCATAGAGTATTATGGAACAACTATCGTCTTTTTTCGGCTTCAATAAACGTCAACGACCATCTCATTCACAACACCAGAGACCACATCCAACAAAAGAATATCCACAACAACAACAACAACAACAACCACCTTATATCCTTATACGTTGGCAACAAGAATCCATACCTATTATTCTACAACCTGGAAAATATCGACAATACACAGTTTACGATCTCAAACTTCAATGCAAGGCTTTACTTCATATTCCTTTAGCCACCATGACCTTATTATATAATGGTGGGTACCTTCAAGATGACCAAGCGACCATTGCAAGTTTGGGGATTCGACCTTATGCTACCATCGTTGTTCTTGGTGATCAAGTTTTGGTAATAAAAAAAAAAGAATAGATAGAAAGTGATAATAATATCTATATATATAGAATGAACAAGCGCAACAAACGGCATCAGGAAACGAAGAAGAAGTAGGATGCTTATCAAGGATTCAAAAAGTGATGGATCAAAGTCAAACATGGGAAAAACGTATATCGACTTTGGAACAAGGGGATATTCAGGACAAGGATGAAGTACTCTATCTCTCGGAAATGTTGATGCGGGCATTGATCACCTTGGATGGTGTGGTATGTCCTTCATCCTTCACTACTGCTCGACAACAACGACGTGATGTCGTCCATTTATGTCAAAGTCTCTTGGATCGTGTGGATAGTTTGAAATCTTCGTATCAAGATGGAAAAAAGGAAAATGGTATAGATGAGTTAGCATAGATTCAAATGTCATAGAGGACCAAATAAAAATCTTTGTATTTATAAAGTGTATTTTGAGGGTTGGTGTAACCCATCAGTTGGATTGCCACGTTTTTCGGTAAATGACGTTAAATGTAGTCTTGTAGTTCTTTTCTGCCAAAAAAAAAAAAACAGAAGATCTTCTTTTTCTGAATATAATCGAATAAAAATAATGATATATAAAAATTAATTTTATTAGTAGTATTATTACTTGATGAGTTGATTTCATAAATGAACAATAAGGTTGGAATGTAAAAATAAATAACAATGAAAAATCATACAAAATATCATTACAAAGGTAATACAAATAAATATAGAAAGAAAAATGGGGTATTGTGAAACATAAGAGAAATATATATTATATAAAAAAAAAGAGCATAGAGACATATAATAAAAAAAAAAAAAGGAAATGGATAAATTTTTCATTTGGATTTCCAAAAAATCCTATCCAACGTAGAATAAAGATGATCCCAAGATATAGAGGTAATAGAAAAAGAATAAATCAAAGACAAACGAAAGAATCGATGAACAGGTTTTCTTTTCTTGATCCATAAGGCACATAAGAACCAGGCCAAGCTGATAGTAAAGGAAGTCGTTTTGGACCAATATAACAGATAATGAAGAACGCTGAATATCAAGCCTGCCTGTGTCAAAACACCCATCCATGATGTTGATCGTCGGTTGGATGTTGTGGTTCGTTGATGATGATGATGATGATGATGATGATGATGATGATGATGATATTGATATTGATTTTTCAGTGCTTCCTGCTGTTGGGTATCGTAGTACTCTATGGATGAGTGGATGCAATCCATAATGACATGTTGAGTGATGGAGGTATTCAATGCATCAATAGTACGAGCTAAACTCGATTGACTCTTACGGAATCGTTCTAATGATCTTCTTCTGTTGATCTTTTGTTCTTGTATAGGTATGTCGACTGAGGATGGTATAGATGAATCACGTAAACTTTCTTGTGCTGTTTCAATCATCTGTTGAAGACATGATGATACTCTTTCAAGACGAGCCTCCATTTGTTCACTAAATTCTTCATCCTGATGTTCCATCGTAAAGGGTATAATCTTGTCTTCACTATTCAAAAAAAAAAAAAAAAGCCTTAGTCAGCCAATAACTAATTGATTCCAGGTGAACTTACATTGGGAATAAATATGTAACATCTTGATTTACCAAAGGGACATTTGTTTTTTTGTCATAAAGACAGGGTATTGGTTTCTGTAAATATTTTTTTTTTAGAAAAAAAAAATTAGGAACGGGCCATCCATTTGTGTAATAAGAAACCTTACCTTCTTTTGAGTTTTTTGTAGATCAATAAAATAAACGGATTCTTCATAAGACGGTGGTTCCAATTCTCTTAAAGATTCAGTTTGCATGGCATATATAAAATAAGAGGGGTATAAGTTTGGTATATAATGAAAAAAAAAGAAAATGAAGAAACAATGAAAAAAAAAAAAATAGAAAAAGCATTAAATTTATACGAGAAAGAAACAAGCGGGGGAGAATTAAACCCAGCAATAAGCTTTCACATGCGGAAACAATCATCCTTTTTTTGTCATCAATATTTTTATTTTAAAAACAAAAAAAAAAACGTGGTCTTTATCCTCTTCTTCTTTTTTGTTGTCTTGGTTTTTCTTGTCTTTGGTGGATTTCCTTTTACTATCAAAGACTATTTTCGAAACAACATTATACAATAGGAAATCATATATGTTCTTTTATTATAGGGTATATTTTGATGATGATTATATGATGACAGGTATTTTTTTTTTCTCTCTTTCTCTCTCTTCCGTGGATCAATACAGTAGTTGATGACATTATATTTTTTTTTTTTTGGTGACATTCTCTGCAATTGGCAACTCCTTTTTTGGGTATCATCAGCATGTGAATAGTTTAATTGAATAGAATATAAAAGAAAAAAAAAAATAAATATGGCTCGTGCACTTTTCTCAGGTAATAAGCAAATATGTACCTTTTTAGAAACGAAAATACGGGGATATCGGTGCCGATTTTCTCTTTTTTTTTTTTCGGGAATTCTTATACAATTTACTTTTTTGTAACAAAATATTTAACCGAATTTGAGATTCAAATACCCTTTTTTTTCAAATTTTATAGTATAACGCGACATTTTTAGTAATTTGATACATTAATAAAAAAGATAATCATAGATGATTTAAACTTGTTTTACCAGTATTGATCCTATTTTGGAGGCTTCAAAATGGATTTGAAGATTTCTTTGTAGACTGAGATGATCAAATGACTTTTTCCTATGATTTTCCACACATCATCGACACGCTGTCGTTATGATTCATTAACAAAAGAAGTAATCATAGATAATATACTCATCCTTTGTTAATGATGCTTATACGGTATGATGATAGATTTAAGCTTAAAAATGAGATTTGAAAGGAGATCAGCGCTGTGGATTCAATTTTTTTTTTTTTTTTTTTTTTGGACTTTACAGCCAAAATTTTCAAATTCCTCAGCCAAATTTAAGCTGTGAAAATAAATTATCGAGGGGTCATCAGGCATTTTTTGGAAAAATCGATGAAATCTTTTTGGTGATCATTGTACATTAGAAGGCAAGGTAAGCGATAAAATGATATTAGATGGAATTAAACTACTTTTTGGAGAAGAACCAATGGTGGTAATTTTATTGGATGATGATCGCTATCCAATGAGTACTTCTATTTTTATATGTTCTCTACAGATGAAAAGGTTGTGCTTGAATGCAGGATGAGTAAATAGGACGGATTTCTCCATTTTACACTCAAAAATTTTAACACACACACACTTATAATCAATGACAAGGATTGATACCGCTGGAATAGATGATTGAATGAAAAAGAGTCATTAGTAATTTTGTGCCAATCATCCATCTGCATATATCCAAAAGTACATAAAAAAGAAATCAGGCATAAGATATTTGCCACCTCTAAACGGATACTCAATGATGATGATGAAGCACTATCACTATCGACTTTCTCTATTGTTACATTGTCCATCTTTTTTGGTCAATGAAAAGATGACCAATAAAAATTCACATGCAATGCAAGCGGCATATCAATTTCAAAAAGAATAAAAAAAAAGTGTGGGGAAAAGGATTTCAGGTTCTTTTTTTTTTTTTCTTTTTCTTTCTCTTTTATTCCCATATCATACAATGACAATTCATTTATCCAACTCTTCTGATCCTAATGCAAAAGCAGCATTGACTAGATTGAATCAACTTAAACAACAACTTAATTTGACACCTTCCAATGCTTCCAAGCAAACCGTACTCGACATGACAAGGGAAAGAAACGCTGCTGAATTCAACATTGAAGCTTTAGCAAAGTTGTGGGCAGGTAGTGAGAAAGCTTACAGAGACAGAGTAAGTATCAAAAGAAAAAAAAAAAGTCATCTTCAATCAAACTCATATCTTTTTTTTTCTTTCTTTCTTTGACAAATAGCAAAACGCGTACAATTTTATCAAGAATGATCCTGAATTAGTAGTACAACCTCCTAGAAATTTTTTAGAATTGGATCGTGCAGAGTTTCGAGAATTGTAGGTGTTAAGATCATCTTGTTCATTCTATTCTTATACTTTTTTTTTTTTGTTAGTACCATGGGTCAAATTTATCGCCTGGCTCAACTTGCGAAAGAAATTAACTCTGAACAAATGTATGAAATTGGTCGTGCTGTGGGTATCTATTCAGAAAGTTTTTCTATGCGCTTTGGTGTTCATGGTTTGTTATTCAAGAATGTTATCAATATGCTATCCAATGATGAACAGAGAAATTATTGGATGCCTTTGGTGAATGAAATGAAGATCATTGGTTGTTTTGCTATGGTACTCCAAAAAAAAAAAAAAAAAAAAGATTACATGCAACAATCTATTCTAATTACCCATTCTTTTATTACAGACAGAACTTGGACATAGCTCGGCGTTACGTGGACTTGAAACGACGGCAACTTTTGATGTAAATACGGATGAATTCATTATCAATTCACCTACTATTACATCTACAAAATACTGGATAGGCATGGCAGGTCAATCTGCCACTCATACTGTGGTTATTGCTCAAACAATCGTTCATGGGGAAAACAAAGGTCTCAATTGGTTTGTGGTCCAGCTTCGTAATGTCAACACTGGTGAATTGATGCCAAATGTGATAGCTGGCGATATTGGTTCCAAAGTAGGCAAGTCCAATCAATTCCATATCTTTATTACTGGTACTAACGTCTTTAATATATATTACTTCTGTTGTTTCATCTAGGTCATCAAGGTTTAGATAATGGATTTATTCAATTCAAACAACTTCGGATTCCAAGATCTCATCTATTGGCAAAATGGGTTCGTCTCGATCGTGATGGTACTTTTCATCAAGCTCCAAATCCTGCCATGATGTATGCAACTCTAATTCCTGAAAGATTATCATTAGTAGGAGGTAATGTTTATTTAGAAAAAAAAAAAAAAGAAAAAAAAAAACTGAATGAATCAATGATATTTACAATTATATATATAGGGATGATAATTTTGACAACACAAGCTCTTACCATTGCCTCAAGATATGGTGTGACTCGAAGACAAGGACCCAAAAACCAACAAATCATGGATTATCAATCTCATTATGGTCATCTCCTTCCTGCTATTTCCTTTATGTATATGGTACAAACTTCATTTGAAACTTTGGATGAACAATTCTCTGTTCTTACAGGTGGTGGCAGCATCAAGGATGAAATAGTGTACTTGAATCATATGGGTGAATTACATGCCATTTCAGCCAGTATGAAAGGTTTAGTGGGCTGGTATTGTTCTGATATCTTGGAAACCTGTCGCCGTTGCTGTGGTGGCCATGCATATTCTGCTTACAATGCCATTGGACATATCATACAAGATTATGGAGTTTTCACAACTGGTGGTGGTGACAATGTGGTATTGCTTCAACAAACGGCAAAAATCTTACGGTATCGTTTAATGCAACAATTGGAAAATGACAGCTATCCCGAATTCAAATTCAAAAGCTCCTCACATTACATAGTACATGCTAAGCATTATATGGGACAAGACAAATGGCATGTGGAATCTGATCATTTGGATGACTGTCTTAAAGACTTTAGTTTGATGACAGATGCTTTGTACAGCGTCACCGTCAAGAAGGTAACAAAACGAGGGAAAAAAAAAAAAAGATGAAACTTGAACTGATTCTTTTTTTTTTTTTTTTTCGCTATTAGCTCCATAGAATAGAAAAAGCCATTCAACAAGGTGCCACTGAAAATGAACTCTTGTTGGAAAATGTCAAAGTAGCTGAATTACATTGTGCTGCCTTTTTATTGGAAGACAATGCTATTCGCTTTGGGCGTACCAAACCTCATACTTTAGAACCTACTGTGGCCAAGATTATGCATCGATTGACAGGTTTATGGGGCTTGTATGTCTTGCATACCTACAGTGATCAAGGTTTCAAGGAAGGATTTTTTACACCTGATCAAGTCAATGCTATTGAAACACTTTACTTAAAGGTGATAATTGAAAACAAAAAAAAAAAAAAATGACTAAAGAGTAACGATCCTCCCCCTTTTTTTTGGATAGACCTGCCACGATCTTCGGTATCAAATCATTGGACTCACAGGTAAATATATATTATACAAAACAACAACGTGGTATTGATCATGTTTATAGATGCTTGGGGTTATCCTGATTTTGTTCTCAAGGCTCCTATTGGGAAATATAATGGCGACATTTATGAAGGTAAAAGAAAAAAAAAAAAGACAAATTCAAAAAAAAAGTCATCAACATAATCCTCTATTTCTTTTTTTTTTCTTTCTTCATCTTGATGATACGTAGCCTATTTGGATACAGTCCTTCAAGCACCCAATAGCATTAGTGTCCCTTCATATCATACAAAATACATCAAGCCTTTGACAGAAAGAGCGTTCAAGTGACAAGCGTTTCCACTATTCAAATTAGTATTTGTCATTAGACATTTATATGATTGCTATGGAATAAAAACTCATCTTTTTGGGTGAACATATTTTTATTTTATTTTTATTTCAATTTTTTGATGTGAATGATAAATAAATGATATCTTTTTTTTTCGTTGATTGATATGTTGTACTATGAATAAATAATAAGGATATACAAAGAAAGAGTGGAGGATCATATATAATAAAAAGGAGGAAGCTATCTATTTGAATCATTCATCAGTCGTTTCCGATCATCATCACTGTCGCCATCATCCTGTTTGCCCATTAATCCTAATCGTAGTGCTTGTACTGCGTTGAGTTCATCTTGATCCCGCCTTGATGTTTGTTGAAAAAGTGATAAAGCCGGTGTTGTCTGTATAGCGGTTGGATGCTCAGTCAAGTCTTGTGTTGATAACAATGGTTTGTCCACTTCTTTAATAGTATGTAAAAGTGAGCCTAGAAAATAAAAGATAATAATAATAAATAAATTTATTTGGATGTATTCTCTTTTTTTACCTTGAGGTGACCACAATGTTTTCTCATCCAAATCAGTGTCCTGTTGTTGATCAATATTTTCATGGATATGATCCGTTTCCGCTGCTGCCGCTATGGTTGCCAAAGATCGTGATTGCTGATGTGTTCCTCTTAATCGGATAGATTGAGATCGTGTTGTACTTGCGTATCGACCAATTCCACTGAATGGAGCAGAGAAATAATCGGATGGACCAGTCGCTTCGCCTTGATGATGACCATGCTCGAACTTGTTACCATCACGATCAAAAATATTGAGAAGACTACTTGTTTTGCGTTGTAGTATGATTGATCCACGGCCAAGTACAGTAGATGTTGGTGAACCGACTGCCAACTTGTTGCTTTCTAGATCACTATGTTGTGCTTCAGTTGTAGGAGTCGCTGATGAATGATGTAAAAGGGTCACACCAGAGCAAATACAGAGAAAACCAACGATACAGGAAGCAATATCGGTACCTGATGCTGTAAAGCCTTGAAACAAAACCGTAGAACTGATGATGGTCATGGTGGTGAAGATCACGTAATATGTTGGTGTGACGAGCGCGGTGTTGTACAGATTCAAAGCCTTGTTGAGGTAAACAATTTCCAATATAAGGGTAAAGATTAATATTAATAGCATGATGTAGATAAACCAGTTCGTGAATTGATTGGCAGTACTGATTGAATAGACAATAGCCGAACCGAATCCTTGAGTAAATACTACGGAGATAGATCCAATAATAGAACAAATGAAGATATATACCAGCATATTCTTTTTTCCCCAACGTGGACCACAATAAAAGATCAATATCAACGAGAGTACAAATACCAAACTTGCATACACCAAAAATCCTATTAAAAAAAATATTATTCGTTGTTTTATAATACAAAATTATTGTCATCCACCTACCAACACTTAATACCAATCTTTTGAATCCTTCCACGGTTGCATCTGCGGCTACATTTGCAGGAGCATGTAAAACAATCATCACAGCACCAAGAATACATTGAAGACATCCTACTTTTCCATGAAAAGTCAATCTTTCCTTCAAGAAGATGGATGATAGAATGGCACTAAATAAAAAAAAAAAAAGAGAAACGGAGTATGAACATCTTGATCAAAACGTTCATGCATATAATATATACCTAATCACCACACTAAGAGCACCGAGAGGGGTAACCAATACAGCTGGTGCAAATGCATAAGCAACGAAATTACAAAATTCACCAAGAACCACTATCATAACAATAATAATATCATTATTATGAATATATCATAAAACTTTTTTTTTCAAACTTACTGAGAATAAGTCCAGTCCACCACATTGGCGTCTTTAGGTATTGATACCCTTCACCAGCCACACCACCTATAAATAAATAAAAAGACATATGAATGTTAAAGAAATGACCACCAGAAAAAAAAAAAAAAAAAAAAAAAAAAAAAAAAAAAACTTGCCTGGTTTTTCATTTGCTTGTAATAATCCTTTCTTTTTGAATACAAAGCTACTACCAATCAAAAAACCTAAAATAAAATGAATAAATAAAAGAGTTTGAATGAGTTTGTGGAAATAGTTCATTTGTGCTGAAAAGATAACAAAAAGATACAGTTTCACCTACCACTACCAACCGCTAAACTGCAACCGATACCTTTGTATAAAGCAGCTTGTGCTTCATTGCCAGCAGTAATTGAATCACTCATTGAATGAATAAAAGGAGACCGGTATAAGCGAATATGTTCTCAAAGAAAGAGGAGAAAGAGAGAGTAAGGGAAAAAAAACAGAAAGAAAAAGAAAAAAAGAAAAGAAAAGGAAAAAAAATCAAAAGAGGAAAGGTACATAACACAAAAAAAAAAAAAAAAAGAAAAGGGCTGGTGGGCTTTGAAACCAAAAAGTGGAGATCCCTCAATAGCATAAATAAAAAAAACCAAGAGAATCCTTTTTTTTTTATATTTTATTAATTAAACGGAAGTATATAAAAGTACAATAGAGATAAAAGATAACTAGGAATAATGCAAAGGACTAAATGTTTGTCCAGAATAAAGGGAATCCGAGTAAATAGAGTCCTGTTGAACATGTCTTGTAGGATGGCGGAAGGAAGCTTGATCTTCTTGACTCCATGCATCTTGAATAGGTGGATAATTCATTTGTCTCTTCTTTTGTTGTTGTGCATTATGGTGTAATGCATCATCCCATAAAGTATTTATATCCATAAAGTGTTGTTGTTGTCGTTCTGTTGTGGAATGACTGGGAACAGGTGAAAATGGAGGATCAGTCATACTGTCACGATAATTATTGATTGGTTGATCTAACATTGGTAGTGCCTGAGAATCCGGTCGTGGTTTAAATGAATTGTCGTTAAACTGTTGTTGAGGAGGAGATGGTGAGGATGATGTTGATGAATAAGACAAATGATATTCTTCAGTCATAGGTCGTGGTCGAAGAGCTGTGGTTGATGTTGATGATAAATGGGCATTAAATAGTTGACGTTGATGACTAGTTTGATACGATTCATTTTGATAATCCAATATACTGTCATCGTCCACTGTTGTATTATCATTATGGTGTTGTTTGCTGTCCAATATTTGAGCCAAAAAGTTGTACTTTGACAACCGAGTCCCACTGACATTATTATCGTTCTTCACTTCATTCATTTGTTCTTGATGATCGTCATCTATTATATATTGGAGTGCTCTGCTTTTCTGATCCAAGTTGCGTTTTCTACGTCGATAACAAAAGAAGAGTGCCACCAAAAGGATTGATCCACCACCTACTATACCAAGAGTAATACCTAATATTTGAGTACCGGATAAAGATGCATGGGTTGGTGTGATTTGTGGTCTGTTGCCACATAATCCAGTACAATAGCCAGAGATGCATTGGAAATCTGCTGCACAGGTAGCCCCATTGCTGAGTTGAGTTTGACATTTTTGTAGAGCAGCATTACAATAATCACCAGTTGGACACTTTCCATTTTGAGCCACAGGATCAGCAGCACATTCCATGTCACCAAGCACAAGTGAAGGGTTAACTGAGGTTATAGCTGATTCTATTGGTGATTCTATTGGTGATGATGACGATTGTAAATAAGAGGAGAATGTCAGAGAAGGTTGTTGTGTTGTTGGAGTGGAATAGATGGTAGCTGAATTGATTTGTGTCACCTGTGGAGTTGATACACCGCTAGATTGATCTATTGTATATGGTTGTTGTTGAGTTATAGTGGTTGTTGCTATTGTTGTTATTGTTGTTATTGTTGTGGGCACAGTCTCGATGGATGTTGTGGTGGTTTCTGGTTGGGTTACAGAAGCATCAGTGGTTTGGTCAGTAGTGATAATAGAAGTAGTTTGTGGTGAAGTTGGGGCTGTGTTGGTTGATTCGCTATTGCTGAAAACGTCTGTTCCTCCATCACTAGTTGTAGTATCACCGCTATTAGTTTGAGAAGAGTTGGAAATACTATTTGTTTGTTGACGGCGGTGTATAGCTAAATATATATATAAAGAACAAGATCAGTTAGACTTTGTTAATGTTGACGATATGAGCATGTACCTTGAAATGAGGACTTGGGGTAAGGAGATTCTAATATGCATATGAATATTAAAAAAAATTGAGTAAGTTATACGAAAAAGGTAAAAAAAAGAAATATATATCTTTTTATTACCTGCTAAACAAATCAAGAGATATGATAACAAGATGAATGAAATATAAATGGATTTCATCAATATCAAAAAGACAGAATATATAAAAAAAAAAAAAAAAGAGTGAGAAAGAAAGAGAGAAAAGAAAATGGAAAGAAAGAAAAAGGAAATAAAATTAAATTCACAGCTCAAACCTTAAATTTAACTTGACTACTTGTCTAATCTTTAAATTTAAATTGTTAAAACAAATCATCAGTGATCTTTCTTCTTCTTTTATTATTATTATTATTATTATTGCTTCTTTTTTAGTTTAGTTGTATATATGATGTATTTTACTTTTTATAATGAAATGAATCAAAAAGTGGGGCAACTCTCACTACTTTGATCATCCTTTGTCTGTCTTTTTTTTTCCTTTGCCGCCTTGTATCACTTTAATAAAAAATGATATACCGTCTTTCGATTCATTTGGATAATTGAGTGATCATCACTATAGTAATCAATGACGAAACTAATATTAATGATGATAAGACTTATAAACATGATAATCATAACAACTAGTAGTATTGATTAATCATAATAACCACTGAACCTTGTTTTATCTCGTCACGTATAATCAATGCTTCGTTCGCCGCTGAAAAAAAACATCAATCAAAACCAACAAAGACTTGGGTGTTACAGTCTGGTGAAACGAATTAACATTTGTGAAAGACCTTATCCATTCACACACTACACGTATATTGGTTGTATCATTTCCTTTTTTATTTTTTTTTTTTCAAATAAACTAAATATATATAAAAAAAAAGACTAATCTAATTGTAACAAACTATTCAAAATCGCTTGTGTTCGCATGACTTGTAAGGCTTGTTTGATTTCCAAATGTCGACGAGCAGCATCCAACCAATCAGCAGTCAAATGCTTGGGCCAACCCTTCAGCTGATTCATTTCTCTAGTAGCACTTTCTAAATCATCACCATGAGTCAAGTAATATTCAGCACGGGCCAGACGAGCTTCAATATCATCACCAGGGACCAATCCTTTCTTGGGGAAAAGTAATTTACTGAGAGCGATCGAAATAATGTGAGAGATCATGGAGCTTCCTTCTTCAGGGATCAAAGAAGCATCACGTACTTCCTTGGCCACCTTGTCAAATCTTTCCACCAATTGAATAAATGAGCTAATACCATGTTCAGCAACTGTTTCTGAAATATTGGCAGCAACAACTTGAACCAATTCATCATTACGTTTTTCCACTTGATTGGCAAAAGGACTATCGGGTCGACTAAGTACACGAAGAGTTTGTAATTCTTGTAAAAAGGCTTGTTTGTTTCCACAATAGGCAGCTCGTTTCAGGGCATCAATGGCGACCAAAAGTTGATGTGCTTTCCGGGAATCATCCAGATATTCTGCATTGGCACTTGAGAGACGTTCCAATTCAGTTTGACTAGCAACCACAGAATCCACATTAGCCAATCTTCCTCCACGTTCTTCCTCTACTTGGCGTTGTACTTGTTCAGCAAAGTTTTTTTGAAGAGATACCATTTGATCTGAGAGATCTTGTTTTAATGTGGACATTGCTTGTTCACGTTGACTATCCAATTCCAATTGTCCCATATCCACCAATTGCTGTTGTAATTTATTATTTTCGGCTACCAATAACTGCTTGAGCTTATCCGCCTTTTCAGTAACACGTTTCTTGGATTTAGTTTGAGCATCAGTCACCTTGGCCACGAGTTCCTTGTAATGTTCAGAGACTTGGTTGTCTACCTTATCAGCATGTTTATTCAATTGTGCCACCTTGGTCAAAACGAGTTCTTGTCCTTCACGCACGGCTTTGAATTCTTGATCAATCAAATGGATATATCTTGAAGTAAAATCAGCCAATCGTTTTGCATGTCCAGTCAATCCAACTTGATTCAATACTTGGATCAATTCTTGTGTTGTCTTGACCAAATCATCCACTGCAGGTTCACCAGGTGTGATTTTGAAAGAGGGAATACGTGCAGCACCACCACCTTGAACAATATTGTCGAATAAAGGTGTTTCCGTCTTGTTGAATGATCGTCGTTGTCGATTGTCAGATGAAGTCAATGTTGCAGGTTCCTTTTCACCTTTGATTTGAGCCACAGCTTCACTCAAATAGTCATACCAATCCATGACAGATTCTTTAATGTTACTAGCATGAGTCGAGACCGTAGAAGCAGTTTGAGAAGCCTGATGTTTCCATGCCACACCCTTTTCATAATATTCCTTAAAATCAGCATTGGCTGCAGTATCTTCCAAAAAGTCTAAAACACGTTCACCACCGGGAATGTAGGTTGTATAGGTATCGTGAAAAGCTTCATTGTTCAAGGCAAGATATGTAGCTCCAGCATAAGTTCCAGTTCCAATCAATGTCAACCACAATAAAGACTTTCCAACAGAACCTGACTTTTTCGTACTTTCTTCGCCGTTTGTCGTATATGTTCGCTTCTACATTTGGAAGAAAAATGAAAAGGATTTGATGAGTATTCTTTTTTTTTTTATTATTATTATTTTTTTTTTATTTTTGTTGTTATTTACCACTAAATGTGATCGAGTCGATCGTGCTGTGATACGAGACGTTGTTGAAAGAAGAGAAGCGCCTCGTAACATGATAAACGTAAAAAAAAAGAATGGAGAAAGTGAAAGAAAGAAAGAAAAAAGGAAGTAAAAAAAAAAAAAAAATGGGAAGTAGCCCCTTGCTCACAGTGGAACAAACAAACAAACAACAAAAAAAAAAACAATTAAATGTCCGTCAACTACTACATCGAGTTTTTTTTTTGCAGTGATAATGAAGAACATAAAAAAAAATTAATTCTACACAGACCATCCCATAGAAAGAGAAAGAAAGAAAAAAAGAAAAAGTAGTTTTAAGGTGTAGATATAAGAAATATTGACATCCAAGTTCCTGGTTAAAACATCAAGCTTGATGGTTTTTTTTTTTTTTTTTTTTTTTTTTTTTTCAATACAGTCTATGCTTTTGATAACATTTGGGAAATGAAATAAGCCAAACAAAAAAAAAAGAATATATTTTTTTTTTACTTTGTGGGTTTTTCAACATTGATTTGTTCACGTGGACAATCACTTACACACACACACATCCCCACTTAATTTTGTCATCCGCTAAGGTTATTTTTTTTTTCTTTTCTTTTTTTTTTTTCTTCTCCTTTTCTTTGTGAAAAGATTGTAGAATAACAAGTCTTGTTATTACTTTTTCTTTTCAAAAAAAGAATTGACCTCTTCTTTTCTTTTCTGATACCCCTACTTTTATTATAAAGTCGTCTTTTTTATCTCACCATAATTATCGAAACCTCATCTCGTATACCATTACAAAAAAAAAAAGAAACGTCATCATCAATGTTATCACCAACATTTGATCTTGCGCAATACCCAACCATCGATACTATCCGGTTACTGGCTTCATTATTGGAACGAATGACCAATGCAAACGATCAATTAAACAAGGCTCAAAGAAAAGGTACCAATGATATGCGTCGATCTTGTTCAGCTTCACCTCTTGTTTCATCCACCACAACCAATACTACTTTTACTTTATTCCATGCAAGGTCCATTCCGTCTATTGATATTTACTCTTATTTATCTCGTATCTTGAAATATTGTCCTTGTGCAAATGAATGTTTTTTATCTCTATTGGTTTACTTTGATCGTATGTCCAAGAATACGTTAGCTACTACTGGACAACCTTTTACTATTGATTCTTACAATATTCATCGATTGATTATTTCTGGTGTCATGGTTTCTAGTAAATTTTTTAGTGATATTTTTTATACTAATACTCGATATGCCAAGGTAAAGATATTTATATATCATATATATATATATATATATATATATATATATATATATAAATTATTGACTTTTTTTTTTTCTTTAAATAATCATAATAATAATCATAATAATAGGTGGGTGGATTACCAGTTTCAGAACTCAATCGACTCGAATTGGAATTTTTACAATTGAACAGTTTTAATATATCGGTATCTATTAATGAATTACAACGCTATGGGGATCAGTTACTCAAAGTTGGATTGATGGAACAAGAAATGAGAATGCTCTGTGATCCCTCATCTTATACCGTTCGTCATGGACGATCGACCTCACTTGGTTCCACAGCATTAGTACGAACTTTGGATGGTTTCGAAGGATACAAACAACGCAAAAGTCTAGATACTACACCCTTGATCGATGGTACAGGCAAATTATGTTTGGAGGACAATGTGAAAGAATCAAAACGGCACAGTGGAAGCAGTATTACCAAACAAAAAGATTTGTATACATATGCGTCACCATCTACACCTCCACAAGGTAAAATGGCAATGAATGGTCAAACAATGCGAAGAATGGGTAGTATGGGTAGCTTACATACAAGTCCTGTGGCAATGACAGCAACCAAAGAATCTCATCAAACAGTAATGACAACTCCTCCCCTTTATGTTCAACCTCAACAAAGATATCAACGTTATAGTTTTGTGGATTCATCTATGCATTCGCCTCCTATTATTGCTACTACTAGTAGTAATCATCAACTGAAAACACGACAACGTCATGAAAGTATGGGACTTTATGGAAAACCTAATCCAGATGGATGGCGACCTCGACAAACCCGATCCAGTGTCAACCTTTATCAACACAATTCTATTTGGAATACTTCTTCTGTAACACCCATCCTTGATCCCAACCATCATCATCATCAACAACCGCAACAACAACAACAACAACAACAATCATATTATCAGCAATATCCTCAAGTTTACACACTTCAACATTTTCCTTCTGGTGGACGTCGACTCTCATTGACATCAGTTCATGCTCCACCTTTTATACCCCAACGTCCAGCTTCAGCAGAATATTCAAGTACTGGAGGTTTTTATTATCCTGTGTCTACTTGTTATCAACATCCTATTGGTATCCCTACTCCTCCACCTTCCTCTTCTCCTCATCAAATCAAAGCTGATTCCCCTTCTCATCAGTTGTATCTATAATATTATCCCTCTTATATTGTTATTTTATTTTCTAGTATTTATTCTTTATATATTCCCATCACATCTTTACCATTAGTCTATCCATATCATTTATTTTATATTAACCATATCATTTATATCATATTATATATATATAAATATACCGTAGTAGTATCTTGATTTTATCTTTTATTTCTAAAAAAGACAAATAAATAAATAAATTAAAAAAAAATAATGTTGTATAGCCATCTCCAAAAAAAAAAAAAAAAAAATAAAAGTAGTAGTAGTAATGTTGTTGTTAGTAGTGGTAACAGTAGCTGGTCGATTGGTCATATGTAAGGGGTATAGGGATGGAAGAAAACAAAAAGGGACAAAGAAAAGATGTTTGAACAACGATAAAAAAAAAAAAGAAAGATTGAATTCTAACCAATGATGATCATGATGATGACAATGATATGAGATTGGTACTATACTAATGATAATATGAACCATGGAAGATGATTTTTTTTATGATGGAGGGATCGACCAAAAATAAACAAAACATCAGGTGGATGGGATCAAAATAAAGGCGACGGTGTTGTATCATTATTATCAGGAATGCACTGGTTGACTTGTCCACTACGTTATGTCGATCTCCGCCTGCTTTATGCACTTTTTTTTTTAAAAAAAAAATAATTTATTTTTCATTTTTCTTCTTGTTCTTTCTTTCTCTTTTTTCTTTCACCTTTTTTTTTTTTTTTTTAACATGATCTTTTCAAAAAAATTATTAATATTGAATGGTGTGTTTTCTTTGGTAAGAAAATGATTCAACATGAGAAGACTGATTTCCTTTTTTGGCTGATATCTATTTTTTTCGTTTTTTTTATACATATATAGATTGGATGGTTACTTGGTTTTATTGGATTGTGTACGGCAGGAAAATCAACAGTGAGACATTCATGGTGGATGACTATCTACAATCTTGGATTAATTGTCTTGATCTTTGGTGTGGTATGCAAATCCAAACAGGACATGTTCGCCCCTTTAGTAAGTTTTTTTTTTTTTTTTGGAAGATAGTAGATATTTTTAAGGATAGATAATAATAATAATATGCAATCTGCAATAGTTACTCTCTTTAGTCACCATTGGGATTCTCTATAATACGCAAGAAGTCTCTTTTTATTTGGAAAACAATCGATTATCTCCATTTTATGTAACTGGTGCAGGTTATATTATCCTCATTGTTGCACAGGTATCTTATATATTACTATTATTATTATTCTTATTATATACTTATCATCTTTTTTAGTTTATGTGGCTAGTTGCCTTTGGTATCAAAGATATATATACCGAACCAACAAGAACAACAAAGACAGAGGATGATGATCACTTGTTCACACCACAAGCAAGTTCAAACATCATGCCTACCGATATGGATATGGCTCAACACCAAAACATGCTAGTCAATGATGCAATGAATACCATCTACGTATCACCTCATGCTGAATTCAAGATTCCTGTTGTTGCTCTTCATGCGTATGGTGCTAATCCAGAAGATCCAAATGAGCTCTCTTTTGAAAAGGGTGAAATCCTCTATGTCCATGAAAAGAAAGGCAGTTGGTGGCAAGCAAAGAAATCCGATTGTAGTGTTGGTATGATTCCATCCAATTATGTAAGTGTACTGAAATATGGGTTGAATGTAGTGAATGGATTTGTGAATAAATTACAGTATGAGGAAGTGTGAGTGATGCAAAAGTTGTGATATCAGGATAATAAAAAAAAAAAAAGGATGATGTCTCTGTGTGTGTGTGTGTGTGTCTATGTGGCGTGATGATTGTTCTTGCTCTTCTTATACAATACTTTTTGGGTACTAATGACTTTTTTTTTTATTATTTTTTGAAGGTATCTTGCACCACTTCTTCTGGTTATTAGAAATCGCTGATGATGATTGTTTTTATCACCTTATTATATCCATTCGTATAATGACCTTATTACTATTCATTCTATAATACATCATTATTTCCCGTTCTTTATTTTTATTATTTGTAGTACGTACTTTATAATCCTTTTTATTTTACTAATAAAAAAAAGTGTATATATTTTATTATGACAAAATCATTTTTTTAATATATCTTATATTTATGGTAATCGTTTGTAGGTCTTTTTTTTTTCTGGTTTAAAAAGACCTTCCCGTATATCCTTTGGTTTTTCACGTAAGTGTACTGAAGAAGGCTTGTCGTTGGCATTGATACTGTGATCAGTTGAAAGGATTTCTTCAATTTCGGATATTTCAGAATTAGCAGAGCTATTTTCCCACATTGGTACCGTATGAATTGCCTAATCATAAATGATATAATAAATTAATAATAGTTAAAAAAAATCCATTCATCTTTTACGATCATCACTATAACGATCATCCATCCTCTTTATATATTTTCATCTTTATATAGTTTCATCTTTATACGAGTCATCCTATATACAAATCAGACATCATCATACCTCTTCAGAGACACAGGCAGTGGTGGGAGAATTTTCTCCATCGGTCATAGCATCATAAGTACTTCCACAAGTAGATTGTTCATTGGACCATGGTTTATATTCTTTATTATTGTAACTTTTAAAAGCTCGACAAGCATTTAACCTTAAAGGCTTCCTTGATATAATATAAGATGATGATGTGATTGTTATTCGTTTCATTTGTTTGTGGATTTTAAAAAAAAAATAAAAATAAAAAAAAGAAACGTAAAAATATGACAGTTTCATATATACTCCATTTTTCTTTCTGATTCATCCAATCATAATACTATTCATGCAAAATTAGTGTGATGAGAGTTCAGTGACCGACACGATTTTGTTTGAGATGACTTTGTTTTTGACATCATCATTACTAGAATGTTAAAGAAAAATTTAAGACTGTTAAAAAACAAAACAAAATCATCCTTAACTTTTTTCTTTTTTATCCTTTTCATCCCAACAAAAAAAAAAAAAGATATATTGCTCAACAATTGGTCATTTTCTTAACCTTTTCTTTTAGAAAACATCTGCATTGGGCTTATATTCCATCCCCTCCCCATGATTATCACTTTTAATCACCGCGTTATCAAATTGATTATTATCTTTTATCCCAAATTCGAAATAAGTACGGGGGGGGGTAATCCCTATGACGACAATGACTTCGGGGTAAAAAAAAAAAAAAAATAAGCCTCCTTTAAGCACATCTTTTGATAAAAAAGAATTGTCATCATAAACTGTTCCTTCCGTGATTCCCACGTCAAACTTCCGGTTTCGCTTTATCATCATCATCCCCTCTTTTTTTTTCTTTTTAACTATAAACTGGTATTACCATACATTAAGGCTAATGATAATGATTGATGATAATGATTAATGATGATAATAATAATGATGATGATGATGATGATGATGATGATGATGATGATGTATTTTACAATTAAGAGATCTATAAAAATTAATCAATAGGAAATCAATTAATAAAAAAAAGTATACATCTTTTTTTTTTCTCTCAGCTTCAAATCACATCTATCATCAAATATTCTTTACACTAAATGATTGTCCCCTTTTTTTTTTTTTTTTTGTTTTCCTTTCCCCCCGCCTTTTTCATGATTTCTTTTAAAGAATGTCATTTTGGAATCTTCATAGGTTTCACGTGGACAATCAAGATGTATCATAAAGATTGTCTCATCATCAAATGTATGTGTTCAAAAAATGACTATAAACTTTATTCCGCCGTAACACAAACCTGGGAAATGGGGGTATGAATTCTAAATTTTGCAAGTCAATGTCGCTGAGTTTACCTTTCAACGTTTAACCGGGCCCAACAATAATTCGTTATATAAGCGACGGGGTAAAAAAAAAAAAAAAAAAAAAAAAACTTTTTGCCATAAAAAATTTTTTCCTTTTTTCTTTTTCTTTTCCTTTTCTTTCTCTTTTTTTTTTTTTTTTTCTTCATCATTGTACATCATGTCTGCCCTTCGTGCTTTCACCAAAGTTGCTCGTCAACCTACTTTACGTTTGAACGCTGTTCGTTCTTATGCTTCTCAAGCTACGGTATGCATTCTTTTCATCTGGGAAAACGCGGGGCAATCTTTCAACATGCTTAACTTTTTTTTTTTTTTTTTTTTTGCAATAGTCCTTGAAGGAACGTCTCGCTGAAATCATTCCTGAAAAACAAGCTGAAGTTAAGGCTTTCAAAAAGGAATACGGTAGCACTGTTTTAGGTGAAGTTACTATTGACCAAGCTTATGGTGGTATGCGTGGTATCAAGGGTCTTATCTGGGAAGGTTCCGTTTTGGACTCTGAAGAAGGTATTCGTTTCCGTGGAAAATCTATTCCTGAATGTCAAAAGGAATTGCCTTCTGCCATTCCTGGTGGTGAACCTCTTCCTGAAGCTCTCTTTTGGTTACTCGTCACTGGTGAAGTCCCTACTCCCGAACAAGCAAAGTCCATCTCCAAGGAATGGGCTGCTCGTGGTGACATTCCCGCTTTCGTCGAAGACCTCTTGGATCGTTGCCCTAAGACTCTTCACCCTATGGCTCAATTCTCTCTCGCTATCAATGCCCTTCAACATGATTCTCACTTTGCAAAGGCTTACGCCAAAGGTATCAACAAGGCTGATTACTGGGGTCCCACTTATGAAGATACTATGGATTTGATCGCTAAACTCCCAAAGGTCGCCGCTCGTATCTATCGTAACGTTTACAAGGATGGAAAGGTCCCTGAACTCGATCGTGATCAAGATTACTCTTACAACTATGCTAAACTTCTTGGTTTCGAACAAAACAAGGAATTCGTTGAACTCATGCGTCTCTATCTTTTCCTTCACTCTGATCACGAAGGTGGTAATGCCTCTGCCCACACGTAAGTCGAAATATTGGAAATATGCTGATATGTGTGTGTGTGTGTATGCGTTGTTGTTTGTATGTATTGATGTGTATGATTGTATATACATCTTGTGTGTGTTGTGATTAAAAAAAAAAAGAAATCATCTTACTCATCCTTTTATCTCTCTCTCTTTTTTTTTTTTTTTTTTTTTTTTTTTTTATATCAATAGTACTCACTTGATCGGTTCTACCCTCTCTGATCCCTATCTCGCTTTCGCCGGTGGTCTCAACTCCCTCGCTGGTCCCCTCCATGGTCTCGCTAACCAAGAAGTCTTACGTTGGACTGTAGCAATGCAAGAATCTATCGGTCACGATGCTTCTGATGAACAAATCGAAAAATACTTATGGGACACCCTCAACTCTGGTAGAGTCATCCCTGGTTTTGGTCACGCTGTCTTACGTAAAACTGACCCTCGTTATATGGCTCAAAGAGAATTCGCCCTCAAACATCTTCCAAACGATCCTCTATTCGGTCTAGTATCAAAACTTTATCACATCATCCCTCGTGTTTTAACTGAACATGGTAAAACAAAGAACCCTTATCCCAACATCGATAGTCACAGCGGAGCCCTTTTGCAATACTATGGGTTAGTTGAACAGGACTATTACACTGTCATGTAAGTAAAAAAAAAAGATTTAGTTAATGGGGTATAGAAAAAAGTGAAAAAAAGGAAGGAAAAAAAAAAAGGTTGCTATGGCGATCGGAATGTGAAAGTCGGGGTGTGAAAAATAAAATAGAAGAATTCTATTGGCTGACTATTTATACTATTCCATTTATAGGTTTGGTGTTTCCCGTGCTATTGGTGTTACTTCTCAATTGATTTGGGATCGTGCCTTGGGCATGCCTCTTGAACGTCCCAAGTCTTTCAGTACTGCCTATCTCAAGAAGATGTATGCCAAGAACTAAGGGTTTATTATAGTTTGTTATTATCCTTTTCTTTTTTTATACATTACATTAGACTCACACTTTATACATACTCCCCTTCTTCATTTTAATAAAAAAAATTGGTTTTTTTAGAAGTCATTAGGCGATTGTTATATTGGGTTGGATGATGATGGATGAATAGTATGATGATGATGGATGATCGATGATGTTGGATTATAGATAAAGATGGATAAAGGATGCTGGATACTGGATGATTGGATGATATATCAACTGTGAAAGATGACATTGTGTGATGATTGTTTATAGATTAAATATGGATGTTGAATACTGGATGAATGTGTACTGGATTAAAGGGTGAATGAATTGATAATGTATCAATATTATGGATGGATGGTATAGATGAATGTTGGATGATGATGAACGCTACAGGCAAGAATATTGAAGGATGGATAATGGATAATGATGTTCATGATGCTGGACAATGGATGATGCTAAATGATGGCTAGATGGTGGATGAAGAATAATAGATAATGAATTACAGGTGATGGCTAATAATGATGGACGATGGATGATGCAGGTTGATATGTGATACAGTGATTATCACCAATGTTGTCAGCTATCTTTCATTAACCTCGTTCATACATACAGTTTAGACACTTTTAAAGCAACACACACACACACAAACACAAACACAAAAAAAAAATTGGTTTATCACTTCCATCCATCAATCACAGCCTGCACCCGACCACACAACCGCCAACCGACACCTCCTCACCCAAAACCCAAAGCCCTAATCAACCCTAATCAACCCAAACCAAAACCCAAACCAAAATCCAAAAAGAAATTTCGTTTGTGTTATGTGCTTTTTTTTTTTTGGGTGGTTTGATAGTCATTATAATGATCACCATTATTACTTCTACATTGCCATTCAGTCATCTTCCATAGACGATTCCCTATGATGATGGATTATCACTGTGGAAGGGTGATACTTGATAATGACTGACACAGATGATGATAAAATATAAAATATATTATGAATGATGGATGATATCAAATGATGATGGATTACAAATAAAAAAAAATGGATGACGGATAATGGATGGCAGATTGTAGATGATATAAAGTCATTATAAAGTAAGAAAAAGAAAATCACTTCATTGAGATAGCTATAGTATTGAATACAAAGATGTAGTAAAAATAAAAAAATAGAAATAGTATAGAGACATTGAGAGATATAGAAAGAAAAATCACTTTATTGGGATAACTATACTATCGAATATAAAAATGTAGTAAAAAATAAAAAAAAAAGATAAAATATAAAGAGATATATACGATATATTTATGTAAAGAAGGTAAACTAAGAGATATAAAAAAAATAAAGATTTGAAGAAAGTAAAGTGATGAAAGAAAACAGTAAAGCCACAAGCAATCCATTCATTCTTGTTGTTCTTGTTGCTCTTGATGTTCTTGACCTAAGGCTTGATGAGCTTGTTGTTGGGCTTGCTGTTGCTGTTGTTCTTGCAAAGCGGCGTTGGCCTAAAAAAATATATGTTAGAATCACACCCATTTTTTTATCTTTCCCATCGTATGCAATGTTTTATGTTACCTGGTGAGTTCTTGAGAGGTTGTGACGTCTCAGGGATCCGGCAGTAGCAAAACTGACATGACAAACATCGCAGATATGAGGACGAAGTTTCTACAATAAAAAATAAAGTAAAATAAAAAGTGATCAAGTTGCTTTCATCCAGCTCCCTCCACAGTATCCGAATTACTTACCAGATGAATATTGTTGACATGATTTCTCACAGCGCTCTGAAATGCAAAAGTGGCATCACACCGATCGCACATGTATCGACCTTCCTATTATATTCAAAAAAAGGAAAAAAAAAAAGGTGTGAATCAAGTCATATACCAATATAATAAGCCCATCATTTTCTTCACTTACGTCGTTTTTCTGGTAGTGAACTACAGGCGGTCTAAGTTCGATAACATGACTGGCTGGAACCTATATAACATGAAGAAGATTGTGTAAGTACCTGATGACGACGATGAGACTCTGCTGCATAAAGTTCATCGTACCTGATTGATGACCATCGGCAAATTGGTGAACGTCTAAATAAGATAATAAACATCAGTACCAGTACTTGCTTCTTGTCAACCTTGATCAAAGCAGAATAACTTACTTGATGTCCAAAATCCGGTCGATGGTGTATGGTAAAGTTTTCCCTGGTCAATTCGTGCTGACAAGTATCGCAGCGCACAAAGGCCTGTCAAGTCAAAAAAAAAAAAAAGGTGAGATGATAACATTTTCCGATTTCCTGTTGTACGTCCTTTCAATGATTCCCATCCCCTTTTTTTTATCCTTTTTTTTTTTATCCTTCTTAGTCATCCATTTACATGAGCATAGATCTTGTCTTTAATATTCGGCTTGGTAGTCAACATCCTTATTCTTGCGTGCTCCAAGTAGGATTTTGAGAGAACTTGTTCCAAGGTTGAATCTAGACCCAATTCCACAGCTTCCAATGTTTGAACAAAGAGTTCCAAATTGAATGCCCAGATCGAGTTCACAGGCTCCATACCAAACACCTCCAGGAGTTCATTTACTTGGTACACGTTCAAATAATAAAAGTCCCTACAGATGATAAAAAAAAAAAAAAAAAAGAATATGAGAAAAACATGACCATGTATCCTTTTTTTTTTTCCTTTCTTTCCTTTTTTCCTTTTTTTTTTTTTTTTTTATACATAAAGGACTTACTGGGCGATGACGGCGTAGAGAGGGTTGCCAGCAAAGACATTCAAAAAATCAGTAAAGGATTGTCTCATACCAAGGCCACGATGAATTACGCTCTCTGGAAGTCGTCCACGCTGGATGCATTCGTGCAATAACCTGATCTTGCCAAAAAGAGTCACATCTTGTTCTTGAAGAGCAGTAATGCCGATCTTGAAAAGACCTTCATTCATCTGGCCGCTTAGTTTCATTGTGTACAGTTTGGCTTCTTCCTTGTAAAGAATGGCCGCCGAGTGTCCCCCAAAGGTGCTGAGCATTTGCTTTACCCATACCAGAATTCCTTCATCACGAGCAGCGAGTTGAATGTAATCCAATTGCAATTGAGGATCGGTATAGGTGTTCTTCCAACGAGTTGCCACGTGGCCGTCAGCATGTATAAAACCCAAGAGCCATACCATGAAATTCCTTTGACGATGGTCGTCTTGAGGGATAAAAGTTTGTAGCAATTCAGCGTTTGATGTCAAAACCTTGGAACTTGGCAATCCAGTTGTCTCCCAAAAAGCAGCAAACTCCCGATCGCCTACTTCCCACCGGATGGTTCCGAAAAATCCTGCGTTCAATTGCAAGCCAGGGCCAATACTGGTATGCGGGGTGAATCTATATGCAAATATATACCAAGGATCAGTAAAAACATCATAATAAAATAAATAAATATATATCCTTTTCTTTTTTTTTTTTTTTTTTTTTTTTTTTTTACACATACGTTAACTTGATTCCTTGAACACCGGCTGTTTTGAGTAGATCCATTAGGAATGGCAATTCAGTGGATCGAAGACCGATACCAACACGAGATCCTTCGGTAGTGTGGTTACCATCGCCAGTAAAAAAGCCAGTAAAGTAGTAAAAGAAGACAGTACGTTGGTGATAGAAACCAGGTGGGAGCACATTAAAACGAGAAGTTGTATGAGTAGGAGGAGCAATGGTGAGAACGACCCGTTGACGAGAAGGTTGAGTCATGATGGCAGCATTTTGATCACCTTCGGGAAGAGTAACGACAGTGTTAGTAAAGTTTTGTTGAGCAGGAACAGGTTGAGTAGAAGGACCAGCTTGTGGAGATGGTTCATGTTGAAAAGGAGAAAGTTCAGTGGAAGAAAGAGGAACAGTGGGTTGAATTCCTGGAGATGGTAAAATCGGAGTTGGTTCTCCGACGACCCAAGGTGAATACTGACGGCTTGAGGTAGTATAGAATGATGATGGAGGTTGAGAGAAGGACTGATCATCATAATCAAGTTCTTCTTCAGAATCGAGTTCATCAGGTTCATCCAAGGTAGTGTCAAAATCAGATTCAGATGCGGATGGAGTTGGAGCTTCTTCTTGAATACGAGCACGACGTCTTGTTTGCATAGGGTGATGATCAAAGGGAGATAGTGATCTTTTGGACATAGTATATGAAAGCGATAAAATAAAAAATAAAAAAGAGAGAGAAAGAAAGAAATGATATTTTTTGAATCATGAAAAAAAAAAAAAAGAAGATGATGGTCCTTATATGTTGACTTGTAGGATTTCTTTGTTCATTATTATGAGTCTAAAACAGGAAATAGACTAGTTCTTGAATATATATATATATATAGCTTTTTAAATAATAATAATAATGATAATAGTAATAGTAATAATGAATTTAAGTAGGATGATTCATTGTCATGATATATTATAATAAAAAAGAACTTCTTTCTTTTTTTCATACAATATCACGGTTATGGCTGATTTACCGATTTCGGCGGGACATTCTGATTGGCTAAGGGAATCACCAATTTATGTATTAATTTTTTTATCTTTTTCTTTTTCTTTTTTCTTTTTCTTTTTCTTTTTCTTTTTTCTTTTTTTTTTTTTTCTGTTTTTTCTTTGTATATTTTTGATCATGGACAAAAATGTTCTTCATGTTGTGCTCAAGTTTCCTTTCAAGAGACCTGTCGACTTTGTAGAACCACCAGCGGTCAGTAGCTATTATATCTAATTCATTGTTTTATTTACACCATTATAAATAGGTAGTATGGACTGAAGAAATGGAGCATCAACTATGGAAATATATGAATCAAAAGCATGCGGATTGTAAGTACAACATTTATATAATATATATTTTATATATTGATCTTTTGTATTATGGAAGGGAATTACATTGCTGAACAACTTGGGGTGCCTACACCGTATTTAGTTCGACATGCAGCGTTTTTATATGAAACACAATTGAGGGGAATACAACAGCAGTTACGACTTCAAAAGCCAATGAATACTACAACAATGAACACAACAATGAACACAACAATGAATACAACAATGAACACAACAATGAATACAACAATGAACACAACAATGAATGCAACAATGAATACAACATCGGGTCAAGGTAATTCAAATTATAATAACAATCATAATAATATTAATAATATCATTGTGATGATAGGTGAACCAAGTAGACCAAGCTCATCACAACGATCGACATTTAAATCTGAACAAGCGCTATCAACTGTAGATCAACCACAGATACCAAATAATGAGACTGATTCTATGATGCTCTCTGCAATATCCAACATTTCACCCAGAAACAAAGCCATCGAACCCAGTCAATCGTCTATCTATACCAGCTGTACAAGTCAACAACCACAACAGGAGGAATCGCTAGAAAAACAGGACAATAATAATAATGATGATGATGATGATGATGATGATGATGATGATGATGAGGGAGAATTTAGTAGACATTTTGAAAAGATGAAGCTTCAATTGGAGGAACCAGCATTTTTACCATCAAGGAAAACAGAAGGATCATTATTACTTAACAGTCTGCGTGGGTCTATCAAAAAGGTGAATGACACAAATGCACCAAGCAAACAAGATCATGGCAAAGCAAAAATGGTATTTGGACCTAATTTATCACGCGCTCAACCTTTGGTAGAAGAGGCAAATATTGATTCAGTGGGATCATCTTTTAGTGACTTGTCAGGTAAAAAAAAAAAAAAAAAAAAAAAAAAATGATATATAGTCTCATTTCTTTTTTTTTTTTTAAAAAAAAAAATTAGATTCATCAGTGACTCAATCGGCTATGGAAGATGCGCTCATGTCAAAACTGAATAATGGATCAAAAATGCAAGTGAAAAAAAATACATACATTCTCTAAGCTAACGTTCATTTTGATATATATTTCTTTATTAGGTCATCGTTGGCATTCTCTAGAAAATATACCTGATTTTGTTATTTAGCTATCGTATATCATGAAATAAACCTTCTTTTTTTTTTGCGAAATAACGTCTCCAGGTAGTTTATGCCATGATGAGTGGATGATACATGTAGTGATGGGATGGGATAATAGCTGATATAGCAAACAAGTTGATAAATATATTACTGTTTTTGTCATAATAATTTGCGGTAGTGAATAAAATGGTTTGAGGGTGCTAAAAAAAGTGATTTACCTGGTATCAAGGAAGAAGTTTCCGGGTAAAGGAATAGAAAAAAAGTTAGTTTCCAATTCAAAAAAAAAAAAAAAAGAAAAGGGAAAAAATCATTCAATGGTACTGGCAAGCTGCATTTAGAGATAGGCAACAGTCATAATCGGTCTGGAAAATTTAAGAAAGGAGCGAAGATGGGCTGCTTGTTGAAGCTACACAAACACAAGTCGCATTGATACTGTCCCTTCTACACGGGTTACGTTTGGAGAAAAACGGAAGCAACAGCATCATTTGGCAAGTGACCGTGGAGAGTGTAAGCTTCTTTCTTTTTACAGAGAGGTTTAGTGATGAAGGCAATAAAAAAAAAAAAAGAAATAAAATCAGCTTTTATATTTGTGTGGTCTTTCTTTTTAGACAACAAAAAGGAGGACTGACATCATTTGATAACATCCTTAGTATTTATGATGATTTATATGGTACATCATTTTGAAGGTAGCAAGTAGAAGGAAAGAAAAAAAAAATGGATGATAGAATGAGTCTGTGCATCAATCAGCCATAAAATATATCATGACTTTTCTTCAACAATCAATCGTCCACGTCCAACAATCATCCAGAATATACCCATGTTCAACATATATATCAAAGTAGTTGTAGTAAAAAATAAAAAAAAAAAAATTTTTATTGAATAAAAATATAAATAGTAAAGACTACTAATAGATATAACTAAAAGTCAATAAAAGAAAAGAAAAGAAAGAAGCAAGTATAGACCAAACATTAATCTGTATACAAACAAATAGAAGGAACACAGTAAGGTATTAATAAAACTTAGATTAGTATTATCATTCAACTCATCATCACTTTCTCTTGTTGATATTACCTATTTTGAATACACACGGGTACCCATCGATATGTATTTGTATTGACTATCATCCAGAATCCAAATGAATATCTATTTAGTTAAACAATCAAAAAGAATTTGAATCAGTACATAATAGAGACAGATTTACCTTTTGGATGTAATAAAATTTGCTTGTTATTGTCTATAGAACAAGGTTGCGTCCAGAGTTTAGTGTGATAGCTGTTCAAAGGAAGATGGTAAATATTGAAATAGTATTGAGTCAATATTGGTGTTTTATTTTTTACAATTATTAGTCAACATAAGAATTACATATAATAATAGTAATTGCCATTCCCAACCACTGTTGTCAACAAGCTTCTAACAGAGTTGACGCTACATGATTACATATAATGTCCTTCTTATTCTAGTCAATGCTATAGTATCGCGTTAAAAAGTGAAAAAAAAGTAGTAATAATAAAAAGAAAGTGCGAGAAAATAAAAAAAAAAGTGAGGTCTATTTTAACATAATCTCATGAATTGAGGCTTTCCTTTTTTGGATGTTCAACTACCGCTTTTCATAATTTATATTCATTGCTTTTATTATTTTATATTATCAGGTAATCAATTTATGGTATTTAAACTGATTTATTATTCTAAATGAATGTAGTTGATGTTCCATAATAAAAAGTTGTTCAAATTGATTTAACCTATATGCTTGATATTATTTTTTCTTTTGTAATCTTTCTTTATTATACTGTAGTTATTCAATTCTCAATGAATACAAGGAATAAGAAATAAGTGATAAAGACATTCACTTGAAAGTGTTTATTCTAATATATCTTCATCATTATCATCATTATCATCATCATCATCATCATCATCATCATGATGATGTTACTATAATCAATAAAAAAAAAAATCAATTCAAAAAAAAAGAAACTTAAACGTATGTAATTCCTTATGATTGGTAGATTTGATTTGCAGGATTTTTGAAACTGGCTCCGATCAGGTATACATATAAAGTAATCTTTTCTTTTTTTTTTTTCTTTCTTTCTTTCTTTCTTTTTTTTTTTTTTTACACATTCCAACTTCGTTACTATATCCTACTCATTTTATCTATGTGGTTTTTTACAAATATTTACTCATATTAAAGGTAAACAAGTGATTTTCTTCTTTTTCTTTCTAACCTCCTTCCTTTTTTTTTTTTATTATATACTTTCTTCTGACCTTGATCGTTTTACTACAACATCCATCCATCTAGAACCACCGTTCTTTCTTCTTCTCATACTTCATACTTGGTATCCTTGACAATCATCATCACTGAATATATGTCTGAAAGAAAGAAAGAAATCTAGATGCACGAAGACTTTATCATTTAAATATAGTATCAATAGGATATTAAGCGAAGTGGCTATACATCATCATCAGCGGAATAGATAGATATACAATAGGATCACAGAATGAAACGAAATGAATACGTGCTATTGTCATAAGGTGTGGACAACATGGATGAACAGGATATATTATAGGATTCAACTGGATTGACTTATACAATCAATTAGAAGTATCTTTTTCTTTTATTCTGGCTTATGAATCGTTAGTGATTCTTTTTACTTGTAGTTTAAAATGGTATTCAGTATATCAGTTATATATATTTCCATTCTTTTTTTTTTTTAATAAAATCATAATTATTATTTTTTTCTCTAATATTATTAAGTATTAGCTCTCGAACAGTCATCAATGCATTTCTGTACCTCGTTCCTTAAATAAATTAAATGACAGCTGAATCCAAGTAAAGAGAATCAGAGCTTAAAGATTTTCTAACAATAATATGAAAAACAAGAAACAACATGGAATCATATTAATTCTCTTTTTCATATATTTTGTCGTTTTTTTTTTCCTTTTTTGCTATATATTGTATTCGACTCGATCTAAATGTATTATCAACAGTGAAAGGAAAAGTAGATTAGTTTTTGGCATTTTCCTTTCAATGTCAAAAAACTAATCTACTTTTTTAATTGTACATTCATTATCACATTACAATATATTCTCTCTCTTTATTTTGCTACTATTGGTACATCACTTTTATCTATTCGGACTTTTGCTTTCTTTTTTTTTATTATTTATTTCGTTTCCCCACATTTTTCTTTTCTTTCTTTCTCTTTCCATTTCTCCACACTTTTCTCATTCATTCTCCGCACTCTGTTCGCGTCTCCATGTTGGAATAATGACAGGTAACATATAAAATACAATGACAGTAATGGATTCTTATTCTATTATTGTCAATTTAAAAAAATAAATAAAATAAAATAATAATAAAAAGACAGTATAAAATATAATTACTTACTTGTTTTATAATTAATTCATGACTCTTCTGGTTTTTCCAATTGCAAGATCTCTTTTCTTCTCGGTTTTGGTCAAACGAAACGGTGATACAAAACAAGCCAATGGTGTAAAAAGATAAGTCTAAAAAAATAATAAATGTCAAATCTTCTTTATTGAAATGAGTTTATGAGTTGGCTGAATTGAGGTATCTTTCAAAGCAATCACGTATCTTTTCTTTTCTTTTTCATTTCTTGTTTTATTTTCGTCTTTCTTTCCTTCTCTTTTTTTTTTTTTTTATTTTCTCTAGCTTTACCTGGTTATGGCTCTTCTAATGGTTTGGAACTGGATGGAATAACAATTATGGAGGTAAGACATAGATTAAGGAACTAATTTTTTTTTTTTTTTATCTTTTTTACCATTAGACTCTGGACGGAGCACCAAATGCAAGTCAACCTGTGTTACAAGTACTTTTGAAGATCTTTTTTCATTTCTTCCTGCTTGGTTGGTTATTCTCTCTTATGATGTTGGTTTCTTCAAGATCATTTCTCTAATGGTATGGTGTGTCTCTCACTATCTTGTTGTTATCTCTCGAGTTTGTGTGGTCTCTTCTTCTCTTTTTTACTTGGTTGGTCTCTCTCTTTCTTTTTCCCTTTCCCTTATCTGTCTCTCATTGTCATGGTGTTTTCTTCGAGATCTCTTTCTTCCGTGGTTGGTACTTGTCTTCTTTTTTTTTTTTTTGTCCCTCCTACTTGGTATGATGTCTTCCACTTATTTTTTTCTCCCATGACCTTGAACTATTATCCCTTCGTCTTGTGGTACTCTCCATTCCTTTCAACAAAAATCAATAACTTCGGTTTTGGCTATACTATTTGTAAAATGTTCTTGGTTCTTCCTTTGGTATGACCTTTATGATTGATACATTGACACTGGTGAATCATGTAACTAAGGTAATCATGCATTAAAAAAAAGAGAGAGAGAATAACGGTGATGAACTGGTACTCGTTTACTGATTCTATTTGTAGATACCACAATTGTCGTCTATACAATCAAGATGATGCAAAACATCCACTGGTTATTGATAAGGTAACATGTATATAAAAAAAAAGAAAAAAAGAGTACCAGATTGCTACTCATTTGGTTTTTTTTTTAATTTGTAGGTATCATGATTGTCGTCTATACAATCAAATGTCGAATGGTCATCATCACTTTATACTTAGCTTTTGGTGATACTCAAAGATCATGGCGGGATGATCTTTGTTTATCTAACAGGCATTGGACTTGGTCGAGGATGACTGGTGTCTAGGATCATTTATGAATCTAGAGGCTGGATCTAGTGCTCAAGTAGGTGGAGACTAGAAGGCAACATGCAGGGAATACAGTATATCGCCTGTAGGTCGTGTTGTTTCATGCTGGAGTCCTTGGAAGTCCTGCCATTTGCGGTATGGTTTGGAAAGAATTAGGGGATAATATCATAACTGGTCAGTGGAGCGTATCTATTAAAACCGGAACAAGCTACCTACTTTGATGGTCTTAAAATGTCAGATGTACTGCTAGTGGCAACCCTTCTTTCTCTCCGAACTCATGATGATGATGACATTCAATTGTGATATGATACAAGACATTCACTGATGTTGGCAAGGTAACACGTATAAAATAAAAAAAAAAAAGAGTACCAGATTGCTACTCATTTGTTTTTTTTTTATTCGTAGGTGCCATGATTGTCGTCTACACAATCAAATGTCGAATGGTCATCATCACTTTATACTTAGCTTTTGGTGATACTCAAAGATCATGGCGGGATGATCTTTGTTTATCTAACAGGCATTGGACTTGGTCGAGGATGACTGGTGTCTAGGATCATTTATGAATCTAGAGGCTGGATCTAGTGCTCAGGTAGGTGGAGGCTAGAAGGCAACATGCAGGGAATACAGTATATCGCCTGTAGGTCGTGTTGTTTCATGCTGGAGTCCTTGGAAGTCCTGCCATTTGCGGTATGGTTTGGAAAGAATTAGGGGATAATATCATAACTGGTCAGTGGAGCGTATCTATTAAAACCGGAACAAGCTACCTATCTTGATGGTCTTAAAATGTCAGATGTACTGCTAGTGGCAACCCTTCTTTCTCTTCGAACTCATGATGATGATGACATTCAATTGCAATATGATACAAAACATCCACTGTTGTTGACAAGGTAACACGTATAAAATAAAAAAAAGTAACGGATTGCTACTCATTTGGTTTTTTTTTTAATTTGTAGGTATCATGATTGTCGTCTATACAATCAATTGTCGAATGGTCATCATCGTTTTATACTTAGCTTTTGGTGATACTCAAAGATCATGGCGGGATGACCTTTGTTTATCTAACAGGCATTGGACTTGGTCGAGGATGACTGGTGTCTAGGATCATTTATGAATCTAGAGGCTGGATCTAGTGCTCAAGTAGGTGGAGACTAGAAGGCAACATGCAGGGAATACAGTATATCGCCTATAGGCCGTGTTGTTTCATGCTGGAGTCCTTGGAAGTCCTGCCATTTGCGGTATGGTTTGGAAAGAATTGGGGGATAATATCATAATTGGTCAGTGGAGCGTATCTATTAAAACCGGAACAAGCTACCTTCCTTGATGGTCTTAAAATGTCAGATGTACTGCTAGTGGCAACCCTTCTTTCTCTTCGAACTCATGATGATGATGACATTCAATTGCAATATGATATAAAACATCCACTGGTGTTGACAAGGTAACATGTATAAAATAAAAAAAAAAAAGAATTATAGATTGCTACTCATTTGGTTTTTTTTTTTTTAATTTGTAGGTATCATGATTGTCGTCTATACAATCAAATAACTAAGTTATCAGGAAAGAAAAAGATGATCAATCAACATTATATACACTCACTTGCTTCTTCCTCTCTCTTTCTTTTTTTTTTTTTTTTTAGATCCTTCCTTTTATTTTATGGGGATTGATACGGTATCGCTGTCAGATGATATACACAAGGTGACAATGGATATATATATATATATATATATATATATATATAAGAATAACAGTGATGGGGTATTGTTTTTTGGTTGATTTTATCTGTAGATACAATGATTGTTGTTTATGCAATTAAATCTCGAATGATCATCATTACTTTATATTAACCTTTAGTCAAACAAAGCGGTCAATGGTGCAAAATGATAAGTCTAAAAAAAATAATAGATGAAAAAAGAGAATGATACTAACGTATTTCTTCTTTTATTTTATTGATCTTTTAGATATTATTGTCTATATAGTCCAAATCTTTTTTATTGAAAAGAAAAGAAAAGAAAAGAAAAGATACGTGATTGCTTTGAGAGATACTTTAATTCAGCCAACTTATAAATTCATTTCTTATTTTATCTAACTGAGTTTTCATTTCTTTTTTCTTAATTTATCTACCTCATTTCTCTCATCTTTCTTTCCTTTTTTTTTTTTTTTTTTTTTCTCTAGTTTTAGCTGGTTCTGGCTCTTCTAATGGTTTGGAACTGGATGGAATGACAATTATGATGGTAAGACACAGACTAAGGAACTAATCGTTTTATTTTTTTTTTTTATCTTTTTTACTGTTGGACTCTGGACTGAACAGCAAATGCAAGTCAATTTGTGTGTACAGGTACTTTTGAAGGTCTCTTTTTTTTTCCTTCCTACTTGTAGCGGTATGGTGTCTCTCTCACTCACTTGTTGTTCTCTCTCGTGTTTGTTTGGTCTCTTCGTCTCTTTTTCTATCTGCTTGGTCTCTCTCTTTTTCCGTTTCCTTCATCTGTCTCTCGTTGTCATGGTATTTTCTTCCAGAACCCTTTACTACGTGGTTAGTCCTTATCTTTTTTTTTTTTTTTTGGTTCTTCTTATTTGATTGGTCTCTTCCATGTTTGATGGTCTCATTATGTTTTTCTACTTGATTGGCATCTCTGTCTCCATTAGTATTATTATTATTATTATTATCATTGTCATTATTATCACCAGTATTGTATATATACTTTATATTGTTGGTATTTCGTTACTTTTTTTTCTTTATTCCCTTTCTTTTCTTTTGTAAAAATACCGTTTTATTTAGATAAAATGTTTGATTATTTAAATTATTCTGCTATGATGTTTTCTGTATGTACTTATTGCCACTATCTATTGTTGTGATGATTTGATAAAAATGTTTCCTTGTGTGTATTGTGTAATAAAGTGCATGATATATTCTACTGTATCGTCAAAGACATCGTTATTTTCGTTAAGAGAGAAGACGAACAGTTAACAGTATACAGGTACAACTTGCTATTATCATGGGTGCTGATGATGATTGATAATAAGAGAATATTTATTCCTAAAAATGATGGATGTAATATATGAAGAGAAATAGCAGATACTGATGTGTATATGGATTTTGTTTTATTTTTTAGTGAAACTAAAATGATAATCATACTATTCTTTCTTATTACTCCTTTCGATAATGATGATGATAGAGGACAAATAGATAAATAATAGTGAAATAACAATAATAAAATATGAGTTTATTTAAAAGATTATAAAATATAAAACAATAGAACTGAAAGACTAAACAATTCAATAAACTAATTTCCATGATAAAGAGTTGGATACTTTTCCCTGGTTTGCTTATTCTTTTATCCAATAGAAAACTTATAAATCCAGTTAATCATATTATTTTATTCATATATCCTATCTACTATATGTTCATAAAAAGAGTAAAAAAAAAAAAAAAAAAAAAACCAAAAATAGATTAGTTCATAATAGGAGAGACTAAAAGAAGGAATAAGTATAAAGTAAGTATAATATATATATATAAAGAGTGACTTTTAAATATATAATATAGATTAGTAAAGTAATGTATAATGGTAACTTACAATGTTCAAAGTGCCAGTGGTTAAAAAAAAAATGCAAAAGTAAAAAAAAAAAAAAAAAAAAAAAAGTGAAGAGCGCGCCAGAGCTTGGTCCAGTTTTTCCATTGTTTCCAACAATCTTTCTTTTTTTTTTTTTTCAATCTCCAGATTTTTTTTGATCTCGACCTCCCACTTTTTTTTTTGAGGAACCTCCAGACCTTTTTTTTTTTTCTCTGGATCCAACACACCCCACAATGGACGTACTTATTTTCTGTCGACGGCTAAATTGGCGGCTTCGGGAAATTTTTATCCGAAATCTTTTTAAGGGTGACTCCTCCTTTTTTTTTTTCTTTCACTCTTTTTCTTCACTTTTCTTTTTTTTTTTTTTTTTTTGTATTGACCTTAGTCTTAGTATATCATTTTAGTAGTGTTTATTAGTCTTTAGTAGTTAAACTTTTATTCAATAAAGACTTTACTTTTATTGAAATCACTTCATTACATGTCAATCAATTGATTCCATCTTCGAATGTACTTTTTTTTTTTTTTTACATGCGAATGCATTCCTTTTTATTTTTTTTTTATAGATAAAGTATGAAATACGCAAATACGATAAAGACGAAAGAAAATTGTGTGATACTATATTAGTGTTGTTGACGGTTTAAACGACGGAATTGACGCGGGTGTTGGTTGCGAAGTTCTTCGAATAGCTGAAGGTATTCCCTTAATGTCGTTTCCATTCTTGTTGTTATATCTGGTGACAAGTTGGGTATTCTTCTTGCAGCTTCCAAGTCTTCTCTTTGATGGTATGCACTTGTGATCATGGAACTAATCGATTGAAGCTGGGCATCTACATTAACGGCTTCAACAGCAACGTCCAACTCTTCTACAGTGGCTTGATGGTCGACTTGTACTTCAGCAATATTGCCATCATCATCATCATCATCATCATCACCAGCGATTGCATCCAGATCCATATTCACATCGGGCTCATCTACGAACAGAATAAGAAATGTAAGTTGTTTTTTTTTTTTTTTTTTTTTTAGTACCATCTCTTGATTCCAGGGTTTCCATGACTTCATGAAATTGTATGTATAATCCCGTGTATCTTTTCAATATATACATATGCTTACATGGTGCAAGTCTCTGTTGAAAATCATCACAAGTGCACGATTCAATCAACGTATCATCATTAACCTTCACTCTATACAGGGAATTTTCATTTGAAAAAGATCTTACAGACCAAGTACCAATAGGATTAGAAGGGCAGCTACTATTATCACCATCTGGATTCGTTATCATAGTAGGCATTCTTTCGATAGCAACAATGGATGCAAGGTACAACCTACGAGCTTGTTGATTTTCTATAGGACCCATTCGACCGTCATTGATACTTATTCTTTCCCGTTCTGCTCCATTAAAATATTCGACATGATGAGTAAGAATAAACACCAAACGATCTAAACGTCTGTTTCGCAATCTTTGGAAATACTTTGTTTTCAGTTGATTGTGCCATGATTCGATATAATTGTTTGTGAACATGTTGTAATGGGCTGGTGAAAGGTACGCTTGACTCCATCGTGTCATTGTTTCTTCATCCTTAATCCATGATTCTTCGAAATAATCCAAGAATTCATACTGACCACTATACTCCTCTTGGAAGCAAGCAACTCGAGTATGAAATTCATCAATTTCCTTCGCCACCAAAATACTTCTCAGGCTGATCAACATTTCTTCTCGAAGATTAGCAACATCACGAGCAGTATGTGATCCATCTAATCGAACTTTCTGCTTCAATTGCCTCTTCCATGCTTGCATGACGTGAAAACCACAGTAATGGATAAAAGTAGATGGAAAGGCAGCTTTGATGGCATTTACCTCGGGTACGGAACAATCAATGGTGACATATTGAGGACGAAAATTGCTGCTATCGCGTAGATGAACCATCCATTGATTAATGGAACCAACAGAATGATCATTGGTAAACATGTATGCTGATGGATACCCCTTGCCAGTAACGCGATCTCTGATGATCAACGTGTACATAACATCCATGGATTTGGAGGAAATGCCATGAGTGGCGTCCAAGCAAAAGGAAATAGAAGTACCCATTCTACGCTTTTGATCTGGTGATTGAAAACCTAGGGCAAAGAGGCTGGTGTTGCTACTGTAGGCTTGTAAATTGCCAGTGAATATGTTGTAATTGCGTAAAGGGAGGACCCTATTTAACCATATTCCTAACGATGTCATATCATCTCGATGGAATTCGTACAACTGGTGTTTGATCTGATATATACGTAAAAAAAAAAAAAAAAAAAAGAAATACTCTTAGTACAAGTCCGATTCATGCAAGCTGTGATATCTGTAAATGTGCGTGGAAGCCTTTTTTTTTTTTTTTTTTTTTTTTTTGCTGTTAATGACATGCCTTCAACATTCTGTTATAGACATCCTCATAATTGACTGGTCTCAAGCTGGGATTGCCATCGTTATTTTCAATCCAATCATCAAGTTGTCGCATGATGCTAATTCGGATGTTGCTGCAATTACCACTCTGTCTCAATTCCCTCGTAATCAAGTCAATCGCTTGCGTGGTCAGTGGTAGAGTCCTTCGATCACTTCTTTCACCAGGAACATGACCGCTGTGTCCTCTTTGAAGAACGAACTCCATTATGTCAGGTGTACTGGCATACTGAGTCACCTTCAAACTTCCAGAACAGCCGCATTTTTTGGAAGGTTTTTGAGCAGGACGTTGAGAACGCTCCCTGACTGGATACTCTCCACTTCTGTGGCAGTGATAGGTTCGACTGTAAAGCACAGTCGCAAGTTCACGTCTACGTTTATAAGTGCGCAAAACACACCACTTTTCACAACACAATTCCTGTATCTTCAATCGACAGGCGTCCCACTCGTCAAATTGAACGCAGATAGGAACTTCTAAAGGAAGTTCATAAACACCTCGTACAGTTGTTGGGAGCAAAGCATCGCGAAGGTTGTTGGCAGTGTAGATAGTTGAGGACATGTTGTTATTTACGTAGATATCACTATAGTAAAGAAAAGGAAAATATAAAGAAAAACAAAGAGTAGAAGAAAAAAAATTTTAAAAAAAGGGGTATCACTATTTATTTCACAAGTAGTGTGGCTTGGTGACGAAGTCATTGGTTTGTCGTAGTAACTAATCCACAATAAAAACTTATATCGAAGTGAAGAATATTGGAATCGTATCGTATCAGCGTTTCTCTTATCTATAAAAAAAAAAAAGAGAAAATAAAAAGGAATGCATTCACATGTAAAAAAAAAAAAAGTACATTCGAAGATGGAATCAATTGATTGACATGTAATGAAGTGATTTCAATAAAAGTAAAGTCTTTATTGAATAAAAGTTTAACTACTAAAGACTAATAAACACTACTAAAATGATATACTAAGACTAAGGTCAATACAAAAAAAAAAAAAAAAAAAGAAAAGTGAAGAAAAAGAGTGAAAGAAAAAAAAAAAGGAGGAGTCACCCTTAAAAAGATTTCGGATAAAAATTTCCCGAAGCCGCCAATTTAGCCGTCGACAGAAAATAAGTACGTCCCCCCACAATTGAGACCGGACTTTCAATGTGTACCATTTATGGAAAACACTTATGATTTTAATAAAGTTGAATAAACAATAATAAATAATAATAATAATAATATGATGATGATGATATAAAGATAAACTTTATTAAAGAAGAAGAAGAAGAATATAAAAAGAATATAATAAGACTAAAACTATCAATAAAAGAAACTATAGAAAAAATGTCATCTATTTACAGTACACACAAATTGATTTCCCTTTCCAGTTGTTGTTAATAATATAGTTACATGAGTTATTCATCCTTTTTATGTATCCAATTTTCATTTGGTTCTGTGATCTGTATATAACGGATGATGGTACATCAAAACAATAAAAAAGAAAGAAGAAAGAAGGAAAAGAGAATGAGAATCATATTTTAAATATTCTTTT